TGCGTTTTGGATAGCGTCATCCTCGTCCTCGACCGAGCTCTCTCCCTGGTCCAACCACCCCCATGCTGAGATTTGCTGAGATCAGCTGCCGTGAAACTGTGACCTGCCCTGGGATGTACCTGGATAGGGGTTACCTGACAGGAGGTTCGTGGAGGGCAAAAGCGCTTGACTCGGCATTGAATGCCGCACTGTTATTAGCGCGACCGCGCCATTTTACTTGAAGCATAGTGCCGGCCTACTATCGATGAAAAAGGCACCATCTTCAGTGTAATAAGCAAACAGAGGCGGGTACCAAAGGGACCAAAGGGACTACAGGGACTACAGGGACTACAGGGACTACAGGGACCAAAGGGCGGCTATGTCGTCCCGCCGGAGCGTACGCCGCCCCTCTGTACGCTGTTTCAGTTCGCTCACGATACCGACTCAACTGGTGAGAAGTCCACATCGACCGACGACCGCAAATGCTAATGAATTACCCACACCGGACAGCAGTCCGGACGGACGATCCCTACACAAATCTTGCCCTGGACCCCATTGACCCATTCCTGTTGGATTCGAGGAGGAAGGCCCGCGATTCGCGGCCGTCGATTAAGCTGTTGGGATCATTGACCGTTGCGGAGTTTGATTTCGGTAGCCTGTCCGCTCTTTGCCTCTTGGAGCAGCATTGCCAATGAGCTTCTCCACATACAGTGTATTGTAGCGAGAATCTTTGGTCGTCTGAGACGAATGGATAGTCCCAAGAAAGAAGCTCCAAGAGAAAAGCCGCGCCGAGCTTAACCAGCAGGCCGGGACGAGCCAATTGCGTCTGTGCCCTTTCGTACATCGATAACTTTGCTTGGACATCAGGAATGATTATTCATTCTGGCCTTCTCGTCAGCTCGTATACCAACCTGATCAATGCTGTATGGGCATGAGATGATTCAGAACGCGGCACATTGCCTTAGTAGTGTATCAGTAGACGTGGTCTGTTGATCTCATAGTGATTACCAGCCACTCACGAGCCAAGGAGAAAATTCCGAAGCATGCAAGCGGGGCCAATTGGTCAGTTGAATGGTTCGGCCCTTTTTACCAGGAGGACAGGTTGACCATGACCCTACCGCTCAGCACAGTCTCCCTGAGCACTGATGTCTTTGTTTCTGGGACGAACCAATCCATACAGTAGGCCTCGCCCCGGCAAGATCCGGCCAGCTTCTGAAGCACAGTGGATGTCTTGTTGTGTCTCAACAGGGCTACGATCCATCGATATGATTGCGCAAGTGTATACGGAGCACACGCAGACTCAGCAAAAGGTGATTGGCAACAACGGTGGACTGCCATGTCGACATTTCACTTGTTTGTCGGACTATAGCCCCTTTCGCGGGCCAGCTGCAGGCGCCACTTTGACCATTTCGGGGTCAAGATGCGAATGCCTCGGCCAGACACGGTTTGATGAGGTAGTTGAGAGTGGAACAGGCGCGGTTGGCGCAGCCGTGAAGCCGACGCGTGGACCGTTATTCGTAGCCTCACAGTTTGCGATTTGTTAATGTGCGCTGAATTCTGCCGCTATTTCTGCCGTTATTTTTCAAGGGGCCACTATATTGGGATTGCGGTAGTTTTTTTCCCCAAGCCAGGGCTGAACGTTCTTGACTCGCACATCTTGGGGCCAAAGCCAAATCGGGGCTCGGCCGGTAGTGCGGCATGCGACGTCACGTCGAAACCCGCAGCCAAGCAGTGGTCACTGCGTAAGGTGTGGGCTATGGCGATGGTATCGAGCTTACTGTGGTACACCGAAGCATCACCGTGCCGGGCAAGTCCAAGGAGTAGAGTTTCCGCATTTTCCAGTTTTGATCCACGATGCTGCTTGGGCAAATTCCGGCGAATAAGGCGATCTTTCGGTGGGGCCGGTGAAAAGCCAACGGCTTTGGACGGATCAGACGGACAGGCAGACAGGACAGTCTGACGGTACAGCGGCACTGAGGCACACTCGCCCCTGTGCCAATGTGCGGTGCCTGGCACTGTCGTCTTGGATGAGCTTGCAGCGGAATCTAACCGCCGCCATGCAATATGGGGTCATCTCGTGCCCATGTGTGCCCCATTAAGATCTTCGACCCCACCGAGATACCTCGTGTGCTATACATACACTTCTGGCTCATCTTGATCTGGTGGAGAAAATATGTCAGTCGTGCCTGTTTGGTGAAGAGAAGCTGTCGGACGGGAATTCGGAAGACGGAACTTAAACAGGAAGTTTGATTATCTTATCTCTATGCCTGATTCCGGGACAGAGCTGTCGCTGACAGCTGTCAAAGAGTATCAGACAGGTTCGGTGCCGTCGGCCAGGCCGGCGGGCGTGTACAGATCTCAAGGACCAGCAATGCCTGTCCTCAAGGTGGTATCGAAGCCGGGAGCTGAGTCGACGCGGAAGCTTCCAAAACTCGATGGAAGCTCCTGGGCTCCCCCACACAATAAACAAGCATCGTAGATGTCAGTCTCTTGATCATGGGGTCTCCCTGGAGAAGGAGTTGGTGTGTGTGAGGAAGTGGGCAGTACGGCAGCAGTTGACGGCCATGGTTGGTCTTCCATCGACACGCCTCGGAGAACTGTCCTGGCATGCCCTGGCTGTTGGGCCCCTGTCTCCTCCCGCCTGTCTCAGCCTTAAAAGCTCGCCCGATAGATCCGATCCAGTGCATCTCATTACATCTGGACGGGTTGCGAGACTGGCTCGATCTCTGGGACCCGGGGAATCCAAGCCCTCGCACGAGGCTGTCGCGCTCTACAACCGTGCTACGTGCATTGGTGATGTGTTTCACTGCTGTACGCAACGACCCTATGTCCTCATGGTTCTCTCATTTCACCCCCATATTGGAATCGGCAAGGATTTGCCCATCGATGACCGTCTCTGATGCATCGTCCTTCGGTCTAGACCCTTGACCGCCTGTCAAAGACCCAAAGAGCTCAAGAGCTCTACTCCACCTGCATGGGTACTCCATATATGTACGTACATGCTGTACCTACAGTACCTGTCAGCCTGCCAGGGGCATTCCGTCATCTGTCAGATTAACGCCCAGGGTATGAGAGGTTCAGATCTCGGGATTGCATCGAACTTTGGGACGCGATCTGCAGGCATGGTCGTGTCCTGCCAGGCCTGCCTGTCTCTTCTGCCTGATCATCCTGCCATCCTGGGAGTGCAGGCCGATCCGTAGCACAACAGCTTTTTTTTTGGTCTGCTGGCACAGAGACAACACCCGCACGCACGCACACACACAAAACGGCAACCCCCCACTGTTGGGTACGTCAATACCTGGCTACCTGGCTCGAGCCTGGGTAGTACTGTAGCTACTCGAGTGACACAAGAGACGGCGCGCCCAATCCACAGCGCTCCTTTAGCCCGTCTGACTCTCTGGCTTGCTCTGGCTTGCAGTGGTTCGAGGTCTGATTCCCCAGTCTCCGGTCCAGTCCACCGGGAAATAAAGCCTCAAGTACTGCCCCCCAGGGAATCGAAATGTTTTTTTTTCCATCCGCCGTTTACTGTCTATTTATTCGAATCGCCATCTCTACACGTCTTCTGCATATCCCGAGAGCACGCAGACAGATAACCGGCTGGCAGAATCTGCTTGACTAAGACAGATGGGCATTCCGCGCATGACCAATAGGCTTCGGTATCCCTGAGAGTTGCAATTTCCGGTGACCTCAAGCGCCGCCCACTTTCCCAGCGGTTCGGATACGATTTCAAGGGCACAGGCAGGCAGGGCACAACCGCCCCGGGGCACCTTTGGGGCCACATTGTGGGACCTGGGCACCCACTGGCCGGTGGCGATAAGAACTGCTCGCGTCTCCCCCTCCTGTTTGGCAACGGCAGGCAGTGCAGATGCCCCAGCTCTGGGCATGCCCGTCATAAATACGCAGTCCTGTACGGTACGCAGTACATAACATACAGGCCCAGCCCAGCCCATTCAGCATCCGCACGTACACGTACTGTACTGTGTGTGTGTGTGCGTGTGCGTTTGCGTGTGGGTGTGTGTGTGTGAGTGCCCTGTCGCAACTCGCATGCGTTGGTTGAGAGGGGAAATCTGGACTGGACCTTTCTTCAAGAGGGCGTGCGCGCACACGGATTACACACGCCCACCCTTGGTATTGTTCAAATTCCATCAGTGACCAAAGCCCTTGGTCGCCCCGCCGTCCCCTCGCCTGTTTCTCCGGGCTTCTAGTACCGCTGCGAGACTCGATAGTCTGTCTACATAACCACTATTTGGCACGCGTTCTCCCGGGCGGCAACTCCCTCGCTTCCGGCTCTATTTTAGCTCTCTCTCAACGCCCCAAGTTTAATTCCCCCTTATACCGCCCTATTATTGCGTCCGGCCACCATCGGTCATCCTTGGAGCCAGATCTGTTGTGGTTTGTTCTGGAGACTGCAGCCATTTGATGGCCCAAAACTCCAACTCACGCCGTACCAACGCCGCCACCAACCGACGATCAGCCCGGTTTGTGCAACCAACGCAGCAGCACCTCCGTGGACGGCAACGTTGCCGACGCATCCCCTTACATATTACATACCTTGTCCCACGTCGCCGAGAAACCAATCATTTAACGCGGAGCCGGCTCCGGGCTTCTGACCATAGACAACGCTGGCCCAGGTCGGGGACAGTAACCCGCCCTCGATTGAGGGCTCGCTCGTGAAGCATTTGCACTGCCGTGCAGTGTGAGTGTGCAGAGACAAGACAATCCCACGATAGGTGGTGAGAACTTTATACGCCCACCAGAAGAGCCGCAACGTCACAACGAACCACGGGTACTCGATCCCGCTCCGCTACGCTCGGCACCAAAGCGCCTCCGGATTTGCGGTGAACGCCACATTCTAATAACCAAGGTACACCACACACCAGCACTTCGGAAGTGGGACCGACCCATCCGCCTTGTATCGGACTTGATCATAGTCAGAACCTTCCTTGCTGGAAAGCCTGGGACGTGGAGGCTTACTGCATCTTATTCGCCGCTGACGGGTCGGCTGCTGCCGGCCTCGGATAATGCCTTCAGGACGTCTTTCCAAGCGGCCTGGTGATGTGCCTGAGCCCCCCCAGGACAGCTTTCCTGGCGCTTCCAAGGTCAAGCTCCCTCGTCTCGAACGGGGCCCCGAGGATTTCTCGCAGGTTGTCAAGGACAAATTGCAATCCTACACCCGGACTGGTCAGGCGTGCGATCGCTGCAAGGTGCGTTGCTCTTGTTGCTTTTGTTAATGTTGATGTTATTCTTGTCATTGCTCCTTCATCCCACTGCAGATCAATCCGGGGTTGTCTCAGGCCTTTGAAGTGTTGTTATCTCTGTTGCACGTAAAGTCCACGTGATGCAACCATCATTGTGCATGCTTTCTCATCAGAAGCGGGTTCTATGGTGCTGGCAGATTCGACCTTGCCGCTGTCAGAATTGGCCGTGCGAACGCATACGCGGAGCCGATAAAGAAAACAACATCTCAGGAAATTCTCGTCGCTCTAGATCAATTACATTTCCCGCCGTGAGCCAGGCTAACTTCCTCTGCTGTTATATGCAATTTAGGTTCGCAAGATTCGTTGCGATGGTCTCCCCGAAGGATGCTCCCCTTGCGCCCAGCAAAACCTCGAATGCTATGTCACCGATCGCGTCACCGGGCGTACAGAACGCCGCGGCTATTTACAACAGCTCGAACGCGAGAAGAAAGACATGATGACCCGGCTACGCGACATGGAGAAGCTGCTCGAAGACAAAGGAGTGCAGATTCGGCCGTGGCAGTGGACTCCGCCTTACGGATTGACGACACCATTCGACCAAGACACTGATCCAGGCAAGGACCAATGGACACAATTCTTTTCTCTTTGGGTCAAGGACTCAAATCGACAGTCCCAGAAGGCATCGAATAACTACTCTGCCGGGCAGCAGTCAATATCTGCCTTTCAGAACATAGATCCGCGCAAGATCGATGCGCGTCTCGGCACTAATACTGAAAATGCACCATTGAGTAGTATCAATGGCACTCAACTGTCCATCCTAGGCACGACGATTGACATCACATCATTCAACGCCCCAGACGTGGATGGTCCGCCTATGGGCTTGCCAAGTAACACGCCACTTTACAACAAGTCCTTGCAATCTTTTATCAACTCGGTATCTAAGGTCAATCCACCTCTCGACGTCCACTTGCCCGCGCGAGAGGAGGCTTTCAGCTACTCTGAATGGTTCTTCGTTATGCTGGGCCCTTTCATGCCCGTCCTCCATAAGCCAAGCTTCCTCAGACTGGTAATGTTTTCCCATTCATATTTCTTTATCCTTCGACCCCTGAGGGCATCGTCATCGTCTAATATGAATGGCCGCTGTAGCTATCGCGGATATATGACGACCAAACGTACAAGCCCTCGACGGCAGAGCTTGCTACTGTGCACATGGTCTTCGCAATCATGTACTACCAATTCAGCGTACGAGACAGCGAAGATCCGGACAGAAAAGGCCAGTTAAACGAATTGTCAAATCGACACTATCATTGGTGCCTGGACAAGACGTGGGAACTGGGCTGTGATCTATCTATTCCTTCTACTCAGGCTCTGGTGCTCATTCTAACTCACTGCCGCGGCTTTCCAAAACCTGGGCCCGCCTACCTTATGGCCACTCTGACGTGGACAAGAGCGATGGAAATGGACCTTCACCGTGCCTATTTGGACAAAGACGAACCTACCACCCTCGACAATGAGATGCGAAAACGTCTGTGGTGGAGCATACTAATGATAGTTGTCATACTATACGGCCGAATCGGCAAGCCCATGCCGATCAGGGCGGATGATTTTGACACAGAGCTGCCGATCTGCATACCCGACGAGTATATCACCGAGAGCGGAATCACGGATCCGGAGAAGATTGGCGAGTGCAATTGGCTGGTGGGCTACGCCGGCTTCAAATTGTCCTTCTTGTTCATGGAGCTGTGGAACAACGTGTATTCTGTGCGCTTGGATCCGAACAAATACATGGCGTCCGTGCAGCGACTGGAGCAACAGTTCCGAAAGTACATCCGAGAACTTCCCGAGGAGCTGCAAGTGGACAAGTGCAAGCCGCAGAACCAAATGCTCGCGTCCTATCTGGCTGGCTCAAATCACGAGTTCCTGTTTTGTCTGCGACATCCCTCTCGGTGCATCAGCACCGACCCGAGCTTCGTCGCCGAAAATGGAAGGGTTTCCGAAGACTCTGCGAGAGGATTGCTGAGAGTCGCAAGTGAGCTGTCACGGCTAAAGTCCCTTGACACGACCTGGTACCAGCTAGCTATCTACGTGGCGGCGGTTTTCACCATTGTCGCTGCTCATTGGGAGAGACGATTCGACATGACGCTTACAGACCTCACCAGTCTGAAGGCGGACGTAAATATGGGCTTGTCTGTCATAATTGAAGTGTCGAAATACATTGGTGTTGGTAAGTCATCTATCACCTAACTGAAACACTTCTGGTCTTCTTTGCTCATCCCAAGACCCAGGTCCGGACTCTCGATTGATGCCTCAGATCACGTCTGTGATTGACCGTACGGTCGCCTCTATCGAACGCGATATGAGTACCAAACGCAATAACAGCAGCAGCAACGACGTCAACGGCAGCGTGCACAATAACGGCACGTCAGGATCACAATATGCATCACATCCGCAACACAATCCCATCACGGCTGTCAAGCAGGAGGGATATAGCCCGTCAGCTCACAGACGACCATCTCTTCGATCTAACAGCACCACACCCAATTCTATAATGAGTGGAACGGAACAAATACCAATTCATCGTACGACAGGCATGACAAATACCTCCTACTACAACCCGCCGATGGCCTCGCCGTCTACTGCCTACCCACAGATGGGATACACCGATCTCACACAATCCACACTCCCCGCACCTTCAACTACTGCCAGCACCATGCAATCGTCCTACATACCACCAGTTACTGAGGAATCAGCGCACCATCAATACCTCTACGCCACATCAGCAGCAGCATCAGCGGCAGCAGCCCAGATGGCCCACAATACACCCGGAAGCTCGCCGCAAGCAGTAGCAGCATCACACAACCCAATGGTCACCTACAACCCACAATCAGCCACCCCGACTCCGAACCACCATCATCAACAACAAGCCACGGCCGGCTGGATGAACGGCGGCCCGGCGGCGCCCAACGGCATGAATGCGGTGCAGCATGTCACCAACGGTGCAAATACATGGTCTGAGTGGACCAACGCCATCGCGCTAGGCGTGCCGCCGTCTTCTCAGGATCGCTACAACGCCGGCGCCTTGCTGACACTCGGCAGCGGGCAGCGCGGACCGAATGATCCGGGTGGGGGAGGCGGAGGGGGAGGCGACATGGGCGGCGGCGGAGGCCCACATGCCGCGGTGCCGGAGGGTCAGTGGTCTATGATGATGACCTACCATAATCCAAATCACGCCGGCGGTTGACGTTGGAAATTCAACAGTGGAAAGCAGCTGTATCTAGCAGAGGCCAGCAATACCCTGTGCCCTGCCCAGAGACAGGACACGCTCGCGCACGCTTGCACAACGCTGACGGCATAACATGAAGCATACGTTCTTTGGAAGGGATCAAGCAACACAATCCCGGTCCGAACTTACTCTTCCTCCACCACAAAGGCAATGAGAATGTCCTCAAACAAAAAGGGAATGAGCACCCGTCGTCCGTTTAGTAGGGACGGCACTTGTGAATTACGCGGACATAATCGAAGACGAACAGGCAGTGGGGCGCAAGGGCTGACACCAGAGCTCCTCTCGGGGGATGCACAGCATCTGGCGGGTCACACGGGGCAAGGAGCCCACATCTAATACAGGTACGACGAGCACGACATGGTTAGCGGCGGAACGGCAGACGGGGGAAAGGGGCACAAAGAGAGGCCGGCGAGGCTACCGGGGAAAACGGGGTAGTCCGGCAGGCGTCTACGGTCGCGGTTGTACAGCATATCACGATATCCCACCCCTTTCTATTGGCTGCCATGCCGTGTTTTCCGGATGGAGCCCTGGCTTTGGAAAGTGTTAGTTTTCTTTGGGGTGTTTTTGCCCGCTTTCTCCGGAAGCTGCCTGCTGTGCCTAATTTGATGAGAGGGAGAGGAGAGCAGCTTGCGTGTCACTTCCCATAGCATATATACCCCACATGCAGCACACAAGGATTTCCAAAAGCATGAAATTATTGCGCTAACGGTGTTTCTCTAAACTGGATCATACGGTTACAAATCCTCAAAATTACTCCCTTAATTTACTCCATATATCAAGGTTTTCTCTGTTCTCACCGCTTCTATACCCTGATTTGTCTTCCTTATCCAGACAGCGCTGTATGATATGCATTAGTCGCTGAGACAGTCTCATTTGAGCATACATTGGTAATTACATTAGGATCTGTGTCTTCAGCGGATAAGGGCATTTGTACTACCTGGCTGATCCTGTCTAGTGAGACCATGTCTCAGGAACTCAAATAAATAACATACTCATAAATTAACATGGCAATTAAGAAATGAATGGCACTTGTCTGAAAAGTATAAGAGTTGTTTACATATTGAATTTCGAGCGCATAAAACCTTGGAGCACTCTTATTTTGTTGTGTTGTTGGTTTTGTTCTGTCATCGCGCCTCAACAGCACTCCTTGTCTCAAACTAGCGGGTGTATTTCACTCGCCCCATCCCTTTTCCGTATCTTCTCATCGCAGTGGCAATACTATATTTTGTCTGACCCATTGTATCAGAGCGCATAGCCGCCATTTAGTCCTTTCAACTTGTGAGCCGGGGGAACTTCCATGTCGGTAGAAGCACGAAACCCTTGCAAATTTGCCAATTAAATCCTCTTGCTATCTATAGAGAATCTACATGTTTGATAGGCTTTCTATCTCTCTCCCAGCACAGCAGCCATTGCCTTGGAGTAGTATTCGATCCCAAGCTAGAGGATTGGCAACCACTCCAATCACGAAATGGGAAGAATTTTGATTTGGTACACCCAGGTACAAAAGAGCCTCTGACTGTGAATTATCTGCAATTGTTTCAAATAGAATGTTGATCCTTGTGGCCATCAGTCATCAAAGTTCACCTTCAGGCAATACCTAGATAGTTTACTAAGGTCATGTCAATTTATTGCTAGTGAAATTCTAATCTTCATTCAGAAGCAGGTCGTGGCTTTCGGTCAACCTATATACGGATTTTTCCTTATCAAATTAAATGAGCTGCTCCTCTATACATGACTACCTAGCTGTGAGACAGTTGTCTGCATCATTCAGTCAAGCATCAATATACTCCAGCTTTGAGTCTCTTTCTCGACAAGGGCTAGGATTCGGAAATGACTGTATGTTATTATGCATAACAAAACATTGAAAACATTTGTTAGAACACATTTATTGCAAGACAGTCTTGAAAGGAAAAGTAGAAGTTGGGTGTTCAACCAGCGACTGGTGATGTATTCAAGCAGAGTGACTCCAGCTGGTTAGCAGGTGGGGGCCGCCCCACACCAGCTGGCAAGCTACCTCATTCCAGCTTCAGATGAAGCTCGACAAGCTCCCGTATCTTCAACCCAAACCACCTTTTCCGTACGGACAGCTGCCTGAAGTCGGCTCTCGAAACAGTTTACGACATGTCATTCCTCGAGACGGTCGCCCTCGAGCACGTGCCGTCCACGCACAGTGTCCATGTCGCCTTGTTCAAGGGCGTCACCAACGCGGGGTTCCTGCAGTCGCAACTACTTGCCCGCAACGCCGACTTCGAATACGCCTTCATCGACGCCACCACCATTGTCTCCAGGCTGCAGGTACTAGCCGCAGCCTACAAGGCTGTATCTGTACTTCTCGAGGGAAGACTGAAGTCGCCCAATGTCCATGCTGAGGCTGTTCTCGCCCTCAGCGCAAGCAACAACGTGGGCCTCCCCCCTCCACATGGATGCGCATTATCCATTTTCACGACTTTGATGCACTGACATTGTTGCTTCTACAGATCTCAGAAGCCTACCGCCGCTATGGAATCTCGCCTGAAGTCAAAGACATCATAATTGTCAAGGTCCTGTTCCCCACCGACGACAAACCCCAGCCACCTACTGCCGACGACGTTTGGAAACATCTCTCTGAAAGCGTGGAAGGCACAGCTGTGCCGTTTACCGACGACGAAATCGCCAAATCGACCGACTGGTCCAAGGTCTCCAAATACTACAAGCTCAACGGTGTGCCTTCCCTGAAGGGCATCAAGGACGAAAAGAAGCGGCTGAAAGAGGCGGAGATGCTGGTCCTGAGCTCTATGGCTTTGCGTGGAGTGTAGAGCTCTATGACTTTGTGTGGAGTGTGGCGCTCCTTCTTTACTCAGCATCCTTATCCCACGAGAGTCATTCGGAAAAGTCATTGAGTCTATCGCACCAACCTCTGGAATCAACGCACCGACCCGTTCACGTCGAAGTCCTCAATCAGTAAGGGCAATCCGCGAGCCAAGCTTCGGTGTTGTGGCTTCGCTAGTTCCCTGATGGAAGCATTGCACGGACAGGAGACCGCCATGCGACTTTTGAGAAGGCATTCCAGCATCTGCCCGGGAGCCGACCCTTGAGAGGAGCATTTCTGTTTAACAAGATTTGATCACGGCTCAGATGGCACGCTATGTGCGTTAGTCTGATAGGTTGTGTCTTGTTACTGTCGCAGGGCCACAAGCGACCCTTCAAACATGGTCCCCTATCGATACGCCTCGTCGATTCATCCTGAGCTTGCTACCAAATTAGAGGAGCAAGATCATGGTCAACCTACCGACCAGTCGTCACCCCCCCCCCCTCCAGCGCCAGCACCTCTGCTACTGATGCTCATTGGCATCACAGCTGCTTCCGAGAGGGCAAAAGCTGCTGTGTTGTCACGCATGCGGTGCTTTTTGCACGATTCCCCCGTACGTTGCGAACAAGCCTGGTACGATGTTGTATCTGTAGCCCAGTTCTCTCCGTAGCTCGTCGCAATGAGTTGGGGATCAATATAGCCAACGGGTGGATGACAGCTGGATCATGGTGCACTGAAGACCGCTTGAAGGGAGCTATTGCTCTCAGTGACAATGAAGTTCAGATTGCATCAGGAGCAACTGGTCGACATTGCGAGGTCCTCTCTTGTAACCAATACTTGACTGTGTCTCACAAAACATAAGTTGACTAAGTCACCAGGTGCTCAATGTTCCGGACTGGTCTGCCCACTTCGAAGCCCGGTCGCCAGTTTGATCAGACTGGTCTGGAACCAGCAATGCTAGTATTTCAACGGGTCGGGCCTCCTGAACATCACTAAATTCTAAAGGATTCGGCAACCGTTCAAACATGAATGTCATTGATCACGTAACCCACAGAGAATTGTAAATTATACACAAATGAGTTGAAACATACATCTTTTCCCTTCACGTTTTGGCCGCTGTTGGGCGAGCGAGAGACTACAAGACGCCAAAGCTTTCATTCTTGCTCCCTGACTTTACCCATCTGAGAATTCAGACTCTTCCCCACTGTGTACGCCCGCCTCGGGTTGGTTTTCATGGTGAAGATCCAGCGCCATGGTATAAAACTCTGGCTCCTCCTCCTCTGGCTCATCCTTCTTGGATCCGCGCACGTGTCGCCGCCAAAGGTAGCCCAGGTATTTGAGCTGAAACGCGATGAACTTGTGCTTAGGCACGGCGAAGACCATAGAAAGGTCCTCGAGGCTGAAGCCCTTGGTCTCCTCTACGAGCAAGAACACGAGTACGAAGGCCACGAGGTTGAAGGCTGCGAACAGTGCCAACGCACCCCAGTGGTTGAACGCCCGGTCTAGTTCTGGATACACGAGGGTCAGAACTCCGGCGAAGAAGAGGTTCACTGCTATGGCGACGGAGCAGCCCTATATGTGCCTTGTTAGCTTTGATGTGTGAAATCTTTATCGATGATACGAGGGGTTTTGAAAACGTACGGCCTCCCGTTGAGCGAGCGGGAAACTCTCAGATGCCAGAGTAAATGGTATGGGTCCTAAGCTGGGAGAGTACACCGCGGCAAATACTGTTGACCATATCCACGACTGTTATTGAGGGTGTTCTCTCGCATAAAAACAGAAACAGGGAATACGCACGATAGATAAATACGACTATGGGCTCTAGATGTATCCTGTTAATGAAGAGCATTGCAGCCGCTGCAAGGCAGAGACTCATGAGTGGCAATGTGGTTAACATGAGTTTCCGCCGGCCCCACGTGTCGATGCGTCTGATGGCGAGAAGGCAAAAGACGAAATTGACAGCCCCTATAGATTGTCAGCATGGCGTTCATGGATATCCACTTCGGAAAAGACTGACCAAATCCGGCACTGTACCCCATTGCTTTCAGCTTATCGCTGTTTTTGATGGAGTTGGCGAAGAAAGTATCTGATATCTGTCAGAGTCGCCCGGCCATCCACGCCTAGGGATCACATACTTGAATAAAAAGCAAATACATTGACTATTGCACTTTAGTTAGCAGTTGCGTAAGAGTTGATTCATAGACAACGTGCACTGACTTCCACATAGCTGCTGGGCCAGAGCTACCACGCATGTACTCAATACAGCATTTCTCAGGTTTATCTGTCTGAATAATAAGGCGTACTGCTTGGAGCAGTAAGACATTGCTGTCCAGAACTGGTTTGCATATGTGAGCCCGGCTTTCGCGTGAGACATGCCAGCATTTTCATCTTCGGCAGGAGTGACTCGATACTCGTCCAGCTCGACCGACTTGTGGATAAGGTACAGGTCCCTGAGGGCTTGGAGCTAGAAAGAGTCAGGGAAAGTGTGTAACTTTGATCTATGTGGAAGCGATCTTACTTTGGTTTGTCTGGCCTTGAGCAGGATTTTATATGCTCTAGACGGGTTGTGATATGGTGTGTTTGGTTGCATATAGTACCGTGGGCTTTCTACACACCATCCCAGTGCGATCAAGAGAATCACTGCAGGTATAAAAGGTGCCCCGAGGATTTCTCTCAATGCTTGAATTTGGTTCTCTCGACTGTCATTACTGTCGGTGGCATTGTTCCAGCTCGCAATGCCCAGGTTTAGGATGGAACCGATTGCTATCCCAAATGCGACCCTGTGAGAAGAGAGTGGTTAGTTTGGATATGAGCAACTGATTCTTTTGCTACTGTCTTATCTGCAAAGTGACAAGGAAGGAAGCGAGACACTGTGTCGAAGAACTGACCAAAGCTGCCACATGAGCGTAGAGGAACCTCGCCATTGAGTATAGGCCATTTCCCCGGCTAGAATAGGAGTACTAATTGCTTTGATTCCCATGCCTGAAATTTTCACGTCAGTAAATTGCTGGCTGCAACCATTTCCGCGGCTAATGGCGCAACTGACCAACACCATTTACAATCCTTATACACAACAGCTGCCACCAAGATGTCGCCCAGGCGGAGCCAAGCGAGCTTGCAAGTATCAACAGCGCGGCCACCGTGATTGCTCCTCGGCGACCGACCCAGAAGTTGAGCAGGAGGGCAGATGGAGCTCCGATGATAGCGGCGGCGAAGAATGGGCTCGAGTTTGCCGCCCCAAGCTTCCACTGCCAAAGCCTTTCATCCAGCGGAGCGGGACAACCATTTGAGGTACTCCCGGTATTCTCAAGGCATTGTAGATACAGGCTTGCGCAGTTGATGGACGCCTGGACGTGGCCCTGGAGAAAGGCTGCGCAGCCGACTGTCAAGATGACGGGGAAGATTTGGCGGAACTGTCCTCGGAGTTCGTCGTGCTCCGACACGAGACCTTTCTTTTCGTTTTCCTCCAATGCCACCAGTAGGTTCGTCTGCGTAGCGGAGTTCCTTGCGACTTGGTCGTATGTACGGATATCTTTGGCTACTCGAGCCGCTCGGAGGACATCTTCGTATTCGACATCGGGAATGTATTTCGAGAACTCTCTGACGTCGTTCTGGAGCTCCTTGTCGCTCAGGTGTACTGATCACACTGTCTATGAGCAAGCTGAACGAGCAGTGGGGGAAAATAATATCTCATAAACAATCACACGTACCGAGAGGTCCTTCAATCAAAGCTCTGTCGTTCAAATTCCGTTGCTCAACCTGAGCCCGGAATCTGTCGATGAGAGTCGAGGTCGACTTCTCAGCCATTTCGACGGTTTGAGTGATGCGACGCCTCAAGAGCTACTTCTTCAAGAGCTAGGGTATCATCGGACATCAAAGTTGAAAACCCCTTAGCGCGGCAGTATCAGACATTGATGCTCTATAGGTAATGAGATAAGTGAGGTAGATACCGATCGACAAGAAAACATGTCATATTACTTTTCATATGAACCGAATCACATGGCGAACCAGCCCGTCATTTACGTAGTTCGCCGAGTGTGAGGAGGCGTTGCCAGCGTCATAAGGCTCTGCTCTGGGCTTATTCGCCGGCGTTTTTGTTCTCGTTTAGGATCAAAAGCCATTGGGGATCGGCTCCAGCTGAACATGCAGACATGGTCGCTTTCTGCCTCTTTGGTGACACTGCAGGGATGATGTCTAGGTACAAAGCAATGAAGGATGCATCTGCTCTTGGCATATATCGCCCGGGTGGCGTCAACCAGTCAACTGGCGCCGTACCTGCGATGGATAGCGTTGTACAACGATCTCGTACCTGCACGACTCGAACAAATACCTCATTTATTCGAAGACTGTCTCATGAGCGATTACATTGAAAAGGGAAGTGGAGGATCGTCATCACGGATTGCTCTGTGGCTGCTTTGCCACCACCCACCGGAAGGATTCCAAGGATGAAACTAAACGCAAATCACAAGACTGAGGGTAAGCAAGCTTTAGCCCCGTCTCCCCCTGCTCAATTCATAATATAGCTTTCTTCCCCGCGAGTCTAATGCGGCTCTAGACGTATCATGGGGAGTTTCTGGAGAGCATGCAGCTCCATGGGGCCCCGTGGGTTGGAGGCCCCTGGATGGTGTGAACCCCGCCCACACATATTGAGGCTGATGGAAAGAGTCATAAGGATCGGTCACCGAGTTGGCATTGCCCCAAAATCCAATATGCATGTCTCAGTGGCACGCGACTTCAGCGAAGCCCTATTCTTGTGGGGCGGTGCCTGAAGACAAGACGAACTATAATGGAGCTAAGTATGCCTTCTTGTTTTCGCAGACGCCTTCTCAACTGTTACGCCCGATCGACAACTGACGAATAGGCCGGTCTCCAACTTCTTTCAGGCCACGTGAATTCACTATGGTGAGCAGACGAACAGGCACCCAGATCGTACCACACTCCTCCTGCAGTCGAAGTACTCAGCCACGCGTGCGTGGCAAGGCAGGGCTGCAGGAGGCAGCAGGCTATAGTCCAAGTAACATGACGCACTTCCGCCCTGATCCAATCACACCTAGGTCGAAGTGATCCCCTCATCCTTGGTTCTGCTCAAGCTTTCTTTTCTATTCCGCACCGGCCTGGCCCAGGTTTCCCTCTTCCCGGCGTTTTGTCACCCCAACGGCACGGCCCACGTGTGCGCGGTAACGGATCGACATCACACGAATGGCACTTCCCGATAGTGTCTATCATCGAACAATTTGTTTAGAGCGCTCGTTCCTCAGTCGTCCTTCAGAGTGTCGACACTGCGGCTGCTGCGGCACTTGCCGCAGTTCCAAGGCCCTCAAAGCTGGTCGAGTCAGCACCAGGAGTATTGGTTGCTGATGCATAACCGAATTACACAACATGCCAGATCCACTAACAGCTATTGGATCTGCTTCGGCCATCGTGCAGCTTATCGGGTCCCTCTCTAGTGGGCTGCGGACTCTGCGAGATGCCGTCGCAGCTATCAAGGACGCGCCCAGGATCGTCAAGCGGATGGAGGTCAAGATCGAGCACCTAGGGAGATCCATCAGACTTCTTGAACAATATTTCCAGCAGAGACCATCCAAAATACCTTTCGAGACAGAACTCTATGAACTCATTCAGGAGATTGCACAAAGCTGCATCTCACCATTGACGATAATCTATGAGAAACTCCCGAGCCGATCAGCAAAGAACATGAATCAGGCTTTCACCCTCTGGCTCAATGACAATTCCATTACCCAGGCGACGAATCACATCGATGAGTATATACCGTACTTGAACCTCCTTGTTCAGACTCTCAATCTGTAAGTGTCACAATGAGGTTACATTGCTTTAGCTGACATCTTACAAGGTTCAAAGCCGACCAGACCGATGAGCTCCTGCGCGACATAGCGGGCAAACTCAAGCAGACAGCAAGACAACGGCAGCCGAACCAAGATGCTGCATTGCACGAAGTTGATCGCCAGGCCCTCGAGACAACATTGAAGGTCAGAAAATTTGCAAATAGTGCTGCTACATACGTCGTCCAGTCTGTAAGCGCGACAGGCACGACCTCTTCTAGAAATATTGCGCCACCGAGATCTGGACATACGAATACAGCAAGCAAAACATCGCCAATACCATCTTTGCCAAGATCAAGAAGACAGCTCGAGTATGAATGGGAACAGAACAGAAAAGATCTGGAAGGACTCATGGGCTATCATCTGTTCGAGAGTGCTGAGAAGATCCAACGAAGAGCATTGTACATCAAGGAGGAGCTAAGCAGTCATCATGCAGTTCCTTTCGAACAGGAGGAGCGAGACGAAATGGAAGAACAACTGGCAGACATTCTCATCCAGTGCAAGACCGAAGGCTCAACCGAGCAAGCCCTGTCTCTTCTCGAGAAGAAGATCAACCACGAGTATTCCAGCGACGGAGCCGCACAAGACCTCAACCTGCTCGCCCTGCCATCGTCTTCAGCGTCCCGCCATCGGAGACTGAGCCTTCACTCTAAATTAGGAAGGCTTTACAAGGATACATGCCAAATGGACCGTGCTGAGGAACACTTGAGGATAGCCTTCGATGCCTACGCTATTGAAGATCCCCGAGACGTACCAAAGATCCAAGAGGTCGGGGAGGAACTCTTGGAGCTGCATGACTACCGGGTGGAATTTGGTGACACAGAGCACCGGCCCGTTTTCATATCCCAACTTCAGGGGTTTAAGAAAGAGCTCGAAAGCGTGATGGGAGGGCCTCTAGTACCCCGAAGGACCAGCTGTGACAAGGCCCTGGAATGGTGTGAGAGCGAAGATATCGCTGTCTCGAAAGAGAATGAAGACCCGCGGTTTGATATTCTGGATGAAGAGGGCTCCTCTCCGTTACACCACGCCGCAGAGAGGTGTCACGATGAAGCGGCCCTGCAACAGATGATGGAAAATTCATATACCCTCGAAAGCCCAGACGACAACGGGGACACGCCTTTATTAATCGCGGCAGGTTGCTCAAACACCACAGCACTTTCTGTGCTTCTCCAGAAAGGGGCCAGCGTCAAAGCTCGGGACAGACAATATCAGACACCGCTTCATAGGAGCCAGAAGCCAGCAGTAACAAAATTTCTGTTACAGCATCGGTTGCGGAGAGCAAGCACAATGACAATAGGCCTCGACGACGGGCGGAGGTTCTCCTCATCCTCCTCTTCAACATTCACCACGTCACCTCCAAATTCGATCCCAGACCAGGACCTCGATATCGACGCACAAGATGCCCACAAGAAGACGGCCCTTTATCTTGCTTGTTCACAAGGCAGAGACAAGATTGTAAGACTGCTCCTCCAGGCTGGCGCAAACCCAAACATACCTGCCCATGACCACACCCCCCTAGCGGCGACCATCGAGTCTCAGGCACGATCATATATCGAATACCCCAAGAAAAAGGTCGAGATTGTCGCAGCGCTGGTCAGCAGAGGCGCCGACCCCGAGGCCGAGAAGAAGTTGCTACGCAAACCGAGAGGCATGCAGAGGGAGATCCTGAAGGCGCTGGAGGGCCACTACGGGTCACAGTCCTTGCGGTCCAACAAGTCTGAGGACTGGTCCATTGATCCCCGTCGGGACAGCGGCTACCAGCTCTCTGTCTCATCTAGTGCGACCAAGCCTCAGCTGGACCCGCCAGACTTTGGTCCTAAGTGGTCGCCGGAATTTGACAAGTTAGAAAAGCCGGACAAGCCAGATGAGTCAGACAAGTCAGATGAGGCGGATAAGTCGGACAAGTCAGACAATTGAGGCGTCAGGGCACGGTGAGCGCAGATGATCAGGAGAGCACTGGGGTACTTACGACTTTTCTATCTCCTCAACAACGCAGCAAAGCACAGCCTGCGTCTGACTGCCCGGGTGCCGGAATTACACGTATGCATTTGATTAGCGAAAGGCCTTCCCTTATCTTCTATGAATTTTAGGCTTGGTGTTAACACGGTCACTACTTCGATACTTTGCAGCACAAACATGATTTTGAAGAAAAGTTTCAGTCGAAGTACGGGACGAAGTTGTCCAGGAGGTCCAGGCAGTCGGGCCGGTGATCTCAGGAGCAGATCACATAGAGAAGAAACAACATCCCCAAGGGTATGCCATATAAGCCTCAGGAGCCGTTTTTGGTATCTTGAGTGGGGAAAAGACGTCTGACGAAAAGCTCTCAATCATGCCTGGGGCCCAAGTTGGCCGACGGGAGAGTGAAGGCACAAGAGCAGGCTCGAATTTTGTCCGAAACCAGACCAGCGAAAAATGGAGACAAGAGCGGAGATAGGCATCCGGTGTCACATCGAGACACAGATTGGTCTGCGTGAGGTTTGTGGGAACTCAACCAATCTGTGCGGGTGTATATGTGTATAGTATGTGTCCAGAGAACCACTCTCTTTCTGTACTATATCCTTCAAAGATATGTCACAAACCTTTACAAAATCTTCGGTGACTTAACCATCACTATCCTTCCAGTACTGTCGTGGAACTCAGGACTCAATTGAATTGATCTCGTCATTCATTGATTCATAAAGAAAATGCTGCTCTAAGCGCAGTCTATCGCCTAAACTCCACGATTTCAACCCTGCACATTTGGAGCGCCGCCCATCGATCAATCTGAGGGCTTACCCACAAGGAAAAGACAAGGCCGGATGCCGCTCCTGCTGTTCCTGAAGCGCCAAAATATCGAGGAAAGTAAATCCAAGCAACCGCGGTCCCAAACCCCATCAAATTCAGACGAAACAACGACGTGGCCCATTCAAGACAACACGCTTAAGCCAGCCCAAAGGCGCCCTTGAGCCGCCTCCACATCTCGGCCCTCATGGCGTCCCGCCCGCTCTTGGTCCGCTGCACAGCGTCCTTGTTCTCCTGCGCCCGGCGGAGCAGGTACTTCATGCACTCGCCGGTGGAGCCCCAGACGAGGTACTTGTACGCGCGGGGCTTGAAGCTGCCGTCGGCCTTCTCGCCGCCGCCGCCGATACCGCTGCTAGAAGCGGCCGCGCCGTCCCTGCTGGCCAGGATCTCGCACGACACCTCGTCCGCCATGCCCTGCAGCTGCGCGAAGGCGACCTCGGTGCCGCGGTGGCCGGCGTCGAGGACCGCGCGGGCCTTGCGCACCGTCTCGGCGTTGTGCGACGCGAGCACCATGTTGACGCTCGGGAACCTGCCGTCCGCGGGCGCGAACTGCGCCAGTGGGCCCGTCCACTCGCGCCGCAGCAGCGCCTCCGCGACGCCGTCGTAGCACGCGTCCGTGTCGGCCTTGGTGTCGTGGATCAGGTGGCGCGGGTCGCTGCCCAGGTAGGCGCCGCGCACGAGCTTGACGCCCAGCGTGAACCCCTCCTCGCGCGCGGCCCGCAGGTGTGCGGACACCACTGAGGGTGTCGCCTTCAGGTACGCTTGGTAGGTGCCGTAGATGACGGCCTTTCCGGGGGTCTTGTTGTTGTATTTGCGCATGTACGCGAGCGTCCAGTCGTCGATGCCTGCCTGCACCGCCTGCTGCTCCGCGTCGAAGAGCAGCCTGACCCCTCGCTCTGCTGCAAGAGTGCAGATCTCGTCGATGGCGCTGGCGAGAGCCTCTGGTGGAGGCTGGCGCTGAGAAAGGGTCCAGAGGGCCTTGCGGCCTGCGCCCGTGAACCTGATGAATGGTGTCAGTAAGTGACGTTTCCTTTTTGATTCTCATTGGGTGATGCACGCTTGGAAAAAGCATGCACTCATGAGGGGCAAAGACTCACTTCAAAGCCACGTAGTCACCCGGTTCGGCCAGCCGCACCGTCTCCAACGTTCCTTTGGTCCAAGGGATAACCTCGTTCCGCATGCACTCCTCCGCCGTCTCGCTATCCAGGCCATAAGTAGCCAGGCCCTCCAGCTGCTTGTCGGTCAAGACGACCTCCCTAGCATAACCCAGGATAACACCCGAGAACCCGATACCCCTGAGACGTGCCATCGTCGCCTTAACCTCTGGCGCGATCTCGCCTGCGCAGAACTGCGCGTAGAAAGTCTTCTTTATCAGTTGTTTCAGAAGAGGATTGCGGTCAGGGTTCAGGATCGGGTTGGTAGTGTGTGCAAGCATGCTCATAATTGCTAGCGAGGGAGGTAGGAGGACGGGGGAAGAGGACATGGTGGTCACCGCCAGAGAGCGGAGTATCGTGGTGAAGGGGAGCACCGATAAGGGTGCCTTGGCCATGTTGGGTGGGGGTGTTGGCTCGAAGTCTGGGCCCGGAATAGCTTGGGTGTTGAGAGCTGCACCTGCTTGGCGGGTTGTGCTGGATGAGTGAAGGGATCGCGAGGCTGATGGCGGCGTTTGGGCCGGTGTTGACGTTGTGGTGGATGCATCGCGGTTGAACTGTGGCTGCCGCAGAGGTCTGTACTTCAGAAGAGAGATCTCGACTCTGGAAGCAGGCGCAAACGCGCCGCCACGCAATGAATTCGCAGGTATCATAGCCATTGTCCTATCGCGAGAAGTCGTGGTCAAAAGTGGCCGAAGTGAAGCCATATTGAGTCGGGCTGCACTGGGCGGAAGAGCAGGAAACAGGGTATCTGATAAGCAAAGCAGAGGCTCAAAACGGGGTATAAAGTGATGCACGCTTGACAGGCAGACTAGCAGTGTGGAGGAGACAATGAAAGAAGAGTATCCAGATTATTAGGTTTTGATACACGAGACAAAGGCAAATGTTTCTGTACTATCATAACGAAGCAGAGCAGTCCGTCCCGAGGGCTGGCTTACTTGTATTTGATGGGCAGTCAATGCAATGCCTTGTCTCGCCTTGCCTTCCCCCTCGATCACCATTCCTTTATCTCCGGTCATCGCAATGACACAGGTGACCAAGCTCGCAAGTCTAAGTTGAGAACGGATCCCTGGCACCGAAGGCGAGGGATCGCCGACATCGTCTCAAAGCCAATGCTGTAAGGCCAGCCAACCACGTAGTAGCACGGAAGACCGAGCTATCAAGTGACTAGTCTATCTGCTGCCCGCCAGAGGCCAGAGGCCAGAGACAAGGAGAGACAGCACGGCAGCCATTGTGCAATCAGAGGCCAGCGCGTAGTCTGAGAGCTGCGGCCGGGCCAATCCCTCCAGCTCCTTATCGCTGACCATCACGTGGACGTGGAGAAGGCTCGGAGTGGGAATGCAGGTCGCGGGAATGCCGTGGCTAGCCGTCCGCACTGGCAGCTTGGTGGCTCCCAAGTGGTTGTTCGATGGAGGCATTGACAAATAGATTCCTCCCGTGCTCCTTTGATTCCCCAACTTTCTGGGCCAATCTCAAACTCGCAAAAGCTGAGCCGAAGACATAACATAATTCGACCCAGCCAGCACCAAAGCCCGCTGGAATGAGAGTGGATGGACGGGATCATGGGAGCATCATTTCGTCGAGCTTGTGCAAATGTGGGGCTTTCTGCAGTGCATCCCAGCGTGTGCGCTTGTCCTGCTATTGCATCGAGGCGAGCCTGCAGGCCCAGTTGCGTCGCAGCACTGATTCGGGGCCAGCTTGGGATTTCTTGGCCCTACCATGCGCTCGGCTTTCTGTGGGGCTGCCAGAGTTGCAATGCCGATTATGCGGGGACCTGTGATGGCGCCGCCATCGCCTGGATCGCTAGACTGGGTGCAGAGACGGCCGGTTGAGATGGAAGCCGACGGCTTAAGCTTGATGCCAGGCACCACATTGTGCAAGCAGCCAATCTAGTCGTTTCAGCATTGCGCGAGTCGTCCATGATTCGGATCCACCGCGTCGACTGTTGCGGTCTGCAGCGGCGTGAATCTCCTGGTCTTGTTGTCTTGAGGCTGAATCAGACACGGACCCGGACGTTCTCTCCCGTCCGCACCAGCCTTCAGCCTTGGAAAGCCGAAAGCAAGTGCTGCGCAATGTCCGAAATCGGGATGGGATGTTCATCATCAAGATCCTGATGCGTGGCAACATCGTGACTTGAGCCTGTTCCGTCGTCTGTCGGCTGGTTGTCTTTTACTGTCTGTGTCGTCTGGGAATTGTCGGCGTTGTATGCGTAGTCTCGGCTGCGGGACGGTCATATTTCTTGTTCCAACTCCTTGCTCTGACCTCGCATCCGCCTCTTGATCCAGTCGATGTAACCAATGTGCCGGCCTCGTGCTGCGCCGGCAGCGTCTTGAAGGCCGCCATAGACGAGTCCGACAACAAGGGCGGTCTTGGTTGTTCGTGCCGTCATGGGGAGGCTGAAACGATCTGCAGATGATGTCAGTGGTTAGCAGGACATCCACATCGCTTGGATGAGGAGTGTTTGGACACGTACTCCACAGACTGAATCCGCCGGCGACAGTCAGGGAAGCCAGCATGGTGTTGACAAAGTCCTTGGACTCGCGGTACTCGTCGTACATGTCCTCGACCACGAACATGGCTGTAGTCCAGAAGGACACCTTGGCGCCCATCTTGAGACCCTCCTTGAGCCCACCCCTGGCCATGTTGTAGTTCTTGCTCTTGTGGTACATGAACCAGCCGGTTGGTGTCGTTGGCAGCTTGTGGGCGTGCTCGGCGCGGAACTGGAGCCCTGCCATCTTGCTCCCCTGGGTCATGCCCAGCGAGATGCCGACTCCGAACGAGGCTGCGGCGGCGAGAATAATTCTCGAGGGAGCCATCATGTTCAGGCGGCTATTCTCGAGGGCGATGCGACGGCGCTCGTGGTAGTCGACTTGTGGCCTGGCCAAGAAGGCAGCGAGCTCCTCCTGTGTCTTGGGAGGGCGACCCATGTTGCTACTTCTCCGGGCTGCAAGGGCTGCAAGGGCTGCAAGACGTAGACGAGGGGCTGGACAGCAATCGGGATCAATATAGGTCAATTTGAGCCTGTCTTGTGGGTGTTGTTGTTGAGAGTAATTGATGCCGTCGATGTGAAGAAATCACCAGACGGAGAGGCACCCAGTTTCCTCCCACTTTGGGGGCGGTACCTTGGTACTTACCTACCTACCAAGGTACATTTGTGGAGGGGAGCCCCCACTAAAACTTCAAGGTGGCCCAAGCTCCCGCTGTCATCTCTCAATGCGGAATTGAACCGCGCTAGGCTGAACCGAGGAGTGCCATTCACTGTCACCTGTCAAGACTTCATTCAACGTCACTTTGTGAATTTCTGCCTCCCTTGGGTCCCTCGTTTTTTGTATCTGCCTGCTCTCTTGTGTCTACATATCCTCTCGACACACCCTCCGCAGCAGAAAAGGGTTGCATCGTTGTCGTTGAAGCACTGATTTCACCAGTGCCAGCTAAATCACCGTCAAGATGGTAGGTACTCACCATCCAAGCCTCAACAAGACGCAATGTGACGCGATCCGATGCAGTCCGATGCTGTGACTCCCCACAGCTTTGCATTGACTAGGTGGTGAACTGTTGACTGACCTCACATTGAACAGCCACCCAAACAGAACGCACCCGATGACCCTCCCGACATGCCCATCTCCCTACGCCTCAAGTACGGCGTCCACACCATCTTTCTCCTCGTCGACCCTCTCGCCCCATTCTCCGAGCTCACCACAGAGCTCTTCTCCGTCCTACAGGACCGCCACCCAGACGGCCTGCGACCCAGCCTCGACGAGGTGCCTACGCCCCTCCCAGCAGAGGGAGCAGACTACGACATCGCATACGGCGTCCTCAAGAACCCCCACGACGACAGCAAGGGATGGAAGGACCTCCGAATCAAGGGCAACGAGACCCCCGTCAGCAAGGGGTTGAGGAACAATGACATGGTTGCGTTCGTCGTTCGCGATGCCGACGAGGCCGACGACGTCCCTGTGTTTGTGGTGCACCTGCCCAAGTTCGAGGAAGAGGATGGAGACGAGGACGGCAACGAGGCTGCAGATGGAATGGACGAGGACGAAGATGAGGATCTATAGGGAGGACCTCTGAAGCCGCCCAAGTTGGGTTCCATCGACGCGAATGCGCGGTCTGCGTTTATCTAATCGGCGGGAGGGTATCCATCACACACCAGAGTCTGGAATTGAGACGCATCAGCCCCAGAGAACAGCAGGGATGCCTACGGAAGCGAAATACTCAGATGCTTCCGAGCATAGACCACGGCTGTATGGAGGAAGATGTCGAGTACGGATCTACTGGCCTGCACGACGCGTGAAGTACGAAGGATGAGATCATGAGCATGTATGTGGAATCCCATGGATATGGATCGAGTTCCAAGTTTCACAGCACTGACCATTACACAGGCTAGATCAGCCATCGTTGCCATGTCCAGGGTGAATGCCATTGGTTTAGCTAGAGTGCAAGGATAGAAGGTCAGAAAATGGCACCAAAGCCACATCACCAACTAATCAGGTCCTTGGCTGCCGGTGTGTCGTATTTCAAAAGCAAATGCATGACAGAATTTGCTACGGATCGCTCGCGATTTCGACACAGTGAAAGGGTTCTTCGTTGCTCAAAGTGAGCAATCGCTGCCGGGAACCACAATGACAAGGCACTTAGTGCTGTCAGTTGAAGCCTTGTGAAGACGGTTCGGTCATTGTTCATCCTCAGATGGCTTCATGCTGTTTGGTGGGAGCTGCCTGCGGACGATGGCCTTTCATGTTGGCAAAAGTAGTGCTGGATGTCCCAGACGGTCGCTGGAACTGTCAAAGTCTAAGTTGACGGAGTCTTAGTGCTTGCATCCTCTGTAGTGAATCGAGAGCAAATGCTTCTCTGGCGGACCTAGCCTGCTTGTGGGCGACTCTCTATCATTTAACTGTTGGAGGACATGTGCGAGGTCACCAAGCGGGCGCCAGGGCGAGAAATGATGTGATACTTCGAAGCTGTACCGTCTGCTCCGCTCACACGACACTCCTCTAAACTTTAGCAGAGGCGTCTCAGTTGCTAGTGTAATTTCTAGAATAATGCCATGACCCAGACTTATAGAAGACCTATCAGAATCGACGCGCTTCAAACTCCGCCATCAAGCCCAATTCTGGCACTTCATTCGACTCCGTGGCTGGACGAGAGGCCAACAAGCGTGTTCTTATATTTATCGAATGGAAGACAATTTACACCACGGCTTCACATGATTATACCTTTGCGGCGATTTGTTCGCTCTTGGTACCCGGAAAGTCTGTCCTGATTATCAGACCGCAAGGGAGCTTGAGCTCGCTGAAATCTTTGAAGGAATACAGAAATCAGACCAACCAGCATTGACACACTTAAAAACAGTATGACAACTCAGCGACTTACTGCACGAGTATACGAGTCTTTTTGGAGTGACTAATTCTGCTTTCGCTGCCAGTAACGGATTCACGGTCCTCACAAACGAAGTTGGGCGTGACTGGCAACACATGTCTCTGATATCTCTCTGTCGTTGGAGGAACAGCATGCCTATACATGATAGCCGAGCCATGCAAGGGCCTCTTACTCGGGCACCCTGCGAAGGATTCTGCCTTGCCCGGCTATGCGGCAGCTAGATGGATCTCCCCACTTTCAAAGACCTGAGAGAGAATTCTGCCTCGCGACCTGTCCTCCTACCGTAGCCCATGCACCCTCGATTGTGAAGGTTGAGATTTGGCATGAGGCTCATGACGAGCAATGCCGCCGTGTTTGTCTCTTGGGTTGAGACTTTGCGGAAGAGCTATTTGGTCTACTGGTACTGTAATTGCTCTGAAGTTGAGACACTCAGCCTTCAAAACTTTAACAAGAACTCGACGTGCGATTGGCATTCACAGGAATTTATGATGCCGCGGGTACCCACACAAAGACTCTGCCTAACCCACCATCGTCACATAAGCTTGTCTTTCGCGTGTAGACAAATGGAACTGAAAGTTTATCTCTGCGTATGGCGGCAAAGGAACTGGCTTTCTTGAACACCCGGGCCGAGAGATCCGGCGCAGCTTCAGGCACGACGAATTGGGCGTCTAAGGCCTACTTGCCAATGGCAGAGAATCCCACAATGCCTTTCGCAGTTAGTGGAGTCACCTTAGTCCGTTTTCCCAAGCTCTCGGTAGTATAATTTTAGAAGTGTATCCAACAATGAAGATTGAGTTCGGTCGGGTTGAACACAGGCGACAGAGCACTCAATGTCCATGACTTGTTTTTCAGTGGCTACGCATGGCCTCGAAAAGTATGAGATCCATAAGCTCGCTCTTGGAATTCGCATTTTGAAGTTCGCTTGCCGCGGGATATAGTCAACGTGGTGAAAATGCGAAGGGGCTCTCTAAGGAAACTTCATTGGCTTGCAACCTCTCGCAGGACGAACTCGACGGCTTGGCGCTGCCCACACCGTCTCGACAGAGTGATGCCGCTGAAGCGCACAGATCCACTTGAGGCGGACCGCTAGAACATCTCGGTCCTGGTGAGGCGAGTAGATCGAAACGGTGGTTGATGATACTTGTGTCCGGTCGACGGGATGATTGATCATCGACTTACACTTTATCTTTGGGCATCACTCGACTTTTGTATACTCCACGACAGCTAATGAGGTCCGTTCAACCGCCTCGCGCCGCCTTTGAGAAGTCATGCCTCCCTGTCATGCAGGCCAGCAAATCCGTCTTGGCAGGCTCAGAATAGTCTGTCAAAGGATTTGTGGTAGGCCAGGTCACGGCCCTCAAGTAGAATAGTTATTTTGGTCGCGAGTCAGACTCCTGGACACCGGCACTCATTGCCGTGGGCGAGTGTTGTGCCGCTTCAACGTTCACCCATGTGGTGATCCTTGAGCGGCGATTGCCGAGACTATCAGACAAGTCTCCTTTATGCTATATCAACATTTATCTTCTCGATATCTTTCCAGGGACGGGGCATTGGCTTTCCGATGTGTCTGCTGCACAAGTCGATATGCAAGACAGAAATGCTTGTTGCTCCCAGGCTGGCCCAGGCTCAAGGAAATGCTTGTTGCTCCCAGGCTGGCCCAGGCTCAAGGCTGGCAGCAAAGGCGCAGCGAAATTTCTCGATACACGTAACACCTGTGGCGCCACACGCAAGCATCGGTCAACCCCCTGCCAATGACACCCAAGCCCCCGGGATACGGTGGGACAGAGTGGAGACGAGCGTCGCGTCGTGCGCGTGGCGCTGCCATTCTCGGAGATCTCGGAGGCTAATCATAGCAGGGATGGGGAAACTTAATGTGTAAAATGCGGGATCCCGGGAGCGAACTTCTCCCCACATGCCGGCACTCTATTCTTCAGCCTCTTTCCGCACCTGGGTCCGTCGCACCCAGAGTGGTCTCCGGCAGGGGCGCAGTCTCAAAACAGACCATATAGCTGTGGCTCTGCCATTTGCGTTGTGGAGGCCGTCCCTGGGCTGGGGCGAGCTGGTGAGCTGTTGCTGGCGTTGAGTGACGCGAGTTGACTAGGTGCAACCCATGACACAAAGCCCGGGGAAAATCTCTTAAAAGCGTCTTACCGGCCTATGGTGACATGACAGTTAAATCACTGCACTTCACTGTTTGCTCATTCTCCTTGTGATACCCACTTCAGTTTCTTGTTTATTTAACTGTCGCTCGTTTGTTTCACCAAAGGTGCCACAAAGTGTTATAACATTCGCGCGATCGAGTTCACCAACATCTCCAAACCCAATCCTCCCGTCGTCCTTTTTCCAGGAGACGCAACCATCAAATCATCCACATACACAATGAATTCATTCAGCATACGAGAAAACCTTCCTCGCGTGGCACTCGCCATGCTGCTGGCGAGTCCCGCCACAGCAGCCCCACGACTGATGGGCAGAGGATGTCTGGAAAGTATTGTGGCAGACCTATCATGCGCTTCCGACCCAATAATGTCACGATGCCTGGGCATCCAGACAGTAGACCCAGAACTCCTCGCGACTTGCCTGGAGGCGGCAGGGTGCACCACAGACGAGGCGGAAAATGCACTGTGGATCACGGAAAAGTGCCAGACCGGATCCACCGCGGGAGACGACAGCCCAGCGGACCCGGAGGGAGAGCTGCGGCGGCGATCATTCCACGGCCGTAACAGGCGCGATATTTTCGAGCGTGCCGACAGCACCACGACGAGCACCGATGAGAGCTCAACGACCTCGGCAACGGCCACATCTACATCTACATCTTCCTCAACTTCCGCAACATCTACCAGCTCTTCTACTACTTCGTCCAGCAGCAGCACATCAACAGCAACATCCACTAGCAGCTCGTCAACAACGACGACCTCCTCAACAACCACATCATCCGCCTCCGCCACCTCCACGTCGTCGTCCTCCGCCTCGTTCGACGTAGGCTTATCAAGTGCCATTGTCGGTGTGACAATGGGTATTGCAACGACAGTCGCCTTCCTTGGCGTTTTCATCTGCTGCTGGCGAGAGGGCGCAAGCAAGAGGAAGGCAAAGAGGCAAGCCGACCAGAAGGAGGCGTTGTTGGGCAACGTGAGCTAGGCAATGGAGGCGTAATAAATGGGCATGCATATTGGGGCGTATGGTAGCATTAGCATTTTTGGGGCGTTACTTAATGCACATTGAAAGTGAAAAAATATAGTTATTCGCTTTGCATCAGCTTGTGGCCAATCAAAGTGACGTTCTCATATCGTGCCCGGAAGGAGAAGCAGGCAAGGCTGTCCTGAAGGATTTGACATATAGTGGTATATTGGTTGTCGAAGAATGGGCGTATCCGGTTGCCCTTTTCTTTTCTTCCCCCTTCTTTCTTTTCATACATGAGTAGTCATGTAGCATCGAGTGTGACACTCATCAGATGAACGAGTGCAATGGACCATCTTGGGAAACTTATGGTGGCTTCTGAGCAGTACACTGTTCGAGGACAGCTTGACCATGGAGATTGATGTGACTGGGCCCCGGTTCCTTTCTACAAGTGCGATACATGTAGGTTTGAAGAATTGTTTTTCGTCTGGACGAACCACACATATCTTCGACTGCAAATCGAGAAGACACTTTGTCGCATCCTGAAGACAAATCACGGGGCTTGCACGTTGGCTGATTTTCAAAAGCAAGGAGCGTTCATTAATTGTCGAGGTCACGACTATAGTCCTTGAGGAACTCCATCACTCACCATCTACGCTCCGTGAATTAAGAACGAACAAAGAGCTATCTGAGTCTCCCAACTACCTTCCCCCCTAGAACATCGGTGGCTAACTTGTGGTGTGATCATCCCGGACGAGATCAGCTCACGGGCATCGTCCTCCATTCTTGCACCTCTTGTGGCAGTCAAGCATGCAGACCCCAAACCAGACGCCCCACGGCGGCATTGTGGCCCAGCCCGCACACTTATTTCCGCAGTCCTTTTCCGCTCTGGCCACCAGCGCGCCGCCACCCGCCGTCTGGGTCTCGGTAGCCTCGCTGCCACTGTAGGCGGCAAAGCCGCCGCCAAGATTGCCGAGTGCTTCTCAGATGCCGATAACCTTGATCAAGGGACCGAGTTCACAGTCACTGCTATTGTCCACTATATCGTCGCAGTCCCTTCTGCGGCGGTTCTTGCAGTCGGCGTATTCGTCGAAGTTGCACTTTTCAAGCTCCGCTTGTGGGTCGACCACTTCAGCCATATGGATCGGCGCGAGTCCGTTTGGCAAGATGGCTTCGAGGCTCGCTGCGCTTCGCTGGGAAAGGGTGGCGTTGTGAGCGATAGGGGTCGCTGCGGCGAGCGCAACACCCAGAAGAATTGTCTTGAGACTGAGAGACATCGTAGCTTGGTGATTTATATGTTCAATTGCAGGGAAGAGTATAGTGTTCCGGGGGTTGAATGGAGCGAATGAAGAATTGCGGAGAACAAGATGAGTTCTCTGCGAGAGAGACTGCATCTGAATTAACAGACAGGAGAATTCCATTTTACGGCCTCTGACTAGTTTAGCAAATCATCTCGGACTCAATCTCTAGACTGAATCGAAGCCTCGATAACAGGTTGCCTCGCATCACGTAGGACACTAGCATGGGACTACTCTCCTCGACGAAGTACTGCTGTGTCCGTACACCACATCTGTTTTCCATTCATCAACTAAGTGGACCCTTGGTTCGCAAGTCGTAATGATGCTTGGGCCTTACTCTGGGCTCAAGCCTCGAGACGGAGGCATATTCTGAATATACGTAAGTGAATAGTGTTGTTTGGTTCAAGACAAGATGGAATTCAACGATGCCTGTCGTTTTATGGCTTAGACAAAAAGTAGGACGGTCGTTTCAGTAACAAGTAAGTGTATGGGCAGTCTTGGTACATGAAATGTCACGAGATGTAGACCACAGCTTAGTTGACCGGTCCAGTCAGTGTCCTGCTTAGTTTCGAAGCATACTTGTAAAATTCAGGAGCGCTATCAATTCACTTGTGTGTCCCTAAACACCTTGAAATTCGTGTCAAGCCATTTGCAGGAGGCGTACATGTGTAAAGACACACCGATAAAAGCACTGGCCTAATGGTACAAGCCAAAGTACACTAGCAGAGTACCTACTCACGTAGGGCGCGTTTGATCTTGGACGAGGGATCCTCTGGGCGCATCGCGACGTGACGGCGACGACGGCATGAACTGGCTGCACGCTAGGATGAAGCTACACGGAAAGATAGCATTAGCACTGCGAGATACACGTGAAGTCTACTAAGACTGCTGCACATTCTCGTATAATGCGTTCCCCATGTTCAAAGAGGCAACCCCCGCATTCTCTCGTTGCAACGGTGGCTCGACTATCTGTGCCTTACCCGTACTGTTACCCTGTGCCTGTGGGGAGCAAAATCGGTCCGGCTTCTATATAGCCAATCAGGCAGTTTTCTATACGAGCGCCCGTATAGGTTGACCTCAAACGACATGGGTATGGCAAAATAATCAACACTGCACATCATGTTTCCCGGTTTCCCAGCGTTATATTGTCACATTAGACAGGCACATGTCTCCTTTTATTCGCCAATTTTTCTTGGCGACTGTTAATGATCGCCAGTTCCCCGCACTCTAGGACTGTCAATGTCCGCTGCAAATTTCACCGGTTTCTTTGCATCGTTTTAGCGTCAATTTCTGTGCATCGTCGCGCTTGTACGCGAGAGAGTTGGAGGTGGATGGGCTGATGAATGGATAGTTGCATGTGGTAGAGCTCGTGATCCAAGATGCGTGAGACTCTCCTGGCGGGAGCCAGGCCCGGGCCAGATCTTTGGCTTTACTGATATAAAGCTCAGCAGCCAAATCGCAAGCGAGTAGGGTCTTTTGAGCTCTATCAGCCGCCTCTAGTATCTGTGTGTTGTACGGGAACAGGAATCATGCTGAACGCAACGAAAGCCTCATTTTTGCTCTTCCTCGGGGCCCATGCTGCCACAGCCTCCACAGCCGGCTACAGACTTTCAAACAATGGTAGGTGCCTAGCCTCTTTAGCACGCTTGGAAGACTACAGATGCTCACCGAGTAACCAGGAACCCGGGATTGGGATGCCGCCGCCCAGCTGGCCCAGAACCTCATCTTGCAGCTGACTCTGGACGAGAAGGTTGAGATGATCACGGGCAACGGCTCTGCCGGTAATTGTATCGGCAACATCGCGGCTATTCCTCGTCTCAACTTCACAGGCTTATGCATGCTCGATGGGCCTACTGCCGTGAATCGTGCTGACTTGGTCAGCGTGTTCCCGTCAGGGATTACTGCTGCTGCCACGTGGGATCGGGAGTTGATATATCTTCGCGGGTATGCACTGGGAGAGGAGTTCAAAGGCAAAGGTGGTCACGTCATTTTAGGGCAAGTTCAGTCTCATGTCTCAGTCCTTTGCGAGCAATCACAGAACTAATGGTAAGCAGGCCATCAACTGGGCCGATGGGACGCCATGCTCTTGGTGGTCGAAACTGGGAAGGATTCGGCCCTGATCCATACCTTGCTGGCATTTCGATCGCAGAGAGCATCTATGGTCTGCAGGACGCCGGCGTGCAGAGCTGCGCCAAGCACTACATTGCCAACGAGCAAGAGACGCAGCGTTCGTCTACTACAGACGCCGATGGAACTCGTATAGAAGGAATCTCCTCCAATGTCGACGACAGGACCGTCCACGAGCTCTACCTCTGGCCATTTGCCAACGCGATCCAGGCAGGTACCGCATCTATAATGTGCTCGTACAACCGCGTCAACCAGGAATACTCGTGCGAGAACAGTTATCTTCTTCAGACCCTGCTTCGCGAAGAGCTCGGTTTTAAAGGATATGTTGTCTCGGACTGGTTTGCCACCCACTCGACTGCCAAGTCCATCAACGCCGGCCTGGACCTCGAAATGCCTGGTTATATCCCGACAGGATACCCCGGAGCCGAGTCCTGGTTTGGCGACAATGTGTTGAATGCTATCCGCAACGGCTCTGTTATCGAGTCCAGGGTTGACGAGATGATCGGGAACATTCTCACCCCATACTACTTCCTTGGGCAGGATGCCAAAGACTACCCGGCTCCGGAGGACGCTTTAAGGTATGTGCTGCTCGTTCAGGAGTCGAGTATTGAGTTTGGTCGGCAAGCTGGTCTTATCCCAGACGACTTCGTCTTTCCTCGCGGCCGCGACGTCCGCGGAGACCACGCCAAGATCATTCGCGAGATGGGCACCGCTGGCACAGTCCTCTTGAAGAACGTAAACGACACGCTGCCCCTCAAAGCCCCTAAGGTGATCGGCGTCTTCGGCAACGATGCTGGCGACTTTACTAATGGGTTCTTCCGGCCATCTGAGGTACCGGAGAGCGACAACACTGGCACCATGATCATCGGAGGCGGCTCAGGAACCGGTCGACCCTCGTATGTAGTCTCCCCACTCGACGCTATCAAGGCCAAAGCCAAAGAGACAGACGCTCAGGTTTTCTACGTCACCAACAACGACGTCCTAGCCAGTAACGACTTCAGAGGCGTCTACCCGCCGCCGGAAGTCTGCCTCGTTTTCCAGCAGACTTTCGCCAGCGAGAGCTTTGACCGCACATCGTTCGAGCTCGACGGCAACTCGACGGCTGTCATCAAGAATGTCGCTGACTTCTGCGGCAACACCATCGTCGTGACCCACTCCGGCGGTGTCAACACCATGCCTTGGGCCAACAACACCAAGATCGGCGCCATCCTCGCGGCCCACTACCCAGGGCAGGAAAGTGGTAACTCTATCGTCGACCTGCTGTGGGGTGACGTAAGCCCTTCAGGCCGCCTGCCCTACACCGTGCCGCGCGCCGCCGAAGACGCTGGGCCGGCCGTCGTCAACCTCACACAGCCGGTCGAAGACCCACTGGCGTGGCAGTCGAACTTTACTGAGGGGCAGCTGATCGACTACCGCCATTACGACGCTCAGGGCATCGAGCCTCTGTACGAGTTCGGCTTCGGCCTCACGTACACCACCTTTGCTATCGATGGAAGCAAGACCTCCGTCGATCTCGTCGCGGATTCGGTTGCTGAAAAACTCGACGTTACTGTCCCTGTCCAGCCCGGGGGCCACCCTCAGCTCTGGGAGGACGTCGTTGTTGTCAAGACTAGCGTCACCAACGCGGGGAACCGCACCGCACACGCGGTGCCCCAGCTTTACCTCTCGTTCCCTGGAAGCGCGCCAGAGGGTACGCCGGTCAAGGTTCTAAGAGGGTTCGAGAAGGTGCTCATCGAGGCGGGGGCGTCTGCCGATGTCGAGTTTCACCTTCAGCGGAGGGACGTCAGCTATTGGGACACTGCTGACAAGGCCTGGGTCATCCCGTCCGGGGACTTTGTCTTTCTGGTCGGCTTTAGCTCTAGGGACTTGCCGGTCGAGAAGAGTTTTGCCGTGCTTGCTGCTCAAGGGGACTCAGATGAGCTGGACAACCGGTTTGTGATCAATTAGTTCCACGGTGTTTGCGTCTTGTTCACAACTGTTCCGTGGCTCGGCAAACGCCTGGGTCGCATCGCAAACTAAAGTGAGCTAGATAAGTATCCAGTAGCAGTTGTATACAAGGAATAGCAAAATCTCTGACTGGATCAGATTCCTTCAAGTCATGTGCATTATCAGAAGTTGCCATTATGTTCCTTTGGCCTGTTCAATGTCGAAGTGGTCTAAATACTCTGGAGTGAAAATTACTTACTTTCTCCTAACTGACTACTTAGGCAACTACTAGCTGGGAGACATAGTGATAGTATCTATGCTTGCAACACCGATTGTCATGCAAACGACATTGATTGCTCAGTAATAAGTGAAGTGGTCCTGCAAAGCCACAACGTCGACCACTCGCAAACGAGGACACTGTGGTAAGATGTCTCTCATAATTCAATTATATAATCCTTTGCCCGGCCACAAGTGAATGTGGTCCTGACAATGACTTGAAAGCAACCGCTCCACTAATCAGACACCTACTCATCCTTCAGTGATAGCTGTCCCCCCCCCCCTACACACTTCCCCCCTCCCCCGAACGGACAGGGCTAAGCTTCCGTGAAGCTATCCCCAACCCCTTCATTGGCAGGCACTATTTCAAAACACCTCGCCGGGCAGCTTTGCCTGCCGAGTGGCTGCAAGGGAATATTCACTTCGACTGTGGTCTTAGGTAATCAGGATTTGACGGCCGAATATATAAACAGCCGGACCACAGACTCGAAACTTTTGAACGTTTCCTTCGTCCTTTTCTTCTTCCTCAACCGATTGACTGATCAGATCAGAAGGGGTCGTTGACCTTCATCTTCTTCATCAATCAAGCAAACTGTCCTTGCGATACCCTCATCAACAGTACACCATCCACTGAGTCCCCGACTACCAATACCACCATCACTCTACCTGTCTTGGACAACTAAGAAGAATCACTATCCTCACAGCAAATCAGTAAGCTTGCTCGTGCCAGCAGAACTCAAAACCTTCTCACTAACTTCGCGTTGATTAGAAACGCCTGCTTCGAAGCTCTGCTTGGCCACCTCTGCTCTCATCAAGTCGACGTCTCACCCACAATGCAATCTCTCATCATGAGCTCCATCACACCCACCGAGTTCCTCTACTTCCCTAAGCTCCCTGTCGAGCTGAGGAGAATGGTCTGGGATCAAGCACTTCCCGCCACCCTCGACTTCCAGCGATTCAACGCTGAGATCGCCCACCACCCCAATTGCGTCAAGAGCAACAAATCTGAGAGCCTCGTCCTCTGCCTGACCCCTCACGACGATTTTGTCCATATAACTTCAGGCTATCGGGGTCTACTCGGTGCCTGCAAGGAGTCAAACACAATTGCCAGTGTGGAGGTCCCCTTCCACCTGCCCATCAATTACCTTGCGCCTGATGCCAACGGCTCGTTGATCGTCCGTTTTGCCAGCGTACCGTTCAACCCTGACGGGCAACTTTGCATCAGTGGTCTGGGCCCAGCGCTCCACGCTGCATCCGAGGGGGATGGAGCGCGAGGAATGGATCTGCGATGGTCATACTGGCCTGACAACCTCGCCGAAGACATCAAATGCGCCTCATTCCCAAAAATAAAGAACTTGACCATCGCCCTTGACTCGGCCAAAGATTCTGAGAGCGAATGGCGGTTCCTGCGGGGCTGGGACGACCGAGCCTTTCACAAGATGGCGTTGAGGATGATCAATCTGGAGACAGTGGCTCTGGTCGACGAGGAGGCACTGGATCTGCGGCAAAAGATCGACGCCGAGACCTTCAACTCGATGCACAAGCCGGCGCCAGTGGTCCGCCCGAGCGAAGACGACGACGGCTGGAATCACGATCTGGACGAGCCTTCTGCTGTCAGGATCCCGTGGGTAAAGCTCTACGCTGACCTCCAATTCGATTTCGCTACGTTCAAGTTCATCAACAGATACAAGACACTCAGCCATTACGAGGCTTGGACTTGCGACCAAAGCGGTCTATGGTTGCTTTGACGTAGTCACCTGGGAGGAGTTTAGAGGTCAAAGGATACAGGACGAAGTCGGCGGCGAGGGGCTTGATGCGATGACATGAGTGAATGGAAGACCTTAGGAGGATTCTCCTGCATACTGGAAGGAAGAGCAACGCCTCTTATTAAAAAAACTCTCGCAGCACCACAACAAGCTATCCCCTCCATCTCTACTCACACTGGTTCTTCACTATCAGATTAAAAGGAAGGCTCGGAGATGCAGTGCAGCAAGTAGAAGAATCAGAGAAATCTTAGGGGGGCAATGCAATGGATGGCTATTGAGGTACCCAGATGGATCAGCATATTCTTTAAGTCTAGACACCACAGTTCCTCTGCAATGCTGAACTACGCACCCTTTTGCTGCAGTATCTCATTCAGTTTCCGCTCTGCGATTTTTGTGACATGACACCATTGATAGCTTCTACTCCATGATCTACAACTGAGTACGTTAGGGAACCTTCATGCGAGCTTAGCCTTTGACCGCGCGTACCTATGTAAAATGATGCATTCCTCGCCGTCTCAAGATTTAGACCTCTTGTGACAGCTCGCTGATTCCTGTGAAATGTAATTCACTACGCCTGTGGCCCCACTTTAACAGTTCGCCCACCCACCTCCCTTATGTCTTTAGTCTCTGTATCTGTCTCGAAGGGGTTTGTTTCCTTGGTTCCTTTTTTCACGACCCTCTCTATCGATCGGATCGAGGCGTTAGCCATTGGGCCTCCAATTTGATCAGTAGGGCTCTCAACTCATCAAGCATCCCCATCCATCGGCCCACTGACGCTCTTACCCATCCACCTCAGCACAAGCTCCCTCACTGTCTGGCCTTCAGGACTTTCAGAGCGTTTTCAGAGCGTGATACGCAAACGCAACTCACCTCTCGGAAGGTATGTCAATGTTTTGGCCACATCAAGTTTTACAGATACCAACCAAACACAGTCAGTACCAACGTACTCGAATCTCAGTCACAACAAGCAAGCATTCTCAAGAATCAAGAGGTAGGCGATGCTTCGAATGATCAAAGCACCCCCAAGCTGACTTGGCGCAAAGGAATGGACTCCACCATGTTCTGCACCTTTCACTGTTTCGGACAGCTCCCAGTTGAGCTCCAGAAGATGGTGTGGGATGCAGCAGCCGCGGCTCTTCCTGTCCTCAGCATCCAGCGCTTCACGGCCGACTTCACATTGGCCCAGCAAAATGCCAACAGCAATAGCCCGCCACGCCATCTCCTCTGCTTTACACCCCACGCAGACTTCATCGAAACCACATCAGGCCATCGTCGCTTATCGCGAGCTTGCCGTCAGTCTCGAGCTGCAGTTCAAGGACACATCGATTGCCTGCTCTCCATCCACTACCTCTCTATGGATGCGAGCGGCTTGTTGGTTACCCGTCAAGCCTCGGTTCCGTTCAATCCTTCCGGTCACTTCTGCATCAGTGGTCTTGGTTCAGCCATCCAAGAAGTCATCAAGGAAGAAGGAGTGGAAGAGTCGTTCATGGACCAGATCCAAGGTCTTGAAGACGCCACATCCCCGATAAAGAACCTCACGATCGCTCTCGATCCTCCCAAGGATGGCTTCAATGAACACAAATTCATGCACGGATGGAATTTGAATGTTTTTGACGAGGTATTACTCAAAATGCCCAACCTCAAAGCAGTCTCTCTCGTCAGCGAGGGTATTCTAAATCGACGACATCACCTCGATCAGGAGGCCTTCGACAATATGCATCAAAGCGTCCCTTACATCTTTGAGGTCGAGGAGAATGTCTACGACCTCACTGTTCCCTGGTCCACCCTTTGGCCAAGATGGGTGCGCCAGCGCAGTCTCTTCGCCATTGCAACTCGGTCACGGATCATCGAAATGGAACGGCCTGAGTCTCAGTACTTGACTAGTCTGGGCCTAGTCGACGATGCTGCAAAGGATGCTTGGAAGGAGAAGCTGGAGCTCGACTTGAGAGCGATCAAGGAGTAGAGGGTTCAGGTCGGGGGGGGGGGTGCTCCGAAGGCGCGAGAACCACGTGGACGAGAATTTGGGAGAGAATCACTGGTTATCATTGACTCAGGCATAATACAATCCGTGAGAAGAATTGTCCATCTCTAGATACGCATGAATAATTCACCATGCCACAGACCCCGCGAGCATCCTGAAAACAAAACATTGTGTGCTTTCGTGATGTTGGACAATACTCCATGCGAAACTAGATATGTCCACAGTAAACGCATCAATTGACGTCGTCAAGCGCTGCCCCGTTTGAATAGATTGCACACCTCTCTCACAGAATTAGCTGTCGTTTGTGTTTCGAATGGGCTGTTTGTTCTGGTCCGACCATCTGCACGTGTGTGCCTAGGTAGCATCAATTTCAACAAGCGATGTCGAAGTCCCGCTGTTTTCCCACGCAGCTGGCGTTCGCTTACTTTATCTCTCATTGGTGCCGACACCTGGACAACATGTGATTAGGGAAAGGAAGAAAATGTTGTCGTATGCGTACCGTAATCGAGAATAAGCACGCTGAGAAATTCCGCAGTGACCCACTAGCACACGAGATATATCAAAGACCATCCTCCGCGGATGTACAAACCGTACTGGATTCAAAGAACGAAAACCTCAAGTAGCATTGACAATGGGTCGTAGTGGGTCTCCCGCTCGCGTACGAGCATCACGTGATGACCCTTTTGCGGGAACATCATCTCCATATCCCGACCGAAGCCCGAGGCTTTCCTGGTCTTTTCATGCCCTACTTAAGTTCTACATCGACATCGATGGCATCTTGAGAGGAACGGCTTCGAATGTGGGCTTGGTCAACATGGGACTAGGAAGCGAGTATTGGTGATGTGTGAAGTGACTCGACTGGATCAGCCTTTGCGCACGGCGGGTACGGTCCTGCCTTCTGCGCTTGGAAATATGCACGATCCTATGGCGTTTTCGTCACAGCTTCCAGCTGGCCAGCGTCGAAGAGGGTCAGAGTACCTGTGGGAAGCTCACAAGACGACCATAAAGACCCTGTACATTGACGAGGGACGGAGCTTGAAAGACGTCCGGGAAATTATGAAGTCTAAATACGGATTTGAGGGATCGTGAGTCTGAATGTCACAATCAATCCCTTTGTAAAGTTGTTGCTAACCTGTACTTGTCTGATAATTGACAGAGTCAAATCGTACAAAGTCCGACTGAATCGATGGCGATTCTCTAAGTACATAACCAACAGACTAGAGACGGAGGCCCTCCAACACTTGGTGAGGAGTGGCTTACAGCATCGGGTAGCGAGTGAGGTTCAGACATTACAGCTGAGCAATGGGACAAGGGTCAGCTTAAGCAGCCTCTTCACACACCTTGAGAGGAAGAAGTCTGCTACATCTATGTACCCAATGTCCACGCTCCGTCCACCTGACAATCTTCGGTTCTCGGAAGAAATGCTCAGCAGCGCCCGTGAGTACGTCCGCAGGCAATACATGGGCGAGCGCTCAGCCGATCGCAATCTTCTCCACATCATGCCCTCTCACTTGGGAGATTTCTTCAAGGCATTTGTGGCTGTTCGTCGCCTCCTCCAGGAGGCGAGGCTCGACGATGCGCTGCTAGTTCTACGCCGGGCTCCTGAACAAATTCGGCTTCTTCTGTCGGAGAAGACTATAGACAATCCATCTGGCTGTATATATATCGCAGTCTTGTGCATAAAATGGAATGAGTCAACGGGAGGACGCATGAATTCGATTCTGAAGGCTCTGATGAAGTACGCGGTATCGGTCGTGCGGGAGGATTCTGGGCCCGAGCCTTTGTTGCGGATCCTCACAGCGTTGACCCAGCTGGATGACGCCCTCTTCCGCGAGGCTGTCATACGAACTTGGAGATGCCAGTTGCAGACTTGGACTTCCATGATCGCGCCAGACTTGGATGTGCAATTGCTGGGCGAGTGGATGGCTTTTGCCGAAACGGCGGGGTACGACCAGGTGCCGCGCGACCTGGACAAAGATCTTAGGGATATGATCCAAAGCTACGAGATCCGTTATGGCAGACGCAGTCAGCCTGTCATTACCCTACTGTTCATTCACGGCGAATACGAAAGAATCCGTTCCGAGAAGCTCAGTACTTCCACTGAAAAGGCCAGAGCAATCTTCCTGGACCTGCTGAGCCGCGATCCGCACCTCGACATGCTTGGTAAATATACAGCGCAGTATTTCCTGGCGAAGGATTACCGAAGGATCGGCGACCGAGCAAACGCAGAGAGGTACCTGCTTTCTGCGATTGAAAGCCTGTGTGAACTGGAACACAGGCCGTGTTACGGCATCTCTGCGGTGCTGGAGCTAATGCTTGATCTTGAGCAGTGGCTCACAGAGTGGGAGGAGTACGAGAAAGCGAAAGATATCCACCAGAGACGCTTAGCTATGCGTCTCGCTCATGAAAAAAGTGTCCGTGTATAGAGCTGAACCCTGGGACCACTATAATTATTCTGTATACTTGTGTAAGCGGCACAGTTAATTTTCGACTCAAATTATCTGGGTTGAAAGGGAATCATCGGCCTTCGAGGTTTTATGGACTTTTACATTATTTGGAGCTAGGATTGAAGTTGACTTAAAGACGACTGTTCGTCAACCTGCTGTTGATACCTGTTACAGGTCTCCCGGCGCATGTTCTGTGACACATTAACAGATGTTTAAGTAGCAGGTCTACATTTTCGACGAGATGCCTGGCAGTTTGAACTGACCGCAAGGATCATTATGAGGCCTACGGCTATATAATTTGGACAGAGCCACTGGGATCAGATGACTTACACGCTTGAGCAAACTAGAAATATATTCTTGTGAAGTCTAAAGGTTCGTCAAGCGGCGTCTCAGGACAAGTGATGTGTCATCTTCATCAAGGAAAGCTGGAAAGTCCGTTTTAAGGGTAAAATCCATGAATCCATGCACAATAACAACATCGTCCTTGTAGGCAACCACGAGACTATTTTTTGCCACTATCTTGACCATGAAGTCCCCTCTTGCTCGCCAAAATGGTGGTATAAAGAAATGTCTGGTGTATGACTTGGCTTCTGAGATGTTCTTGACGCCCAAGGAACAGACCCATCCACCGCGGTCCAAGAAAATGACTGTGGACCGCGATACTGCAAGTATTGACTTGACGCCGGCAGCCATGTTCCTGAGAGTACATGAGACCACGATTGATGAAGACTCACGCTTGTTCTGATCTAAATCCAGGATCAGGAAGGCTGTACCCGGGGCGTCTCGAAACGTCACAGCCTGAGAGATGATATTGCATCCAGGTTGCGACGACCAGACGTTGTCAAGATTTTGCCAATCAAGATTAGGCGGGAGGGCTATTGACAGACCATGATCTTCGGTAGCGTCGCGCAAATTCTCCCAGTGATAGGTACGAATTTGTTTGTTGTCGACGAGGAGAAGCAATTCTGGATCAGTGGGATGAGGCATCCACCACGAACTTCCAGTAGAAACTTTGCTGCGCAATATCTCTCTTCCGTTCCAAAGCTCCTCGCCGTCTTGCTTAGAGAGAAGGAAGGCTGTCCCGCTTGGCTTCATGAGTGACTGAGTGACCGAGGCTTGCGCTCTATGGTCCATTACACAGGCTTCTTGAGACCAATTTTGAAAGCCAGAAGATGGCCTCTCCAGACGTGTCATCACACACCTGCTTGATATATCGACACTTAGAAGCGTACTAGACCTGGCCTCAAAGTGCAAGTGACATATCTGTACCGAGTGTAGCTTGATTTCAAGAACCACAGTTCCGTTGCGATTGTCATGAATAGTCACCGAACCATCTTCTCTGCCACAGAAATGGTAATGGTCATCATGAGCCGGCGCAATAACAGTAATGGTCTTCGTATCGAGTAAGGAGTGAGCAGAGTGATCCCCGATTCCCTCTGGCAATGGCCCAGAAAACTCTTCTGGTTCGCTGGAATTGTCATCCATGGAGCTTTTCCGGACGAGTACAGAGGGCTCCCATACATTGCAAGAGCGCCCTCGGACATCATAGAGCCGGAGGCTATTTGATGCAAACATAATGCTGGAGGCAACTTCGTCCAAGGAATTGATGCGATACAGCAACTGAAGAGTGTCAAATGCAAAGAGCCATATGCCCCCTTCAGTGTCGCCAGCGGCGAGAGTTCTGCCATCTGGAGAACTTGCCATGGTTCTGGTATGGAGACTGTAAGTGTGCGTCTGCTTTGGGCTCCACTCATCCATCTCGAATATGGCAATGTCGCCGTCTTGGTATGCTACAGCCACCAGATCAGATTCAACAGCAGGATTAAGTTCCACGCCGAGAATTTGAGGAGGCCGAGGTGCGTCTCGAAATCCGTCTTTCTCGAGCTTACAAAACTTTTCGAGATTATTGTCGGAGTCCATGAAAAAGATTGTCAAGTGCGAAGTTCGCCAGGTCACAGCGACCAAGCCAAGAGAGAAAGAGACGCACGCCACCTCTGGGCAGAACTTCTGCATGCTGTGGCTCTTTTGGTCTGACTCGGAGTCTGAACCAGGACTTTCTCTAGGAATGATCATCGGCTCAAGCTGGGTGCCATCGACAGAAGCGAAAGCGAGCATGGCATGCTTCACGTCGTTTTTGATAGTAACCATGAGTTTGGTATCGTCAGCGTTGAAACAGACCGAGGAAGCCACTCCTGGTACTGTGGCTTTCCATATAAGGTCTTGCTTCGTGCTCCAAACTGAAATTGCTTTCGGGCTACAAGACACAAGAACATTGGAAACGTTCCCGAAGGCAAGCTGGCGAACTGGAGATCCATGTTTGAGAACTGCGACCTCCTCAAATGTCGAAGTGCTGAAGATACGGATCATGCCGTCTGTGTGGCCGGTAGCAATATGATTGTCGCTTACTGCTATGCTCTTGGAGTAAGAATGAAAGTTCATGCAAGATAGACGTTCATCCCAATCCTTGTGCGAAGGACACACAACTTTCTGTGAGCAATCTCTTGCGAACGTGCGATGAATCAGTGATGATGAGGGGCATAGTGGTGGGATGAATGCATACACGGACCCCGGAGAATCCAAGAGTGTCTGTCCGAAGATACTGACGAGGTGTGTCAAGTCGTCGACCCAAGATTTTACCTTTTGATAGCTTTTGCTGAATGGAGGGCTCCGTTCAAGCTGGCGGGCTAGATATGGTTTGATGTTTCCAATGGTCCTCAGGAAATTCTTAAGCTTTCCTTTTCTAGCGACGTGCTCGATCCAGATCAGCGTCTTCGTGTCGATGAATTCCCCTAGGGAGGCGAAAATTGATGCTGAAGTGGATTGCGAGTGTAGTAGATGATACGAAAAGTGGGAGCAGGAATAATTCAAGAGCAAAGAATGACCCGACCTGCCGTGTAGTGGTTTCGTTCTTCGGGATGTTCTTCTCAACCCGTCCCGCCCATTCATTAAAGAGAGACAGATGTTAGCTAGCTGTTCGTGAGCCTCGCGATAATTGACGTAGAAGTTTGATTCTGCAGAGATCAGATATTCTCTAACAGTTTGGTGCATGAGCTGCACTCGACGTTCATTGTCCACTGTGACAAGACTTCCACAAATTTCGGAGAAAATGTCTCCGGATGTGGCCGCTAAAAGTGTGTGACCGATGTCAAGATGCACGGCTTCCATCAGTTCCTCGGTGGAGAGAGGCTCTGGAGCGCATACGACCCATTTCATAATGCACTTTGCTTTTTCCGAATTAGAAGCGTTCGAAATGCTTTCCAAAATCCTGTCGTAAAACCCATTCATCTCAGAGGGGACTTGGCGGAGGGCAGTTCTGACATCCTCGGCGCTGTAAAGCTCATCTAGACGCCCGATAATCAAGGACGCCCAGAGAAAGTTTCCTTGGGACTTGGCGAGTATATCCGTCACTATTTGGTCGTTCTCGTCATTGTCGAGCATTCTGGAGAGCCTTGGCTGCGATCTGACATATGCCGCAATGTCACGGATTGAGTCCTCTTGGCCCGTACGGAACTCAACCCTGTTGACATTCTCTGCATTGAGAAGCTGCTCCACTGGAGCATCTGGAGAGTCTGGCCGACTGGTCATGAATATCCGAATTGGTATTCTGGTCTCAATCCTGGAAAGGACTTGAATCAAGGAAATTAAGGACTTCTTGGGACACTCATCAAGCCCATCGATTACCCAGTAAAATGGCTGAGTGAAAGGTACTTGAAATATCCGGCCCTGGAAGAGGTTGTTCCATATGACCGTGTGATCTTGGGTATTGACGGTCTCGCCATTGCTCACAATGGAGAGGAAAACCTGGCGTATTTCGAAACTGAACTCGGCCATTTGATAGGCGAGATTGAGGAGCAGAGAAGCGATGCCAAGTTTAGTGTCGTTCTTGAAGAAGAAGTAGCAGCAATCCATGTTGAAAGAAGTCAAGTAATTGACGACGTGGGATGTTGTCACAGATTTCCCGGATCCAGGATGTCCAGAAAGCCAGAGAATGCGGGGATGCGTGTCTGAAGACTCCTTGTCTAAATTGCTCCATGTTGAAGCATCAGCAACATCAAGCCATCGATGGAAGTCTTCATGTTGAGTTATCCACTCGCAAGTCCCCTTGTGAAGTTTTTCTGACACAGAAAGAAGGTCTCTCTTAGGCTGGTGGCTAATGTCGAGCGCATCGGCGATCATTTTCATTTGCTGAGCCTGCTGAATCGTGTCTAGTAACATCAGCTCACAGTATCATAGAATAGGTGTCTGATGGCGAACATACAATGCTTGTTGATCTGCTCGATTGTCGTCTTGAAACAGTCCCTTAGGGTAATGTAATTCGGATCGTTCACATCACGAAATTTACATACGTGCCGATGATCCGCAGACAAGTACTGTGTGTGCTCTCCGGGAAGATTCATCACAGCAGAAGACTTGTCGACGATTATGAAGCCTGTTGTGGGTGCCCCTTCAAAGAAAGACCACAAACGGACATCTCCACAAACGTGCCTGAAATCTTCATTGATGTCCTGATCTGATTTAGTATTGCGGCGAGTGGAAGTCACTAAGCCAAGCAGTTGACTCACTGCAACTGTCTGAGAATCCGGAAGTAACTCATTGGCATATGCCTTGGGTCCGGTAGGCAACGAAACCGCAAGAAATGTTTTCAAATACACAGCGGAATTGGAACCCCTGTGGGGTGTGGCTAAAAAATAGAGACTATGAATTCTAGATGCGATGTCATGATAGATAGGATCGTTCTTTGCAAGGAGGTAAGCCTGTTCTATCCATAAGCTGAATGCATGGCATTTTTATGGAGTTAGGAATTCGTTTTCCTACCTGTTTGACAACGAGGCCTCCCATGCTGTGGGCAACAAAGACTATCGGCACCTTTATGCAGTCAACGTTAGCGGATTGTACGCAATCTTTCCTCAACTTCTTTTTCATGTTTTTGTCTAGAATGTCCGTACGTCTTTCGTCTTCTTAAGAATAGAAGAATTATAAATACTAGCCAGCAATGCCTGTGAAAAGTCCCTGATCCTCAGCGTGCTGTGGGACGTCTTAGACCAGTCGGAATCGTAACCAAAGCTGTGGATGCGAGCATTCTTGAAGCCAATCTCGGCTGGGAGCCATTGTTCGGGCCAGAAGGTCGCCCGATCTTCAGGATGGAGGCTCCATGTTTTTCGTGAGCCCCCATGGAGCCCATGAACCTATACCGTCGTCGTATCAGTAGCCCATTTTTAGAGTGAGATTGAGTGAAAATTTGAATGATCTGACAAATACAAAGTCGACGCGAGTCTCAGATGGCTCATATAGTGTTCCCAATCCAAGACTTCCTTTACAGTCATCGGCGGACTCGACTGCGGAAGAACTCGATTTACGCCTCCTTCGGAATAAGCTTGGAGCAGAGTGTTGTCTCTGACGCACGCTTAAGGTCTCCCGTGGTGTCAGAAACCCTGAGGTGCTTGTTTCGGCTGATCCGGAGACCTTTATGTGGTTAGCAAAGACGTTGTAGCTGGCCAGGCGCCACCGTGGATGTGGATGAGACGATGGGCCGCTTCTACCTTCTTATATCCCGCGTCCACCATCATACCACCACAGATTCCGAGATGCCGTTATTCTTGCTAAGACCCACCTACATTTATATGGCATGAAGTGGTGTCTCTTGCAGCACAAAGCCTCTTGCACATGCATGTGCCGTGCTCGAAGCCCACCGTCTAGTCAATGGGCACGGCGACAGGTCGTCAATGACAACTGCCCCGCGCTTCAAAGCTGCCCACAAGAATTAGAATGTAACCTATCTAATTACGGAACCTTGCAACTTGGCCGACCGCACCCGGCCCAATAGAATTTGCGTTTCTGCGGTTATCGTACTCTGCGCCACATCCCTGCATGCCAGTGTAACTTTGTCCATGCAGCTAAGCGCTGCTTCTCATCGCGCACGCTCTCCGATGGAGCTTTTGATTACATGCACAATGCGTGTTGCTCACTCAGTTCTTGCTCATTCGTCATGTTTTCAACCTGTATCCCCCAACAATTTTAGAGCATTGGTTTTAATCATCACAGCATGCCACCAGTTGAAAACCAATTCACTTCAGAAAAACATCAAAACGTAGCTTGCCAGTCACTGATTCTCGACGACTCAACAGGATCAATCAATACACAGTCCACAATGGCTAAAGACCTTCGCATGGTTGAGAAAAGATTGGACGAAGCAGTCTTAGGTCGTGAGTCTCAGCACTTCACATCTTGGGGACCTCCTCCTTATTGGCCGAATGCACTTCACAATCATTCGCTCGCAATCTTTGAAACGATTGACTATTAATACTTCATGTTTAGATCTTCCTGACGGCGGGGAGGTGATTCAGGTCACAGAATTGGGGCTCAGTGACTACTGCCGTAATCATCGCATAGATTTGCAACTTCCGGATGGGACGATTGCGCGTTTCTTTACAAAGGTACGTCCAAGATGAATATTGGCCTACAATGACGTGTGTTGGCTTATAGAACCCATGAAACCAGACTGGAAGTGGCTCAAGCGGCTTGGAACAAATTCAATCACATTGGGAATCCGAATTTGCGATACATAAGTTCATACCCGAGTTCCTACCAAAACCAATCGCCTTCGACAGGTACCATTTTGAACCGGACACTCATTTCATGCTGATGGAATTTGTTGACATGATCGACGATGACATTCCGCCGCCAGACACATATATGGCACCACTGATCGGCCTTTATTTCCGAAGCCTTGGGCAATCTCCAACGGGGAAATTCGGGTTTCCCGTGAATACGACATTTGGCTTTTTGCCGCAGAGCAACGATTGGGAAGACTCTTGGGAGGTCTGGTGGACGAATCATATGAGAATGATCCTCGAACGAGACGAGAAAATCCGAGGCGAATTCACCCTTGAGGAGAAAGTAGTCGTGAAGGACTTCCTTGGCAAAGTCTTGCCCAGATACCTGAGACCGCTGGAAACCGATGGAAGGTCGATCAAGCCATGCCTCTGCCACACCAACATGTGGCCTGGGAACGTCAAGCATCGGCTGGATAACGAAGCCATCATCACATTCGATGCGAATGCGGTGTGGGGACATCACGAATGTAAGTTTTCAAGGCCACAATCAGCTCATAGGACCTCTGACATGCGCTGATTCCGTCGAAGTTGAATTGGGCGTGCACAGTAACCCGAGATACCCTCTTGGAAAGGCTTACATCAAAGAGTATTTCAAGCACGTGCCGGTTTCCCAGCCTGAAGAAGACGTTGAGTACCGCACCTTGATTTATTTGATTCGCAACCAAGTCTGCCTTGCGAATCTGTATCCGCATGAACAGAACTTGAGAGACTTGTATGTTGAAGGATCTCATAGCGAACTGTCATTTTTGGAATTGACTGCTGACTTTTTCGGAGATACATCGCAAATATGAGCCTGCTTGTGGGATCAGCTGGAATAGACTCTGTATCGGTAGATGAAACGGATAACAAGTAGCGACATATTCTCCCGGGTTTTGGGATGTGAGGTTTGGAGGAGTACGTAAAATCTTTCATCGGCTACCTTCTAAAATGCCGGGGAATATTGTCATCCGCAGTTCGTCTCTGATAACATGAATGAAATGATTGCGTTTGGAGATAACTTGACACGTATTGCACTAAGAACCAACACACATATGCAGCAGTTTCCTATAAATAGCTTTCGATTGTGACCCCCGCCCCAGACTGCGTCGACAGGGGCCAACATCCGTCCTTTTCAGCGGAAATGATCACATCTATGATCTGGACACTGTTGGCAGTATCTTGATTTTTCATGTTAAGTGATGCCACTGTAAAACGCTGTACCATAGGGCCTCAAGCAGCCGGCTGCATACTTCGCGACCGGCTTTCACCATTTTTGGCAAAATATTTATCGGTCTGCTCCAAAATGAACGACATCACTCCAAATATAGCCGCGAATGTCAAGACTTCTCATCAAGGGAGCGAAAAGGCGGCTGCCGACAATTGCACACAGGATATAGAAGAACAAGATGCAGTTGTTTTCCAGCGCCGATATACAGTATTTACCAAGGGCCAGAAACGATTCATCAGCCTTACTGCATCATTTGCAGCGATGTTCTCGACGCTTATGAGCTACATCTACTATCCAGCATTGGTGCCAATGTCTCGGTCCCTCGGGGTATCGGTATCGCTGATCAACCTGACGGTCACGTCGTATCTGATTGTCGCAGCGATTGCCCCGGCATTTATGGGTGACATGGCAGACCAGGCGGGGCGCCGGCCCATCTATATCCTGATGTTCACGCTCCTCATCGCCGCCAATATTGGCATCGCGCTTCAGAACTCGTACGCCGCGCTCTTTGTACTTCGGATGCTACAGAGCGCCGGTTCTTCAGGTCTGACCTCTGTTGCTTACGGTGTTATTGCGGACATCACGGTGGCTGGGGAGAGAGGTGGCTTTGTCGGTGGCATGCTTGTTGCGTAAGTATTTCTTTTTTTTTTTTTTTTTTTTTTTCAAAACTCATAGCACTCTTATCACTGACTGATCCGCCGTATAGAACGGACTTCGCAGTCAGCCTGGGGCCGGTCATCGGGGGCGTTATTGCACAAGAAGTTACTTGGAGATGGATCTTTTGGTTTCTTGTCATTTTGACGGGATCACACTTCCTAATCGTGGCTCTTTTCCTCCCGGAGACGCAGCGCAATATCGTCGGCGACGGAAGCGTCAAGGCCAGGGGTGTCTACTGGAGTTTCTTCAGCGTCCTGCAAAAACATGAGAAAGAGGGGCCGTCGACCCACATCGTGAAACCAATGCGCCATTATCCCAACCCGTTCGCGTGTTTGCCGATCCTGGCTAACAAACAGTCTCTCGTTGTCATTCTCCTATATTCGATTACCTATGCGGTCAAGATGACTTTGCAAGCTTCGCTTGGAGCACAGTGTGTCGAGATCTATCAACTTGATTATCTCAACGCCGGGCTTATCTACCTCCCTTCTGGGGTTTCTGGTGGTGTTGGAGCATTTTGTACTGGTGAGCTATGAATGTGTTTCCGGCATCATTCCAACCGATGCTGAATTTACGTGATCCAGGGAGATTTCTCAACTATCATTACCGCCAGACCGTCAAGAAGTTATCGAATGGGAATGAACGATCCTTCGATGGACACGAAACTGATTTTCCGATCGAGAAGACGCGTCTGAAAGGGGCGTACATGTTGATAGTCATCAGTGGCTTGGGCACTTTGGGATATGGACTGGCGTTAATGACCAGAGCGGCAAGTCACCTTTGCAAGCAATTTCACTGTTATCCTCATTTGCTAACAATGTTTTCAGCACATCTCTGTGATGATCATCATGCAGTTCCTTACTGGTGTCACAACTGCGAGTTTGTTCGCCGTAAGTTGTGAGATGAACGAATTAGACCCATCGATAATGTTGGCGAGTGACTAACACCCGAGCAGATGACAGGCACGCTCCTCACAGATCTGAACATGAAACGGTCGGCTACAGCCTCAGCAGCGATGAGCATTGTCAGATGCCTGGGAGCTGGTGCTGCCGTTGCGGCCGTACAACCACTGGCAAACTCGATTGGTCTAGGCTGGTGTTTTGCTATTTATGCGATATTATTGCTTCTCGAGCTTCCTCTGGCATGGCTCATACAGAAGAATGGCATGAAATGGAGAAGTGCCCAATCTAGTGACGGAAGTTCCTAAGCGTCGAGAAGCATAATCGGCGTGTAAAGGGCGTTAGACAAGAAGTAGAAGCTAGAGCCTTAAAGGAAGCTAGATGGCAGAGGTGTTCAATGTTGAATTGGCATGGCCCACGAGCTCACTCTGTCAAAGAATATTTGAGTTCTGAGTGCTTCTTCACATCCACTACAACCTTCCAACATCCTTGAACACCAGACGTAGCCAGTGTATTGGGGAGTCTATTGTTGAATAGATGCTCTGAAATGAAAAACACCGGCATCATTTTTCAGATACAATTGACTATACATTTGTTGCGTAACAATCGCCACCCGGCCGATAAAGATCTAGCAAATCATTTTCTTGCTCGGACGCATGGGCTGTAAAGCTCACATCTCCAATGAAGTAGACGATCTTTTTTGCTGGGGAGAGAGAGATGTAATACGATAATACCTGGAATACCACGCATCGAAAGCAATTATCATCAAATGTTTGATGCATACCTGACTCCAAATTTAGATGTGATTGGCGTCGCGACAGCGAAGACGGCACCGCGGCAGACATTTGACGAAGAGCATGAGCGGCACAATTCACGCTCATCTTTTCATGTATCCTCGTGGAGATGTACTCTTCCATTCCTATGAACATAGGTCAAATGCGAAAAAATCTTATTGTTTATGCCATTTACCATCTCAATATCATTTTCGATATTGTTCTATAGACTGATATCGTTCAGAACGCTACCCTGATACAGCAATTGATTACTCTGGTATAAAGAAGACGTCGTAGTTGAGCTCGAGCGCGTAAGTGGACGTTGATGGCACCACGGGACCACGGCAGCCCAGTCCAAACACTTATTGAACGAGATACCTGTCGTCCGCATTGATGCTGTAGGTAGCGAATTTCCGAGAGGGCACCTTGCGCTGGAACATGATATCCATCTCCTCGAATGTGCGGTCCTTTGTCTCCGGCAGACGGAAGAATCCCCAGATTGTGGTGAGCAAAGACAAGCTACCCCAGAAGAAGGCCTAGAGACAAGATGTCAGCTTCTAGAAATTATGTTAAAATTTACGTGACTGGGACTTACAGTCTTTCCCTGGGCGTTCCAGGCAGTGGGTGACATGAAATATGGCTGGAGGACACCGCCGATGATGTTGGCGACGTAGTATGCGCTGCGGCCGAGGACGACCGTCTGAGTCCGGAGACGAGTGGAACCAATCTCAGCGACGATGGTGTAGACGATGGGGCCGACCGACATGGAGTACGCGCCGAGCCACACGATACACAAGATGGATTGCACCAGGGCCAGGGCGTGTGTCTGAGGCGTAACGCAGGCCAGGATGCCAATGAGCCACAGACAGCACAGCAGGGCGTAGAAGCCGCACAGCCAGATGGTCCTCCGGCCCCATTTGGAAATGTAGAACCACGAGATGACGACGCCGCAGAAGGCGATGGCCGTTCCGACAAGGCCCAGGGTGTAGGAGAGATCGGCACTGAGGCCGGCTTGCTCGTAGACTAGAAAAGGGCCATGTGTGAGTTACTTTCATCATTGGCAGGGCTGTGGGGGGTACATACAGAAAGTGCCGGTGTAGCAGAGAGCACCGCCGTTCGTAATCTGGGAGACGAAACACATGACAGCAATCTCCGTCCGGCGCAGGTTGGTCCCTTTGAAGCAGTCCCAGTATGAGGTACCAGACCTCTCCTCTTTCTCCAAATTGTCAGTACGCACCATCAGAGCGATTGTGGAGTCGTGGTTGCTATGGTGCTCCGGTTGGGTCAGGCGAACCAGGGACTTCTTGGCCTTCTCAAGCTTTCCCGTCCGAACGAGGTACCAAGGCGACTCGGGGGCCAGGAATGCGAAGATGAACAGGGGAACGGGCCAGACCCATTGAATGGCCATGGGGATCTTGTAACCCCAGTCGGTGTGGTTGTTGATCAGGCCCTTGAGGATGCCAGCCGCGATAAACTGACCGATGCACCAGCAGAGGTTGATGTAAGCCGTGAGGTAACCGCGAAGCGCCAGGGGCACGACCTCGGCAGCGTAGGCTGGCCCTGTTGTCGCGAACACGCCCCAGGGAATGTTGCAGAGGAATTGGCCGATCAATAAGACCTCAATATTTGGCGCAAAGAAGGACATGAAGATGGCCGCGGACAACCAGGCCAGACTGGACATCAAGACTATGCGATGCCCGTACTTGGCGGTCAGGTACCCGTTGAGCAGGGCTCCGATGATGTTTCCCACGCCACTGATGTCGTTCAGACCGGCTTGCCACGCGGAACTGATCTGGTAGCCGTGCTCTTCGCCAGTGTAATCGCCGAACTTTCTTCGGAAGGCATTGTAGCCCCAGAAGTTGCCCAGCAATTGGGTGTCGTAGCCCTCCATGATGACCGTCGCGGAGATGACTGTCGAATCAGGGCTTAGAAGTTGCGATCCACCATTGTTTACCGTGGTAGAGCGGGTTGAACTCACGGACAGACCATATTGCGGCTTTCTTGTGTGTCTTGAGACCTTGCATGAGTGTCATGCTATGCTCGGTGGCTGTCGCCTGGGCGGCCTCCTCATTGAGAACCTTGACATTTTCGAGGTTTGGGACCGTGCCCTTCTCGTCAATGTGTTCGGGCCGAGTCTCTTTGCTCTCTGTGGGCTCCATGTTGGCTGGTCGAGAGGTCTCAAGCCTCCAGGAGATGATGTCCAGGTATTTTCCAACTCCAACAAAGAAGAGGAGTGGTGTCTGCACGTGGAGGGCTGGCAGATGTCACGGTGACAGCCGCGTCTCTTCGAGAAATGGGGCTCGCGTGGCTCTTATTAGCTGCAGCTCCCCTCACCCATAGGACCACAACAGCTCTATTCGTAGAGCTAATCAGGTGTTCACTACATATCCCGGACTGGACACCACAGGTGACTGGAGCGCCGGCCCGTCGAGACCGTTAGAGCAACGAAAGAGGATTTGCGCCATGTACACATCAGGATCCATCTGGTCGGGATCGAGAGCGTCTTGCAGGCCATTGCGGGATATTGCAGAAACCATGCGTGGGTGTTGATATCGACGATTGGTGGAACTTCTCGAGGAGGTTGCACTCGAATACAGGACCCCTGGACTTTGTGGGGATTTAGGTGAAGGACAAGGGAGCGTGGTTGGGGACGGGTGCCCACTGCGGGTTGGAGAATCCGGGGAAGCTCGCGGGATCATGCAGCTCTTCTCGTACGAGACCGCTGTCCATTTTGTCACTGGAGCGGGACATGACAGCTGGAGATCACGCCTTACTATTAGAGTTTACTTGATTCATTCACTCGACTCGAGAGTTGTGCCCAAGATTTCAATTTAACCAAATGGTCGAGCCACGTTGAAGTGTTTTAAAAACATTGTCAACTAGAGGCGTCGGCCAAGAGCGCAGCGAAAATAGGCAACCGGCGTGCACAGTAGTGTACATGAAATCTTGGAGAAAAGACCCCACTACCGGACCGCGCCTGGGAGAGGAACACAAAGCCTTTCTTCACATGGCTTAGTGTTCTAGTTTCGCTCACATCCCCTGTCCAGTTCAACCCTTTTCGGACTCAACATCTCACCCGACGGGTGTTTCCCCCTCACAAGACTCAGCCCATGCTGAGGACTCGGGGATATCTGCACCGACAGGGTAGAAGAGCCGGAGAAGTCACACAACGTCGTGATACCACATGAAGAAAGATGGTGTCTCACGTGCTGGCTGTCTACCGATCGCCTCTGCACGATCGGCTCGCTATTCCGAAGGCATACCCAGTCAGCGGGAGCCAAGTAGGGCAGGGAGGTCTGGACTCTTGACAGCCTTGAAGGTAATCACTGCCCTGATAGGTCGATATGCTGTAAGTTGAGAACAAGCCCAAGCTTGTGAAGTGCCAAGAGACTCTTGATCCCCCATATATATATATAGCTGGGCATTGGGCCTAGGCAGCGTCAGTAGTTCCAATGCTGCGTAGAAAATGCTTTTGTTTCCATGATAATAGGTATTGTAAAGAGCAATTAGCAGTCAATATAACTAGGTATCACTTGACGCGCGAAATCACCACGCTTTGACTGATTGGAATGTAGCTTATTTGAATGATTACCGCCGAGAGCTTGTGTGAAGAGCAATTGGGACAACACGTGTTCAGCTGAGGCGGGATATTTTAAGACATTATCATTATCTAATGGTTGTCTTCTCACTAGAACTATCTTCCAGCTTTTCCTGGTTGACCTGTCCCTTTTCTTGCTTCTTTTTATCCCGCCGCACCCGCCATTCAATGGACCCAAATACGGCGATTGAGGCCGACCCAAGACCGAATATGAGTCCCAATGCCACAATTCCGAACGCACCGCCGGCGATCTTCGGTATTGATGAGCTATCGATGGAAAGCTCGGGTTCTCTTTTGATTTGTAGGTGGAGTGTCTCAGCGACTTGTCTCGTCTCGATTTGCGATGCTTGGTTGTACTGGCCGGTGGGCAAGGCCAAGGCGAAAGTGAGCTGGAAGAGAATGACGTGTATGATGGCAGCGACATTGCGTATGGAGAGGTGAGATAGTAGCATGATTTAGTCGAGTGATTGTTGGGCAATGTGCCAGGACCCTCGATTCTTCCTCCAGCCTCGACCTCTTCGCAGACGTGACAGGATCCGGAGTCTTCGCTGGAATTTTCCGCGCAGCGACAGTTCCAATGCGTAAATTATGAAAGATTTGGTATAAACGGCTTGCTCCTGTCAAGGCCTAAGATGTCAAGATGCTCAACATCTGTGGTAGAAAAGAAAGACTCAAAGGAGCAGTAACCGAAAAGCGAGACTGAAAAAAGGTAGAGTCCGCCAGACAACAGCTCCGCTGTGTGAGGACCCTTACATTTTATTGCTCTGTTTACAAAAAGACAACTGGACCCAGCCCGCCTGCAGCGGCGTTACAATCCGACGTGAACCGCGCGTCATTCACAATACGCCCCATGGCGTCTGAAGTATGAGACCAGTCAGCGGCAGTGATGCTCGGGTCCGAAGTAGCGAGTGGACTTTGCGTGCCCGTGTCAAATCTATATTTGGGGGCCCGAGCAAGGGTCAGAGGCAGAATAGGCGCCGTACGAGCCCCTGCCGTGAGATTCGACGTTTTAGACGCCCGCTGCCATGACGCATGGAACAGCGCTGTGACACTTCGTCTACGGTTTCAGGTACCCGAACAAGTGGGGCCCAGGGTGCAAGCTCAGCCTCAAAAGTGCCCCATACGGTCGCCTGGCGTCATAGAAAAAGGAACTCTTCACCTGCCACTCAGCTCAGCTCAAGCCTTTTTCGTCCGACTTGATGGTTGTGCCGATCTCCCGGATGGTCGTCATGGTCAATTGGCTTGGGCTGGTCCCAGCTATCACACCCAAGGGGCTCTGCGATTGGAGAGCAAAGTTGGGGTTTGATCACCGCACTGGGGAGGAGATCGAGAGATTCAGGCGAAGTAAAATCCTCATGGCGAGTCGGCCTCGTGCGCAGAGCAAAGAAGGAGGCGTCTCGACGGCGTCACAAGACCACAGGACAATGCGGACATGACAAAGGCTTATTGTACCAATTGGGATCGTGTGGCGAGTTTGTGAGTATAATGACTTCGGATTCTCCGGTGCGCAAATGTATGTCGACTCGAGAGGTTGAGCACAGCCAACCTTTCGACGTGCGAGGCAAGCCGATTGTAACGAGCTGTGCTAGCGATGGGTTTCTGGTGCTACGGATTGTCCGACGAGCCGACTCCCGTAGATTGTGACCTCGTTCCTTCATCAGACACTATGAGACCCTGTTGGCAGTTTTTGACAGGTTCCCGGTCCAACACTTGCTTGTTGCCTGAGCGAGCTTCTCATTCGGCTCGCCAGGTGCGGATTTGCTTCGGCAATGAGAAACCGCTGTCATTTGCTTCAGGCAATTGAGCACGAATAGAAATAGCGCTGGCGAAGGTGGTCTCATTGGAGATATGTTTACGACCATAGTCTAAAGCCACGATTAGCCAGCTACCTAGGATCAGGCACTGACCAGGTGCTCCAAACGTGTTTGATTTACAGATGTGTCGAACTCCCACAATGTACGTGACGCGTCCACGATACATGAGGTAACATTTTACAGCTTCATATAGAGCTTCATATAGAAGCGAAAATATCTCAAGGCAATAGTGAGACGAAAGAGACACAGGCATCAATTATCTGATTGAAGTGCCCACCTGTCATCATCTGCCAGTGTGCTGCAATTATTGAAAACCTTCAGCAAAACACATGCGCAAGGATTCGAACTCGAGGAACCGATATTAAATATCACTCATGCCCTAGATGAACGCCCGTTATCGATGCGTACCGTGACCCAGACATCACTCCAGGTCGAGAAATGCTGTACCGTTTTCGATTCGTTCTCTACCTACCAGGGGGAAGGGGGGTTTCTGACATGGTTACGCAATGCACACAGTTTTTGCAATGATGGCAACATTAAATCAAAATTTGAAAATAATAACAAAATGCTTATAAAAGACTAAGAAATAATTGTTAAAAAGAAATCCATTTTAAAGGTTGATATAATCTCGATATCATATCAAAGTTGATTTCATGTCAACGCATGTCAGCGCATGTTAGCGCATGTTAATACATGTCCAAGTTAACCTTATAAAATTCAAATTTATTCTATTTTTAGATATTTCTGTAATTCCGTAGCTTATTCTATAGTATATAGTCAAGCTTTAAAACAAGAAAAAAAAGTTAGGTGGGGGACGAATTCTTGAAAGGGTTGCGGAAGGCTTTTTTTTAGGATTTTATGTTGTGGCTTGACATCATGTCAAAGCATGTCAAGAACAATTGCATGTCAGCCATGCACGAATAAAGACAGTCACACAGAAAATAATACTGTTAAAAACTTGATTTAATGTTGACATCATTTCAATATTCAATTGACATTATGTAGTTATGCTATCAAAAAACCCCCTTCCCCCTGGTAGGTATTAGAAATTATAGGTTGGGTTGACAGGTTTTGCACAATTACAACCCTCATAAATTACAGGTTTTATCAAATGACCGAAAGATTACATTGGCGATGTAAGAGGTATTCTGGTCTTGGAGCGAGTAGATTTGGCATGTTCGATTATGGTAGCAGGAATTATGCGGAGCGAAATCGTTGCTGGTCACTCCATGCACCCCGCCCACCAACCGCCACATCACATAGTCTAGCGCATCTTCAGGTAATAGTACTAGGCAACACTCTAGGTATAAACGACTTCGATAAAGGCAACTCGACCTTGTCGCATCGCTGAATTACTTACACGGTTCAACCCTGCTCATGATGGCTTCAAATACGGACACCAACGCTGTACTTCTAGAGATGTTCAAGCGGCATATCAAGAACGAACCACAAGAGCACGGAGAGGTCAACATCAACGGCTTCAAGCACAAAATCGTCAACTTCGAAGTTGATCTCCTCGTAAAGGACACCACATCTCCTCTCCTCCTCGCGAGGGTCATATTCACCGCCCGCGGGGAATCAAACCCCTTTGCACCAGAAGACCAGTCAAGCATCGACCTAGCAGCACATATAACCATCAACCCCGATCACCCTTCCTCCAGCCTAGTCATCCTCGAGATACCACAAGACCATGAACCCGTCACAACCCCCCGGCGCGCATCCACAATTCCCACGCACCCCAGCACAGGGAGCACCAAATCCCTCGCGGAGACTTACAGGACCTACCTCGAGACCTTCATGGCCGACCCCGCAACGGGAGAGGCACAACTCCCGCGCTTCCTGCACCAGCCGGTGACGCACAACGGGCGAGAGCTCACCGTGCCGGCCTACCACTCCCTCGGACACGACGTGCGCGCCGTCATCCCCGACCTGGCGTGCGATATCGTGGACCTGGTCGCCGACGAGGAGAGGCAGGTCGTGGCCGCGCGGCTCGAGTTCAAGGGCACGCCGCTGTTGCCGAAGCCGGATGGGCAGGAGGTCAGGATCGGGGAGATTGTGTTCTACTGGTTTGACGGGGCCAGGATTCGGGAGGTGCTTAGTCTGGTGGATGGGAGGGAGCTTGAGGGCGTGTCTTGAGGGAGGACTTGCATGGATGGCCTTGGGTTCATGCTGGTTGCGTGGATCGATGATATATCCGAGTTGCAAAAATGAGCGCACATCGAATTTCTCATTGTAAACTCGTCTGCACATGGGCTCTATTTCAAGCAACAGTCGGCCAACCAGCCAATTAGCAACCCGACATGTTATCGTATACGAGTGCCTCTACTCGACAGTCCGGTATGGAGCAAACAACCAAATAAATAGTCGTTAATTCGTAGGTATCAAAACAGCCGACAAGCTAACCGTGTCATATGTGGCTCTTAGAAGAGAGGGGAGTCCTCGATGGGACCGAAAAGAATTCGTGATACCCTACAAAGGTCCAAAAAGTTGCCTTTCACGAAAGACTCCTCCCAAAATTGCGCCCTGATTCAAAACCCAAAACTCCTGTGTCCAAGCCCTTAACTCCTTATGCAAGAACCTCCTGTGCCAAAGCGGCCATAACAGCATGCGGAGGCAGGCTCCAATCAATAGCAGCGGTCGGTCCCATAGGCGGCTCGTGGTCAATCTCATCGTCCTCATTATCCGTCCAGCCCCTCTCCGGGCCCCAAGTGATCTCCCGCTCGCTTTCAGCCACTACCTCAAGTAAGCCCTGCATCATGTCGCCCGCTCTCTTCACCGCGGGGTTGCCATCGAATTGCACCGTCTCAACGCTTGCCAGGCCTTGAAGCAGGCCTTCCAGCAAGTTCTGTGAGAACGTCTCGTAGAAACCGGTGGACCTGCGCCATCCGTTGAAGATGCCATCGCTGGGGTCAATCTCCACGTACACTGAGAGGCGTCTGACGTTCACACAGTCCTGCAGACCTAGCAGGTCGTTGATCGCCCAGCTTCGGTAGGGCTTGTTGAAGCCTGGTCCCAATCGCAGCTCCAGGGATGTGAGGTGGGCGCGGGACTGGGGCTTGAGACGGGCGAGCAGCCCCAGCTTCTTCCTCGAGTAACGGCCGTCGATTGGGAAAACTCGGAATGTCTTTGAGCTGTAGAAGAGGTGGGAAGCCTCGCGGTAGAACTGACGGCAGACCCGCAGGACGGACAGCTTCTTGTGGATGGTGAAGTAATTGCCTGGCTCGAGGTCGACGACAGGGCCAATATCGGCGAAATGGTAATCGTATATTTTGATTCGCAGCTCAGAGGGCAAGTCCATGAAGCGGAACGTCTTGACCTCCTCCTTCTTCGGTTTCCTGTTGGCGATAGGGATGTCGAGGGTCAGAGCACCGATGGGAAGGTTGTTGGGGTCATCGGGGTCGAGTTCGGCTTCGGTAGTATATGCCGAGGTGAACGTAGAGCTGATCGGGGTAGTCAGAGTTGACGAAATGGGCGTAGGAGAGGCAATACCCCTGGCCCTGGCTCCTTTGATCGGTCGACGAGGCATGGTGGATCGCATCGATGATGAATCGTTGAAATGATGAATTGATGTGGTGGATATGCTCGTTAAAACTCCAGGTCGCTGTGCTCGGAAGCAGTAATCGTAGTATAGGGTATCGATGGTATACGGCAGTGAGTCTCCGGTATGCTCAGGAATGGTGATCGCGTGGTGGTTGCGTGGTGGTGTGGCGGTTCGGTATATTGAATTTGAGGATCTCCGTGCTGGGTCCCGGTGTTCCCGACCCGGGGGGCGAATAAGCGTCGATTGGTTTGGTTTTGTTTCCTATGCGTGGTTGAATTCGGGGATGATGAGTGATGCGCAGGACTCAGAGGGTGGTCCCATCGTGAGTGCTAACTGGGAGGCAGACCGACGACTGGGGAACCACCCTCAGAGCGCAGCATCCGCAGCGGGCATCGTGAAGACTTGGAGGGGTTCAGATGGGTTGGCGCAGGACATGGAATAAATGCAAGTCGAACGCTGAGAAAGCGAGGCAGAAGACGAAAAAGAAGAGGACGTGACGAAGGAAATTCGAATCAGTAGAAGTCGAAACAAAGGCTCGATCGTCAAGGCAAGATCAGATTGGGCCGTCGTGTGAGGGGAGGAGAGGGAGGGTGCTGCATATGGTTTGCGGGGAAGAAATGAGGAGCATCGTCAAGTCGCATCGACGAGACTCTAGACGAAACCTTGACCGAGTCCAGCTACTGCGTCGTAGTACCGCAGATGACGGCACCTGGACGAGCACGTGAGCCTGACTATCCCCACCAGACCCCCCCACCCCCTCCCCTTGGTTTTTCAATGGTCAACTCCTAACCCCCCACGCCCCCCAGCCTGGCGATAAGATAACGGAGGAGAAAGTCCCCAAGAAGCTCGGGCCACCCAATCCCTCTTCCCCGATGGGATGAGCTTGTTGCTTTCTGAATTTTCTATGGTGACGAAATAACCTGGCGACTCGGCTCGACTTGGTTCGATTCCACTCCACCACCCTCTCTGCTCCATCACTCGGCTCTCGCCCCAACAATGCGCCTGTTTGGGCTGTAATCCAGCACCAGGTTTGAGACTTGCACTTCTTTGTCCCCATTTCCATTTTCTCGGAACAGGCCAAGAAATCGTCCCCACACGTCTCTATCATCATGCTCTCAAGGGCAGCTCTGCGCCTGGCCCAGCCAGCTGCTGTCTCACGATGGGTATCTGCTGCCCCGACCCGCAGGCCTCTGCCAGCATTGACAGCTGCATCGACAATATGGAGCAGAGGGATGGCAAAGGACAACAAGCCGTCCTCGAGGTTTGGCGCTCCAACAAATTCAGCCCAAAAATCCTCCAAGCCACAACAGCAGAACCCCTCCTCGTCCACACCAAGATCCGCTCCTTCACAACCCGGCAAGGTCGTGCCAGAACAACCCAAGGCTGTCAAGCCCGAACCTGCGAAACCCGTCGAGCCAGCAGCCGAAAAATCTCCCGCGGCGCCAGAAAAGGAGATCCCTCTCTCTGAGCTTCCCGACCTGACGCAGGGTATCCCGTCCACACTTGCGTACGAACAAGCTAGCGCGAATGAGAAGGCCGCATTGGAGGCAATCGAGGAGGATGCATCAACAAGTGCCGGTGGTGGCCGAGGGAAGGGCGAGCTCCCTGCTTCGGCATACATCTCCTCGACCGAGAAGCGGCGGCAGCGGTTCGCAAACTACATGTTTGCTGCCTCCCTCGCTGGTATGGTCGGTGGCGTTGTCTACCTTGGCCGAAACTGGGATGAGGAGGACGAGCGCAAGCACCCAGAGGTGCCGAATGGCTGGGGCTTAGGTCTTTGGTGGAACCGCGCCTCGACGCGCATGAGCGAAGTTCTGACATACTATCACGAGCCAGCATTCGAAAAGCTGCTTCCCGACCCAGACCCCATGTTTGAGCGGCCCTATACACTGTGCATCAGCCTCGAGGACATGCTTGTGCACAGCGAATGGACCCGTGAGCACGGCTGGCGGTTGGCAAAGCGACCCGGAGCCGACTACTTCCTGCACTATCTCAGCCAGTACTATGAGCTTGTTCTCTTCACTTCTGTGCCATTCGCCATGGGAGAGCCTCTGGTGCGCAAGCTGGACCCCTACCGTTTCATTGTCTGGCCGCTGTATCGAGAAGCCACCAAGTACAAGGACGGCGAGATCGTCAAGGTGATTATACCCACTGCCCTATCGATGTGACCTTTGTTCTACACATGAGCTCGTCTGACACCCTATCGCTTATAACAGGACCTCGCCTACCTGAACCGAGACCTTTCCAAAGTCATCATGATCGATACGAGCCACCAACACGTCCGCGCCCAGCCTGAGAACGCAATAGTACTGCCGAAATGGACCGGCGACCCCAAGGATAAGGAGCTGGTGTCGCTTATCCCATTCCTCGAATACATCCACACCATGCAATACAGCGACGTGCGCAAGGTTCTCAAGTCCTTTGAGGGCAAGCACATCCCGACCGAGTTCGCACGACGTGAGGCCATCGCGCGTGCCGAGTTCAACAAGCAGCTCGAGGCCGAGCGCAAGAAGCACCCACACAAGGGCAAGAGTGGCATGGCAGCCCTCGGCGGGCTCTTTGGGCTTAAGCCCCAGAACCTGAGCGTCATGGTTGTTCCCGAAGGCGAACAGGACCCAGCCACTGCATTTGCGCAAGGCAAGATGCTGCAGGACATCGCGCGCGAGCGCGGGCAGAAGAACTATGAGGAGATGGAGAAGATGATCCGCGAGAACGGCGAGAAGTGGCTCAAGGAGGAGGCTGCTATGCAGGAGGCGGCGCAGAAAGAGGCCATGAACAGCATGAAGACCTCTTTCACTGGCTGGTTCACACCCAGCGCGGATGGCTCGGAGAAGAAGCCATGAGAGCGCAGTCCTCCAGCCTCTGGCTTGTGATTTCTCTCCCGCTCGGGTGATGGATTGTTTACTTTCATACTCTTCACTCCCGATGATGCCCACCTCTCTTCTCCACCTACATGGTTTCACATCATATCTTCATCATTTGCTGGCGGCGGCATTTGCACTGGAGTACTGGACGGCCTTTGCCCGTGTCGTGACGAGGGCCCCACTTGTTTCTTCACATAATGTGTGCCCATTTTTCCAGACAGGTGGTTCACTGGGCCGGGAGAATTTGAATCAATTGAAATGTGTAGAATAACTTACTCCATAGATGGGCCAACATGGTCGTGTACGAATTTGAGGATATCCTGACGCTGAAAAACGTCTTCACTATATCAAGGCACTTTCGAGAGACGTACCTTAGTCGCGCGAGTACAGGTCGTGTTTTTCATCCATGTTTGATATTGGCTTGCACGTCACATCACGTGGCATGCGAACTGTCTAAGAGCGGAAGGGATGGGTATGCAAGATCTATTGACTTTGCCCCCAAGTTTGACCAAGACTATTAAGCCTTGTGCCTGACTTGCGTCAAGTAACGTGAAAAGTGCAGCCATCGAGGATGTCACTTCAACAGCAAGGCTCACTTTGTGTGCCAGGTGCGCGGCTTCATCCCTGTCATGGGAATGGTGGCGCAAGTTTCAACGAGGTATTTAAAAGATGGATGATTCGGCTGAGTATGAACGTCGTGAAGCAAGGCCTCTGCATCGAGTACGTATTCGTGCGCCGCGCCCTTGCGCCCAAAAGCCATCTGGCACGGAAGCCCGACCAGAACTGCCCCCATTGTCTGGAAGGATCATGGAAATAACTACAGTTATCTTCCCGTGGCTCATACCCAACCATCCCGCTGTCCCGATGCACATGCCGCACAGGACTTTGAATGGATATAAATCCTATGCGTGGAGCTTCTGTAGAACTCCAGTCATCATTGGACAGCCCTCCAAAAAGCCCTCTGATCCAGTCAGTGACGCCGTGTAACACGAGTTGCATGGGTCACATCGCTGCAGGAAGCAAGCGGAGCTGGGTCTCTGGGGTTCAGCTAGGCAGACTGGTATCCCCGCAAGGCTTCACTTCCACACATGAGGCTCTGCAACGAATTCAACCACTCTTTCAATGTTCAGAGCAAAGCCGATCACTAACGAGCTTTCGAGATCCAAGACCAAACTGAGTACTCGTTCATAATCCGTCTCCAAACATGGAACCCGTCTCGATCCTGAGCATTGTTGGTACAGCTCTCTCTATAGCAAACGTGGTCACCAGAGCCATTGCTTCGCTGAGTGAACTTAAGTCCCGATATCGCAATGTCCCACTCCAGCTATCCACACTCATCGGACAATTATACATGGTCCAAGCCGCTCTGGACCAGATTTCATCATGGAGCTCTGAGGATCTGTTCGGCGATCCGCGATATCAACAGCTAGCAGCGCAGATGGACACATCGTTGGACTCCTTTCGCCCGCTCATATTGGCCCTGCAACAGCATCTCGACGAACTCGACTCCCACGGGGATATCGATATGGCTGCAATGAAAAAGGTGTCGTTCCTTTGGAACGAACAGGAAATCATGACATATTCGAGCTTGCTCGACTCTCAGGTCAACGCGCTCAGTCTTTTTCTCCAAGCTGTTCAATGGTATGTGGCAGGCCTTGAACTCTGTCTGCATGTCTAACAAATTACATAGCAAAAGTCTAGCGGACCAACAGAGGCTCGTCAATGACGAAGAAAGTCGAACAATATTACAAAAAGCAAAACACTATAGTGCCTCGATCATTGGGGTGTCCGACCGCAGGAGCACCTTTTCAGAATGCACCAATACCAACACCTTAGGCCCCGACTTCGACTTCGATGCCTTATTACTGTCATCACAAGCCTATAGATCGGCCCATAGATCAAATCTGAGGCAACTAACCACAGTATCAAGGGCACCCGGGCCAATATCCCCATCACGATCCAGCGTCCAACAGCGTCCCATTCCTCTTCTACAGGATCCGCTTGAAAGGGTTTCCTCGGCCTTAGAATTATCTGATAGTGATTTTCCCTTATGTCACAACGGCAGTGATCCAAATCATCACAATGAAAGCCCGAGCTCGGAAATCGACCAAGACGCCGAGCAACACTACCCTTTGCCCGTGATAAGCAGCGATCGGATGGGCGATCCGTGTCAGCCTCCTAGTGCGGCTCAGGACAGTGTCACAGCTCCAATCCCAGGTGACAAGGCCGTGGGTATTGCGAGCTCCAGCTTCAAATCGCCACGCGAGAAGGGTGCCGCGTTGATGGTCCCGTCAACCAGCTCGACTCCAGCCAATGCCATGTTCACACCGAGAATCGCCCTGTTACGTTTACTGGAGAGATTCAGATATGCCCGAACGACGTATCATGCGCAAGATGCCAGCGAAACACGGGGCCCGCTAGCAGCCAAACCAAACACAGAACCTCCTGACTCAACTAGGACCTCACTCAGGCAGCCAGAAATCAAGGTGGTGTTGGTAGGCGCGTCTCAAAGCGGTAAAACAACTCTGCATAAAGCTATGAAGAACTACTGGAGAGGAGGTTTCAATCTCGAAGAACGCACCGAATGGGTGGTGCTTCTTCGAGCAAACACCATCCAAAGCATCCGATATATTCTCGAAGAAATGGAATCGTTCAAGATCCCGCTACAGCATGAAGAAAACGGGAGCCACGCCCAGTATATCTTCCTACATCCAACCCACTTCAAGCCCGACGACAAATATCCAGAATACCTAGAAGAAGTGGCAATAGCAATTACGCAGCTGTGGGCGGATGCTGGCGTCCAAGAAGCATTCAGAAGACGTCAAGAATACTGGCTGATGGATAATGTGTCATACTTTGCAAACAATACGCAGCAGTTATTCACACGCGGATATATTCCCAGCCAAGAAGACATTCTCAGATGCCGGCTCAGGACTATCGGTATCACGGAGACACAAATCGATCTGGGTGAAGTGACTGTTCGCCTCATGGACATGGGTGGAGTAAGGTCAGAGCGGAAGAAATGGATACACGCGTTCGATAATATGGATAGCATTGTTTTTACAGTCGACACTACCAGCTACTGCCGGCGATTGATTGAAGACGAAGAGGGGAATAGTATGAGTGAGTCGTTCTGCCTCTGGGAAGCCATCGCCAACAGCCCCTATTTCACAGAAGTCAACTTCTTCCTTATGTTCACGAAGGTCGATTTACTTCCGGAAACTTTTGAATTGTCTCCCATCACCCAGTACTTTCCTCAGCTACAAGCGACTGTCGATTCTTGTGGTGATATGGATCAGCTCATCGACTCATACCTAGCGTTTCTGAAGGGGGGATTCCTCTCGCTTATGGAATCGGAAGAAGCTCGCCGGCGAACACAAGTTGTCTTCGCTGACTTAGTTCAAATTGATGACAAAAACCCTGCCGGCTCCGTGCTCGAAAGTCTGAAGGCTCGAACATTGGGCCAGAAATGAGGTTCTACCGTACCTCCTCCTCAAGCCAAATGTCCCTCGGCGACGGACATGGACAATAGAACATTTTTGTTGGATATTGGTCTACCCGGCCTAATTCGGGCAAGGCTGGCCGGCGGACATCACTGAAGACTTCTGAACCTGATGATGAGGAATTGAAGGCTTTGAAAGGGCCATACAAAGACTTAGAAGTATGTGAGCCTTCGTTGCCAAAGACCAAGCCCGTACCTTTTCAGAGCCTGTGCCCGCAATGCAGACCCCACCCTGAAAGAAGTATGCACATATGAGATTCTAAAATGTACACAAAACGTCTGTATCGTCGCTTCTCGGATAAACGTGAGGTTCTCAGCGACAGGAGCATTGCTGCACTAATTGTACCTATTCTATACCTAGCCTCTGATTTCTATCTGAAAAGTACAAGTCTAGAGAATGTCTACACGTAGTAGTCATTTATTTGGCAATCTCAACACCATTAGTGGCACCTGGGATATAGGGTAAGCTATAGTTAGGCGAAGGAAGACAGCTGGCGGACTTACCAAGAGCTTTCTTAATGTCACCGTAGATGGCGAATTGACCAGCAGTAAGACCACCAACCATGAACAAACGCGTAGGAAGACCAGCAAAAGAACCGCGGAGACCAAGCTCACCAGCAATCTTCACAAGACGAGAGACAGTACTCTCACCAGGGAGACCCTTGGTCTTGTTGATCTTGGACAGCATGGTATCAGCGGGTTGTGAAACAATAGCGGCAGCGAAACCAGCGAGGAGACCAGATCCCAGGTTCACAGCGGTCTGGCCTCCACTGGACAGCTGGGACTTGTCGACCTGAGCAAAGATGGCCTCGGAAATCTTCTCAAAAGCGACAAATTTGGTCACTGTGTAGGGGACCCTGTAAATGTGCGTCAGCTTCTGCTCTTTGCTCGTATACACGGCAGAGCTTCCCAGCGAGATTAACGTACTGCTTGAAGAGAATAGGGCCAAATCCAGAGTAGAAAGCACCAACACCCTCGTTCTTAAGAATCTTGCCAAAACCACCAACCAGACCGTTAGCAAAGCCAGGCGTGGAGACAAGACGGATGCGAGTAGCCTCCAGAGGGCAAAGAGCGATAGACGCAAAGAATTCAGCGCTGGCTGCAGACACGGAGTAGACGGCAGCGCGGTTCTGCCGGGCCTTCTCGATACCAAGGAGATCTATAGATTGCTTCTTGAAGAACTCATAACCGCCAAACTTGAAGGCCCCCTGGATGAAGTAGCCAGTAAATGTCGGGCCAAAGCCAGTCAGGAGAGCGCCGGCGCCCTCGTTCTGGATAACTTGACGGAAACCACCGATCATGCCACGGTTGTAGGTGGCGGGGTCCAGCTGAATTCTGGTCTTGACCCTTTGAGATTGTCAGTGAATCATGTTTGATAGGAGCTGAAGCAGATGGGAGCAAACGGACACGTCAACCGGCGTGAAGGCGCCGTGCGTCACGGAGCAGCCCAGGGCACCGGCAAGGGCGAAACGAGAGTAGAGGTCGATACCCTCGGGCGCCTTTTGGGTGGCCAGAGCAACAGGAGAGGCAGCCATTGTGACGGTGATGAGTATACGCGACGGAAAGGGATTGTTGGTGGTGAGCAAGAAGTGAGGTTGGGAAGATGACAGCGGATTCTGGCGCTAGGTGCTGGTTCGGGTTTAATCGGCAAGGATTCGGTGAGGATCGGTGGGAGTAAGCCCGCTAACTCCGATATTTGTTGATCCCATTTCTCTATCACGATTGCTTACGTCTGGAGTGCCCGTTGAATGGCACTGCCATGTAATCCGTATCATGCCCATCGTTATGTCAGTTGAGTTGTTGATTTCCCCTGTGGACCATATCATCACATGTACCTGCATTATTGCAATCAAGTCAACCACATGCTTCTCTCATAGAGAGCTTATCCGTAGATGTCTGCATAATGTGCAAAAGTGAGTTCCAATCATTCAAGTAAATGCGAATGAGACTTATTTGCAAGCTAGTCGCCCAAAGTGCATCAATAAAACTAATCACTTGCTCTAGCGTCCCTGTCAATATCATGTGATCGAGCAAACATGACCTTTCTTTCGCTCACTCCCCTGTCGTCTACAGAATATACTCTGTCTACCATATGGAACGTCTTTCGCTGTTTCCGCCCTTCTCAGTTCGATGATCAGTTCTCGAATATGGGCGAGGTTGATGCCGTCTGTCTCAATGGAAGAGATAGGCGAGTTTTACTTCAGGTCTATCAATGAATCACAGACTTTCCACCTTGAGTGTTGTTCACAGGTACGGACAACATTCTCTGGACTCCTCAGGCTCTTCGATGATTTTACAAAGTTTCCACTCCACAGATTTGCCGTGAAGCTCTGAAGTGTAACATGGTGCCGTGGACGACCGCCTCGCCCTCAGTCACTTAGAAGGGCTATCTTCAATACAACATCTTTCAGACCCCCCAACTTGCTACTACAGTATGCGAGGGAAGTATAATGGTGTTTGGCATTCCATGGGCTCTAGCTCCAAAATGCCACTATTGGGAACACTCCTAGATTCAGAGATTCCTTCTCTACTGAAATTAGATTTACCATTCCGAAGACAAAGATCGCAACACAGTTTTATCGGGGCAAAAACCTCCGCACTATCTGGCAAATGCTTCAAGAGGTGATAATCGTCTTACATACCTTACGTAACAATCACGCCGACTCGACCCCGGTCGAACATTCCCTGAGCAGAACCAACACACAAAGTACATTACCACACGTGTCAAATGGGTCCCCTCTCGGCGCTTTTTTTCTTCAGTCCCTCTCTGCGCTCTTCCTTTTCGACTCAATAGCCGACCACACACTCTTGTTCCTGCTTCTATACTATCAAGAACGCGCCGAAGTCGGTTCTTGAACCAAAAGGCAATTTTTCGTATGATTGGCACAGCAAAATCATTGTCGGTGCATTTTCTGCTTCTGGCCAACCGGAACTCAGAGCCTGGTCTATCATTCTACCACTTCGCTTTTGACAATGGCGGGCTCCATTTGCGATGCGTGCCGTGCGGTCAAGTTTGAGAATGCCTTACAAGTTCAAGCGAGCGACTTGAGAGGAGGAAGGGGAACATTCGGATCGATGACTCTACTTGACGAAGATGTCAACCGATTCGACCAAGCATCAGGTACTGATTGTTCATTGTGTCAACTGTTGGCATCCACACTGTGCTCAAACGAGGACGAGTGGTCTGTTCCTTCAATTCATGAAGAAATCTTGATGCGCCCTTACAGTCTAAAAGCCTTCTCTTTTCTTCGCAACTGCCCTTGGGCTTCGGATGGCGTTAAGGACGCGCAAGACAGCCACATCCTACTGGCACCACGAGGTGGAGCGCCCGAGTCGACGAATATAAAATATATTCAGTTCGTCAAAGAAGGAGAAGATGGATACGTCGCATGTCTACCCAAGCAAAGAGAGACCGGGCTGTTTGTTCCGCAGATCATTTCAGAGACTTTCGATCCTACGAGAGCCAAATTATGGGTACAAAATTGTAGGGATACTCACGAAAGTACCTGCAATGAGAACTGCGAGGCAATTCACGGGCTGAGAGCGATAGATTGCGAGACTCTCAGGATCGTGCACATCGAGACTGGAGCCCTGTGGGTGGCGCTGAGCTATGTATGGGGTCATGATATATCCCAGGTCCGCTCTGATGATCTGCAAACAGGAACTCTCCCGCGTGGCATATCAAAAACTGTGCAGCATGCCATCGAGGTCACAAAAGGTCTAGGCTACAGATTTTTGTGGGTTGATCGATATTGCATCAACCAGCAAGATGAAAGAGACAAGTGTGACCTCATTTCAAAGATGGATATGATTTATCGTGGCGCAGATCTGACAATCGTCGCAGCCGCGGGTGATGACGAGCACTTTGGACTCCCAGGCGTTGGGACCACGGAGCGCAAGAAGCAGAAAGTCATCGAGCTGGACTGCTGTACGATCCTCAGCACTGGCCCGGACCCGGTTTACGAGACAAAGCGGTCTCGCTGGTGGAGCAGAGGCTGGACTTTTCAGGAGGGCCTCTTATCCCGGAGGCGACTGATATTTACGGAACATCAATCCTGGTTTGAATGTTACGAAGAGGGCTGGATGGAAGCACTGGGAGGATTAGAACTTCTCAAGCACCCGGAGGCACAGTTGGCCCAGGCCTCCAGGAAGATCGGAAAAAGTTTGAACGCCTGGTTTCTGTCATATTACCGCCTGCTCAGTGTGTATTATGATGAGCTCGAGCGTTTTGCAAGTGGTAAAATCATTTCCCGCCTTCAACAAATGTCGCTGATCATCCGAGCATATTCCGAGCGAAATTTGACCTTCGATAGGGATTCTCTTAACGCCATCGCTGGAGTTTACCGTTATTTTCGGCATGCCGATCCACCAGTGGCCCACGTATTCGGGATCCCATTCATACCATCCTTGATGTCGCCTAGTGGTCGTGAAGCGGCAGAGAGGTTCATGTTTTATTTCCTGTCCTGGTTCCATCTCAAGGACGCCGCACCACGTCGGAGGCAACACTTCCCTTCTTGGACCTGGGCAGGCTGGGCTGGACCCGTGGACTTCATGGCTGACGTAGGGCTAGAGTATGGGCAATCTATCATGCAAGGGATGAGGCACCTCCGGTTTGAAGTTAATGGGCAGGTGATCCCTCAAGAAACCTACCTGAAAGTCTTCAACTCAGTCCAATGCCCCTCCCCGGAGCTAGAGATCGCTCTTTGCTTTCAAGCGCAAACGGTTCCGTCGTCATTATTTTTGTGGAACACTTACCTCGACACCTGGTTAAGCGAGGAGAGCCGAGGGTCAAACAAGAGCCAATGGTCGGACGAGAGCCAAGGGTCAAATGACAGCCCACCCAATGGACAGGATCACTTCACACAAGGAGTGAGTTCTGATGAACAAAGCCACGAATCGAGCCAAAGTCTACCGCCCAACCCAAATGACTGGGGTACCTGGAAAGTGGGCGGTCTCAAGCTATGGGATCAAAGTCTTCCACCAAGTTGTACACCTTCAGATTTCATAGAACATCTCGATAATCATCGTTGGGATTGTTTTTTGCTTGGTGAGTACTATGGCAACGCAGGGTACGACCACAGAAGATTTCTTCTGGTTGTTGAGTGGCTGGACAGTGGATTGGCGCATCGTGTAGGGTCTGTGGTCTTGAACAAACACCCTTATTTCGACGAAAGGATTGATTTCTTCAAGCTTTCAGAGCTGCGCTGGAAGTCAGTGCGTTTGATATAGAAAGTCATTATTCTGAACATGTTAGCTCGAATACCTCTATGATACTCCAACTAACTCCTCAAAGCCTTGTTAAAGTTGACCATGGTGGTTGAGAGATGACGTGAATAGTCCCCTCTGCCCTCATCCCCTCAGCAAGGAAAGTAGATCCTATCAAGATGAAGAAGTGGTTTCGCTTTCAATCCGTGTACATACTTGTCTCAGCAGTAGGCGGCCCCTTCACACAGTAGTAAACGCTCGGACCCAGCATTAAATGCCATACAGTGCCGATATCAGTACATTCGTGAATACAGTCGCAAAAAAAAGAAGCCTATTTAATATACAAGGTCTTGTTTCACCATATTCAGCCCACATATTCCACTAAGGCTTGGGTAGACCTAGCCGCAACCTTTGGGGCCAATATGATATATGATTGTAGCTCCCGCGCCTCAGAAGACCAATTTAGGAGACTGGAGAGGACCAGGGATAGGGACAACCTGTCAGTGCCGTGGGCTTAATACCCACTGGTTCCATTCACATAGCTTGTCTCAATGGATATTATGGGCAACCGTTGTGCCTGTCACCGTGGTGGTCGTTACTGCATCGCTGTTTGGGGCAGGAGTTTGGTGCAAACCATCTAGCTTTTCGAACATCAAAGGAAAGGATCAACAACACACATCTTCTAGGCATTCAAGAATCGGCTCAATGTCGTTCTTTAACGAACTTTCCCGGTATTGTTGCAGGGCGCGAGGTAAGCTTCGGGCTTAGGTAATCATGGGCAGTCCCGAGCGGAGGACTTTCAAAGAGGCGTTGCTTTCAAACCACAGTCCTTACCGTACACCTACATTCTTCAATTTTTCTCGTACCTGTGGCCTGCAGTCGTGATAGTTGTATTCTGATCACAGCATATGTTCTTCTTTTTTCCTCCCTATACTTCTGTTTCCGTTGGTTTTTACTCTCTCGCTAGAGCGCTCCCTCGTCCCTCGGGTAGCTGGCAGAGCGTAGCCTCCACAACACGCATTCTATTCCTGTAGTAGCCCATCTCTAGTATACTATTCGGTAGCAGATGTGACATTTTGTTCTGATGCAATCGTCGCAAACTAATTATATAGTTAGCACCGAGGGGGGTGGGAGTTGGTCTACAAATTCGTGCCGAAACTACTACAGACTTAGGCTGCTTAGTCCGCGGGAGGCGGCCTTACCCGGTTAGGAATGTTAAGCGCCCCGCTGCGGAAGACGCCGGATAACATACTCTATCGGGGCATTGAGACGAGCTTCGGGGCATCTTGATAGTGATGTCTTCGGAGGGCGAGACACACCTCGACACGGCCTTGCAAAGATCCTGAGCTCCATTTGTATATAGATAAGTAGGTTTCCGAAGATCTGATAGATTTCGCTACTCCTGAAGTGCCTCACAACGCTGAAACTGAACAACATACTGGATCCCTTGCAATTCAATAACTATGCTCTCCATCCAAATTCTTCTCGTGGGAGCCGCATTTTTATGCCTTGTGCATCCTTTGCTGCTGTATCTTTGGGACCGGAAAAGGCTACGGCGTTTTCCCAACCACACTAAGCTGTCTGGCATCACCGGCCTCGGCTACGTCTACGAACGCTGCCGCGGCTTTCGTTCCCGTAGCCTCCACCTTGCCCATCAACAACATCGCATTATTCGTATCGGACCGAATTCCCTCTCCTTCTCCTCGCCCGAGGCGATACGTTCTATATACGGGCACTCGACGCCATGCTACAAGGGAGATATGTACGACTTGACCAGAGGAGGTCACGCGAATCTCCTTGACGTGGTCGACAAGGGCGAGCACGCTCGCAAGCGCCGTCTCTTGTCCAACGCCTTCGCAACGCGCAACGTCCAGCAATGGGAGTTCAAGATCGCTGACAAGGTCCGAAGGCTCTTGGCGCAGTTCGATGCCTCCTGTGGGAATGGTGGCCAGGGCCAAATCGACTTCCGCAGGTGGACAAACCTGTTCACCGTTGACGCCATCACTGACATAGCTGCCAGCTATCGTACGGGCTGCCTCGACCGTGGTGATGATTTCATCAAGTTTTCGGGCGGCGATGGGGACGAGAGGAGGTGCCGATACATTGAATGCCTCCATGCACCCCGCCGCTTGAATTCGATCGTGGTTTGGTGCGGCTCCTGGTTTCCATGGCTCCGTCGGATATTGGGCCTGCTCCCTGGCCTACGCTCTCGATGGCAGAAAGGACTCCTCTTCGACGAGCTGGCTAGTCACGTTGCATACCAACGTGTCCAGCGACACGTGGACGGGGAGGAGGTTGATGATTTGGTGGGCAGTCTGCTTCAAGATAAGCAAGGTCTTCCACGTAATTTGGACATCGGCGAGGTCACTGCAGAGATGATCCTTTTCAGTAAGTATTTCTCACAAAGACGTTACGATCCACATTCGATATACGGAAACCTTGATCAGGCTGACATCCCTCTTAGTGGACGCCGGCTCAGATACAACCGCCATCGCCTTGACTCACGTTATGTACTATCTCCTCCGAAACCCTGAGGCCTTGTCACGTCTTCGGCAAGAAGTAGACGAGGCTGTTGCGGCGGACGTTGTCATCGTCCCAGACGCGACGGTCAGAAACCTCCCTTACCTCCGTGCATGCCTCGACGAGTCGCTTAGGCTCTCGCCACCCGTTGCGTTTGGGCTGAACCGCAAGACCCCGGAGGAGGGCATGCACATTGACGGCCACTGGATCCCTGGCGGCACCACGGTCGCCGTCCCTGCCTACACTGCACATCGCAACCCGGATGTCTTTGATGGGCCCGAAGAGTTCCGGCCTGAGCGATGGCTCAGCGATGGCGCGAAGAAGGCCCAGGCGTCCTTCATTCCGTTCAGTACGGGCGGAAGGGGCTGCATTGGACGCAACATCAGCTATATGGAGCAGAGTATTCTTGTGGCGACTCTCATTCGACGGTATGATTTCGAGCTGCCAAGTCCTGATTGGCAGCTGCAGTGGGAGGAGGCTTTTAATCTTTGGCCTGGACCGATGCCACTGTCGATTCGAAGGAGGGTTCCAAGCTCAGACTGCGTCCAGTAGGGCGCCAAATATCGTAAGCATGCCGTCTGTATTGTGGTTGAATTCAGAGAATGTTCAGCCTTTGACTAGTTGGATGTGGAACGGCGACTATTCGCCTGACACAGCATGGTTTTGTTTCTGGGTTCACGACATGGTAGGGTATTGGCGGTGTTATGCATGTGCGTCAGACTGAGCACTTGTCAACAATATATTACCAACCACTAAGACCCAATCTTGCGGGACATCGGGTCTTCTTCCATCCCGAGACACCGGTCATGGCGTACTTCTGTGATCTTCAAAGTCGTGACAAGTTCCTCGATTACCCATTTTCACGAGTTGCGTGTACCTGCAACTGCTTGACACGACTTCTCGTGTGAAAGCCGAACTGCCGCTCAAAGTCCTCCAAAAAGTTCCACACTCGTGCTTTCAGAGCTGGAGATTTAGCATATTTCCCCGCTGCAAAATCATCAGTATGGCTCAAACCTCAGTTTGTCATCGTGTCGCGGGTTTGACTTGCCGTAGAACATGGGGTTGACGGCGACAGGGCGGACACCCTCGAACACATGCTGTGACAAGCATATGGATGCAATGGACAGGGCATGAGACTCAAGTTCCTCATGAATATTTCCTTCTTTTGGGCCCAGTGGCCTGTGTTCGTCATAAGTTCCGGAATCTTCGAGTTCCAGTTCGAGAAGCAGGATTCTTGCCATGTGGTAGTATAGAATAGCGGCCGCTATATGTGTTCGTCTCGTCAGTGATGCGTGCAAGTAGACTGAGTGCTTAAGGCTGACCTGTGGAAGGGGCATGGAACCATATTTCCGTCAGCCCGTCTTCGGATGTCACTTCAACACGGACTCCGTGTGTCGTCGGAGGTAGATCACACCACCACTGATCAATGGCAGACGAAATTTCTCTGGCGCCCCGAGCTGACTGTTCTGGGTTGGAACTGCTCTTGGAGGTAAACCTGAGCTGAACCGTACGAGCAAGCAGCCACACCATCTTGTTTCCCAGAGCATCTTCCCCACTACCAAGCTTATGGACAGCGGCTTCCCACTCGCTGGGATGAATGAGTGTTTGAGTCTCATTCGCGATGGCCATAGCTACATCCTGTCGTGCGAAGATCCAGAAGCTTGCCCTCTCAACATCAGTGCTCCCGTTCATAGCCTTGTAGGTTTGGATTAGAGTGCGTGCACCAAGCATGTGTTTTTTGTAGTCGGTCCCTGGGTTTGCTAGCAACTCGTAGCTACAGAGGAGAATCGCAGCAGCCAGAGTTGCGTCGCGGCTCATGTCGGACCGATCTAGATCCCGCATCAGCAGTCTGAGGCTCGTACCGTAGTGATCAGCGGCGACGGGCTCCCACAAGTATCTCTCCTTCACGAGGCTCATTTGCTTGGCTGATAGTGCACATATAGAATGAAGCAGCAGCTCAGATGAAAATGCTAGTCGCACGACGTGGCGCTGATACGTGAGGGTGTCATCACACACATCCATCCACGTGCCGATGCCATCCTGGTACATCTGGACCAAGTCGATGCACTGCTTCGACAAACGAAGGTCACAGGGAGAAGTACGTGGTGGTGTTTGTGGCTGGTAAGAGGTGCCGAGCTGGACTCTCTGGACCACATCGTTGGTCGATTCTGGCTCATGGCCTGGGAGTTGCGTGGTATGCACTTGACGGTCAGCTGCTGACGAGGGTCGTCGAGCTTGCAGGAGTGAGGACTGCGCATCGTGGACTATGAAGTCCGCCTGGCGGCATTCGATGCCTCTTCGATCACATCGGGTACATGCTGGTTTCTTCTCGTCGCACTTGATCCGACGCGCACGACAGCTCAAGCTGATGGAGCCATCAGTAAACATCCTTGATTTAAAGAAGCAAAACTACCTACCAGCCTGCGTTCAAGTTTAGTGCGTGCGGTTTGATTGATAGTCGAGACTGAAGCCAGGGATGAACACTTACCAGTCCTTCGGCGCCTCCCTGCCATGGAATTTGGCTGCGCTCCTGCACGCAGATCACATCCGCGTATCACTGGTCAGCGGTAGTGAGATTCGCAGTTTCCGTGGCGGAACGTGTTCAGCAGCAAATAGGGGAAAGAAAACTCCAAAGAGGCGAGTCTCGCGGCATCTATAGTCGATGCAGACTACAGCGTAATCACACCGTTTCCTCAATTGGCCTTCAATTCCCCGCGTTGGCTTAGCTAAATAATACGGGCACCCCAGTGTGTTTTTGTCGGCACACCGAGCCAACTCAATCCGCCCACCGGGCTCTACCTGTCTGTCCACCTAATACAGCATTTGATAGCATTTATCAATAATTTCTAAAACTTATACTTTGTCAGGCTATAACACAAACTCAATCACCGAGACAGAAATTATTGATAAATGCTATCAGATGCTGTATATTAGGTGGACAGACAGGTACAACACGGTAGGCGTATTGAGGTATATGTTTCCTTCCAAACGTTTGTCAAGGTAGTATTTAATTCTGTCATGTTCTGATTTTGAGTGAATGGTAAGGTTAAGGTTGTGACTTGGGTACTCAGGTACACAATACAAGCCGAGATCAAAAGGATTTTGGATTTTGTCTTGGCTCAGTATCACGGTACGGTAGCTCGATATCATGTGACATGGGCCTTTCTGTGCAACAGTCCTTGCCTCTGATGCAGACAAATCGAGGTGTTGTTTGCGATCAAGCAACTCGCAAAAGTGCTGATCAATCTTGTAGCAGGATCTGAAATTTCTTTGATCAGCTCTCCGAATACATTACACGTGATGACTTGCATGTATACACATGAATGAACACCACCTATAACTCATTCGAGTCCGATGTGATAGCTTCCGAGATGCAAGCCCGATACTACCGCATTCTTTTGGTGGCCAATAGGACGATTAGCGTTTCATTAAAGATTGCCCATACTGGGCAAGAATAGATGACACGTCGTGCGCCGAGGAGCGGGGGCTTACATTGGAGGCACAGCATATGCACGTCGTTAAATCTCACTGTGTTTACTATGAATTCTGATACAAGAAATAGAGGCGCGTGGGGCAAGAAAAAAAGAAAACAAGGCAATAGCTGTCGAGGCTTCGATTGGAATGCCACATTTGATCACCAAACCAAGAATATAGAACCATCATCGCTTCTATTGGCAACATCACTTCACTTGTCGTCACGGCTATTCTAGTTGATAACCATGGCTGATGTTGACGCCCAAGGTGGCTCATCAAAAGAGTCTCAGCTTCCCACACCTGACAATACCACACAGATCAAAAATGCTGTTGGCTACAGCGAATATGTAGCTGGCCTTGACCTCGAATTCACAGCCTCCGAGGAGCGACGAGCACGATGGAAGATCGATCTTGTGATTATCCCAATCTTTCTCATCACCCAGGCGGTTCAACAGATGGACCGGACTGCCCTGAACTACGTCAACCTGTTCGGATACCAACAGGCGCTGGGGCTGCACGGCAACCAGTTCAACTTCCTCTCATCGATGGCCTACGCGGGTTATTTCTTTGGGCAGTACCCAGCCGGCTGGCTGATCGGGCGGTTCCCGGCGCAGAGGATCCTGAGCATCTCCATCCTTGCTCTCGGGGTGCTGATGATCATCATGGCGCAGTGCATGGATTACAGCAGTGCGATGGCGGTACGGTTTTTCACTGGCGTCTTTGTGGGAACGGTCATCCCCTGCCAAACTCTCATGACGGGTTTCTGGTTCACACGCCGTGAAATTCCGCTGAGGCAGTGCATATGGTTCTCCGGCCTCGGCTGGGGCGGGATCGTCGAGTCGTACATCTCTATGGGTGTTTCCAAATTGCCAGAGGGCATGTCTCCTCCAAAATGGAAACTGATATACTACATTCTTGGCGGGATGAGTTTTCTCTGGGGACTAGTCATCTTTTTCTTCCTCCCGGACAACCCATCTTCTGCTCCTTTCCTCACACCCAAGGAACGGATTGTCGCAGTCGCAAGAGTTGCTGGAAACGGAACGGGCATCAAGAACAAGCACTTCGATAAGAAACAAGCTTGGCTCGCTTTCTACGACCCCAAAACGATCCTGTTATTCGTATCCATTGCTGGTGCAGCAATTCCGAACGCCGTCATTACTTCATTTTCGACAGTCATCATCAGGGATATGGGCTTTAGCACAACTAGGACGACAGCACTGAAGTCAGTTGGGGATGCCGTTCAAATTGTCACCCTATTCATAGGAGGCGCGGTCACTCTCAACATTCCAAATTGTATGTCCGTCCTGCTAGTCGAAGACGCTTTGCCTCATATGTTACTAACTCTCATGTAACCGCAGCTCGGCTGGTGACAGCCGCTGTAGCCGGGGTTATTTGCACCGTTTGTTCTGCACTGATGGCATACCTTCCACGTTCGAACACATGGGGCCGATTGGTCTCTTTCTGGCTGGTCAACTTCCAGTCCGTAAGCTACACTATCAGTTTGACAACGATATCCTCCAACATGGGGGGCTACACGCACAGGGCCGCTGCCAATGCTGTTATCTTGTAAGCACAATCTCTTTTTGAGAGGTGATATCGCGCGAGGCTGACACCGCACATTATATAGCACGGCCAACTGTTGGGGTAATTTTGCTGGGCCATTCGTAGTAAATCAGTCTGAGGCGCCATATTATAGGAGCGCAACGATCGGCCTCTTGGTTGGATATTCGATCAAGCTCGTCTGTCATTTAATTCTCCTTGGTAGGCTGATACTTTCATTTTCGTGGCTAATCCTAAAGCTTCTAAATTGTCTATCTCGAGCTGACTATTATTACAGCATACCTATTTTCTATGAATCGATATCGTGATCGCACGCAGGGGCCGGCAGACAAGCAGAATAGCGATGAAGCCGGGATGCAGGACAAAACCGAGTTCGAGAACCTCAACTTCCGATATGTTCTCTGAGAAATTTCACCTCAGGCCGACATCCATAACGCGTGGGGTGACCTAGGAAACTCGTGAGAGATCGTTAAAATGCCGATAGGAATACCCCCAACCGAGTAGAAAAGGGCCACTTCATATCACTATACATGTCTTTACAAATATATACAGAGATCTGATTGCTAAGCGCCTTAAGCAATGATATTGTCCAACCTCTAAACATTTGCGAGCTATAGAGCCTAAGGAAGTACAGGTCGCTTACTCTCTATAAATCTATTTTATTTCGTGTTATACTTTATATAGTTGTTCTAAGTATAGAATGCATAATATTTCAGGTTATAACACCAACCCAATTAATGAGATATATTTAAAATGACTATATAAAGCACAATATGAAACAAATAGATTGAAAGAGAGTAAGCAACTTGTGCTTCTTCAGGATCTATAACTCGCAAATGCTTAGAGGTTGGAGGATACTATTGCGGTGAGTCAGAATCAAGAGCAAACCATATTGATGAGTCGAGATCAATCCAATCCGTTGGTTGCCAATGTTGCAGAAGGTCTATCCCATAGACATCCTGTCGCTCTGAAAGGGCGGGATGTAGCCCAGTATTTTGATCATAGTTGAAAGTTGTGTCTAGATCGGTACCAGTAACTGCGTTACTGTCGTTCTCAATCCTTAACGCTGTAACGTTTTCGCTACTTGAGAGGCTTTGGTCATTGCTAGAACATTTCCGTGCCGATTGATATCTTGCTTCGCTTCTGAGCTCCTCTAAAATAATATTGTACCTTCTGCTTGGCGAGTCTCGACTTGTCAATCGATTAAGGTGAATCCTGCATCGTTCGGCCAGGTCAACGAGTTGTGAGACAGTGCAATCGACACCCGCGGCCGGTAAATTGGCACCAGTGGTCTGATGGATTTCCCAAACGTACACAACTGTTAGAGCGCAGAATGTGGCGTACTGAGTCCACCAGAAGGCATAGAACAAGGTGCCGTCGACCACCATGGAGTTGAACGTCTGAAGTACCACACGCGCAGCTTTCACGCACTCAAGGACGTTTCCTTGCACATCTGCCGCGACGTCATCAGGGGAGAAGCCAGCATCGCTCTTTTGACCCAGCAGAAAGAGGCGGTTCGCATGAATGATGGAGTGCATGTAGGCTAGCTTGAGAGCAATGGCCTGGCGGCGGAAACTTGGGATAAGAGACGAGGGCCGGACGCTCCCTAGGTGTGGAGGCAGGGATTCGTGCCATTCATGGAGCTTTTGGTTGGCACGATGGGCCGCGGCGGCACGTTCGTGTTTGGGTATGCGTTTCACAGAATAAACTTCTCTGGAAATACCACTTATGATCATGGCAAGCCTACAAGTGGGATCGAAGTTATCATCTATGCCTTGAGCAGCGGGAAGTTTGAGGAGGCCTAGGGGACGAGAGCGTACTTCGCATGCCACACAAGCGCGTCTACGTGACAGTCTTCTAGCAACTCGCCTTCGGAGGGACCACCTGGAGCCATGTCTTCGTCATTGACCAAGTCCGGAAATTCTTGATCGATATCCTCCTCGTGGTAATGTCTTGTTCGGCCGAGAGCGACACTTAAATATTGGTCAAGTGTATATGCCACCCAAAACGTCCGCCTGCGACACTGCAGATCCAGGTAGTCGACCGCCTTCGTGTTTGCGCTCCTGTTCCGCCCGGACTTGCGATACAGACCTAATACGGAAATAATTTGCGACGTGGTCCCGAAAATGTACCAAGCTTGGTTCATCCGGGATGTCTGGAGAAGATACAGGACCTGAATCAGTCTTGCCTGCGCAGATTCGAGTCGTGGCATTCCTCGCTCAGTACTGGTGAGATCCAATGCAGCGCGGAAGTACTGATCGCTCTGCTGCAATGCAATGGTGTCCTCGTAGTCTACTGTTGCATGTCCATTGATCTTCTCGCGGCGGAAGGAGGAGATAGCTAATATGGTAAAGATAATTGAAGTCTTAGCGTACCCTAGACCGCGCGAGGGAGACAGCTCTCGCTGCACGTTGGTCAACATGTTCTCAAGCCAGTTGAGCACTGTTCCACGATGAAACATGCGATACGTAACCACGCAGACGTCGAAGTAAAAGGAAACAAGCTCTTCGGCAAGAGATCTTGGCGGAACTTCGACAGACCCACTACCTTCCATGACAAAAGGTTTGTCGCCAGCATTCATGAGAAGCTGGTCCTTCTCGCTTCCCGTCAGCACGTGCGGCACGACTTCATAGTTCTTCTGCGTTGAGAATCGCTTGTACGCTCGATGCAAAAACGTTAGACCAGACGTCGGATCAAAGAACTGTCCTTCAATCTCGGCCGCCTCTAATTCTGGCGACTGTCTGGAAGGTGCTCCCGCTTCGCCGTTGTCCTCCGCTGGAGCTATCCGGGGGGTTGGCTCCACTATATGCGGGCTATTGAGAACCATATTTTTTAGTGGTAGGACGAGCGAGCCCCCAAGTGGAGACAAGTTATCGCAGTACATTGCACGCACAACGTTAGGCTTACCTATGCGCTACGTTGATCTCATCTTCCTGTTCTTGCTCTGGTCCCGGGAGTGGCGCAGATGGTTGACGAGGTAGTGGCGTCGGTGGCCGACCACGTGAATACTTAGCATTATATACGCATTGCAACCGTCTTTTCACACAGCTGTCACAGGGCTTAGTGCCGCTACAGCGTGCTTTCTTGGACTTGCAGGCATCGCATGCACGGCTGATCTTTGGTGTCTTCCGTCTGTTCTCCGGCATCTCATCATGAGAGGTTGTCCCGGGCGAATCCGTGACTGATACTAATGGAGATCTCCGCTTTCTCTGGGAAGAAGGTGGTACTAAGCCCTGAGGAAGAGCAGTTGAAGATGGGTCCACCGGAACAAATTGCAGCAAATCCATTGGCAAGAGTGGCCAAACCGAAAGCTGAGGCAATTAATACGTGAAAACAGAAGAAGAGGAAAAGTTTCCGGCTCCCCATGGAGTTCTGGAAGTCCGATATATATGTGGGGATGTGCTTGGGGAAACATCGGAAATGCCTCCATTGCCGTCAAAAAGACCCCAAATCCCTTCCCTGACACCCCTCTCCCTCCCCTTTCTCATCCGGATTTACTCGGACTACCCGCGAAAGGAAATTAGTGGGACATAGCATGAATTGTGAGCAGTTGTGTGTCAACCGAGCCTTCGGTATCCCAAGTCAGCCGCTACCCATGCCATACCTCAAAATGGTGTTACTATTTTCCCCGTGAGGTCACTTCTCTCAACAATGGAAAATTCCTGAAGTGGGACGATAGATCGAGTTGATATACGAGTAGAAATAAGGTAATGAGAGCTTTGAATCGAGATAGGCTCGACTATAGTGCACTGGCATACTTCGACAATGGAGCCGTGGACTACAACGAATATTTGTAGAGAGGGCTTCTGTCACCCATCTTGTCCAACTCCTCCTCTGTAAATCTGGTGCGTAATTCATTCTCGGTCATCTTTGCATTCCTTGCGTTGCTCTTCATCAACAAGTACTCGAGCGCTAGGGCGGCGATCAGCCCGGCCGAGGCAAAAGCAAGAGAATTACCGTACCCCGTCGGATACTTCGGTGCCTCATCTTCCTGATAAATGTACGAACCAATCACGCCCCCGATATTACCGGCACACACAAGATAGCCAATACTGATAGCTCTTTTGATGGGGCCGGCCTGGTTAGCAATGTTCCAAGCATTGACACCGGGGAAAATTGGGTACATGCCGGCGCAAGCCAGACAGACGGCGAAGTAACATAGGGCAGTATCTGTTTGTATGGCGGCCGCTTTGGTGAACAATGTTGAGAATGCTACGATGACGCAACATTGGGGTCCCACAATGAATGGCATCCGCCACCTCGATCCATCCGCTAGCAAAGATAGAACATAAGCTGAAAGAGCACCGCAGACGTAAGGAGGTATAGTAAGTAGTTGCGCGTTAGCGGATGTGAAGCCCATGGACTTGACAATCGTGGGCATAGTAAACTTCATGGCGTAATTGGGAACGGCGTTAGACCAGGTCGCCAATATAAGCAGATAAATCTTCCAGTCTTTGACAACTTCCAGGAAGGCATGTCTATCGAAGATCCCATCGTGTTGCTTTCGGGGATTGTTGCTAGATCGGGCGACTTGTCGAAGCTCTAGGTAGCGGACTTCATCAGGTTTGAGCCAGCTAGATTTCGAAGGAGAATCAGCCAAGAAAAGGAAGCAAGCGATCCCCAAAGCGGTTGTGGCGAGCCCTTCGATGATAAAAATCTTGATACTTTCGTCAGCGCACAGCAGCCCAGTCTAAGTTTCGACCGTTGGGCTCACCCATCGCCAGCCCTGATAACCTCCAATGCCGTTCATTTTCGCTATGGCGTATGCAAGAAGGCCGGAGAAAGCGCCCCCGGTAGCGGCTGAGGTGTAGAGAAGCGCTATGCGTGACTGAGTCTCCTCTGGTAGGTACCACTTTGATATGAGAAGAATAGCGCCGGGGAAGAACCCAGCCCTTTTGTTGTGTTAGCTCGGTTTTAGCGGAAACAACACGATATACCTACTCAAACAATCCCAAAAGAAAGCGAATGGTGGCAAGGCCAGCAAAATTCTGTACAAATCCGGTACATGTCATGACAATACCCCAGCAGATGACAAGCATGCCGATGAAACGTGACGGTTTAGCGAATTTATTCAGAAGCATATTGCTCGGAACCTCTATATCACTTAATGAGCTAGCTGTCGAAGAAGCAGGAAGATGCACTCACCCGCTAGCACATAAGGGATGAAGAAGATAGACAGGGCGATGTTATACTCATTTCCGCTCATTCGTAAACCGGTCGTGAGTCCCTCTATGGCAGCGTTTCCTTCAGCAAGTCAGTGCCGATCTGGATGATTGTGCTCATAAAGTGTTACCAATGTTAGTCTTGTCAAGATACGCAACGAGATACAGCACGAGGAGCATCGGAATGAGATGAATCTAATATCTGATTAGTAGAAGTGTACGACTATGAGCGAGGCCTCCTTACATCAACCCTTCGGATGATTGTCTTTCTCCGGTCCTCGGAAAAGTTTTCCAGGAAAGCGACATCCTCATTATTCGTTTTGGACGTGTTGGCGATCTGCTCTTCGTGGGCGATATCCATCTTCTCGATGGGACAGTTCTCAAGGCCGGTTCTGTCACTAGAACTTGCCACACCAGCCATGATTTCAAATGTAACCGAGGTAAGAATGAAGTTCAATACTCTGCCGACAAAGAATTCTTCTAAGCAAAAGCTTCTGGATTTGAGGTTTGTTTCCTCGGGAGAGATTTCCAACCATTTATTCACTGGCGTGTTAATTGCCTGGAGCCTGGGGAGTGAGGAAAGGAATGTATTTAAAAACTTAGCCTTTACTTAGGTATCCGGTGATCAACGGATTGTTTTCCGACGTGGACAGGTTCTTCTTCAAAACACTTCTATTCAAGACTTAACGGGGTTACGTTGCTCTGGGGATCAGCACTAACTATGCCTCTGCGACTTTGGCTGTGTAAGATGAATGACAAGTGGGGAAATCGGTCATTAATACCTTCGATCTGCATATTCACGCGACATCGCTTTCGGCTCGTATGCTGTATCCTATCACGTTCACCGCTGAATCCGCTTGCGGTCCTTCATGCACCTCCTCACCAATCGCGGATCTGAGTCCGGGAATCCGGGAATCCGAAGGGGCCCAAAGGAGATATCATCGTCAGATGTCAAGTCTATAAAACCACCAGTCCATCCTCGACATCTTGGTTGCAACCGATAGTTGCGGAGAAGTAGAGTTTACCCTGATCGGACAGCTATTAAAGAGAATTTCACCTTCTTTCATCCAATTCTACCTTCACCCACTCATACCCGTCAAAATGAATGGAACAAGCGGAATCACCGACACCAGTACTGGCTTGGATCTGCGTGGCCTCATACCAGCTCCCGTAACGCCTTTCAACGAGGATGATAGTGTTGACTATTCCGCAATTCAACGTCTAGGTTCCTGGCTGGGATCCATCCCTGGCGTCAAAGGACTTGTCGTTCTTGGTCATGCGGGTGAGGGTACGTTCTTGACCCAGGAGGAGCAAGTCTCTGTGATCAAGGAATTTGTTCGATCTGTCGAGAATAGAATCCCGATCATCGCAGGGATTACAGGCGAGGGCACAGAAGTCGCCGCTCTCGAAGCGAAACGCGCGAAGGATGCGGGAGCGGCTGCTGGACTGCTGTACCCTTCTCACGGCTGGCTGCGATTTGGCTACCAGCTAGGTGCGCCGCAGGACCGGTACAGACGGGTATTTGAAGTCAGCGGACTGCCATTGATTCTCTTCCAATACCCCGACAACACCAAAGCAACATACAGCCTCCAGACAATGCTGGACATCGCGGCTCAACCAGGTGTTTTCGCAATGAAAAATGGGGTGCGCAATATGCGTCGGTGGGATACCGAGATTCCAGTAATTCGAAAGCAGCGACCGGATCTGCAGATTTTGACATGCCACGATGAGTACTTGCTACACACGATGTTCGACGTCGACGGTGCTTTGGTTGGCTACGGAAATATAGCTCCTGAGCCCTTGATTGAGCTGATTGAGGCCGGCAAGGCGAAAGATTACAAGAAAGCAAGAGAAATTCACGACCAGCTTCTACCGGTCACCAAGGCTGTATATCACCGGGGCTCGCATATGGAAGGCACCGTTGCGCTCAAGCATGCTTTGGTTGCGCGAGGTATTCTCAGTCATGCCACTGTTCGGTCACCGTTGATCCCACTGGAAAAAGGAGCGCCGGAAGAGATTCATGCGGCTGTTAGTGCCGCTAGCTTAAGCCGCGTTGTTTAAGCCATCCAATATACGAGAACAGTACTTTTGCAGACAGGTACTCAAATTTCGACGAGGAATCTTTATTTTCTTTTACTGAGCTTTCTGGACAACTGGATGTGAAAACGAGTCAAGTCATGTAGAAGAATGATGACATGGTCGGTCGGTTAGGAAGATAAGGTTCATTGGGTTAATTGAGTTAAGTGGATGTGCCGATTTCGAGCAAGTCTGAGATGTAATTTTCCCGAGAACCCAAGGAACTTCCTGGGTTAAGCCACCGCATGCCAGATCATCTTCACCCTGTGACTGGGCTGACAACATGTAGTAAAAGCCGCTGATCATAGCCGTTATCCATCGGGTTCTCGAATATCTCGGAAGACTTCCTTTTTGATCCAAAAGATTTACATATTCTAATTATATGAAGTGTCTCAAAAACTGCTATGTCGACTACGGATACTTGGACATGTCACTCAACCCCAGCTCAGTGACGAGGAAACTCTTTCCTCCTCTACACAGAAATAGAATCCAAGGGGTCATCTATTGATCCTTAGACTTGAGAAACAAGCACTCATATCGTCCCAAGGCAATTGGACGAAATCTCTCTGCTATGAGGCCGCACCTTGGCCTTTGGAGTATTGATAAAGATTCCCGAAATGTAGCCATGTAGTTCAGAAATTTCAGATCAGATGGAACGGTATCACAGTGGAGGGGCGCAGAGGTCTCGCGGAAAGGGATTCCAGGACTGGTCCGCTGGCAGCCATTGCCCTCCAACGAGCAGTAACGACTCAAGGTCTGCCTCTGTCGGCACTGGATACTGGTCCCATACGACATAGCTTAAGCTAATAAGCCACTCAAGGTCGGATATTGAATTTTTCCATCTGGTATTTCGCTACGTACTAGCCAAAATGACGTACGAAAGCAGGCTTGACAGTGGATCTTCTTATACAACAGCCGAACCGAGGGTGGGCTTCCGAACCGAACAGGAGGTGACTTTGCGGGGAACCTGGGATCCACCTCCATTCATAAAACGGCAGTACTTCCATAATAAGACCATGTGACCCCATCCTATGTGAGGTCCACCTACGAAAGACCAGCCTCCGGCCGGCTGTTCTGGTGATGTGTGCCAACTCTCTGAAATGGCCCCTAAGGCCAGAAAACGAAGAGGCGGCTCGGCCCGATTACATTTCTCCGCATATTTCAATCCGGATTTCTATCTACCGCGTCGACAAGCCGTTATTAGACCTACTCGTATTTTAAAGAAAGACTAGAAGAGGACTCGTGTCCGGATAGTCGAGCTGGATATGAAAATTGCATTTAGTTCTATTAAGGTACTTATGAGCTGGATCCAGCCCGTGCTCTAAGACGGGATGCACAAGAGCCTCTTCTCCCTGCAATAATCGACCAGAGAGTCATCTCTTGAACCTCCCGTTATCTGCAGGTCATTATAGTTTGCCTGTCATGCGCATCTTGCTATTGACTCTCGTCAACCTCGTCATTGCTACAGGCATCGGCTCGTCCTACCGATTCGAAGATGCCTCGCTCTCGGTCCAGATTACTGGCGGACTCGTGAGAGGTGTCATTGACAGCCAATTGCCATCCGTACGCCAGTTCCTGGGCATTCCATACGCGCAGCCGCCTATTGGGGGCTTGCGTTTCGCGGCGCCTCAACCAGCTGGACAGTTTGGAACTATTAACGCCACCTCGTTGCCACTCAGCTGCCCGCAGACGTTTTCGAACGCGTCTGGTACAATCTACAGCAATTATGTCCTTGAGTTCAACCTCCAAGGCCTGAACTACACAGCGCCAACGAGCGAAGATTGCCTAAAATTGAGTGTATGGGCACCGACTGAGATGCCTCAGGATGGTGGCCTGCCTGTATTGATCTTCATCTACGGCGGCGGGTTTGGCACCGGCGGCATGGACGTCCCTTATCAGATTCCAGCTCAGTGGGTGCAACGAACACAAGACCACATCGTCGTCACCTTTAACTACCGCGTCAACATCTTCGGTTTCCCGGGCTCGGCAGCCCTACCTGCCGACGGTTTCAATTTGGGTCTGCTGGATCAGCGCCTGGCAGTTGAGTGGGTTGCTGCCAACATCGCTGCCTTTGGTGGTGACCCGGATCGCATGATCCTCTGGGGCCAGAGCGCTGGAGCCGCTTCGGCCGCCGTCTACGGCTACTCATATCCTGATGACCCACTCGTCCGAGGCCTGATTCAGGATTCGGGGACGGAGGCCTTGGTTGGCAGTCTACATCCCGAGCAGGTGGCGTCCAACTTCAGTTTTGTCGCGGCAAACTTGGGCTGCGAAGGCCTGGACCCAACGGAAGAACTCGCGTGCATGCGCCAGGTCCCGGCCGACGATATCGAGAACTTTCTGCTCGCCTACAGCGTTGCAGGGAAGACACCGAGCTTAAGCTTCTCACCGGTCGTGGACGAGAAGCTCGTTTTCAGCAATTGGTCAGAAAGAGCTTTAACGGGCAACATTGCCAAGATTGTAAGTTCATCGACATTAACAGAGGTCTGAACGGGCACAGAAAGGCGCGAAGGAGCATTAAGATGTGGCTCACTTCCACCCTAGCCAATATTTGCCAACACTGACACACCTGCTTTTGTAGCCTGCCATCATGGGAACCAACAAAGACGAAGGCGCGTTCATGCCTTATGACCCAACCGACCCGGCACAGGTGGCCGTTTTCAACCAGACACTCCAGGGTGTCTTCCTATGTCCCGCTGTGATGTCTACTAAGTGAGCCTTCAATAACTCCCTGCCAGTCGTAGACGCATGAATTTTCGTTTTTTCAACATGTGTGTCTTCCACTAACCAATTCAACCTTCTCAGGATTCGAGCTGCAGCCGGCCTTGAGACCTACCGATATCGATACTCAGGCAACTTTAGCAACATCTCTCCGACAAATTGGCTCGGCGCGTACCATTCCTCTGAGTTGCCATTACTCATGGGGACGCACCCTAACTTTCGCGGCAACTCTACCCCTGAAGAATACGCTCTTTCTACATTTATGCAGGATGCTTGGGTGGCCTTTGCTCGCGATGGTGGTGCTGCTCTGGAAGCACTGGGGTGGCCGCGCTACGACAACAGTACAGCCGATGGCTTGATCATGCAGCTTGGTCAGGGCGATACGGACCATACTGATACGGCTGACTGGCTAGAACAGAGATGTTAGGTTTATGGAGGTTAGAATAGTACCCCGCCCCAGAGTTCAAAAGCCCAAAGGATTCAATGACATGTCCCGCATTGCATCTTGTAAATTTATGTAGTATGTATGGGGCTGCTCAAGTCTGACGCCCGGGGGGGGACCGGGCGTGGGTTATCACACGACCTGCTGATCCGGTACAGGCACATTCGGCAGACCTTCAACTGGAGTAGCGTCTCTTCTTAATTCATGAATGGAATTGGAGATTCTTTGAAGAGTTTTAAATGACCTTCCTTCCCTCTTCTCATTTTGGCTCCGGTTTGGTGAGGAAACCTTAGGCCGGATTGCTAAGGCTGTCCAAAAAGAACGTTTTACTGTACTCTGGGGATATAATTATATACAAGCAAGTACATGAAGTTGATGTTATGAACACTTGATACAGCATAGCAAAATCCCTCGACCCTAGGAAGCATTTAAGTCTTCCATCGTTGTCTATGCACTGGGTCCGGTAGTTTCTGGAACTCCGCACTAAAATCCAACAACGTATTAGAGAGACATTCTCGTGCTTCGTTCCCAGTCAACAAACAGGGGTCTAGACTCACGTAGTACACAACCAGGCTGCCGCCATCAAAAATGGTCTCAAGTGAGACTTCCTCGTTCTCGGCCGGCTCAACCGTGATATCGTTCCGCGTGTTCCAAGAAATCTGCGCGACGGAAGCCGGTTGTCCGGTCCCAGGCGTCACCGTAGCATTGCCCCATACGCCGGGGTCTCCTCCAGTTGCTTCGGCAAAGATTTCGACACCAACTTGTTGGGGCGGGTACGGTGAGCCGTATCCGACAGCGCCGGCGACTTTGATGATCAGACGGCCGTCGAAAGGCGACGCGATGTCGAAGTCTGTGATGTTGGCTGACGGAGAAGACTGGCTGGTGGCTCCTTCGAGGACAGCCTCTAGTGCGGTAGTGCTGTCGCAGCCTGTAGTTGCATTAGCGACGCAATTAACCGAGACGTGTCTGCTGCTCTGCGCCGCATCAAAACTCGGGGCGGAAAATATACTTACGAGAGAAGTCAGCGCGAACGCCCCAAGAGCCTTGGGACACAGCAGCGTGAGCACTACCGGCCGCGACAAGAGCAGTCAAGAAAACAGACGAGAACATGATGGGCTAATGTTTATTTGAATCGTGATATTGGATATCTGTGCAGTCTGTGGTAGAGCGAAAGGGCCTTGATCAGTGCTGCTGGGCTGCAGGTGTTTATATTCGGTAGAGACGGCAAGGAAGAAATGTCCGATTCCCCTGCCAAGCCAACGAAACTAAACATGATCTAATTCGGGATGAACTCTACAGTGTCATGGTTATGCGTGGCTCCACTAATTGATCAGCCGTCATTTATCTCGTATAGAGTGAGCCAAGACCCTCGCATTTCGAGCGAGTCAAACTCAAAGTCCCGATTTCCTGCAAGAGAGGAACTTCTAGCTTTCCCCATTATTAATAAGACGCTAGTTTTGCGCATGTCTGAGTACAGCCACCTTTACGACATGACTGACTAACGTGAAATTGATACCACCTTCAGCGCGAAGGAGTGGCCGTGTAAACGAGCCGATCCTTTCCAAAAATGCTCATGCGGATGCCATGAAACCGGGACCGATTGAACGAAAAGCGTAACTGTAGTAACACAACGTATCTTCCAGAAATCTAATTGACGTAAAATAAACAAGACTATCAAAGATGCAGCTCGTTCCCTTATTGCAATACTCTTCTCTAATGCTCAGTGATGGCAATAATCCGCCATTCCAGCAGGAAGTCTGAATACTAGCGCTTGATATGCCCATGAAAATGTTAAATGGCCACTTCACGATTAGGCCCATACTGAAGACTCCACAAGTCCGGGGGAAAGTCGACTTCTCCAGTGGTCGCGTTCGCCTGCGCGTCCGTCGGGAGCATACTAAAGTCGAAGAATTCCACATCAAGCTCGAAGATGCTGGCCCCAGCCTGGGGCACCGCTTCACATGGCTTGTCGTCGTCAGACAAGAAACCCGAGATCTGTGGCTGTGTGGTTGTTGGGGCGGAGGTCGTCGCGTGTTCTCCCTGGAAACCGCGCGCGAGTCTTGGGACCGGTGGAGGAATGGCCGGCCGGGCCGGATCACTCTCAACCGATGCCCGGGTGATCTTGGAGGACGTGCCGTCCGACTTGGGATCATCGCACGGGGTCAGACTCTGGCTCCAGCGATCGGCGATACGCTCAAGGCCGTCGCTGAGCACTCGGCGTAAAAAAGCACTATCCTGCTCGTTCCAGATATGGACCCCTCGCAGTTGCTCAATCATGATGGAAGGACCCTCGGCACTTGCGTAGTCACGAAAGGACTGGAGCTCTGCGGATAAGAGCCGGTCCACATACGGAGACCTAGGGGGATCATGACCCGGAAAACAAATGTCGAAGACGTGGAACCACTGCTGCTCTGCAGACGTTTTCGACGAGCACTTTCCGTTGAGCTTTTGCGCCTGTAGGTCATTGATACCCTCGACGGTCATACTCGCGTTCTCCAGGCAGTTCCTTCGCCTTACGTGGGTATCTCGCGCCTCCTCAGAAGGGAACGTCTCGCTGCACACCGGGCAGTATATAGCCCTGCGATGACACCTCCTCAGATGCTGCTTAACATCTCTGACCCTTTTCAAGTCGTATCGATAGCAACGCCTATATCTCGCGGGGGATTTCTTGCTAAACGGACAGGCGAATGACTGATGCTCCGTCGATTCTTCTTCAGCCCTTTTAGGTCTTTTATGCCTTCTTGGGCCAGTGTCATCGTCATCTTCGACATCCTCACTCTCCTGAGGGCCGCCCTTTCTCTTCTGGCCAGTAGTCTGCCTGCCACGGCTGGTGCTGGAATGCGGTTCTGTGTGGCTCTCATTGCTGCCAGAACCAGTTTCATTGCTGTTCGGGCCGGATTTGTACTGCTGGACTGTGGTATTGTACGAACCGTAGCTCTCCAAAAGCAGATTAACGATTCGATCTCTCTGACTCTCAAGAGGATGTGGTTGCTCAAAGTCCGAGACATCTGCTTCCGTTTCACTGTAAGACGAAGATGACTCGATACCAGACTGGTCCTGGGCCGTCTCCTCGGATGGCAGTCCACCTTCGGTTGGAAGCTGGTCTTTTTTTATATACGGAGGTCGTCGAGGCGAGTCTGGACTGCTAGTCCCGGCGCCCATGACGGGGCCGCTAATGGAGGCGGCCTTTTGCTCCTCCCACTTTTCTAGAGCAAATTCTGGCTGGTCGTCATCGCTTGATCCTGATGGTGAGCTAACGACATCAGAGCTCAGGGACCCATACAGCCGAGGGTAAAGCCTCGTAATTCTCTTCCGGCTCTTCGCAACCCTCAGCCGCTTCCCTTGCTGCGCGTCCTTCGCGATCTTCCTCGTCGCCCTAGGTGAGAGCCACGACCATCGCCTGCCACGCTTTCCGACTCGATATCTCCGATAAGGTTCGGAGATCTGAGACAAGAGGGTCGAGTGGTCATCGGATCTTGCTTCTAGTTCTTTGGGGACGGGCGCTGGGCTTGACAGTGGGTGAGAATGACATTGGGAGTCGGATGCATGATCGTCGGATGGATGTTTCGATTGACTTTCGGTGGCATCGTCTGTGGCTATTGTCAATATTCTCTGATGGGTAACATGGGGCTACACAGGACGCGTAATTGTATTGGAATGCAAGTGGCTGTCCTCACCGATTTTGGCTTCGAGTATAGTACGACGTTCGCTCGGGATGTGTGATGGTTGTAAGACTTCCGTTGACTTGACCTGGCTTGGTGCCTCCACATAGTTTGGAACCGCCAAGGCGTTATCCAATTTGATTATATCGGAGTCTGAAGACTTCGAGTATTGCGATGGCATAGAGTCAGCTTTGTAATCATCGAGGGGAGCCTCGTTTTCCTGGTCGTTCCCCATTAGGTTCTGAAATATGAGGACGTTATTCTTATCATCGGCTCACCACAATGGGCTGGACCCCTTCCAGAACTCCCGTATTTCCAAGAGAAGGAGTCGTGAGCAGTGACGCTGGCTGTACGGATCCCCAGCTTTTACATATGCCGTTGTCTTCCAAGCCGTCAACAGCATCAAGACGACCACCGTCAGCGGTTGAGTCATCAATCTCTTCTCCTATTGTGAGGAGTGGTATCGGTCTGTCCGAGTGGGTTGGCCCAGATCTTGGGGAAACGGGTGGTGATTCGATATAAAACTGGTGTCCATTGGAGGCCGCCGTGCCCTTGCCGAACGTCCACTGGCTCATGCAATCGAAGAGCGCTGCATGGCATGAGCCAATGGCCCAAGGTTGGGGGTCTTGAATCAGACCGCCAATTCCGTAGTCGTGCGTCGCATTTGAAGGAGATTCCCAACTGGCGATTGAGCTCACACATTCCATGATGGCCAGATTTCAACTTGACTCGGATCTCGTATCAGCACTCAGTGATGCTCATAGAGTGATGGCTGCCTGAGGAAGAGAAAACTGCGGGGCCTTTGGGGCATGCCAGCTTATTATGGAATCTTTCGAATTAGTTGAGAGCACAGCGGCGCTCTCATAGCTCAGACTCTCACCGGTGCTCTCCGTGTTGCCTGCATATGCGCTGCAGGTCAATACACGTAGTCAATCGGACGCTCATCCTATTGGCCATTGCGTTTCTGCATCAGCAAGAGCTATTTGTATCTGGTACTTATAGCCACTCATCTGGCTCCATCCATCCCCCCAAATTCTCAGCCTCCACGACGGCATCAAAATGGCCATGTCCTGAGCCAATTATTGCCACGCTCGTATCAGTAGTCAGATAAGCCCCCCCCCCCTTAAATAAGAGCCACAGTGTCTGCCCTTAGGCCGTACCAGATCACGGTCGAAAATCACAGCAGTTGTTGTTGTTGACTTGGTGCGACATGCAACGCTGCTGCGCGTAGCGCACGGTCGAAATGTTTCCTCGATGGTTCAGATTCCGAGGGACGATAATATATGTTTGAAGCAACTTGCCGATGTGTTTTCAAAGCCTTTTAGTCAATGTTAATTTTGGTACTACGACAACGCTCACGTTATTAATGCTCTTCGGAAATGTCTCAGTGTTCGAGATGCATAACATCTCTTAGGCGAGATGTTTCTCAACAGACTCTTGATTATTTGCATTGGGCGCAAGGAAACATCTTTGACTGATTCGATGACTCTTGTTAGCCCCATGTGGCAACGGTCCCCAACAGTCCTGAATTGCTACCGACATATATGCCTCCGCAGCTGTAATCGTTTGGCTCACCCTAACGAAGTCACATAGACTGGGGGCTGGTCCCGGGCACTCACATGGGCACAGATTGGTCTCGAATTACTCGTTATTTCTACAATTTGTGCGATCAAACTGATTTTACGCCTGAGGCTTCAACTATTAGTCCAGGAACTAGCCCAGTCCTAAGATCCGTAGTAGTATCTGTCTAGTGTAGCACTACTGTCATATGAGCGCAGCTTACTGAGCTTTTCTCATCAGGCCCTGGCCCGGCCCATATCTATATTAACGACTTCACATAAATGCCTAGATGCTGCCCACTAACAAATACCGATAGGGCCCTGACCAGTTTGCCTTCAAGAATTGAAGACAATTCGCATATATATTCCACTTGCCCACCCAGCGGTCTACAGCAATTGGGATATTCAAAGTCACAAATAAAGTACACACAAGTGGAGAAAGACCCTAAATTCGACCTGAAAACTAAAAACAGCAGGCTCCACACCTAAGAAAATGACCGGGAATAAATCACCACGATGTTGTCAGGGACTCAGCGGCTCCATATATCGAAGGGACTGCTGCCACGGCAGGGACCCTCCAGGCCACAATCACCAAAGCTGCTGCCCCGGCCACTGTCGTCGCAATCGTCTTTTGAGCTGGGAGGATTGCTGCAGCTGCTGTCCGAGCATGGATACACGCCTTGAGAGAAGGATGAGAGAGGAGCGCTGTGAAGAATTGAGGGAGAAACAGGAGGAACAAAGGCGTGGCAGGAGAGACTCCAACCATGTTCCGACCCGGGATGAAATCGATGATATGGGAAACTCGATATTTATAGGAGCGATTACGGCCGTGGCGTCATTTGTTTTCTTTCGCTGGAGGAGGAGTGAATGATTTTGGGGACAGGTGTCTAGCTGAAACTGGGAGGAAATGAGTCTCCATCTGCTACTAAGGTAATGTTGACTTCGCGAGGTCATTGTCGTACTTGATGGAGATCAGAAATTCACAAGGTGCATTTGTGGGCTATCTGCATTGTGCCTATTCACAAATTGAACGTCGACGAAGAAGCCATCACGCCACCGACATTTCCATGCGTCTTCATAGGTGCAACTGAGTTGGAAACCAGCGACCTGAGGGATAGAATTTATGCCAGTAAACAAGAACCCATTGAATGAAGTATGTCGGAAGCAATCTTGAGGCATACCGTGATGCCAGCTCGGCGGTCTCTCTCACCTATTTATGAAACATACGACCTTTGAAAATGATCCCGGTAACTTATGAATCAGGACTTTAAATTTTCCTATTCCCAAATCAGGGGCAGCTACATCTTTGTCTGATACTCATAGACTAATTGCTTTGCAATTGTCTTGGCTGCTTATGCTTTTGGGTATTTTCACCCATGCAATTTTGTCATTAATCATTCAGGGAACTCCTGAAACCCAGAAATACCGAATCCTGCGCCGCAAAGGACACCGAACAAATGGCTATGAGTAGCGCCGCCTAGGTGATGCCGACTCACCACGTCCATACCCTTCGTCAGACTCTACGCTTATCTTGCGGCCATGGTGATGTTTTGACCCACCCAGCGCGCATGGTAATATTTCTTTGTACTTCCTCTCGAATCGGAGCAGCTTCTCTATCCCCTCTGATTCTTCGCGGCTGGCAGGCCGAGGTGACCAGTATGGGCAGCCTTGGTCCAAGTCTCCGGCTGGCGAGGAGGAGACACCAGAAAGCTCGTCAATGAGGACTAATCGTCGTGCTTCGTGGTAAGGGACCATATTCGAAACGGATGATGTGCCAAAGAGGAGACGCATGTTGGAGGGTGTGTCTTGACCTGTTACTACGAGACGACGGATTGGGTACCTATGTATCTGTCAGACTACCTGATGTAGAATCATGATTGACATTATCTTGCACAAGACGGCCGAAACATGGGAGAGAAGGCCAAGTTGGGTTTAAAAGAATTGGAATTACATACATAAAATTACTCTCAGGACCGCCGGCACTGCCGTTTGGGAAGGATAGGTTTAATTTGTCTCCCAACGCGCGTGCCTCCTGTTGCTGGTGTGCTTCGTACACCCAGTGCTGGTGTGCCTTGTAAGTCTCTTTGGGTGTGCGTGGCATGTTGATTTTGATCTGGGATCCGTTTTTGTAACCTTCCGTTGAGATGATTGTATTCTTCCCTGGAACGCCTTCAAAGCTGAGAATTAGAGGAACAAATAAATGGAATTTCTGGCTGTAATAGGCCACTCCAGACTGATCTCAGATGAAAGCCCCTGGACTTCCGTGCCTTTTATACCATGACAATCGGCATGTGCCCGGGTCCGTGACACAATGAAGGGCTCCATGTCAGACGTTTCGTCGTGTTTGTCCCATGACTTGCTAGGTGGTCTTACATGCTACCGCAATGCTGTAAGGTTAGGCGCGGCTCGTTGCGGCCCGCCCCTTTTTAGGTAATTATGGGGTAATACTCCTGGACTTTGGGGCAACAGCCGTCAAAGTATGGGGTAATACCCACCTAATATGGGGTAATGCCAAGCGGGCGTCCATGACGAGCCAGGGGAGGCTGACTGGGAATAGCCTTGGCCGCCTGAAGGCGACATTTGCGTGCGACATGGCAAGGCGGACGCGGGCGTTTGTTCCCGCTGTCATTTAAGCTGCGGCATTCCCGTCATTCGACTTGGCAAAGCTGGGACCTGCCTGGTCATCGCGCCATGGGATTTGCATATTGCGGACTCCAGGACTGGAAGTTCAGATAGAGACCCGGATCGTCAGCTTCTTCAGGGGCTGAAGTCTCTTGTTGTTTCTCGAAGTCTGTCCCTTTCACGGTGCAGTTCAATCAGAATTCCGTCATATACAAGCACAAGGCTTCTAGCGCAGTCAGTTCTCGGTCCCGATCGCCCCTGCGAAGCAGTGAGACAGTGTCTCAACGTCCCGTGCTCCGAATCACGAATGGTGAGGAATACAAGCTATGGCCCGAACACGAGCAGGATGATGACATCTGTCACTCTGGTAACCCACTGAAGCTCTGTCTCAACGGAAGCAGAAAATATGAGGAAGAATTCGGAGGGCATCCAATCCGATGTCCAAACGTTTGAGCTTACCAAAGGAGAAAGCAATTTGCACCCGTCAATGGGCCCGGCATATTGTGAATAATCTGCTTTCGAATGCTTAGTGCACAACGAGTGGTCATCAATCTATTGGGAGGGCTCCAATTGCTACCCATCGAGAAGCTTGATTCACGCTACCTAGGCGTCTGACGAGACTAAGTAGGCAAGCGTTTTGATTTGTGGTCGGGACCAGTGTCCTGGTTCGAGCCATGGAAGGGCGTGCGTAAGCCTGATTACTACGATTCATTTCAAGCTGACGACGTCTCCGAGGTCATTCAACTTCTTCCTAGGCACTTTGCTTCTCTCATGATGGAAGAGGGGTACCATGCCCTACAGGAACACTGGAAAGCCGGGGACGCAAGTGACCCTGACTCGCATGCGGCATGTGGATGATGATAACACCGATTACAATATTAAGCGGGACGATGGGAATCATTCTGGTTTCATGAATCCAGCAAGATTGCATCAGGCCAATGGCTACTCCGGTCGTGATAGTTTGTATGTGTATAAATATGATATAGTGGCTAGCCAAGAGACAGGAACCGGGCTAGAACTCCCGGAAACAAGCGAAACAGGAAGCACGCACCGATCTTGTCCATGCGGTCCGAAAGCAACTGTCAGGTGACTTTCACACGCAGCACGTCTCTCTTTTTCTGACGTCCCTGCTTCGTGACAACTGGAGTGTATTTTAGAAGATAACATCACTCGACACGACTGGGCCATCGCCCAAATCGAGAAACAGGACCGTTCAACAATCTATAGTATCTTTCTTCACTTGATGTATCGCCACCCCTTTGGTATATTTAGTAAGTCTCTTCCTGTTCACTGCTGACGCTCATGTTTTGTAGTTGTGTGATGCGGCTGTTGGTCCCAAGTTTCTGTGTTTCTTTGATAACTTCTGCCTACTGTTGGTATTGCACATATTGTTGATCCGCCCTGTGGCATTGGCGGACACAATCGTCCAATGGAAGTCTGGAGCAGCTTGTGTCGCTACTAGATATGTCGAAAGACATGGCAGAGCTCCATGGTCTGCTTATCGTCATCGAAGTTTTGATTGCTATGAATACCTGGGCGCCTTGTCATAGGGCGCGCCGAAAGCGCTCACAGAAGTTGCAGTACCAAGGACATTGCTGCGGCCGTGCTCTTATATAATTCTGTGCTGTAACGCGTCCCTAGAAAAACTCGCAATCACACATTAGCATCCGAGCTCAACGTTGGAGTTGCGTCTCTCCACTTATTGAGAAGCCAAGAAATGCTTCCAAGACTTTTCAATGCCACGAAAGGAAGTCCGTTTGCCGGCAAAGATTAACGCGCCTTGGCGGGACGTGGAAATCTCAAAACACCATACAATATCCCCGCTCTGGCTACTGATACTAATGGAGCACAGATAAGACACTCGCTACTAGTATAAACTAGCGGGTGGCTGTATTTAATGAGCCGAGCAAGATGCCTATTTCATTCTCAAGAAAATGGTGACTTGCTGAGCTACCTGATCTGTCTACTTTTACCCACCTGCTTGGGGAGGGTTGTCGACATTGGTAATCACGAAAGTTCTCCTCATACGCAAGAAAAGATGTGGTCTCTTCAGCAAGTCGCGTTTACCATCCTGTTGTTGCGTGGAGTGGCTTCGCAAACCCAATATGGCGGCAACTCTGTACGCGTCGTGCCCGACCCGCCGATCGTGGAATCGCGTGCATTTTCAGCTCCCAATGCGACCTTGTACAGCCCCTCATTTCTCCTCAACGCGTCGTTTCCACAAGGATGGGCAGAGGGGACCGCTGGGGCGACGAGCGAATACTCTTTGCGTAAGCCAGAAGAGATTGAACAGGCAGATGTGTGATAGACAGACAACGCTGACCAAAGCTTAGACACATTTCTCCAAAGCCTGGCGGACAGAAACCCGTCATGGATGAAGTACCAGACTGCCGACTTCGATTCTGAAGAAGGTCGAGCGTTTCCCTACGTTGTTCTCAGCAGCGGCAGTGCCAATTCCAGCATCAATTCGCTAGGGAATGGCAAACTCAAGGTCTGGCTCCAGGGTGGAGTGCACGGAAACGAGCCTGCCGGTGACGAAGCATTGCTCGCGCTACTAGGGAAGATGGACGCGAATCACGAATGGGCGACGAGCATTCTAGCGACGCAAGACATCGTCGTCCTACCTCGTTACAACCCAGATGGAATTTCTTATTTTCAACGAACACTTGCAACAAATTACGACCCGAATCGTGACCATATCAAGCTGGCTCGTCAGCAGACACGGGATATCAAGGAGCTATTTAGCGGATTTGGTCCACATATTGCAGTTGACATGCACGAATACGGTGCTTCGTCCAGGTATGCTACGAATTATAGCAATGCTGCCGATGGAATGTACTCGGCTGCAAAGGTGCGTCCCAGATTAAGCCTCCCTTACCGGAATGTCATAAGTCCAATAGATTCTGATGTCTGGATAGAATCTGAACATCTACACTTCTATTCGCAATATCTCAGAGGCGCTTTTTGCGAAGAATGTTGGCAGTGACCTCACAGCTGCTGGGCTGCGCGGTGAGCCGTACATGACTAGCAGCTCATCCTCAAACCCGGTCCGGCTCGTTGAAGCAGGCAGTGACGCTAAAATTGGCCGCAACGCCATGGGCCTTACACAGACCGTAACATTCCTTTTCGAAACTCGAGGTATTGGGATTGCCAGCCAAGAGTTCAAGCGTCGCACCTACGCAGGGCTCACGATGGTTTCATCCATCCTCCAGACTGCCGCTGACAACTTCGAGGAAGTCTATGACACTTTGGAGAATGGCATACAGGAATTTATCGAAAGTGAAGAAGACATTGTCGTCACAGACTACACAACACCGCAAGATAGGACTTGGACGATGGTAAATCGCTATACAGGTGATGTCGTCCAACTGCCTGTTCAGTTCGAGAGCAACACTCCGGCTGTTGCAAACCTTACGCGTCCTCGTCCAAAGGCCTATCTCATTCCTACTGCATGGGCCGACCTTGCCGAGCGCCTGATGGTATCAGGTCTCGATGTTGAGAAGCTGAAAGATGCGTACGCTGGCACTGTGGTAGCATACAATATCACATCTGCTTCTTTGGCAACATCCTACTATGAAGGTGTGGTGCTTAGCTCTGTTACGGCTGAGCCTGTGGACAAAACAGTTTCGCTTCCGCCAGGCAGCTTCCTAGTAAGGACAAAACAAAGAAATGCAGGTATTGCCTTCAATGCGTTGGAGCCGGAAAGCATTGACAGCTATGTCAGCTTCAATATTATACCGCTAGAAGTTGGTGATGAGTATCCAGTGTACAGAGTCTTTTGACATAGCGTTGAATCGCTTGATTCGTCTGTGATACCATCATTCATATCGGCTTGGTCGGTAGCGGGTGTCGGAGAAGAAGAAGAAGACGTAGGCACATAGGATCAATAAAAGGTTAGCGCAACTAAGCCAGCTGCCTCAAGAAGGGTGGCTCCTTCTTTTGCTTCAGAAACGAAAGGAAAGAAAGTCAGACAGAGAGTCGAATATCATATGTTTCTGGTGCCAACACCTCTTCCAGCCATTGTCATCGCCGCTTGTCTGTCCGATATGCATTCTTAGTCAGAGACTCTTGCAGCGGCATTGGCACTGGCCACAGCTATTTTCACCACGAGTCCCGGGTACATGACATCTTACCAGTGCCAAATTGCATCCGGAAAAATTATTGCGAGCCTGAGACTCGATCATAGCAGTTGGTCTCTCGCTCGTCGACCCGCCGAGACGTAAATCACACCATAACACCAGTTCCTGTCAATTAGGTAATGAAATACGGATGAGGATCAATACCCCGGGATCCCCACGCTTGTACCCCATCTTTATTCAAAAGCACCTGGGGTATTTATTCTGGTCGCTCGCTGCGGTCAAGCTCTCAACCTGACAAGCACCCGGCCTGGTCGTGTATAGTCCGGGAATAAAGCAATCTTTCCGCGTCACGTAAAAATGGAAAAGGCCGCCACCGACACCGGCCGAATAACGGATGAAGCTTGCCGGCCAGCTCGTCCCCAATCAAACCCCTGCGCAGATCCCGAAGGCCATCTTGAGCCGTCAACAGTCGAACAACACCTACCTACGGTACAGGAGCCTGACATCAACGCAGATGGATTTCCTGAAGGCGGCAAACAGGCCTGGATCGTGCTTTTCGGGACCTGGTGTGTTCTGTTCTGCACTTTCGGTCTCGGCAATAGCATCGGCGTCTTTCAGACATACTATGTCAATCATGCACTCCGCGAATACTCCTCATCGGCTATATCGTGGATTACCAGCTTCATGCAATGGGTTTTGAACTTTCTGCCCATAGTCGTAGGTTCTTCCTCCTTCACTGCATCTTCTTGCGTCTAACCCTGCGTAGTGGGGTTTTGTATTTGACAAGTTTGGTCCAAAATGGCTTTTGGTCAGCGGGACCACTATTTATGTGTTTGGCATTATGATGCTTTCCTTGGGGACAGAGTACTATCACTTCTTCCTCGCCCAAAGCATCGTTTGCCCCATCGGAGCCAGTGCGGTCACTAGCGCGAGCATGTCGTGTCTCATCACCTGGTTCCACCGTCGACGTGCTACTGCTTTCGGCATCATGATGTCCGGGTCATCTGTTGGCGGTATTGTTTTGCCTATAATGATCCCCAAGATGATAGACAGCGTCGGGTTCCCTTGGGCAATGCGAGCCGTGGGGTTCATGTTTTTATTCCTTCTTATGATTGCTTGTGCCACCGTCCGGTCTCGACTTCAATTGGAGAGGAAGCCGGTGGACATGAGAGAATACATACGGGGAATTCGAGAGCCAACCATGATGTCGACCGTTTTTGGACTTTTCTTGGTATTCTGGGGTTTATTTCTGCCTTACAACTTTGTGATATTGCAGGCCAGGGCGCAGGGTATGGATGGTAACCTCGTCATATACCTGCTGCCGATTATGCACGCGTTTGGGTACGTTGACATTCATCTCTCATTCTGCCGCTTTCGCTTTACTGACCCATGAAAAGAATATTTGGCCGTGTTATACCGGGGCTTGTGGCAGACAGGATTGGTCGGTTCAATATTATGATAATCCTTGCCACACTCACAGGCATCGCCTGTTTTGGCCTTTGGATTCCAATCAGCAACGACGCCGGCATTCTGGTATTTACGGCGGCCTTTGGATTTCTTTCGTCGGGCTTGACATCAATCGGACCAACTTTGATCGCGCAAATCTCCGATATCAGGGAGATCGGCGCCCGGACAGGAACCGCTTTTGCCTTTCAATCATTTGGTGCCCTCACAGGAAGTCCAATAGCAAGTGCGATCGTAGATTCGCGCGGAGGGGATTATCTGGGCTTGAAACTGTTCTGTGGGTTTTCGATTTTTGCATCAGCAGGGGTGTTTTCTTCAGCTAGATTTTTTCAGGCGGGCGGCTTTAGACTCAAAAAAGTATAGATGCTATGGCCATCGACGAAGGGAGGGCACGAAACGTCGCGAGCATGTGCTCCAACTTCATGATCAAAGATGTCACCTTTAATCGGCCCATCCAGCGTACGACTTAGACAGGTATCTTTCAGATTTACTCTGGGAATCAACATCTCACAGAAAAGGCGAACAATATGGCAGGCTATCTAGTGGGTGCCAGTACTTCGATGTAAAGTCGCTGTATATGTCACATCACCCTTTAGCTAATCAGCAACCAGCCAGTGCGATCGATGATGCATATTGGTGCCGCAGATTCACCAGGCCAATCTGGCGCAAGAACCCATGCTCAATAGCTGGCTAGGGTAACATTCGCAGTGCTTTTAATGTCCACCTCGTGAGGCTCAACCGGCTCCCAAGATCCCTACCAGACAACGGTTGCATATCCGATGCGAGCGCAGGGGCGGAGCCGGGGCACAGGATCGTGCCGAGCGAGCGGAACCAGCGTCCAGCCAGCGGGGCCGCATCTCTTTGCCGCGGCCAGGGATCCGTGGCCTCTGGGGTCTGGGAGCGAGGACACTGCAGCTGAAACGGGGCATGTGCTGTCCCCCTCCCAACAAATAGCTCGGTCCCTTGTGAACGCTTCTCCAAATGAGGGTGCCGAGGCATTGGTTTGGTCCGAACCCTTGAGAGGCAACGGTGAAGTGGATTTTCACGCCATGCGCGCAAGCTGAATGGTTCTCCTCATTAACTTGTTCAGACGGCTATGCCTAAGCGTGTTGATCTGCGCATGATTCAGCACTCACTCACGCACGTTAGCCAGCCCACAACCAGTGGGGAACAACACCCACAAGCCTGTGAAGCAGTAAGATTGTCCGCGCCCGGTAGTCAGGTCACTAGAGTCTCCTTACCCAGACCATCATTTGCTCTACCTGGACTAGTGTCCCCAAAGTCAGGATGCGGGGCTCACAAGCGTCTCTGAGTCTGGGGTAATGAGGGCACTGCATGGCGCCTCTAATGTTTCATAAACCCAAGTTCACTGTTGTTGCAGGACATGGAGAACCTCTGTGATTCTTCACCTCTCTTTCCACCGACGTGAAGTGCGTGTTCAAACTGGACCGACTATTTTTTGACATCGATAGACCAGGGCTTCCTAAGACATTCTCAAACAATGACTGAGTCGATATCCGAGATTTTGGCGGTCCAAAAGCCAGCCGGCATACCATGGCGTCTCAAAACAGCAGAGCTCATACCCGATGCCCAGTGGCAAATGCTCTTGGCTATCATGGACGCAGTCGTGCCCAGCATTCAGAGAAAGTCGACAGCACCAAAACGAAAGTCTAGATCAACAGCCTACATCTCAGACAGCCGCTATCAAGATGCAGTGTCACATCTGAAGAAGAACACGGTGCTGCTCGATCATGCGTCTGAGGAGGAGTTGGACAAGTACCTATCGGACAGGCCGACAGATGACCTGCTATTCCAGCAAGTTCTGAAGGGAATGCTGCATCATGTTCCTGAGGACTTGATGACGTTGCTGTCACGGGTTCTCTATATACTCACGTACGCATTCTATTGGCTCTGATGAGTGGCCACAAAGAAGCTGACAAGTGCCCAGCACCCAAGCCGGCAGTCTCGTCCTCACCGGGTATATGACGCCCATCACCGGTCTAGCAATAGAGGACCGCACGAAGATTCTCAACAGATGGGCCAACAGCAATCTCTACCAGATCCGTGGGCTCTACAGACAGCTCACCACTTTGGGCAAGATTGTCTTCAGTGCCACCAACCCGACTTTCCACACTCTTTCTGGATTTCCCACGACACCCCAAGGCTGGAAACCGCCGACCGGCTACCCGTACGAATTCATTCAGTTCCAGTCAGCTTCGACTCCAGCCTCTGGCGCAAAAGCCCAGCCCAAGACTCCACCGGTCGAGATCGAAACCGATGTAGTGATAGTCGGCTCAGGCTGCGGCGCCGGCGTCTGCGCTAAGAATCTCGCCGACGCAGGCCACCGGGTCCTGGTCGTAGACAAGGGCTACCACTTTGATGCGTCGTCCTTCCCCATGGCGGCAGGGGAGGCCTTCTTCCACCTGCTCGAGGGAGCAGTTACGACGGCTAGCGACGACAACAGTATCTCCGTCGTGGCAGGGTCGTGCTTCGGCGGCGGCGGCACCGTCAACTGGAGCGCCAGCCTGCAGCCGCAGGGCTTTGTGCGCGACGAGTGGGTGCGGGAGCGCGGGCTTGATTTCTTCGGCACGCAGGAATTCCAGAACTGTCTGGACCGCGTGTGCGGGCAGATGGGCGTGCACGAGGACTTTGAGCCGAACCATGGCAATGCACTGCTGGTTGAGGGCGCCCGAAAGCTGGGCTGGTCCGCCAAGAAGGTCCCGCAGAACACGGGCCGGTGTGCACACGCCGATGGACACTGTGCGTTGGGCTGCTCGACTGGAGAGAAGAAGGGCCCGGTGAATGGTTGGTTCCCCGATGCGGCTAAGAACGGGGCGAAGTTCATCGAGGGGTTCAAGGTGAAGAAAGTACTGTTTGATGAGAGCGGAAAGAGGAAGGCTGTGGGCGTTATTGGCACGTGGACGAGCCGTGGCAAGAATGGCAATGTAGACGGACCAGATGAGGAAAAGATCGTGAGAGACGTGGTTGTAAGGGCAAAGAAGGTCATCGTCAGCAGTGGCACTCTGTGGAGCCCGATCATTTTGAAGAACAGTGGCCTCAAGGTGAGAAGATCACCCACGCTCAGCCCTGAGAGATTCACAATTACTGACGCATTCACACAGAATCCCCAAATAGGCCGAAACCTCTACTTGCATCCAGTCAACGTTATGCACGGCTTCTTCAAAGAGGACGTCCGGCCATGGGAGGGCGGCATCCTGACCACGGTAGTTAACACTTTCGAGAACAGCGACGGCAGAGGCCATGGAACCAAGCTTGAGTGTTTGTCCATGATGCCCTGCTTCGCCATTCAGTTCCTCAACTGGGCGGACGGCGTCGACTTCAAGCTCCTGACCCTCAAGTACCGCCACATGAACAGCTACATCTCCATCGTGCGCGACCGCGACACTGGCTCCGTATACCCAGACCCGTCAACCGGTCAGCCCCGTATCATCTACACGCCTTCTGCCTTTGACCGCAATCACGCCATGATCGGCAATGTTGCACTCGCGAAGATACTTTACCTCCAGGGTGCGATTGAGATTCACGCCGGGCTTGCCGGAATGAGGCCTTTTATCCGCGAGGAAACCCCCTCCTCAACAGCTCCTGCGCCCGCACCGCCCACAAATGACATTGTCAGCACTGTATCCGATGCTGGTGTTGCCGACCCGCGCTTCAAGGCCTGGCTCGCAGAGCTCGAGAGGCACGGCAACAAACCACCCACGGCCAACTTCTGCTCCGCGCATCAGATGGGCACGAACCGGATGAGCACGTCGGAGAGGACAGGCGTGGTCGACCCGCGCGGCCGCGTCTGGGGCACTGAGGGCCTGTATGTGAGCGACGCGAGCGTGTTCCCCAGCGCGAGTGGCGTCAATCCCATGGTGACAAATATGGCCATCTCGGATTGGATCTCGAGAAATGTGGCAGGCGACCTCGCGAGAGACGGATCTGGGGAAAGGGCGAAGTTGTGACTATGAGTGAGTATTTGGGTGGCGTGAATTCGGCGACATGAGTATATTTGTCACTAAATGTGTTCTGGAAAAGCATTTTGGCACAAGGTGTTCGATTTCCATAAGCAAGCAGATATTTGGTGTGTGTTTTTGGGGTCTTCACAATCTCACTGTGGCTGTTGAATGTTCTTTTAGGACGCATAAATTAGCGAGTCAATGCCTTATCATACTACCTGGGTGTTAATCTTGAATGTTATGCTGGCATCAGCAATGGAACGTTGTGGTTTTGGTTACTCGAGCAGCGGTCCTAAAATTAGGACAATAGGCAGATACATACACTCGCTGACTGTGTGGAGCAAATAGCCCAGTATAGCTCGGATTTGATCCTTAGGCATGACAAATGCCGCAATCTCAGAGTCATCTGCCCGCGAGACCTCATGACGCGTGCTGCAAAAGTCACGGTGATGTGCTGAAGGGGTTAATTAGTAAATGATCGAGACACGTCCGTGCTGGATAAGTTCCCTCTTTGAGAAGATACCATGCCACCTTGTCTCTCGGTGAAGAAGAGAAATATGAAGTCGATTCGGCGATAAGATCGCAAGTTATTATTGTGAATATCGCAATCCACTGAGAACTATAATAATAAAGAGGACGCTTCACTGCATTTATATCACATATGGTGTGTAGAGTCTTTCGCGAAAACATGCCAATCACATGCACGAGGTAAAAGTCAGTCCGTATCGTCAGTCAATGAGTAATTGACCAGAACCAGCGATGCGGCCTTTCTACCACACACGCATTATATTTCCCGATTTATGTCAGCTTCAAGTGCATCCATGTGCTCTTGGTGTTGTGGCTAGAGTCTTGGTGGCTGCACTAAGACCCCCTGGCTGCCCGTCTCGGGCCGCCACTAACACATAAGACCTGAACCAAAAGAATCATGCATGCATGAAGATCCTGTTGACGTCTTACATTTTGGGTACCACAGCCTGCTTACCTCTTCTGGCGCTGGTCATTCGGGTACAGTCAGACAGACTATTGCGGATAATTACCACAGTACCATCAGCCCGGTAAGCTTGGCTTGGTGGTGAACTTTACTATGTAGTCTGGTGGTTTATTGGTCCGGTCCGTCCAATACTCCGCGCAGGTCCACGGTGAGGTGGTGAGAAACGGCCAGGAACATCCTCGCTGGCGGGGTGCGGCTGGCCGTCCTTGCAGTAGAATAAGCATGCAAGGTCTCACTGGCGCAAATGAATCAAAGCATCATGATACGAACACGCTGCCGTAATGGCACGCAATGGCGGGGTGGCTCTGAAATCCCATGATTTCTGAGCATCTCGCGCCTCACTACTGAGTGCGAGAATTAGTATAAATACGGAGAACGTGTAAAGGTGCACAACATGCTGCTTCTCCCACAATCCGTGTAACCCATTACTCAATTAAAGTGTGACCGTATCTTGTACAAAAGACCAACCACCAGTCTCTATCGACACTTCGTCTGAAATTCTTTGGAAAAACACGCTGAACCTGACAACATGCACTGCTCAATTGCCTTCGTCTTCGCCCTCGCCGCTGGGGCCCTCGCCCAATGGCATGGACCACCACCCACGAAACCGACTCTCAATGACAGCTCAGTTGCCACGCTCGTGAATGGCTACACGTACCTATTGGAGAAGCCCGGCGGGCCAGATTTCAACAGCACTGCCGAGGCGATCTTGTCGGACAAGTTCCAGGTGTTTTCCGACTCCATCCTGACGCTTTCGCAGCGACCCGTGAGTGTACTTCATTGTTCGGCCCAATAAGAAAAGAAGACACAAGAATGCTGACAGATTCCGATTTCCTACAGTTTGGGCAGCCTGCGTACCCAAGCAAGCAGGCCTATATCGATAGCCAGTTCCAGACGCCCCCACTCCCCGTCGTCAACACGCTGGGTGTGTTCTACACCTGCGACAAGATTAGCTGGCGCTGGCAGGCAACCGGCATCGGAAGCAACCAGTTCGAGATCAACGGCATTATCAATTTTGAGACGAACCCCGAGACCGTCCAGATCGACACGGTCTACTCCGAGTTCAACACGGCCGCTTTCGAGGCTGATTTGGGGTTCCCTGAGTGTCAGGGACAGGGAGCCTGAAATGCGCCTTCGATACAAATGGATGGGATGGATTGTCGGGGGGTGGTCTATTTGGAAATTATATCCTAAATAGTATCTATTAAGTACAGGGTTTTACGCTGTCATTTGTGAGCATCTGAGGTGGTGTCAACTGCAATTGCTCTCCCCATTATTTGTGGAACCATACAGTGAAGCCAAGCATAAAATGCGATGAACACGATTTCCTGTGCAGCATGCTCATTTGGCACATGCTGAGGGCGGGATGTGTTCACAAATTGTGACTTGTTAGCGCCGTGCTCCTGCAGCGACACGAAGAAAGTCCTCTAACGACGGTACAGCTCTCACATTGACTCTGGTCTCAGAAGTCTTCACGTCTTTGAATCTGGAGGGCGTTCAAAAAAGATATGGGACGATGTCCAATATTGGTCTGTAAAAAGTACAACCAATTAAAAACATTAAAAGAGGTGAGGGTCAGAAATTTTGACTTCATTTTGACTATATTGGCCAATCACACTTCTAGGCCAAAGCCTCCAGAAGTCGTGGGAATGGATGCTGTTGCCAATGGGTGATTATCCAGCTGGACTTTCTCGTGGCATAATCCCTGAAGAGACGAAAACTTTAATTCGGAACGAGGTTTCATGGCTTTCCATTATGGGCCAGAGCTCTTGCGTATTTGTTTCAAGCTGGTCGAGCTCATGAAGCCGAGGCATTACATCGTCCGAACTCTAAATGCGCGTCACAAGTGAGAGCTCCTACTTCTTGACAGTTCAACGCACAGCAGAGTGCATTTATTTCCTTCGTGATTCGGGTTCGAGATACCATAATCTTTTACTGCTTTTCTTCGGATCGAGCGAGTTTGGATTGACTGAGCCTAAAATCAGACAGTTCTCATTATTTGAATTCATATCTAGACTTCAATGGCAAGTAACTGTTTTGAAAGCAACCAGCGACAATGCACGATGGCTGCATCGCTAACAAGGTGCAGGCACAACGATCAAAATACGTCAGCCGGCCACCCCTTTCGCTACGCGAATGGGTCGACCTACCCTTTCGGTTACTGGTATGGGGTGAGTCGGCAGAAACAAAAGGCACCGAAGGATTCCCAGGTCACTGACAGAGCGCATGTGTACAGCACCAGTCCAGTTAACCATCAACCTTGTCCGCGGCGTCCTCACAGCAATATGGCGCAGGCTACCACTGAGACCATACATCGCCTGCGCCGCGATCCGCATGTATCTATACACCTTCTCGCCAGCCCAGATCCAGCTCTTCAGCCCGCCCACCATGGACACGTATAAAGCCTGGATCCGCAAGAAGCGCTCCAAGGCCCGCAGGTCAGGCGACACTGAGCTCATGGAACAGCTGAAGGAGGACATCGAGGTCCTGCCGGACGGCAGGCCGCATATCCTCTGGATCGGCGACCGGCGCAAGGCGACCAAGATCGTCTACTTCTTCCACGGCGGCGGTTACATCACGCCTGCCATCCCCGGCCACATGGAGTGGTGTCTGCAGGCGTACGTCGTGGCCAACAAGCACATGCGCAACAGCCGCGACAGGGTCGCCGTCGCCGTCCTGCAGTACACCTTGACGCCGCAGGCGCGGTTCCCCACGCAGATGTGCCAGGCCGCCTCCGGGCTGGCGCATCTACTGCGCAGTGGGGTCCGCCCGTCGCAGCTTGTTGTCGGCGGCGACTCGGCTGGTGGGAACCTGACTGTTCAGTTGCTCAGTCACCTCCTACACCCGTATCCGCTGGCCGAGAAGATCGACTTGGCTGAGCCGCTGGCAGGAGCATTCTTAGTCAGTCCGCTTGTGAGCCAGAACATGCTGACCAGGTCGTTTGTCGATGGGCGGCCTTGTGATATGCTGAGCGAGGGCATCTTTGACAATCCCAACCGCGAGATGTTTCATGAAAAGCCGAGTGGCCTAGCTGGTGTCCTGTTCCCTAACTGGAACCTTGTTGAGACCAAGGAGTTCCGGGAAGGTAGAGGGTGGGCCCTGATGGCAGATGTGGATGAGAAGTGGCTGGATGGGATGGCAAATATCGTGAGGAAGGTCTATGTCACATGTGGAAAGCATGAATTATTGAGAGATCAAGGGATCGACATTGCTGAGCGCATCCGTGCTAGAAACCCAGATGTTGAGGTGAAGCTGGAGGTTGCTGAGAAGGAGGCACATGACTTTATCCTCCTGGAGGGTCAAAGGCAAGTGGTTGGAGATGCTACTACGAGGATGAGGAATTGGTTTTGTAAGGTCTGGTCTTGACCCGGGGGGGCAGGGCTCTGTTACATCGGTATCTGGGCCAGCACGGTGGACAGGGCCATTATCATCTGAACAGCGTAGATGAAGTTGCCGATTTACCAGCTGTTACTCGGAGAAGCTAGATTTAAGGTTCGAAATCTGCGCAACATGTTGAGCAAGGCTATGAGGAAGCCCAAGTCCTATCGACAGACAACATATTTCTACGGAATAAGAATTTTAAAACGCACCGAAGGGCACGAAGAGGACGGCTCATGACCTAAATACATTCGTGCATATCATAATGAGCCGAACATGATTTAGATTTGACATGTGGTGCCCACACGGTAAAGCTTTTTTGAATGGCCCGGACATCCTCAGCCTTCAAATCGCTCATCCCAATACCTTAAACGCCTTAAGCAACATAGTGGGCGAGGAAATGTGCAAAGATGTATCCGCATTCGGGCTATGATCTTGTTGGCGCTCTCCTTGAGGCAAGCCTATTTCACATCCACGCTGCTCAGGTGGCGCGGGATCTGGAATCTGATGATTGCTCTGCGATCAGCAAGTGTCCATCGCTTCACTTCATCGGCTAGAGCTTGCTGAAAGAGCATGCTGAACTTAGGACTTCGCCACAGCATGGCACATTGGATTGTTTCTCAACATGACAACTTGCCGGTTAAAATTCAATATATTTCTAGATCTTTCAAGCCATCTGCCGCCAGTAATCATCTTGTACTTCAAAGGTCACTGGTGGATCATCTTCCTCCATTCGATCCGGATCTTGCGGCAGCGGCTTGCGCAGCGACTTGCGCAGCAGCCCATTGTTGAATAAGAGCCACATCGTTGCTTTCCTTGTTGCTTTTGCTCAGATACTCCCATATGACCGCGGGCTTGCTTGTGCCCATGATCACCACAGGGTTACCCTTAGGGATGATGAAATGGAAGCCCTTGAGCAACTCGGCCCCAGACAAGTTGTGTTCGTACGGCCGATTTGAGAGGCACGCTTGGATTGTATGCCAGTCTCCGAGCTTGATCTTTCGCTCTGCGTCGCGGAAGTAGCAAATCTCGACTTGAACATACCTGCGAGGCTCAACGGCACCTGTAGCCCCACCAACAGACCCTAACCAGCTGACACCTGTATAATTGCGACCATTACTTCCGGCTAGACTCTCCCACACTTGTTTTTCGATTGACTGGACCTCCGAGCCGGTGTCGAAGGCGACCTGTATGTCTTTCCCGTCATCGTCTCGAAGCTCATCACTGGGCAGGCGGATTTTGGCGTATATCTTTAGATAGCTGTTAGCAATATATAAAAGCTCTAGTCTGCCGGTAGAACGTGAACTCACTCTGTGCATCCCGGTAAACCCAGGAGTCAACAGCTTCGGCTCAAGTTCACTGTATGATGTCACTTGCATCATCTGCTCCTTAGTAGGACCCGACGCCTGAAAGGTTTAAGTTGGAATATGCTCAGTCATTAGGAATATATGGCTATGAGAACCTAGCCAGGATATTGCATAACACTTACCTTGGCTGACACAGCACTGCTTGTCATTTGCTCAGCTGTTCCACCCTAGACCGTTTCCGAGAGTTAGACATGGCAACAACGTTAAGACTCAACAAGATGCGAATTGTATACATACCACAGCGTATAGCAGCCGCCTATTCTCAACATCTAAGGCTTTGAATTTCTTGCAAAAATCACTGTGCGAAAGCATGTTGGCTTTGCCCCCGACACCAACAATCTTGTTTGATCCTGTGACGTGGACCTTTTGGGCTTCGAGAAGACAGGCTTCGATATTCTTCTTTCTGGTGGCATTCTTTTCGACGGAAAGATCCTTCTTGATCATGTTGACGATCGCAAGTTGGTTGTTCTTTCGGCACTCCTCCATAGCCAGTTGGCGGGCGCTCTTGACAGGCTTTGCAGACATAGTGTGAGCTCCGGTTGCTGACAAATGTCTAAGTTGAGGGAAACTGTAGCGTAGGGTGCTATCAAAGTGATGTTCTTCCTGTGACGATGACACGCTGTGTTCAACGTGACCTGCTGTTTCTTGTTTGAGAGTAGAACGGATGAGGCTGTAGTGGCAGCAGAATGTCTGTTTTCTTGTTTTGAATACGAGAACTGGTGGTAAAATGAAACTGAGATGTGAATGATGTTGTTTTGTGAGAGTCAAGTTTTGGAGGTTGGGCATGAATGATGCGAGTATTTATATTCTCGAGCTTAATGAGGCTCATAACTTTCTTGCTGCGGCACAGGCGACGCAACAAGCCCTCAGATCAAAACCAGGCTACAAGAGGCCGGATAGTAGACCATCAAACAGCGAGTTCCACTTACCCACAACGTGTGTAGTAAATCAGCCAACAAGGATCGCCAGGTTGCATGGGTGAGGCGAAATGCGACCGCGATGGATACTGATGTTGTTAAAAAAGGAAACGCAGGAGAAGAGACTGTGCCTCTTGATTTCAGTTGGGAGACAACAAGCATAGTTCATCAGACCCAGGACAGAATAGAACGAGTCGACATGGGCTCACTGTGACACCCAGGACATGAAAATAGATCAAGGCTCCCAAACACTGAGAAGTGCCCTGTTGGGACAAGGTACGTAGACCTAATGAAGCATAGACATGGCCAAATGGGTAGGATCTCATTTCCTTCCAAGTTGTAATCTGGATGGATACCCGGCCATGTATCTGGCCTCTGTTGGCACATGCCGTGATAATTTAGGACCGAGCAATGGCAGGACTCAGAACCAACACCCAGCCAGAGTCGGTCCCGCCGAGGTATTGTGGGAGGGCCAGAGACCAAGCACTACTGGGTGGGCTGTTGCGAGTTCCAAGGGTGTGCCAGGATTCATAGAGCCTGATAACCGGATACAATTTCAATGCTGCACTCCCTATGATAGTTAATATTGCACTAAGTAGTGTTCAGGTCCCCCCCTTTTTTTTCTTTTTTTTTTCTTTTTAATCTTGCCCACAGTCTGGTTGGTCGGCTATCTCGGCCAGCCCACAATGGTAGGTGCCGGCCAGGTTCTCAATGTCGGCCACTTGCCGGTCCACTATTTCAGGCGGAAATAGATACCAACCAGTACGCGTCACAGCACAAAACGAGCGTCTTCGTGCCTCTCAGGGACATGGGAGACCTGCGCCTCTTACCAATAAGGCCCAGACTGTTTCTAAATATATACCTGCAAATGTAAAGGAAAATGGGTGTTGGCGCTGGCTGTGCCGTTCATATGTGGCCTGTGGGGTTTCAGGCTTACCTAAGTGAATCGCGTGCATGGTAGAAATATCCGACCCCTCCCAGAAACAACGACTATTCCACTGCAGCCCACGCCTCAACATCTGTTCAACTGTCCGTCGATCTCAAACTCTGTCATACGCAACATTGAACGTCCAGCAGAGTCTACTCTGCACAGCATCTCTGGGCGCCAAGGTATTGGCTATGAAAGTTACTGCTTTCACAGTACTACGTCGTCTATTGGAGCAGGTCGTTTCTCGTTCCTCGTCAGTCGCCATGTCAGCCCATGCAACGGAACCTGATAAGACCCAGCATGAACGCACGTCAATTCCAGCTGGTGGACAACCCGAAGACGGCGCGGAAAAAGTTGAGAAACCCGACGAAAATGTCGTCGGCGCATCAAAGCTTGACCCCAAAGCGTGGCAGGAGTATATAGGGATGGTTGAAAATGACCTGCAGCAAGAGACAAACGAGACGCGTCGACATAACGCTCAGGTTTGCCTAGACTTTGTCCGAAAGCATGGCGTTCCTGCTAAAGGTTATACCTTCACGGTTCACCATGGGGTGGTCGAAGTCCTGACGAATGACGAGTCGTTGCACAAGGACTATGCGAGCCTACGGAAAATCCATCCTCTCTCCGAGGCTTACGGGCTTGTGAGTTGCTCTCTTTGTTCATTGATACCTGATCATATTGCTCACCTGACTCTCCCACAAGGCTGCCCCGAGAGAAGCCAGGCCGACGGAGCTGGAGTGATGGCGGGAGAACAAGTTTCTGTACCTGTAGCAATTATCGACAAAATGAGAAAATTGAAACTCGGATACGCTACGACTCAATATTCTCGTCTAAATTGCGAACTACATGTTTGAAAGGTGGCTCGGAGGAACATGACCAGTAGCCCTGTGCGTGATGTGCCAAGCCACACTGATATTTGGGCTTTTGTCCTCGTGAGCCCGCAAGGCTCTGTCTTTAAGGAAAACGAATGTCTCATGTGACTGGTTTTGGCAGTGTACAAACTGCAATAGAACCGTTTGAAGACAGGTAATTTTCGTATGTTTTGCAAAGCCATAGCGACTCGACTAACGTGAGGGTGGTAGGGCTGTTTCATGTGTGCCAGCTGGGCACTCTGTGACCCTGCAGTTCTTATCTCAGGGCTTATCTTAACAGTCCAGTGGATGGCGTGTCGGAACATTTCCATTGAGGGCCTAATCCCAATCCTAATTCGACCCCATCAATATCCGTCAGCAGCATTCCCTGCTGATTCCCTGCTGGCGTGCCTGAATTCCCTGGATGCCCAGGTTCTTCCCCACGCTGTGGACGGGCGCTAAGAAAAAATGGATTTGCCCCAGAAAACACCCAGGCACTGAGATGACCATGTCCAATGCCCAATTTCTCCATTCATGTCCCGTCCGTCTTTGGGCCAGCGACCTTGATGGAGCGCTTGCGTGAGCGAGGCTGGTCTAGTGGCCACTTCAAGCCATTCAGCCAGTTCATTCATAAGCCATAACTTATGGACGTTTTCGACAGGTTTGCCGTGTTAAAAGCCTCCTTTCCCCTCTCGTCTCGCCTCTGTTTCCTTGCTACTTTTCCTGTTTCCCTCAATCATGTGATTCCATCACTCCACGTGTCATCAGATCAGACTGAGAGGGCTCTCGACCTTTGTCTGGTTTCGTCACTCCATTCTATTCACCTACTGTCATTGTCTACTACTACTACTGACTGGCACTGTCAGTCTGTTTATTACTCAACTGTTTCTGTTTCTGTCTCCGTCGCTGTCTGTCAGCTCACTTTGACCCCCCGGCTAAGCTAAGCTCAGCTCACCTTTTTGGGCCCGCCCACCCTCGACCTTCCCTCGACTTTCCCCCCGAACCTCGACTTCCTTTCTTCCATCCCTCCTTTCTTTTTCTTTCTCCCCTTCCCCTTCACTTCTTTTCTCTTTACCCACTATGAACTCTTTTGTTTCTTCATTTCACCACGTCCTTACCTCCTACGTCGCTCCCTGGACCAGCTCATTTCTGCCAGCAAGCCTGTCGCATCTCTACGCGCCACCACCACCCTCGCCGACGTCGACGGCCTCTCCCTCAACAACAGAGTCGACAATGTCGCGCGACGTGGTGGAGAATGGCGCCCCCACCACACCCTCCCAGGCGCGTCCTCACCTGCAGTCGCAGTCGGGGTCGCAGCCGGAGTCTCAGTCGCAGTCACACCCACAGTCGCAGGCCGACCGACTCGCGCTGCTGCCCGACAAGCTGCTGCTGCTCATCTTCGACATGCTGGCCCACGAGAACAGGCACGCCATCTGCAACGTCTCGATCCTGAACCGCAAGTACCATGCACTGGCCGACCGCATCCTCTACCGCAGCATCCTCTTCGAGTCGCCCGAGCACCACCTCATCTTCAGCGAGTCGCTCGACCGCCGCCCGCGCCGTGGCTCCATGATCGAGAACATCAAGCTCGAGTACCCCAGCTCCGAGCTGTCGCACCTCATCCTCGACAGCGCCCTCGACAAGCAGTCCTCCACCAGCTCAAACACCTTCCGCAAGGGTGTCGACGGCCTCTCGCGCGCCCTCGCCTCCATGTCCAACCTCGAGACCCTCGACATCGCCGTCCCCGTCAAGCTGCTGCACGGCATCGGTGCCCTCTTCAACGGGCCCTTCGACCTCGCTGGCCTCAAGACCTGCTCCCTCTTCTACCAGTGCCCAGACAACGGCTACTGGGACCTGCGCGAGAACATCCACATCTTCACCCACCCAACCCTCGAGACCCTCGTAATCCGCCGCGCCAGGCTGGACGAGAGGGGCTTCGACTTCATGGAGCGCCCACACAGCACCGCCCTCAAGTCGCTGCACCTCATCGAGTGCGACATCAACGACGACTCGCTCGCGGACATCATGGAGTTCCCAGAGGGCCTGCGCGAGTTCTACCTCTACCACACGGCCGACCCGGCCCCGGAGCTGGAGGAGAGCTCCGACGAGATCAGCGAGCACGTCATGGCGCTGCGCGACCAGGCCGAGACCATCGAGTCCATCACCATCGACCACCCCACCCTGGCCGGCCGCAAGGTCCTGCGCCTGCGCGACTTCCAGGCCGTCAAGTACCTGCGCCTCAACCGCGACACGCAGCTCTTCGGCAAGACGGGCCGCAAGCCCCGCCTGCACTCCGCCGGCCTGCCGCCGCGCCTCGAGGTCCTCGAGTTCACCGAGCCGCTCGGCGCTGACGAGACCGTCACCGAGTTGTTCGCCATGATGCTTCAGAACATCGAGTTTATGGCCCGCGAGCTGCGGGCGCTGATCGTCGTCGAGGGGCCGGGCGGCGTGCCGGAGCAGATCCTGGAGGCTTGCAAGGGGAAGAAATTCGAGCTGGACATCAGGCAGCCGGAGGGCGGGGATGGGGAGGCGAATGCCAGACGGCCGCCGCCGCCGCTGGAGGCACCGCCAAAGACGGCAAAAGACACGGCTAGATCGAGACACAGAAGGACGACGCAGGACACAGCACGCGAGCCGCTCGCGAACAAGGAGAGGGTGCGATGGAACGCCCTCAGCGAGGAGGCGTGGTCGAAGCGCGGGGACACGGAGAGGAAGCCGTTCGACCCGGCGTGATGATCGGATGGGGTACTCTAGAGAATAGATGTGGGGACGAAAAGACAATAAAGGAAAGAAAAATACAGGAATACAATACATCAGAGCTAGACAGGATAGAAAACAGACAAGAACAGATATTACTTACGATAATAAACCACATTGATACCCAGGCACGCAGATGCCGACGGAACAAATGATCCAGTGCCTACCTTTCCATAGTACCTAGCTGTATGCCCCGGTGTTGGGTGGGCCCTGAGCGGATAGGTATGGGTCCTCGCTCATCTCTCTGTATATCGTCACAGCGCTTCTCACTGGCTCAGTCGTTTGCGCGATATGAGAAATCGTATTTCTCCACGAACAGCCCGTTTAGCTCATCGGTAGAGCGCATCACTAGTACCATTTAGCGATGATGAGGTGACTGGTTCGATTCCAGTAATGGGCAGCACGTAATTGTTTTTGCTCTTTGTTGGTTTTGGAGTCAGATTTCTTTTTTTTTTTTTTTTTTGCTTTAGTAACTTAGATATAGTTTAATCTCTTAAAAAACGAGTCTCCAATCAATATAAAAACTGTTATCACAGCCCATAAAGTAGGTCTCGAACTTTGGTAATCGAGGCAACAGAATGCAACAGGCTGGTGTACTCACTCGCCTTTGCAGTCCACCAGGCCGTCGTTGGGAACTTTGGCCTCAGTCTTCAGGAGGAGTTGATTGTGTTGGTATGTAAGCGACGAGCCACGATCTCGCTAAGCTGATCCGGCAACTTTGAATCGAAGGGGGCGGGTATCTACTCCGGACCGTTGAAACAGATACAGTATAGATAGACTCCAAATCTCTGGGAATCGAGGACAGAGTGTGGAATTAGGTGGGCAAAAGATATGGCATTCGTCTGGATGATTTGAAGAATTATGGTTCATCACCAGATTATGACGAGACTGTGATCAAGCCTCAGAAAGTCATTAACGAGGTGCTTCTCATCGAACCAAAGAGCGTTGACTTGCAGTGCATGCACTGACTCCAGTGCAAGAGCAACTTACAAGGTGTAATCTAGTCAATGGTCAGGGATGGTACTTGTTCTTTTTTTTCTATAGTCTTTCCGCGGTTTAGAGTGTTGAGCCACCCTCTCTTGAGACAATCGTGCAAACACACCCCATAATGGTATTATTTGAACGCTGTCTTCCGTACCCAGTGTTCACACTGGGTCTACCAAATTCTTTTGTACGCCATCATGCCCCGCTCTAAACGCTTGGGGCCCCATGCTGAACGACTTCAATCGAGAGATTGGGCGCAGCTATGCGAGATGGCCGGACTAGTATGATAGAGCTCTTTTCACATATTCAATCTGTAAGGCCACTGGCAACATACCTCAATCAGTATATCATTTGAAACTATAGCTTTACTCGGGAAGATCATTTCAATTAGTGAACTAGTAAAGTTTATATATCTTCTGAAACATTAAACATCATAGTTTGAGCAACTATAGAAAGCGTCGTCGAGTCTGGCGCCTCTGGAACGTCACTCGGAACAGCAACAATCCGAGGTCCATTGACTGGTCTCGGGCAAAACCCCTGGATGCAGGTGTTCTGCTAGTCTTGTCAGGGCAGCAATAGCAGACTGCCGTTTAATCTATAGTACGTAGTAGATCGCTGCAGGTAAGAGCAATACCACTGTAAAGCTTACCTCAGCACTAAACATGAGAATCTCGGTTTACACACAACTCAATCTAGAAAGTCCGAGAATTATGAGAACCATAACTATCACCCGCTCTCCCTTAGTACATGTCTCAAATTTCGACGCACAGCAGCCTGAAATATCCCTTGTTGTGCACATCCATCCTTGACTTCGAGTTTTGGGGCCTCTCTTAGTCGTTCAAAAGAGATCGACATTGTGGGAGGATAAGAATTGCCACCTTGGGTGTCCTCTTGGGGTAGATTCTGCGGGCGAGCCCCCAAAATTGGAAGAAGTCGTCCGTTGAGGGTTGCTCTGCGCCCCTTGTGTAACATCATCCGTCATCTCGAGTCTTTGATATAAGCAGACGAGAAGTCCTGGATCCCCTCCTTGGACTTGGACCACAAACCCATTCAACTTCCATCTTCACCGTCACGGCCAGCAACCATGTCGGCCTTAGACAACCAGTCTGGTCTCGCGGCCAAGGAGCCGCAATCGAGTCATTTTGAAGATGAGAGAAAGATCACTTCCGACGCCCACTTTCAAGAAGACAATGTCACCAAAGTGACACACGCCGACGGCGCCGTCGACTATATCGATATAAAGGCCGTTGGCGGCGATTATGCCATGATGCAGCGAGGATACTTCCGCAGCCCACAGTTTCTCGGCACCCTGACGGTAAGAAAAAACTTAATAAAGATTTGGATCTCAGCTAATGGGAAGCCAGGCTCAATGTCTCGCGAGCATTTGCGCTTATGTGAGCTGGGTGCTGCCCTCAAACACACTGTCAGTCACACGATGCTTGCTTCTGGCCGTCAAATAGACTTACTTCATTTCAGGAGCCTCATAAATGCAGAACTTGGCCCCTCCCCTAACATCACCTGGGTAGCCACCATGTTTTTGATCGGCTGCTCGATCGGCTTCCTCCTCGTCGGTCGGCTCTCTGACCTCTATGGCCGCAAGTGGATGGTTCTCGGAACCTCGGTCCTCGGACTGGTTGGCTGTGTCATTGGCTCATGTGCCCAGAACGTCGAGACGCTCATCGTGGCAAACCTCTGCAACGGCATTGCATCTGCCGGCCAGTTGTCGTTTAATGTTGTCATGGGAGAGCTCGTGCCCAACAAGTGGAGGGGCCCAGTCAATTCCATCATCCTCCTTTCTTCTCTTCCCTTTGCCGTCTTTGGGCCCGTCATTGCTCGGTCCCTATTCAACAACACGGTCTCGAAGTGGCGATGGAGTTACTACATGGGAGATATTCTGGGTGTCATCACCTTAGTGCTGTACTGGTTCTTTTACAGCCCCCCGTCTTACGACCAGCTCCACGTCCATGGGAAAACAAGATGGCAAATGACCAAAGACTTGGACTTTGTTGGAATATTGCTGTATGTTGCCGGCTGTGTGCTTTTTCTGGTTGGCCTTTCGTGGGGAGGGTCCATGTATCCGTGGGTGAGCGCGGAAGTTCTCTGCACCCTGCTCATCGGCGTCGCAACTTTGGCCGCGTTTGCTGTCTACGGTGAGTCTTTCGAGAGCCTGAAGTCCCCCACAAATCAAGCTGACTCGGCACAGAGGGATTCTTCTGCAAAGTACAACCCCTGATGCCCCCGAGAATGTTCAGAAACGTCGGGTTCGTGGCCATCGTCGCTGTCGCAACCATCGGGGCCATGGTCTACTTCTCGCTCACCGTCCTCTGGCCGACCATCATCGGCACCCTCTACACGACCGACGTAATGCAAATTGGCTGGCAGAGTTCTGTGGTTGGTGGTGGCGTACTCCTCGGCCAGACGATCGCGGGTTTCAGCATCTCATACGTGCCCAAAGTAAAGCTGCAGTGCATCGTCGCGTCAGCACTGACCCTCGCCTTCTCGACGTCCCTGACGATCATCTCTCCGGATCGGTGGGCTGCAACCATAGCCCTGGGAATACTGCTTCTCATCTGTGAGTTCCAGAATCGCCACCTATCACCAGGTCTCCTTTTCCTTTTGACCTCCCCGCTGACATGTCTCAGCCGTCGGCTTCATCGAGAATATCTCCCTCCCCGGCGTCACGCTCGTTTGGGAGGCACAAGACATTGGCCTCGCAACAGGAGTCCTGGGCTCCATACGCAGTCTCGGCGGCGCCGTCGCGACGGCCCTGTACAGCTCTGTCCTGGCGAACGAGCTGGACAAGAACCTGCCCAAGTACGTCGTGCCGGCTGCCACGGACGCCGGTCTTCCAGAGTCTTCGATGGGATCCCTCTTCGCCGCCATCACCGCCGGCGATCTCTCCGAGGTCCCAGGCATCAAGCCTGAGATCATTGCTGCAGTGGGCAGCGCGCTCAAGACGGCGTACACGAACTCGTTCAGGATTGTGTTTTACACGACCATCCCGTTTTCTGTCATTTTGCTGCTGAGCGCGTTCCTGGTGCCGGATATGGAAATGTTCCTCAGCCACAATGTCGCGAAGAAGCTTCAGGACACAAGCTTAGAGACAGTCTCTGAAGAGAAGAGGGAGACGACGCAGCAGGTGTGACCTCTACTGAGAGCAATCTGATATTTTCGTTGAAAGTTAGTGCATGATCAGCTTGGTGAGACACCTTGCAATGATGGGTTTGGTAAATAGCTCCCATTGCACGAGTGGTATGGTAAAGCGATTATAACAGAGACATTACCTGAACAGAACCGATCGATAGCAACTAGATCGTTGGAATTTCCTATATAAAATCTACCAAGTAAGGATGATGAGGCCACCGGTTCAATATCAGTAACGGGCACCACGGGATTCCTTTTGCTCTTTGTTTTATTTTTATTTTTTGTTTCTCAAACTCTCTTTCACTTTGATGACTTCAGCATAGTCTACCTCTATAGTTGCCCCTCCTGTGCAGCTGCCCCTGTTTCTGGAATAGTTGTAAGGTCTGAATTTGACCGCCTTTAAGTGAACTCCCTGACGCAGGAAACTCGTATTAGACAGCCCAAGGCTATATCGAATCAGCTCTCGTGTATTTCGTCTCTGTACACAGCAGCCACATCTTTGGAAGCTTTCGAACCTGTGTCCGCGTCCTCTTCTGTCCGTTGTGGGTTTGATCGGAATCCTCGCTTTCCATATCATTGCTGTCAGTTTCTTCTCTAAGCCATTCATGGCCCCGAATGTCTCTTTCAGCCACAGGATACCCGTCAGTCCCACGCAGCCAGTTGAAGTTGTTCAAGGTCGTGTTTTCGGACGCGGATTCCTCTTCGAGATCAAAGGCATTGTAAGACACAGGTATTGTGTCGTCAATGACCCTCTGTACAGAGCGTAATCTGGGTATGTTGTGACTTGGTCGATGAGAGACCGAATTGTTTTTGTCGCGGCAGCTCCAAGTCCAGCTGTCGTAGAACAAGCAGTGTGATCCACAGCCAATGTGTTCTTCAACCTCAAGGTTGACATCTCTCAATTCTGTGGTCCCGAAAAGAGACCATGCTGACAAGGGCGGATTTGTGTGCCATTTTGTCTGAGTCAGAAAGAGGAGTTTGCACTCATCTGCACGTGCAACTCGTCCATTTTGGACACCCAGGACTGGCTGTTGGATGAAAGATTGCAGCGTCTGAGTCCAAGCAGCAGAGTGCAGTTCAGGCTCGGAGATCCGCTGGCGGAAAAGATTCAGCACCCCCTCTTGCAAACCAGCTATACCAGCGCCTAGCCATAGGAATCCCATGCGGCCAAGTCCCCGCATCAGGAGCGACGTGCGTGCTTGTATCTCATGAGTTGAGTCGATGACTGCGAAGATACCCTGCAGGTAGTAACTGCAGACATTGCCGGGGACGTCTGGATTCAAAAAACAGCTACTCAAAACAGCTTCAATTCCATCGCAATTGCAACTCAGCATGAGCAGCTTGTCAAGCTGCTCTTGCTTGAAAGTAAACAGGGTCGGGTTGGGATCCAACGATAGTCGTTCTGGGGAAGATTGAGGGACTGGGAGCCGAACGCTCCGCCTGCTACCTCTGACCAGAGGTAACACCAGTGCAACTGACAACGCAGCCTTACATTGGTTTTGTATGCTGTGATACTTGCAGTATTCCATTAAGTATTGCACGGCTTCATTGGACGATGGTGCGGAGAGACTTTGCTCCCCTGCGACGCCCTCATCTGACCCCTCAACGCCCTCAACACGTAGATCCAAATCCTCTGGTATCGAGCTCAATGTACTCCAAGGCGAAATAGATGTCTTGCCGCTTTTCGAAATTGTTGCAGACCACGAGCGACCTGGAGCGATGACTGCCTTCCACCACTGAAGTGCGCTTACACTCTTCGTGCCAATAGCCACGGTGCACACTTTATTGAGCTCTGGATCTTTGATTTTGCTTTGACTTCTCTCTTCTGTTTCAGTGTAGCAGATGCCTGCTCCCGGCATGACCTCTGACCAACGCGCAGATAGGATATAAGCCCAAGCCAAGACTAAGACCGCAAGATGGCCGCCGTCGTTGCCAAACCACTTGGGAAAGGCACATGCACTGCTTTCAAACCTAACGATTGTAGGCTTTTGCACTGATATCCTCAGTCGAAATTCTTTGGTGAAGTCCGGGATGTCCTGAGAACTGCATCCCGAGCGCCATTTTGAGCGACCGGCAGCGTAGAGTGTCTCACCCCAGAGCTCAAGGTCGAGGCCTAACGGAAAATGAGGGTGCATGGGCAGGAGACCGGGGTCATCCAGACCGAGAAAATCAATTGACGAGCCAACATCTTCATTCTTTCGGCGTAGTGACATCCATTCGCGGAAACCTTGCTCGTAACGTGCCTTGCGAGCAGTCGGGGTCCCTCGCACGACATCCATTATGTGGGAGTCGCCAACAAGTACCGTCGGGCTAGCCAGTGGTTCCAATGCCTGTCATGTAATGCGCCACAAGCTAGGGGCACTGGCTGGTTGAGAACAAGCGATAATTGGGCCGGTTTGAACTTCCTGTTAGGAAGCTTAAGGGTTGGCAGTCGAGCCGCTAGCACCGACGAGCGGCCAATCCCAAGGCACCTCGTGAGGTTGCTGTTCAATCGTGCCTAGAAGTCCTCGAACCCACTCACCACCACACGCACTACACACACATCAGAGATCTCATAACATCAAACCAGTAACACCACTCTGGAGTCGTGTGGCACTCGGCGCCAAACCAGGATTCCTCCCATACGACGACGTTGCAGACACGAAAGGACTGGGCCTTCACGAGTTTTTCCATTGCAATCCTCACACTACACATTGTGTTCTAATAGTATTGGCCATGGAGAATCACCAGGCGGTTAATCATCCGCCAGCTCCACCGGCCTCCTTGACTGACGACCAAGATGTCCTTGCCAACATAGATGGCCGCATGCACGGCCCCATGAGCGGATTTATCAAAAAATACTTTGGCAACTTTCAATATGTCCACCAAGATGCTTTCTTGGAAATTAAGGCAGCCGGAAGACTTAGTGGCCGCTGTGCCGTTCCATCAGCTGCCCCATCACCCGACAATTTCTTGCAATGGTTTTCCGACTACATGTCGCGGGAGCTCGACGGCGCTCGAGGCTCGTGGCATGTATCTAGCGGCGATGCAGCACCCGAGCACGAGATTGACGGCGACGGTGCACGTCTCCTCTTGACCATGCCTACTTCGCCGGCCTTCAGCGCACAGACAAGATGGGAAAATGTTCAGGTTATTGGCCAGTTTTACCACCGTGGTTGCGTTTGTTATCAGGATGGACTATTGCGTCTCTGTCGGTCTGCACACCACGTCTTCGCCAGTCAGCCTACACGGCTCTTCTTACACGGCTTCTACATACACGGTTCACTGATCGAACTTTGGGTCTTTGATCGGTCTGGCTCATACTGTAGCGACCTATTCGATATTCACAAAGATTTCATCCAGTTTCTCTCTATTTTCCTCAGCTATCAGCGGATGACGGACCAGGATCTGGGAAAGACTAACATCATTGAGACGGATAACGGCGGCAAGTACATCATCCTTGATAGTATGGAGATGCCTTCTTTGGGAAAGATTTATCTCGAAAGCCAGCCAATTGCGTCTCGTGGAGGTCTTGTTGGCACCGGGACAACTTGCTACCGGGCTAGACTTCCTGATTCGGATCAATGGAATTACGTCTTGAAATTCAAATGGCGTTGGGCCAGGGAGCGCCCGGAGGACGAGCTTCTCAAACTAGCCAAGAAGAAATGCGTCTGGGGTGCCCTCTCCCTTGAGTATTACAAAGAAATTGAAAGTACGGCAAATCTGCGCCGAGGTCTCCGGTGGGGGACACACAGGAAATTCGCCAGGCTGCACTCTCCCAAGAAAAATGGAAATATCGAAGGGCAACGACAGGAAGTTACTTGCAATAGGGACGGACTTGTCGAACATACAGAAGAAACCGACAACTTCTTTCAAAATCGTGTCCTTGCCTGCATCGTTACTTCCCCTGTCGGCAGACCTCTGCACACTTTTCAGTCTGTCTTGGAGTTGATTCAAGTGTTTCGTGATGCTATCAAGTGTCACCGATCACTCTATTATGACGCCAGGATTCTCCACCAAGATGTATCCCCAGGAAACATGATCATTCTGGATGGCCAAGATGATGGAAAGCCTCGAGGGATTCTGATAGATCTCGATTCCGCAATGGAGCTCGCCGAAGGAGTAGGAACTGAGCTTGATATTACCGGCACCAGACCCTTCATGGCAATTGGCGTTCTAAAGAGTGAACCTCACACTTATCGTCACGACCTAGAGTCCTTCCTTTACGTCTTTCTCTGGACAATCATAACGAACCACACGGAGAACCCCCCAGAGACGAGCAAGCTCCGACAATGGAGTAATGGCGACTGGGACGAATTGGCAGTACGCAAGTCACTCGACATGAGTCAAGATGGCTTTCAGACTATTTTGGGGGAGTTCCCTCCCGGATTACACTCCCTCAAGCCGCTCGCCGAAAACATACGTCAAGTTCTATTTCCCCTACGGGCTGGGGCAATTTGGACAGGTACCGATGGCTCGCCGGAAGCCGTAGACAAGCTCTACGATGGAATTATCTGCGCGTTCGAAGAGGCCATTATTTCTGAGGCCGTAAAATACATGTAACAGAATGCGCAGGTTTGTTCAGTACGATCTTCAAGTGCCTGTAGGACCGGGTGGGAAAAAAGGGAAGCTCAGACCACGATGTAGCCGCTCATCCTTCGGTGCGGGTTACAACGTGATATGATTCACAACGGGCTGGATTATGCCTGTGAATTTTAGAAATGTTCAAAGGTTCCATCGAAGCCAATTTGTAGACTTCCATATCGATGGCGTGCAAATCATTACTGTGCAAGGTGTAGTTTTATCAACAATCTAGGGGTCGATCTACTAGAAGCTCATACTGGGACTGCAGACATGATTTGCTGATGAGACGACGTGGCCAAGCGTTGGCACCTGTAAAGTTGGTTCTGTCATCCATAGAATGAGAAGAACATAGGGGCCGACAAATGCATGTTGGTTCTAATCTTCATGCCGTTGGTCTTACTCACATGGATCATTTCCGAATTGAAAGCCCCTGTTTGCGAACGTAACCAACGCACAGGGCTGTAAGTGGGAGGCGTAGCCCTTCAGCTTTGGTCTAAGATTGGCTCACCAAACGTATCGCCCCATAGTCGCATGGGCCCAACAACAGCATGCCAAGTTCGATCCAATAAACCTAGAGCCTTGCTCTTACGTTGAAGTCACAAATCTTCTCAGTATACCGGGTACATGGGGAAAAACCATGTGTGACTTGAAAGGCGTTGGGGCCATGAATGTAGATGTACACTGTGCCATGGACTGTACCAATTAAATTTCGGAAAGGCAGACTAAATAATCGGAAGATCATCGGTGTGCGCCATTATCGTGACGTTGCCAAGTATGCCTGCATTGAATGCAGCAATAGATGTTGGCTTCCGGGCTTACATTGCAGTCGACATTGACATGTCTTTTTCTGCGCACGAAGACATCGAATCCTTCTTTCCTCCCTCAACCTTCCAACTTGTGTTAGAGGACTCCACGGCCAGGACAAGTTCGACTTGTTGCTCATTAATTATTCCATGCTTGTTGAAAACTTAGATCCAAGTTCCGCAAAATCCATTGACCAGATGCTATGGCTTCCGAGGCTGCCACCAATGCATGCGAGCTGCTGAAGAAAGTGTTCCCTGAGCGGGTCACAACCCAGGAAACGCAGGAAGCGTTCCAGGCCGAGCGAGATAGACCATGGTATGGCCTTCTTCTTCTTTTCTTGAGCTCTGTCAGCCAGATCATGGCTGTATTCTGACAATCCGAAGGTCTCAGACTTGCTGGATTCCGTCGGCTGCTTACGTCGTACTGAACGACACCCACGAGGTCGTCACGGCGCTTGCGATCATCAAGAAGACTGGTTGCAAATTTTCCATCCGTACTAGTGGGCACAACCCCAATGTGGGCTTCAGCAGTGTCGACGGAAGCGGCGTTGTTCTTGACTTGCGAGGACTGAATGAGAAGACGCTGGGCAGTGATGGTGTCTTGCACGCTGCAGGTGGATGTATTTGGGGTGATGTCTATTCTTTTCTTGAGGAGCACGGGAGATCTCCTATCGGAGGTCGTGAGAGACAAGTTGGGCTGGGAGGCTTCCTGACTGGTGGTAAGTGGAAACATATCGGTGTGACATATTGTGTGATTGTTAGAGGGGTGCCATTGCTGACGATGTCCAGGGGGGTATCCTGCATTCTCTAGCCTTCACGGCATTGGTCCAGATGGCGTTAAAGGATGTGAAGTGAGAATTTTCATCCCAATCTGTGCGTTGAGACTGTGTTGTTAACGGCTAAAAGATCGTTTTAGCAGACGGATCCATTGTGGAGGCCAACGCCAACACCAACTCTGACCTCTGGCGCGCCCTCAAAGGCGGCACCTCAAACTTCGGTTGGTTGCAGGAGGATTTCACCAAGGCACAAGCTAATTGTAAATCCTGCAGGCATCGTGACTCGCTTTGATGTCAATACTCACCCACTCATCAAAGCCAAGTTCACTATCAAGCTCTACGACCCGTCAGACTACATCAATATCAACGCAGCCACAGTCAAAATCCAAGAGGCGATGGAAAATGACCCAAAACTGAACGTCTTCACTAACTACAACAAGCAATTCGTGGCTGTCATCATGATCTATGCTGACTCTCCTCCCGAGATGCCTCCCGTTTTTGAAGTATTCGAGAGGCTATCTAGCCACTTGAACACGGCCGTGCCTCCAACTGACGGCACTGTTTTGACTCTTGTCCAGACCTTGTCCGAAATGGGACATGTTCCGCAGTCGCTCAGGTGAGTCTTCTTGGTTTCTGACTCCGAGACACTCGATTCTAGCTCATGGCCCGTTGTTGACATTGTTGTGAAGCCGCAAAATCGGCACAGTAACTACCAAAGTCTCTGCGGGACTCTACGATGAAGTGAACAGGATCTGGCAGAGTGTAGTCAAAAAGGTTCCAGAGGGAGGAGCACTTCACTACACAATTCAGCCCCTGGCATCAGCCGCTGTCAAGGCCGGTGAGCTGTCAGGGGGTAATTTAATGGGCCTTGAGAAGGTACCGCAATGCTGTATGAATTTTAAATTCTCGATAATTAGGTGCCATTATACTGATATTCGTCAAGGGTGGGTGTTCACTGCAGAGTGGCCCCAAGATCTTCCGGGTGGGTCAGCTATTAGGGAGGCACACAACGAGCTTATTCAGGCAGTGAAGAAGACTGCCAAGGACAAGGATCTTCTCTTGGATTTTATGTGCCCAAGCTTTGCGGGCGCGGAGCAGAATGTTCTGCAAGGCTTTGGCGAGGAGAATGTTCAGAAGCTCAAGGAGGTCAGTCGCAAGTACGATCCACATGAGGTGTTCCAGAAGTTGCAGAATAATGGGTTCTTGCTGCGGAACATCTGATTTAGTACGATGCGATGAGCGGATCAGTGGCCAGGTGGGTCTGCGCATTACTTCGATTCAACACGAATTTGATGGTTCTCTTTACATAGAACGGCTACGTGCACCTTACCACTGAATTACGACATGACCGCTGCGTACAGACACGCTTTAGTTCCTACTCAGCGTGATCAACTAGATCTACTGAATCATCGCCGCGGCCTGGCAATGTGCCAAATTCCAAAGTACTCAACTTCAATTTCCATAGACAAGCGACGCGGCCTAGTAAAATCAGATGGTCAGAGCGCTCTAAAATGACGGCCAGCCATCTTACCTGGGTAGATTGCGGATTCCCGGAAAATCTAAGAGGTGGTATACGCCACAGCGGCTGACGGCCAGATAAGCAAGAGGAAATGTCTGTCTGCGGGAAGGGAGGTCCAGCAACGGTCGTCTAATACTGAAAGGTTTTCCAAAGTTGCTCGATTTCATCTAAAAAAGAAGCATCCGACGGACAATGTTCGTGTGTAGATGGTTTCTGACCTCCAAGAGCAATACAAGATTTGCATTACAGCTTGCAAAATATTTACAGAACATACGACGGCCTACTGAGCATCTTGGAAGGAACACGCAGCAATACCATCGAAACCTTTACAGGGAACGACAAGAAATTTGTCGAACGGATCCACCGTCTTCGGCAGGGACACCATCCAACACTGTGTGAATTCTTCATACGTTAGTGTCTGCTGGGCCTCACCACTTCGACTCCGAGCCAGGTAAGCAGCCTCCGAGTGCCACGACGCCGGCGCTGCCGAAACGGGCAGCTTAGAGAGCGTGGGAATCTCGACGCAGAAGCCTTGTGTCGCCAGCGAGTACATGCCGTAGAACATATAGACAATCATGACGGTACGGCGGATGCTCTCAGCTACGATCCAGTCGTGCCAGCAGTCGCCATCCACATCCGACGCACGTTGGCCATCGTCGCCCAGCTCGGCCCGCGACCGCCTCAAGAGTTGCAGCGCCCACGTCGTCAGCAGGTCTCGCTGCTGCTCGACGATCACGCGCTGCTCCAGACCGCCTCCAAACAAGCGCATCATCTGGAACAACGTGAAGGCCTGCAGCCGCGCCAGTTCTTCGATAAGGGACATTCTACTACCAATGCTGCTGCTTGCATTAGCTCCCATGTAGCCGTGGCCTGAACTCGCGTCTTTATCCAGCGGCGGAGGGGGACTGAGCAGCTCCAACACCTCGGCGTCCAGGGCGCGGAACAGAAACTGGCGGTTGTTCTCATTGAGCATGCAGAAGGCCGCCGAGGTGCCCAGCGCCGCCCGGACCGCCCGCGGCATCGCGTCACGGTAGAGGTGCTTGTGCATGAAGAGATTCTCGCCGCGTGTGGCAAGGTCGCGCGGGCAGCGTTTGAGCTCGTCGATTACCCACCTCCAGCTGTCGGTGCTGCCGTCCACGCGCTGCACCTCGCCGAGGCCGCCCAGGAAGTTGGGTATGTTCAACTTTGGCAGTCTTGATGGCGCGCACCACGATGCTGAGGATGGCGTGGAGGAGGACGGTAGTGTGGTGGGATTACGTTGCAGACTGGTAGAGCTGCTGCGTGGTGTGCCTGACGCGGCGTCGCCGACTGACCATGGCTGGACAGGAAAGGAATCGGATTGATCGTCCCCATAGTCAAAGAGGAAAATATCCCCAGGAGCCAAAAAGCCTCCAGCGGTGTCCCCGGTGGTTTCCGTCAGAGCTGCTGTGGCGACGTTGATGTTGGTATCTGCGGATATGGAGTCATCGGGTAGACTGGACGTGGCGGATGAAATCGGCGCATAAGCATAGTGGCAGCTTTTCTTGGTACGCTGACAAGTCCCGCATGCGGGATAGTTACGATCGCATTTTCGACGACCCTTGAAGCAGGCGTCACAGGACTTTCGCCGTAAAGACATGGGAACAATGATAGTGATGCAGTTGTATGAAGTGGGTGTCGCTGGTCATTCTAAAGAAGACCCACATATGCGACGGGAAGAGTAAGCAAATCGACCCCAGTACGCCTGCATTGAATGAGGGACTGCCTGATTGCGCTACAGTACGGATCTTACGGCTGCGACCGGGAATGGTTCGGTGCAGTTATGGCGATCGATGACAATTCGGCTGCTGACCAATCTATCACACGCGTCAGTCCCAAGATGGTCCGGGATTGGTTGGGGTCGGGGATTCAGGATTCACTATTATCATTACCGTCAAGTGTCAGCAATACCGCTTTCAATAGCTGAACGAAACGAGCAAGTATTTTTATAAAGACCGCGTCACTGATGCAACCGTCACTATCAAGCAAATCTACTTCTTTATGAAGAATATTGGTAACTGAAGATGATATCATGAGATTTCATCTATCTCAAATGCTCGTGTTGTACACCCCCTCAGGAAGGCTGCGCATTTCAGAAGCCCCAGTAACCCTTGACCAAGAAAGCCCCATATCCAGCAATGGCACTCAAAAGCCCGACACTGCCGATAAACCCAATAGGCCTGCCGGCGCCGACTCCCTGCTGCAGGATACCAAAATCGGCATGCAGCACGCGCAGCGCGAGAAAGCTGCCGAGGAACCAACTCAGGACCTTACGGTTGCCGCCATTGACCTCGACCAATGTAGCAAGTATGAAAGCCATTGGGACGTACTCGACGAAGTTTGCGTGTGCACGAGTGAGGAGATATAGCTTGTCGTTCTGGTAAGCACGCCAGTCCGAGCTAGCAGTCGATGAATTGTCGCCAAGGTAGTGCTCTTTCTGAAGGCGCTCGCGGACTGTTCGAATGCTGAGCAACGCAAAGTACGCGGTAAATGGCAGTGCGAAGGCCCCAGTAACAGCTGTGCAATGAGAAGATCGGATTAGTGACTCGACATGAAGAGGACTGGTGGTGTGGAATGTAACACCCACGGAGCAGCTTCGGCATCGTGGTCAGCCCAATTGTTTGAGAGCTCATGGTTGCGGTAGGTATGCAGTGCAATTGCGGAAATTTCTACGCACTTCGTTCTACGCTCGTTAGATATATGACAATCAATCGCTCGACCAATAGCTTTGACATCGAGCTAAAGAAAATGCTTGACGCGACTATCCACGGGATTGACAATCTTCCGCGAGCTAGCGCCAGATTCTATAACGCCCTTGACATCATCTGTACAAGCTACCACCATATCCGGCTGTGTGGAGCGACAGAGCTCAAACTGTCTCTCCAACAGGGCTGATAGATCCAAAGTGGTTGTTCAACACATAGAACCACCGGTGCAGTCAATAGAGAGACGGATCATCTCCACTTTTGCTTCCCAAATTCAAGTGTAATGCACACCATACGCGGAGCATCACAACAATCGCACCAAGTCGCAGGGGAAAAGCCCACAAAATGCTGATGCATTAATGAGTGAACTCATGTCAGACTTACCTGCGTGGTAGAATTAATTGTATTCTGAGACGAAGTCAAATGAATTGCCCCTTAGCCAACTCCTGATTATGCCATGCAGTCTTAGGAATCATAGAACAGAATTAATACCTGACACATGCAAGTCTTGACCTTCGTAAGTGCAGTCCTATTTTGATTGCATGTAAGCAATACCCATCAAGGTTCTTGCTCCTGGACTGAATCGCATAGGACACTGAGACTCACGAAGAAGGCAAGACTTTCGGAAGCATTGGTACAGTCCTTGGCCGAGATAAGTTGGCATACGCCGCGCGTTCTGTGGGATCGAAGCTTGTGCTATAAGTGGAAAGCAATGTCACGGGAATTTACTCTGCCCATGGGCAGACGGGCTTGCTTTTCGACCCCCAATATGCAAGCCGCATTCCCGTGCAATTATGTTTTTACGCTTATGTATTTACACGAGTCTTTGGATCAACATCGTCTCTGGAAAACCTCCGGAATCATTCGTCGCGCAAATTCCCAGTCATGGAACCGCGCACGCACACGGTGTCTAGATTGAATGGCGAGCTTGACCATTCCCTATGTCTTAATGCTCAACTAACTCATGATAAACACTATTCCATAATGCGGGATTGATGAAAATATTTAAACGTGCGATTATCGGATAATAACTTTAATTGGCTCCGCAAAGCATTAGATACACCAGTATGATCAATTCCGATTCTGATCGCCGCCAACGCTTCTCTTGATCATGTCCTTTCTCACGATGATGCTCGATCCCGGAGCATCTGTCGGAACCAGTCCAGTCGCCTGTCTTGAGCTCGAATCTTAATGGAACTGCTGTCACCTGAGCCGTCCATTTTGCTCGACAGAGCACGTAGGTGTGTTGCGTGTCCTCGCTGGGAGACGCGCCCATGCTTCGAGCACTCGGCCCGTCCGCCCCCTGAGCCTAGAGCCGGATGAAGCAGCCGGTTGGCAACCCTCGAGGAGACATATACCTAACTCTAACATGCAAATACCTCGACATGACCATGAGCACCAACCGCTGGCGGAAAAAACGTACAGGCTGTGCAAACGGAAGCAAGCAAGTCCATTGACTCTCTCTGCAGCCTGGGAGGCCACGCGGGGGATCGACCTGAACGAACTGCAACAGCCTACAAGTCCGTAGAATAGCCGTTTCTGTTACGAAAATGTTGGTGTGCTTACCTCCTCCACAGCCTGACAGCGTGTGTGGGTTGGAGCCTCGTATTGGTTTGGATGCTGGTGGGGCCCTTATTCCGTCCGCGTTAATACCGGCCAGACATTCGGCCTCGGAATCCACCGAGGGACAAAAAGAGAAGGTGCTGATTGTTTACGAGATAAGCAGTGGATTTTATTTCCATGGAGTAAAGCCAGAGAGCAGGGGTGCGCGGGAGTCACACGGCATTTCAATCCAAAACAAGCTTAAAGTAGCTCACTCAACAAGCTTTCAACAAGCTTTTTTAGTGGGTTGCATCTGCCAGTCAATCCTACTCAACGGTTACATCCGAGCGATCCAGACTGCCAGGGGAAATTCTTCGGAAGAACACCTGAATGTTGAACACCTTCAAATGGCTTTGTAGCGCCTAGGCAGAAACTGATGATCGAGACATCGCGAAGAACGATCTGGTCAACTGACTTTTATTGAAATCCACGTTGATCAAGGCAAAGCTACTTGAGTGACTTCATCCTTTGAGCCTGAATGCATCGAACGCCCCACATATGTCAGATGCGGAGTGGATTAGAGCAACCGCATTATAGGCGTCGGGCTAATTCAGTCTGGAAACGATGGTACAGAGGTAATAGGGGCAATCCCTGCAAGCCAACTGGAGAAATTAAGCTTGTTCTAGAAATCAGTGATGCCAAGCCTGTTCAGGAAGCTCCCTCTACGGTTGTGGGACTGGAGTCTTCCTCATTAACATTCGAGGATCTCCGTCTATGCCGGGCTTATGGCGGATTCAGTGCGCTGTCACGATGGGTATCGGCATCTGTTCCTGAACTGGTACAGATGTTCGCTGTCTAGTCTCTTTTTGGAAGCTAGGTAAACACTACTTTCTTTCCGACTCCCCACTGTTGTCCAAACATACAGCGCTGTGGAGCGACATGTTAGTATTCGCCGAGGCAAAAGCTTCCCTCGTTGTCCCTGCTCGTGAGTTGTCCAGACTCTTTGCTATATCCATATAGATTGTCAAATTGTAACCTGCCTATCACGGTCTTTCGTCCATCATTGCCTCTTTCTACAAATCACACCTACGATTAAGAGAATAGTCTGGGACGCGGGACATGACCGAGACTTCATGTCAATATACGAAATGTAGGAGATCTGGTGCCAAGACGATTTCTATAAGAACTGCAGGCGGCTCCCCTCTCGCCAAGATGTTGACAGCTTCAGATCATCAGCCCTAAGATCCAAGTCGCCCTCTTGTCAAAGTCCCTGACCTTCTGCCTTGTCCCCTTCGTTGCCGCTTGCAGCCAAACTCCAGTCAACATGAAGCACTCAGCCGTCATCGCTGCCCTCGCTGGCATTGCCGCCGCTGCCAGGCGTCCCACCCGGGATGTCGTCCACCCTCAGCACGTCTCTGCCCCCAACATGAGGAACACTACCTACCCTGAGTACTCCACCAACTGGTCCGGCTCCGTCCAGATTGGCAAGGGCTTCAACAAGGTCCAGGGCACCATCGTCGCCCCAAGGGCCACCGGTGGCAGCTCTGCCGCTGCTTCCGCTTGGGTTGGCATCGATGGCGACACTTGCAGCTCCGCCATCCTGCAGACCGGCATTTCCTTCTACGGAGACGGCTCCTACGACGCCTGGTACGAGTGGATCCCTGACTACTCGCACTCCTTCTCCAACTTCGCCATCAGCGAGGGAGACTCGATCTACATGGAGGTCGACGCTTCCTCCAAGACCGCGGGCGTCGCCACCCTCGAGAACTTGACCACCGGCCAGAAGGTCACCCACTCCTTCAGCAGCCCTCCATCCACCCTCTGCGAGACCAACGCCGAGTGGATCGTCGAGGACTTCGAGTCTGGTGGCAGCCTCATCCCCTTCGCCAACTTCGGCTCGGTCACCTTCACCGATGCCTCTGCCTCCGGCTCAGCTGGCACCGTCACCCCTAATGGCGGCACCATCATCGACATCCAGGATTCTAACGGCAACGTCCTCACCAACTGCGCCACCTCTGGCAGCGACCTAACCTGCACCTACACTGGTTAACTTTAATCGTTAGCTCGTACTACTCGAACGCCGGCAGGCTTGCTGGTTTGTCTTGGTAGGGAAGGAAGTTGGCAGTTGGACAAGGGCTATACAAGAGGAGCAGCACTCGTGTATATATGACTATGTGAAGGGCAGAAACGGGCTGGGGCTAGGGCCCGCATGCTAAATGCCTGTACTTGGATAATGCTCAACGCATGATAGTAAACTTTCATAATACAACGAACAATACTTTTCCATGTCAATCTTGTTGAAAGAGGTCCCCTGACTGTCTGAGTGTAGCCATGGACGTAATTAATCTCGTTGTCTACATCCACCAGGATATATGTCGTGCGACTCAATAGCGACGCGTTAGTACCCACAATTTGTGGTTCTATGTTTGACGCTATGAACTGGGCTCGTTTGAAGCGTTGAATGGTACCATATGAAGCCTTGCATAGCGAACTGACTGTATGTAATAATGAAATAATGTGGTTGTCTGTGACAACTATTGTCGTTGCGGCTTAGTAGAGGAACTCAAGGAACACAGATAGTCTATGACTGGGCTCGTTGGCCGTTCTACACAGTGAATCGAGCTGGAGAAAACAATCGAACTCAGTAATCAACCCTTTTCGTCTTCAAATTTCACAAAAAGTAAATAGTGAGACAACTAATCAGAGAGCTTGATCGCTGCGAATGCCTCTGCCGTCCCAACCAAGCCTTCCACTCCGAGATCCACCTTTGACAGCACATGCTCGTCGACGCTGCTGAAACCCATGTCGCCCATGACCTCGTAATACGAATGCGACACGTCCATCAAGTCGCCCCATGCCGGCCAGAGCTCCCTGTAGTCCTCCTTTGGGATCTGTACGCACCGAACCTCGATGCCCTGCGCCGCGCCATAAGCCTGTGCCACCTCGGAAAGCGACAGCAGCTCGTCCAAGCCCGCCACGGCTTTGGCCGGAAGGGTGAGGTCCGGGCGGTTGAGGATGGCTCGGACAAAGAGCCCCGCGTTGGTCCTCTCATCGCCCAGCAGCGGGATCTTGACCGATGGCGGCAAGCCCACGAGCTGGATATACTTTTTGCTGCCGTCTGCGGTGCGCACCTCGCTGGGCAGGTACCACGGATAGCGCATGTTGCTCGCATACCACGCGAGCCAGAGGAACGTGGTCTTGCGCAGCAGCTCCGGATGGCTGGTCTTGATGTGGTCATCCACTTGGTTCTTGCTCTCGTAGTACGGGACCACAAGCTTGCCGTTGGTGTTTCGGCGCGAGTTGGGCAGCGTCGACCACACGTAGTGCGACAGGGAGTCAGTCGCGGCCGCGGCATCGGCGAGGTTGCTGCCCTGCCGGGTCTCGAGTTCCATCGCCTTGTCGATGCCCAGCGTGGGCAGCGCCGCCTCGAAGAAATTGGTCATGGCGAAGATGGCATAACTACCTGCGAAGGCTGCCCGGAGGGATTCGACGCTGTTGATGTCGGCCTCAACCACTTCGACCCCACGGGCTGCCAGGGCCTTGGCGGCATCGCTCTTGGTGTTGCGTGTAACTGCCCGGAGGGAGTATTGGGGGTTGTCCAGAAGCGCTCTGATGACAGAGCCGCCTTGGATGCCAGTGGCGCCGATGACAGTTACGATCTTGGGCATGGTGTAAGAAGCTTGAGAACTTGGTCGTTCTTAAATGTTCAAATTATTGCGCTTCTGAAAGTAGAAAGATGCTCAAAGCTGATGGTGATTCTCTGCCTCTTGTTGCGTTCAAATTGGCTGTGCAGACAGAGCATTATTTATATTTATTCCAATCATGGTTGTATATATGCTGGGAAGGGTACAAATGAGTCATCTGGCGTTGCTTTGCATGTCGCTATAAGAGCTGTGAATTCTGTATTGAAGGTTGAATTTGAAAGGCTGTATTATCCAATGCCGCATCTCTCTCATGTAATCAAGATTACTGGATGATGATTTGGTCGGAGTGCGGTGCCGTGCGGTGTTGCTAAGCCGGCCCGCAGTGCGGTGCGGTCAAAAGTGGATCCCCGCAAATGTCAGCACCGCAGCCGTGAACCGGCCGCAGCGACTCTTCGCCGGCGGGTTCCGACTGTAGTTGGGATGTATATTGTGCCTTAAATATCGGACATCATCTTCTCACATTCAAAATAAGAAAAATCTCAAGGAAGTATAGCATCATCTCGCCAGAAATTCAAATACTTAAGCTATTCTTTCACATTACTTGAAACATCGAAGTGGCGGCACTGTCCTCTAGATATCTTTCATCCCGTCAAACCTGTCTTACAACTTGTTACCAAGACATCCGACCACATCCAATTAAAATGGGTATCACCGAGCTTGTTTTTCCCACATACAAGGCAGATCCGGGTCTCCAGGCGCAGCTGAAAAACACAGCTCCTGAAATTTTCAAGCAATTTCACGGGACCGAAGGTCTTCTCTCACTGTTCCGTGGCAAAATCCTGGTAGACAATGGCGTCCCTGTCGACCCAGGAAGCGGCCGCAGTCTTCTTGTCCTGGGTTCGTCTCCATTCCAACTTTTCCTCCTAGTATAGTTACACCTAGGACTCTGACTGACTTGGATCATCGTGCGCTCAGAATGGGACCGCGCTTTCTCGTTCCACCGCTTTTACCCAGACTCAGCCCCTTTTCAGAGATTCGTCCAGCTCATCAAACCTTTCCTGGCTGGGCCTGTGACACCAGAGCTCTTTGAATCGCCGGCACGTTCTGAGTTGTGCTCGTCATCAAGTGTCACTCAGATCATCAAGGTGAAAAAGGCCCCCAACACCGAGCATCTCTGGAATGAGTTCCATGCCGCCGTGGCAAACACGACCACGGGAAATCCGGCGCCGTTCTATGCGAGCGGGGTTGAAAGTCACGAAGGAGTCTTTCTAGGAATGGTTGGTTGGAGATCTCTCGAGGTATGTCTTTTGCCTAGATAATGAATGCCAAGCAAGACGTTTCTAATTTAATTTTCATCAACGCAGGATTACTACCAGTCGACGAAAATTGAAAAGGCCACGGGCATTTTGAAAGAATTGGGCTCTTCCGGAAAGACGTGTGATATTGTGGCACAACTTGAAAGAATTGATGTTTGACCGGATGACTTCTACTGTTTCTAGATCCTGGACATGTTCAACTGCATGGGGCGGACACACTTTCAGAGCTATATTTCATTTTCATTCTTGTCAACATCAGGAAACACAAAGGAGACAATGTCGGCAGCTAGCTAGGACCTTCAATTTGCTTCGAAATAGGAGCACCTGGTATGTATTGAGTGCTATCAAAGTATATGTACACTATTTATTTGCAAAATGTCCACAGAACATGCGACCGCCTAAGCAGTAAGGGCAGGGATAGCCTGAGGGTCAGTGTTGAACAGCTCGTCGGGGTCGACTGCGGTCTTGATCTGCTGCAGGCGCGCCCAGTTGTCGCCGTACAGGTACTCGGCGGTCTGGTCAATGTCCCACTTCTCGTCGCGGTAGGTGGTGAAGCCACCGGGCTTGCCACCAGCGGCCTTGTACGCGTCCACGAACTTGTAGAAGTTGTTGTGCACGGTGTCGAGGGTAGAGGCGGCGAAGGGCACGTCGAAGCTGGACGTGCGGATGTCCCACCGGATCAGCAGCAGGTTGTCGTCGTGCTTCCAGGCCGAGGCGTCGGGCTTGATTGCCTTGGTGTAGTCGCCGCCCCAGATGTCGACGAAGCCAGAGGCCGTGGCGTCGGCGAGCTTGGCCTCGTACGCGGTGGCGGAGAAGAGGTCCCATGCGGTGGAGTTGTCCAGGGGAGTGGAGCCGGGGATGGTCACGGAAGAGATGTAGAAGTATCGGCGGCCAGTGATAGACTGGGCTTTGATTCCCGGTGTGGTGATATCCTCAGAGTCCCAGAAGTTGAACTCGTTGGACTTGATTGCCATGGTCGAGGGCAAGTAGCTCAGCAGCGACTTGGAGACGGTATTGAATTCCTCGGTCGTGCCATAGAAGAAGCCCTGGAGCTGGGAGCTTGTCTTGATGCCGAAGCGGATAGAGAGAAGATCGTTGTTGTCGGCACTCTGGGCCCAGGTCTGGGTGCCGATCAGAGCGTCAACGTTGTCCTGTTGTGTAGGTGTGTAGTTGGACTGGAAGGCGATGGTGTAGTTGGTGACCACAAGCGAAGGAGGCTCAAGAGTCTGCAGCTTGAATTTCAGCACCACTCCGATGGAGCTTGCAGCTCCACGGACGGCCCAGTACACATCAGAGTTCTCGTTGGCGTCTGCATCAATGATTGTACCGTTGGCAAGGGCAACACGCACGCCAACGACATTGTCCAGCACAGTTCCGGAGGCTCGAGACAGCGTGCCAAAACCAGAGGCAGCAACACCGGTCATGCCGACATCAGGGCATCGACCGTGAGGCAGAGCACGTTGGTAGTTCTCCCACATAAATCCGGCTGCTTCCGAGATCCTGACAGGGCCACCGTAGGTAAAGAGCTCGGTTGTCTCATCGTACTCGAGCACCTTCAGGTTCTCCAGGTTGATGATGAGAGCGCCATCATTGCGTCCAAAGCCCATGCTGGAGAACGAGCGGTTACCACCAAGGGTGGTTACCTTGGTGCCGGTGGTCGTCGCACATTTCAGCGCAGCGGAGACTTCCTCCTCAGTCTTGGGAAAAACGACTGCAGAGGGGACTGGGGACAGGCGAGAGTTCCATGCCTGAGTGTCGATGGTCCAGTTCGCACTGGTAGGCAGGGAAGTTTCGATGCCCGCGGTGGAGAGACAGTCGCCGAGTGCCGCTGAAGAGTTCTGTCTCTTCGCGAGCTCTGCGCCATCGAACCCGTGCTGCGTAGGGAAGGCAGCCGTAAGTGAGGCAGTGAAAGCAAGGATAGTTGTGAAAATAGAAGCACGGCTCCCGCCGGCTAAGAAACGAGTGTCGACCATTGTGAGTTACAAGCACTAATACAAAAAGAATGACGATGAATATAATCCGGGTAAGCGTTAGAGCTCAGATGAACCTGTAGTAGGCTACATAAGGGCAAGTCAGGCTTTTGTAACAGACAGCAATATCTCTTCCTTCCATCCTTGACATTACCTGGCTCCCACAATCCACGGATGGAGATCATGTTTACAGTTCCTGCCAAGATCGTTTCTCCCTGGAATAAATAGCGAAACGTAAAACGGGATGAGAAAGGCCCACCAAGGGCTGAACCTTCTCATAGAGTTGTTGAACTTTATTCTGATGCTATCATGGGGGTGGAGTGAGGCTATGCACATGACTAGATACCAACCGGCCTATCCGACACTTTGGGAAGCGCCAAGTGATAGAGCCGCATTGAAGGTTCACCTTAGAACTGACTTGATCCCTGGCGCTTTTATTCTCGGGCCACGCAGTCCACGATGAGCAGCAGACCACTGGAAACTTACTCGTGGCCAAGACTCATCGCATGGAAGCATCCGCGCCGGCACAATGTATTCTAAACCCCTTTGAGCTGTTTCTAGCTCGAATTCAGTCAGGAGAAGATCATCCGGTGGCTCGGAACCCACAATTGTGGTAGCGTGCCGTAGATTGTTCCTAATCCAAAAGCTTTAAACGGTCCCAGTGTCCCGGTAACCCCTGAGAACTTGCTCTTGGTCAGTGGTGAGTCGAAGCCAATGGCCTGGAGCTAGCGAATGTGTGCCGTCGCATCGGCGAAAGTTTGGATTCCGCGATCCGAATCATGAGCTGCGGCTTGTGGGGCTTCCATTGCGCCTAGGCGATTTGCTCAAGATGAGACGAACCTTGGCAGAGTCTATCCAGGCATATCGTGGTCATCGACTCTTACTTTTAGTTAAAAGCGCAGGGCATGCTTGTGAACATCGGTGTTGCTCACGGTCTCGGGCTTGTAACTCTATGTGATCTCCGACCCCTTGGTCTCTCTCCTGTGCAAGAGCAATCAAGACTTCTCTGGGCAGCTGCTCAAAAGTTTATGATGCCTGTGGACATCAGCATTGAACATGTCGTCGTGGTTCCAGAATGACACGCGGCCGAGCGATTGGTATTGGCTCATATCCTTCGCCTAAGTCGGAACATACCGACATTTGGTGTCAACGGGCATTTCAATCTTCCGATTCCGAGTGGACAGCACTTGATTTGTACCACTTTCGGATGATCACAATTCGGGCATGGAGCAGCCGAATGTTGCTTATAGCGTCCTCTGCCTTTCTGGGAACAGTCCGCGCACCCTCATGACTAGCCTGGGCCGTGTTCTTTGTACTGGAAATTGTCTCCGCGCAGAGGTTGTACGGTTAGGGGAGTACACTGCGTCAGCCAAATTTAGGGGTCGTTTCTTAAGCCGAGTACAATTACCCATGTCAGTGACTAATGCGTCTGCGTTTGCCTTTTATGACCCTGTAGCAGGTAATTGACTACATAGGACACAAGACAAGCTATGTCCGAAGGCTCAGATATTCATTGCCTACCTCCGACGATTGAAGCATGAAGTGCTAGCATACGCAGCAGAGTGAATTATCCATTGAACATGTCTCAAACAGAGTTGAGTCAGCGAGATGGATCCCTACCTTGACATGAGGGAATGACTCCGTGATCACGTCAACAGCTGCGAAGCTGCAATTTGCACTCGGACATAGTTATCGGTGCTTGACAAGAAAACACAGTCCTTATTCGCTTTCGTTTTGAGACGGATTAATAATAGCAATTCATGAAACACATTGACCTCAATTTTCCTATTTGGGATGCACATCCCGCTCAGGCACATGGCTCGATTTTGCCTTTCATTGTTTTCTACACACAAGCGTCATAAGTCATGTCTTGAATATGCCTCGTGCAATGATCTAGAACTTGGAATACTTTTCAGTCCTTGCTTCTCTCGCAGTGATTGATTTGTACTAAGTTGATCAAATCTGCCAGCAATTTTGCGGAGCTCTAGAGTCATTGCGAGTAGCTTCCTAAACACCCTTGAAGCATATGGACATAAAGTTCGAACTTATCAAGCAGTTTGAGTCATGGACTCCAAATATCAACTTTTATTTCACTAGAGACAACACCGAGCGTTAGGACCTTGTGGGATCCTCACTTTGTAACCTGACTCCTAGCTTCAGGGAATACCATCTTAGCCTCAGAATTCCAAAATCCGAGCCACTTGTCTGGCTGCGGATACAAGATTATAAACTGTACCCGTAAGGCAGTTTCCTGTTACTGTTGTCTGTCGCGAGAAATCTTCAATTGCAAATGACGAGACCAGCCGAGCGACTTGAGCTATCGCTTGACGAACTCAGAGGGCACCTAAATATTACCTACGTAGCCTGGCAGGAAGTCCATTGGATAGATTTCTGGATCAAAGTGGCCAAATACCTTCCATGAAAGCAGCTTGTCACTGCGATTCAGTATGTGACGATGGTCCGAACACTCAAAAGTGGCACATAACAAGCTACTCTAAGAGCTTTATGATCGTGGACTGGCCAAAGCACGAGGAAGAGACGAAAGAAAGATCAACGTCAAGTTCATTGAAAATGACAGGCACGTGCCATCATAAACGGGTTGTAAGAAAAAGCAATATCCAAATTGCAACACCATAAGCCCACAGAGGTAAGACTAGGAGTGTTCTATGTATTACTCAAACCGTCAAATGGAAATCCAGACATGCGAGAAGTTTGGGGCCCAAACAGTGCGGGTAGTAGCTGATTTCTCCTGAATCTCAGGACTTGATGCTAAGTATATTACGAAAAAGCTGCCGCAGCGCCAACACCGCGACGTCCGACGACAAGCGACTCGAGACTGCAGCTACCGTAGCAGCTTTTCTCTTTGCTGGCTCTTCACGTAGATCTCTTGGAAGAAAGGCGATGTTATGAGGCACGCATCCTGTCTCGTAACAGGAAAGAGGCCTATGATGGAGAAGCCGAGAAAACAAACACCTCGTGCTGAGACGCCGCAGCATCCTGTATAGTGATGTATGAACACTATAAATATCAGTTCTTTAAACATGCCTCCAAAAGGAGATGCGTGGAATTAATTCAGGCGGGAGAAAGCATCTAGTAGAATGGAGTATTTCGCTGTCACATGTAAAGAATTGCTAAAATCCAAATAATAGTGGGTGGTTGTTCGTGCAGTCAAGCACTAACTGAGCTCTCAGTTATCAGCAGCTTGTGCCACCGGCCTGAGAATTGGGGCCCAAAATCTCCACCACCTTCTCTCGTAACCCCGAGAAATGTCGCCCTTGGCTAATCTGTCTTGGGCCACCACATTTGTGTAGGTCTGTGAGACGAAGGCGGCCGGCAGCTTTTAGATTCACAGAGCCAAGCACTGATTACAGAGAGGAATGGACATCGACAGCACCTCCGTCTCAACCGCAGAGTGGAGGTGCATTAAATGCCGCAACATCCCCTGGCACTACGATGACTGGTTGAAGAGGGAACCCAGCTTCGAAATACAACATCACGACTCGTTTGCGGCCGTTGAGCAGGCTGCGGCTCTGGGTTGCTATCTTTGCCGCTACCTCAGAGCTTGCATCATTCATACGGCAAAGGAGGATGTCCCAAAGGGTGTCCCATGCCATTTCCGCCTCGAATTCAATGACGATAAGTTTCTGTCCCCATGGTACTGCATTGGTAAGAGACATCAGGCCTGGATCGTTTTGAAGAGGGCAGATGGCCTCAAAATTCCGGCTGAGCCACTGAATAAGATCAAACGTACTACCAGCACCAGTACCCTAGGCTCAGGCTATGGACTAACATCGGAATCAGGCCTAGCCCACGAAACTGTAGAAGCTGACCTCGCAAGCCTCATCGGCGAGCGAATCATCCCCTGGATAGACGACTGCCTCCACCAACGCGGACGTCATCAAGACTGCGCAGGTGGTACTTTTCGGGGTGAAGCGGACTTCTTCCTACCAACACGTTTGATCGATGTGGGAGACGGCAGCCAGATCCCTGCCCGGCTCGTAGAGACGCAAGATCTGCTCTTGACGAGACCGAAACCGGAATACCTGGCTTTGAGCTACTGCTGGGGCCAGAGCAACGAGCCGGCAAAGACGACGCGAGCGACTCTCCAACAACGAAAGCAACGCCTCGAAACATGGTATCTTCCAAAGACGATTCAAGATGCCATAGACCTCACCCGTCGCATGGGCGTCAGATATCTATGGGTCGACGCCATATGCATCATCCAAGCCGATGCTGAGGATCCCTACTTCGAAGATTGGGAAAAGGAGGCCTTCAAGATGGCCTCCTACTACGCCCACGCGCGGTGTCTCATATCCGCCCTTGGAGCCTCGGATAGCAGCCAGGGCATCTTCACAGAACGCCTCGCTCAGAAATATCCCCAGAGAAATATCCCCAGAGAAACAGCCCAGTTGCTTTCGACGATGCCCGCAACCAGGTTCTCTACGTCCCGGTAGATGACATAACGTTTCACATCGAGTTTAGTAGCCAGCCGCTCCTTACTAGAGGGTGGTGCTTCCAAGAACGAATCCTGTCGCCGCGTGCATTGCACTGGTCGACCAACTGCCTCTATTGGCAGTGCCAGAGTATGACGCAGGCGTCCGAGGTAGACCCCGAGGACACGATACCGAGGCCGATGCCCATCATGGCACGCGACGAGCCGCACATCTTTCGGCAGGACGCAGATTTCGCCCTGACAAGATCATGGGTGAGGGTGGCATACACGTTTCTGCCCACCAGGTTTACGTACCCCACGGACCGCTTGATTGCAATACAGAGCTTGGGAAGCCGGCTGGCGGAGATCCACGGGGTCGACTACTTTGCTGGCGTCTTCGGTTCGCAGCTCACAAAGGGTCTTCTGTGGCGGCTGAGGTTTGGGTCTGTGGACTTTGAGAAGCTCCCGTTCTTTCCATCCTGGTCCTGGGCCTCTTGTTCTACGAACTCTGGGTCAATACCTGATTTCGAGGAGACATTCTCGCCTGGCAGGTCTCTAATCCGCCAAGGTGGGAGAGGGAGGGTGTTTCCACCCAATGGCTCGGCTGTGGACTTCAGCACGCCCGAGAAGCGTTCTCTTCGCTTGGAGGCACCATTGCTGGAGGTCACTCCGGAGGCTGTGCGGCCAGAGTATTCGGCACTGCTTGACTTACATTCGACCAAGTTCAAAGACAAGTTGTTGCAAGTCGAAGTTGAAATGATCTTTGACGCGCCAGGTCTCGTTCCGGAGGAATTTGGGCCTACAGAAGTTCTCTTGCTATCTTCGCGGGAACACCAAACTGAAGTCGTGGTGGCTGGCATCATCGTCCGGCCTCAAGAGCAGTACTACGAACGCGTTGGATATGTGTTGTTGACGATGCCACTTGAATCGACAACAGGTTCAGCCAAGCTAGCAGATCTGACAGCGAAGCTTGAGGAGGGTCGAAGACATGTGGTTCTCATATAGCATGATAGCTTTGCCATCTTTTATTAGTTCATCACTACCGTCATGGGTCTCCACTGACGACTCGACCATATTGACTACCCGCGGAAATCTGGCAAGTGGCGGTTACGTATTTAACCCAGGCATAAAGTTCACCACCTTGAATATGTGTGAAATGGAGACTTAACAGGCATGAACCTTCCCAGCCAGAACAACTAGCCGAGATCTGTATTCTCAGGGGAGCCTGTTCCCACTATCCTGTCCTCTAAAACTCTCATCGCATTGCGTTGATCCGGTATCGCTCACTGGTATCCCAAACACACTCGGATGGAACTCCCAAGTCAAACAGAGAGGGAAAAGGCAAGAAAATCGCTGTAGTCTAATGGTCAAGTACTTATAATGATGTCCGATGTCCCCGCGGGGACCATACCTCCCGCCGCCAACGCCTAACTGATGATTTCAAGCAATGATAAAGACCCGTTTCTCTGAACCGAGTATTCTTGTTTCTGCCCCCGCCTTCTTTCACCAAAGGTCGGCCTTGTCTTTACCGCCTCGGGCTCTGAGTGTTAGGGCTGATCGCCTTCAAGCCCAGCTGCATAGACTCTTGGTGGAACTCTCTCTTTTTGGGATTGTACCATGCCGACACGTCGATGTATACACGGCCCTTGGATGATTCTAATGCCACCATCCCATGGATGGCTACGCATCCCCGCGGGGGGTAGTATTTCAGAGGCCTCCACGCTCGCCTCCATTGTTGGGCAAAAGCAGCCGTTGGGCCCTGGCTCTTGTTCACAAGTTCGGGGTATGCAAGGATGGCTTCTTTGGCGACAGGACTCTTGTCCTGTTCCCTGTTTGACTGATCGGGGCTTTTGGCAGAAGCAGGGTTCTGAGCAGGCGGCGCATCAGGAAATGCGGACTTTTGAGAGGAAGCCACTTCGGGATGAGTCTTGGACGTAGAGGAGGTCGCAGAAGGTGATGAACCCGCCGCAGCGCCTCCCTCGGCAATTTGCCGGGCCTCCAGGCGCTTGAGAGTCTTCGCGATTTCGGGGTCGGGGCTTGATGTGGAGATATCGTGACTTTCAGAATAGCCAAAAAGCTTGACGACGTCGGATGTGCTTTGCTTGAAAAATGCCTTGATGAAGGCGTATGATGAGGTCGCCAAGGGGTATGGCTTCAAGACGCGGTCGACCAAAGTCTTCGTTCTCGTGTCAACCTTCTGAGTCTTGATCGAGATGGCGTCGTCGCTAATTTCGATGCTACATAATTGTTAGAGCAGAGAAGGCGACAGAGCAATACACCACAGAATGTGAATGCGACCTACCCTGTCCGTACATATTCGGGCGGAGGCCTGTCTGGATAAGTTATGATCAACCAGTTCGGCCCCAACTTCAGTTCCATGCCCTGCTTGCCCCACCTCTTAATGTGAGCATTGTTCTCAGCGGTCTTCTTCACCAACATTGCTAGGTCGTGCTTGGCCCGATTTCTATGCTCGCGGTCGTTGTTGAATGCAACAAAGCTCTGCCACTCCTCCTCTTTCCCAGCGTATGGTGGCGGTTGGACCTGCTTATCGGTGAAGGGAAACGGGATGAATAAAGGGTCTTCCTCCTCCTCCTCATCGACTTCGGGTAGGTCTTTCATGTCCAAGTGCTTCAAGGGCAGATTGATTACTGTGGTCCAGGTGTACCAGCAGACGAGGGCGGTACTGGTGTACACGAAGAACTTTCTGGAATGAGGCAGCGCTGTTAGTTACAGCACAAATAGCATCGAGACAAAAAGCAGCTGCTAAGACGTGAGGAGACTACATACCTGATGTGGTCCCGCCGCGGCTGGAACCTGACCTTGTGAATAGCGACGTGCTCCCCAGAAGATACGGCGGCGGCAGTCCTGCGCGGCCACATGGACAGCGCACGCCGACCTGCCACTTGTCGGAACATCGTGAAGTCGTGGTGAAGAGATCTGAGGCAAAGTTTGGCGGGAGGGCGCGCCAGGGAGGGCGGCCGCGTACAAGACCAAGCCTTGAAGCCGGTGACGGACCGCGAAGGCTGCGCCCCTCGTTGTGTCACTTGGGAAGGGCAAGTTGCAGGAATGCCGCCACGGTGATGGGGGGGAGGCAAATAGACCTGTGATACACTTTGCCGCAGCGAGACTAAATGAGTGACGTAGAAGTAGACTGGAAATATGGGCAAGAAACTGTACAAGTTGCTGGTGATGCGCAAGGCTGGGTGGGGGGATGCGAGATGCTGTCAGAGTCGGGCCCCAGATCAGATAGATTGATGCGGTCACCTCCAAATAATGCTGGACCGACCCAGACCTGAGAGAGCAGGACCCTTGGCAGCCCAGATCTTATCGGCGATAAGAAGTAGCCTGCAGCCCACGAGCCACCCACGAGCCACTAGCTGGGACGGACGAAACGGTGACTCGCAACGGACCTGGATTATTCTGGCATCCGTATGACAGGGGGGCTGGTGCTGGTGCTGGTGCTGGTTCCTCCGTTACAGACCTGGCCGTCCCATTCGAGGCCGTCATTACGCCTGGGGACGCATTCCACCCAGCCAAACCCGTCGTCAGCAGCTTGACAGAGCTCCAGTCTAATCGGCCCAACATCGCAATCTTCATCCAACGACACCCCTAGCACACGACGATATCGACATTCATCATCACAATCAGCCTGATTCGGTCTGCCCTGCCCACCGCAATGATGCTCCTCAACGGGCTAGCTATCGCTGGCCTCGCCGGCCTAGCTTCCAGTGCAGCAACAAACGAGCAAGCCGAAGTCTACATCCTCAGCTCCAAACAACCCGCTCCATCATCCTCGACATCATCATCACCCAGCCTGCCCCGGCAGCTGGCCCGAGATATCCTCTTCCAAAGGGTGACCGGTGATCTGCAGCTCAAGGATCTGTCCAGCACCATCGTCGGCGACAGAGTTCTCTCATATTTCGACCAGTATGGCGGGAGCCCAAGGCCTTTGTTTGGAGGGTCCTCAGAAGATGTTTCCCCGTCGCAGCTGGTTGTGTTGCTGGAGGGTGTCACAGAGGACAACGCAAAGACACTGAGGGAAGGGCTGCGGAAGGAGGACTTCGCGCCTGCGTTCAAAATTGACGATGCGCCGTCTACCAAGGCCAACAAGCACCTTGTCGATGTCGAATTCGCCGCAAGTGGCGTCTCTGGATCCTGTGACGTTGCAGCTGCCCTCAATCCCTATGACAGCTGCTGGAAGGGCATGTCTCTGGTCGTCAAGTACGATGCTGGAAAGGTACGGATGGCCCCGAATCACTTGTTACTGTGGTAGATTCATTCTCTCTGAACGTCGTTACTAACATCCACACAGGACTCCGGAGCTCTTCAGGATCTCGTCGACAGTCTGCCCACCCTCTCCAAGTCCGTCGCCTCCAACACCCTCGAAGCAACTCTAGTCCTCCTCCCTGAGTCGTCTCGCTCCTCCAAGCACTCGTACTGGACCACAGACGCCCCCACCGACCTTCGCCGCCGCTTCTCGGACGAGTCCCCCATCAGCGATGCCAAGGTTGAGAAGGTCACTGTCTCCCCGGGCAGTGGCGCCGTCGACCTGGGCATCACCCCTGGCGCCGCTGCCAAGAAGGGTGACAAGATGAACCTGGGCTGCTTCACCAGCCTCAACTCGTGCACCACCGCGACCAACAACTGCACGGGCCACGGCACCTGCGTGGACAAGTTCGCCGTGCCGGGCCAGGAGACGCGTGAGGGTGACAAGCAGTGCTTCGTGTGCAGCTGCCTCAGCACCAAGAAGTTCCCCGACAAGGAAAACAGCAAGCATGTGCACTGGGGCGGGGCCTACTGCCAGAAGATCGATGTCAGCTCGCCGTTCTGGCTGATCGCCACCACCACCATTGTGCTTGTGGGTCTGGTGACCGGGTGCATCGCCATGCTTTTCAGCATCGGTGAGGAGAAGCTGCCTGGTGTGATTGGTGCTGGTGTTTCGAGGTCCAAGTAAGCGGGCTCCAAGGGCTCAAGGCAAGGAGTGTACGGAAGAATGAACAGGAACGGTCTGGAACAGGAAGGGTCTGCTTGGCAGAGACGTGGGTTGAAGAGAACACAGAGCAAAGAAAGGTGTAGCATATTTGTGTATTGATGTATGGGCGTTCACACGGGAAAGGCATTGTCATCTACATTCCCCTGTTAGAGAAGGGAGCACTACGATTTTAAGTGACTGCATGAACTGTATTTCAATTGAGTCTACAAAACGTCCATTTGCGCAACCCGGGTATCTTGTCAGTCGGCCATCTCTTCGTCATATTCCTGCCTCCGCGAGGGCGTTCCAAAGCTCTCAAGGCCTCTCTCCGCTGGCGGGATTGTGGCCGCTCCTGACGCAGCACGCAGGGGTGACTCTGCCGCCAGTTTTAAGGGATCGACCACACTCTCCTGCTTGATCCCCATGGCCGACTGGTACTTGACCCCGGCCTGGTTCAACACCTGCTGGACCTCTGCCTCCCTGGCGACAATCTCCTGCCTCTCCTGTTCCAGGGCTTCGATCCGCTTCCGCTTCGCCGCGGCCTGCTCCTCCACGCCCTGTACCAAGCTGCGCATCCGCGCCAGAGACTCGCCCAGCTCGGGGAGAGCCCTCATCCGCGGTATGACCAGCCCGGCCCCTCCGGCCCCGCCGCCGCCTTCGTCGACGAGGTGATGCCCGCCCATGGCGGCCCGCGTCTGCGCGGCCTCGTACGCCGCCGTCCGCTCGGCGTCCGAGTCCACGTCCTCTGCGCCATCCTCGCCGTCCGAACCGCCGCCCTCGGCCGCGTTGATCAGCTCCGCCATCTCGCGCCGGTGCCGCCGCGCCGCCTCCCTCTCGCCCTTCTTCCCCAGCTCCAGCCGCGCGTCCTCGACGAACTCGTCGTAGCCCTCGCCGAGGTCCTCGTCCTCGGCGATCAGCCGGGTCTCGTCCTTTTTCTTCTTGGGGGCGAGGGATATGTAGTCGTCGTCCTCGTCCTCGTCGTACGCGTCGCCTTCTTGAGCAAGCCGCGCCCGTCGCTCTTTCTTTGCGCGGATCTCGACTGCCGAGGGGATGTGGCTTGTTGTGCTGAACGTGGACATGGAGAGGTCGGCTTGCGGCACGACCACGGCGCCCTCGAGCTCCGAGGGGTCCAGGTCCATTGCCTCCCCGCCTGTGGTTGCGCCGGCGTCGTCGTCGTGTATGCGCAAAGAAGCGATGTTTTGTGGAGTGTTCGGCGTCGAGGACTGCAGCTCCTCTAGGTACTCCTTGCTGTAGGAGGTCTCATCTGCTTCCGGTCCGAAGGATCGCGTGGGCAGTTTACGATTCGACAGTGAGGATCGCAAGGCGTTGTTCTCAGTGGCTCGCTGGGAGAGGCTGCTTGTCTTCTTGGGTGTGATGGGCTGTTGGCTTTTGGGTCCTGGGCCATCGTCCGCGGTGTCTGTCACGCCAAAGGACAGCCGCGACGACGAGGCTTTCTTTTTCAACTTCGTAGATCCTGACCGGCTGACCGCTGGACGGACCACCGCTGGGCCATCGTCATCGTCTTCTTCCGCGGCTGCCGATGTCGCGGTCGAGCCACTCAGTCCACCAGAGTCGCCATCATCGTTGACGTTGATGCTCTTTCGGAGCGAGGACCCTTTGAAGGGCTTTCTTGTGAACTTGACAGAGGGTGGGCTTGGGTCAGGAGCTGTGAGAGAATCACGCATCAGCTGTCTTGTTGTGGCCATCAGCAAAAAGGCGGGCTGGATCATGACGTTCTTGGGAGCGACTTACCATCGTTCATGGGCTCCTCGGGGGCAGACGCAGGGTCAGCAAGGTCCTCGTTGCCCTCTGACACCCGGACCTTGCGCGCTTTCCTCTTGGCCCCAAACATCCTGAATAAGTGTTGGAAAGAGGTCAGTCGTGCTTGTATGCGAAGAAGAAATTCCGCTGCGAGAGAGTTGAGCTTGGGGGGCAGGCTTATCTTATCAGCTGCGCCGAAATTCTACCGGCGCCTGCACTTTTGACCTACCCCAAGCTCCAGTTCCCAAGTCGCGGCGCGTTTCTCGATCAGGCTTCCCACTCAGGCTTCCCACCCAACTACTCGGTCCACTCCAGACATCCAGAACCTACCCATTCAACAAGATGGCGCCCGCTCAGCCAGAACTTAAGAAGGTGCGTTGGCCCGTGCCGCTCGATAATGAAAAGGAGGTTGATGTTGGCCTGCTGCCGCATCCACTCTTCCCTTTGAAGCCTTCAGATGCTTGTCCCTCCAGCCCCGTCTCCTTCAGACCCCTCTCGATGCGCACGTGCTGACTTTCCTGCTGTAGTATCTCGACAAGAGACTGTTTGTCCAACTCAATGGCAGTCGCAAGGTCATCGGCGTTCTGCGCGGCTACGACGTCTTCCTGAATATTGTCCTGGACGAGGCCGTAGAGGAGAAGGACGGTGGAGAGAAGGTCAAGCTTGGCATGGTGGTACGTTGATGGGTCACAACCTCCCAATATCATTCGAGATAGGGCTGACGAACGAGTCGCATAGGTCATCCGGGGAAACTCTGTCGTCATGCTCGAGGCACTGGAGAGGATCGGCGGCGACGAAAGGCAACAACGGGGTTGAAACGTCGAGACGGTAGCATTCCGCGGCGATGAATCACACACGATGGGTTAACAATGGGCGTATCGGCGTTTGGTCATGTCAAAAAGGTTGGCGCATCCCACGAACATCCGCCCAATAATATGCCCAGATGCTTTGCAGTGTGCTGAGACGGAACAGAGACGGCTAGGATGGGGCCTACAAGTCGGTTTTGTGATATCTGCACGGATAATGGAAACCAGTCTCCACCGAGCTTGCGAGGCAGTTTTCTTGTTGCCAAGGACTGTGCAAACGGCAATTATTTTGGCTTGTGACTTAAGAAAACAGCGTTTGCCAGGAAACCTCGGTCTCCTGGAGTATCTTTGCGGCAGGGCTAGCAAAGGAAGCTTCCTACTGATTGAAAGTTTTCTCGACAAGAGCCCTGAAGTACTTGCACAGTCTGGCCGAATTGAGTTTCCGTTTGAATCTCTCAGCCATCCTCCGACACAGACTTCAATGACCTCTTCTTGTGTTGACTGGTCGCCAACAGGGCGCAGTCCTTCAGTGCCTAAGAGACCATGTTCCTGTTCGTGTTGCGCATGTGGCTCACTAGTCGATTCCATCTGGAATGCTTGCCTCCCCTTGTACGTCAGACATAGTAGAGGTATGAGAGGCCATGGGTGATCAGTTGCCTGTCTACGGGATATTAACAGACATGCCCAGGGCTCGACACACCCCTGAGTAGACACATTACCCCCTATGGTCACAAAAGAGCCCCTTACGCGGTATGCATCCACGGAGTTAACGATGCTGCTACATATTGTGTACTGTAAATTCAAGATTCCACAACTTATTTTAAAGACGGCCAGTACCCCCACCATTGAGCCCCGAGCTATTTCTGCTTTCAAGCACATGCACATACAATCTTGGCCCAAATTTGAAGTACATTATTAACAGATTAGGATTTTGCTATCGCTTCCAGAGACATGCATCTTCTCTGAGACCATTTTAGGTTGATTCTGAGTGTGAGAATCCACCTACACCTAGTGTCCATGTCCTCCCTCGCGCTGCCCAAGTAGACACCCAACCTAGACCAGGTGACGGACTGATGTACTTCGGAAGTCGCATAACACCCTGCCAAATACCCTATTCATGATATTCTCGCCCGCTCGTTTATGGTATTGAGCAGGTAATGAAGCTAGTACGCGAAATAGGTGTCAGTCCCAAAATCTAATAAGAATCTAGTGCTACGGAGTTGATTAGAGCGTGAGCCCTAGCTTACGTGGCGTTATAAGCACTGATGACTGGCTTCTCTCCGTTGACGGTGCACTTGGCGAAGACGCCTGGCACAGGCTGCGTCGAGGTGGTGCCACAGTCCAGCTCGTAGGTTTTCCCACTGGCGCCGGTAATGGGTGCATCTGCGCCAGCGTCATGTCCGACACTGATATCAGTGGAGATGCCGTCGCCTGTGAAGTGACTAGAAACCCACCCGTTAGTTAAGTTGTTGCCGGAATCGGGCTTTGAATGTCGCTGCTAGTGTGGGTAGAACTCACCATCCGTAAATCACTTGACGGCTCTGGATGGTCGCTGCGCTAACTGCCGAGAGGCAGACGGCGAGGACAGAGACGATAGTGCTAGCAGAATGCATTTTGGCGTTGAAAAGAGAAAATATTTGTGAAAAGGCTGCAAAGAATATCACGAAAAGATGCGATTAAAAGTCTGAAGAGTGTTTGTCTTGGACAAGAGAATGATCTAAGACTTGCTCCCAGCCTGATTCTTATACAAATTTGTGGTTTGCATTCTGCTGTATTTCTTTCAGGAGACTCGTGTTTAGAGTTTGAGATCAGTCTCCCAGCCAGGCGGTATTAGCCTCGCCAAGTGGAGATCAAGAAACTGTACATCGCATAGGCGCCTCATTGGGCGGAAGTCTCGGTAATTTGTTGTCATTAATCTCTGCCCTTGATGCTTGCCGAGGCTGAGTAGCTCACACAGTTGGAAGCTTAACCACGAGTCATAGAGGAGGCTTTGATCTAAATAAAGGTCACCAAAGAACCTTCGACAACCTTAAAGACGCATCATTGTCCACAGCATCCCCAATCCCTTTTCCCTCTTAATTGCGGCTATCGGTCATTGTCAGCTATCATTTTAAGAGTATCGTGCGAGAGGCAATACTGCGCGACGTCAAATACCATCTTGATAATGAACATGCCATGTGCTTAAGGTCGGTTATCCGCGTCGCCGCTGAGCTTCGCGGCCACAGTATCTGTAGAATGCTTCAAAGGAGAGGTGGAAATAAAGAATAACCTCCTGTAGGATAACTATGGGATAATCTCCTATGGGATAATCTCCTATAGGATAACATTTTATAAGATAATCTTCTGAGGGATGGTTTCCTAGGGGATAATCAGTTATGAGATACTTCTTAGTAGGATAAACCTGTATGGGGATGTAAGCCACAGGGGGCTCCGCAAAGACGTGTTGTCATTTTGAAGAGTGGCAGTGTTATTCCAATAGTCTATGTAATCACATGGTAATACAACGTAAAACAGTAGGATTGTGAGTTCCTTTGTTTTCAACTGCTGAGACGTTGAGATTTCATCTCTATCAAGACAGCGCCGTGTGCTGTTCACCATTTTGCACGGGATCTTTCAACGTTAAGTATTGCGTACACATTGAAGCCAGCCTCAAGAGCCAATGAACGTTGTTGCTGTCTAAACCATTTTCCGACTAAAAGAAAACATCCAGAACCCTCCCCCCCTTTTCCAAAGAAAAAATAAATAAAATAAAAGACATGCAGACATTGTCATGGGAACTTTCTCCGAGTGTAATTCTCTTTTAGCTTCTTCGCCCGCCACTGTCGGGTGTCATACAAGCGCGATGCCCTCTGCTGGCCATGATCCGCAAAACGCCCGATGCTGAAGTTTTCGGCCCATCGACGCCTCTGCAATTGCTCAATTGCGGCTTTTGTCCAAGTAACACAGTTCTCGATTGAACGCGCATTCTCCCTTGGCAGCCTGATTCGACGTAGCACGGCGTCCACGTCATTGTAGCCTGTGCCCTTCGGGAGTTTCCCGATCATAATACGGACCATCATTGAATTAGACCTCTCAAAATCGGCATCTGATCGGTAATTGTAGGTCCAACCTCCTGAGCCGGGAATATTGGAATATGAAGGGTGGCTAATGGCTTGGTAGCATGCCCCTTGACCTTTACTCCCCTTTGACTCGATCCAGATAGCCCAGTGAAATCTAGCAGGTCCTAAGGCTTGACTGCTGGGATCCGACGTGATCGACTGACGAAAATACAAGGCCACAAAGACCCGTCTCTTGTTTCTATCGGGCATTCTGGAACAGCCTGTTTATATTCCTTGTTTAGCTAAAGTCATGCTATTGCATTCTGTGGCTGCTTCAGAATTACTCACAGCAGTATTTTCTTTGGATTCGTTGCTCCTGTGCCTTGTAAGCGTAAAGGAATTTAATGGTATGTATGAGGTCGTTGAGCTGGTGTCTCAACACGACAGGTGGCCCCGATTTGATTCCAAGGGCTTTGGCTCCCAAGGGCTTTGGCTCCATTTTATCAATCCAATTGTGAGAGGTTGACTGTATAGATGGTCCAATCACATTACTGATAGTCATGTAGACTGAATATAGAATAACCAACAGGTTGTTACATGAGGCGCTGCGGCCACGAGCGGCCAAGGCTGTGAGTCACCGTAACTGAAATACCTCACTGCCTACACCCTCACAATATCATTGATATGCTCGGCTATGGGAGGCCAGTGTATGAGGGACCAATATCGTTGCATTCCTGAGCCAAGGAATTTCGCTGCCACCATACTACTCCAACTCGAGTATAATGCTTACTCGAGTCACCCAGATGAGTCTTGACACCTGCTCAGGTAGGGTGGATATCTAGGTACATAATCCAGGCACATTAGTACGTGGGCTGTTCGAGCTGTTGGTAGAAGAATCAAGCAAGAACCTCAACCACCAACAGTTTTTCAGCTTTCGGAAATAGATTATCAAGCCAGTTGGTGGGGGGGGGGGGGGCGCTGTTCAATATGCCGAGGCGAGGCACAGCCACTGGTGACTTGATTATCTGGGACAATCGGGCAGTCTTACACAGCTTGAGCCGCTTCCCCAAGAGCTGATACCATGGAACACAACAAGCCGGGCTGTACGATCGCCTGTTATTCTCTTGCCAGAAGAGCTTTCAGATTCAAGAGGCTATCGGAAATTGAAGAAATCACTAATGTTAAAGTTGTAAAGCAGATTCCAGTGATTTGAGATACATTACCAAAGTAACTTTCCGCTCCCCTCGTCTGCCGAATTCCTCACCTCTCATTCCTTTCCTCTGTCCGTTGGACCATCACCTATTTGTGCGGTCTTTTATTGTATGGGCCCAGTCATCCGCGAATTCTGTATAGCTTTCAATGCCATACTGGTAATACCATTAGCTGACAAGTGCTACCTCCCAGGTGCTTTAATGGGCTCAGCAATCTCATGGCTTACTAAGCAACACGCCATCAATCCAACCTAGGTAACATTGAAAGACACCAAGTCCCTGCAGACGCCGCACACCATCAATCAACCAGGCATCTCGACATCACCCGCTTCACACCATGGGAGGGCCAAAACACGTCAAACTTAAGTCCCGGAAATTTCCAGTTTGGTTGCGCATGCAAGTATGGGCCGGTAGCATTCTCTACCGAGGGGAGAATGCCTTCGGTCAAGAAGGACAAACATTTCGCCTGCCTCTCAATCGGGTGCTCAAGGCTGGCTGCCACAGAAACGAGCTTGATGCCATGGAATTTGTCAGAAGTCGAACCAGCATACCCGTACCACGAGTTTTAGAATTATATGAGTTCGGCGAACGCTACCACCTTGTGATGGAAATGGCATCGAGCGGCCCAGGGGAACCCGGGGTTGATTACGACCAGATGACCCCGGAACAAATCAAAAGCTTTGGAGCTGAGCTTGGGGGCTACATCCAGCAACTAAGACAACTCGAACCCCCAGAGGAGGGGGTTATTGGGTCTGTTAAGCTTGGTAAAAACCATGACTCTCGTCTAGACAACAGGGCGTGGGGCCCTTTTCACGGCATCGCAGACTTCCACACGTATCTCCGTCGAGGTCATCCCTTGGCACATTGGGAAATGGAGCCAGATGTGATACGCGTCCACACCAGACCTGAGCAATACTCAATCAAATTCACGCATGCAGACTTGCGGCCTAATAACATCCTCATCAAGGACGGTCACATCACCGCAATTATCGACTGGGAGTTCGCGGGCTGGTACCCTGAGTACTGGGAGTACACCAAAATGCGCTGGACTCCCAGCCCATTCTGGGACAATTTCTACAAGGCCGTAGAGCAAGAGCCAAGCATTGTCAAGTATCCTGAGGAGCTTGCGGCAGAGACGGCTATTTGGAAGCTGATGCACCCTTATGCTTACGATGATCCGCCTTGGTCTGAGGAGAACGATGCAGTGCAGGCTAGACACAGTGCCGCGTGATCAGAAACGCCAGGGCTGGCGAACATGCAAGGTATGTCTACACCCACTCGCAGTCTCAGGGGGACTTTCTAAAGAAATGCCTCGTCACGAATAGCGAGTAGTTTCTTGTCGGCCGAACTCTTGTCGTCAAATACCTCTACATCGATTCCTCCGAGTTTGATGGTTCTGAGAAGAGCTGGGCAATGCTCTCTCTGGTCGACACATTATCAAGCCAAGAATAAAGGATTTGAAATCATTTCCCAACCATTAAATTAATGGAACTATTCTTCTTGTGAGTGCACATTTAGTGAAGTTGAAAGGCAACCACTTTCTACACACAATGTACTCTCGGAGCACATTTTTGATACAACTTTTAGTTACTTGATTTGAACACGGATCATCCCATAAGCCCGCTTTATACCGTTGAGGACGAGACAAGGGGATTCATGTGCGCATTGGCAATTCCAGCGCATCTCTCTCGACTAATTGGACCATGATGGCAGTCGATACACGGCTCTTTAGCCGTCAATGAGGGCGTCCGCACGAATCGCACACCTACCGGCACGCTGGTCTTGCAGTTCAGCCTAGAACCCCGTTTATGTTTGTGGTATGTAGGGGCTTCCGCAGGTAAACTGCACTACAAACGAAGCGTAACGTTGCCATTTCGATTTATCTTATACGAATGCGCCATAATGAAGTTACTATCCCCCCCCCCAGAAGCACTCAATATAGGCGGGCAATGTGGACGCCGACTATTTCTTTCCAGCCTTGGACCGAGTGACAGTAATCGCTTCAGCGACACGCTGCTTGTGGATGCATAGAGAGCTACGCGCAGAATATTTGAGGGCGCCTGCTTCGTGGCCATGCTGCCGCAGCATCGCTGTTCCCCAATTCTGAAGTTCTCACCGAGTACTTTGGGCTACAAAGATCGAGAAATTTCAAATGGGACTTCGACAAGTGTAAAGGCAAATCATCGGATCTGGCACCAACTACACGGTGAGGAGCTGTCTGACTCACTTTTCGCGTTGGTTTGTTCGCCGTGATTTTGGGGTCTTGGAATCTGAGACGCTCCGGCCGACAGAGGATCAGATGCAATGAAGTCTATTGCATTTGTAATCCAATTTCAAGATCTCCCCAATCATGCCAATCTGTCGATTAATTACCTCTGGATGCAGTTGAGCCTCAAATCTGCGACTTTGGCGGCGACTTCCCAATTCGACCCCCCCCCCCCCTCATCATTATGAACAGCAGTCTGAAAGTTATGGCGCCGGGCCTTGAATAGAACTTATGGTTATGTGACCAAATGTGCCAAGGTCGGCGCAGGGTGGATGTTTAATCAAGCTAACATACTTGGTTTCATAATCTGTAAGGTCAACATAATCTCGGTCAAACTAAAAGTTTCGAGACAGTTTTCAAGCTACATTTCAGGCGATTCAGATTTTTCTGTCGTCGTTGAGTGATGCGCGCATAAGACCTGAAGTCAGTGCACGAGTAGTGACAAAACTGACAAAGTCTTGGCTGTCTGATCAACGGGCGAAACACCTGTTGCTTCAGTCAATGTTTGGTCCATGCTGTGGGTATAGGTTACTCCATTCGCTATCATATATCGTTGACAGCAAACGCTGTGAGACTATTACTTCGACTGATTTGGATGCTGTCATCCTATTTATTATTGTATAGAGAATACGAAAAGCGATGGCTCACTTACTTGTCCTTGGCGCATCGGGGGTTTCTGGGTGGGCAGCTATGCACCAGGCGACAACATATCCAACGCCGACAACATTTGAGAAAATTACTGGAACGACCAACAGACCTGTAACAAAGGAACAAGCCCTTCTTCCGGCCGATGAACGCCGCGTCAGGCTTATCAGCGGCATTGATTTTACTAAGCCAGTGGAAGAAGTCAAGACCCTATTAAGAGAGAGAATACGAGACATCAATACTGTCACTCATGTTATATATGCCGGTAAGTTGGGCTCGAAGAGAAGAATCTGAAGATGATGAGCTTTGTATGGTCATCAGGCTGTCAGTTCCCAAATCATTCGAGCGGCCCTTTGACTAACAGCACCCGGGCAGCATATAGAGTGCCCCCAGAAAAGGGGCCGATGCCCCTCCGCGCCGCAAATGACGCCTTGCTAGAGACTTCAATCACTGCTATAACAGCGCTGGCACCGCGAATTCGCTCCGTGATCTTGCAAACCGGCGGCAAGGCTTATGGGCTGCTGTTCTCTGAGCACATCGACCTGAAGCCCCCCTTTCACGATTCGCAGCCTCGAGTGCCATCACCATGGGGAGACGAGATTTTCTACTATTCCCAGGTGGATATCCTCAAGCGCCTGTCCTCGGACGCCGGCCACTCATGGACATTCACTGAGGTCCGCCCGGATACCATCATCGGCTTTGTGCCAGGCACGAACGCCATGAACGTCGCTCAAGGGCTAGGCTTCTACCTGACTTTGTTTCGGGAGGTGCACGGCGCGGGTGCGCGTTGCGCATACCCCGGCACAGCCGCAGGGTACCGGTCGCTGCACACCGACTCGAGCCAAGACATCATTGCCAAGATGGAAATATTTGCCGCGCTGGAGCCAGAAAAGTGCGGTGGAGGACGCGCATTCAATGTCGCTGATGGTGAGGTGGTGACATGGGCCGACATCTGGGGTGGGATCTGCGCATACTTTGGTTTGGAAGGGGTGCCGCCGACCGAGGACACCGCAACGGCGGGCGATTTCGTGAAGCAGCATGTAGATCGTTGGCCGGGCCTGATCGAGCGAGAGAAACTTGAGTCGATGGATATCTTGGCGCACAACTGGTGGTTCGTGGAGCGCATCCTGCAAATTCCATTTGACAGACAATTCGACTTGAGTAGCGCAAGGGAGGTGGGCTTCAAAGAGACCATCGACACTACACGGGGATACACACTCGTCTTCGATCGGATGAGGCAGGCAAAGATGATTCCGTAGCTTGCATGACATAGATGGGTCATATCATACCTTGAAAAATTTGAGAGTATTTGCAAACTTTGAGAATTGGTTCGCATTGCCTGCGGACCACTTGAAAGCAGGACTAACGAGATCGAACTTAATGGGTGTCAGCTACGCATCATGTCTTCGATAGCCGGTATCAATAGGTCTTCACACCGATTGAGTTCTTGAGTTGGGAGCTGGAAAATCGGTTACATCTCCTTGCCCTCAATTTCAGCGGTCCTGGCCGCAAGGATCCATTTGAAATCGACCCTTTATCTGATCTGTGATGAGATATTGAAGACTCCTGACGAGCTGGTCGAGCGTTATGTTGAGCAGAATGCGAGGAACTGCCATAGAGCCTAATCTGATTTTGAAAACCGCAGGTCGGGCTCGAATGGGCTGTCGACCGTTGAGGAGAAGTTCCGCACCGTTGTGGACGAGCCATTCATCAGTTTTGAGGAGCGCTCTCAATACCTCGAGAGTATTGGGGCTTCCCTAGGCGCCACATTCGATGAACCGATGAGTGAGCAGACGCCGGGATCCTTTCAGCTCGACGTGGGAGTCAGTTCCGCACTCGAGCAGTAGGAGGGGTTGATTCAATTCAGCATCTAAGACCTGTGCGTGCTGCAGTCGTTCCGTGAGGACATGACCGCCCGCTTCGGTGGTCTGAATGTAGTTTAGGAGGGGGTTCTTGTCATGGGTCTGATAAAGATGCTACTTTAGAGTAAAATTCTAGTGGGCTGGCTGAGCGATTAGGCCTGGGCTTTCTCTTTTTTTTTTTTGAAAGGGGGGGGGGGAGGGGACGGGGAAGTTAGCGGCCCTGGGACCGAGATAGGGCAACTGGGGCGCGGCCAACTGGCCTACAGGCTAAAATTAGTACCAGGCGAAATTATACTATTTCTTATTCTGTAACTAATCTGAACGGAGAAAAAGCACTTGCGTTGTTTCGGTGTACCTCACCTGCCCAGTAATCATATGGCATGTACGGTGCTGTTGAAGATACTTAGGTACTCGGGATGCCCTTGAGATATTGCTTCTGGATTCCAAATTCGGCCAGGCTGGCAGGCATCAGCATGGACGGACATTAAAACCGATGGGATATGGTCAAATCCGCATGCTCCTGCATATCCTCCATGGGTCGGAAATTTACAGGCTGTCCCGCGGCGAGGATCTCTCTGGTACCGAAACGGTTAGATGTCACGCCAGGAACACATACTACGTGATTGATGTCCCTACCCGTCTCGATATCAGTCAGAGAAGAGATTTTACGGGGATATCCCATGGTTTCAAGGAGCCAGGAGCACAATGAATAGCATGAAAGCAGTTTGGAAAGAACATGGGTACGGTTTTGTTGAGAGCTGTGCCGCGCGGATGCGACGACGCTCGAGCATTTCTGACCACCACCGCGGCAAGAATAGGCCATTTCGCGAATTTAAGGTTTTATAGTCTAGAAATGAAAAGGACTAGCCAAGCCGTAGAGTATTTGCTACCAATATCATTGAGTGACCACAGGAGGTAGGCGTGAGACACTAGTGGTGAGCACGTCCACACTCAGGTACTGTGGAGAAGTATCTGGAGCAAAGCCTGACTCAGTACGTAAGACTTGAAGGTGCAATATTTCCCTTGCTACGCTAGCAGGATGTGGTCGTCCTTTCAAACCAGCCTATTCGAAGTTTCTAAGTACAAATGAATGGACATGCAAGTCGTTCGAAGCCGCCTGCCGCAAACGTCCACCCAATTGAGGGCTGGAAATCACGCAACCATAATCTGAGCACTACGGAGATAATAGCGGATTCACAATGGTAAAAACGAAGAATGGTACAGTGGTGTAGACAGCCCTGAGACCACGCACCCCCCCCCCCCCAACCCCAACATTGAGAAACCACCCTTCTTCCCGTTTGAGATTCATACATATTTGGCTTAAAAAGCATAGTATCTCAAGATACAATATTTCCTCGGTTTTCTTTCATATATAGAGGAAAAAGCTGGCTAAGACAAAGGCATATGTGTGAGAGAATCGCTGGTAGGCCGCGCCCAAGTTCCCAGAGATCCAACCTGTACAGATTTTTGGCTGCAGGCCGTATGTACCATACCGCTCTACCATCCGCGTTTTTCACTGAGATTATCCATTATCATCAACATTGGCGAAGATACGTACACTTACTTGGAAACAGGTAAACAGTTACTCGGGGGGGGGGGTGTGTTTATCGATTGGAAGGGGACGGAACTTTGTGATCCATGTGATCTGCACGTTATACACTTCGTCCGGGGGACAACACCTGCCGAGTATCTCCACATTTCATGATCGACAATAGTTCCTAGGGGGGACAATGAACCAAGAACCGCATGGCTCCGCAGCACGCCAAGGTGGCGGTTCCAGAGGCGAGGGGGTTCCAGCAAGATCAGTGGCTAGGATGAGAGCGATTGGCTTTATGTCCCCCCATAAACCCTGTCAAGCGTACACGAGGGTGTCAAAAGTTCCTTAGACTGCATAATCTAAAGGCTATCGGGACTCACGGGATGGGCAAATCAGGGGTTGGTGTGTGACAGGCTGCTGGACCAGCACATACGGAAGTGCCTACTAAGGTAAACAACACTCGACGCGTCTTTGACGCGGCCACATGCGACATCTCCCCGGTGCCGAACCCCAGCCTCACACAAATCCAAGTTGTAGCTCGTCCGAGGCAAGCCAGCAGTTCTATGGGCTCTCCCGAATGGATGCGTCACGTCTCACATGAACATCTGGCGCTCGCTACCTTGTCCCCTGAAAGCCATCCCCTCCCAGGGAAATTGCATTAGCATGCTCCTGCAGGTGAAAATTCTGCTAGAACTTCTGTCCTGGAGCGATATCATCCCAGATAATGGTACTTCAAGCTGTCTGTGGTACCACACCTCGTCCGATCTTGACAGGGGGCCGTGAGTTGTTCCCCCGACGCAACTACCCACGTGTGAAGGACAGTGCGCCGAACCAGGCTCAGGGAAATTGTCAAATAATGTTTGCCTTGGTTCAGGTCTTGGGCCAGGCTGAGCCCTGAGGCTACTGTCATCGAAGGCCGAGCACGCATGCCTGCTATGATTCTCTATGGCCGGAAGCCTGTATCTCACAGTCTATGCAGCCAGTCAAACGGCGATTGCCTCGTCCACCCATGCACCTGTGTTTTATCAGTCTTGCGTCTGCAGGAAAAGAGCTATGTAACGCCGAGATGCAATGCCTATTCATCTGCTGGTGCTGATGAAGACTCCAGGGTTACCGCATGTAGCCCTTGCTCAGGCGTCCGAGCTTGAACGGCTGAGAGAGATGGTTGGATGGCACAAAAGTGCCCGGAGGTATCATGCACATTCTTCACCTGGGCAAGGTCTAGGCCCGTCGCGCTGCATGGGCTTTGGTCGCCGCGATCCAGCAGGGTGTCCGTTTTGTACATGGGGGAGCTGGAATCAGTGGTTGACATTTCTCACAAGGATGTTTCAGGCATTGTGGAATCGAATGGAATTTTCGAACTCACGGGTTTGTCTACAATGTCAAGATCGTTTTGCAGGACTGCCAGTGTGGTATGGGCTATCTGCGAATGGTCTGGAGCCGCAGACCGCAAGCTCTAAGTATAAAAGCTGCTGAAAGACTCTTCGTACAGACTGTGGACTTCGAAAGACATCACAATTCATCAAAAGAAACCTCTAATACACATACATAAACTCCCACACATTCGGACATTCCATTTACAATACTTGAGCACCGAAGATGGTCCAAACCGAGCTCTTGGGGACGTTGCCCACCGAACAGAAGGTCACCATCGTCATCAAGCCCAAGCCACCGCGTAAGAATGAGGCCAAGATTTAAAATACGGCCCCGCTGGCACAGCCTGGAGGCAATGGTTGAACTAGCAACGGAAAGTCTGGTGCTTGAATGCACGTGCAAGTCGGCCATTGACACCTCGCTCTTGAGGACGAATGTAAGTGAGGGCATCGCTTCTGGTCTCAGTCTAACTTTCGAGCAATTGAAATCTTCACAAAGACAGAAGAGAAACTAACTCCACACTTCCAGGGGTTTTGCGTAGAGTACTGTCTAGTCAGTAGTGCTGCTCAGTGCGTGGTGCTGCTCAATGTCGTGGATATGAGGCCACGTGAACAGGGGCTTGATCGTGAGTACCACTCAACTGCTCATTGGTGGAGTGGCTCAGATCAATTCAAGGATTTAAAGATGAGTAGTTTGGACAACTTTTGGGGTTCAAAGTATACTTAGATTTCTCATGCGGCCATTGGATAGATAGCTACAGAATTGAGGCATACTGCCCCTCACCGCATATCTGTGCGCGCCTCTGAAGACCTCCACATACCGTCCCAGGTGCTGCTGTGCTTGCCGAAGACTTGGGATTCGTCATGGCGGCTCGGGTCGTCCTGCACATGCGCTAAGGATCTGCTGGACACCATCACAGCTGCACATCGGCGGCAGCACCCAATGAGTCGTGAAGGCGGTGTCTTTCATTGCATATTTGGGGGCCGACAGTATGCCAATCGACATTAGAGTCTTGCACCGATGACGCCCGACTCCTATAGTATTTCCGCACATCCAGCCTTCAAAGTGGTGTTCAGATGCGCTCGTTCACTATCGTCGAGACTCTTGGTATGGGCGGCGAAGATATCCCATTCGTTGGGTGGGTAACGCCCGACATCAGTAGAGCGGCCGGCTGGTCGCTGATCACGGCTCGTGGCAGTCTTTTGCATGGTCATGGGAGCCTCGAGGCATTCACAACGGCCACCACGAGGCGCACCAGACAATGTGAGATGACGATCTGCCGCGGCATTGAGTCCCGCGGGGTGGTATGAGTCCTCCGTATAAAGCTGACGTGCTGCCCCACCCTCGCTGCTTCAACAGTCGGCGTGAGACCCCTACACGCCATCCGGCTCCAATTGCTCTGCGAATGTGCGCCTGAATATGTCAGGAGCATCTATCGACCTTGACGAGTTGGAAAGGGGCAATCAGGCACCCTCGGTCGTGCATGAGGCAGTGACACGTCAGACTGGTCAGAACGACAGCAGCGGCAGCAATTTGGAAGGTTCGGCTTCGACAACAGCTTCTCGTGAGGCTGTTGAGGATGATATAGCTCCTGGTCAGTAACATTAGCTGATGAGAACCCCCGTGACGAGGCTGATGCCATCCTCCAGAGCATGACGTGGGGCAGGTAGGGCTTGCTCGATTGAAGTCCAAGGACCCTCAATTCAACTTCTATCCCCTCTTTGAGAACGAGAGGGCGATGGTACTGGACTCATCTGTTCTGGAAATACATAACCTCTCGAGGAAGATGCACCGCCTTAGAAAGAGCATCAAGGCAAAGCACGGTGTCGAGCCCCGCGGCTTGGGCCGAAGACAACGAGGCCGCAAAAGATGGGAGATGATGTCAAAGAAAATGAGGGACAAGTTGAAAGAATTTGGTATACCACCAAGCACCGCACTTACAAAGATTTCGTCCTCCACACTCGAGAATATTGACTGAATCCTGTCCTAGATGCCGGGTTTGTCACTTGGAAGGCTATAGACGAATGCGCTCGTCCACATCCGGGGGCTCTCGAGATGCTGCATCACTGGATTGAAAAGCAACCAGATCAACAGTGGGGGATGTACAACGTGCAAGATGTAGATCTCTTTCGCCTGCTTGGGCCCGAGAGGGGACCGATAGAGCGGTTCGTTCACGAGTATGTGCCGGCGACGGATCTGGCCGAGTCTGTTCTTGTGAGTAGTCAAACCTACAAAAGAGGTGCGACACAAGACTTCCTACTGACCGAGGTGAAGCGGCCCTTCCGGGCTCGTAGTTCAGAGGATACGAAGTTGATGTATCGTGCGTACCTCGAGAGTACGCTTCAGCGAATCGCCACAGCGGTTGCACTGCTCCTCACATGTGTCTTTCTGCTCATGCCCTTGGCTGTCTTGGCCTACTTCGGTGCGAATACCACTATCAGTGTTTCCCTGGTGTTGACAATGGCTTTGTTAGTTTTTTTTCTAGCTGAAGCCATGGAGAAGAGGGAAGGTCGTCGGTTGCTGCTTGCCTGTGGATACCTTGCCGTTATGGGCATGTTTCTTGCACAGAACTCCTAGTTCCCTGTCTCGACTATCTTGACGGATCCAAGAGGCGATATGGAAGCACCAGGCCTCTCTTTCGAAGAAGGATATGTGGAATAAAGAGTCAAGATTGAACAAACTTCTGTATCGCGATGGGTGTCGGAACAGACGCACAGGCAGCATGGCCCGGGGTGAAGCGAAGAAAGAGGACGAGGCTCTCAGCCAATCTGCGAAGAGACGAAGAAATGAGGGGGTTGGCACGCACGGATTTCGAAGGGCACCTGTTGCTCAAGCAACAATCTTTCGCTTTCCGTGCTGATGCCTGGATCTGCATTTCTTTTGGGGGCCATTTCCCCCCCTGGACCAGCGGAAATTTGAGACGGTACCTCCCAACTTACTGCAGTTTCAGTAGGTGATGCCACTGTTTATCTCGTCAATACGTCCGTTCCGTGAACCGTCCCAGTTTCAAGGCACGCTACAGGATATGTGAATGCCAAGAAGCTAGTACCAGCATAGAGACTTATTACACTTGCCTGCGTCTCTCTGCGGCGCAGGTTGGTGGACCGTCAGTGGAAATCTCGTGCGCCAGGGCTTTCCTGCAGAACCGCAGGGCTTTCACAGGTGCGTACGCTGGAGCAGCGAGAGTGTGTGCACCTAACGCTGGGCCCACAGCGTATGCCAACAGGGCATCCGGAACTGATGGGGGTGCCCAGTTGGGTTCACATTTTTAGTTCTCTCCTTTGGCTTGATTCTACAGTGACAGAGCCAACCGAAGTTGGGGCGTCGACCATGACAGTAGCACCACAGTAGCGCCACTACCGATCAGTTGACATATCATCGAATCACTGAGGCTTCGACGCCTAAATTCACGTCAGCAAGAAGTCAAATTAGACCATACTGAGTCATACACTTGTTTTCAGACGACAAATCGTGTCGATCCTCGTTTCCAGCCAACTTGGCGTGGCTGCCTACCAACTGTGCCTGTCATGGCTGGGGCTGGCAAGGCTGTGGCGGGACATAGAAAAGATGCCGTCAAGCAGAGGCGTCGAAATATTGTTATTTTTGACCATGCCGTGGCATGTATAGCCTTGTTCTTAGAGATCCAGTCGCTGACAAAAGCAACGAACCCTGGAGCGTATTTAATTATCTGAAGTAAACTGGTGCCGGTCATTTGCGAGCTTTTCGTCCATGGTTCACGCACAGGCACCGTCACGTTTTATCCAGCCCGTCCCAGGCACCCTGGTCGGAACCTGCATATTTAACGGTGTGGCCTGCCGTTCAATCCTTTGCTTGTACATGGTTACCACTGCCCCTCAGCCCTAATGAGCCGCGCTCGAACCCATCCCTCGATCCCACGCGGCAATGACCCGAGCGAATTTCTATATCTCGTGGGCTACGGCTGTTTAAATTATTACACTGTGACTCTTATTTGAGACCCTTATTTACGATGGTTTCCAGACGCAGTTCCGACGACATGTGGTCCAGGCCGCTTACCTACCGCCCGCCCCCTGTTGAAGCCGCGACCGCTCCCGGGTGAAACGGGGGACTGAAGACAACATATAGACCCGACAGAGCCGCACTTTTCAGGAACTGGCGGGCTGGACAGCACAGTATCTTTGAAGCCTGAGCGTCACACAGCACCCTGCCCGTAAGCTGCCCGCAAATACCAATCGCTGCGATGAAACCAAAGCTAGGCAGGGTTGCTGATGGCGTCCGGGACAAATTTAGGCATGTAGAAGCGTAGACTAACATCGTTTCTCGCCTTGTCTTAGCGCCTTGGCGCTGGTCCTCAACAACACAAAAAGTCTACAGTATACCTGAAGGCTCACCTTCGCAAAGGGTTGCGGCTTGTGGTCAGTCTTGTTGAACATGTCATCTCAATGGTCACGGCAGCAGGGCAGATCGGCCTGGAATCGATGCCGGACGTACCTCCCGCCTGTCCTGTGGCGGTGATCAATCGCCGTCTTTCCGATCCGGATATTCGGCACTGTGCCGCCATGGTTCAAGTATTTCATCATCTTCTGTATTGCCTTCATGCCTGTCGGCGCCATCTTGGCCAACGTTTCCACCTTTACGGATATTGATCCGCTGGAGGCGTGGTGGAACGCTACTGCGAGCTATCGCTACCGTTTCAGTCCCACTGCCCAGTACTACACTGCCGTGGGAATCTATTGGCAGGCGGCCACATCGGATCTCGCCTTGTACACGTGTAAGAGTTTACATTTGCCATTACTGGTCCAAGTTTGTCCCTATGTTGGTAAATGCTTACCCCTGAGTTGTTCGCAGGGCTATCCCTTCCATTACATTCATTCGAGACCTTCGGTTTGCGTTGCGTGAGAAGATAGGTCTAATTGCGCTTCTTAGCGGTTCTCCAGTGGCGTTCCTATGAGCCTGACCACCCCCCCCCCCATCACCCCCTCTTTTTGATGTGTTACTTACCGCGTATTTCCAGCTTTTAGTGCCACCCTTGCCAATCATCTTGATCGCCATGAATATCCTAGGCGAGACGGATAAGGCCGACGGCCCGACCTCTTGTGGCGTGCTATTGATCACGTCTGGCATTGAGCAAGGCCTCATGATCATTCTGGGTAGCATCTAAATGGCCCATAGAGTTCTCCAGATCGTGGTGGGAAACTTCATCCATGGACACCGGCCCTTCACTCCAGTCTGAATAGCTCAATTTGCTCACAGACTGAAGAACTGTCCGACTAGCCCCGCAGGTCCCTAAGCAATACCGGCATTGAAGTGTCTGGCGTTAAGTCCATGAACCGTCTTGACTCTACGGGCCGCTCCAGTGCACCCTCGGGGAGCTTCATGTCGTACTTGGTGACGAGAGAAATGAGGATCAACTTGATGGTGACCTCGGCCATGAAACGCCCTGGGCACGCATGCGGGCCCCCGCCGCAGTCAAATGCATCCTCGGCTGTGGACGCGAACTGGAACTTGCTCACGTCGAACCCGGCGCGGCGCCGTAGCCAGCGCTTGCCGTCGAACGTGCCGGCCTCGGTCACCAGGGCTCCTGCGGGGTCCAGGTTGTGACGCAGGTTGGGAAACGACACGACGGTGCCGGCTGGGACGTGAAGGCCGTCCTTGAACGTGTACGCGGTCACGGCGTACCGCTGGACAGTGGCTGTGATGTGTAAGTAGACACAGGTCTCTTGGGAACCCGTATCAAGGATGCAATTAGGAAGAGCAGTAGTATCAGGAAGAGGAGGAGAAGGAGGAGAAGGAGTGGTCACTTGCCTTCCTGGAATGGCTTCATGCGAAGCGTCCCCTTCATAAAAGAATCCATCATTCTGAGCTCCCCGAGCGCGTGGCGTGTCCACACGCGCGAATCCTTGAGCTCGTCTTTGGACACGCGTTCGATCTCCTCACGGATCTCAGTCAGGGCGCCGGACGTACCGAGGAGGCTGAACAGCGCCTGCAGCGCGACGAACGAGGTGCCGTGCATGGACGCGAACATGACAATGAAGATATTTTGCACGACCTCATCCGACGTGACAGCCTTGCCACCTGCGCGATAGCTGTCCATGACCCACTGGATGAAGTCGTCATGCCTCTCGGCTCTGGAGCCGGAGGACGCGAAGGCCGCTTGCCGGGCTTCGAGCACCGGGCGCACGAGTTCAGCGGCCTCCCGGCGCGCTTCGTTGACCTCGGCCACCTCCGGGTTGAGGTAGTAGGCCGTCCAATAGAGCGAGGGCCAGTACCTTTTCCGGATGGCGCCCTGAGCGGCGAGCACACGAGTAATGTACCTCATCGATATGGCAGGCCAGGCGTCACAGAGCTTGGGGCCGACCATGACGCGCGCCGACATCTGGGAGAACAGCTCCAGTATCTTTGGGTACAGCACGATTGAGGACCAGTTCGGGCAGGCCGGCATCTCTTTTTCCGCAGCTCGGAAACACAGCGACTGCATGGGCTCGATGAGCTTGTTCAATGCGCGATTGAGGTCGACCCGCGCACTGCTTTGGATCTCATCCGTTATACGAGGGCCGCCGACTTTGCTCATCGTCGAGGTCTAAACCGACCTGGTCAGAAACAGGAAGTGGGAGAGGCAGGAGAGAGAGAAAGGTGCGCGAACGTAGTTCAAAATACTAGGAAGGCTCAACTTCTCCTGCGGCGCGTTCCTGAGTTCCTCCATGTACTTGACAGGTAGGAAAACGCGCGGTCGGCTAGGGTTCAGGAAATCCCGTATGCAAAAAGGTCGACCATGTCTTATATGCTGTCAAGATGGTTGCTACATTAGTCATAGAGCTCGAGAAAGGTGACGATAAAGGCTCCTGACCGTGTCATAACCCTTGCCCACAAGGCTTGCGGCATCACTTGTGTACCGTTCTCTCGAGTTGTCACCGTCAAACTGGACAAGCGGTATGCCTGGCAGTGATTTGGCAGGTGAGACCATGTGCCAAAGGCTCCAGACCAGCCACCCAAGCGAGAAAGCGGCTGCGACGACCATTATCGGCGACGTGATGGGGGCCATATTGAGATTCTTGGTTTTTGTATCAGGGTACAACGTTGATGCTGTCCAGCTGGCGGGAGCTGGGGATAGTGAAGAACGTGCGGGGGATCATCTGCCTGGCGAGTGAAGCTCGATACAACAAAGGCTGACCAGCAGGCTCCCAGCACCAATGGCCTATTACATATCCCCTGTCAGGTAAAGATTGCTTACGCTGTGTAATCATCGAAACTTCTCACCTGCAGTGACCAATAAAATCTTGCGCAAATTAAGTCGCTATATGCACAAAGAAGCAATTGTGCTAACGTCTTTCTTTTGTATTCTCACGGATCTCGGCTTGGGTTTGTTTACTGTGCTTATCCATAACTAAGGCCTTAGAATAGTCGTCAGGTCATCTTCCACCACCAAGTACCGGGGAGGAGCAGCAGACAAAAGACCGAAGACGTCACAAATAAAACAACCGTGCCAGTATCATTTACGAGAAGGGTGGTTCACTCGACTGCAGCCACTGCCACAACGCATGTGGCACTGCTTGTTACAGTGGCTGCTTTTGGTTCCCTACAGGTAGCTGACCGGTGGGAAATGCTGTCTACCCAGCATGGAAACTATGCGATCAACCCAAACTTCTTGCACATGTTGTAGAAACTCGGCTCTGGCAGCAGAGCCAACATCCTTCTAAAAGCCTCACAGACAGAATCAGAAGCGAGGCAGTATGGACAGGCGTCCGACTTCCGGTAAACAATGAATGGCATGTATATCAGAGTGCATATATACTCACAATTGTTGTCTACAGAAATGAGTGTTGACATCCCCGCCCACCTTTTGGTACCTGCCATTGACAATATGAGACCCATAATTGCAAGACCCCCACCACAGTCGATGTAACACCAAACACTATCGCGAGAGTGAATGCTGCCGCAGTGACCCAATATGTGTGCCGTGCTGCCCGTCGCCTCTCAGCCCACCTCCCGAGAGCTGTGCTTGGGGTGGGCTCTTGTGCCTCGTCATAGAGAGCGTGCAGTCGTGAGGCCCAGTACGGATACCTCTCGTAGAGCTCGTGGCTATTTTCAAGGGGTCGGTGGTATCTGTCTGTAGCAAGCGTATTGTCGAAAGGTGCGGCAAGTCTTGGGTCCAGCGCGGTCGTCATGGTGGGCCAGCCCCATCCTGTCCAGTTGCGATGTGGTTTGATCTGGGATTTCAACCACTGCCTGTCTTTGGGCGGGAAGAGCAGCGGGTATGTCATTAGCGTCTCTGTGAGGAATTGAGATGTGAAGCAGCCTCTAATTGTGTTAGCGTACGTTGTAGCTCAACTCGAAGTTTGATGTTAGGCAGGATCTCACTGTTTCAAGCAGTCAGCTAGCCCGATCCCTGCTTCATCGTTCATCGCATTCCTTGAGAGTTCAAGATACGACGCAAGCTCGAAGATCCTCAGTTTCTTCCCCTCCAATTCAAGGTGATCGGGAAGATGTCTTGTCCAGACTATCTCCACATCGGCATAATCGGCAAGATACTTGACACGTAGCCTGGCTGGGTGAATCTGAGACGAGGCGGGCGATTGAGACTGATAGGCCGAATGTGTGGAATCTCGAAGCCTCGGTAGAGTGGACTCTATGATACTTTTCAAAGACTCTGCATCGTTCCAAACCGTAAGAGAATGCCCGGAGACTTCATTCGAGTCCATGGCTAGATCCGTCGCCAGCATGACGAGGACGGCTTTGGCAAGAGCGCGGTTGATATCGAATGTTGGCCAGAGAATGCTGTCCTTGACGCTTTGAGTCATGGTAGGAATGGCTAGTCCACTCATCAAAGTGATACTGTTGAGCTTCTGCTCCGTTGTACTTCCTGCGAGTTCTTTTTGAATCTGTCCCAAGGCCTCCTTGAGCACGCGTTTAGGGGCTTCGGCATTCTTTTTGAGCAGCCCAATAACAAACTCAATTTCCTGAATTGGGTCCAGACCTTGGACCAGACAGAACCGAAGGTATGTGCTGTATTTTCTCTCGGTATCGTCGTCCAGTTCGACTCCCCACATTGATCGAACCAAGCTCCGTGTGGTTTCCATAGTTGTACGTTAGAAGACCTCAGGAGTTGCTCTCAGGCCACCAAAAGTGTCGTGGTTGGGATTGGAAACATTTAGGCAACGAGCCTGAAGTCGCAGCCTTATATGTCCTGCAAATTCTGTGTGGTATGCATCTGTGTACAGGGAGACGACACCATCATGCAGAAGGAGGCGCATTGCAGTTTCGTAATTGGCCATGCAACCGATGCCCTGATGCGCGTAATGCCACCTACATCGCATCGCTTACTGCTGACTCTCAGCTGTCAGAAGTGATTTGGTCTTATAAGGCTGTGCCATCCTCCACCCCGCATCAGTGTTATCATGCACCTGGCTGCAATGTCTGTCATCATGGAGCAGCAAGGCACGTCGACCAGCACTGTCACCAATACACAGATCCCAGGCATACCCTCTGATGCGTCTGCATTAAACTCTCTGCGAAATGTTTTCCGGCGAAATGAAACCCAGAAGAGACCAAGATCTACACGAACAACAGAACTTCGAGGTACAGGGGACGTACCCACGCTCACGGCCATTGTACGTTCACCTAACCAAGCACGAGTGGAAATGGGAATGGACACTGACGAATCAACTCTTCTAGAGCTCTGCAGAGACGCGATCAAAGTCCCCAGATGCCAAGAAATCTACCTCTGCTGCTGCGCAGTCGAAGTCTCCAACAATTGAACGACAGGCCAACGTCGCACCGGCGGAAATGTCCGCCACGCAGTCCAAGGCCGATACTCAACCTTCCTTGTCAATACCGAACGGCATTGGGGCACACCCAGTCCCCGATCTAATAACGAAGAATCACAGAATCCGGCGAATTTTAGAAAGGGTGAACTGGACCAAATTACGCGGAGACTCCGTTGAAGAGGTGGCTACATTTCGGGAACTTGAAGACGCAGAGACTAAATTCCAAGAATTCGAGTCATTCATTAGGGCTGAGGGCAAGTATTTGGGTCTACCAGAGGGCTGCAAACCATTCGAGAGAGTTTTGATCCAGGGCAGCATGGCAGGTTCCAAACCGTGTCCTTATATACGATTCACCAATTTCCGCACGGAAGAAGATGTGCGGAGATATCATGCGGCCCTGTCCAAGAGAAAGGTCAAACACCAGTATCACCCGCCTCTACGTCTCTGCTATGAGATCCAGAGGTTGAAATACCACGCAGCGAATGCTGGTGTCCATTTCGAGGGAGATCCCGACAAAACGCTTTGCGGGAAGACTGCTATGATCGAGGATGCCGGCACCAGGCGACTTATCACCATCGGTGGAGTCATCCAAGTTGACAAGAAGCTATACGCCATGACGGCCGGACATGCTGCAACAGCCGCCGATGAATTGAAAAACACCTCAGAAACTGAGTCATCTTTTGGCCCTTACAGTGATGATGCCGAGTACGATGATGATGTAGAATCAGCACTGATATGCGGTGGACCGGGTACGAACTCGGATGCTGGGTGGCAACCTCATCGAGACAGTCATAATGATGAGCACCAGAATACGTCGGAATCTGCTGCGTTGACTTTTCATGGGTCCAGCATGTCTGGAGATGACTGGTCACTTCACCTGATTGAGGATCCTCTGCTGGCGCTGCCTAATGCATTGCCAGAAATGGATAGCGTCACAACTAGATACATGACTTATCCCGCCAGTCAGCCCTTTCCTGGTCTTGTCTGCCTTATCGCCGGTGTCAGTGGTCCTGTTGTCATCCCCATGCTCCCGGGGGTCGTAAGCTTTCCTCTACCATCAGGTAATTGGGTTAGCGCCTGGAAGGTCAGTCGTGTCTCACTGAAAATCTTCCATATTCTCTTCTTGCTGACAAAATACCAAGGTTGCACTCGATCATATACCGGTTCCAGCCTGTCCCTCACATCCGCCGTTATCTCTACAGCACGGTGATTCCGGCTCCTGGGTCGTTGATTGCACAAATGGGAACGTGTTTGGACATGTGATTGCCAGCACCGACACTACAGCATTTCTGATTCCCCTGATACACACGCTGGACTCCATTTCTCGACAGGCAAAGCTGAAGGGTGCTGAGGGGATCATTTCACTCCCACCCGCGTTCGATATGTTAGCAGACCTTGCTCACGTATATAACAATGAGTCTGAGAATAAAAGTCTGTATTACGCCAGACTATTCGCCTCACGGGCGTTGACATCCTCTACAAAGAAACAATCTCCAGCCTCAGAAGTTGCGCCAATCATCGACTCGTTCCTCAAGTCGTATGGAAACTCTTCGACGATCAGGACTATTGTTCAGAACCTACTGGTGCGGACTGGCGCCGACTTGAAGGGAAACTTAGCATCAATTTACCGCGATGAGAATAGTGAGAGTCTTTCCAAGGTCATCGAAGACAGCGCTCCTATAGAAAAGGAAGTCACAAAGGCAGCGATACGAGATCTGGCCATTGCACTTGGAAATCATCCTGAATCCTTCGGCGTTCACGAGATACCATGGGAGAGGCGCCTGCTCCTGCTTGGAGGGGAAAACCCGGAGCCAAAGGAGCAGTCGAGTCAGAATGAGCCAAGCAGCCAGTCCCGCCTGGTTCATAACATGCCTGGGGTGTCGCGGCACTCAAAATATGATGTCATCATAAGGAGCGATAATCCTATCGATGTCATGACGAAAGCTGTTCCTCCGATTCTGGGATCTCCTAAGCTTGAGCAGCATGAGAAGCACCTACCCGTGCTGCGGAAGGCGACAAATCCGCCTAGCTCTACACTGTACGATACGCACCTGCAGATGAGATCTCAATCACCACAGCCCACCGCAGCCCACCTCCCTAAGTCGAGAAAGAAGAGACTTTGTGGCATGTCTGCATTGGCTTGCGCAGGCCTATCCATCATAATTGCTGCCCTAATCGCCGCGATTAGCATTCTGGGTGCATTCCTCGGCGTCGAGATCCAAAAGAATAAAAGCCTCCAAGCACAGCTGTCAAATTTGATCGATGCTGTCCCAAGTTGCCGGACTACGGTCATTACGTCGACATGTTCAATAACAGGGACTGCGAGCACAATGGCTGCCACGAGCACAATAGCTCCCACGAGCACTACGACAAATACAACTAGCTACAGTGGACTATCAACCGGTGCTAAGGCGGGCATAGGTATTGGGTCAACCTTTGCGATTCTCGGCATCATCCCCTTGATATATTGGTGTTCCTATAGGGGTGCTGGGGGAAGGAAGGAATCGAAATAAGGCCAGTTTGAGCCGCAGGCAAAAGGCAAGGGGCGATATAAACATAAGTAACCATATACAGAATAATAATAGTTACAACACATTAGGCCCACGACTGAAATAATTTAGATAATCAGAGAATGGGCTTTTGACTATCAGATAAAAACAGTTAAATATTGAACTTTTTATTTTATTTAAGTACGCCTCTTTCATCAATTATAACGAAATCCTGGCTTCAATTATGGTTGTACTAATATAATACCGGATGCAGTTATGCCGGGAGTTATAACATAAATCTAATTAAAGTTACGGAAGGACAAATTAATATGTTGAGAGGAGCTAGAAAAGGGGGTATAGTTGAGGTGCTATTAGGTGAATATCACTAAACGTATATGAATTAAAGACGGGCAGCTGATTAAACCAGTCAGCACCTGACGGAGGTCAGCACAGGCGCAATTACCCACGTAGGTAGTGATGCATTATGAAATAAGCTTGGAGTACCGTACATAGCCCTCAACGACCAAAAGCTATCCGAGGCTGTATATTCAGCCGTGCCACTGATCTGCATACACAAGATTCAAATATCGTCGTTGACGGAAACTCGACAAATCAGCGACACCAAAACTACTACAGGATTCTGTTCCAAGGTAAATAGTGATGTAATTAACTGCAAAGCTTACGCACTCTATATTACCCATGACACGATTCCCACAATTCCTACCAATCATAGTCTTCAAAGCGCTTCCATATCCTGAAGCACCGACGGGACCTTGTGATACAGGATCTCAAGCGAACTTGGAACAACGCCGGAATGCGCCAGGTGTGTGAGCATGAGAAGCGGAGCTTGAAGTGCCAAAGGGCGCAGAGAGGTGCTAGTGCTAGAAGTAAAGAAAGCCACCAGACTCGAGCTCAATGGGCACTATGTGCAACCCTACCGTCGTGCCATACCCATCTGCTAGATGCGGGAAATGTCACTGTTGTTGCCGATTGAGTGAGATACTAAGTTCCAGCTTGATAAGTACTCAATCCCACTGAATTTATTATAGAGTAAGATTGATCATGCAACCGCCTTGTTCACCAGGAATTCGCCCACCACCTTCAGAACTCGTTCTCTAAGCCCCCCATCATCAAGATGACACATGTGACTTCCATTTGGGAAAGTGATCCAGCGTACGCGTGGGATGAGCTCAAAAAATGCCTCCTGCGAAATGTCGCGCGACGTGTCGAACTCACCATTGTAGACCAGAGTGGGAGCAGCAATCTGTGGCAGGCGTGGTATGCATGTCCAGCCGCGCAGTGAGCCGTTCAATTTCAGAACGGAGGGGCCGTACCTATGAAATAAAATCTGGAGTTAGTAGGTGCGTGTGATGAAGAATTGGATCAGGTGGAAACATGAACAAAAGGTGTGTCATCAAAAGGTACAGAGCTGTGTGGAAAGACCATTCGCGTGCAACTGTCACGCCCTCGGCACATCAGGGAAGATACATAAGGCAAGTCGTGAAGGGTCGCAGGTCCAGGATGATGCAATGTACTGGGTTTCTCTCTTGTCGGAACAATGTGGGCTTTTGCCTCTTTTTGGGCTCGGGGAAGGGGGACCGAAGTGGATGATCAACCGCAATCAACTTACATGGTGCCATACACAGTCTGATCCTCGCCAAGATGCTTCAGTGATAGCATCCATTCCTCCGGCAATGGATCCGCACGGCACACGAACGTCTTTTGAAAGACTGTCATAGCGTCGCGATAAGCCTGGCTCGTGTAGTCGGTCTCTTGCACACACTTTTTTAGCACCCTCTGCGCATCTATCGGCATTTCACTTCGACACAGCTGGATGCTCTTCTCAGAAAGGTCCATGCTGGCTAGCCCACTGGCGAGCACCAGCCTCTGCAGTCCGCGGGGCTGGCGGGCTGCGAAGGCGACAGCCAGCATGCCTCCCCAGCTCTGGCCGAGCAGATGGAATCCAGGGCCATCACGCAATTTCAGATGGTCGATGGGGTTGTCCAACTCGGCGACGAACAAGGACTCCTGCCAGAAGTCTTTGTCCCCGGCCATCTGGGGGAGATGGGTTGAAGCCCCACATCCGATTTGGTCATACAGGACTACCGGAAGGCCGTACTGTGGCCAGAGCTCTGCGAACGAGAGCAGATACTCATGACCGCCGCCGGGGCCGCCGTGAAGAAAGACCACGGGCGGGGCGCCACTTGAAAGGTCGCCAAAGACCTTGTAATAGGTTGAGCAGGGAATATCGAGATTTCCAGGTACCTTGAAGGGAATTCGGCCCTCCGCGCTAGGTGTTCTCGCCATTGACGAAAGGTGTAGTGCTGAAATAGAGAGTGTGCTAGTAAACTAGACTTAAGGGTGTGGTTGGCCTGGTGGCTTTTGATACAAGTGTAAGATCTCAGGGGCTGACGTGAAGGAAAATACTCCTTATATACTATCAACCTCTAACCTTGTATGATATAGCTGATCTGTTTGCATTAGCTTTCAGGCGTCTCGTGGGGGCCAAGTTCACTGCAGCTATGGCGACCAACAGTCCTGCAGGCTTTAGGCAACCAGCAGAGCGGATCTCAAGCCAACCCACCGAACCAACTCAGGGTGCCTTCTGCGCCGTAATGCTAGGGCGCGTTGCATCGGCAGTGCATAAGCCCTCCCTGATTGGGGTAGAGATCGACCCGCCATTATTCCAACAAGAGACCGTTGGTCATTTGTTCCCTTTTTCAACAGCGTTATCGCACATGCTTCTAGCGTTGGCTAACTTCTCAGCACTAAGCATATTGACCCTCGTATCATTTGACACCGTGTTAGGGGTAGGTGTATCTCTAATGGCTATCGATGTCCCGTCGCTGTGGTTTCTCGTTGCCTCTATCAGTCTTGATGAGGTCCTGCGGAGTATAATCGAGCAAGCTTTTATTTTCATCTTTGCGAGGCGGAGAAGACTACCAGCGAGCGACGGTCCAATGACCACAAGTGTAGGTATCAGGACTTGTGCAAGCCTGACAGACTACAGGACAAGCAATTTCATTGAAATGCTTTACAAGTACCAATTCCCGTATTATGGTAGCGTTGATGTGTTAAGGTTGATGATCAAAGTAACATAATACTCCGTTCAAGACTTTTCGCTTCGAAGTCAACTTAGCTTGTCTACAAGTGTATGCAAAATGTCAAGGTGCTTTGCTGTCCCAGAATTCGGATGGCGAAAGCACACAGAAACTGGTAGAACTAGCTTCATACTAGATCTCTCATAATCATTAAATATCCGCGAACCATGAAGGTGCGCAAGCTCTGTCCCAAGTATATGAACAATGAATAAAGTTCTGGTCAAGCCCTGCTTCGCCATAAGACGACAAGTTCCTCTAGACGGCGATGAGCCCTGGTCATTCCCAATCCTGACAGAAATTTATACAGCCCCATAACCTTCGCAGACGCCCATATCTTGTGTAGAGATCTCCCCGCCGTTGAACATGTAGGCGCCCCAGCCAGTCCACTGTGTCGCGAATTCCTTCCACGGCTTGCAGTTGCCAGGATTGATACCGAGGTCCAACCTATAAGGTGACTCGTTTTCACCCAAGTATAGGGAGACATTTGCTTGGAGGCGGTTTTCGGGCTGGTAGAATCTGTCGACCGTGCATTTTGAACCGGATGGGAATGGTCCGCCAAGGCCGCAGGAGAGTGTGTCGGTTTGTTCATTCCATTTGACACACAACCACTGGAGTTCGATATAATGGCATAAACAGCAGTCTCCATAGGCTTCTGCGACCACTTGTGAGGCGTAGAGGGTGGTAATGAGCAGAGGTAGTAATGATCGGAAATGCATTTTGTTTTAATGAGAGGTGTGTTGCGGAGAGATTGAGGTTTGCGTGGTGGGTATGCGTCGCGATCAAAAAAGGAAAGACTGAGAGGTCCAAAATCGGACGAAAGCTTAGCAAAAGAGAGTCGGGTAGAGAGCGTTGAAACGAAACGTGAGCTTGTGAGTGCAACAAGAATAAGGCATCGGGCTCTATGATATTTAACCGTATCTTCTGGCCGTTGGACTAAAGATAGCCTCGCGCTTGCAAGTTCGCGAACCCCTGCATAGCTAGTCTTGTTAATCGTGTTAATCGTGGGGTAGCATTCGAGCCTCGTTTTGCTCTATACCTTATCTCCTCCATAAATTCCCCCACAAATGTGTTTGTCCGAGACTGCCAAGCTGCTGACCTTGGAAAGTTGGGCTGAAGCTGGACTCCCCGCCAACCTTTTCCCCATAAAGATGCTATTTTGGATAAGATCATCTGCTCGGCAATCGGTCGTCTGCCGAACCAGGCTGAAGGGTTGGGTGACCTTGACGTAAACTTGTGCAACGAGAGCATGCCAAGGCCTGGTCCCTGACTGTCAGGTGCTTTGGTCCTGCAGATTCATGGCTGTTTGCATAGAAAGACGTTGACATACAGTTTAATTGGACCCACACTGCACTCTACTTTAGTTTCGTCCCAAGAAGCTCCCGTCTTGGCTTGATAATTATAGCCTCATGGTGGTCCGTGCTAGAAGTATCTTTGCATAACATCTTGGGGTGAGGGAACCTGCGGGATGACCGTTGGGGTAACAAGCAGGGAGTATAGCCTAGAAATCCTTTCCTATAGTACCTAGCTGAACAGAGGGTAGTGCATCTCGTAACAGAATTGCTGCAGGACATAGCGCCTCATCATGAGTCGTGGTCACGAACCGAGTCGAAGATCGTGGCGCCAGCACTCTGGATACCAGGGTATGTGATCCTGAGGAAATCGGGGTCTGTAATGCGGCGAAGAGGCCGATAAGGGGTAGTCAGTGTGGAGGTCGATGTTTGATATACTTCCGCCCAGACCGCGCTCCGCCCCCGAGAGCCCCGTCACCGGTATGTCGGATTTCCAAGTTCTTCGTCAATTCGACATCGATTGATATCTTTGAACATATAATCAGACGGCCGCCATTTTACATTGACTACCTCTACAGACTTCCCTACCTGAATAGACAATAATTCTCTTCTCCTTTTCTCTTTCCATCAGCATCTTGAGGCACAGTCTAACACAATGCTTCAACCTCTGATATTGGCCCTGACCTTGGCCGCAAGCGGCCTCGTCTCAGGATTTCCCCAACTTCACCGTGAATTGATCGTTCCCCGACAGGACACGACAAACACGACGGTCGGTGTTGATGACTGTCGTTGGGACAGCACAACTGGGTGAGAAGATAAATGCGTTCCGTGGAGGCATGCAAGGGTCTGATATTGTTTTTTTCTTTTTGCAGAATCCACACGGAATGTTGGGAAATTTTGAAAATGAACGACCACCTCAACGTGAGTCAACTATCCCGCGATGGACGAGGTTAGCGTCAGGATCCAAGCTCTGTCTAACATCATTGGCAATAGGATTGGTGGTCGAAGAATTCCGCAAAATGCGGTGACAAGGGCTTCTCACAATGCTACTTGGACTCGGCTGGACTGATCACTTGGAATTGCGATGTTCTGTCTCTCAGTACTTGCACTCCTCCACCCAGCGGACAAGGCGCGAAATACAATTCGTATCAAGAGTTTTATGTAAGCCACTACGTTCCCGACCGCATGTCTGCCTCGATGAATCACCTCTAACTTGCAATAGGTCATATGGAACATTTACAGTGAGCTAATACGGATGTCAATTTATTTGAAGTCGTTCGGTGCTGATATGGTGCAGCGATAAACCAATATTTTGCCAATTACCACCAAGCGCTGCTCAATGGCCAAGCTGAGGCAATGTAAGTACACCATGCTAGCAGCATGATTATGGCAACGCTGTCGCAATAAGAGACTGACGTTCTGCTCTACAGTGGAGTCGTTGGACAGATCGTGCAAACCGTTGCCCCACCCGAAGACGTTAACCCCAAAACCCCGTTGTTTGGTCCAATCTTCGGTGCTACTTTTGGGCTGTTCAGCGTGAGTACAATTCCCACTTTTCAGCAAGACGCTCACGAAACACGTGAACGAGGAAGACATCTACTGACTCAAAGAAATGCAGGCTGTTGCTACTTTGGCACCGCCAGGAGCTGGGGCATTCATTGCAGCAGCACTGATGGGTGTGGCCGGTGGCACACCAGTTGGTGTCGTGAACCTTCTCTTCCCTAAGTCGTCGAGGGACCCTGTGGCTTGGCAGGATATTTCCGCCTCTCTCTCTGGCTTTGTTGATGACTACCAAAAGAACGTCGGGGCAGCAGTCTCCCTCATTCAAAAAGACTTTGACACATTCTACGGAGTTACAAACCAGGGCGCTTTTTGTGCCCGAGTAGCAGATTCTTTACCTGACAAGACCAGCTTCATGTACCGCGAGTTGATGAAATGGACATTCAACCAGGCTGTCCAGGCTCGTGGATTCTTCTCCATTAAGAAGTAAGTCACCTCAGCCTTCTCGAACCTGGTCTCTTACCGGGACGATTTGCCTCAGTGACATCATACTCTCTCAACGCACGTTCTTGACTAACCAGATGCCCGTGCAGCCCTGGTGTCGATCCTAAAAAGCTTGAGGCAGAGACTGGCAACTTTAAGTGTGGAGACTACGATGGGTATGGAGTTTGCAAGGACAACAAGTACATCTACTTCGACGGCACAGACTCGTATGGTATGGCCAGAGCCCGAGACGTTGGTGCCGACTTCTTCCCTGGGGTTCTTCAAGTCGCCTTTGATAAGAACTGGACGACCCCTAAGGAGCTGTATGTTGACGCTCAGACTTGCGCGTTCAAAGCCGAGGAGGAACAAACCAATGCCACTGAGCTGGACACTGGATGTGCAGTAAGTCAACTTCTTGCTCTCCTTTCTCAGCCTTTGAGCTGCATGAGCATGGACCATTCCCTAACGCACTTTGGGCTTTTAGTCAAACACCCCTGTGTGTGTCGTCGACATGGGCGTCAATCTCGACACGGCTCTCAGTCAACACAATCCTGGCTCCATGTTTACCAACTGCCCCCCGATGCTAGGCTGGGGCGTTGATTACTGGAACAATAAGGCATACGTTCCATTCTCCTACCTTGGACCGCTGCTGGTGAGACAACACCCTGCCTTCGCACAATCGAAACTCTCTAACATACAAATGCACAGCACGCCAATGAAATCGTTCACAATGAGTCATGAATATAGAAATGGAATTGACATAACCCCTGTTTTATTGTTTGCACCTGAGATAAAATCTACCTTTACGAATAAAAGATTATTTTCCGAAGTCACGTCCTGGCTGTGCTGAAGCTATGGAATGCCGGCACGGAAAAACATCATCCTACTCTCACATCGCCCAGGCGCCCGAGATCTCTAGTTAAGCTTGAGGTGAACGCACCCTTGCTCCCGGATCACCCAAAAGTCACGCCAATGTTGGTCTTTTATGTCCATTGACATGCAGATGATCATCGAGCTCTTGGAATTGCGCGTGAGGGCCCGTCTTCTTGTCGCGGAAGAGCATACCACAAAACAGAGTATTGGCCATATTGAGAACGAATGGCCTGCGATCGCTTGGTTCCTCGTCTGCTTCGACTTCGGTCCCATCTTGTGCCAGATATATGTGGTGGTCTTGAGGCAGGTATCGTCCTGGATGGCGAACGTTCCACAACGCGGAATTCACGAGCATCAGACTCGCTTCGAAGATATAGAAGAATACCTCGTACCGGAGAAGAGGACTTAGTCTCCTCAGGGCCTCGATGTTCCGGAGGTCCACGCTTGTTGTGCCCGTCGCGTTCTCCACAAGCCGGTAAAGACAACGCACAAATATCAGGGTCATGCTCATGTAAAGCGTGATCAGTGTGGATCTTACTGCCCTGGCCTGCATAGGGAACCTGGATTTGATGCACCGCCGGTGGAAAGTGATGGAGAGAAAGGCGAAGACCAGAATGACAAGGATTTGGAGAGCCAGGGCGACGAGGATCAAGTTGTGCCCTGCCTTTTTCGTGGCTTCTTTCGCATTGGCATTGGATGTCAAGGATGCTCCCGCCGCATTCAGGCCTTCTATAACAACCATCAGCCCGCCAAAGAAAGAGGTAACTCGGCTTGGAGGAAGAGGCGCGGCGTAAGGCACGTAGTAGAATACACGGCCGAGAAGATGATAGTTGGCGAGTTCGAGAAATGGGCTGTCATGAATGAATTATTTTATTAGCTTATGTTATTCAAAGTCGCTCTTCTCAGAAAGTGCACTTTACTTACGGGCAAATAAGAATACAAATCTGACTCAAAATAAACATGATCAAGGGTGTCTTGTTGTTCGGGTCGAACATGTAGTTATCAGCTCCGTACTCCCGTATCGCGTAGCCCAAAGCGAACAAGAAAGCGCACAGGGGGTGCAGTCCCATTGTTCTCCAGGACTTATAGCGGCTGAAGGCAGAGCTGTTAGTTTCCAGCCAGGTCTGCAAACAACTTGAAGGAGAATGGCGAACTCACTAGCACTGCCAAAGGTGAGTAATGGCGGAAATGGCAAATACGATTATGAAAAATATGGGTGCACCCTTGTTGGGGGCATAGACATATAGGCTGCCCAGGACTAGCAAGGCGTTAGCCAATTCTCGCGGATAATGTAATGATAACGAAGAACAAAACGCTTACTAGCCTCCCCATTTTGCGCCATATTGCTTGACCAGAGCTTAGGGTCGCAACTTCTATGTACAAAACAAGATACTTTCGGTGAATTAGGTAGTAATTTATGGCTAAAATGTTGGCGTGTAGAATATCAAAAACTTGCGAATCAACAGTGACACCGTTCTCGTTCGCTCACGGGGCCGAGGCAGGAGTACCCCCAAGGAAAGCAGAGAAATGAGCAGAACAAGCAGAGTCTGTCAAAAGGCTATCATGCAATCAATGGCAATCAAAGATTGGCCCACCGTTGATATAGAAAGCTTGACTTGCAGGTTCATCCGGTGAGACCCGGCCATGATACAAAAAGCTCAGGGCCACTTCTTTATATGACCTCTCTTCCATTATTTGCAGTGGTGCCCCAATGTCAGCTTTCCAACATCATATCGAGGGATTGCGCGACGCCATTCCCGAATAGGATAATAAAACTGCCAAGAAATCAATCGCAATAAGCCCATGCCACTCGAGCGGCTGCATGTTCTACGTCGTGCATGAGGCACGCACTTGCGCTAACGCCACACACACAGCCCGAATCCATCGGTTGACCTCACCACGGCCCGGCTTGCACGTCTTTGATTGGATCCCGATTTCGCTGTCCACGAATCCATGTGTTCATGTTGAACTGGAGACTGATCCATTTACGAGGTGCCGCTGATATTCCACGCAACGTGGAGATTGACATAGGATTGTATTGCGTACTGGCTGTTCGGCTGCGGTCCAATTTTGGTCCGCTGGCTTGCAAAGTTGACAAGCATTATGGCTATGAATTCCTGGCGACCAAACTCAGAGCTAATGATGACCAAGGAGGATGACAGAAGCTGGATCTCAACCCTGTGCCTCTAATTAGCGGGTTATTTGCCTCGTTGTGAGCCATACAACAGGCTTCGGACCCGGAATTGACACATGGTATATCTGACCATGCCTTTTCTATTATCAATCACTGCTCAAGCTTGAAATACTAGCGATGCCCCTATTTCGTACACTGTGACGACAGAAGTATTACATAACGCGGTAGGGCAAAAACGTGTTCTCGTCTGTTTTCTAATCCCTTGATTTGGCGAAGCGGCTGCGAAGTGCCCTAGGTCGCTTTCCGAGATGGCCTCGAGCATAGGTAACCGGTCCAACTGACATTCGTCGCGGGCTAGAGGATGACAACTGTTTCAATTAGTAATAATCTCTGAATATCTAACACAAGGAACTAGCTAATCAGTAAATCGGATCCGTTTTGCAATGTGGAAAATCTCGCCGACGTCTGTTCCACACGCTAGTGCGTTGCCGGTATCATCCGAACCGACTTGGTTTGGCTTGAGCAATCTCTCTACGGGGGAACCGCCTTTTCAACCTGAAGACACCCATTCTGGTTTTTCAAGATACATTTTAGTAAATCTAGGATTATCTGCATGCACCTAAGGACATGATATGCGGCAAACGCTGAGGCAGACATCTGATACTGGCCGTTGCACACCTACCTGGATACGCTATCGGGAAAATGTCTATCGCAAATGACTCAGATCGCTACCAATGACTCGACCCATGGGGTTGTCGTTGCTTCCCAGGAACCGTCGGGCACTTTCAAATTTAGGGGAACCACCGACTGCCGAAATCGAGATAAGCGATAACCGAGTATAAGTTGACTTGGTTTTTTTCGAAACAGGACGCTGTGGTCTATCGTGTCGGGAACACCATGCGCAGATTCGTTTGTTAGACAGAGTCCAAAGGTACACGAATCGCTTGTCAACATGGGTGGTGTTGCCTCAAAGCCAGGCAATGACCCTGATTATACCCTTCAGGTCATAGGCGCCGGCTTCTCCAGAACTGGCACCGTGACCATGGCCTTGGCTCTGGAGAAACTCCTCGATGGCCCAGTATGTCACGGCGGCACGCAAATGCACATGTTAGAGGAGAGTGCGTTACACCTTCCTTTCTCGAAAATTGTAGTCTTACTTACCAGTCACTAGAATACCCACGTCAATGGGTGGAAATTTACCGTGCCCGCCACGAACGCCCAAAACTCCTCGCGAAGCTACGAGATGCCACTCGTGGCTTCGTGGGCATCACCGACATGCCTGGCGTGCACTTCATCGAAGAATTGTGCGAGATCTACCCGGAAGCCAAGGTCATTTGTGTACGACGGGACTCAAAGCGTTGGCTTCAGAGCGCACAACATATGAGCGACAAGATGACGGCATGGTATATGCCAGCGCTTATGTGGCCGATGCCTGCGGCTCGCTGGTTTGCAATATGGCTCGATCTAGCCGTAGCGAGGACTGGAGAAATGGGATTGCTGCCTTTTGATGAGGGTGAGTACACTTCATTTTATTAGCGAGCTTTTTGCATGCATTATTGCCTTGGAGAACAATGTGGCGAGGACAGACCAGCACGTGCTACCACAAACCAAACTCTAACCAGTGGGTGATCCAGACTACCTCCGTCGTTACAACGAACATGTTGAACGCGTTGTTCCTCCTGAAAGGCTCTTCTGGATGGAGATGAGCGAGGGATGGGCGCCGTTGTGTAAGATGCTTGACAAGCCTATCCCGGAGGAGCCATTTCCTAAAGCCAATGACTCGGAAGCAGCGGATGAGTTGATCGAGCTGAAAATCAAGGCCGCTTGCCTTGTGTGGACAGGTATATTAGGTGCTGCGGGAGTAGCAGCGTGGGTTGGAATCCGCGTTCTGAACTTTTCGAGGAGATGAACGGGGGTCATCTTGAAAGGGGCACATAGCTCAAAGGCATAGCGTGCTTTGGGGCTCCATCTCAGCACTCGTGGTCATTGTTTAGGATGCGACAGTGGCAATGTCAGCTTTCGTATCTCGTTTGTCTGTGACGCGGAGGTCAAGGATTACCTTGCTCGGCCGCAAGGCGTACTGGACTAAGGCATTTTAATGAACCCGGATAGAATATCAGCAGCCTTCGGACTCACGTGGAGGATAGCTTGTATTCATGTGAGCGATCCGGGTATCCCAACCCACATCTGAAATTTGAATCAGTTGGATAGTACCCTTTAAAAGTTGCTCACCAGCTAATTACGTGCAAGTTCTCAGATAGAAGCGGAAGTAAACCATTATTTTCTAAAGGGTACCAACTGGTAAAAGGACTGTTAAGCTCTCATGGGAGGGGGGAAGACAGGCGAAATCTCGTCGACTACGCATTCCAATGCTTACTGAAAGCGAATTGGCGGCCATTGATGTGCGTGAACTTTTGAGAACGTCAAAGGTCTTTACTCAAATGTCTGATGATAATGGCAACACTGAGGGCCTGGCCGCTGTTAAAAAAGGTCAGTGCCGAGCCGGTTGTTGTCCGTAGTGGGGACAGGTGAGAGGAGCCCGGGCTTGAGACGACAAATCATTCCTTGACCTGATGAGAGCCGAATCCGGTCACACAACACCAGATTGCTTCATATGCCAACGAGAATTGTGGCAAAGCCAGGTCCTGAGCAGTACTGATACTGATTCGGGGGCGGAGATGTAATATGGCACTAGACGTGTTGAAGTGTCGCGACCATATCGATGGAATCACAACGCAGCTACAAGCATAGGCTTCAATCTTTCTGTTTTTGTGGTAGCCTGCTTGGCTGAAAGGATCTTCCAGTTTTGTGGAGACAAGTCTCTATTCTTCTAGCTCCATGCTATTGCGATGCGATGAACAACAGTTCAATAAGCAGGTGGAGAAATCTACGGCGTCTAAAACAACTCCCGCCATGACCAAATTCGAATTCTCACACCGAGCTGTGGCTGACAGAATCCCAGCAACTCGTTCCTGTTGGCTAGCCGCTTGTTTGATTTGTTCACGAGTGATGTGGTAAACATTGCTAAGGTTGTGGGGGGTGCGGGGAGACTGGGATCCACGGACATTCTCCTCATTTTGTTTTCCTGGGGCGACTGGGTTGGTGCAGCAGACCATCGATGTCCAGATTTGCATCCCCACAGTTCCCATAGCCCCGGAATTCCCACACCACCTTTTGCACGGCCTCACCGAGTAGGCAGTGGGTCTCAGAGGCTGACAGGCCACTGGCCACGCGGTCTTGCTGGGGTGATGAAGAGATGAACGCACGCATGATTGATCGGTGATGTGAGCTGGGGCCCCGCAATCTCCAGATTGTCACGTTCATGGGCACGTCCTGCCGAAAGTCAGTGTCCTTGGAACAAGGATATCGTGATCTCGGCTTCCTCCAAACAAGGATAGTCTACCTCAAGCTCGCCCCATGGTTGGCTGCTGGCACACAAGCCTCTCCATTCCCGTGGACTACCCAAAGACGGCACAAGGTGATCCTGACTGGCTCGGCTCGGATGGCAGTCGACCTACCGACATGATGGAAACGCTTGATGGACCAAAAAGCCGATGTTTTGCCGGCGATGCAGGTCCGGGGATCTTGTTCTTGTGTTTCCATGCCGTCATGTTCCAATCACGTCCCGATGGTGTATCCCGCATCTTGGTATATGGGGTTGATGGACTGCAATCCTTGACACCCTCGTGATGAGAGGCGGGGCCTTCGCCGCCCGTACACTGCCGTTCACGCTAGGAATGTCTAATGCCAAGCTGCCGGTTCTTTTCATGGCCCATCCTCGTGCGCCGTGGATGAGAAAAGGGCCGAGTGAAAATTACCACGCGTGGTTCAAAGCGGAGGCCCGCCTTGTCGTATCGGATGTGAGCCCAGTCTGGACGTCACCGCCTCAGGGACAGCGGGGATGAGGTCTAATCTATAAGATCACTATGTGCCGTACTCAGAATAAGATTCTACCATGTTGTAGCTCAGCGCGCATCTTCGCAGTGCACCTTAGTACCAACACAAAGCCAACATGCTTCGGTCAGTGCTCGGAGGACTCGCCACTGCGGCAGCCCTCAGTCAGAATGCCCACGCTCAGTTCGTGGTGACAGAGGACGACTACTTCTACGGGCAGTCTCCACCAGTATACCCGTCACGTATGTATTGCTTGTGTGCAAAATGTTTGCTACAGTAGAACTAACGAATGGTTTCAGCTTCGCAAGATGCAAACGTGGCCTGGGCCGATGCTATCAGCAAAGCCAAGGCAATGGTCTCGCAACTGACGTGGGACGAGAAAGTCAACCTGACATCGGGCGTGACTTCAACCACAGGCTGCTCAGGGTTCGTTGCTGCAATCCCTCGCTTGGGCTTCCCAGGTCTATGTCTCAACAATGCCGGAAACGGTGTCGGCGCTACAGACTACGTGAGCGCGTTTGCAAGTGGCATACATGTCGCCGCAAGTTGGAACAAGGAGCTGGCATACGATCGAGCCTGGCACATGGGGCTCGAGGCCAGGACGAAGGGCGTCAACATCCTCTTGGGTCCTGTCGTAGGCCCAGTCGGTCGAGTTGTCCAGGGAGGCAGGAATTGGGAAGGTGAGGGCACTGTCCACATGCTGAACGATCACAGTTGCTGAATTACATTCTACAGGCTTTTCGCCCGATCCGTACCTCAGTGGTCAATTGGTTCATGAGACTGTGTTGGGAACACAGGACACGGGAGTCATGACTAGTACGAAACATTTCCTAGCTCACGAGCAGGAATCTCACCGCCTTCACACGAGGACAAATCACACCGCGTGGGCCGTCCCTGGATCTTCCAATGTTGACGACAGGACCATGCACGAGCTTTATCTGTGGCCCTTCGCCGACTCGGTCCATGCTGGTACAGGCAATATCATGTGCGCTTACAATCGAGTCAACAACTCCGGCCTCTGCCAGAACAGCAAAGCCATCAATGGGCTGCTCAAGACGGAGCTTGGGTTCCAAGGTTTTGTCGTATCAGATTGGGGTGCCCAGGACTCGGGTGTCGGATCTGCCCTTGCTGGCTTGGATGTTGTGATGCCAAGTTCAACACTCTGGGGTGCAAACTTGACACTTGCCGTGAACAACGGCACTGTGAACGAGACCCGTGTTGATGATATGGTTACTAGGGTCCTCGCATCCTGGTACCAGCTTGGCCAAGACGCTGCAGATTTCCCGGAACCTGGTTACGGTTTGACCTCTGACCTCTCGCAGCCTCACCGCGTCGTCGACGCCCGCAATGCAAGCTCGAAGCCCACCTTGCTCGCTGGTGCTGTCGAGGGCCATGTTCTTGTGAAGAACACGGACGGTGCCCTGCCTTTGAAATCGTCAGATATGAAGTTGATCTCACTCTTTGGGTACTCAGCCAAAGCGCCTAACGTCAATACGTGGGTAGCACCCCCTACCGGGGCTGCATTCACTCAATGTAAGTATCTGAGACTCGATTTTTCGTCGATATGCACGCGCAGAAGCATTCTTCCATCTGAGTATGTCAACTAACTTTCATATCCAGGGACGGGCGGTGCTCAATCAGCCAACTACACAGACCTCTACCTCGGATTCTTCGGAGACCTGAGTCTACAGTACTCTGGAATAGCTCGTAATGGCACAATGATCGGCGGCGGAGGATCCGGTGCGGTGTCGCAGAGCTTTACCAGCTCCCCTTATGATGCGCTTGTTGCACAGGCCTATGAAGACTCGACGGACCTTTACTGGGACTTCGAGAACGGAGATCCCCTTGTCAACCCCACAAGCAACGCCTGTATCGTCTTCGGCAACGTTTGGGCCACAGAAGGCTACGACCGACCTTCTGTCCGCGATGACTACACCGACGGCCTGATCAACAATGTCGCAGACCAATGTGCCAACACCATCATTGTGTTCCACAACGCCGGCATACGTCTTGTCGACCAGTTCGCAGACCACCCCAACATCACGGCCATCATCTTCGCCCATCTCCCAGGACAGGATAGCGGCAGAGCCCTTGTCAACCTTCTCTACGGCAGGGAGAACCCCTCTGGACGCCTCCCATACACAGTAGCCAAGAATGAGACCGACTATGACAACTTCCTGAAGCCCGATGTTGTCCTTGATGGCATGTTCCAGCACTTCCCCCAGTCAAATTTCACTGAGGGCGTATATATCGACTACCGCCACTTCGACCTCAAGAACATTACGCCCCGCTACGAGTTCGGCTTCGGCCTCAGCTACACTACCTTCGACTACAGCAACCTGCAGATTAGCCAGACCAACAGCTCGACAGCTTCGTACCCGACCGGTGCTGTCGCCTTGGGCGGCCAGACCGATCTGTGGGACGAGCTGGTTACCGTCACAGCGGACGTCACCAACTCGGGCGGCGTGGACGGCAAGGAGGTAGCGCAATTGTATGTCGGAATTCCTGGTGAGGACGTGCCCGTGAGGCAGCTACGTGGCTTTGAGAAGCCTTCCATCACGGCTGGGGAGACTTCGACTGTGACTTTCACGCTTACGAGGAGGGATTTGAGCATCTGGGACGTTGTGGCTCAGAAATGGCTCCTCCAGGCTGGAGACTACACAGTGGAGGTCGGCAGGTCGAGTAGGGACTTGCCACTGAAGGGCACGCTTAGTATTTCATAATGCAGTCATGAGCTATGAGTGGTTTATAGTAATTCATAATGATGCTGAATGATCCTCACTCCTCAGGCACTGCTTGCCAAAATGTTTCGGCCCCTTGGAACAGTGAAATGCTCGTAACTCGCCGAAGAGAAATGAAAGAGCTGAGATTTCTTGGATGTTGTCCTCAACTAATCCGACTGTCCACCCGAGAAGCAAGCAGCTCTCTTTCCCAAAGGTTGTTTGGACTCAGCCGATACTAATATCTCTCTAGAATACCAATGCCATCGTAAAATCATGGATATGTTGTTGTCTTAGATACCTCAGTATTGTCTTGTGTCCCACACTCCACTCTTGCCTTGAATTTATGGTTCTCTTTTATGACGAGAGGCAACCTGACCCATTGCCCGACCTACTCGGAGGCAGCGGCTTCGAACACCACGCGTGAGCGCTTGCGCGAGCCAAGACGTGACCCCGGAGCCCCGGCTTGTTTATCTTCGTCCTCTGGGTCGCCTTTTCGAAGGCCAGAAATCTGTGCCTGCATCTTGAATCCATCAGAAAACTCCAATGTCCAGATCCGCAGCGTCTTTTCCCTTAGGAATGGAAGAGTAGGCAAACTGCTTGTGAAGGGCGTGCATTTCTTGTGTTCTTCACCACAAACAAGGACAATTTCGTTCTCAATGCGGGAAATGAAACAGACTGCGCTCTCCAAAAAGTCCTCGACAGACATGTTGATCTTTGCCAACGGCTTCATCGGAGAATTCTTGCCAGTTGACATCTTGGATATGATACCCTGCATAGCATATTCGCAAAGCCTTTGTTGGTTCGGGTGCACCCTGAATCCGTCAGTCTTGGAACCTTTGCAAATATGAGCGCCATTGCAGCCCTTAGAGGAGTCGAAATCTCTGATTAGATATCGCAACAGCTGCATATCCCACTTCAAAACGAACTGAATCCCAGACAAAGCCTGCTCGCGCGCAACCTTGATCTCATCTATGGAATTGATACATCAGCTAATGCGACTGATTGTTAGATGAATGTAGCTTACCAGCAAGAACCATCAGAACCTCTTTCTCATTGTCGTAGCATTTCATGGTATCTCTGCTAAGCATTTCCTTGTCGCCTGGGGCGTAAGGCCTCAGAAGAAGATGAGACTCAGCATCATCTGTGGTGGAGACCATTTGCGTGAGGTCAAGGAAAGTTTCACTATGATTCTCACAGTCACCAAGTTCTTTGGTCACCCAAAGCCACTGTAGCTGGGGCACAATGGTGTCATCATCTCCCTCATCAAGCCGTTTTGGCCGGAGAGCCGCAAGCCACGGCCCCACGACAGCCCAGAGAGACCGCGTCATGTCGTATTTGTTGGTGGTTACGGTAATTGCAAAAGCGAGCTCCAAATCGATCTGTGGCAACTTGTGTCCCAAGCCATGAACCAAAAGCAGCAGACACTCAAAGCCAGACGGATTATCCTGTGGGAACTCGACGACCCACTCCTGTCCATCAGCAGGCTTTGACTCACTGAATTGGCCGTAGAGGCAGCGCTTCCAGAAAGCAGCAGAGCGTGACAGTGTCTTGGAGCAAACAAGGAAATGAGTCTTGGGTTTTCCAACGATCAGGATAAGATCGCCATCAGGGTCAATTTTGATGATACTGTAATCACTTTCGTTAACGCCACCGCCTCGGGGACCGCCTGGTGAAGACATAGTTCTAGGTGTCAGGGATCGAATAGAGATGGTGAGATAGTCGATGAGTTTGAAGAATGGAAGTCGCCGGTGTTGACTGAGAAAGGAGGCACCTCGATGCCTCGGTAGCTTTTGGGTGTTTATGGTTGGATCAAGGGGGAGGAAAGATGTCCACTATCGTTTGTTGAGATATTGTGGTGTTGACTGTATAGCTCCCCTGGTGGTCCAATGGGAAGTGGCTTCCGGAAGGAAAAGACTGGATTTAGCTTTTCCGAAGTCAACTGAAAGATGAAACTCAAGTAATGTTCGTCGCTGGCCAAAACTTTGCGTGGTTTCAGCGAGGGCAAGTGCCTAGAGAGGTATGAACCAAAAGATTCACTGAAAATGTGCTTGGAGTTTAAAGCTGAGTTGTGTCATATGCTGGGACGAGAGGAGATAAACCATTCCTGTTTGGCAATCCTCGATGCGTGGGATGTAGAGAAGTTCTTCAGACCAAGCAGTATCAGCAACAAATCGTGTGCTGATCGAGAAAAGTCTGTATCGGACAGCCCCTAGTTTGAAGTCAGCGTGATCCTACTGAAGTAGCATCCGACACATGAAGACTGAAAACCCACGAAACTTGATGCTTGTGACTGAAATCACCTGGTTGGGATTTTACGTGCAACACTGCGCGATAACGGCCGTGTAAAGTCCTTCAGAAAGGTACCGTCTCATGTGGACTGGATCGCCCACCGGAAGTGCCGAGAAAGTATGCGACCGACAACGGGGAGTCTGGGACCTGGCAAGAAGGACAACTTTCGATTGTGAAGTTGACGACTAGAGAGGCAAGGGAGTCCCTCGAGTTGAGCGTCAGTTTCAGAACATTTGGCTGCCGAGCAAGGAAGGAGCTGGAATTCTTGAAGCGGTGCACAGCGTGACAGAGGATGTAACTCGCTTTTCAAATGGAGTGTGAGTCGAGCTTCGGATTTTAGGGGTGAAGTGAATCTAAAATTGCAGAGATATGCTTCGAGAACTCTCGGAAACGGCAACCACGTCACCTTTCAAGCAGCTGGAGTGACCTATCGAGCTGGAGTCTGGCTGATTTGAGGGAGTCGTAAGTTGACAGTGACAAGTATCGGTGTGACTTGAAGTGCTGGTTGGTGATTCCCTGAATCTGGTGTAGTTAATCCACATTAAAATCCATTTGAAGTAAGACCTTCAAGTCCTACTGTATCTCAAAGTTCGGATAGAATGTAGCACTGAAAATAATATGGCAGGTTCTGCTTCAATCATCGGTAGAACCTTGATGATTGGTTCCGAGAGCAGATCGAGTATTCTAGGGAAAGCCAATTTTGAAGCAGTGGGATTAGGGAAATGGCTTTTCTTCGGACAGAAAGAGGAAAAGAGCAGCACAAAAGTCCCAAGATAAGCAGCAGGAAGCCAAAATAATTGTTAAGTTCCATTATGACACTCTGAGCCTGGATGAGGGTAACAGCAAGTTTCGAGACAATGCCTCGGTGCTCGCCTGTAATTGTAAGCTGCACTATGAGACATGATTATCGAAGCTACAAATCATCGAAATGGCTCTGCGGCTTGGGATGTCGTTCTACAACACGGGGCTTCAATAACAGTCATGCTTAGAAACACAGCCAGCAGGCCGGTCAACGCAAACGATATCTCCAGCAAAGTTGACAAGGCCTGAATACGGCTGTCAAATAAGACACTTAGCCGGAATGATTGAGCAGTGAGCCACACACCTAAAATTCTCTGTACTCAATGTCGAAGCCAAATTTGCGCTGAACGATTGGGCTGTCTCCTGCGTTGATATGAAATTGAGGTATTGGGCGAACTAAGCTTCAGATGCGACCAGGGCCAGTCCTGGATCAAAATGGGCCCTATCTGAACTGCAAAACCGATAGCATGTCTTGTTCTATAATGCAAGATCGCTTTCGTTTGATTTCCTTTCCCGCAGCTCTCTCCCTCGTTTTTGTAACCATCTCTACCGTCTTAACCGACCAAACCTCTAAATGAGCCTCAGACGCTGGGCAAGGACGTTCGTGGGCCGTGAGCTACGGTGTGACCGGCGAGGACGAGGATAAGATGATACTCACGGTACCCATATCGATGTAATCTACGGTTCGATTCCTGCGTCAAAAATGCACGAACTCAACCCGTTGGTTTAGATTGCGCAAGATCCCGAGGCTGATGAGTTCCAGATCTGTTGCTCTTTGAGAATATCCCCAGAAGTCACATCGCAGGAACACGTCGAGAAGGAAACAGCACACCAAAATACATTGCCGAAGACTGATACAGTATCTTGCCCCAACTTGATCTAGGCTACCCCATCATATTCGAGTCTTTGATGCTTCCACACAGCCGTGGAGACCCAGCGCGTCGACAAGTCTCTTGTGGCTGAAACTAGACGCAGTCTTGGATGGGGGAAATGTTCCTTAAGAACACATGGTGGCAGGCTGGATCCTTTTTTCCGCCGGAGGATCTGTAGAGGCTATCGTGAAGCCATTCGCATCTCAGGGTTTTCTTTTCCCCGCACGTCTGGTTTTCCCAGCAGCACTAGGCGCCCCGGGGGCTAGGATGCCTGTGCCCCTGGCGCGTGACATCTGGAGCAACCCTAGCGACGATCATGTCAAGGAAATGAGGAATGGTACCCTCTAGCGAGCTTCAGCTGAATCCAATGGGGATCCGTGCAACTGCCGACCCAGTCTTTCGGGCCACCTTGGTCCTGGGTGCAAGTGACAGTTCTCAAAACCTGGGGCTCCCCGCATCTTTACCCCACGGGGTCGCCTATGGGGTACATAAACAGTTCCACAAAGTATATCAGCTTCGTGTTCGCTGTTTCATTCCGCGAGGAAGAGCCTGCAGGTGTTCACCTTTATCTTTAATCTAAGAAATCGCGTGCTATCTCCACCGAAATGGACATCTCGAAAAGTGAGGGCGAGACGCCTTCAGTCACTCATCATCCAAATCCGCATGCCTCGTCGGACGGATACCACGAGGGCAAACAGCCGGCCATCATACCTATCGAGGAAGAGGCCCTTGAAGATGCTGAGCATGTTCATCTGAGCTGGAGGTCATGGCTTGTCGTCTTCATTACCTGCTTTGCCATTATGGCCCAGGTCTTCGTAGTCGTGGCTGCAGGTTCAGTCATCGCCTTCATCATCCGGGAGCTGGGCGAAGCTCCTCTTGCCGGATGGATCATACAGGTCTGTCCTATGATACTGAACTGTCCCGTGGTCCCATGATGATGGTTCTAATGCAAAGTGTTCCAGGGTCCTCTTTTGATGCAAAGCGTCCTCTCCCCTATCGTCGGCAGATTGTCCGACGTCCTTGACCGAAAATACCTCGCCGCAGTACCACCTCTCATTGCCTTTGTCGGAGCGATAATCTCTGCGAAAGCGACCTCCATGAGCATGCTGATTGGCGGAGGAATCCTGATTGGCACGACACTCTCGACAATTGCCATCGTTCAGGCCATTCCATCCGAAATTTTACCTTTAAAATATCGAGCTTTGGCGAATGGTTTCTCGTTCATGGGAGGCGCAATTGGCGGACTGTTCGTAACCTCACCCGAAGCTCCCCTACTCGTGCAGACATCTGACATCCGTTTAGTGTGGGTGGCCTCGGCGCTGGTGCCGTTACCAACGTGGACATTGGAGGTTGGAGATACATTTTTTGGATTCAGGCTGCGTTCCATGGTGCCACGTCTCTGGGACTATTTCTCTTTTACTGGCCGCCCAAAAACCTCGAGTATCCCAAGATGAAGCTTAAGGACTACATATGGGCATGTGACCCCATTGGTTCAGCACTCTTCATCTGCAGTGCCACTTTGATGCTGCTTGCCCTTGACTGGGTTGGTGGTGCATATACCTGGTCAGACCCACACGTTGCAGTCCCTCTTGCACTAGGACTGGCACTTCTGGTTGCTTTTGCTGGATATGGTAAGGTGCTCCCACTCGGTTTCTCTGAAGCCGACCACTAATAATATTTCTAGAATGGAAAGGGCGGACGGACGGTCTCCTCGCCCACGTATTCTTTCGCAGAAATGCGAACTTTGCGCTGTCAACATTCGCCTTCGCTGTCGAGGGATGGATCTTTTACAGCGCTGTCAATTCCGTCGTACCACAGATCGTCCTTAATCTCGGATTCGAGACCGACGCATGGAAGATTTCGATCCGGCAGCTAAGCTACAGTCTCCTGACAATGTTTACTTCTATTCCAATAACGTGGTACGCCACTGCATACAAGGACTTGAAGTCCCCACTTCTGGTGACATTTGGAATTTTCCTTGTAGTGTAAGTCTGATACCCGCAAAATTATGAGATTTGTTCGCTAACCATGACTATTAGATCTATCTGCTATGCAACTATCAAACCAAGCTGGAGCAAGCCCCAGATCGTCTTCAACGTGCTGGCTGGAATCGGTCAATCTGGGCCGCTGACACTCCTCGTCGCTTGCGTGCAATTCACAGCACCTCACGCCTTTCTGTCAACAGCGACTGGTATGGCATTCTCTGCTCGTGCCATCGGGGGCGCGTTCGGCTCAGCCGTACTCAACGTGATCATCAATGGACACTTGACTAGCAACTACGCACCTGCCGTCAGCAAAGCTGCTGTCGATGCCGGCCTCCCAGCGTCCAGCGTCCCTGATCTTCTAACGGCTCTGGGGGCAGGTAATCTGACAGGAGTTGATGGCGCGACGTCGGCTGTCTGGTCTGCCGCTGTTGAAGAGAGCCAATGGCAATATGCGAAGGCCTATCAGCTGGCATGGGCAAGTGTGATCCCGTTCGTTGTATTGGCTATTGTGGCTGTGGCGTTCCTGAGAGGCGTGAAAGAGTTGATGACAGAGAAGGTTGAAGCTACTGTCGAGCACATCGATGAGAATCAAGGGAAGAAGTGGGAAAGTTCATCTGTGGCTGCGTAGGACAACTCGTACAAGCTAAACAGTCGTGCTTGTGTGATTCTCAAAGCCTTTCAGGTTGTGTCAATTACTAGATCGAGCCAGTAATCACATTATGCAAGCCTGATCGCGATAACAATTCATGTGGCAAACCCATATCGCTCTGATAAGTATGAAGAACATGACTCTTTCATTTCCCAATACCGTCCGTCTATGGTGTATTTGAACTGTACTTGAGCCGTGCCAGCACCGTGCCAGCACCGTGCCAGCACGGTTCCTACCGGGGCACAGCTCATCTGTTGGAGCGGCTTTGTAACAGTTCTAAGTAGTAAACAGCTTATTTCTGGGAGCAGCTCAAAATGGGAGCAGTGCATGAAGAGTGTAGAGTGTGGGAAAGGTGCAGAAGCGCGGGAAAAGTGCAGGAGCGCGGGAAAGGTGCAAAGTGCAGGAAAAGCGCAACATTCAGAATAGCCCACTTAAAATTGCTTCCTCATTCTTTTTTATATACAAAGCTTACCTAGATCTCAACTATATCCAAATCTAAATAAGCTCTTCTTCAGCTTCTTCTTTATCTTTATCTTCTTCGTATTTTTCCCTTCCCTTCCCTTCTTCCCCCCTCTAGCTAGCTGGCTGGCGGGCGTAGGCGTGCCTTCTTTGCTTCTGGAGGAAGGCGCTGGGCGTGCAGTATTTGCACTCTTCCCGCGCTCTGCACCCTTTGTGCGCCCTGCTCCTTTCCCCCTCTGCACCGCTCTTAAAAATGAGCCGTACGTGCACGGCTCCTATTTTTAAGCTGCTCCCAGAAATGAGCCGTTTACTACTTGGAACTGTTACAAAGCCGCTTCAACAGATGAGCTGTTTATCGTATTCGTATAAGCCCGGTATTGCCGTACTCGATGTTCGAGTAAGGTATGGTCATACGATATTTCGAACCGTCTGCCTTCGTCAAAAGCTTCACACCGCTCACGGAGCATACCTAACGCCAGTGTTTCCCTTTCCACTGGACGAGAATGGTAGAAAGAATACTGAGTATGACGATGAGCGCGTAAATAATGGCAGCACACCATTTGAGACCCACATTACGCATCATGGTTGGAAACCTGCAGAAAGGATCAGTGATCCACATTCGCGATGGAACGGGGTGAGTGTCAAATACCATAATGGGCCGATGAAGGCAATGAGTTGCCTTGACAGAGACATGAGAATACCCACGCTCACTACATCATCGACAGCGCAGTCAACTGCGTAAGTAGCAAGCGTTGTCATGGCGATTTGGTTTCCGCCAGCAGCAATAGCCGTTCCCACCACTGGGACGATTGTCCATCTCCCTGTCACAGCATTCTCCGTTGATACAAGGAACAGTGGGACCCCAACAAGAATCAGACAATAGCCTGCGTGGCTGAGCCATAGTCTGAGTTCTGGTGGAGACTCATATCCCTCCCGCGTCCTTGTGCGCAGACTCATGCAGACATCACTGAGCAGACCTCCCACCGGTTCAGCTATCATGCACCCAATTATCATTCCCAGAAATTGGAGACCGACTTGTTCAATGCTAAGATGGAATTTGGGCTGCAATTGTACAGGAATTTCGATAGTGATAAAAATGCTGCCGCACAGGAACACAACCGACTGAGCGAGCGTAGGCAATATGGCGCAGGGGTAAGCAGCCAATGCTAAGGGCTCGAGAAAATCAAGTTTGGAGATTCTCCTTGAACCGACGCGCGAAAAGTTCAGATACTTTGCCTTGAAGCCCCCCGAACCCCGTTCGAAAATGCTAGACGGCGTGTCGTGGTGGCGAATGAAGAGTGTCTCGTGGCCGAGGAAAAAGTACAGAACGAATTGAACACCATTGACAATAGCTAGAACCCAAAAGATCCATCGGAAACTGACCCTAGGGGTCACGAAACCGAAGACGAATGGTCCGAACGGGACGCCTAGACAGAACATTAGTGTGCAAATCCCTATGTATCTGGCTCTCTCTGTCTTCAGAAACATGTCTGTTACTACAGCACTGCTCAATGCATTGGCGGGTGAGAGGAAGAAGGCGACGAGCGCCCGAAAGAACATCATCGCGCCGTAATTTGGGCTCACCCCGCAGGCAACGTTTCCAATCAATGACATGATCAGCGACACTAGGAGTACCGGGCGTCGTCCATACACTGTCGCAAGTGGTCCCCAAGCCAGGGGCGCGACCCCCAAAACGAGAATGTGAATCAAGGTGAAATAAGTACAATCGTGCTCCGTCATGCCAAATTTGTTGGCCATTTGTGAATAGGCTGGAATGAGTGCGGTCATGCTGAGGCTTGCCACCATAGAGTGGAAACCTACCAGCAACAACACGGTGACTTTCTTGCCTCTTGGCCAGTTGTATGGATCCGCGTCGCTTGCCGAAGGCATTGGATCGAGTTCAAAAGTGCCATGCCTTTTGGTGAGATACGCCTTCTCGGAGGGCGTAAGATCTGCGGCAGAGCCTGTCTCGTCCGTCCCTGGGACGTCGCTCAATTCTATGACGATGTCCTTGAGCCCATCTACGGGCTCTTCGGATCGCTGGGGCCCTCCGGCATGATTCTCGAGACTTCTTAGGGCCAATGTGCGATAAAAGCTCTGTGTGCCGATGTTCGTCGGCATGTCTCCCATGCTCCTTGACATTGCGGCAAAACCTGTTCAGGTAGCAATGTTTCCTCAGGGTTCCATCGGTATAGAGGCTGGAGGTTTGTGGGCCTAGCAGGCGACGATACGAGTTGTTATTTAACAGCCGCAAAAAGACCTCGTTTCTCAGCACTACTTGTAGTAACGGGAAATCAAAGATCAAATGACGAGTCATATGGCCACTTTCTACTTGAAAAACGCTTCTCTGTATAAATTTTGATATGTGGTAAAAACTTCACCGTTGATGACCTTGGCGCCCAGCTGTGGAAAGTGGTTTCGGAGTTACTTCTGCCAGCCTCCTTGTAGCCAAGTCGGCTTCTTGTACTACACACAAGCCCGAACACGGGACAAGCCCTAATTCAAAAAGCCACTGCAAACAGACAATCTTTCGAATATTTCAAAAGCAGCCGTGTTCTAAAAGGACTTGTAGGTAGAAGGGGAGTTAGGAAGGGGGGATGAACACCTTGCTAGAAGAAGGTAGACGACTGAATAATAACTAAAAGCCAATATCTGGATTATTGGAGATATTGAATTCGAAATTTTGAAACAGTGACACACTGAGAAAAAATTGACAAGTACAGCCATCTCGTCTGATCTCGTCTGATGTAGCTCAATGACCGGCAGAACTCCCGTTGGAGGGAAAGGATAACAATATCAAACATCAGACGGTTGAGCAGGCAAAACTCCGAGGAAAAGCAACACTGGCAAATCAAATACACAAAATGCGTTTACTAAGAACAGAGACCGTTACAAGGAAAATATTCTGGGTATAGCCAATTGTTGAACGCGGCAACTTCAAGTTAAGCCCGGAGCCTTGTATGTATCGGCGCTTGCAGCCACGTCCGACAGCACTTCCCCTTGCGCTGGCTCAACTAACTTTCAGAACACAGGGCGCGACTGAGTACTGGTTTCGACTAGGCTTTTTCTTTATGCTACAGCCAAGTAAAGTGACATCCGAGAATGGAGTGGATTGGGACAAATGCTATTCGGGCGAGGACGGGGACTACCATTTCTTGGCATATGCTTCCGTCTTGACCTTGTTCTTTTCTACATAGAATTCGATATATACTGTAGTATGTCCTGAACGTTTAAATGCGCATCGGCCGCATCTAGAGCGCGTTTACCTTGGCAGCGTGCTCATATACCAACGGCTGGGCTTCTTCCTCGTCCAAGAAAATTGTAAAACCGTCATCGTGGTTCCGCCCGTAGGAATAGTTCGAGAAGCCAAACTGCCAGTACATATCCGAGAGGCCCTCCTCGATTCCAATAGCCTGCCATTCACCCAAGGCCTCCACCCTGGTGATATTGGATGTGGTGCCGAGATACTCAAGCTTCTTCTCTGGAGTCAACCATCCGTACTCCTCATGCACGACTGGCTTGCCGACGGTTCGGCCTGAAGCAGCGTGATCTCGGATCCATTGGCTCGTCCACTCGACGGTCTTGCTCCACCAATCCGGGTAAGAGTGGAAGACTCCGAAGTCGATGTTGGGCAGAGCCAACTCGGCGTCGAAGTCACCACCGTCATAACCATTGTAGAATCCGTCAGAGTTCGTAGGGTCGTTAAAGCCACCCTCGCCACCCCAGGTGACGAGATGGTTGCTGTCAAGACTCTTGACATACGTGCTCATCTCGTCAGTCCAGGCTGTGAGCAGGTCTGGTGTGCAGTCTGGGCCTCGCGGCAGGTTGCGAGTGCCATCGGCGCCGCAGCGGGGCTCGTTGGCGAGCTCCCATGCAAATATTGCTGGTGAGTCCTTGAAGCGAGTGACCATGGCTTCAGCGTAGCGTTTGTATGCCTCTTTGATTTGGGGGAGGCGGTAGAACTGGCAATTGTTAGCTCGTGGCATGTTGAAACAGTTTGAAATGGAAAGGAGTAGAGGCCAGAGTTACATACATCGTCGTGATAGACTCCACCAAGATTTACGGTACTAAGAGGTTGTATGTTAGCTAGAGTTTGGTGGCAAGAAGGCAAAATTGACTGCTTCCAGACAGTCATCCGTAGAAGAGCGTAGGGAGCTTAAGCAGGGATGATTGTGTACTTACTAAACATCCATGCCTCCATAATCACTGTGGATCGGATAAGTGTTAGCAAAATTCCGAGGCCATGCCAACCAGATGAAATGCAGTGGCAAGTACGCTTGGAGAAGTCAGTCACTCACGCCCAGTTATTTGTCAGAGCGACAAGAAGCTTGATGCCGACTTTTTCTGCCGCAGCAACCACCTTGTCGAAGTGTGTAACGTCGATGGTCGAGGTTCCGTTAGGCGAAAACAGCTGGAATGTAGTTGCCTCATCTCCGGAGCCGTATTGAGGTAGACCGCCAGCAACGGTTGTTGCATTCTTGTCGTTGAATCCCCATGTGCGGAAAACTTTCAGACCGGCGTCTTTGGCAGCAGTCAGACCAGCTTCAATATCGGCCTGAGTCTGAAAATACGGAATCTTGGTCAGTGCACCATGTTCGTGTATACTCTAATGGGCTTAATGACTTACACCACTGAATGGAAAGTAGTAGGCATTGCTCCCAGCGAAGATAAAAGGCTCTCCATTAAGTTGAAATTGGCCACCTTCAACAGTCACGAATGTGTCGGCCTGCCGGCTAGTGAACGGTGCAGCAGCGCACAGGGTGAAGAACGAGGCGATAGACCAAAGGGGAGCCATTTTGCTTGTAACGATTCTACCAGTGTTGATACGTAGCCTTTAAGGAATGGCAGGCCATGCTGAAACATAAATACTCTCGATAGTGAAACATTTGTGGTCTTTTATATCTGAACCCATTGTTTGCCATCTCGCGTGCCTGTACCGAGGAAAGACGGAGCGCTTCAACCCGCGTTGGCGCACGATCGCTGGTCTTAGCCCTCCTTGGCAGCAGACGTACCCCAGCGACGCGGAAGAACTACCTCAATTAGGGGCGTCCTCGCATGGCTGCCAATTTCGGAGGTCGGAAGGCACATGCACACGCTCTGTTGAATCATTGATTCCATTAGCCGCCAGGGGTGCTGGCATCAGTTGGCGGTTTCTCGATGGCGTAGTGGCAGCTTAATCTGCGACAACCCAAGATCGAAGTCTTGGTTCATCATGCCACGCCTCGGTGGTCAACGTATTCGTATACTTAGTAATGTAGGCGGCTGAGAAGCCAATGAGCAAACAGAGCGACTAGACAAATTGGTTGCTGGATTGTATACGCCGCGGCTGAGGATCGAGATTGCCCTTGTCAATACCCATCAATTGGGATTTCGAACCGAACATCTCCAGGCAAGTAGCTCAAGCATAGATAATTCGTGAGTTTGTTGAGTTGACGACCACTTATAATTATTGAAGGTCTTCCATAATATACACCCTGTCAATGCCAATGCGAAAGATCATCGCGATTGCCCTGTCAAAACTAGTTCACAACACTGGTTCGGACTTCCACACATGGGACATTTCATTGGACATGCTACAGCATGCTCGACCAGGACCTGCACAGCAAATGTCACCCACGACCCAGAAGAGTCCTTGATCAATTAAGTACGCGAGGTTTGATGGTAGAAAATGTAATTGGTTTCTGGGGGTTTCAGTCCACGGCATTACATGTCAGAATGTTGTGCACATGCAGAGTATCTGAATTACATGATATTCCTTTGTGCGTTCAAATCGGTTCTTGGACGATCCTTGTCGCGTAATGCTGCAGCTTGTGCGGCACTTGGGACTGTCATCAAATCTGTAGAGACGTCTCGCGAAGATAGGAAGAGCCTCCGGAGTGTAAGCGAGTCCCCTTGCAAAACCCCAGCCAAAGCGATAGATATCATCGGGTCAAACCACTTGGTGCCCCATGAGCAGCAGTAGAACCCTGCGGATGCTGCTACCGACTGACACGACTATCCCAACCCGTTACCTGATTCCTTGACCATTGGTCATCGCCAGCGTGATAGGTCTCAGCCGTCACGGTGACTTGCGTTTCCTTCAATATGTGCTTGAGACTGTCGTCATCTGTGGACCCCCGCCCTTTGTTCTCCCGCGGTGACCGCATCGTCTGCATCTTCACCGCGTCTCTTTGCTCGCCCTGTTTTAAATGGTTGGATGAGGATAAAGGGAGCGTGCCCCGACTCGGATCATCACTGGCATTGGTGCTTCCGCCAAAGATGGACAGGCTTAGTAGGGGCCGCAGGGTGGGCATCGACCCGGCGCAGATACCGATTCCTTCTTCGACTACAGACCACAGCCCGATTTGGCCTGTACTGAACATGAATTCGGCTTGGTCGTTATATAATGTGAGGTACCTCAGTCGAATGATGGTCGCGCAGCTCGCACTGTGAAGGCGGTCAGCTTTATAGGCTCGCGGGAGTGGCGAAGGCGGCCTACGCCACGAGTACTCACAACGCAGCGAGGCCAAGCATCAGCACAACCGATATTTTTACACGCCATCTCATTTGTAAAGGCATCAACAGGATGGCAGGCAGGACCGCCAGGGTCAGGTCCGTGACGATGGACACAGCCGAGAAGAAGAAGCTGACACTGCTGTTGAGAATGGGGTTGCAGACTCCGGTCGTTTCGCCCCACAGCGCCGTGATGGGGTGGCAGATGTTGGCGATGACGAGGATGAAGACGACAGAGGCGACGGCTGTCGCGCCTATGACGAACCAGATGGTCCACACGAATCGGCGGCGAGCATCGGCGATGCGGAGAAGGGTCACGCAGATGCTGGACTTGATAGGCACTGTGCAGGACGAATAGAAGAACTCGGCGATGAAGAAAAGCTTTGGGAACCGTTAGCGACTGGCCACGTGGTGAGGACCGAACGCCTGGAGATCTTCACCTTCGTTCCTTGCATAATATCAGGCGGGGTGAGTTCCTTCGACAGCTGTCCAGCGCCGTAGAAGCAGCAGACAATGACTAGGGAGCATGTGACCGAGTATAGGATCTAAGTCGGGTGTCAATCGCTTATTCCCATGGGACATGCCTGCACCAAGGAAAGGGCGTGTGGGAACGCACCAGGCCAGTGAACATCAGATAGTCGTCAGCGCCCATAGCCTCAGGCTTCAGCCATTTTCGCACAGCGAGCCGAGCGCCGAGCGTTACCCAACTCAGCGTTAGCATGGCGATGGTGACATGCAGAAGTAGGACGCCATCGCCGGCAGGATCGACCATGGCGGCGGCTTGTGCTGTGTGACGTGGCGTGGGGTTCACCCAGCGTTTAAGGATGATGTACAGTACTGTAGGTAAACAATGGATAGTTCCGGGACTAGATTCAAACGGTAAATGTGGCTTGATGCGTCCTGATAAAGAGTATGGACTTGTTTTGAACTGGTCTGGCTTGCGGTTCGCAGCCAATATCGACTCGATGTTCATTCAGTGCAGGCCCGACTTCACCCACGACAATCTGGATATCAAATAACCCCTACCGGCACAAGGTATCGCCCACTTACCAAGCAGCCAAGATAGGGCTTGTGTGAGTAAAGTTTTATTGCCACTCATCTTCAGCCTGTGATGTATCACTTCTCCTATGCAGGATCGAAGTAAAATCTCCATAGCAAGCAGGCGGCTCTGCCAAAGAGATCATACCACACCCCTGCCGTACGGACTGGTTGCCCTGGGTCTCGCGTTTGAGAGACGTTTACCGGGCATCCGGCCTGTCGTTCGTCGTGGATTGTTGTGGGGTAAAGACGGGGGTCCGATGGCTCCCTGCCCACTCCCGCATGGGTTTACCGAGGGTTTCTCGAATGGCATTGCGTTGCGTGAGTCGTACATCAGTAATACAATCCACATATGCAAGCCACCCGCTGCACACTGCGCACCGTGGTCTCCTCCGCTCCATCCCGACTGCGACTGCAGCACGCGCTACAGGATATGATACCTATTGACAGATTCCAGCCCCTTTTTTGCGTGTTCTCAACAGCCCCTTTCTGGGCATGTTCCTCGAGATAGCAACCCTTATCGATGTCGGAAATAAGCCCATCGAACTCTAAATGGGACGACGCCGTCGTTGTTCAGCAGTGAAGGTGGCAAGTGCTCATACATTTCCGGCCGTAAATTCAAGCCCTCGCGACTGTTCCTGTGCTTCTTGGCTCTTTCAATAAGAGTAAAAAAGCATTCCACCCGTGGACCGACTTGGATTGTACGCAAAAAAACCTTACGTCTCCAGTACCGAAGCAACCTCGTATCCATACCATGGCCGAGTTTCAAATCAACAACGAGGATCTGACTAGCCTCAAGGGCAAAGTTGTCATTATCACAGGTAAGACGGCCCGTCCCGTGACACTGGCAGAAACATTATAGCGAGGGTAGACGTGAAGGATCAGACTGACAATCGCATTGGGAAACCATAGGCGGCTCCTCGGGCATCGGCCAGGGCACTGTCCAGCTGCTGGCCTCTCTAGGGGCTTCTGTCGTCAATGCCGATATTGCACCCCCTGCCGAGTCAGCAGACAAGGGCGTGACCTTTATCAAGACAGACGTGTCAAAGTGGGCAGACCTGACTGCCCTGTTCAAGAAGACCAAGGAGCTCCATGGTCGGATTGATCATGTCTTCGCCAACGCTGGACTCGGTCCCCGAGCCGACTACTTCTCCACAGAGGTGGATGAGAATGGCGACCTGAAGGAGCCAAGCTACGACCTCCTGGACGTCAGCTTGAAGGGCGTTATCAACACGACGACACTCGCCATCTACTACTTCCGCCAGCAGTCCGAGGGCGGCAGCGTCGTGATCAATGGCTCTGTGATGGGCATCCAGCGCTGTCGGGCAGCCGACTACGGTGAGTTACCAGCGAGCAGCCCCATTTACGATTGCCTACTGACAACCACGACACAGCGACGGCCAAGGCCGCTGTGCACGGTTTCGCAAGAGCTCTCCACCCGTGCATCGCCGCGTACAAGCTCCCGATCCGTATCAACGCGGTGGCACCGACCTGGACGAACAGCAGCGTCCTGCCTGGCCTGGAGAGCATCATGGCCAAGATCGGCGTCGAGGTGCAGCCCGCCTCGGCCGTCGCGCGCGCGACCGCCCTGCTGATGGCTGACAGCGCCCGACACGGCCAGTCAATCCACGTCCAGTGCGGCAAGTTCAAGGAGATCGACGAGGCGGTGCTCCTGCCCCAGGCTGAAGCCATCAGGGGTCCGGACTACCCGAGCGAGGACTGGGTGCTGGAGAAGGCCATGGAGATCTTGGCGGCGGAGGCGGCGAAGGGGCAAGCCTAACTGGCGAGACTACTCTGATGGGTGGCAACGAAGGAGTGAGGCCTGCAACCCGGTGTTGCACCGAGTGCAACCATATGGTTCTAGACGGCCGCAGATGGAGATCACCCCCATAAGCGATGACTTAAGGATTGGACGACGCCCATTTCAGTGCACTGGAGACACCCAAAGCGGGCGCGGAGGTGGAGCTTCAGGCCTGGGACCAAGCGGTGAAATGGGAATGAAAATCAATGAACGCATTCGTCAAGCCCATCGTTGATCTCTCAGCTTGAAAGAGACCCCGGCCATTGGCCTTTGGCAGTCATTATGAATAAAACGTATGCCCATGCACCGTCTCCAACGCCCATTCTCACATGCTGTATTGGGAAAGTCTTTCGGGCGGCGATGGCAATGCCCTTCACAGTCATTCCCTCTTTCTGTGGATACCAGCGGCAGCTGTGGTCCCGGAGATTTGACAGACCCGTGCGAGCCCCAGATGTGTGGAATACTCGGCTTACTTGGGTCCAATTGAACTCCGGAGACCTGCAGGTGCCAGGCACTCGTGCTTTACACAGCTGGCAGTCAGACAGTAAGGGACTGCCGACAGTAAGACATCAGACCTAGAGAAATAGCCGGCCCGGACTGTTCGACTGGCCGCCACAAAAGAAAGTGCAGTCCCAACGAAAACGCCTCTGCCAGTCCTCTGTCTGTGTACCGATGCACAACATGAAATGAGTCCCTTGGCGTCGTGTCACCGCCGCCTCACCGCGAGGACTTCGTACCTAGTCGTCTCGGTACCAGGCCGTGATCCGCTGATAGACATCTTTGAAACAGTAACCCCACATCATGTCCTGGCCCAAAAGAGACCGCTCAGCACAGAGCTCCTTGGGCTCTGCACCGTGGCTGGCTGGCGTTGGAAAGACGTCAGGCCAGTTTCAGCTAGGACTTGTTCCTCAGCAGGCGCCTCTCTCCGGCGCTGCGCCGTTGCTTCATCGATTTCATCGGCGATAGGCTGTGCAGCTTGTGCCCGGATAAGGTCATCAGTTGGCCGCGGAGACTGTGCATACCACTTGTCTATACCTTTGCCAATGATGAACAAGATTGTGAGGAACAAGGCCATGTCAAGCAGGCGGGCACTCGTCGACTTCTCGGGTTTCACGCGTTGGGCCTGCATACGGCACAGAGCCGCCTTGGTCTCGATAAGCTCATTCCTCACAGCGTGCAGCTGGGCGAGCAGGCCCGCAGTGCCTCCCAGCGCCATTGGACCACGGGGGAATTCAGCACTCAGAGCACCTGAAGCGAGTTCGGCTTCGGCTTCGGCTTGAGCCCGAGCAGCTGCCCTGGCCACGGCGGTCCGGGTCGCCCCGGGGGCGGGGGCGAACGGATCGACTTCGCTTGAGCGGATGAGGTGTATGTTTGCCGAATACTCGGTGCGTGGGATGCCGCGCTCCTTGGAAAGATACTGGGCTTCTCGTGAAGCGCCCAGCCCGCCCAGGTTGAAGAGAGGCCCGCCGGCACACAAGGCGTGGGTTGTGCTGAATAACAGCCGCCTGCAGCTGTCACTTGGGCGTGCTACACCCCTAGTGCGCACCGACATAGTTGAAGGCGTGAGCATGTTCAACAAGACACTGAATGACTAGATGAGCTATTGAACCTGAGGATGATTTACGAAGGAAGAAGACGAGATGCTCGGGTGTTTGTGACGTCGATGACCTCGGCGGTTTGATAGGAACGCGGGGTCGATGCCTGTTGCTCACTCACTATCCCAAGAAGAGAAGAGCCATGTGAGGCATGTTCACCCTAACCCCGTACGTTGGATGCCATCAGCCCTGCCCAGCCCTGAGGGTGGAAACTGGAGGGGGGGGTCGGTCCTTGGTGTGCGGGGAGAGGCTGCCCAGGTCGAGTGTCCATTTCTGGACGAGCCGAGCCTGACACTTGCCATGCATATATACATGCGTCTGCATCAAAGCTGGGCATGAGAGCATGTGGCAGAGTTTATAGAAATAATATTAAAATGTGACACGAATAATGAGACCCGAATGTCGCGTCATATCTGTGGTCCTGATTTGCTTTGCATCGCCTCCCCTCCTCCTCGTCCCCAAATGCTGTATGAGCAGCTTGGATCTCACAACATCCCCAAGTCCTCATTTCTATACCGGCTCAACATAGGTCTTCGAATCCATATGTCCCCACCCTCGGTCATGTCTCGGGGCTCTTTCGTCTTTGGAGTTATATGGACGACGACTCAAGTCGAGTATTTCTCTTAGAGCCAGCCACGAAAGACGCCTCGCTCGGCAGGGTTCGGGTAGCGACCTGGCTGCCCTCCGCGGAGATACACTTGTTTGGAGTCGCTCCCGGCTCTTTGATGCCTCTTTAAAGGTCTGGGCTAGAGCGTCAGATGACAAGGGATGGTTCCCATAGAGTTTCTCTTTGCTAATATGACGCCTCTTTGTATGCTGTTTCGGTCCCTCATAACGTAAAGAAAACGGCCTCCTGGGTCACGACATAATTGTCATCATTGCCAGTCAAGAAAGCACGGCTATGCTCGACGTCCGCACCAAGAATATCAGACGGCACTCAGGATGGCGAACCGAAGACGTTCCGCGTCTAAAATGACGCGAGAGGTCAGAGGTAGCAATACAAGACCACATGGCAACGCCTTCCTTCGCAGACTTTCGCGCATAATCCTCTGTCATCCGCAGGAGCGTCCAATGCTTGGAACCACAGGACACGTTCTTCCACAGGCGACGGTGCTGAGCCCGTGAGACAACATCGCATACGCATAAACGCACACGTATACCATACCATACCTTTAGGGCTCCGAGTGACCACGGCGACAGGAGAGAGGCCACCAGCACGCATGCTTCGTCCGACTCAATGGCAGGTCAATATTGACCAGTACCTGAACCCTTTCCTAGTGCCACCGCCGACGAGTTTCCTGCCCAGGCCTCTCCAGCGTCTCTTGGGTGGCCATGAGCGTTCTCGACCGCATCTGGGAAATGTTGCCATCAGCTTCTGGGCATTCATCGGGGCGCTGGGCGCCTTGTCCCTGATATCCGTCATCGACAGACACGTGCCGGCCTTCGAATCAGCCGGCACACCACTCATCATCGGCAGCTTCGTAAGTCCCTTAGAGCACGTCAAAGACAAGTTGACATATCAGATGTTGTCATCTTGACCAGGTAACTGACCCTACGAGTCAGGGTGCGGCAGCCGTCCTCGAGTTCTACGCCATCGAGTCGCCACTTTCTCAGCCACGTAATGCCATACTCGGGCAGCTCGTCAGCAGCGTCATCGGCGTGGCCATGAACACGGCATTCTCCCAGCTCTCAGGCGCCCGCTACCTGGAGCTCCGCTGGCTTGCTGGTGCCCTGTCCTGCGCGACCTCGATAGTAGTGATGGCCCTCAGCGGGACTATTCACCCGCCAGCTGGCGCGACGGCACTGCTCGCAGTGACAGACGACAAGGTCTCTAGCATCGGCTGGCTGCTCGTCCCCATGGTCCTGCTGAGCAGCGGTGTGATGTTTGCCGTGGCGTTCTTGGTGAACAATATCCAGCGAGAATTTCCGGTGTACTGGTGGACTCCGGAGGAGGTTGGATCGTACTGGGCTCGGAGACGTAGGAATCGTGCTGCGCAAGTCGCGGATCCGGAAGCGCAGGGAGAGAAGAGTGCAAGTGACGATTCTGCAGATCTTGAGCAGTGGAAGACTTCTCACGACGAAGACTGTAGGCTGATGATCACGAAACACGGGATCAGGGTGCCGCCCAACCTAGACCTGCTTCCGGAGGAACGGATGTGGCTGGAGAGTTTGTGCAAAAGGCTGTGATGTCGGGATGTCGTGAGATCGCCGGCAGTGGCACGGAAGACGTGGATACTCGCTATATACTGTATATATAAAGTAACAATAGAAAAAGGCCGGACCGATCCACGGCAGTAGCCTGCCTCTGGAAAATGCTTCCCAATTCCCGCGAGACCACTCGGAGGCTGCGGAGCCAGTATCGGAGCCGACAGCCGTCCAGAGCTAATGTGCCTAGGCAAGCTGTGGCACAACGGTACTACCCTGGCCGGCTTGGCCAGCTGTTGAGTGGCGTTGCTGGGGGTCATGTCTGATTCAGGGAAGGCCTTGTCGAAGAGCCGACCTTACTCTGCCGCAATATTACCACAGTAATTCCCCTCTCTGCACTCTCCTGTCCCTTGATCTCGCCGCCGACCTCCAGTCAACAGCCACAGCTGCCACAACAAGGGAGATCTCTCGCGTATTCATCACTAGGAGAGAACAACAACACACAACACAACTTTCCAGGATATACAGACTGTTCCGACACGCCCACCACGACCCACATCAACGCTTTTCGATCCCCAATCTCATCGTCTCAAGTCTTAATCGGTTGACCCTGGTCTGGGCCGGCCGAGCTTTTCTACATCGGGCATTCAAAGTCGAGCGGCAGCGAACGAGCAGGATCCACACTCCGCATTTCTGGCCTTCTGGCGCGCCAATCTGCGAGTCAACCAAGAGCCACGAGCAGTTTCTAGACTTGCTGGCACCGAGCGGGTAGCAGCGACTCGTTCGTTTCTCGGCTTCTTCCCTCTGACAGCTTCGAGCTTGGGGTCTACCTAGCAAATCGGCGAATTCCCGAAGCCAAATGGGTCGTCCGCCGACCAGCGGGTACTGCCACACCTGCCGGAAGCGACGAATAAAGTGCGGTGCGTATGCGTGTGCCCACGGGGGATGGTGGAGGGGGATGATACAGCTTAATCTGACGACGTGGGAGGGATGATGCATTGTCATCCTGCCCGCCATCCTCCTTTGAGGCCTATCTGTCTATCTATCTTGTCTACCTACCGATCTGCTTAGGTGGCTGTTGCTGACTCGTCACATTGTGTCCCTGATGAACAGACCGGACACGTCCCTCATGCCTCCGGTGCCTCAAGTCCGGCTATGCATGCAAGGGGTACGACCTCGGCCTGCGCATGCAATCCCTCGTCGTCGTGACCGAACCAGAAGGCTCGCAACGCCTAGCCCGCATCGTACCACCCCCTACTGCCGCAGCCCCAACCTTGACAACAGCTGGCCCCGTTGCGCCGCCCCTACACCAGTTCAAGCGCGGGCTGGGCCGGCCACAGGACCGTCGAGGGGGCAGCGATGATGATGCTGATGATAATGCCGGCGGCGGCTTCTACAAGATCCTGGGTGGCACCGCGCACGAGCAGCAGCAGCAAGCTCGGCGCCGGTTCAACCTGTCCCCCGAAATGAACCTTACAGCGTTTCAGGAGCATATGGCCTTTAGCTACTTCTTCGCGACCTATGGCTGGGCCTACTTCTGGAAGCCGTTCCTCCACCTCGCAAGGGAGACCGACCTGGCCCCAACGGCGAGCCGTATGTGCAGCTTGGCCCTGGCCTATGGGCACATGGGCACCGGCCACGCGGACAAGAGCCTCAAGTCCATGGGCCTTGAGCTGTACGGCCGGAGCCTGAGAGAGGTCCAGGCTCTGCTGACTAGAGGTGCTGTGGCCAAGACAGAGCTGGCCCAGTTGTGTGTCCCCATTGTGATATTGGGCATGTACTCTGTACGTTGGCCCAGGCCCCCGTCCTGCCCCAGACTGACTCTCGATCTCCCCGCTCGGAAGCCCACATACAATATCCCTGTCCCCCAGTCCTCCTTATGCAAACCCCAGGGGCTGACTCGTCTGACCTTTCTCTCAGTTCGCCATCGACCGTGACCTGCGCTTGATACATAATATCGGCGTGGCCCAGATACTGAAGCATTGCGGACCAGAGGCTTTCCAGGAGGATCCTCTGCTCACTGCTTTCAGGTCATGTAGGGCTTTACTAGTACGTTGCCCATTCTGAACGCATTCTGTTCGTGCTCCAGTCTAAGTCTGTGATGTAGATCTGTCAGTCCTTTGCGATACGTCGGCGGACGTTTTTGGAGGACAAGAAATGGAAAACAGTACCATGGGAGAAGCTGCCCAAAACGGCCCTGGACAGTCTCATCGATATCATGGCCGACATGCCAGGCCTGGTGAACGATATGGCAGCATCGGAGCAGCCAATATCTCCCGCTACCAGAGACTCGTTCCACAAAAGGGTTGGTGAACTGAGGCAGCAACTGTCGACGTGGCGGTGGAAATGGGACCGCAAATACCCCCACGTTGCCCACGAAGTCCCATCCAACCTCAAGGTTGATAGCATCGAGACGCCCGTCTTCAGGGAACAACTGGCTACCATGATCAAGTTCGACACCACCCAGCAGGCCGTCGAGATGCTGACCTACAACGCTGCCCTCCTCTACCTTCTCCAGCTGGAAGACCTCCTGGAGATGGGCGAGCCGCACAACCCACCACGCCTGTCAGCCGACGACATGGAATATATCCGCCACGTCGCCGCGCGTCACCCTTCCACGCCACTGCTGCTCCCCGACGAGGCCAAGTTCATCTGCCAGCCGGCACTCGAGGCGTTCCGGCTGATCCCGTCGCTGTACAAGAACCTGGTCACGACTAAGGACCGCATCATGGTCATCCTCGCCCCGCTGGGCATCGTGTACACCTCGACGCAGAACAACCCCGAGCTCAACAGCTGCATGCAGTCCATCCTGGAGGACATACCGTTCTTCGGCGGCGGCGCCCCCAAGGAGCTGGAGCTGTATGAGCTGGCCCTGGGCGAAGCGTGGAAGTCCAAGGTGCCCTCACCTATCCCCGCTGGGACGAGCCCGACTGTTTCGGAGAGTACGGTCGAGCTTGCTATTTCCCCGTAATGCATTAGAGAGTGTGAAATGGCATCGGGAAGAGCATCATTAAATAATTTTTACGATATTATTGGGATTTCCTTTCAAAGGTTTACGGGAGTTATGGACAGAGCGACAACATGTCAAAAGTTCACTTGGCTGTGTTTTTACTAGTTAGCCCGTGTACCACGCTGGCAGAATGGCATCATCCAGCAGTCAATCAATAATTGAAATCTGAAGTCGCCCAGGCTTTCAGCAGGAACGCCCCATCTACCTGGACTGGAATGCCTGGGGGAGAGGCAGTTCACTGGTCTGCAGTACTGCTTGTCAAGAGAATCACGAAAGTGTTAGCGGGTGAGGTTGAGAGATGTTCAAATGATCGAATTGCACGGGAGTTGCCATCTACTCTGTTCTAATTCTGTTCTGGGCCTTCTAGACGGGGAGGAGAGGGGGCATGGAGATGGTCATTTTCACTCTGGAGCTATAGATTGGACTGTTGCCTAAGTCAAAAGCGGTGGCAATAGTATCGGACCCGGAGTACGTGGATAGTTGGATTCGCGGGCGTTTTTCTTGACTTTACGAATTCGCGATCTTCGTTGAGGGCCCCGAAGTCATGTGCACGCCACCTTTCAATTTACTATAGGTAATTTCTTCACTAATATACCTGTGTGGCCGCTTGCAACTCCATGGTAGCCGACTGCAACCTCCACTTAGACCTCGGTATCAACGAAATCAATGCAGTTCGGATAGCGTTGGGCTGAAATATAGCTTAGCGGAGAACTTGATCATTTATCTTGCCGAATGAGAAGCACTTACATCGGATCTCGTCGTCAATCAGCTGAGGATCAGTCAGGGTGTCGTTTACCCAGCAAAAGTCATCCGTGAGCAGGTAGATCCTGGTAGGGACAAAAGGCGTTAGTCTTCCATGCCATCTAGCTCCTTCCCTTTTGCTACAGAACAACTCGATAAACTTTGCAGAACAAGGGAAGACTCACTGATCTTGCTCAGGGGCGGCGCCATATGTCGCACATTGAACAATGATATAGTTTCCGAACGGCAGCTCCTGTTCCACGGCTGAAGTGCTGCTCGCCTCCGACGTGCAATTGGCCGAGTCATCGCCAATCTGCGTGAGGTACAGCCACCGTTTCCAGGTTTCTTTCGGGAGGTCCTTCTCGCGAGCCTGTACGCTGGGGGCAGGGAAAGCTGCCACTTCAGGGGTCGGCTCCGGGTCCGGGTCACGCATCTTGGTCTCCATGAAGGGAATCGGCCCGCAGTTGTCGAGCCCGTTGTCAACGTACTCGATCTGTGCTTCTGGCACGTAGCAGTTGGATAGGGTCTTGAACCATCTCCTACAGTGACGAGTCAGCTCCTAAGGTTCCTGCAATTGTTACTTCACGAAATCGATATTACTTACGAGTTGCCGAGGATGGCGTCACCATCGTCAGTGTAGCAAGTCAGGGTGAGATCGACCTCAGTCTTGTACATCTTGATGCGGTCCTGACGCTCGACGGTCTCGGGGATGATGTTGCACTCTGTATAGTACACCGTCGCACTTGGACCGGTGGTGTAGGTCTTGGCAATGTCGCCACAGTAGGGGAAACCTGGAGTATTTGTATCTGAGAACAGTCAGGCTCAAGTCTGTAGTCTCGCGCTCCAGCCTACGGTCCCAATAGTGATTATCAACTCACAGTCTCCTGCATACTCGATGATATCCCATTGAGTGACATAGCAGCCATCGGTTGTTTTCAACCAGATACTTTGAAGAAGTCAGCAAAGAATTGTGACGGGAATCAAGGGCAATTCACTTCGAATCAACAATGTTGTCTCCGTAGGTCCAACACGTGAGCGTCATCTCCGTGTCATAGAGGTACGCGACTTGGTTCGTGCAAAGCGAGTATGGACATGTCTTGCACTCCGTCTGGATGCCAGACTCCACCTTGGAGGGGATGGTGGTGGCATTGTCCTGCCTAGTATCCAGCACTGAACCGGCCACGAAGGGCACCACCAGGAGGGCTGAGAGATATGATGCTTGGATCATGGCGACTTCAGGTCTTCGGAGATATTCAGTTTTGGTCTGAACAAGATCTAACTCGACAAGAGGCTGGATTGGCTTTTGATGGATGTGGGACTGACGATCGACACGAATAGCTCTACTTATAAAAAATTGAATTTCGGGCTGTGATCCGTGGTAGAGCCAATCGAGTACTAAAAGACCTGAAGTGGAGCAACATACTGGCCACAACGGCCCATGGAAAAACCGTCGACCTGCAAGGCAGTCATGCTAGAGTTGCAGTCTGATTAATCACAATATTGAGGCTAATGCTGTACATGGCGTGCCTAGCTATCCCGGCTTCCCGTACGAGAAACAGATGGACACGCTTATTTTCTATGGATATTGCAAGTAAGCAGTAGAGGCGCGCACTAGGTCAGGTACGGGATTTGCCAAGGTTGCACTGCAGCCAATACGAGGCCCTCTGCGCGAGGTGAGCAGAGTCAGCCGTCGGATTTGGCTTCGAGGACGACCAGCCCGAGATCCGAGCGTGTTTTTCAGGCGCGGAGAACTGTGAACTCGCCTGGCCTGGCGATAGATTGGAGTTGATCGAGCCGGCCGTTTCCGCGCGTGGGAAGTACATGAACCGGAGGAATAACACAGCAGTTGTGGCTTGGGGCGACATTGAGGCTTACCTTGTCATGCTTCATGAACGATCTTATTATGTAAATGGCGTTCAGCTCATCTTGGCAGCGCTGATCAACGTGGCGCGGGATCACAACAGGCTTGACATGGGATGAAGCTTAAATTAAGGTCTAATGATCGGCGCGCTGATGAACCCAGCGGAAGTTTCGGAAAAAGCAAGTAGGCAGCAGTCAGGATTGAAAAATTGTATTTACTGTTAAGAAATGTTATATGCCTATTTCTACCATGCAGCCTCATAGATTATGTCTCTTTTTGTAGTATTGCCGGAGTCTGTCACATTGCCCACGACTATGCCATGATCATCTTCATATTCAGCCCATGCACTCTTCAGTGCCCATATGGCGACGCTCACTTCTACCCCAGCGGGGAGACTGGCAGTTTCCAGGCTCAGGGCCGTCAGAGGCTCTTCAGGGTAGAATAAGACGGTCCCGGCGTGGACGCCACCGTCGAGAAAGACCTCCAGAATAGACCTGTCTATGACAGCCTGCATTCTCCAGGTGCCGGAAGATGTGTTCCATACGTCGGCCACAGAAAACTTATCAGTGAAGAAAATGTTGTCGAACCCTGATATGTGCCCTCGGTCCACGAAGAAGGGCTGGTCCCCGCCAAAATAGTATCCCGAGCGCAAAGACTCGCCGGAAGTAGATGAGGTGAAGGTAAGGTTCAGTGTCGAAGAGCCAGTGATGGTACTCGAGTTGAGTCCGGTCACGTTGGCTTCGATGTATAAAGCATTCGACGCGACTGACGAGAAGTCCACCTCCACGGAGCCGTTGCCCTCGAAGGTCGTCGTGTTCAGCGGCGTATCGAGGACCGGGCTGGGGTCAACCAGCTCGTTCGCAACAACCCAACCGATGCGAGTCGCGTTGGTCAGATAGTTAGCCCTCGGCAAAGTCATGGCGCTTCGCCAGCCTTCGAGGTTTCCCGTCGGGACTTGCTGTGCGTACTGCCAGTTTGATGCCCAACCGATGTTGATGGCATTGCTCCCGTCTGGCAGGCCGTAGAAATACTGCGCTGCGTAGTTGTCCTTGGCAAAGTCGGTGAGACGCGTTGCATCGTCGATCGTCTCGAAGTGTGTCCCGTTGAATGTGCCGGGGAAGTACTGTGTGACCGAACCTCCCAATGGCGCACCGGGCTGCAGAGAGATGGCCATAACGTACGCCTCGTCAACAACCTCGCCGCCGATGCTGTCGCGAACGGGAATCTTGACCAGGTTAGGGCATTCGTACTGGGCGCCGAGAAGACCGTGGTGAGAGAAATTGGAGGCGTGCTCCCACGTCTTTAGGTCAGGGCTGGTAAATACCCCGACGACAAACTCTTGTGCGTAAGCAATTACGGCGACCCAGTGGTCTTCGTACCAGAAAACCTTTGGATCTCGGAACTGGGTGCTTGTGCTGTTTATGACGGGGTTGTTGTCGTAGTACTCGAAGGTGTAGCCGCCATCATGGGAGTATGCGATGGCCTGGACCTGCGGACCCGCTGACCCGTCTTCGTAGTACCGTGCCAGAGTGAAAATTGCCACGACGCCATTGTCCTGGTCAGGAAAAAACCCGGACGTATTGTTGGCGTCCACCACTGCACTTCCAGAGAAGACATACACCATCTCCTCGGGTGGGAAGAGGGCAATCTGCTGGTTCTCCCAGTGATATAAATCTTTGCTCGTGGCATGGCCCCAGTGCTGGTTGCCAGCGACGGTCCCCGTTGGGTTGTACTGGTAGTAAAGATGGTACGTCCCGTCGGCATCCACAAACATACCATTGGGGTCGTTCATGAAGTGCTCCGGAGGAGAGAAGTGGACTTGAGGCCTCAGAGGTCCAGTGTAGTTGCCGGAAACGGGTGTTCCTGTTGGCACGGCAGGGTTGACATAAGTAGGCACGCCCTGCGCAAAAGCAGAGGTGGCTATCAGTGCCGCTGAAGCTATTCCCACGGATGCTTTCATGATGATGAGCTTCTGCTTGGGAGGGGGTGCGGTTGGGTGCTGTTGCTTCTACAAGTCACCGTGGGCCGTCCTGAGCCGCATGGGCAGGCCTTTATATTAAGAATACACCGATGCTAAAGGTCCTGTGCATTTATCACACCACATGCATATGACGGTCTAATCAGTATCAGGCGAAGCCGTTGCAAACCTGCGCGAGCTAACATGCCAGCCATTGACGTAGTAGGTACAGACTTGTTGGCGGCGAGGGTAGCATCCAGACCCGGTGCCCCGGTTGTGGGGACGATGCAGATCGCGGGATTGGACATGGACATGCGGGAAAATCCAGACGAACACTTCACTTGTGTCTTGGACCCTCACTAGACCGGTTCTTAGAACAGAACCTTACAGCTCCCCAGAAAACAGCCTCCACCGATGATGGCATGACGAAAGAGGTATCGGTCCGATGAAGCTCCCCGGCATGATGACTTCGGCCGCAGTGAAAGGCCGGCCTTGAGGAGAAGAATGTGTCCGTAGGATGTTAAAGGTCGGTGTCCTTGACCCAGAAGCTGGAGCCGATTGCGGCCCAGACCACGTCAGGAACTGTCACTGAACAGGGTTGAAAGTGCGAAGTCATGGTCTAGATGCGCAGTCTAGTCTGTGTTGGAGAGAGCCATGAGGAATCCGGAAGAGTGGTACCGCCTCCAGGCCGTCGGGTGATGGCCGAGCAGTCGGCTCATCTGGGGCCAAGCCTGGAGTTTCTCTGGAGTTTCTTCGGAGGCGGAGAAGGTGGGCGAGAGCACTTGATAGTACGAGGGGAATCAGCGAGCACTCGAGCGATGCGTCGATGTAAGGTGACTGGTGATGCCATTTCTATTCATCAAGACAGCGGAAGAGTCGGTAGAGAGACCACAGCATTCACTGGGCTTGAGCAATCTGCCAACGCGCTCGATACGCCAAGGAGACGCATCGAGAAGGGAGACGACGAGCCTCAATATTGTCAAGCCGGTCTGACGTCTGCCGTGGGGCTCGAGATTAAGTTAAGCTCCCACCCCACATCTCGGATGCGGGGCCGTTGCGCAAGGTTCTCCCATGCACAGTCGCTCAGATCAGTGCTAGAAGCGGAAACACGGGTAACCGCGTGGAAGGCTTGAGGACTGGGCACTATTTTCTGGAAGTGTGAGCTTGCTGTTGCTGGATACACAGGATATTAGGAGAGTTTGCTCAACGGTGCTAATAGTATTTTGATGGGCAAAGCTATGACGCGGAGACAGTGGAAAAAGAATGGTCCTGGTTTGCGTTTATCAGCCTCAAAAGTGACCTCAGAGGTCAAGCAGATGACTCAGGACTTCTACCGAATAAACTCCATCCCCATTTATTTCACTGAAATTTGTAAAATGCTGAGAACCACACACGGGCGGTCTCCGAAACCTGAAGAAGAGCCAACTTGACGAAGCACGTCTACATTGCAAAAACAAGATCTCACCAGTCTTTATGTAGTCTCATGGGTGGTTCCGTGCTGAGAAGAGCACATAAAAATTTCGCCAAAGCTGATGAAGACCAGAATACTCTGTACTGATAATCTCTCAACCATCCTTCTAGACAAGCCTGCCTAGCAGCATTTCGTTACCTGTTATCATGAGCCCAGAGTGATGTCAGCAAAAACCACATATGGCATTAAAGAGACTTGACTCTTACACGATGTCACTTCCAACCAACTTATTGAGATTCCGAGACTCAGACGATGCTGAAAGTATAAACTTAGCAGATATGATGAAGACAAGTCGTCGCAGACAAGGTGGCGCTCACACGCTCCACCGAATTGGGCCACTCGAATGCTGGGATAAGGCACATCAACCTCTGGATCCATAGAACCACAGCCAAGAGACCCAGCGGGCTCGGTGGAGAGACAAATGGAGAAACCGAGAGAATCAATCCTACCTGACTATGCAATCCCTCGAAGGCTTGCTCAAGTGGTCCTTAATATATTGATGAGCCAACTATGTCATTCGACTGTACATCGCCGTTGGTTTTGCTGGACCGTTACAAGCAGCATGGCGGCCTCGAACTTAGAAATGTACCATTTTGGTGGCATCTCTGAATGCCCATAGGTAGGGGTTTGACCTAAAGAGCTTCGCTTCCAAAGAACACTGTCCATTCATTTTGACTCGCCGTCTGTACTCTCATTGAGCTTGGGACTCCTCACGTGCTCAGAATGGAGCGTTGAGAGGCAATAATGTCTGCTGATGTTCTCCTTCATCGATTCAATTCACTAAGAAGATTTGATTCCATATTTGGAGCAATTCATCTTCCTCTTTCATGGAGTTTTGTTCCTAGTATTTGGTTCAAAGACACCGAAGCCAAGGCGATAAAGAAACCAAGGAGCATTTTGGACAATGAAGGTCAAATTATGGATGGTTACCTGGACATAACAAACCAAATGGGCCTCAAAATACCACATCAACATGATCTAGCTTAATGCCTCTTCTGCGATTGAAAAACAAAACCTGGAGGGACCAGACATAATTGTCTGTCCTCCACCGAAGCGTAACTCTTGACCTATCATTGCTAGAGAATTTTCTTGGAATTCTAATTTGAGCGCAGAAGCAAAGTCATCATCCCTCGTATTTCTTTGAGACAGTAATGTGCTTCCACATCATCCCTCTCTGTCCGGGCTGTGAGGAGCCAAGCGGACTTGGCGAAGAAGTCATCTACTCGGACGAGATCTGCTGCGGCCACTGCCCGCCCGAAGATGTTTGCGGCTCTACCACTCGATTCATGACCAAGCGGGAAGTTGACCATCCCGACTTTGAGTGTTCGACCCCTGGCTGTGGAGAGGTTCGCACCATCCTCACGGCCGACCAGGAAGAAGCAGAAATCCAGCGGGCAAGAGACCATGCCAAGCGGTTTCTGAGGGAGACACACGAAGGCTGCTTGTCGCTCTGCATTCTTCCATTCATTGATGAACCGACTCCAAGTATTCCGGTAAGTGCATGGTGATAATCATATGTAAGATACTAGCCGCTGACCAGAGACCACTCCAGAAGAGCCCCGAACTGCCACTTACCAGCTTCCGGCCTGTCAACAAGCCAAATACTTCTGGCTTGCACGGAAAGTCGAGACCGTGGTCCAAGGTAAACTGATTCTTCATAATTTCAATGTTATTCCCCTACTAACATGACGGACAGAAACGTGGCCAGCAGTGGACTCGTGAGGAGGAAGTGGTCTTATGGAGATTGCGGCGGCAGGGAATGGAGTTCAATCAGATCGCGGTGAGCTGCACTAGCATCAAATCTGGCAACTCATGGGATCATCGCTAATGGAAAGAACACAGAGACGAATCGATAGGACAGAACGTGGATGCTACGACCGGTATAACAAGCTGCGCAATGAGGGATTTGGTCGGCAGTAAGGCTGACGGAAGGAGACGGCATCACGTTGGAGACTGGCCATTTCCGTGACTGGAGAGCCATGTGGTTGGATACGCCAAGCTGTTCTGGCTACCTGTTTATTTATCCGGTACTCGAGATCTTTTCAGGTAATGTGTGTGGGATTCATGACATGCGTGCGTACATGCATCTTTCAAGTGCCTCTACTGCGAACTGGGCAGGCAAACATCCAGCCTTTCACACAACTCTCTCAGAGCTTGCCACCAGACCATTAAAATGGCTCATGTATCACCAAAGTGGTATTACAGGCTGCACTTGACTATGTACCACAGCGCGCCATCCTGATCGATTGAAACCTGTTAGTCGTTCTTACTTGTCTGATGCTTTCCTTGTTTTCTCAGTCACCGGACCTACCTACTTAATGTTTCTGGTCAACACCATTATGAGTTTAGAAACCGAAAGCAAGGCCAGACTGGATCTAGAGAAGGTTCGATGACCTAAAGATACGAAAAATGCTGTCAGAGGATAGGATTTCTGAAGGAAAGAGCGCCCTTCGTTGGGAAGGATGCACCACCGATGGCTTTGAAATTACCTGGGTGGCGCGCTTTGTTATTCGGTCACCTCGAAATCCGGTCTCAATGTTTTCACATCCACTTGCATGTTTCCACTTCTATTACAGAAATATTCTCTTCCAAGCCGAAGCCCACTCACCAGTACCAAAATCAGATGGCGCACTAGGCGCGTCTGCCAGCTGAACTGAAGCTGCACATCTTTGAACTCGTAGCGGCTGATCAGGCATATAGATTGTCCAACTACGCCTGTGTCTCTGATGAATGGCAATCATTTTTCGAGAGCATAACTTTCAAGCAGCTTGTTCTCAATTCTTCGGGAACCGACCTGGACCAATTCCCTGCTGCTGTGCATGGTCGCCTAAATCTCATCAGGCATATCGTCTTGCGGATAGAGCTAGATGAATACGACTGCACAGTTTGCAACCGCGACGAAGACGAAGATACCATGATTCGGTAGGTCACTGACAGACAAACCCTAATAGTGTTTTGCGGTCCTCGTTGACCTGCACCCGTGACAGCTGATTGCGGCGGAACACAGCTTTCATAGGATCCTGGCGGAGTGACATGAATCAGAGCAGCTTGATGGTGATCTGACAAATTAGCTGACCACAAATATAGGAACGATGCCCAATTCACTAAATCGGTCTTCAACCTCCTCGCTGCTCTCTCAGCCTGGGACGGCTCCGAATCCCATCTCAACCCCCGTCGAAGCTTGACACTGGAGCTTTGTGCCTTTTCACCGAGTGACACAATGCACTATCTCAAAGACTTCCGCCTGGAGACCGGGTACCCCTATGTATATGCTGAGGATATTCCCACTTGCATAACCGACTACTATGAACCATATATGACCAACCTCAGGGAAAGAAGAGACAGGGAACTCGACATATCGCATGGCTGGGCATTTTGTACACGCCTATCGTCACCAGAACCAGACGCAAGGCCGCGCGCATTTGGTACGCGGCCACTCAGATTAGACTCCCGTGATTATGGGCTTGAAAAGGGATGGGTTGCATGCGATCTGCCAAAAGTTCCCTTGGTAACTGGGCTACTCATCCGGAGGCAGTACTATCGTGGATACTCCACTGAAGCTTTGCAGAGGATGCTAACTCGGTCCCTGACCAACTTGGTATTCTGGCGCTGGGAGAAATGGCTCGAAACCTGTACTTGCTGCCGCATGGCATTCCAACAAGGTTGCTCCCACATCAGCAGCTCATTTCAATGGATGCTAACGAAAGTTGTTAGATATGGCGTCTCACATTTTGAAAAGTCTGCCAACCTCGATGAAACAACTGGCCATCTATCATGATTCAAACCGAACTCTTCACTGTGACCGCCTAGCGAACACGACTTCTTGGCTTGGGGAACAGCTGAGTTTGGCCAGCCGCCAACTAGACGAGCTACGGGTTCTCGCGGTATCTTTCATGATCGACGCTGCTGACTTCTTTGCACCGTACGAACGCAATGCTGGTAATACACGTTGGACGGCATTTGATGGCGCGGACTACGGGAAGCAAGTCGGGCAAAATGGCTCTACGAGGCACTGGCGCAGCCTGCGAATATTGGCTTTAACCTCGGAAACATTATGGAGGGGCAACGCGGATGAGATCAACAAGCTACTCCGGATCGCTTCTGTCGTATCCTGGTCTTTAATGCCTCAGATCGAGGCTCTGGAGATCTGGTACTCTGAATACGGGAGTTCTTGCAGCTTTTTTGCCGACGTAGGTCAAGACCCGCCCATGATCGTTTGGCGTACCACTCGGGACGGGTTGGAATCAGTACCATCGCCCGATATTGTTGATGTCTGGAATCGAGTGGCTCGAAGGAGAGAAGCAAATCGAGATGCTGTGGTGAGAACCATGAAGATGGAACAACTTCAGCCCGAGGTGAGAGATTACTTGCAATCAGGACATCGCGTGGGGCTTGAAAATTTTGTGTTCAACCCAATTTCGCGGGTTCAGTTGCACTGGGAGGGCATGTTCGGATACCATGGCTAGATTGTCGATTTACATAGCGTTCTGTTACGTTGCAGACATGTTGTGAGTTAGTAAAGCAGTCGAATCAGGATGCATGTGTCACTGCAGGTCACCAATCTTCACTTGTGTGCTGACCATGCCGTCTGTCAACTAACGAAATTTTCAAGACGATGGCACTATGGGCCATCATGAACTTATTTCCTCTTCACTTTTTCCTTGCAATGAATCCCCCGGCAACTGCATCGTATTCACTTCTATTGAGGCAAAATGGACAGAAGTATAGCTGTGTAGATCTTCTTCGACAGCTAGTCTGAAGATCTCAACGTTTCCGAGATGATTCGGAGTTTCATTTAGTGATGGATCAGATCTGGTTGGGGGAGGGAACCTCATTGTAAGCTGAGCACACATCTTGCAGCTGACTTAAGTCGGACGCGGGATGTCAGCTTTTTGCTTAGCCGCCGATGGGCATCGGAGTTTACAGGAGCCGACCAAGGTATTTAAGCCCCTTTCAGACAACAGACAGAAATCAATGCACAATCAATAGTTTCGAACCGAAGCAAACCTTGACCGTCAGCGCTGCCCCGATTTCGTTCCATAGCACCTCTGACCGTTACAGCAGTATTCACGAGAACGCCTTAAATTACCATACCTTTCCCTCGAGATGTCGGCCTTGGTGAATTATGACCAACGCAACATGGCTGTGGGTAACACAAGTTTAATCCTCGGCATCTCTTCCTCTCTTCTGGTTTCGGGTCTTCACTTCGGCGCATCACTTCTCACGATGCCATCATTTTATAAGCTTCCCGTCGACAAAAGTACCCAACTTTTCTCTCAATTCTATCGAAGAAGCACTAAGATTACCGCGCCTTTGACTGCCTTCGCCACTGCTATGTTTGGCCTATCCGCCTACTTCTTTGCAGGAGAAAGGTACGGTTTACAGATAGCTTTGGCTCACGCGGCTGGCCTCACATTTTCCACATTCCTTTGGACGAGACTCGTTATGATGCGGGTCAACCGTGTGCTACTGGGTACTTTCGATGGGTTGAAGTTGACGGACGAGGTGGATCAGGCTGAGGTCGAGCGTCTACTGAGGCGGTGGAAACGAATGAATTTGTTGAGGGGATGTTTGACTATAGGTGGAGGCTTGGTCGGGCTCGTAGCTTTGGCGACTCGCGCTGCTGAGGGAGGTTGAGCTGTAAGCTTTCGGACACATGGCTGTGAGGTCAGGTGGCCTGGCCTTACGATGGGCTCGTGGGGACCGGCGATCTTGGGAATCTGAGATGTTACAAGCTGGGATCACGAATTGATAGGCTACATTCGGTGGAGGACACCAGTAAATTGAACTCAAGTTTACAGAAATATGGAGCAACTTTCTTACAACTACAAATCCTCACAAGGCCCTTCCCAGCTCTGTGTTGGTGAGGGTGTCACATACGCTGTGACGAAAATACGTGCAGGATACCAACTGTTGACTTGTATTCAGGTCGATGTTTGGGAGAAAGGCTTTGATCGACCACCAAAGAAGTTGGAAAGCTTGATTCATCGTCTTTGTCTTTTCTTGGCCCCTTCTCACTTTTGGGTACTTTCCCGTCGATGGATTCAGTTTCTAGCAGGCCACTAACTGAAATATTCCTAGCGTGATTGATAACACGATGAAGACCTGACATCGCCATAGCGCAGCTGGTAGACGATGCCAAATTTGGCAACACGGTAGGAATGTGGCTTACCCCGATGTAACCTCGATCCCGGGTTCGTGTTGCTGTGGCACAGCGGCTTCGCAGAATGCCCATGCGCGGCGTGACTCACAATTAGGATTGATGGGAGAGCCAGACACTGATACAGAATCGCATTGGTACTAAATATGGCCAAAGTCCATCCATCGCTGAGCGATAGACAGATCACCTTGCCCATCTCCCCTATCATCCAATCTGCACGAACTGCCCACAATGCCGCGCTGGAATCCGATACCATCGGCAGTGTGCCACGAGCCGACTACGGACGAAAGACAACAGCCAACAGAGCTCCCAAAAACAAATGGGTACATTTTCAAAGGAACCGTTTACAGTCCAAAAATATGTCGTGCCATGCCTCTTTATCCTAAAACCTACGGTCTAAGCTGTGACAGACAAGATTGCCAACATTGCCACCCGGAGACCTCCGCTAAGTTCCCAAATGCATACCACCGACCGCCCAAACGGTGGGCTCCGAGTATCTTCCGTGATTATTATCCTCGATACTTTCCCCCGCCAGGAACTTGTTTAGTTGGCCGGAGAGGCTGCAAACCGGAGAAAATGATTCGGATCCGTCCCGAACAGCCAAGCAACAGTGCCGCCAAGGATGAGACACGCCGTCGGGCGGCCAGGACTGAGCAGGCAATAGAGGAAAAGCAACAGGATGAGAGCAAACACGTCAGGAGTCAGAGGCTGAGCAAATGGGAGGCATCAACAACTAGACCAATCGACGAGGGATGTGAGCTAGCGGTGTCAGAGAACGTAGTTCTGCCGTCGGATGACTGCAAGGCAGATCTCTGGGATGCTCAGCTTGCGGCTTTGGTTAGCCAAAGCTTGTTGGATGACTACGAAGCCGAGGATGCGGACATCACAATGGATTCGCTTCGACGGGATGAGGGTACTTACACGATCAGTTACAAGGCTGATCGGAAGCGGAAAAACACAAATCAGCGGCGAGATGAGATGCGGGCTCTCGATTTTGAAGACGACATAGACTGGGAGCTGGTTCTAGGATCCCCAAGTGAGGGCAGCATATCTTGGGTAATGCTTGATGAGTAGGGGATACGCAGGTTCCCTTCGACGATACAAATTTCAGGCGTCGGAAAGTAGCGACTGGTTTAGGCCTTTAAAGCCTCAAGTATTGAATTGTAATAAGAGGTCGGAGTACAAATGTGATATTAGTAGTTGGATAATACTAAGAGATGATATACATGTTCCCATCCGCCACGGCGAATCGGCGCCGACATACAGGCAAGACCAACCCATTTTCGTCTGTAACGAATCAACTTAGAGTAAGTATCTAAACTCAGGGTTTTCAAAATCTGTTGCATCGGCACCATCAAAGGCGTCGTCATGTTGAGTTTGCGCCGCCGCAGCAGCGTCATCTCTCCTCTTATTCCTCATCTGTAACAACATCCTCAAACCCAAAGCCAAGCATACCTGCGCCACAGCACAGGCCAGAATCACGATGCAGCCCGTTCTGTAGTAGGGCGACTCCTGCTGTAAGAACGCATGTGGGCCGATGACATTTCCAGCGCAGTATGCCAAGAACACCAGCGCAGACGATGATGTGCGCTTAGTATACCCTCCCAGGTTGGCAGAGGGCATCTGCAGAGCCAGGACGAGCGAAGCGACGTAGGAGCCGGAGATGTAATAACCAATCAGCACGCCAATCTTGTTGGCATAATCGGAGCGGTCCATTTTCCAGATAAGGCTGACACCGATGATGGTGGGTATGTTGTACAGCGCCATCACGGTGGTCCGTTGGTTCTTGTAGTGGGAGGCAATGTAGGTGCCGGATAGAATCCAAATGACTTGGAATGCGCCTTGCGGAATTCCAAGGGCGGTTGTCTTGAGAGGATCTGTGACGAGACCCTTGACGATGAGTTTTCCGAAGCTTGCATAGCCACCGTTGATGACCTCGTTAAAGAGCACGAAGGAAAACAGCAGCCAGACTTGTGGGTCGGCGAAGGCCTCGCCAACTTGCGCCCATTTGATTGTCTTGTTGAGAATACCTGTCTTGGCAAGTCGGCCACGTGCGATGAGCAAGGCTTTTTCTTCGAGGGTAAATCGCTTTGCGGTCAGGATGGAGTCGGGCAGAAAGAGTAGCATGACAATGCCCCATATGACTGTGACTCCGCCGCAGAGGAGGAAGATGGCCTTCCAGACAGGAAAAGTCTCGATTTGTCCTATGCCATAGGTCAAAAGGCCGCCGATCATCGAACCAAATCCGTTACAACAATAGAAGACACCAGCGCGGAATGGTTGTTCTGGGCGTGTATACCTTTGAAATGTTAGCTTCTGAAAACTTCGAACTTAGAGATTATCAAGTACTTACCACATAGCAACAATCATCATGAAACAGGTTGTGATTGGAGCTTCGAAGATACCCAATAGGAAACGGCACGTTCCAAATCCAGCGAAGTTGTGGCATGCCGCCGTGATCATCAATATTGCACCCCAGCCGACCACGCAGGCAGACACGATCTTGGCCATTCGTGTCTTCTGGGCCGCCCACATCCAAGGATACTCGGCGACTAGGTAGGCGAGGTAGAACATAGAAGTGAACCACGCATATTGGTCCTGCGTGATACCGGTGCTGCTAAAAAGGTCGAAGACGGCGGCATAGGACATGGCCTGCTTGTCGATGTACTGCAGCACGTAGGTGCCAGCGAGGAGTGGCAGGACGATCATGTCAATTTTTCGAACGAGTCGCTTGTTCTTGTCCGCATCGGCCAGAAGCTCGGCGAGATACTCGTCAGAAAAATTGTGTTCGCGGAGGAAGACCTCGGAGGCATCCAGCGAGACGATCTCGCCCTGGGTGATTGACTTGATCCGTGAGATGGAGACATTGTCGTCGGCACCTTCGACGGTGGTAGGCTGCTTCTCGGGAGCGATTTTCTCGTCTGGAGTCGCCATACTGCTGAGACGATGATGAAGTGGCTGGGAAAGAAACAAAGACCTGACGCCGTGCACTCGGGTCGAAAAGACAACTATGTTACAAGCACTCCTGTAAATACCACAATGAATAGCTGCCGTTATCAAAAAGCTGCCGCCGGAGCTTTAGGAATCTATGGGCGCCCACGTTTGTTATCAATTTGGTATCCACCTAGGTCTTGGAAAGCAGGGTTCCCTCAGAATATCTATCTGAGAGGCGGCGCGATAGATAGCGAACCGAGTGGCGGATTCAATGCGGACGGTGCTCAAGAGGCTTTCTTCGGTTGTTTTCGTCCGCACCCGACACCCGAGGCGCCCTGTGAATGGGAAACGTAGAAGAAAGCGTACAAGATGTTGTAACAGGTGAGTAGCCTGCAGTCCAGCATCCCGGTACCCGATCAGTCCCCCTGAACATAGAGTACTACATCGAAGTAGATATAGACATACACACGCGAGCACCTCGGCCATGCCTACCCCGATTTCCTCGTTCCCCAACTGCGTGGCCCGCTGAACGAGCACCATGCCCGCAACCTGGATTCAACAATGAACCAGCATTTGGCCTCTGTTGGTGCAGGTTCTCCTTACCTGAACGATTCACGTATTGTGGAGCACACCTCGGACGCGTCCTGGTAAGCCACACGATAGGCTTACGTCCTGGGGGATAACGGCCGTCCCCGTTCGGCACTTCTTATCTGGGCTCGCAGGTGACCAGAACGTGGAGATAGCGCTTCCGGGTTGGTGATGCCGGTCCCCTGCCGGTTCGGCTCCGACACTCCGACATCGCGTCTCCTCTCTCAAGTCCGTATTTATGCCGAGAAAGACGACGCCGGTAAGGTTCGTGAGAAGAACGCACCGATAGACGTCAACTGCATCACGTGTGCACGACTCGCTCTCATCATGGTGCTGCAAGTCGACTCCTCCCGCCCAACGGTCCAGTTGCCCCAGCAGGGCAAGGTCGTTGGCATCACCCACCCCAAGGACGAAAAAGCTCACCGTCCACGCGCAGTCGATGCGTTCCTCGGCATCCCTTATGCTATACCACCAGTCGGCGACCGAAGATTTCGTCCAGCAGAGAAGCTGCCGCCTAGTCCAGAAAATGTTCTTGACGCGTCAAAGTACGGTCCAGCAGCACCGGGGAAACCGCTGCTGATCCCAGATCCATCAGGACCGCAGATTGTCTATAATGAGGACTGTCTTACGGCCAACGTGTTTCGTCAATCTGGAAGCGCATCTCACGATGGAAAATTGTTGCCAGTTGCCGTTTACATTCATGGCGGGGCTTTCAACCGCGGAAGCTCAAGCATGCACAACACGGCATCGATGATGAGCTGGTCTGAAGAGCCCTTTGTCTGTGTGTCATTTAACTACCGCGTGGGATCTTTGGGTTTTCTGCCGAGCAGAGTGAGCGCCAAGGAAGGTGTGCTGAATCTGGGCTTGAAGGATCAAATTGTACTGTTTGAGTGGGTGCAGGAGAACATCAATGCGTTTGGAGGAGATCCGGACAACGTCACGCTCTTCGGACTGAGTGCTGGTGCGCACTCGATCGGTCACCACCTCATGCACTACAAAGAGGGTGTCAAACCTTTGTTCAACAGGGTCATCATCGAGTCCGGTGCACCAACATCTCGCGCTGTCAGACCGTTTGACGCTCCTGTTCACGAGGCACAATTCAAAGACTACCTTGCTGCAGCAGGTGTACCTGCTGATCTGCCTGAGGACGAGATCTTCTCCTTCCTGCGGTCTCTGCCGACGGAGAAGGTTCAGGAAGCACAGAACACGGTCTTTGCTAAATACAACCCCAGCCTAAAATGGGCATTCCAGCCAGTCATTGATGGCGAAATCATCCCGAGGCCTCCTCTCGAGACATGGCGGCAAGGGAAGTGGCACAAAGTCCCCATCATGACAGGTTTCCAGAGGAACGAAGGAAGTCTGTATGTCAACAAGGCAATGAGCACATCAGAAGAGTTCACGGGTTTCTTCCGCGATCTTTTGCCGCTGCTGTCGGAGGAAGACGTCAACACCATCGACGAGCTCTACCCAGACCCCGCAAAGATTCCCGAATCCCCATGGAAAGAAGACCGGGACGGTGTCGGTGCTCAGTACAAGCGAATCGAGGCTGCCTACGGACACTACGCTTATGTGGCACCTGTTCGACAGACTGCTGAGTTTGCGAGCCTCGAAGTGCCCGTCTACTTGTACCAATGGGCTGCGATATCGACGGTCCTCAACGGTGCACAGCACGCAGACAACATGAGATATGAGGTCTGTGATCCAAAAGTGGTCGCCGTGAGTGAGAACCAGGCGCAGCTGGCCAAGACGATCAATTCCTATGTCACCAACTTTATCACAAAGGGTGATCCGAATGCTGGTGCACCAAAACCAAAGTGGGAGCCTTACAATAAAGAGATACCCAAATCATTGGCGTTTGGGCTGGGCAACAAGGAGCTCATAGGCGGTGATCTGGGCACAACGGCCAAGTTTGTAGAGGATGAGTGGGGCAGAAAGGAAAGCGAATTCTGGTGGAGTAAGGTCGATTTGTCACAACAGTGATCGGGAATAGTCCAGGATATTAGCCAGTTGAATGACTAGACTGCCAGACTGCCTACTAACTATTGACTGCCTGCTTATGAGATTTACAAGCCACTGCCACTGCCAAGGGTTTCGTAATGGGTCGAGATGTGCATATCACTGCATGGTACCGTGCGATAAAGGTGGAGTTCCGCGGCCGGCCTGCGGGGAACTGAGAAATGGCGCCCCTCAAGCCTCTCCAGTTTCCCGCGGGAAACCTCTGAATGGTCAAGGTGGTGGGCGATTTGTACATGTGTTGGTAAATTTTGAAACCGGCCGATTACACGTCGCGTAAAGATGGCTGAGCAAGGGAGTGAGATGTCACGGATGTCTCTCCGGCCGTTGTTATCCGGACCGATGCCGGATCGGAAGAAGTGCGTTTGGAAAGTCATCTCATGTACATAACCAGACAGCGACACCAAGACGTCCATCGTGACCGATCGGGGCAAGTATTGTCGTTGCACTACTACAACAAAATCCAGTTATCAGACAGCGAGACTCAGTGAACATGGCCGCCACCACCGTCACACTTCCGGAGCCTTTCGCCTCCATCCCACGGTCAACCCTGACCTTTGGACCGTCGCCAATCCAGGCTCTCCCCAAGATCTCAAAAGCACTCGGCGGCAAGGTGAACGTCTACGCCAAGCGTGAGGATGTGAACTCAGGGCTGGCCTTCGGCGGCAACAAGGTCCGCAAGCTGGAGTACCTCGTCCCCGAGGCGATCTCGCAGGGCGCCGACACACTGGTCTCAATTGGCGGCGTCCAGTCCAACCACACACGCGCCGTCACAGCTGTTGCCGTCGCCAGCGGTCTGAAGGCCGCCACTGTGCAGGAGCACTGGGTCGACTGGACGGACCCTGGGTACGAGAAGGTCGGCAACCTGCAGCTGAGTCGGCTCATGGGCGGGAATGTCCATCTGGACCCCAGTGGTTTTGGCATTGAGCACAAGACTACCCTGGCGAATCTCACCAAGGATCTGGAGAGCAAGGGACAGAAGCCATATTACATCCCCGCCGGCGCAAGTGATCATCCATTCGGCGGTCTGGGCTTTGCACGATGGGCATTTGAGGTGGAACAGCAAGAAGCAGAACTCGGTGTCTTCTTTGATACCGTCCTGGTGTGCGCTGTCACAGGCAGCACGTTCGCCGGCATGATTGCTGGATTCAAGCTGGCTCAGAAGAATGGGAGTAAGCCTAGGAGGGTCATCGGTATCGATGCTAGTGCCAAGGTGAAGCAGACGTTTGACCAGGTCCTGAGGATTGCCAAGTTCACCGCCGCAAAGATTGGTCTCTCGGAGGACGACATCACGGAGAAGGACGTCGAGCTGGTGGACAGGTATCACGCTGGCACGTACGGCATTCCGGATGAGCAGACCATCGAGGCCATCAAATTTGGTGCCAGCACAGAGGCTTTCATCACGGATCCAGTATATGAGGGAAAGAGCCTAGCGGGCATGATGGATATGATCAAGAAGGGAGAAATTCCTGGGGGCAGCAACGTGTTATATGCACACTTGGGAGGTCAGCTGGCTCTAAATGCATACTCAACGATACCTTAAGGTATGAGACAGCGCAATATCTTCTCTGATGAAACACAGATTCAATACCCCAACAACTACTTCAATTTCGTCCGTAACAAAGTGCCTGGTAAAATTGACTACAATTCTTCGAATACTATTCCCCAACATATCTGGGTAGAACATGACTGGAGTACACTACGGTCCTAAAACGGGAGAATTCCTGGTCATTAAGACTGCGACAAGTGCACTTTGGAATATTATGGAATATATGCTGAATCGGCCATCGGGTAGAGTAATCACATGCGGTGTATGTCAAAGATTGTCTGTTGTCATTGGTCCTTCCTCGGCTGCGGCGTTCTGCATATGCAGGCTGTCTTCGTGACTGATGTGGCAGAAAAAGCCCCTCTTTTCTTGCGATAAGTATTCTCTGACATCGAGTTCGGCTTATAGCTGCTTTTATACGTCCATAAATACCCGGAATTCGGGCAGTGTACTGCTTAGATGGAGCAATGTCCGGCTGTCGAGTCTACGAGAGCCCTATCACGGAGAGGGGGAAGAGGAGGACAGGGAACAGAGTATTCAGCTGGGACTGCTGCTATTGTGGAGCTGGTGCCATGAATTACCAGACCACCCCCGCGTGCATCAACTGTGGCCATAGACCTTGCTCAGGTAGTCAGGCTGGTCACAGGATCGCTGTTCTTCACGCACAGGGGTCTTCAAAGGGAGGTGGTCGTCACGACACCACCGCGGGCCCTCAAAGCGAGCTAAAGATGGACCCTGAATCGTCCAAGAAGGAAGAACTGACCGTTGGGGTGAGTTCGAGGACTTCTGGTATTCAAAAATAACTGCAAGGGACTAATGATCAGACAACCAAGTCTTCAGACAGCCAGGCCTCGAAAAACGAAAGCAATGCCGTGGACTCGGGTGATACAGACATATTTATTTCCGAGCCTGTCATCAGCAAGTTTTCCTCCATTTCAGCTCTCCTTGACCCAAGCGCACGAGCAGTGGAGGATTTTACTCGCAATATCACGATCTTTCAGAGTTTGGGATGTCTTTGGCCACAGCTTGTCGGATGTTGCAAGTCAAAGAAAAGATCTATATCCGTCATCGAGCGGCTACTGGAGCGCTACGCAATGGATTTGGCTGTGGTGTCTCAAAAAATGAAAACATCCAACCTTCCGGATGCCCTGCCCTGCTTTGCTGCGGCACGTTTTGTTCGAAACTCACGGTCACGCATCGCGCACAACATATGGAACGCCCAAGATCATGTCATACGCAGCTGCGCAGAAGACGTGGAGATATATCATGAAATCGTCCCAATGAACCCCGCCCTTGAAATCGAAGACGACTTTGATTTAAGGGATGCCGACTTCATGTATGAAAATATCGAACAATTCTTGTTCACCATGAACCCGATTCTCTCGCTCCAAGCAAATATCAAGCTACTCATCGGACTCGAAGATCCGGTGGATTATGGAGGAATCAGAGGGTTCTTGAATTCCTTGAAAATTTCCATTGTGAACAAAGTCTCATCAATATGTGAGCCTCGGCTCTTACCGGGAAGCACGAGATTGCGATACGAATGTGTAAGTCCATCCAAGTCATTTCTTACAGCGTCTCAACGTGCATCTTCCTTTTCCAAACTAGCCGTCCACTATTAAACGAAAGCATGCTAAACTAGCTTGAAAAATCGTCAGAGATGTGGGCGAAAACTATACGATGATTATGTCGAATTTCAACCAGGCGCGCTTGACAATCTTAAAACAATCCTCTCCAGCTACTCTGGCGGACACCCTGTGACCTTGCAGCCTGAGGACTTTGACCCGCCGGCCATCAACGACAGGCCCGAACGCGAGAATATCTGGCTTAACTTGGTCAGTCGTTGCAAACAGCTGATTAATGGAAGCCCAAGGGATACGCGTCTTCCATGGACCAGACGTGGTGCGGATTCCATGGAGTTAGGTATATGTCAAGAAGGTACAGAAAATCCTCGCGTGGGTCATAACTTTGTCTTGTTGTGTCTTCCATTTATGCGATGGGGGAGGAAGCTTCACCAACTCGACACATGCAGCCTTCAATCTGACCAGCAATTACTTTTGTTGCTGAGAAGAAAGTGGGCCGATTTGCGTAAATCGAGGCAGCGGATATCGACCGAGAGCCTTCGCCGGCTTGTTTCGCTCGAGTTTGTCATGGTAGGCATCGCTGACCCAAACTTCTGCATTATCCTACCATGGTAGTGTATCCTAGGTCTCTTAACCTAGCTGTTCAGCAACGCTCCGACGGCTGTAAAAATAACTGAGAGATCTGAGAGAGCCGTTCAAAGAGGAAGACTAACTAGAGATCGTTTTAGTTCGAAGTATACAAGAATGAGCTGGTGGACATTCACAGGAGTCCTTCCGTACCGGACCGAGAAGACGATGAAGAGGAAAGACACAATTACATCTATGATCCTCGGCCAGCAAAACACAACCCGCCAGTTGGATCTAATCTTCTCATGCATTACTTCGAACATCCCGAGCACGCTGATGTCGGAGTGGACATATACGATAAGATTCCAAAGAAGCTCCGGACTAGACTAGAAGCCTGTCCTATAAAAGGAAGTTCCGTGGGCTGGGGAGTGCACTTCACCGAGGGGGTGAATTGGACTATACTGTTCGCCTACGGTTGTGTTGGATTTATCTGTGCCCTTGTCTTTGCCGTGGCTTGGTCAACGGCACGCGCCGACATCCAAAGTGGTTTTGCCATCGCAGGTTTCATTGTGACCTTCACATTGTTTTGCCTTGGAATTGCTCGTACAGAAATTGCACTTGGGACATGATCGCATCACATTGGCAGGCATATATCCTTCTAAATTATACATGAAGACTACTTCCAGAATATTCTACCTTCCATCAGCCTCCTCGCTGTTCTGAATACAGTTGCCTTCTCAAGCTCCCCCTCCCCATCATACCTCGCGTCAACATGCAACGTGCCACTCGCATGATGAATGACCAGCCCTGCCTCCCCAGGCACCGAGCTCATACACTCGGACACCGTGCTACCAGGTAGCTTCGAGGCCGCCGCGATAGCCAGCGCAACGGTGACGGGGACCGCCTTGTGAGGCTGGCCAACAGACATCGCACGGGCGACTATGCTCTCCCCCGAGTCTGGATTCGGAGAGACGAAGGCAATCTTAGGCACACTGCCAGGCACCTCCTCCGGCGAAGCCGCAAGCCCCATCCGGACGCCGACCTGCCGCCGGATCTTGTCCAGGGTGTGCGTCAGGGTGGGATGGTCCTCGATCTCCTGGGGGCTCAGCTGCCCGTCGACACCGAGGTCCGAGGCAAGCACGAAGCAGCATGGGTTGCCGACGTCGATGCAGGTCGTCTTCACCCCCTCGAACACGTCTGTCACGTTGTCGGTTGGCAGCAGCTTCCCCGTGCGCGACCCAGCCGGTCTGATGAAGTCCAGGCGGATCGGCGCCGCGGTGCCAGACACGCCGTCGATGGAGAAGTCCCCGTGGGCCACGGCCTCGCCATCGGCGACAGGGAACTTGGCGTGGATGATCTTGCCGGTATTTGTGTTATGAATGCGGACCGTGAACTCGTCGACGGCACCCTCCGGCGCCTCCACCATCCCGCTGTCGACGGCGAACGGCCCCACGGCCGACGACATGTTGCCGCAGTTGCTGGAGTAGTCGACGTGCGTGTTCTTGACCCCGAGCGAGACAAAGGTGTAGTCGACGTCGGCGTCCCCGCGCGTCGGCCGGCCGACCACGCAGATCTTGGACAGGCTGGAGATGCCGCCGCCCATGCCGTCGAGCTGGCGCCCGTTGGGGTCCGGGCTCCCGATCACGCCCAGGAACGGCGCGGCCCACTCATCCCTGCTCCTGGGCAGGTCCTCCTGCTTGAAGAAGACTGCCCTGGACGTCCCGCCGCGGTAGTAGGCCGCCGGGAGCGAGTTCTGCTTGCGCGATGAGGAGGCCATCCGCGCTGATGTGGAGCCGAGGGACCTTAGGTGCGTGCTATGCTGGGGCACGGGCTTGGTGAGGGGCCTTGAGAGGTGGCTGAAGAGACAAGCTATGGGACGTTGGCGATGCATGATGGGTTTTCCAAAAGCGGCATTGCTAAGGAGTGCAGAGCGACTTCGTTATCCGTTCGCTCCTGGTGAACATTGTTTGTCCGGGGATCGAGCTCGGCCGGCTCCTCACTTATACAACAGGCCTGCAGTCAACGCACGTCTGCAGCCGCTTGGCGGCACGGGTGGGCACCGGGCCAAAGCCGGTCATAACGCCGCGCGGGCGACTGGAAGCACGGGATGAAACCGACGACCGCGAGAGCTCTGCCTGCTTTGCTGAACGGGCTTGGATTCCCAGCTCAATGAGCTTGGATTTCTAGCTGACTGAGCTTGAATTCCCCGTCACTTTGAGAAGGATATCTGTCATTTCAGGGAGTGAGAGTTCACGAACGACTCACCCAAAAGATCCTCCGGTCTAAATGCGTAATTGCACTCAACTTGCAAGACTGAGCAGCGCCGGAGAATATTTTCGGCGAAGGGTCCGAGGTCGGTCAGCGAGCCTCTGCGCTGCAGTGCCATGCTAAATGCTGAATGCTTTCCATCGATGAGATCAGCGTAAAACATGTCTTTCGTGTAATCTGTACATGGATGCGAGCTGGGAATGAGACCCAGACACCTTGGCAGGCCTGAAATGCACAAATCCATCTTCCTGACATGGTCTCACCGAGCAAGAGGCGCGCAATATTGGACATTCCATTGTAAGGACGTGAAGAATTAACAGATCGATTTGGGCGCTATTCGATTCAAAGACTGCCGCTTCATGTAGCTATAACAAATTTCAACTTCACGGACATCACAGGAATTTCAGGCTAGAGCATTTAGTCTCAGCCAAGTTCTTAACATCCTCCACCTCCACAGCCACCACCGCCGCCGCCGCCGCCGCATCCTGGACGAGAAGTCAGCATTTGAATCAGATGCACGCAAAGAGTAGCGAACTTACCTCCACCACCACCACCTCCGCAGCCGCCTCCGCCCCCACAACCGCCTGCGATTCCTCCACATCCACCAGTAGAACCACCAGCCTGTCGCGGAGCAGTCAGTATTAGAACATGGCAGAGAGGCAAGATAAAAGACAAGACAAGAATCGAGGTTGGGAGAGAAGGTACTCACCCCCGCTCCACCACAACCCCCAGCTCCGCCGCAGGCCCCAGCCGCAACACCCCCGGAACAGCTGCCAGCAGCGCAACTGGCCCAGCCGTCACATCCGCCGGAGCTGACGTAGCCGGGATCCCAGCCATAGTACATGCCCGGCGTAAAGTACATGGGGTAGATGAAGGGACTGTACATGAAGTACGAGTACCCCCAGTGGTCATAATACTCGTCACGAGGCGGCAGTTTCCGGCCTTTCTTCTCGGCGCGCCGGCGGGCTTTTTCGTAGTTGAGCTCGAGCTGGCGATACTTCCTGTCGCGGGCATAGGCTGCGAGCCTGTCCCGTGTGGAGGACATGTCGGTGGCGGCGCGCACGGCGTTGTGGGAGGAGATGTGGGCGCTCTTGTCGGGCGGGCAGAACTGGGCCTGACCCGAGGTGTGGAAACTCTCAGCGGCCTTGTCCTGGCTCCCCACGCCGAGAACGCGTGAAACTGAGTTGATGTTGTCGGACCGGATAGTCTCGCAGTACCAGCAGGTGCACTCGCTGTAAACGGCCGAGTACTTGGCCTGGTATGCCTTCACCGTCCAAGCGAAACAGTCCGACAGCTTGTCTTCATCGATCTTGTCGTCGTGGTCGATGAACTTGGTCGTTCCTGACGTAGTGTAGCGGTAGTAGGTGGAGGGAGAAAGCTGGTGGGTGTGCCATGCGAGGTCGACGTCCAGGGTCGGCACGCAAGTCTTGGTGGGGTGTTCCACCATGAGGGACACGAATCTTTTGTATTTTGTGATCAGCCGGGCCATGGTCTCGCGAGACGCAGGGCTATGAAGCCAGTCGATCTGGTACATCTTGCTAGTGAAGACACCCTGCCTCATTACAGCGCCGCTGAGGTCCAAGGCGAAAGGACTGAAATTCTCCCAGTAGCGAGACATCATCTTACGGACGCAAAGTTTGGCTTCCCTCCCAACCCTGCCGGGGCCGTGGGTGGGTCGACCTTCGATATCTTGTAGGGCGTGACTGCTGCGAAGGACCGTCTCGATCAGGTCGCGCACGTTCTCCATAGTGGGACGAGGGCTGGAACCTGGTTGGATAAGGTCGACAACCTGAGCTATGAGCTTCTTTCGGATCATCCTATTGGGAAATGTTCGAGGGAAGTAGGTAGCACGAAGGTCTGTTGGGACCGGCTCTGGACTCCCCTTGATAGGATCGAGAATAGTACCGGGCATTGGAACCGAGTCGATCACCAATGACTGGACGTCCTTTGCAAATTTGGCAACGGACAGCAGCTCCTTGTCGATCTGGATGGCACAGGACGGACACGAACGCTGGAACTTGCCATCACCGTATCCGGAGCCTACCAAGCCACTGAAAACAAAAGTCTTATTTGCTTCGTCTGTGCCGCAGGTGGTCCAGGGATGCTCTATGGGTACGTGGCAGGCGGGGCACTTGATGTGCTTGACCATGGCGTCGTCCGCATTATCCCAGTTGCGCCCCGTGCTGGCCACCCAAGCTGCTTTCGTCTCGTCGGATACGTTGTAGTTGAATTCGTTGTCGATGGCGGACGAGACGACGGCCCAGGGCATTCCAGTGGCCCAGAGAGAGGAAAGACCGCATCGGAGGGTATCTTCGAGGAAGGCCCGTGGGTTGAGCATGTGGGCGTGCCAGCTGGGTCGGGTCAGGTCAGGTCAGCATATTTGAAGTCAAGCAACAAGACAGGCGAAAAGGGGGGGGCTTACACCATCAACACATCAAGCGGGGGAAGCATCTCCTGTGTCCAACGCAGGTATGCCGTCTCGCCCACAAATTCGTGGTACTTTGCCCCCGACTTGTCGTTCATATCGGCCTCCCTCAGCATTGTCTTTGGGAACACATTCCACCAAGCCTCGTAGCGGTCGACAGCACGAGCAATAAAGAGGGCCCATCTTTTCTCCCTGATCTTGCTCAGGCGGATCTTTCTGGCGTCGGCGGACGTTATCTTGTTCTCCCCCTGCGAGCCATTGTGGCCGGCGGCGACAGCAGCAGTAGCAGCAGCAGGAGGAGGGACGGAGTCGGCAGGGAGTTCTGCGTCAATGTCGGAATCGGGGTCGTCAGCACGGCTGTCCCAGATGCTCCACAGTCCATCCGTGTAGCCCACATCTTCCTTGAGGGACTGGAGGGCGTAGAGCAGCTTCAGGTGGGCGAGGCATGTCTCGACAGTGGGGTCCTGGGGCGTGGACGAGATGGACAGGTTCGAGAAGGCGGCGGTTATGTCGACATCGGGAGCGTCGGATGGAGGTGCAGGCTGTCCAGGCTGGACGGCAGAGTATGCTGGAGGAGCATCATCGACGCTGCTGTTGGGTCGGTTGGTTGGCTGAGCAGGGGCGTCGTCCTGCTTGTCGCTGGACTTGGCCTTGGCCTTGGATATGGATTTGAAGAGCGATGGCATCTTGCTCCACTTACAAGTGCAGTTGGTCGCCTCCAAGAGCCTTGGAGAACTTGGCAGGGTCCTGTGGGCTCTGGGCTCTGGGCACTGGGGAAGTGGGGGGGTTCTCTTGGGCTTAAGTTAAGCTCAGGCTCCAAGCAAAGGGATGCTGGAAGACGGTGGCAATGCGGGGTAGTAAACGCCTAGTCTAGTTGTCTAGGTGGTACCTGGGCACAATTGGAGAACATCTCAGATTAACATCACCATCTCTGGACCGCTTGGCGAACTGGCATCACTGCTATATTTATGCAATGGCAAACCCTTCGAATATCAAGAACAGCATCATACTCGGGCGAAGAGAGGCCATGCCCATCCAAGAAACATCCTGCGAATGACGTCGTGTGTTGCGGCTCAGCAACCTTCCTTTGTTCCATGCTGAGTAGAGCTGACTCGAGAGCCAACATTTACATTCATTCCGCAGTCTCCATTCCGCCTTAGAACGACAATCAACAGTCCCCAGCCTCAAGAGCCGCCCGATAACAGTATAGATCTGCTGCTAGATCTGCAGCTACCCTTCTAGAAGCCTACACTACATACTGCTCGGCTCACTCCGAAAATTACCACCAATCGATCGCCTTGGCCTGTCATCCTGTCTGGAACTCTGCCTTGCCGAGGCACCTTGTTTTGGTCAGGTGCAACACCGTGGAGCACGTCGCCTCTTCTAGTGTCATCCTTCGCGTTTTCAGCTTTGTGTACCCAACTCACTGGCTGTTTAACGGGCTCCCGAACAGGTTTGTGGCTTGCAGAGGGGGGCAGTGCTGTTGGCTTGACCTGGTCACCCCTGTCGCTGATGATTTGCCCCTGAGACATCCAAACCACTTCAGGTCGCAGCAGCTTACTACTCTGCTACTGTACGCCGAGGGACAAGAATCACTGCAGGGCAGGATGGAAGTGCGTGGACTGTCGAATCTCTCCCAATTTCTTGCCAGATATTGCTATCGTCCCGGTCACAGAGGCGCATTGTGACATCCCGCGTCAACCCCCTCTTGTAAATGCTGAGCCTACAGCCTCGCCCTACACTTGACTTGTGAGCAGGAGACTTGTGGATGGATTAGAATCGAGTAAGAGCGAAGTGTACCATGGAACAAAGTTGATTTCTATGGGACACATGGTATCAAAAATGCCTCGTCCTTCGTTCTTATTGCCGAGATCATGCCTCCAGCACGTCGTTACCATCCCCTTCTCCTTCAGCATCAAGCTTAGATTGGCTTGGCTGAGACGTCTGTACTACCATCAGAACCTGCATCTACCTGTAGCTTCAATCCTCATCAATACACGAGGCTGTGCGTCCACGCTCGAGCCGGACCCTACGCTTGGCACCCTGGCAGCCCTTCGACACGCTCATGTTCGTTTGCCTTTCTCTTCGAGCCAGTGAGCGGCTGGTCCATCTTTGGGTTGTTTGTACCCGTAGAGAAGACTTGCATGTCTCGCCGGCGGACCTGGCCCTTCGCGTCGCGTGACGCCATACGCTTCGACGCGGTCAGCGCCATGTCCATGTCAGAAGCCGTTGATTTGGGATAGTCCCGCGCCGTCGCTTGCTTACTCGGCTGGTATGGCTCGCGCGTGGAGGGCGCCGGCGCCGAGGCAACGTCTGCCGAGATGGCGCAGGTCGGCCTGGGTCGCTCGACGAGGGGGGAGCCAATTACAGCTGGACCCGAGGAAGTCGATGGTAGCTAGGAGGCAGCAGCAGACCTTGTCAGCATTGAACTTGAGAGACGTGCGGATGGAAACAAAGGGGAGGCTCTTTGGGGTACGCAAGTGTAGCTCACAAGGTTGGGTAGACGAAAAGGAGGGTAAATATGGCCACCGTGGGCGTCCTGCTCGACGATCATGGCCTGGACCTGCTGGTCGACTCTCTCCCAGTCGGGCTCGAACGGGTCTGCGAGCCTGGCTCGGACTATGTTCCAGTTTCGCGTCATGGCTTGCGCTGTCGATGGAGTTCGCTGGGTTTGCTGAGTGTTGTCGCGCCATACAATGCTGCCGAGAACTCAGATGATTGCGAAGTTTGATTTGCCGCCCCTTTGTTGGTGTATACGACCTAGTAGTTAGGTCGACAATGACGGTAGCAAGCGAAATGATGATCGGTCCAGTCTAGTTCTTGAAATGATGGTAGATCTTGAGTCTGAATGTTTGTGGACGCTGCAAGGCTGGCTGGCTTGGTCCTCCAAAAGTTCTAAGTTGGAAACTGGACCTGCTCATGCCGTCAAGTATGGCGTTTGGCAAGGGCCAAATGAGTGAATTCAAGCTGGAGAGGACGGAGCGTGTGCCATGCGATGCCCACGAGGGGGAGTGTGATGTTGCTGATGTGTCTCTGAAGACTGTGGTTCCCACACAATCCTTCTGTCAGAGGAAAGGCACCTCAAGTGAAGGGCACACCAGAGGGGCGAATGAGCAGACACCGGTTGAGGCAGCAGCTTCAACTTGGATCTGACAAATTGACACTTGTTAAGAGACTTGGTCCCTCTGTTGCTCACAAGAAATTGTCTGTCTCCAGGCTGAACCGCGTCAGGCGATCTTCCAAGTCTCTCATAAGCTCTTCGTCATGCCCGCTGTACCTGATCAAGTCTCGCAGGGCTCTTGTCGTCCTCGGACTGTTACGCCCCTTCTTCTCCTCCATGAGTTGGAAGGCCTCCTTGAAAAAGTTTTTGCCTTTCTCGGCGTCGCCACCATCGCACTCACACATGCCGTTGATACGCAGTGCCTGGTACGTCAGCTCAACACACCTCTCCTCGCTCTCACGCATCAATGTTGGCTCGTTGTCCATGATGTCTTGACGTATCTGATCCAGCCTCTTCAGCGCCTCGGGGAACTTGTCTTGCCTGCGCAGACACATCACCAGGTGTAGCTCCAGGTGAAGTCGCTGCTCCACTGGGACGATCTCCGGGTCGCATGAGTTTACGACATATCGCAGGAATGCCTCTCGTTCGTCGTTCAGCCGTAGAGAGTCGAGTATGTCCGCGTACGTGCCTGTCATCCGCACAAAGGATTCGATATCGAACGGGTATAGGTATCCCCTGAACTGGTGCCACGCCGCCTCGGCCGCGAGCTTGCAGATTTGCCGGCTCGTCTCGACGTCGGCGAGCTTGAGGTCCCTGCATATCAATGTGATCGGGTGGTTGGAGCCCAGCACTACCCTGCTGAGGTCGTGGAGGTACGACACCAGTATTTGCATGATGTCCGGCTTCTTGAACCAAAGGCACAAGGACATTATCTGCATGAATACGACAACGAATTGGGGATCTTTGTCAAGTAGACCTGGCCGAATCAAGTCGAACGCTCCGTCCAGTGACTTGAACGCGACCTTGTCAAGGCCTACGACGAGGCTGAGGTTGGCGAGCGTCTCCTCGAAGGCCATTCGACATCGATGCACCGGCCCCTCGTGCTTCAGGTCGACAACGACACCGTCCACCTTGGTGGTCTCGAACGTCCCAAGGACGTAGCCCCTGCTGTGCAGTAGAATACTCTCGGGAATTCGAATGCTGTCGGGCGGGCTGATCTGCGGCGTCAGGGGCGCAGTGCCAGGGGCGAACTCCCACGGCGACAAGGGGCCGGGCGTTAGTAGCTCCCAACCTGGGCTCAGAGTTGCGCTACCCTGTGTTTTGGACTCGTTCTTCAGAGCTCTCCGGGCGACGGTGGCCCTCCTCTGCATGGCCTGCTGCAACCTGTCGGCACGGATGAGGCGGTCGCCCACCTTGTAGAACTCTGGGCCCGATGCATCGCCGCCTGCCGAGTCGTCCTTCTTCACGATGGTGGTGATGTCGCTGGCCCTGACATTCTTGGAAATACGCCACTTTGTCAAGCGGTCCTTGTACATCTTTGCCCTGCAATATGCAATCAGCATAACTGACTGGGCAGACGCGTCTGTGGCAGGGGTGGCTGCACTCACGTGGCACGGAAGCCGTACGTCTTGTCCATGAAGAAGATGAGCTCCTTGAGCTTCATGTTTTCGTCCCGGTAATGCTGGGTGATGATGGGGCGGAACTTGATCCAGTCGTCAGGCGTCGCCCATGCCCCGACCGGTTGTTGTGATGCCGGGACCAGGCTGGACGCCGGACTTGCTGGTGGTGTCGCCATCTTCATGTCCTTTTCGTTCCCCTCTCAGGGGGTATACAAGTCTTCTGCGATGTGTTGTTCCTTGGAGTCAACAAGCGTAGGACCCGGGTTGTGCTAGAGATTCTGCTCCCGGGTAAGTGCGTTCGAAGGCGAGGTCGGGAACAGTATCTCAGGGCGAAAGAGCGTCATCCCCTTGATTTTCTCTTCATCTCCACGAGTGGTAAATGGATAATGAGCCGCAGCTGAGACAAAGGACGCAGGAGTCACCGTTGGAATTCGGAAGAGCGTCTAGGTCAGCTTAGACGCTATCGCTTGGCGCTGTCTACTTAATAAGTGCTGCTGCGCTAGCCAGGATGTGGGGAGCCATCTGAATTGGGATTCAAAGCAGCTGGGACTGGTGACCATGTGGCCTTAATGAGATTAAGGCCTCGAGATGGTTATGGGTGAATGGCAGGTGATGTATCATGCAATGGGGACTGTCTCTGCTATATGGCGACACAGATGCGACATCTTTGTGCACTTGGGGGCAGTCTGCTCGCCTGTGCGATGCTCCAGCTGGGGCGACTGCTACACTCCCTGATTCCCTGCTGTGCCCACGGCCCGCAGAGGAAGATGGCTGTCAGTGGCTCCTCCTCTCACGCCCAAGCTTTCGGGATCTAGGCAGGCCACTGCTAGTCCACCTGGGTCTGTGTAGACATGGGCCATGCATTCTGAGCCGGGGGGAACTGCTCCCATCCCACATCTGGAGCGCTAAACCATCTTCAAGGGCGCAGGGTGCAGGCGGGAATCCTCCAGGCTCGGTTGGACCAACCGCAGGCTGTCGTGCATGACCGCGCAGGGTCAGCACCCATCCTTCCTCAGCACACGCGTTGCGGTTCATAGGGCTTCCGTGTTCGCCGATAGGAGCATGCTCTGCGCAGGCCCACCGGTTCATTCAGTCACTTGATTGGAACATGATTGTTGTTTGCAGCTGTTTTTCTTGTCCAGGGCCAGCCAGCATGGGTTAGAGGGCAATCCTGTCTCCAGTCTACTGTAATTCCCGCTGACATTGGATGGCATATTACGTGTATAAGCCGCCAGAGCTGGATTTAGAACACGCAAATGCTTGATTCAGAGTGTGTTCCCTAACAGGCGCGAGAAGGATCATGGGTCTGTGGGTTCGTGCAACCATGCACAAGCCCGAGCCTCAAAGCGAATATCGACGACCTGTTCGGCTAGCTATTTGTCCGTGTACTTACATGTCGCCGAAGCTGTAGCGCTGGTCGAGTCAGCTGGTCAGTTCCAGCTTATTTTGCCCAAAGGATGCAGATGGAAGAAGCATCGTGCATCGCAAGCCTTAAGCCCCCAGTCCAGCACACACACAGGCGGCTCTCGGATGAAATACGCTTCATGACAGCCGAGCCGTGCTCGTCTGGGTCCGCAAGCGCTCACAGATCAGCTTTGGCAGGTTCTCCGGCCCAGACTCTCCGGATCAACTCCCTCACTGGTTCTCTCTCTATTTCACGCGGATTCCAGTACGGGTTACTGACTGCAATGTCGGCAGCTTTGTCAACGTCCTCCTCCTTCAGTCCAAAGTCCTTCAGGCCCCTCTTCACCTTCAGCTTCTCCAGCAGGATGTTCAGTCCCTGGATCGCGTCGCCGTTGCTGCCCGGCAGCGCCTCGGCTAGCTTCGCCATCGCGTCTGGGACCCGAGGGGCATTGTACGCCAGGGCGTGAGGCAGCACGGCGGTGTGCGTCTCTGCATGGGGCAGGCCGAAGCTGCCGCCGAGGGTGTGGCAGAGCTTGTGGTGCAGCGACATGCCAACGCTGCCAAGGCACGTACCGCAGAGCCAGGCGCCATACAGGGCCTTGGACCTCGCCTCCAGGTCAGAAGGGTTGGCGACGATGGCGGGCAGGGAGGAGGCGAGCGCCTTGGTGCCCTCGGCGGCGAGCAGGTTGATGATAGGGTTGGTGTTGCGGGCGTAGAGGGCCTCGACGGCGTGTGCAATGGCATTGACACCGCTGACGGCGCTCATGCCGGCGGGCAGCGTCATGGTCAGGTCCACGTCGTAGATGACGGTTCCCGGCAGGATCTTGGGGTCGGAGCGCGTCTTCTTGGCGCCGTCCGCCGTCTCACCCAGGATGGGCGTCATCTCGCTGCCCGCGTACGTCGTCGGGATGCAGATGTGCGGTAGCCCCGTCCGGATGCTTATCGCCTTGCCCAGGCCGATGGTGGAGCCGCCGCCGATGGAGACGACGCAGTCTGCCTCCACGGATTGGGCGTGCTTGAGGGCTTCGTCGGTTACGCTGGTGGGCGTGTGCATCGTGGCTCTGCTGAAGACGCCGGCGACGTTCCCGCCCAGCACGGCCTTGAGATCTTCACCTTGGCCGACCTGCTCCGGGGTGGTGAGCAGCAGCGGCCGCGAGAGCTTCTGGCGTTCCAGCTCGGCGGGCAGCTTCTTGATGGTACCGCTGCCAAAGATCACCCTGCCGGGGTTGGCATTATACTCGAACTCTGCCATGTCCGCGGGCTGAGAGAGTGCTAGCAGCTGTGTGGGCTATTTCGTTGCGTAAGTGCCCAGGTGGGTGGGTGTGCATTGGAGAGGGATATGGACGATACCACGGTCAGGCAGATGATGTGGATCGCGTGTGGTGTATGAACTGGGAATCAACACAAAATAGTAAATATTACTTTCAGTCTCAGCATCGTCATCCAGACGAGTTTCTACTTCGGCTTTAGAGGTCGGTCTCCCCTCCAGTTCGACGCCCATAAAGGGTCCTCCCTTCCCCTCAACTCCCCTCCGCTTCCTCTCCACATCACCAGCTCGTGCTCCGCTCTACTCCGCTCAGGGTTTCCCGGGCCGCTAGAAATCCCCATGAATCCGGCGCGGCATTTCCTGAAGGGAACTCCAGGCCGCCGGTCGATTTGTCAAGTCCCGGTCTCTCCACATTCCGCGGGATTACCATGCCCCGCCAGAGCTCAAACAGCGTGGACAGAAGTTGGAGGGACCGCTGCCTGGAGTTTTCAACGAGCCTGAACTCTAGTGTGGCCGTTTTAGTCCACGGTCCATTTGAAGAGATAATTCTTTTCCATCTTCTTTATGTTTGACGTTTTATCCTTTTCAGTGCAAATTGATCCAACCTTTAAATGTTTGATCTATCTACAGATAATGCATGTCTTGGAATTGATCAGTCTCCAGAGCTACGTGATGTGGACGCCTTAGCAATGAAGACGGAAATACGGGAATAGAGCTGTCAAGACTGGGCATATGTGGAGTTAGGGGCAAATGTTGCTTTTCAGGTTCTAAATCCCAGTGCTGGGCCATTTTGCTTCAGTCCGCTGACTTCTGCTCTTCGACAAAAAATACCATGAGCACATCGCATCTTCGACATCCTGCTCAAAGATGCGTCGGCCTTTGGGTTTGTTTGCTCAGGCCGTCATGGTTATGCAAATTCAGCTCTCATTGCTTGCACGGGCCGTTCGTCACGGTAGCATGGCAGCCAAGATGGCACAGGTCGAGCCGCCGGTCTCCAGCGCCAGGTCTTGGTTGCACTAGGGGCCGGAGCCGAGGGCCCCGTGGACCTGGACGGAGGCATTGCCCAGCAAATTAGTGTGATTAGTTTTGTGGGGAGAGGTAAAGAATGTCAGCCCAAATAGTGGAGCTTACCGGCAGTAAGCAGCAGCCAAGCTGCACACGCAGTACAGCACATGTTGCGTGTGTATTGCTCTATTCGGTGACCACGATGACATCAGGCCCATGTGCCTGTAAATCAAGCCCCAGTGGGCCTCATACTGGGTTAGGGCTATATGAAACAGCAATGGAGACGCCCACGAGCCTGACCAGGCTCAGGAGCTAAAGAAATTGCCTCGGCATCTTCAAGAGCATGCTAGCTGGCTAGTGGAGCTTCGGCATCCGCGGTGTCGGGTCAAGACCAAGCAGAGAGTCATGGCGCTGCTTCATCAACACATGCTCTCCGCTCTTATCTTCCCCTCGACCTCCAGCACTGAGCTGTGAGAGGCTTGCAAAGGGCTCCAGTGTTCTTTTCGCTGTATACCATGAGCCAAAAGACAGTCCTGATCACGGGGTGAGTCGAGCAACATCATATCCAGCGAGCCCGGAGAACCGCTGGCACATAATATTGGCCATTGACCTGACCTCGCATTGCCGCAGCTGTACACCCGGAGGCATTGGTCACGAACTGTGCGAAGCATTTCGTGCTCGAGGTACGTCAACGACCATGCATCTCAAGTGCTCACGCAGACGGAGTCGAGAACCTGACGACTACGACGCCGACAACCACAGGCCTGCATGTAATCGCAACTGCCCGGAACCCCTCAGTCCTGGCAGATCTCAACGACAAGCCCGGCTACACTTGTCTGCCACTCGATGTAACCAGCCAGAGTAGCATCGACCAGTGCAAGGATGAAGTTGCCAAGTTGACGGGAGGGAAGCTCGACATCCTCGTCAACAATGCCGGCAGGACGCATACGGTACCGGCCACGGACCTAGACATCGACGACGTCCGCGCCACCTTCGAGGCCAACGTCTTCGGCGTCATGGCCATGGTCAAGGCGTTCGCACACCTACTGATCCCAACCAAGGGACTCATTATCAACTTCTCCTCGGTCGCCTCCATCTCACCATACCCATTCGGATCCGCCTATTGCGCCAGCAAGGGTGCCGTCAACAGCTACTCGCGCACCATGCGCCAGGAGCTGCGGCCTTTCGGTGTCAGGGTCATGGTCGCACTGCCAGGCACAGTCAATACAAACATCACAGTACAGACGGACCGGCAGCTGCCACCCGACAGCCTCTACAAGTCCGTTGAAGACGTGTACAAGTGGCGGCTTACCTTCAGCAAGCGGTCCCCGGGCTCCATTCCGCCGGCAAGCTATGCGAGGAAGCTAGTGGCCGATACGCTGAAGCCAGAGGCGCCCGTGATCCTGCGCGGGCTGCTAGGGGCTCTTGGGCTCTGCAGGCCGGACTGGCATTACTATGGCGGTATGGCCAGGCCCGCGTGGCTGGGGACGTACGTTGGGGAGTGGCTGATGGACACCGTGGTCTACCGCATGTTCAAACTGCCACTTCTGGAGGTGCTGTTGAGGCAAAAGGAGGCTCAGGCTAAGAAACTTAAGTAGATAGTTCGGCCCTAAAGCTTCCGTTCGCGCCAGTCTATCGTTAAGAATAGTGTGAGGCTCTGTGTTTGAAGCCATGGTGCGAGCCAGGTTGACATCTACTGGTCTGGTACTGGTCTGGTTAATGTCTGATCCCTCATATTATGTTGGAGAAGTCCAAAGGAGAGAGCGAGAAGGTGACATCTGACATGAACCCCTGTGTAACAGACTCCACCCACAGGAAGGTCGGGCCGCTTCTGCAAGTCCCAAAGGTGCTGACGCCCGCCGTCGCTTGTTCTCAATACCGTGTGAAATTCACAGCTGGACGGACCCATATTAATCTAGCCAGACTGTTAAGCTTTTTCCGTGCTCGGCTTCCTCCGGTCTAAGTCACCACATCCTGGCCTCGCACGATTTTCATACGTTCTCCCATTGCTGATTCTTTTACGTGATGGGAGGCTCCACTGCGCTTCTATCACCTATTACAGCCGAAGACCTGCGAGTATGTGCCTTGCTGGGAAATTTAGGGACTGGCAGGAAGAAATCGATACGGGTCCCGTCATTCACCCTCAGAATCGCGACATCGACCTCTCTGCCCTGAGTCGCCACTGAGCCAACGTTACCTTGGGTGGTAAAGTGAGACAATCACCTGACGAGGGAGAAGCAAAATGATTTATTAATTGAAAGCCTCTTTAATTCACGACTCGTCTTCGTATCGCGATTTGAGAGTCACTGCGGCTGTTTTTAAGTTCGCGCAACAATGCCCGACCAAGACGCGAACGAGGCTTCCTCGGCCAAATTGAATCCGGCAGTGTCCAAAGCTCCACTCGTCCGCGATGTAACGGAGGAGATTGACACGGCCGCAGACGACAAGACAACAGAGGCATTTCCTGACGAAATAGACGGCAAAGGTTCCAACGCCGCAGTTGTTGATGACGATGTCGAATATGTGCACGGCCACCCCGTCATTCGCAATGGTATGTGAACGCACCAACTCACATACGGCAACTCTGACAAATCTGCGTAGGCATGGATGTGTCTAGGTTCGTCGTGTCGGATCGCGACGATGGCGATCCTGCATTGACTTTTCGGTCCATCATTTTGGGAACAATATTCACCGCCTTATCCAGTGTCATTACGATGCTGTATGTCTTCAAGCCGACCCAGATGCAAGTCTCGGCAGTCTTCTTGCAGCGTAGGATCCCTTCCAACCAATTTGTTGAGTATTAATCAGTTGCTAATGTTTGGCAGTTCTGGTTTTTATCTTCGGCGAAGCATGGGCGCTGGGAACCCCTAGTCCGGAGCGGTTCAAGTGGAAATGGGTGCAGACGATTCTTCGTTTCCTCAACTTCGGCCAGCCCTTTGGTATCAAGGAACATGTCGTGGCATCCCTTATTGCATCCTCTGGCAACAACGGCCTGTCGGGCGTGGAAATCTACGCCGTGGAGAGGTTGTTCTACGACCGAGCCGTCTCTGCCTCTACCGCGGTCTTGGCGACATTCTCGATCTCACTCTGCGGATTCGTTTTGGCAGGGGTGCTGAGGCCGCTGATTGTTTACCCTGCAGAGATGGTATATTGGTCAACGTTACCACAGGTAGTGCTCTTTCAGAACCTGCACTTTGACCGCATCGCCAACAAGGGCCGCCTTATCAAGTTTGGAACCGCCCTTGCCTTTGCTGCTGTGTGGGAGATCTTCCCAGCCTACATCATAACTTGGTTTGGAGGCATTTCAATTTTCTGCCTGGCTTCGATGAACGCCCCTGAACATACCCGGACCGTCATGTCCACCATCTTCGGAGGAGCCTCTTCGAACGAGGGGATGGGCCTGTTGAACTTTTCTCTCGACTGGCAGTATATTCAGAGCACATACCTATCTCTGCCGTTCAAGCAACAGCTGAACTCGTGGATTGGCTATGCAATCTGGTATGTCGCAATGCCTGCACTATTTTACAGCAATACTTGGGGGGCGAAGACTTTTCCCTTCATGTCGACGTCCTTATTCGCGAGCAACGGCACCAGGTGGCAAACCACAGCAATCTTGGATGACCAAGGGACCATAGATTTTGACAAGTTGGATGCGATAGGCCTGCCGCACTTGACGTCCAGTACGGTCTGGGGCTATTTCACCTCGAGTCTGGCAATAGGTGCACTGATCACCCATGTCATTATCTTTTATGGCAAAGACATGACCGAAGCTTGGAAACAAGCTCGCAGCAGGACCCAGCCAGATATTCATTATCAAGGCATGTTGAAGTACAAGGAGGTGCCCATGTGGTGGTACCTGGCTCTTTTCGTCCTGACCTTCATCGCGGGGCTGGTGGTGAACATCAAGGGCGAGACCACGCTGCCTGCGTGGGGCTACATCGTTTCTCTCCTTCTCGGCGCTTTCATCGCGCCCTTCTCCTGTGTTCTTTACGGGTTGTACGGGACAGGAGTCGGGACCAACCAGATCTCCAAGATGGTCGCAGGCGTCGTGCACCCTGGAAGGCCTCTTGCCAACCTCTACTTCGCCAGTTGGTCACACCAGGTCATCCTTCTGGCCGTCAATCTCAGCAATTGGCTCAAAGTGGGCCAATACACAAAGGTGCCCCATCGGGTCATGTTTGGCACCCAGATCTACGGGACCCTCCTCGGAGCTGCTCTCAACTACGTCGTCATGACCACGATCGTAACCAACGAGCGCGAAGTTCTCCTCGACCCGGTAGGCACCAACGTCTGGAGCGGCTCCACCATACAGAGCCTTAACTCACAGGCCATCACATGGGCTCTGGCAAAGGACATGTACGGCCTGGCAGGACGCTACGTGATCGTGCCCCTAGGCCTGCTCATCGGCGCCGCCCTCCCGGTACTGCACTGGGGAGTGATCAGACTGTTCCCTCGTGTGCGCGAGTGGCCGATCAACACCACCATCATCTGCGCGTTTGCCGGGCAGGTGTACTATGGCAACACGTCGTGGATCTGGTCCTCCATCGCCGTCGGCGTCTTCTCGCAGCTCTACCTACGCCGCCGGCTCCCGAGGATCTACAACAAGTACAACTATCTGATTGGCGCAGCACTAGACGGGGGCTCGCAGGTGGTCATCTTCATCCTCTCCTTTGCCGTCTTTGGCGCGAGTGGGACAGAGCGTCCGTTCCCGAGTTGGTGGGGGAATCCTTCCGATACCAATCCTGACCACTGCTTGTAGTTTGCATGCAACGCAAGACGGCATAGCCTTTGCTTACGTTCGTACCGTATATAGGGATGAACAATAGAAATCACTGCTTACCATGCGTACTTCTCATTCGTTTGATACTCCGACTTAGTAACCCGAAACTTCCGGACGTGCATAGATCGTGATGGCCCGGAAGCTTAATCACGCCGATGAGCCGCTTAATCGGAGTACGTGAGGCTGATTTCTGTGATACACACATACCTGTGTAGTCTACATACCTCGGGTAGGTAATTTCGGACTCCCCGCCAAGAATTTCGCTGCCTGAGTGGGTAATGTTGATGTTTAGCCTCGCAAATTCCTACCTTGGCTTGGCACGAACGAGAAGCGTTTAGCTGGGTACTAATTGAACTTCCACTTGTAAGCTTTGTGTAACCGGAGAGTACAGAGCAAGTGTCCTTTGAAATATTACCCGCGTGCGGCTAGGGGTGATGCTAATGTGATTATCAGGAGATTAACGGACACTTCTGACATCCCAGCGCAGTAAAAGCCACTCCACTACGGACCGGATAAGATGAACTGGCACCATGGAATACCCCAACGTAACACCTGCAATCTATCCACAGAGAGTCGAGGAGCGCCCGATAATGATTTACAAAGTCAGTGCAATTTGGATTGATTTTGCGGCATTGTGAACGTGCTATGTGGACTGGCCCTTGGCAAGCAGCTCGCATACTTCAGCGTAGAACAGGAAGAGTCGGATTTATGTGGTCTTGCTCCGTGGTGGCCCCCGCGGTGACAGCCGCGGGACAGGTTACGAAGTCAAAGTTGCAGCCGAAGTTAAATCAGCTGGTTAGTCCAACGGATTTAGGACTCGGGAATCGGTTGCGGACCCACCTCCCGGTGGACGTGGGGATATCTGTGGCATTGAGTCTAAATGGGCAACCCTGAACACTCAATGCAAGACTCTGCGAGAGGCTGTTGTCCCGTGGGGAAAGACGTGCTAGTTGCCCCAGATCTCGCGTCGCGTTTAACGTCGCATCCCGCAACGATGTCCCGACCTGCGGGGAACTCGAAGTCACCAGACGCCCACCCATCAATGACTGTGGACTCCGCGGTCGACTTTTCCCCCGACCCCGACATCACCGTGATTAGGACCTCAAAGTGGATTTGTATACATAACAAGCATCATCACGCACTTGGCCTTGCGCTTAGCCTGAGCCAGGTCGACTAGAAAAGACTCGCTCACGCAGCCAGGCGAAGGAGTTCAGAGTCAGAATCCAAAGCTATCATAAAACTGCTGCCTCCATATATTGCAAGAGCCAGGATGGGTTCCGGTATGAGCAGGATGGTCCTAGGTGCTTAAAAGTCCCGAGCTCGACTCACTAACAGATTCCACAGTCACACCTCAACAGTTCGAGGAATACCCTCCAAAGTGCAGCCTACAGAAAGACATCTACCGTCCATTTCCCCCGCTGCCAGATAAATTGCCAGCACCAGCCGATGTAGACGGCGCCGCTCTCGTCACCAAGGCTCTCCAGTCCCTCAAAGATGCACTCGAGGCTGAGGATATTTCGCAACTCAAAGCCCTTTTCCTTAGCAGTCAAGCCTACTGGCGTGATCTTCTATCTTTCACGTTCCACATCAGAACACTCAACGACGGACCTGTCATAGCCACGGCTCTGAAAAAGCTGGTCGGGGAGCGAGGCCTTGTCGGTGGCTTCAAATTCGTTCCAGGCTCTGTGCACGACGTGTCGCCTACCCCGACTCTCAGATGGATTCAAGGTTCCTTCACCTTTGAGACGGCAAGCCCCAAGGCAAAGGGTGAAGGTTCAGTCCAGTTGTTCCCAGAGCTGGGATCGGATGGCCAGATCAGTTGGAAGTTATGGATCCTGACCACCTGGTTGGAGGACTATGCGGACTGGCCAGAAAACACACACCTCCTCACGGCCCCAGGGAGGAATTTACAAGACGTCGAGCACATCGACACCGACGTCCTGATCGTCGGCGGTGGCAATGCGTAAGTGTAACGACAAATCATGGGGTATTCATGGTGCATTTACATTCTTACTGACCTGCCTGCCAGTGGTCTCATCGCAGCTGCCAGACTCAAGGCTCTTGGCGTCGAGAGCGTAGTTGTTGACAGGCTAGCTCGACCGGGGGACAACTGGGCCACTCGCTACGATAGTCTTCGCTTCCACATTGGGAAGGGAAATTGTCACCCTCCATTTCTGCGTAAGTCCGCTCGCATACTATGCAGGGAGTCCAGGTGGAGTCGGCCATTTTCTCTGACCCTTCTCATAGCATATCCCGACGATCTCCCACTGATTCTCACACGAGAGATGCTATCCAGCCACATGAGGGAGTATGCCGACAAGTTCAAGCTTAATATCCTCCACTCCTCGACTATGGTGGGCAGCTCTTTCAGCAAGAACAAGGGCGTCTGGAATGCCAAGATCCGGACGCCTTTTGGCATGAAGACGCTCAGAGCGAAGCAACTTGTCCAGGCCACTGGGGTCGGCTGCGATCACCCATACATCCCAAATATTCCTGGAAAGGAGCTGTACAAGGGGGTTATCAACTTCCACTCGAAAGAGTACAAGAACCCGAGACAGTTGCTGGACAAGGGTGCCAAGGTCAGTGTCTCTCTCTTGATGCGGATCACCAGACGATGAGCTAACCTCATATATAGTCAGTCATAATTGTCGGCTCTGCCAACTCAGCCTTTGACCTGATGGAGGACTGTGCAGCGGCAGGCCTCAAGACCACCATGATCGCCCGCAGTCCAACGTTCATCTTCCCCTGGGACTACGCACTGTTCCCCGAGGGCCTTGGCCTGTATGAGCGGGTCCCTGCGCATGTTGCTGACAAAGTTCTCATGTCAGGCCCTGCAGCAGTCGGTGGGCAACTTGTCAGGGGCTCGTATGCGGCAGTGGCTTCGACAAAGGACAAGGACCGGTACAAGCTCCTGCTGGAGAAGGGATTCCCGGTGTACGACTCGGCCCAAGGGGGCGACCTAGTACATCACCTGATGGAAGCGGGCGGCAAGCACTTCAATGACATTGGCGAGGGTATCCGGTATATCGTCGAGGGTAAGGTCGCCGTGAGGGGGCTAGTCGAGCCAGTAGCATATACAGAGACAGGGCTCAAGCTCAGCGACGGCTCCACGGTCGACGCAGACTCAATCATCTGGGCCACTGGGTTCGCCTCAGACAAGGAGCGCAGTACAACGGCTGAGGTCCTAGGCAACGAGATATTCCTTGGGGATGACGGTGGTGACGCAAAGAGCGTGCTTGGGCCACAGGATGTGGCTGCTTTGAGGGACGGAATCTGGGGCGTTGACAAGGAGGGTGAGCTTCGTGGCATGTTCACGAGGCACTACCGCGTGCCCAACTATTACATCCATGGGGGCACGACTGCGCACCACCGGTATCACTCCAAGCACGTTGCTCTTTTGATCAAGGCCGATCTCGAGGGTGTTCTGCCCGAAGCGTACCGGGACACGCCTGAGCCTGTGTGAGCAGAAGTGTCTGGCTATAACGCACTGAAGAGGGCGGTCGAGGTCATTCTGGATAGGGGTTGCAGAGCACTGCCACACTTGCCAACAATTATGCCAGTCATGATACATTCAGAGCTATTTCACCACTGTCATGTGGCGTGTGCCAACGTTGAAAGAGTGGATTTCAAATCAAGGTGCAAAGGCTTCTTGTGTGCGTGTTCCTTCTGTCATATTATTGTCGCCTTTTACCATATCTACGTTATGTTGATATAAGCGCAAGAATTTGCGTCAGAACGATCCATCGTTTCTAGTGAGAAGATTGCCGGCTCTTGAACGCAATACTTTTCCTGGTAGTCTTGGTGTACGCTTGCTGACACACGCGTCTTCATGATTTACCACGCCTCCCATTTCTGTCCACCCATGGCAACAAGTCGGTTAAATAGCTCGTCTCTCAGCGGGCATGCCGTGACCTTCACCGTATCCCCTTGGCTCGTCACGATTTCCAGTCCATCCGCAATCTCCTTGCCCATCGACCACCCTACCACCAGCTTCGCCTTCCATCCATACCCGCCGATCTTCTTTAGCTCCACAATATCCGCCACCGCAATGCTCCAGGCAGGATGGACGTGCTCTGCTTCGATCTTTTCCAAGTCAGACTTGACATCCGTACTGAACGCTACGACGGGTATTGTCGCCTTGGTCGAGATGTACACGCGCCCCTTGTGGCCCTTGTGGCGTGCCTGGAATTCCACTGGGCCGTCAATGTGCTGATGACGTGGTATTACGCCCAGACGGTCTTTCGCTTTGCCAGACCCTGCCTTGGCCTTGATCGTATCTGTGCCAATGGCAGTTTTGACTGCGCCTTTGGTTGTGCCCTTGAAAAAATTAAGGAGTCTGCTCCCTTTGCCACCGTGCTTGCTGGATTTGGAGTCATCAATGTCTTTACCGTCTGTCTCCTGTGCCGTAGCTGGGTCTTTCCGCATGGCATCGTTGATCTCAGACTGAGTCGCCCCGAGTGGAGCATCACCGTCTGTGGCTTGCAAGTCCTCGGACGTGACCGCGACGGGATGCTCAGGGGTTGCCTCGGTCACGGTTCGAGGCGGTGGGAGAGGAGCCTTGTTCGCCTCGCCAATTCGCAAGAGTGTGATGGTGAGTTGTGCGTTGGTCGGGACACCCTTGAGGACAGTGTTGCGCAGCTCGAGGAGCTTCTGCCAGTTGGGGAACCTGCGGTCGAGGAGTTCCAGCCCTCGCGCAATGACAGGGTCACCGAAGAAACCGAATCCGATAGCGAAGGTCATGCCCTTGGTGAACATGTACGAGCTGACAAAGGACGAAACGAGCAACAGTGGAGTGACAACAAGTGCCAGACGAAGCCGATATGCATTCCGGGGGAATGGAGCTGTAGGACTCAAAGCGTTGCCAAATCGCTCCCAAGTGTCAGCTACATCGGCCAGGGCATGCATAATAGGCCTCATCTTGGTCCACATGGCCGTTTCCACGGGCACTTTGGTCTTGTCATGCTTAGACCCGGCCTCTTGCTTCGTTCCTGCGGCCACATTCCTTGCCTCCGCGGTACTGGCTGCGATTGCTGATGGGTCAGGGACTGAGTCGCCAGGCCCTTCATCGTCAACCGTGTCCCCCGGATGTTTGCCAGTTGCACTGCTCAGGGCCACAGATGCTATGCCACTGACGAAGTTGCTTGCCTCCTGCTCGACTGCCTCGCCCTTGTGCTTCTCCGGTGCTCCCGTTGCGCTGTCGTGGCTTCCCAGCACACCCGCTTTGGGTTTCTGTACACCTCCTGATTTCCCATCAACAAGCGCTAACGGTGCAGGTGGGAACATAATTTGTCGAGAAGGCGGATACGCAATGAGTACAATCATGGTTAATGACAATAGCGGGACGATGAGATCGAGGAGCCAGGCAGCAAAGTAGGCAGTTGCAAAGCACACGGTCCGTCTCCTCTCCCTCCAGGACCTAATCCGGGCAACATGCTTGACAGCAGCCAGTGACTGTATGATGACTGTCATGTACAGCCTCTCGAGGTTTGCGCGCAGCTTATCGGGAGAAAACTCCTCGTCATCGGCGATGTTCAGGTCGAGGCCGCCTGGGACGGGATTGGGGACAGACTTGACATGGTACATTTGCTTGTCGAAGCGCCTGATGAGCAGCCACAGCTCTTCGTTGTCCATGCCGCCGACCAAAGGCTGGGAAATCTCCTGTTTCTTCTGACTCCATCCCAAGTCGAGCACCTCATCCTCGTGGGCTTGCTGTGCAAGGCCTTTCTCTTCAGGGTCAGTTGTTGCCAGTTCGTGGGATAGAGATGGACCCTCGGTTAGAGTGTTTGATGCTTCTGTCTTGTCGGGGTTGCTGACGGGCTGAGTATCTGCTGGAATAGGCAGGAGGTCCGTAATGGCGGTTCCAGGCCCAGTGTCCCCGGTGATGGGATTCTGTGCTGGTATATCCTTTTCTTTGCTCTCAGCCATGTTGTGATGTCTGTCTCCCTCTAGGATCTGATAAGGCCAGTGCTGATCTGGGGATGTTCGTAGTGCTCTTGCTCGTCAATAACCAGTGACAATGTTAACATACTATGAACGAGAAATCTTGCGTTTGCTTTGGAAATAACAACAAGGGGATTTTCTTTTTGGCACTTTGAGCTGTGCTGTAGATAGGGAGCCTCTTTCCTTGGTCAAAGCAGACGCAGCTTCAGCTCTTGTTGAGGCCGCAAATGACGTCGTGGCGTTTTGGCACGCGGCTTGTGACGCCAACATTGGCACTAGTCTCATTCAATGAGCGCGATCTAGCGGTTCTAGTTATTTTTTGGGTTCTAGTCCTCTGCTAAGACCCACTTCTTGTCTTTATGTACATTTATGCTTCATTGAGACGTTGGTATTTGGTGACAGAATGATTACGTCTCGACGGAATCTGCTTTACAGTCTGGAGATTCTATCTGGTAGAATTGCGACATTTGAAGACCCACGCCCAGAAGCTTAAGTTGTAAGTGCCCGTCGTTACCTGACTTTCCCCCCATTCGGGCCTTTTCATAGAAACTTGTACGCCCGATGAACATCAGGCCTGCTTGTGAAACGCAATTCTGCACCTCCATTGACGGCTTTGCCTGCGGATGTAGGATGGTGTGTAGCTTACATTGATATACACATATTGCATGACGAAATAAAGCTAGGCTATGATGATCCATCTATTTATTTCCATTGGCTGATAGCGAATGTAAAGGAAGGTCCCGGTGCTCAAACGTGATGTAACGTTCCTTCAAACAGTCGGAGATGGTGGTAACCGATAGATATGTTCTTGAAAGAGTGAAGTGTTTGTTGACAAGCCTCGAACTACATTACAAAATGCAATGCCAAGTCCGCCCTTGAGCCCGAGTGTTGAACAAGACTGCATGGCTCACGTAACACCAGGTGGCTAGAACTTCAGTGAGAGATACCCATTTGACATTTGATAGAATGTTAAACAGTTTGCCCTGCCTTGGCCGATGCCAGAGATTACCAACATTGGTCAAATTGAGACTCTGGGTCTGCCATAATGGCCATATATCAATTGTAGAAAGTTCAGAATTCCATTTGTCCCATATCTGCAGAAAAGTTCGCGGCAGAATCATATATACAGTATGAATCCATTCGTAAAAAGGCTGGTTGGCTGGCCTCTCCTCATCTCATCAACCCATCGCAGAACTTTCCATATAGACATATTTCCTTTCGTCAAACGTAGGCGCGATGCTCTTAGTCGCAGTCACCCCGGACGCCATCAGCTGAGGCGTAGCATGTGCCCTTGCCGTCGACACAGGCGAAGCCTTCCTTGGCAACCGTCTGGCAGTGCGCCTCCCACTGGTCACCGTCGAGGGCCTTGCCAGACTTGGACACACAACGGCCCGCCGCCGAGTCGTATGAGACTTCGGTGCCGTAGGCGTCACAGGCGGGGGAAGAGATGCGCCAGTTGTAGCCGCCGTTGTTGCAGACACAGCTGGAGTGCATGTCGGCCATGCTGTAGGGGTTGTCAGCGGTCAGCCGGGTTGTAGATGACACAAGCATCAGAAGGGACTTACACAGCGCCGGCGAAGACAGCGAGAAAGGTGAGAGTCAACTTCATTTTGGTGGTGGTAAAATATCAGGTATGTACGACTCGGGGGGCTTTATTTTCTTGGCGGACGACAAGTGAAGGTGTGGCTTGCTGCTGAAGGAATGGAATAGTGAATCAACACTTGGAGGAAACGAAAGAATATCGACACTGAAGAATCGTGGGAGAAGAGACTGCGTGATGAGATGGCTTGGTTGGGAGTTGGATTTAGACACCGAGATTGTGGATGGCGATTAGAGTCGTCTTTTATGTCTTGATGAACGGGTTCCTGGCATGATCCGGTCCCATACAAGGCGGTCCCCACAGGCGACTCATGGCCCCTGTAAGGCTGGCAGGATAACCTTCTCCAGCCCTCACCTGTAATTTGATACCGTGGAGAAGGGACGCCCATATCGGGTATGATGTCTGCACGTGTGAGAGTCCCTCGCTTCCCGCGTCCGCGTGATCCGCACCGCCGGGCTAGCTGTGGGCAGATCCCTTCGCCATTGGTCTTGTGGATCTCTTCTACCCTTCGATCCTCCCGCTATGTATGACTTACTATCGTCGGAGTGGGACTCTGCTAGATAGGGATGTTCCCTCGTGGCAAACAGACGCAAGGACTGGGCTTCTAACGTTGACCATTGGCCTCCACGTTGTTTAACACGGCGATAGTCAACAACAAGCATTCTAGAGCAATCTTATTCCGGCATGGTCGGCGTGCATGCAGGTCACGCAAGCCTCCCTGCTGCCCTACAGGGCAAGTCCGAATTTAGAATGATTCGCCATTGTTGTTTATGCTTAGACAGGGGAGCTCAGGGCATAGCCTATTTTTATGTCTCTGTAGACCACCTCACCCCACATGTGTTTCATGTCTTCCTGCCTGTTCCCACGGTAGCTGACCAGGACTTCCGGTCTTCTCTCTCTCACCGTACACACAGCCACAGGGGCAGCGAGTCATGACGCGGTGCTCTCTTCCCCATGTAGTTTGGATGGCACTCTGCTTTTGTCATGTATCAAACGCGTGGGAGGTCCTGCCAAGGCGTACACTCTTTTTATCCGGGCAAGAACAGTGACGGGGCCGAATCACCTGCCCAGGTGAGCCCGGACAGCCCTTTGGCAGATCTCGAAGTTTACTGCAAATCTGTGCAGGGCAAACGTGTCTCAAGCTCTTGCTTAAACGTGGACTTCGGACGAACCTCGACAGTGCGGGAAGCTTAATTGCATCCGGATCCAAGATATGCTATACTGGGGTGTGAGGCTTGGCTGTTCCCGTCCATCGCGCGGCCTCTTCCTCTTATGTCCGTGTGCTTGTCAGCCAACGGCTCACTCCCATCACATTTCCTTTGCGCATTTGTTATTTTCACGGCTACATGGCATGAACCATCATGCATGACTGATGTCGCTCGGTTCACAATTGGCACACTTCGTATTTGCATGCCTCGTGCATGATCCAATGCAGCTTCTGCAGTTATGTCACACGGGTTCGCACCGAAAATAAGTCTCCACATAATCTCTCGCACCTCCGTCTGATCCAGCATGTCGGGGCCACACTACCTAGGCATCCCTGTCTTTACTTTGCAGACGTGTGTTCAAGGAAATCGATGCTACAGATTTCTCTGGAACATCGTGGAGACCAGAGAGCTGGGCTGAAGTGGACAATTCAAATAGTGTGAGGGGCCCAATGGAAAGGCTGATAATTCCTCCGTCTTGTTCTTGCGACAGGCCCAGGTCAAATCCTCTCATCGGTAAATTTTGCGGGACTTCTCCAGCTATGTTGGTAGTTAGTGAAATTCCTAATCACAATAAAGAGGCCGGCAACCGAGTGCAGAGGCAGGCTTTGCTCCTTCGTCAGCACAACCCGTGGTGATTTGGATCTTATTTTAGGTCAAATTATTGAAGTCTCCGATACAACCGGCACTATTCATCACATGTGGTAGATGTGCGACAGGTGCTGATATTTAGCAGTGCATCCCGGTCGAAAGTGGCTGTCACTAGCGACCCTGCCCGCCTCCTTCTCCTCCTTCTCCGCCTCTGCGGCACGTAAACATCGATGCGTGCGTAGATTCTGACCCATCTCTAGAACCACAAGTCACATTCTCACGAAATCTCATGAGACTGCGACCACCACCTTGCCCCTGGATCGCTTGCTTGCAACACGTTCATAACCCTGAAAGCCGCAGCTGTCAGCACAACCCGAGCGGTTTTCAGCAGACAACATACCTTTACAGCATCATTCATCGAATACTCCGAGTCCCGCGGGAACTTGCTGTACTCGCCATTCTCAATCCACTTTGCGACCTCTTTGGCGATTGCTCCATCGGGCCACAGAGCGAGGAGTTTGTATCTTCGAGGCACTCCCCCGAGTGCAACAGGCAACAACTTGCTTCTCACAATCGGGCCTGCTCCAACGCCGCCCACGATCGTGATGAATATTCCTATCCAACCATCATATTTAGTGGATGCAATTTTGATAGTGCCAGGAGGGTGACAGAGAACTGAGGAGAGTATGATTTCACGAATGTTTCCTGAAGCAGCTTCTAGGAACGTCAAGAGATTGGGAAGGGGAGAGTTCCGAGTGTGAAAAGGTTACTTACCATCTTTGTGCAAGTACTTGGCTGATCTCTGGAATAGCTCATCACTGCCGACACAGTCAAATATCCGGTGCACAGGATTGGATTCGAAGCTGTCGGTTAGGTGTGCCACGAGAGACTCATAAGCCTTGTAATCGATCACCTGAAATCCTATCGTTAGCAAGATCGTTTATAGTCATGCGCGTCTCTTTTGGTAGGAAAAACGCAGGACGCTCTTACCTCGTCAGCACCAAGTCCCTTCACCATCTCGGCATTCGCAGCCGAGCAGACTCCATATACGAAGGCGCCCTTTGCTTTCGCCACCTGGACGAGGACAGAACCAACTCCACCGCTGGCACCGTTAACCAGGACCCGGTCACCAGCCTTTATGCCAGCCTCTTTAAGGACAATGTAAGCTGTCTGACCCGCGATCCCCAATGCCCCTGGGGCGTCTATCGTGTCGACCCCCTTTGGCTTTACGACCACCTTGCTCGCCGGGACGTCGATGTACTCAGCCAGGCTGCCACGCCCGACTGCCACTGAAATAACATTGAGCGCACCACAGACTTCTGCGCCCAGAGACACGCCAGAATCACTTGGCACCGATGGCCCAATCTTGACCACCTCTCCTACAAAGTCCAGGCCGGGGATGGGGTTACGACGGAAGGGGACCCAGTTAGGAATATTGCCCATGAAGTTGAGATCTGCCGGGTTGAGAGCCGCATATGAAACCCTGACGAGAACGTTGCCGGCTTTGATTTTGGATGGGACTGGATAGTCAGTCTTGAGGGTCAGGGCGTCTTTTGGCTGGCCGTTTTTGGTGACGAGCCAAGCCTTCATGGTGGTGGGGATGTCGCCCGCCATGGTGGCTTAGGATTAGAGCGAAATGAGTGATATCAACTGATATAGTGAATTCTCCTGCGATGTTTGAGGTCTGGTGTCTGAGTTCTGTAATGATCTGTCTTTGTTCAATGGATGTGAATGAGGGCAAATCTGATGAATGTGGTATGCTGTGGTTGGCGACTTTGCGCTGGGCATTTGCATGTGAGGTGAAACATCAGACCTCAAACAGGGACACGGGGGCCAGACGGAGATGGAAACGGAGATGAAAACGGAGAGCGGTGGACCGTGCCCTGCTATGTCAGCGCCATATCTAGAACAACGGCCCCCCTTCTGGTGCAACCCTCTCATGGCTGGCTGCATACACTGGCCGTACAAATAGCTGTATGTGTTGATGGGCTGCTTATCAGCTGTGCCTGAGGCTATTGTCAACAGCACACCCGTCATGCTCAGCTTGATTAGATGACTCTGACACGAAGACATGATGAGCGACTTTACTATCTTTCACGGCCCTGTGATACATTCACTATCACCTACCGAGCTCGAGATCCTCGAGTCAGCCCTTCTTGCCGTCGACAGCAATGGCTGCATCGTCGCTTTCGAGAGGAATGTCGAAGTTGTTCCTGAAACCCTCCATACTCCCGCCGGGCTAGAGATCCACCTCAAAGACTGCACAGTTCAGAAGCTGCAGCGAGGATCATTCCTCATACCAGGCTTCGTCGACACGCACAATCACGCACCACAATGGGCGCAGCGGGGCCTTGGACAAGGAATGCATATTCTCGATTGGCTTGACACCGTCACTTTTCCCAGCGAGGCCAAGTTCGCCGATGCAGAGTATGCGCGTCGGATATACGGACTGTGTGTTGATGGCTTCCTCAAACAAGGCATCACGACGGCATCCTACTATGCGTCAGCGCACGGGGAGGCCACACGCATCCTGGCTGACCTGTGTTCGGAAAAGGGCCAGCGCGCACTAGTTGGAAAATGCAACATGAATAGGAACGCGCCAGATTATTATCGGGACGCCAGTGTTGAGGAAAGCCTGCGGGTAACGGAGGAATGCATCGCACACATTCGAAAGATTGATCCCAAAGGTCACTTGGTCAAGCCTGTCCTGACACCACGCTTTGCCATCACCTGTGACCCTGCTGTGCTGGATGGACTAGGCAAGATCGCGGTAAGAGAGCCTGATCTGCCGATACAGACGCATTTCAATGAGGCGGAACAGGAGATGAAGGCCACCAAATCTCTCTTCCCGCAGTTCAGCAATGAGGTCGATCTTTATCAGAATTACGGCCTACTCGGCCCAAGGTCGATACTCGCTCACTGCTGCTACATGAGCGAATACGAACTCACCAAATTTGTGGAGCTCGGCTGTGGTGTAGCCCATTGCCCAATTTCCAACATGACTGTGGGCGGTGGCTTCATGGCAGCCCCAGTGAGGGAATTCCTGCGTCGCGGTATCAATGTTGGGCTAGGTACGGACTCTGGTGGCGGTTTCTCCAGCAGCATACTGGATGCTATGCGCCAGGCACTTGTTGCTAGCAATGCGAGAGAGGCCTTGTCACATGGCAAAGACAAAGGCTTGTCTATCGAGGAGCTCTTCTACCTGGCAACTCTTGGAGGGGCAAGAGTTTGTTCAATTGGGCACAAGGTTGGCAACTTCGCGGTGGGCATGGAATTTGATGCTTGCGTTGTTTCCACACTCGTGGCTGATCAGATCATGACCATGGTTGAACAGGATTCTTTGAGAACCGTGTTCGACAAATTCGTCATGACGGGTGATGATAGGAACATTGATGCCGTTTATGTGCGAGGAAGGCGGGTGAAATAATCAGTCAGGCTTCGACAAGACCGACTTCAATCTCTATGACCTGGTGCGCATGGACACACTAAATTACCTTGTCACGGTGATTTACATACCAAGCAAGCCTAAACAGAGCAGTAGGTGAGCATCTTGGATATCGAAGACCACTAAGGGGCTATCAGATGGGCCCCCCCGTGGGCAAATATTGGTCTTCTCCTGCTCTGCATCCCCCGCCCCTTCCCGCAAAGGACCCAAGCTCGCAGATCTCTGTACTCTGGAGCAGTTCAATGGCACATAGCGTCGTCAATCTACACTATAACTCTATACAGAACTATTTTCTCTACGTGTGAATTCTGCTTTGGTCTGTCATGACACGAGAAGAACGTGAAGATGTGAACAACGCTGTGACGGAGTCTGAAGGGACGTCCGCGCAGTGTAATTATATCATAAGCAAGGCACGACTCCTTGAACTAAACTTTTCCAGGCCCATCTGCTTCCTTTCGATTTAGACCATTTTATAGACAGAGGCTTCACCTCCATCATGGACCAAATGGCCTGATGACAACCTTTTCTCCAGAAACGCCCTGCTTGTTTCTGTCCAGCGCCTCATCCACAGCTGCCAAACCTCCCTCAATCACGATCGGCCGGTTGGGTTGGAACAAGCCCTTTGCGATCCATCCACGCTCGCCGCCAATGGCCTTGATGACAGGTTCACTGACATAGCGTTTATCCGGAGCACTGCCCAGTCCCAAGATTTGCTTGACGTTGACCTTGGGCTTCGCAGCCAGACCAGCCTCGACGACCTCTGGGTACGGGCCAGCCATTGGGTCTGGGTTGTCGTTGGGGTTCCACACACCAACAACTTGGCGCTGCTCAGAAGTCGTCTTGACGAGGCCCAAGATGGCGATTCCAAGCTTGGCCGTCTCCTTCTCCGCAATGGAGTCCCAGACAAATTCCAAGGGCAGGTCGCCGATTGCATCGCGGTAGTCCTCGGGCTTCGATTGTGTCTTTCGGTCAAGAACCACGTGAGCCCCAAGGCTCTTCAGGTGCTTGACGTGCGAGGCGCTCGAATTGGTCACGATCCTCTCGAAGCCTGATAGCCTAGCCAACTGGATGGCGTACTGGCCGACCGAGGAGCTGCCACCCAAGATCACAATGGACTTTCCCTTGCCGACCTCTCTGCCACCATTCTCGAAATGCCAAGGCCCAGGGGACAGGCCGTGGCCGGTGCTGTGGTAGAAACCCATCAACGCAGCCATCAGAGCCAGCTGAATGCCAGCTGCCTGCTCGTCGCTGATGTTTTTGGGTGTGTGAGACACCAGCTCGGCAGGCAGCTTGCAGTACTGCTGGAAAGTACAGTTGTCGAAACTACCGAGGATACCCTGGAAGAACACCCTATCGCCCTTGGTGAATGTAGACACATCGGATCCAACCGCGGCGATCTCACCAGCGGCGTCGGATCCAATCACGGCCGGGTAGTAATCACCCAGAAGAATGCCCTGGTCGCGGATCTTCCAGTCGACCGGGTTGATTGCCGTAGCAGTGATTTTGATGGCGACCTCACCTGGGCCAAGGGCGCTGAGCGAGCGGTCGGAGATGATGTGCCGGCTCTTGGGCGAGGGCAGGACGGCCGCCTTAAAGGTTGACGGGATGCCAGACATGGTGTTGTAGGAATGAAGCGGATGAACACTTGAAGGCGGAGCTAAGTGATGGTGACTGCGTTGTTGAGGAGCTGTTCGACGTTGTGTAAAGCGTTGAGATGTCGTGAATTTAAGTCTGCCCACGTACCCCTTCAAGCGCGGCGTCTATGCAGCTCACAAATCCTCGTTTGCTCACTAATGCAGAAATGACGTGGGCCCCGCGCGGGAAATAGACTACACGACAGTACACACGGCCAGATTTTCTGTGCAGGACATGTTCATGATTCAGGCTCTGCCGAGGTAGAACCCACACCCAGCACTGCTGGATGTTCCTCCATTGGACGCGTTCCTGTTTCTGGCCTTCAAATATTACTAACAACGCTATAGCAGTGGAAGCACACAGAAGTCTACCGTGACCATGCTGATACACACGGGCGTTTTGAACATGCTGGGTGCAGCTATCAACAGAACTTGAATTCTAGGTTTGCATCGTTCGGTAGCTGATTCTTTGCCAGTTGTAGGTTGGCAAAGCTGCCTATTTAAATCTTTGCGCTGGATCTGCTTGCACCTGCTGAACACCGCAATAGAGGCAACGGTTGCGTGATAAGAGATGAAATGTCTCAAGTTGAGACCCTCTAAAGACGGCCCGTCCCTCTTCATGCAAGTACAGGAACCTAGCCAAGTATCTTACACATACAAAGTACAGCGACCCTGGGACATTGGACCTGAATACTTTCAAATCGTTCGTCCTTTCATGTTTTGCTTGTAGACTAATGCTCACTGAGCGCTGGAATGAAGATATCAGCACCCGTTTACGAAGCAATTGTTCAGGGCGCGTTTGCGGCCGGTGATAACGCCATTGCAGTGATGACAGTAACGCAAACGCTGGCTAATGAGACAGTCATTATCGCAGGTACATGCGGAGCATGTGTCGTGCCACACAACGGAGAGTGCTGAGAATGTCCATGAGATGGTCATGGCAGAAGATTCTAAGCCTGTGTACAGTTTAGTAATATTGCTGCGTGTGATGTGATAAGGGAGTTGGATACAGCGGGTTAATTGTGCAATGGAAGGCACAAAAAAGGGAGGGGGAGAAAGATAATCCACTGCACTCTAGCAAGTGTGTAATGAATGCGATTACTACGCAAAGTGCCTGTGTGGCTTCCAATGACAAATTGAAGGCCAGTTCGGAGTTGTCTGACAAAAGAATTGGGCGGGCGACCTGTCAGATGCAGCATCATTCCCTCGTGCTTGCGTTTGGGGGCCAGTTTCTTGGGCATCTATTGTTACCTCTTGTGGACGACGGATTGCTTGTTTTTGGACGGCCATGGGGCGAGCATCAGTGTCTCCAATCAGTGGCCGGCAGTCTGACATCTCCGCTTCGCAGCAAGATTTAACAGCGGCAGTGTTACATCCCCAGGTTGCAGCCAATGGCCTTGGCTACCATCGCCGCAACAAATTTGAGCAATCATTTACCCTAGAGATTCACGTGGTCACCGTCCATACTGCTCTGGCCGAGGTGAGAGTAGCGCCGTCAATGGTTCCTGGGTCGCGCATGCTCGTAAAATGACGAAAGATAGAAATCCCTGTGTAGCCCACATGTCGCGCTCTACTTGAAGGGAACTGCGCCCTATTCCCGATCATTGGGCGACGGACCGCTGCATTCGCTGCCGCGTTCTTGTGCAACGAAATCTCGGACTCAACTTTTCCCATCTACGGTATACGGCACCTTTCATCATGATATCGAAGTTCTGGGCCTCAGCCTTAGTTTTGGCAACGTTGTTTGCGCAGTCATCTTTTTGCGCGAGTCTTCCTCTGCGCATCATCACATTCAACATACGATATGCTGCTACTTCTTTGGAAACGAACGAGAAACCATGGTCAACCCGTAGGCCCTTGCTTGTCAATCAACTTTCAGGTCAAGCCGCTGAAGCCTCCACCACTGTCATCGGGCTGCAAGAAGTGCTGAATAACCAGCTGATCGACATCAAGAGCGGCCTAGGCACTCAGTGGGCTCATATTGGCGTGGGTCGTGACGACGGCGCCACCCAAGGCGAATACAGCCCGATTCTATACCGGACCGATATATTGAAAGTCCTTTACAGCGAGGTCAAATGGCTGTCGCCTACGCCAGACGTTGTATCATTTGGTTGGGGAGCCGGAAGTCGCCGTATTGTCACCATTGGCGTTTTCGAGCATATCGCAACTGGGAAGCGATTCATACACGCCAATACGCATCTCGATAATGTCAGCTCGCAGGCGCGAAGTGAAGGCATCAAGGTCGTTGTCACGCGTATCAAAGCAGTGCAGCAGACATGGGGCCCACTACCTGTGTCTTTGACGGGTGACTTCAATTCTGCTCCCGACGGAGATGCTTATTCGACGTTGACGGGTTTGAATTACTTGGAAGATCTATGGAACCTGGCGACACATGTTGGCACAAATCAGCTTACCTATACGGGCTTCTCGCAGACCGGTATAAGCCGCATTGATTATATTTGGCTCGGGCCCAAAGACACTCAACCATACACGCCTCAGACGATTGAGATCGTGGGCAATTACGTGGATGGAGTCTTTGTGAGCGATCACAGAATGGTTGTTGGGGATGTGATAGTGATTTGAGATGGGATAACAATGTCAGAAAGAGTCTAGTGTAAATGTGTCACCAGACCAACGATAGATGTTTCCCAGCAGCGCATACAGGATGTTTAATCAGGATAAATATGACGTTCGCGAGGCATGAAGCGCGTTCTTGCTTCTCCCTACGTCTTGACCAAGAGTAAAGTCATAGTTTCGCACAAGTTGGTGTGTGCGGAATTGTGTAAATTTCGACCCATGATGTTGTTGTCCCTTCCCGTTCTTCGATGCCTCCCTTTAGCGGGCTTGCTGGCGTTTGCGGCCGCTAGCCCGTTTCTTTGACCCAATATGATTAATTGGTTGCTAAAAATCAAAGACTTGTTCCATGTTGAGTGGCATGCGACCACCGGCACATGATGTGCCCCATTTGAGAATACGAGAACGAAAGTAGCTGCTTCAGACGGCATGTTTGCTCCGAACTTATCAGTCGCCCTATTTGAATAATTATGTCCTTGCATGACTCGAACTCACCGAAGTAACGTAATTACCGCTTCTACTTCATCTCAAGGATTGTGTTGTTCAAGAGGTTGCTCGCCGCTAGAGCGCGTTTCCCTGAAGTTTGGAATGAATACCTGTCATCCCGCTCGAGATACGACAACCCTTGACGCGGAGAAATGTCAAGAATCTATGGCTTATTTGTTTTACTATTTTTTCTAGTGCGTGCAACGCATGCATCCAAATACACTCAGGGTGGTAAAGTCACTTCCATCTAGAAGACGCCTGCGCGGGTTCGACAGTTTTCAAATCTCATGCTGGTACTTGACATGTTCTGTGACTGCTTGCTAATTGTAAACACCGGCAATGTGGGTTCTTCTGTTCCGCAATCTGCCTTTTGTTCCTGGAGAGTCAGCTTTCACGACGAGATCACTCTTTCAAGCCAGGTGCAACAGACTTGATCCCAGTGCTAAGCGAGATGCTTATCCCTCCCCGCTCCGAATTCCCGGTTCGTGTGATCTGCAAGGAGCCGGGACGTGCACACTTGCTTTTGAACACTGATGTCAGCTAAGGGCTACAGGATAAGTTCTTCTCCGATCCATGTACATGCCACAGCTTTCCGAATCAAATTTCATCAATGGCCTCACACGAAAAGGCTTACGCCACTGCGCCGTTTCATACAGGTGAGCGAGATGGACCTAATTAGGTGAACAGTGATCCTCGGGATCTGTGGATCCGGGACGATGTCGACTGCTGGATGAGGTTTTTGTAACACTATTTTCCTTCAACGGGGCACAGTATGAGGATTGACAATAACAGGATTGAATCTGGCTAGTAGCCGAAGGTTTCAGCCCTGGGTTAGTGGACCAAGCCTTTCCGCCCAGGCCCATCTAATCGAGATCTGTGAAGCGGAAAGCTTGGTTATAGCGGGCATGGGCTATTCCTCTCTCGGCCGGGTCGGAGCATCTCAAAACTGCCCAGTCAGGGCATCAATGTGTCGAGTGAACAAAATATCAACAAAGTTGCAATGCTCTCGGGGGTATGTAAACCGACATAAGAACTTTTGGTGACCTTTCGTGAACTTCTTCCGGGTCAAAGCACTCCGACGAATGACTGCAAGACCGGAACCCTTGAGCCGTAGCGTTGCTCATTGTGAATCAGCCATGCTGTCTCTGCTCAGAATTTGGGACCGATCGTATAAATTAATGAATCGATAATCGTTTTTCAGCGGTCATCCTTGTGTATATCATACAGAAGCTTTCCACAATGAGCCCTGAAATGCATATGCAGACGCCACGATCTGTGTACTACACAGAGTATTGAAAACACATCATACGGCATCGGTGTGTCTAGACCAAGACCCTGGTCAGAAGTCAGACCTCGCAGCGTGCTTCCCACATCATTCTGGCTGATTATCGGATTTTGCGAGCAAAAAGTGCTTGTGAAAAGGAGATGCAGGTATCATGGTGGGACTCATAATCTCTCAACATCTACACTTGCCATGGTCCCGACCTCCGCTCCAGAAAAGGTCAAGACCGCTTCTCGTCACCGAAAGGAAATATAAAAAGATGCCCATTTGCTTGCTTTGTGTCCACATTTGATCTTCATTAGCAGCAACAAACTATACAGCATCGCTATACAATCATCAACTTCTGCATCTTTCACAAATCAAACATGCAGCTGTCCTTGATCCTCGCGTCTGCGCTTGCCGTGGCAACTGGTATGTTGAGAGTGTTCCCGCTTTACTTTCATAAGAACGAAAGGCACTGAAGATTCTGTAGCTCAGGGCTGCTATTTCACGGTCCATTCATCCACTGTGGGTGATTTCAAGGTTCAGCACTCAGAGCCCTCTGGTAGGTCAAACTCGGGGTTTTGTTTCCTTTATGCTCTCGGGGAGTTGCAGGCAGATCTCACTGACGCGATTGAATGCTTGTAGATCACGGCGGGGCCAAGCAGACCATCAGCGGATCCAAGGGCGCTTGCTCCTTCTCTGGAGACCTTGCAGATGGCTGCATTGTCACTGTTGAGAAGAACAACGGTTGCGGCACCTTGACATTCACTCGCATCGGCAGCAACTAAGGACGGTTAGCTTTGTTCACTGGGTGAATAAACTAAGTTCGGACGCGTTATTGGGCTATGGGCGTAACAGAAAGTGCAATGGTTTCGATTCTCGTGGCTAGCTAGAACGACAGCTCCAGAAATTTATCTTTCAGATCTTTTTAACTTCGTAAGCTGTGAGCACTATGGTCAGAATGCATGTTCGTCTGAATTTGGTGTTTTGGTAGGCCTAGACAGCGTTATGGCTCGCTGTGTTTGCAACAATCATGTGGATGTATCCTTGGTTGGGTATGGATCAGAAACTGGGTCTAATACTTTTGTCGAGATCAGTTTCGTCGTCAGCCTAATCACGCTTTCTTAACAATTATATGGTTGAGCTAGATCAAGCTTAAATCGTGCCTCGGAAGGAAGCGAAGCTAGAAACTAAGAGTGGTGAGCGAGTTTTAGGTGCGAGATCCGGTAGGCGAGCGCCTACAGAGGATTACACCCGGGACCGGCTGCAGTGACGGGCCTGAAGTACCTTCACGTCGCTTCTTTTGTGCCCCAAAAGGCGATAAAGGATCTGAGTATAGCAGGGAGCAATTTGAGTGCCCGCTTCACTTTTCATTTGAAATTTAAATAAACGAAGGTGAAGAATATAAGAGGTGCAGCCGATATATCGGACGTGCAAATGGAAGTTGAGTTTGCGTCTTGCCCTTCCATCACCATGTTCCAGTGTCAATAATCAACGTCCTCGATGTTAGTGGCGTACGTCCCCGTCACACACACTTTGAAGCTTTGGAAGACACGGAATCCCAGCCCTGAACTCGCAAGCTTGGCACTTCTTCCAAGGTTTCCACCTAATGCTTGGCTGCCTAAGCTGCCTCAGCTGCCTCAGCTGGCTGAACTGCCTCAGCGGCCTCAGGTACTTCCTCTGAAGCTGCACAGGTGTGGCATTGCTAGATGAAAGTTTCCGTAAGTACGATATCTTGGTGAGAACAGACTCGTTATAGCTTCTAGGGATTGAAGACCCCTTTCACATTCTTTGCAAACACTTACTCGGCAGCATGCCACAGCTTTGCATCTCTTTAGAAACTGGCAGCCTGAAGCAGGCAAGCAGCCAGAGCAACTATTCTGGCGTTCGTCCAAGGCGACCAAGTCACGGCCGAGGGAGGCGGAGCTAGCAAGGTCGACGAACAAGCTGCCAGCGAGAATGATGAGAGCAGAGATTGGGAACTTCATATTGAGAACGTAAACCAGTAGCAGAGATTGTTGTGTTACTGGTAGTAAGGGATTGGTTCTAATATTAGGCTCTTTGGGTGGGAGAACAATCATCAAAAGAAACATTGAATATCCAGTGTTGCTGGGTGGTAACTTATTTATATTTGGCAGAGCTCTGATAGCTTTTGTTATTACAACTCGGCATTGTCAGGACGGGTGGATGTTTGTGCTATACAAATCTTTTAGTAAACCACTCATAGTAATAATAGAAAGGTTTGTAGCTAAAGCATCTAAAGTATCACGAAGGCTTAAACTTAATTCCCTAAGCACTGAATTTTCTAGGAACTACTATAGTTATATTTAGATCTGGGGGCGGGGTAAGCAGAAAGGTTTCAACCTTATAAGCCTCTTCCTTAGACCTAGCAAGCATTTTTGGTTCCCATAGAGATGAGAGTGTCAGAGTTTGCAGTACATGCCTGACCTCTACTTCCCACACTTTCTACTTGTATCATTGTGGCAGCCACTAATTAGACTTGAGACTGCTTTCAATACCGAAGCGAAACCTCAGACTATGCAAGTGATCACATTTTGTCGGAAGAACGGTGAGTGAAATGCCAATATTGACTCCTTCAAGAGTCAACCGACTGCTAGACCGACGGGCTGATGGACGGTTGAACGACGGGTTGCTTAACAGGCTAATTGACAGACAAGGTGGGCTTCATGGTTAATAAAGCTTTACTGGGATACTTAGGCGACTTGTAGTAAGGTTTGGGTGAAGGGTCAGGCCTGGGAAAAAGAGAAAGTAATTGCCACTTTTAGTTCTAAAGTTGGGTGTTAATGGGGCTATACTTTTGCCAGTCAAAGTTTTGCATTTCAACTATACAGTCGTATCTAAAATATACGAAGGAAGTTTACCAGAAATACATCTATTGGTTATTAGAGGCGAAACATTATTAATGAATATCTGGCTTCATAGACGCTAAGTTGTTGATCCTTAGACCATCATTGATTTGATAGAGCAGTCGCACGTTAAAGCTTTTTTTGTTCACAGAAAGAGCGAGGAGAGTCTCAACAGTCTTAGGCAAACCTAAAGGATATAATCGGCGTTACCGAGGTTCTTGGCCTGGAACCGGGCGCTCTCGCCGCCACCAGTGACGCTATCCTCAGGCCAACCCGAATCTCAAAGTTCGCTAGGGGTGCAACCACGACCGACCAATCGCCGATCGATTGCCAACCGAGTGCTGACTGAGTGCCATGCCCGGGCCATGTCCAACATGTGCTGGGTTGGTGGTTGACTTACGTTGATGATGGTTCTTGGAAGAAGGAAGGATGGGCGTTGTTGCACCTGCCGCTGTGGTGTTTAGTTAACTCTGCACTGCAGTCTACGCGTCGTGTAATACCTGTGATGCAGACACCGCGCTGCCGCTTTTGTGGTTGGTTATGTCTGCCAAGCCGCACTGGCAGTTTCGTCAGCAAGAACGGCCCGACCAGTACAAAGAGAAAGCTTCATATACTATCCAAAGTCATGTACCTCTCAGATGCTGGCTAACATTATCCTGCCCTTCATGCCCTTCGCGCCCTCACCGCATAGAGGGCCAGGGCATAGCTTATCTAGGGACGGGGTAGTCCATTCATGCTGTGTGTTATGTATATGCTCAGTCCGTGTTGTGGTGATGCCAACTTAGCTGCAATGAAACATTCCTTCCTAAACATTAATATACTTAACATGTGCTCAGATTACAATATTAATCGTAGAACTAATCCAACCTACTTACGAATGGAGTATATACCGGAAAGCGGATGTGGTGTCGCCTACATGGCAACGTTCTGAAAGAGACTATTAAAGAACGAAATAAACCATCCTCCCGCTTTTACTCTCATTTATTTCTCATTTGTTTCATATAGAAACAACGTAGCTGCTGACATATAAATGGCCCTGCATTGAACTGCTCAATGACATGGACGACTTACGAGCATTGGAAGAGAAGAATATTGCTGTGTGGATAGAAATTCAGATCATCCGAAATTTTCCCTCGAATATATCGTATGTAATATAAATACACAGCCTAGGAATCCCCCAGGGGGGGGGGATTTGTACTATGTATTCAAACTACTCGCATTGACGTTAGAGACAGCCTTGGAATTTTATCGGCCATGAGGTCTATCGGCGGTTTCTTTTGCACACATGCTCGGATTTAGTCTCGTTTGGGCTCAGGTACCGTTGTTTCCCGCAGGATAAACATACACTGGTCGAGTCATTTGATAGAAACATTACGACATTGTCCACGAGCACATTTTTTCAAAGCCCGTCTGGGCCAGCAGAGACCGCACTGATTTGAAGCATCACCGTGGGTCGCTGCCAGCTCCTCTCTATTGCCATTCGACTTGCTATATTCGCAATTGCTGTTCAAGGTCCACAACTCGATCCATGTTCTCCTCGGCGAACAAGCACCTGCCATAACTGCCGTGCCAAGCACATATAATCCAATATTATTATGGGACTCTGTCATGAAACTGGGCATGCTCTGGCTCGACAGCCATCGCTACGCTCTGAGTTTACTAGTGTAATGGGTCCATCGTACAGGATCACGCCACAGGCCTACTACTATTGTATGTCGTTGGGTCCTTCACGTGGTGAGTCAGGAAGAGGCAAATGCCCGATCCAAGTCCGAAGGCAGCTGTGAGTGACCGTGCACGATGAGGCTACAACCAAAAGCAGAAGCTCGTTCAATGCCCAGACTTCAGTCAGGATGGTTGCCGACGTAGCCAGTATTGTATCATGAGCCTGCATTTCTTGGCCCTCGGGCTCTGGACAAAAGAGAACACGGTGCGCGCTTGCGTTCGACTCCAACAGAATGATGACATGCATACACGACCGCCGCTCCCTGTCTGGCTGCCCTGCTTTGTGGGAGGCTCCCGGGAGCTCGCTCCCCCAGGCGATCAGGGTGCCGCATCTCCAGCGGCAGTGCGGAAATGCTTAGACTATGTAGGCTATTTAATATCCGTTTTACACCCGCGCCCCACCCTGTGCCACCCACCACCTAGAAATTAAGAATGTCTACAGTAGTGCAGATACTACGTAGATTTTGACACTTCTCATGCACTTCCCGCCTGCGCTTGCGAAGCGTCCAACCCAGGGTGTCCAGCAATTTGGGAGCAATGTCTGACAGTATCTGAAGTGCGCGGGAAGTGGGAGCTTCCCCTCTTCCCCTCTCGTTCATCCAATAGGCCCCCGTTGGCCTTCAAGGGCGCAAGCTGCGGTGGGTGGGAGGCTGGAATTGATCCGCATGCGCGGTGACGGAGCATTGCCGGCAAGCACCATCCTATCAGAAGCCCGAGTCTCTCGCCAATTCGCTAATGGTTGCGGAAAAGGTCCCAAAGAGGAAGCTCGACAGCGCCAGATGACCACTGGGATGGCCGGTAGTTTCGTGCCAAGTTGGCACAAGATACTACGTTCTGAGATAAGCTTATATCTCGGCAGGGGCCATCCGCCTGCAGTCCGCATGGGCAAACCGTACACGGACAGGCGCTAGAAGCTGTTGGGAGGGTCGCATGCATCCTGGGGATATACGCTCCCGCAGCCCGTGGCGAATCGCCACACACCTCGGATCCGCAGGGAGGGTATGGCAACTCGGGAGTCCCTTTCGACGTGCTCGCTTGTCATCAAAGATGCTCATACATAAGCAATGGCCGCCTGAAAGACTTGTCACATTGCCAAGTAGCCAAGCTCCAACTAATTAATTGTCCCGTTTCTCTTGTTGGCTGAGCGCCGTCTGCCGAGACCTCTGGTCATTCAGGCTTATGTCGAATGGGCATGTCAACTTGTCCTACATATGTCCCTTGGCCTGCCTCCTTCCTGAAATGGTTTTCGTGTCGTGGAGCAGAGTAACCTCGCGACATACCAGAAGCCTCTTGCAAGCTCGATAAGGCAAAACCTGCAGGTCCGGTGCAGGTCTGAGGGGATCTCGATGCGTGTGGTTGGTGTCTTTTTGGCGTGATTGCCAGTCATGTGAGCCGCCCCGGGGGAGGGAGAGAGGGAGAGTCCAGCTCGATACAACGCACCCAATGATGGTGTCTAATTGCCTGATATGAGGCGAGAATGGCTTCATTTAGCCCTCGAGAGGCGCTTCGCAAAGATATAAAGTGTCTCTCAGCCCAGCCCTCGAGTCCATCATCGTCGTTCAGCACCATCCGCGGTCTCAGCTCATCAGCCCTCCTCGTCAGCTCCTCGCCTCGTCAAACTACCAGCCTGTGTCTCAGCCCAGTATGTACGGCCTCAAGAAGCTCGCCCTCGTCGCTGGGGCTCTCCTGCCCTTCGTCAACGCCGCGCCTGTCGCCTCCGCCCCTCAGGCCCGGGCCATCCCCAGCAAGTACATCGTGACCTTGAAGGATTCGGCAGACGTCGAGTCTCATCTTGGATGGGTCAAGGACGTCCATGCTCGCAGCCTGGGACGTCGTGACCTTGCTGGAGTCGAGAAGACATTCAACATCAGCGACTTCAACGCTTACTCTGGTGCCTTCGACGATGCAACCATCGAGGAAATCAAGGCCAGCGATGCTGTGAGTCTTTCCAACTCATTGGGCCGTTTGAATATGAATTGGCTAATCTAACACGTTCTCAGGTCGCTGCTGTCGAGGCTGACCAGATCTGGAGCCTGTATGCTTTGACGACCCAGACGAGCATTCCGTCTTGGGGACTGGGAGCCGTCTCCCACAAGGCTGGGGCTGGTTCAACTAGCTACGTCTATGACAGCACCGCTGGATCAGGCACCTATGCCTACATCATCGATACTGGCATCAACGCGGCTCACACCGACTTTGGTGGCCGCGCCAGCTTGGGCTACAGCGCCGTGACCGGCGGTACTGCCGACACTGTGGGCCACGGCACTCACGTTGCTGGCACTATCGGTGGCACGACCTACGGAGTCGCCAAGTCCGCGACCATCATCGCAGTCAAGGTTTTCCAGGGAGACGAGGGAACGACCGCTGACGTTCTTGACGGATACTCCTGGGCTGTCAATGACATCACCTCAAAGGGCCGTGCCGGCGTCGCTGCCATCAGCCTGTCCCTGGGTAAGTAGTAATTATTTGACCTTTAGTTGTAGTAGTATCCTTGCTAACCGATCATGTGCAGGTGGCGGTGTCTCCTCTGCTTTCAACAGCGCTGTTCAGTCTGCCTACACTTCCGGAGTCATCAGCGTCGTCGCTGCCGGCAACGAGGCCCAGAATGTCGCTAACGTGAGCTAAACCTGAAGTCCTGTTGTCAATGCCACCTATTAACCCGAAATATCTAGGTCTCACCCGCATCTGCTCCCAACGCCATCACCGTCGGTGCCACCACCAACGCCAACCGATGGGCCACTTACTCGAACTTCGGAAGCGGCGTCGACATCCTCGCTCCCGGCAGCGCCATCACCTCTGCATGGATTGGTTCCAACTCTGCGAGCAACAGCATCTCCGGCACGTCCATGGCTACCCCCCACGTCACCGGCCTGGTTCTCTACCTCAAGGCTCTCGAGGGTCTGACTTCTCCCGCCTCGGTCACCTCCCGTATCAAGGCTCTGGCATCATCCGGGATCATCACCGGTGTTCCCAGCGGCACTGTCAACTCCCTCGCCTACAACGGAAACGGCGCTTAAAGCATCGGTCCTCATAGATACCTCGCAACATTTGACCAAAACTTTGGTGTGGTGAAGCGGTTGGGAACATAAAGAGTTTGTCATCAGTGCTTGGCACATTGCATATAGTTCATTTACTGTCTCAGGTTATCTTGGACGGAAGCATTTTCAACATCACGTACTTAGCATTGTCGTTTTGAAAAATCTTACAATACTAAGCCAATTATCCCATATTAGAAACAATTCTCTAATTTTACGGCTTGAATCAAACTGGAGAGGGTTTGAGATTTATGCTAATGCTTAATTGCCTACTCCTGGCGTGAAGTCTTGGCTAGCCCGCCGCGTTGGTCTTGATCCTATGTTGCCCGCGTAAGATGCATGATCTTGTCAGCAATCAGTAAAATATGTCGAAGGACGTCGGTACGCTTTTGATTCTGCACTACCATGCGCATCATGGTCTGATCGTTGATCTCCCTGTCATTCTTGACTGCATCTTGGATCTCCATATTGAACAACGCGTTGAGTTGGGCCGGAAGAGCCCCGAGCCTCTCCTTGAGCACACTTGCAGGGCCATCTACATCCTGTGACGGGACGTAAAGACTCAGAGCAAGCTGGAGAAACCTATCTAAAATTGCCATCTCTTCTAGAAGAACTGAGAAACGCGCCATGTCGCTGGTATTACGCTTCTCCTGTGGTAGGAAGTTATTCATGTGCATGTATACGACAGATTGAATAGCTTTGATTTCGTCTTGAAGCGCGTCGAGTATGCTTCGCCTCGCCTTGTTGCTTGTGTCGTCTCCACTGAAAGTCTTGGAGTCGATGTATCGTGTTGTAGAATTGATGGTAGCTTGAGATTTGTTTTCTTCATCTTTCATCTGCATTTCGCCCTTAATTTCAGAATCCAAATTTTCAATGCGGTTTTCGTCAACTTGGTGGAGTGGTCGGCATCGAGTTATCTCGGCTTCGATGCTGTCTATCGTTGTGTAGAGCCTGTGGAACAGGCCTTCGGGCAATTCTACCCTATCAAGAATGGATTGTTCGGCTTGACTAATCAGGGATTGAGCGAGCACCAAATCATCTCGAATTGACCATTGGTCTGCTAAGCCTTCGCCGAATGTAAAGGTACGCGCCATGGTGTCCTCAAACTTACAAAATCTTTCCGGCTTGTCGATCTCGATGTTTCAATTCGAGATTGAAAGATCTTCGACGAATATTGGAAAGAGCCAGAAGAGCAGATGGAATTGTCGAATTCTAAGTCAAATACCATTATTCAGAGAGCGCGTGGTCAACTTTAAATGCATCCGAGTGCCTCGAAAAATAAATATTGCCTCTCTTTTGTTTTCGAACGAACAATAGTGTGCCGCGAGCACTTTGACGAGCCCTCTTTGTTTGTAGCTCACTTCTGCTGAGCTTTGTAATTGATTCACCCCGCCCCGGTTTCGTGGATCAAGCTTATTGCACGGTCAGCTTCCCATTCATCAGCCCGGGGTGATATCATAGTAGTGAAAGACACCCTGGCAACCAAGCGGCTAATGAGCACTGGCTATTGCACAAAAGTCCTACGAGAGATAGAGTCTTACCAAGACTCTAAGGTAGTCGTCCACTGTGTTGCAAATGACCATTGACCTTTGGATCTTCTTGTCTGTCACATAGACTGGCAGTTGGCGCAGGTGAAACTAGTGGGTTGTATTCAATGTTGGGCATGGCGCTGGTCTAGGCTCTCACAACATATGTACACAAATCGATAACACATGAGAGGTGACGCAGCTGATACACCCCAAGCAGCAGAGCTAGACAACAATATTAAAATGGCGAGCAGCGCGCTCAGTGATTCACGGCACTGAGCTTCGCACGTCTCATTTCTATGGATGGCGTGACTGTGGCGTTCGAAGCGACCGCAATGTCGGGATCGTGTACCCACTCATCACCAATGTCAGTCATCTTCCTTTCCAACTTCCTCATCATCTCTGACACGACGCTTGAATATGCAGGCTCGCTAAAGACGTTAAAGAGCTCAAAGGGGTCCTCCTGGGTATCAAAGAGCTCCCACTGCTTTTCTTCGCCGCCAAGGGAGGTACCCGGGAGGCCAAAGCCCTCGTTATACCTGGGTTGAAGGATTAGCTGGACGACCAAGCATTTTGTCGACAGTTGCAGCACATACCAGTAGATCAGTTTGTACCGTGTATCTCTCACGCCATAATGTGCATATGCGTTATGGATTGGGTCTCGGTGCATCCAGTATCTGTGATATGCCAGCTGGTCCCAGTCCTCAGGCGTCTCTCCTTGAAGGACTTTGCGGAACGATCGGCCTTGCATGTAACTCGGCACTTGGAGTCCAGCGATATCCAACATTGTTGCAGCAAAGTCAACATTTTGGACAATATCTTTGATGATACTTCCTTCCTTGATCTTCCCTGGATAACGTGTGAGCAAGGGCATCTGAAAAGATTCCTCGTAGATAAAACGCTTGTCAAACCAGCCGTGGTCTCCGAGGAACATTCCCTGGTCCTGGTAAAAGATTAGCAATCTAATCAAGAATGCCATGGGTTAGTCGACGCATACCGAAGTGTACATCACCAAGGTGTTGTTTGTGAGACCATTTTGATCAAGCCAATCCAGCATGCGACCGACATTGTCATCGACAGATTGAACCACACGCAGGTACCGCTGCATATATCTCTGGAACTTGAAGTTTGCTAATTCCGTCTGGTTCTGAAATCTGAAGACCTCGCCTGTGGTCGAGTCGGTGAGACGAAGTGCTTGGAGCGCCGTGATATTGCTGGGATTGGGAACCTTGCGTTCGGTCGACACGCCAGGGTAGAAGAGTTCTCCAATCTCCTGGCCTCCTTGAGGTTGGACAAGACCCAGGTCGAAGTATGTCATATCATCAGCAACCCGCATCTCTGTTGCTGACGCAGCGTTGGCACGGTTCTTGTAATCATCCGTGAACGTATCGGGTAGCTTGATTGGATCGGTGTAGTAATCCTGATATCTTGGATGCCACTCCCAGCTTCTGTGGGGGGCCTTTTGATGATACATGAGGAAGAAACTGCGCGCAGTCAGCTTCAGTGCAACTAGGTATTTCTTTTGTTTCTATCGCCGGAAAGAAGCTTTTGGTACATACGGTTGCGATTCATTCCTCTGTTCGAGCCACTCAACGGCTTTGTCTGTCACAATGTCGACAGCGTAGCCGCTGTACTGAGTCTCGTTGCCGTTATCAATGAAGATAGGATCCCAATAATCCCCTTGACCAGGGACAACAGAGTAGTAGTCGAAGCCTGTAGGCTGATGGTCCTCGCCTTCACCAAGATGCCACTTCCCGATCATCGCTGTCTGGTAGCCACCCATGCGCATGGACTTAGCTACGTTGGGCATCTTGTTGTTAAGCGTATCGTCCAACGTGAAGACCCCATTGGCATGGCTATGCATGCCAGTCACTATTGCAGCACGACTGGGCGTACAGATTGAGTTGGTGACATAGCAATGATCAAAACGAGCCCCTTCATTCGCGATGCGATCGATGTTGGGCGTATGATTGATGCCAGCGCCGTAAGTTGATATGGCTTTGGCCTAGACGCAGGCGAATCAACTTGAGTTGCCCCTCACGGACGAGGAAGGGTTGGTTTGTTGAACTATCACTTACGGCATGGTCATCAGCCATCATGAAGATGATGTTCGGCATTGAACTGAGGGCAACCATCTTGACAGAAACGTGCCCACCAGCACTAGAGCACACGAACGAGTGGTAGGGGTTGCACACTCCTTGCAGAGTCTTGGAAGAAATCTTTAGCTTTAGATATAGTCTGACAACCGTCACTTTTCATTTGCCTCCAGCAGGCTCAACACCTTGGTGAACAGCATCCGTCCCCACTGAAGGCTCCCCGCGTCTCCGCATATCCCCGCGTGGAAATGAGAAAGCGCCAGCCGCGCATGATTCTGCCGACATTTTCTCCGGTTTCTTCTGCTCCATAGGGCTCACAGTTGCACCAGAAATCGAATAGCAAGTGGGGAAGTTGTGATTCTCCACCGGTTGTGTGGATTTATACAAACATATCGACTCGCGTTACCCCATTGCCAAGGCTTCTAATGGTCGTTGCTCGGCAGTTCATCGGCCTTGATTTATCACGAAAGGGACCGCACATATTCAGACTAGCTTCATAACCTTGTCCAGTATAAATCTACCGTAAGTAAAAGAATCATCTAAAAGCTACAATATAGCCAACTTCCAATGGCTTCACAAGGTTGAAAACAAACCATAGCCCTTAGAAATGGTTTCAAGATAATATATTGCAACCAACCAAGCCCATGTAGGGAGCACCTCATGTTAAGCTTTAGAGTTCTTTCAGGGACGGTAGAGCCTTATCTTGCCACCGCAAGCAGTTGTTCACCAGTCTCATATTCAACCGCCCCCCCCCCCTGCAAAATACCGGCGCGTTGAATACAGTGGTTAGGCTGAAGGTATTCTTCTAGACTATCTACTACATGTTTCAAGTGATGTTCCCAAACCATACCATAGTTGAGGTCCTAAATTTATTTTTCATGCAAGATCTGAGGTGCTTGGTACCCGCCGTTCACTCGCTTGGCCGGCTGCACCTTATATTTCTGGTCACTGAGGTCATCCGATAGATGATCAATCTGTTTGAACACTCCAGCTAGTGATTTGGTCAGTAGATAGATATCAAGGGGTTTCCGGCGAAACGAGAGGTCGGCTAACTAGCAAGGTCCCAACCACCAGCGGAGGAGGAAGACGAGCATGTTTCTGGCTGACATGGTGAGTCAACACAGGTTCCGTTGCTCTCCGCAATGCTGAAACGAGCAGTCTGAGCATAGAGGACATAGACATTGGTGCCGTTGATCATTGTGCTTTCGTAAAGACGTCCATAATTAACATTTATTTCATTCTCAAGCCCTGATGCGACTATTGACGAAGGGAACTGTGCACATACAGTTGCCAATTGGGAGAGGCGTTGAGGCGACAGGGGACTGTGAATGAGGACTGCTTGGCCTCAGTGTCGACATTGTACGCGACCAATTCGTAGGTGGGAGGGAAAGCCTCAAACTCCCATAGGTAAAGGCTGAAAATTTTCGGATCGGTGTCCACGATGTTCCAGGTGACATCTACAGTATCACCTTTTGTAAAGGTGAGGTTGGTTCTGTACGCATAATCGGCTGATGTAGGGTAGCTGAAGCGGATGGCGTTGACCAGCGGCGGCAAAACAGCCAGTGCCGCGGTGATGAAAGAGCCAAAAATCATGTGGACAAATCAAATGGAGGCGACTGTTGTTCAATGAATTTCACATATAAGAGTGGCACAACACTGGCGACTGTCTTGAGACACTTCGCAACTGACTGACATGACAACACTTATGTCTGTTCGGAAGGACAGGATTGTTACACACAACTGCGAGAAAAGCGACGGGATTCTCGGTCATTAGGGTTAAATAAGCATTACTCTCTTAACTTTAATATATTTGGCAAGAACCCAGTGCTAAAGTCTACAGGCGTTACATGAAAATTAGGATGCGGAACTGATAGAATGGGGACGAATGTTAATACTGACGTGCTGCAAGTGATCGATTCAAGCTGCCCCCATTCCGCAACGGGGCTGCCCTGCTAAACTTAACCCTGTTTGTAGTGAGCCGGCGTTGAAATCAAGAGCCGTGCCCAGTCCCCCCTGCTGTGACTTGATACGGCTAGCGGGAAACAGGCTTTTCAGACAACCTCAAGACTTGACTTCGAGCCAACTCAGCGCCACACTACAGCACAAGGACACCTGGGCAAGCACCAAATTATGCATCACTTTCGGAGAGGGGGCCAGAACATTAAATCCGATGTTCAGGGTCAGTCATGCTGGCGCAAAAGGCTTTGGTGTCTTCGCGACGCGCCAGATTGCCCGTGGCACTCGCATTCTCGCTGAAAGACCTCTGCTCACAATCACCAACAAAGACTCGAGTATACTCGCAGCCGCGAGCCGTCTCAGTCTACAGGATCTGCACAGCCTCTTGAGTCTTTCCATGAACGGTGCCAAGCGCAACTCATTAACTCGTCTTGCTGCCGCAGCCTGGGGGTCACTCCGTTCCCTCACGTCCGTCACCCGGAATAGGGATATTCTGAACATCTTCTACAACAACAACTTCCTTCTAGCAGGCTCAAGCGGCAAGCGAGCCATTTTCCTGACAGTCGCGCGTTTGAACCACTCCTGCGTCCCGAATGCACAGGGCAATGTCAACACGGCTCTTCCCGGTAGCCAGTTCACGATACACGCTCTCAGAGACATTGCAGACGGGGAGGAGATCACCATTTCGTATCTTCACGATGAGCTAGCCATGCGCACCGAGCGGCAAAAGAGACTCAACGAGGACTATGGCTTTGAATGTGCTTGTGATATATGCAGCACCGACGCCTCAGGAGTAAAGACCAGAGAGAGCGACCAGCGGCGTCTGAAGGTCCAAGAAATGCTGGCTGCGTTTTCTGAGCAGCAGGAATCTCCTGGCGGTACTTCTCGCGAGCTCACATTGACAAGAGCTCTTATTGAGACGTATGAGCAAGAAGGCCTATCGGGCAGGGAGCTCGCCTCTCTTTATTTCGCAGCAGCTGGCCTGGCCATAAACGTAGGACACGACAAAGAGGCTTTGGCGCTGGGAGCCAAGGGGTTACAGATCGAGGAGGAAGCCGTTGGACTGGACAGCCCGTTATACCTCGCTAGTCTATCGGCAGTAAAGCAGGGACATTTTGGAGGAAAGAAATGGACCAAACATACGCCTAATCCGTCTATAGAACCCGCAGGGTTGTCATATGAGCCCTGGATATGATATTCGAACGACCGATATGAAACGGCTGAATCGCCTTTGCAAGATAGATAAATTTCAACGCCCTGGTCGAAAAACCGGTCATAGGCGACATCCATGCCAATTATGAATAATTGAACGCACGATGGTTGGGAAATGGATACCATTTTGTGGAGAGATACATACTTCTGGCCCAAACATCAGCTTAGGCAGTTTTCTACCTTTCGTCAGGAAGTAGTACAACTAGACTTTCCGTTCCCCAACTACTGTTGTAGCATGCGATACTCCAGGGGCCGACCAAGTTCATCTCATTTCCAAAAATTGCCACGGCTGTTCATCTCGAACACCGAGTAGGTCAACACATGAGAAAATCATAGGAAAATATAATGGCCTATCTGCTAGCCTGAATCCAGAGAACTTTGCATCCGAAGCACAACACATTACACCTCGCTGCTATACCGCGACTTAGATCCTTATCGATAATTCGCGTTTCATCTTCCTAGAGCTTTGCGCTCCGTTGATTAGTGAGAAAGTGAACACAAAGCACGACAAAGACAGAGTGTGGAGAAACACACCAGCACAGTCCCGAGTCGATCCGAGAGCCTTGTGCCTCTAAGCAGGGTCCGCTTCCTCGTCGAGACTGACTGTATCCTCTGAAAAGCCTGCCGAACGTGTCTCGGCTCGACCGCCTTCCTGGCCTCCGTGGGCTGAGCAAATAAGCCGACAGGGGCCGTCGGCTTTGCGGGACTGCTCAATCGGGTTGCATTTTCCAGACGTAGCATCTCCTCCTTCTGAATGCGCATAGCCACCATCGTCAGCTTGTGGACCATTTCGGACGTGATCAGGCCGATGATGTCTAGGACATCGTCGTTTTTCTTATGCTCGGCAATGACGCCCAGACCGGACCACGCACGGAACCGCTTGACCTTGCGGCGCGTGAAAGAGGCGTGACGATATTCGGACCAGGTGGCGTACTCGGCCACCGTCATGTTCCGCGTCCTTTCCGAGGCACGGCGTAGCCTCTCCAGCTTGGCTTCAGTCGCAGCTTCGTCTGGCTCTTCTCCTTCGCTCGGCGCTGGGGCCGCTTCCGAAAAGTACGATGGGATATCCCACGGTAGCGCGATGACCGGCAGCCTGCTGTCCCTCGCCGCCGACTCCTCATCCTGGTCTTCCGCATCATCGTCAGCCATGACCTCCCCGCCGTCATTCCCCGCGTCCTCGACTTCTTCGGCGTCTTTGGCCTTGCGGCGGACAGTGTTCCAAACAAGTAGGTTTCGCAGGCGAGCGACACGGGAAGCGTCATGCCGGATCTGGAAGATCAGATCGTCTTTGGAGAAAACAGGGGACCCGCGCCGCCGCGCAAGGTCGCTTGCCGTGGTTAGCTGTCGAGGGATCAATTAGGTGTCGGTACAACCTGAGGCGGTTCAGGGGGTGTATCGTAATCTGGCGCATGGACAAGGGGCCTCTTACCAAACGGACAACCTGATCATGAATGATGTTCTCGACGAGGGCGATTGTTTCAGTGGACGGATCTTGCGTCTCCCCGGCGATGTACATCATCTAGTATCACAGTCGGTTATCAATCCTTAGGCTTACTGGAAGCGGGATAGAAACACATGTCGTCTGGGAGAAGCAATGACAACGTGATCTTTTGGGGGGGTCTTATATGTCTTTCTTTGTCTTTAGCTGCTGCAGTCCTTGACTTACTTGCTGAATTTCTTGTTTGAACTTCGGCTCACTGCTGTTGTCTACTATTTGGGATGCCATGGATCTTGCCTCGATTCCTACCGTATAAGTGGCAAGCCCCTGTATGGGTCAAGCAAGGCGAGGAGGCGATGGCGAGGACAAGTCGGAAAGTCGTAACGGAGGTTCGTATTGATAATTTGAGGCTAAGGTAAATGATAAAGAAACAATTGACAAAGAAACCCCAATTTGCCAAGTATACACAAGTCATTGAGATGTGGTGTATTTGCGTCCATGGTTCCGTGATATTGAAGTCGAGTTTTATATGAGCTAGCAACGTGTGGGTTGGATTTGACACTGTATCACTATGAATGGGAAATCATGAAGTGGACGAGGACAAAAATTGCAGAAGAGCAACGGGGGCAGGCTGATAGTCGTAAATTCAGTCAGGGTGGGGAAGGGCTGGGCCTTATTCGGCAGCAATCCTTGGGTGACTCCCGCCAGCAAACAGGAGTCCGTTTCTTGTTGCAGGGCACATTGGCGCTAACTGGAAGCGGACAGTTTGGTAACGACCAGCCAACTTACAAGCAAAGGAGTACCTGCGTGTATACAATCGGCTTGATCTCATTACGAGGCCTTGCTTCATCTTGATGGAAACCGCCCCTTCCTTGACAATCATTTTCAGAGGGGTGTGTTTGGTTACCTAGGGGTTGCGAGATAGCGTGATCGCATGTGTTTGGTTTTCATACGCTTGCTGCGCGGCTTTGTAATGGACGTTACCAACCCGGAGTGCTCTTCGCAAATACCCACATTTGGAATCTTGAATGGGTCGTCGTTTTCAACTTGCAGTATTTAACAGCAAGTTTGTCTCTGGTTTTCTGCATGACTCTTCATCATTGGCTGCATGTACTGGTTTATGGGCATCCCCCCGATGCTGTAGTGATTAGCGAATGGACAGCGGATCTCCAAGAGCAAGCCACCAACCTGGGAACCAATGTCTCGGCGCTGACTTCTCCATATCCCGCCCAATTTCTTTGGCTTGGGTGGAGGAGTTTCCGATTCTGAATGTTGTTCATTTTCTCAATGGCTACCGGTCTTCTCATCGCTCGTCGCCGCCGGTTACTTTGCTTCGGGAGTTCTGCCTTGACTTCGTCTTCTCCATAAGACCACAGCTGCCAGAATGAAAATTTCAACGCTGGGACGTTAATTAGGCTGCAGAGTAGGAGACCTGTAGACGACCTTTTGGGCTTACGTGGCATTCTCGAAGGAGCAACTCCTACAGATCTCTTCGTTATGTTTACATTCGTCGATACCATCGGAAATATACACGTCGTCAACGACGAGATACAGCTGTAATAAGTCTAGGGCTGTTCCATTGGGTGCTATTCGCTGCACCTGTCCTAAATGTTGTATTACAACGAGCCAGCCGAGATCACTGACACATACATATGTACGTGTTGGCGCTAGGATTGTGCCCTGGAAAATGAGGGCTGACACGCAGCTAGTTTTCGTGACAGTTTTCTAGGCCCCACCAACTATGAAATGCCTAGAAATCGGCGCTTCACACTGCACAAGAACTTGCACAGCAATCATTAGGCCGCTTCTCTTGCTCAAGCGCCACTCTGATTCTATCTTACATATTCTAAAGACGCGCAGTCTGGTTGTGCGACTTGACGACCGCAAAGATGAGTGGCCCGAAGGTGATGAAGCGTCTGCCAATAGGCAAGGTGGGAACTGGGCTCCATCGAATATATTATGCCTGCTAAACGGCTGATCATCACACAGAAAACTCACCAAATCATCGTACTCGACGAGTCTCAGCCAGAGAGTAGTCCCATGAGCCAATGGAGTTCCAAAGTCGTTTGCGAAGGTGGCTCCTCAGATCCTGTCAATGTGCCCTCGCACTGGCATAAGGTGCGCGCGACCCGAATTACCCAAGGCCCAATATTTATGTCTTAGACATATAAGAGAAATGCAACGTGCTCATCTTGTTTTATTAGTACCATGATGAACACATGCGTGTTATCGAGGGTTGTCTGGAGGTGACTATTGACGGAAAGACACGGATAGTCGCTCCTAGCGACGGTCAGGTCTTGATTATAAGAGGGCAAGTCCATAGCCTCAGAAGCTTCAAGGGCGAGAGGATGGTCTTGGAGGAGCGTACTTCTCCTCCCGGAGATTATAAGGCAAAGTAAGGCTGTTTGAAACAACGTTCACCAGGCAGAGTGTCCATTGAAATTGTCGGAATGCCGCTGATAAAATCGCTAGGTTCTTCAATGATCTCCTGTCCCAGCCTCTTGACGAGAATTTCAACGGGTCGTTCTGGCACACAATGAGGGCTTTCTATGATGGTGACACGTATCCGGCTTTGGGGTTATACCTTCGATTCTTTGATGTTGCGGTAAGTTGCTTGTTGGCAGCCGATCCAAGCTACATAGTTCTGTCTCGTATCTAACCATTGACTATACAGTTCATCACAGTTGTTGGGGGTATCGCGAAACTTGTCTTGTCTGAGAAGACTCAAAAGCTTCAATAGTGTGATGTTAGGACCACAGAGTATATTCAGCTTTCTTTTGCATCCAGAGAGACTCCAGGCATGTCCAAATAACACAAATGAGATTTGCTTTCACCAGTATCTGTTCAGGTCTATATCAAAATCTGGTGCGGCCCACCTGGACACCTCACAGCCCTACAGCACTGCCGGAACAGGGTTAGGGGTTATAGCTTGGGCCACGAGCTTCTCAATCTTGGCCTCAGGTCGGAGGTGAGTCGGTCACTTCACCAGGATGGACCTCGGGACGCCCCAGTCATCCATCAACTGAGTACCCAGTGTTGCCGAACCTCCAACAAGGCACAACACAGAGCTGAATACCGACACTTTGCTCTCTCCCCCTGTGCTCTATGCCGCCAACCTGATACACATATTCTCGATCTCAACAAGACCAAACACCATGCCTACCGGCAACGAGCGTTTCAATGCCGAGGCCGCAGCTTGGGACTCTAACCCAGACGTCCAGCGCGCATCCGAAGGTGCCTTGCAGGCTTTGTTAGCCGCGTACCCTCATCTCCTGGAGGCCAAGGAGAAAGGAACTGTCGACTCGAGTGGCATCGACGTGCTAGAGATTGGTTGCGGTACCGGACTGCTCTCAGTGAGAATTGCGCCATACGTGCGGAGCATCCTGGCCATCGACGCGGCTGGAGGGATGATCGAGGCTCTGAAAATAAAGCTTGACAGTCTCGACGGTGCTGATGGCACAGCTGCAAGGAGGGCTATACAGCCCATGTGCATCCTTCTCGAAGACCCAGAGGATTCCCGCCTGCCCGCTGGGCCGGATGGGAAGCGTCAAAAGTTCGACCTAATCATTAGCCATCTAACCCTCCACCACATTCCCGAACTGAGACCTCTCCTGGCCACCATGTACGGCTGCCTCAAGCCTGGCGGCCAGGTCGCGCTGACGGACTTCGAGGACTTTGGTCCTGAAGCACGCAAGTTTCACCCAGAAGCTAAGATGCTTGGCGTTGAAAGACACGGCATCAAGGCGGATTGGTTTGCGGGCCTGATGAAGGATGTAGGCTTTGAAGACGTGGATGTGAGGCCGGCTTGGACGATGGAGAAGGAGGTCGAGAGATTCCCCGGTGAATGGGGACAAGACAAGCCGGAGGGGGTTGAACTAGCAAAGCTGGATTTCCCTTTCCTGTTATGCCAGGGTACGAGGGGGCCGAAGGGGGCGTCATGAAGAGCTTAAAGATGTCTTGGGAACAGTAATCAAGGGTATTTCCTGGGCTGCAATGAATTCGCTAGTAACAAAAGCCATGAACTAGACAATCCACTGCATTGGGAAGTTCGACGTGCGAGAAGACGAACGCTATTGACGAGTTGTTGGACAATCCCGAAGTTGTCCACCCAGTCAAGCACCCAAAACCCCTGAAAATTTGGTCTGCTTAGACCTCGCCGTAGCTGAGCTCTCCTCACACCAACTGGAACAATCGGCGTAGACAAATCAACCAGCTACATGGAGGGATGGACAATTGGCGCTCAGTTAAGGAAAATCAAACTCAGCGATGATTTATCTATTCGGTCCCGTATTTACCATGGAATCGATGATGAGTGGCAGTGACTTGATTTGTTGCGGAAAGATGCATAAATATGATCCTCAATGTATTCCGTAGTCTTTTGTTACCCCCTCTTATCACAGGTCCCACTATGACGTCCCTCTTATAACCAGTGTTTCGTCCCTGTCTTAAACATGCTGTCAATTAGCCTACCACAAATGTGAACAGGTCACGCAGACGTGTCTCAAATGCCATGGAAGTGAACTGTGTCGTATTGCAGAGTCCGTCTATGCTGTGTCAGTCCGGAGGAATTCTCGACCTTGGCATGAGACTGACGTAAAACTGCAGGGTGGAGATATCTTGGGCTGGTCAGTAAGAGGTCGGTGGCTATTCCAAACAAAACTGAAAACCAGACCATTAAATAGGGAGAGACAAGGGACTTTTCATTAGGGAAGTAAAGAAGGCTTGGGGGTGGGGGGGGGGGGGGCGACTGTGAATCTGTCCATTTGCTGGCTAGCTGTTGGCTAGCAACTAGAGTCTAGGTCAGAAGTTGTAGTTGAGCCTGGTACAAGGGATAAGAAGTACCCTCGAATAAACAAAAAGTCTCTCAGAGGGCGGGTGGCGGGTTGGTTGATAGCACGACATCACAGCTCAGAATGCACAAGTTGGAAATATTACAGTCGGTTGAAAGTGGTGCACATAAATCGGGAGTCAGGTGTGGACTATGTAACATTTGCCAGTAACTCCATGCGTATGAGTGCTTGTGTATGAGCGACAGCATCAAAACAAATCAATAGCTAGACCCGTCTTCTTCTAGTTTGCGGCCGCTGTGCAGCAGAGTTCCCGACGTCAACACGCCGTGGAGCGACACCGACAGGCTCACTCCAGCCACTGGTGCCGTATCCAGGTGAAGAGGCCATGCATGTACCTAATTCATCAAACAAAAAAGCCTCGTCAACGAACACATGGCTCAAGGGTATCCTCAAAGCGGAAAACCGCATCAGTCCTCTGCTTCACTACCTTCTCTGTCCCCCTCAGTCTCGGACACAAGAATCGCTTGCTCCGGCGGACCAGACCTTCTGGTGCAACGGTTGGAACAGCTGCTGTGCCGCCGGCTAGCCTCCTACGCCGCCTGTGCAGCAGGCTGCTTCCTTCCGCGTCTACCCAGCAGGGTAGCACCATCAAGGCTCAGCTCGAAAGCACCCTTCTGTCGGTTGCGATCCTTGACTTGCTGTCTCGCGGCAGCGGTTACTGCGGCTGAATGTTGCCCGTACCCTTTTGATTCTGGCGCCCTTCTTTCACGCTCCCTACCCCGTTGCTCGCTGGCGCTTATTTGGGCATTCCGCATGCTCTGCTCGAGGGCCTGAGTACCTCCATTGCGTGCATCGGGCGCGTCGACGTCAGGCATGTCGTCGTCCTCGTCGGACTCGTTCAGACCAGCCAAACGGGAAACTCCAGCGGCCTTGGAACCAATTTGCTTCCGTCGATTGTTCTCTTCCTCTTGCCGGTGTACAGCATAGGTGACGTCAAAGACCTCACGCAGGTTGACAGCGCCAGGTGAGCGGAAGTCGTAACGCTTCTCACCATCCTGGAGCTTGGTCGCATCGAAAGCACGTAGTTTCCCATCCGCGGTGAGCTGAGGTTTCTTCTGAAGACCCGGAGTCTCGCTTTCTTTGATCCACGGATGTGCGAGGAATTCCGTAATAGTATAACGCTTGTCAGGATCGACGGTCAAAAGGTGGGTGATGAGATCCTTGGCTGACGACGATATATCATCCCACCATGGTGAAAGGAACGTGTACTGGCCCTTGGCCACCTTTTCCGTAAGAACCTCTATGCTCTCGTCGTAGAAAGGCGGGAAGCCGCACAGCAGTGTGTATAGCACGCAGCCCAGGGCCCACATGTCAACAGACTTGGAATATCTCTCATCCTTGACGATCTCGGGAGCGGTGTAACCGACGGTGCCACAGGGTGTCATGGTCTGGTTGTCCCAGACGATTTTAGACAAGCCAAAATCGGCGATCTTGATCTGACCGATGCCGCCAGCACCAACCCCCCTGATGAACTCGCCCTCGTCGACCTTGTCCTCATCGCCGGGCTGTTTAGGTTTTGGGTGCTTAGAAGGGATGACGGGTATCGGGTTGAAGAGAATGTTTTCCGGTTTGATGTCACTGTTGACGATGATGGTCAGCTCTCGGCTCAGTGCCCCTGGCAGGCGAGCTGACGCTAGCGCCGCGAAGATGCGTCAAAGTGTCACAGGGTGTTGATGACAAGGAAGTGAGATGACGTCAGGTCTCAGTAGATGGAATTGACGGGCCATTAATGACATCAACAGTGATATGGTGACGTCCCCATGGAGAGCAAATAGCGACGAGACCGAAAGAGATGACAATGAGACATTGGGCGAGATAAGGGAAGAGGGCCATTTCTGTGTGTACGCATAGGGGCGGGGGAGGGTATCACTGACCGATGCACCACGCCTCTGACCTCGTGGAGATATTCCAGAGCCTTGGCCACTTGTACGATGACGTGTCTCGACAGGTCCTCGCTGAAGTAAGTGAGGCGGACGATTTGGTGGAAGAGCTCGCCGCCTGGCGCGAGCTCGAGAATGATGTAGTAGTACTGTTTGGATTCGGAAAAGTCGATGAGGTTGATGATGTTGGGGTGTTCGAGTTGGCGCATGATCTGGACCTCCTTCAAAATGTTCGCTCTCTGCGGCCGGTGTCAGCACAACCTGGACATGAGTGGTTTGTGACGATTGCTGTCGACGCCCACATCGCACACTTGTGTCAGGGGTAAAAGCCAGTGAGTGAATGCACAGCACCGTATCGTGTTAGAAGTGTGTGAAGTAAAATCAAAGGAAGGAAAAAAGTAAAAGCTTCTCGCACCTCTGCGGCTTTTGGAGCCTTTGGTTTGAAGTCCGGATGGAGGTGTTTATTTCCCTATGATCCTCCACGTTGGCCAAAAGAACGACATCAAGGGAATCACGACATATCAACGCGAGGAAAAGGGGGGGCACAGAGGAAATGAACGGTCGTGCAGACCGCCAACGTTGAGACATCACCTTACCTGCATGCTATTCATTTCGTATTTGCGGACCACTTTGATGGCAACCTCGCCGGCGTCTCCTTCGAGATCCCGTGCGCGGTAGACGTTACTGAAGGCGCCGTCGCCCATCTTTTCCAGCAATTCCCACCGCTCCAGGCCCGAGTACCTGGGGAATTTGCTCCGGCTCGCATTCTCTTCGGCGACCAATTTGGCCACGTCGTCGATCCTCTTACCCTTGCCTGAGTTGCGGTGGTGCAGGGCTTGCTTGTCCTGCTCGTGGGCAGCGGCGACGCCGTCGGCGCGAGCGGCCCGATTCACTGCGTCGCCAGGGGCGGTCGAGTACGCGTCGGGCAGTGGCTGCGCGTGGCCAGGTGCAGCGCCGAAGCCAGGCTCTGATTGCGGAGGAGGCATGGCCTTGGTGGGCACGGGGACAGGCTGAGATTGGGGCGGCGACGGTTCGTTTTTCCTCTGGGCCTCGTCGGTGTTTGTCGTCCGAGCTTGCTTGCCTGGGGGGATCGATCAGCTGGCGTCATTTGGGGGGGAGCGGACCCAGTTATGTGGGAGGTGGGGGAGGATGTGACCAAGAACAAGAAACCTTGGTCATGGTGTTGAGGCGAGCGAGGGAGAAATAAAGGCCCTCTCATCGGCAAGGAAGGATTCAGGCGAGGGCCGCGGTGAGGAATGCAGGGGAAGGAGCATAGCATACCATGGCGAATAAAGTTCTTGAGTTGCTGTATTGTAGACATCTTGACCGATGATGTAACCCGTTTTGGGGCCTGTAGATTGCAACGGTTCGGATCAGTCCCAATCGGGGCGGGCACACACCACACACACACACACAGACACACACGGCTTTTGCCCTGCGTTGGGAGGGATGGGGCCAGGTGATGATGATATGCTTACTGGATAGGCGTGATCCGAAGTATAACTGCACAGCGAGACGGACAACGCGGTTTTCGCGTGTAGCGGCTGAGCTCGCGATGCTCTGCAACGGTGAGGGTTGCTTAGAAATCGGGCTGAGCTGGCAGCCGTCTCTCACTCTCTGCGACGCCCAGGGTGCTCCTCAAACCGGGCAATGCCGAGAAGGGGGACGGGGGACGGGGACAAGAGCGCTTGAACCGGCAATGTCAAGGCCAGACGGAAGGATGGTGGTATCCGGTCTTGTTTGGTTGTTGGGGAAGAAGGAGAATCCCTGAACCTGACCAGCAAGCAGGACAGGACAGGACAGGACCTGGGTTGACTGCGAAGAAGGGGAAGGGGAGGTAGGTGGTAGGTAAGCGAGGCGTGTCGGCTGGTGGTTCTGATGGCCGATCTCAGTCTCAGTGGTGACGTCGACTCTTGCTTGGTAGGGGGTTGCCGACAGGTCGTGTTTTTGGTGACGGCTGGTTGGTGGTGGTGGTGGTTGTGGTGGTAGTGGATGAGGGGTCCCGAGAGACGCAAGAATCCCACGGCCAAGTCGATCGGGAGTTTTTCGCAAAGGCGAGTGAGTGCAGTCGGGACAGCTGCGATTGTAACTTGCTGTCTGTAGGTAAAGTAGGGTGTAGTAAATCTGGATGAGAGCTTGTCCAGACGGAAGAGGGCTGCGAGGCAGGCAGATTGGTCGATTGGTCAGGTGGGCACAGGTTTTGCAGGCTGGCAAGCTGGTGGTAGACTGGCAGGCTGTGTGAAGGCTCGAGGAGGAGCAAAAAAAGGGTCGAGTGACTTTGCTTCTGCGGGATGGATGGATGGATGGATGGATGGATGGATGGATGGATGGATGGATGGATGGACAGAGGGGAGGCGGCAGGATGCTCGCAGGTGGAGAGGAGCAAGTGTCGTGATAAAGATTTCGGGGCAAGACAGCCAAGGTACTACGATGGGCGGCAGGACGGAATAGGAACAGGAACTGGACAGGACAGGACAGGACAGGACGGAGAGAGGGAGAGCTGCCAGGTCGAGATCCACGTTTTCGGTAGGTAAGAAGAGGATGAGGTAGGCTATGAGGTAAGAGTCGCGGAGGGACAGAGAGACAGAGACAGACCAGACACAACGGCAAAGGCAGAGGCAGAGGCAGAGGCAGAGGTAGCGGCGCAGAGAGGTACCCTACGTCAGGACAGGCGGCAGACCAAAAGCAGGGTCTGGAGCAGATTGCAGTGTTGCAAGCGGGCGAGGCCAAAAGGTACCTAGACCAGGGCAAGGTACCTAGGCCTGGGTCAGGGTAGGTAGGGCTTAGGGTGGCAATCCAGCAAGCCAGCTATGACGAAGTACTGGACTGGGCTGGGCTGGGCTGGACTGTTTTTTTTTCCTCTACTGGGCCTGGCTCGCCGGCTGGCTGGCTGCCCTGGCTGACCTGACTGTTGCTGCTACTGGGCTGGGGAGGTCGGCAGGTTTTCTCCAGATGAGCAGCAGCAAAAGCAGGCTGGCCAGGTATTTTAAAGTTGACAATAGACGACTACGAGACTTTCCCTGGCGTCTGGATATTTCTAGATAGATATTAGCCCATCCCAAGCCAGGCCCTCAGGCTGGTCTGTGTCTGCCCTGCCCGTTTTACTCATTGCTCATTGGTTGCTTATTACTGTTGTCGAAAAGACAAGCTCCAGACGCACGTATTGCATCACATCATTTTCACCAAGGGGGGTGGCAGGGTCAAACAGTCCAACCAGTTCTGCCAGTGTCTGTCTGCCCAGTCCAATTGACACACATCAGCAACACCGTAGTAGACAGGCAGGCAGCGTCCAGGTAGCCAAAGCAGAAGCAGCAGCAGCAGCAGCAGCACACTTGGAGGGCAAAGACGGCTCATCTCGTCGGCACTCTGTCTTTCTTGCTTGCTTACTGGCCTGCCTAGGACTGATGGTCGTGTGCGTTTGTATGTGTGTGTTGTGTGGTATCTCGATTTGCATGTCTAATGTCTCTGGCGAAGACTGGGGCGTCACAGCGTCGAGCTGGTGCAGAGGGGCACGTCAGGGCGACGTCGGTTCGATTGGCCGGGTGTGTGAAGCTGATGAACCGCAGGTCGGCCTGCCGATCAGCTAGGCCGGATGAAGCGCGCCTGCTCGGGCTGCTAATGCGGTGCGGTGCCGCACAGGCCTGGTTGGTGATGGTTGGTGGCACTGGTGCTGGCGCCGGCGCTGACGATGCCGTTGCTGGGAGCCAAGAAGCGTTAAGAGCTTCCCTGCATTGCTGGCTTGACTGACTGACTGACGGGCTGACGGGCTGGTCCTGTCCTGTCGGAGCGCATGCCCCGGTGTGGGAGCCAGGGAGGAGGCAGGCTGGCAGGGAGCGGTTCCGTTTAGGATGGGCGGCAGGGCGGAAAGGAGGAGCAAGACACGGGCAGTGACGGGGATGGCGTCGCGAATTCGTCGGCAGCGGGGCTATACCAGGAGTGGCAGCCATGGCTTGAGGATCGACGCAGAATTGGACAATGATGGCCGTCGTCAGTCACGCCAGGCAGGCCAGTCAGGCCAGTCATGTTTGAGCTGAGGAGGCGGCGGCGGCGGACGAAAATGTACGGTATCTGTATCTCGTGCGTATGGCAGAGTAGGGCAGGGCAGGGCTGGACTTGGCTGGACTCGGGCGTGCGGTTGGGGAAAAGAGAGAGAGAGAGAGAGAGAGGTCGAGGCCGAAACACTAGTCTGTTGCAAAAAGTGGAACAAGCTGGGCGCTGCCGATGGACTTATCGGCAGTATTATCTTGTCCTCGCCCAACAATGTCTGGTGGATGAACTGGCAGATGAAGATCGAAGGGCTGGAAAAGGAACTTGAAGCGATTCGCAGATGAGCAGGAGCTGGAGCTTGCCGTGTACCTCGACTGCAGCTTGAGCGGCACTGTCTGTGGGTGGGTTCGAGGGATGGTGCGTGCGTGCTTGCTTGCTTGGTTGACAAGGCCATAGCTTCGTGGGGTTGGTCGTGCGAGGTACCTACCGTACAGTAGAGGTAGGCGTGGGCTTTCCTGCCCCGCCTGAGGGTTGGGTTTTTTTTGGGCGGACGCGGGCACGGCGGGTTCTCCCAGGTGCCTGGCACGCCTGGTTGTTGCTGGGCAGAGAAGACTGGGGCATGAGGGGCAGGGGTTCCAAGAAGCAGGGGTGCAGAGAGGTATACAAAGTGGGGTCCCATAAAAATGACGTATTGACCAGCGTCATTCCGTCCAGGGCAATGTGTCCCCCCTCGCCCTTCACCCCACCTTTGGGAAAGTAAGGCACAAATGAGCGACCATCCAGACTTGCCAGACAACTGCCAAACTGGGCATTCGGGACATTTCAGAAATTACATTCCAGGGAATTCATGCACCTTCGACCTATTGAGTGAGCAAATGTAATACTGAAGCCATTATCACATATCAGCATTGTCAACGAGGCAGCACGGTTCAAAGCAAGCGGATGTGAACAAGGAAAGCCGCAGCAAAAGCAGAGCAGTGTCTGCCCCGCAGACTGGCTATCCAAGTACAGACGTACTCCTGTATCGTACAGTAGGCAACTATGCGGATTTTGCAGACCAGGCCATGGCGGCCTGACAACACTGAAAGCGATCCTCTTCGGCCAAGCCCAGATCACTGAAGCATCTTTTGCGGTAACAGAGCATTTGTGGATTTCAGAAGCGGTGTTAGGTTGAGTTGAGAGGTGTGAGCCATGGCGGACAGCATGGAGCAGCCCCGAGGCTAACTCATGCGTGTGTTGGCGGCAACGAGGACCCTCTGGGCACTTGGAAGCCATACTCACAGGATCTTTCGAGCGTATGTCGTCTAATGGATGTCGACATCCACAAATCACGAGGCCTGGGCGGCCACAGATAGTCGACGAATGGGTGTGGGTACTGTGTGTGTATGTTCGGTTCTGTTCACGTGGAAAAGAGCAGCGCACTCCCCGATATCCAATGGCTGGCTTCAAAACGTGTAAAGGGCCGCAAGACCACTGGTGAATAACCTCGCCTCGTGGCATCTCAAACCCTGTTGCCATTCTGTTGGTTCCTCACAAAAAGTTGGACCCCCAAACCTTAAGGGTGTGATTGTGCCAGGTTTGGCGTGGGTCCCCCATTTCCCGAGGTGCCTTGATGCCACTGATATCCTTGATCTCCCGCTCGCTTACATGCCCCAAGTACAGTGCCCATCCAAACATACATGATCTGGATAGATTGAAGCTAAGATTCAGATTTCAACGTCGACAACGCACCGACACGTTGTCTCATCGATTTGGATCCTGGAGCATGAGCAACTCGTGACCCATGCACATCTTGTTCCACATCGGAGGCCTATCCGACCCACTCCAGTGACCCTGCCAGCAACGCCATTAGTGTCCTTGTAAATTGCTCCGGCAAGTGGATCAAGTTGGCTCGGGCTACCACAATGCCATGTGCCTGGAGAAATAATTATTATTAGACTACTGCAGACTACATGTCCTACAGCACATCGCTCTGGAGTACTCAGTCCCTGGCGCGTTCTGGCAGCCTCTGAACATTGAGATTAGCCAATGTGGCCGACATAGATAGAAAACCTTTGCCCCATTGGCAGGAGGCACAAACGAGAACACACACAAACCAGAAAAATTGGATGAAGCAGAGCTAGAGATGGAGCCGTTGCCGACTCCCCGATGGACCCGTCAGCAACCAGCAACCTCATCTCTCAGCCTCAAGACTGTCCTGTCCTGGCCTCCACCTGTGCCCTAAACGAAACGGCAACTGCCCTCAAGAGTGACGTCATGGTTCTTTTTGGGAGCACAACGGGCTGAGACAGGAACTGCAGAGCTGGTCTGCCTGTACATGCGAACAAATGGACATATATCGACCTTACCAAGCCACATAAACATGAGGTGTCTAGGAACCTATCTTAGTACCTAGGTATCTACGTAGGTAAGCTAGTTCACACTAAGAGCCTGTTGTTGGCTCTCATTCCATATACGGTGTCTCTTCTCAATTTTACCCTCGACGACAGCAGGTCATGTTTATAGTAATGAAATCGGATAGACAATGAATGGATAAGCGGATACATGAATTATGCAGTAACATTAGCAATTTGAGGGCAGGGACTTGGTAGACCTCCACATTCATGGCACTCTACCCTCCTCCCCCATCTTCACCCTGTCCCTCTCTCCGGGGCCAGGAACACATACGTTTCCCGTGGCAAAAGAAGGTCAGAACTGGGAAGTACGAAGCCTCTGCAAATGACAACGAATAGCCTCTTGGATATCAGCTTCTTTGGCACCCATGTAACTAGGCAGTCTCCCTAGTAGATTGACATGCTGCAACAGCCTAGGCTACGTGCAGTTACAGGGTTTTCCGAACTGCCGGTATTGAGGCCATCTTCACTTGCGCTGTACAGTCGAGAGAGATTATCCATGATCGGGAGCGCCAGTCACAATCACTTCCCGTGCAGCCAAAATCTGTCCGGAAAGCACCCGCCCACATGTGCGCCTACAGTCTCTTAGGTCCCAGCCTCTCCAGCTTCCGCGGCTTCTCCAGGCAGTCATCTTTAATTTAGGAAAGCTTCCAGACAGCTTCTGTCGGACTTATTTCCTGAGAAGTGCCCCCTGTAGATCATTTAGACCAACCCTTCGTCGCGTGCCTCTCTGCACTCAGCGTTCTCGTCCGCGAATTCACTGTCCTCATCAGCAATCTCCTTGTCCATCCTCGCTGGGTCCCGCTCACATGTTTTGTACCATCATATGTCGCTTGAATAGGCTTCACAGTAATCATCTGATGTTCGAGAGCAGCCTTAGATACAGATAATGATGTCCCAGATTTGGCTGATAAAATCATCATTGTAGCTGGTGGTTGTGAGGGTCTAGGACAGCGGCACCTTTGGCTGTCTTGGAGCTGGATCTGTCATCATTTGCCAACATCAAACGAGTAGCAGCAGCCTTTCAGGCCCGGGAAACTCGACTTGACATATTGGGTAACAATGCTGGTCTTATAATGACGCCTCAACGACTAAAAGAGAATGGTAAAGAAGTGCAATTTGGCACGAATTATCTAGGCCATGCTTTGTTTATACACCTTCTGCTACCCTTACAACAACAAAATGCTAGACTGGCTGTGACGTTCGAGTGGTCACAATTACCTCAGGAGCAGAGCAAATGGCTCAAGTCAAGGTTATTATCCATTTAGCAGACTTTAAAATAATGGTAGGTGATAAAAGTACACAAGCCAGGTATTGCATATCCAGAGATGTCAACGTCCGCTGTGGTCTGGCTTTTGCTAGGCGGTTTGAGATTATCAAGTTTATTGCAATACGTCTGGGGTTAGCACGAACGACACTCGATTAATTTTCAAGGTGTTCAGCAGAGGAACAGACACCCAATTCTTCGCGATTGCTATCAGAATAGGCTTGAGATTTGATTTCTAACCACAATGCGGGGTGTTCAATGACTGTATACTGTCACGAAGTGCACAAGATTTTAACTTTGAATGTAACGTCAAGTCCTGCACGAGACCCTGTTCCGCCCATCTAATATGCTGCAGTAGGCCCTGTCTGGCAAGTCTGTATGGTGGCCTTCAACAACGACTGCCGGGCGGATGAGATATCCGGAAGTCAATCACTACATGCTCCGGACTTGAGCTGCAGCTACTTAAGGCGGAAGAGTTTGACGGTGACAAAGGCGAGAAAGTGACCCAGCCACTCAAGTTCCGTGGGGTGATTAGTGGTCATTCGCCCAGGCAATAATTGAATTAGATGTTCTGCAACAAACCCCACCCCTCAATTCTGCTCCCCCTCCCCCACGCAAACTTTTTTCTTTTTCCCTTTTTCCCTTTTTCCCTTTCCGCTCGACGCACTTTTACCACTTCATGCACCATTCTATGCCTGACCCCAACCTCATGTAGGATCCTGGTAGTTCAGCCCTTTGTGCGGATCATAGAGCGCGCAGAGTAGATATTTGTGGAATGTTTAGTATGGATGGAGGTCAGCCACGGGGGGCATACTCACATGAGAACTTTGGAGATAATAGAAGCGGCATCATTCTTGGCATTGTCGCCATATGTTGGATATTGGGTACTATTGTCGTCACGCTTCGCGTCTACACAAGAAAAGTGCTTCTAAATCAGATAGGCACAGACGACTATTTTGCCGTTGCATCACTGGTTAGCCTTTCTTCTGTCCCGGTAGTGAAGCCGTGGGCACTGCTGACTGTTTGACTCCTGTAGGCGTTGGTGTATTTACTGGGCATCGGAGATCTACTTAGTCTGTCACTTATTCTTTCAGCAACTGACAATACATAGGAATTGAGGCTGACCAGTAAATAGTGATCAAATATGGACTTGGAAGGCACATATGGACAATCAACCCAATCGATTTTGTAACGTATCTCAAGGTTAGCTGCCCCGTTGTTTCCGCGTTCACTTGCGGTCTCACTCCAATACTGAAAGGCCAACTTTCTCACTTTGCTTACTTGCTAGTTTTTCTGGTTGACAATATTCGCATATACTTCGGCCATCCTCACTATCAAGATGACTTTCCTTTTCCAATACTATAGAATCCTTGGCATGCTTCTGCCCCGCCATCTCTACACGTTCATCGTCGTCGGCGTCGGCGCCTGGTCCATGGCGATGATCCTACAGTGCTTCTTCCTCTGCCAACCCCTCGCCGGCTTCTGGGACAAAACCTTACCAGGGGTCAAATGCCTGCCTGAATTATCTACCTGGTTGGGCGGCGCCATTGGCAACATTCTGACGGACTTGCTGGTCTTCGCATTACCCATCCCGATGCTGAGCAAGCTGAATCTACCCGGCGCGCAAAAGGTTATGCTGCTAGGGGTGTTCAGCCTGGGATTTCTGTGCATAGCGCTAAGTGTGGTCAGGATCAAATACCTCAGGTTGAATCAAGACGATGTCAGCTGGTCCAACGTCAGCTTGACGTGTCTTTCGATGTCGGAATTGACCTTGGGCATAATATCTGCTTGCGTTCCTACTATGAGGAGGCTTTTCTTCAGACCGGCACAGAGAATGCTACCTGTTCATGCATTAGAGGGTGACAGCATTGCGCATTCTCGGCGTGGCCAGACAAGCGATAGCAACAGTCAGCGGGAATGGTGGTGGCTTTGGACGAGGAGAGGACTGACTGGCATCGAAAGAAGCAGTGGTCATGGAAGTGGACAAGGATCCAGCGCACCTACGACATCGTAGCTCATCATATGAATTAAGCCTAGATTAAACTTTGAGGACGTGTTCATGGCCAGTTAAAGCTTCTTGCCAACTAGGACGGTAGGACCGTGTATGATCTGGGTTGAGGTGCACGAAACACTACGAGGTACGAAATGCTACGAAGTCATGTGCTGAATAATTCAGAGACTCATCTCCGCGGGCGAGTTGCCTTCACGTTTATTGAGGACGAACGAGTGCAAGCGGACGCAAAGGTTGTCCCTACCGATAGGTCAAGAGTCGGTATCAATAGTTGTCTCTGCAATGTGGTGTTCGTGCAGTGTTGAGGGACGCGAAGCAATTAAGAAAAGGAGGATTCCGCGGCACAGGAGGCGCTAGTCAAGTTTTAATATTAAATCAGCTTCCTGCAAGTTATTGTGTTCACAATTTATCACTCAAGACTGTGGCCAGCTTTCTGGACCATATTCATGAATGTTCCTCCTGGCCCAGGGTCCAGGTCGGCGGTACCTAGGTAGTATTCTGGGACCTGGTACGTGGAGGCAGGCTCTTACCTGCTGGTGCAACTTTAACCGAGGCATTTCAAGCTCAGTGAAGCGCACCTTGGCTTCACCCCTCCCTCAATTTGACCACAGTCACAGTCAGACCTTAGAATTAATCCATATCCGAGGCCAGCTGAACAAAAGGAGTGACCACAGAGGTAGAGACGTTCGACTATGACCAATACGGCACCCGCCGGGTCCAGTTCGGAGCTCAGCCTCCGTGTCCTGAGTTTCAGGTCCGCAATGGCCCGATTCGGCCGACGAGGTTGCACCCAACCCATTCTTACCAGCATTGGTACCATCGCTGTGAAGATGGTTGGAGTTTCGGAATGAAGTAGTGTACCTATCCTATTTTCCGTCCCCTCCTCTTTGGCGGTGCTGAGAGCTCCGTCAAGCTGGCTTCAAGTGCTGCCTCATCCCCTCTCATATGCGGCGAGCTTGGCCGCATCAGCTCTGTTTCTTTTGGCGCGAATCTTGCAACATGCAATCATGGCTTTGCCTATCTTTTGTCTCTCGAGAGTCACCAGCCTAAGCTTGGTGACCGTCGTTATTGCCTGTATCCTGGCTTACATCCCTAGCCTTATCAACTCCACCGGGCTCGCGTCTTTTCTCCCCGAATTTGATCTGCCTCCCCGCCTCTCGTCCTTCCCGTTCGTTCATACCACACCAGCCACTGCAGAGAGTACCGCTTATGTCTGCAAGCCTGCAACATATCGCACGCAAATCGTGTCCCTTGATCCACTTCTGATCTACATCCATTCTTTCTTGCGCCCTTCCGAGATCGAATCCTTGCTTAATACTGCTGACGGGCTGTTCAAGCCTTCTACAGTAACCAAGCAGGGCCGGAAGGTGGGTTCTTCGGAACGGACGTCCAGCACCGCAGGCCTGCCTCTTGAAGATCCCGTTGTACACTGCGTACTGGGTCGGGCAGCCGATTTCATGGGGACAGTCATGCGAGATGGCGTAGACGAGATGGGCCCCCCTCAGCTCGTCCGTTATGTTGCTGGCCAGAAGTTTGACATGCATCACGACTGGTACCCACAGCCGCAGTGGGCATATGACGGGTCGCCGAGACAGTTTAACCGCGTGGCGAGCTTCTTCGCCATCCTGCAGGATAACTGCACCGATGGAGAGACGTATTTCCCCCACGTCGGCCCACCAGCACAGGAACAGGACAGTGTAGTCGGCGCCCGAGCCGACGGGCCAAGAGCTTGGAGCCAGAGCGACCCGATCTGGAGGCATCATGAGAGCGGTGGCTTGGCTTTCAGACCCATCATGGGTAACGCGCTGTTCTGGATCAACCTCCGCAGTGATGGCACTGGTCATGAGAAGACGGTGCATGCCGGCCTCCCGGTCGGGAATGGCCTAAAGACTGCCATGAATATTTGGCCGCGGCAGTTCTATGCGGTCAATTAGGTTGAGAAGCAAGCAAAGTTTTTGGGTTTTCCCTTTTACCTTTTTCAATACCTGGGCCTACGTAGCGCGGTGGATTATCATTTTCTAAGTAAATAACCCATTGATTCACACACACATAAACCATTCAACACCGTTTCGGCCCAGACCTCAAGGTGTACAACAAGAGTTTGCTATTTTACAATCTATACATGCATTTGAAACATCAGCATCTCCGCAGTGTTGGCGGAGATGTTGCGATAAAACATGTTTTGAATGCTTTGTAATGACCCACCTAGGTTCTCGGCCTTCGGAGAGAGATTGAACGTCAAGTCGATGTAACATATAATGGAACCCAACACGTAGATAAGTACTCTGACAATATTGCAAACAGTGAACTACACAGACATTTCACGGGTCATGCGTTGTGAATATAGACTCGGAGCCCCTGCATATGTCGACAGGGCCAAGTCTTCTTGTGACGGGAGCAAGAGAGGCGAGGTATGATGGCATCCTTTGACTTTTGCTGCATCAGTTGTTTCATCTCGCATCTCTTCATGGCCAGTCATTGTGAGACAAGGCAGGAAAAGCTCAGCGCCACTTCATCCTACTAATATGTACTCCCGACGAAGTGTTCTGTAGGTCAACTTCCTTCACAACGCGACTTCCGTTGCTTGTATTGCTTCTCGCCCACATGATTCACCTTACAGCTGCTCTGTGTGCCTCCTTTTTTTTTCCTTTCTTTTTTCTCGGAATCTTTCACTCCTTTTCTTCCCCTCGGTTTGAAGACAGTGTAACATAAGTGTCTTATCTGTATGTTACACCATGTACTCTTTTATGTTGATGGGACGGTAACACTCCATTTTCGCGCAAACATGCTTGACGAATCACTAAGCTCTATGCTCGGAATCCGATTTATACACGTCAATTGATTTCGCAGAGGCAAGTGCTAATCATGCTTGTATTTGGAGTTTCGTTTTGCCTGCACCAGATGCTGTGCGAGTGCTCCGCTGTGTGTCCCGGAGCTGTTACTATCTAATGTAACATTGGAGACTGGTTTGCAGAGCATCAAGTACTTTTTCATGAGCCACAACGGCCGTCTATCACGTCAACGCCCCAGCGTTTGCAGATGAAAAGCCACAACCGGTTTAATCTATCAATACAGTGCTTCACGAGAGGAAGCATCCGGTGGGCAGTGTTCGGGACAGTGGGGCCGACCCGGCTCGGATTACATCCGGCGGCTTTCATGTGGGCGAAGAACATACATGAGGACCGGGTCTCAGAACTATAAATTGATGTCAATCTGTTGGTCTGAGTTGCTCTTCCATGCTTTCCTTTCACAGTATCTTGAGCATTTGCAGCCCACACTCCTCCTCGGGATATGCATGCATCGGCTCTTTACACGGAAGTAGTTCACATCATATGAAACCTCAGTCATAGATTTTGATCTTTTATCGTGGTGTTGAAATGCATATCCTAGGACTCTGCAATGGATCAATACACGGAAACTCCGAGATACTACTCAAGGCAGCACTGCAAGCAGCTGTTGCACATGATCCATCCATAAAGACTTCGTGGATTCACGTTCCTTCTGTGGCACTGCCCAGAAACCCCAAACCGCTCAGAGATGAACCAGATATCATTCCAAATCGCAGCTACGAGTATGATAAAGACGGTGGTAGCGGTCCAGCAGGTTCGACTACTGACGTTGACGATCGTGCTGCTGCTTTTGAGGCTATTATGGACGCCGATGCCTTGATTATTGCCACTCCTATCTATTCCCACCAGCCGGCCGGCTCACTCAAGGCTCTTCAGGACGCGATTCTCGGCCCCTTCGCAGATACCTGTGGACAACACCGTATATACCAGAGACAGAAAGCTGGTGATCCTGCTGTCAAAGACGTTGTTGTTGACCACCGCGCCATCAAGCCACGTGTCGCCGGCTTCATAGCCGTGGCAGGCTCGAGAGCCCAGTTCCCTGAGCAGTGGACCCTCGCGATGCCATCTCTACATCAGTTTACGTACCCGCTTCACTGCAAGGTGGTCGACATGTCTGTGTTCCCCGGTTTTGCTCACGCTGGTGCTGTTCTAACGGACCCAGAGGCCGTTGTGCGTGCAGCTAAAATAGGGACAAATGTGGCGAGCCAGATCGGACGGCCATTTGATGAGGCTGTGTACCTTGGGCCTGAGGAGGATGGCAGTTGCTCATATTGCCACTTGCTGAAGTTTGAATTCCAAGGGGACAATAACCGGATTAGGTGCATCACCTGCGGCGCAGCAGGGGAATTGAAGACCAGGTCAGATGGTCGCGTCCGGCCGGTCTGGGGAGAGGACTCGGATCTCAGCTGTATCACGCTGAAAGGTAAATGGCAGCATGTTGATGATATCGCAGGAGGACTTGAAATAGAGCGCCAACAGCTGCCGGCGGTAGCCACTGAGCTGGAGAGATGGAAAGCCATTGAGGTGCCTTTTGTGGCTCTTCCGAGCCGGGAGTCGAATCCCACTCACCATGGAAAGGTGAGAAGTAATTAGCGCCCATACCGAGGCATTCTTTACGCACCATTTGAACTGTATTGAGTGTTCTCAACCCTTTCTTCAGCATTTTACGATGTGCAGTAATTCGTCCTCTCACTTGGCCATGTTTGGTCTGCCAGGCTGTTGAGATTCAATGAAGGATATGCGGTGTGTATGTTTTGAACATGAATCTTGTAGGCTTCGAATTCCTAGCACGGCTAATACTCTGAATTGTGACTGATTTGAGCCTCAATGAGGACAAATGGGGCGAAGGAAATTTTCAATTATAGCAGGTGGTGTGGACTCGACCAATTTCCACGTTTTTGTGCATCTCTTGCTGGCTGGCGACGTCTCCCGACCACCCGAAGAATCAATCCTTGACACATACGTGTACATCTAGAATGATGCATACGCGTTTTTCCAGTGGCACATGAAGGCATATTAGCAGACCAAATCAGGGTTTTCCTCTCTATATGCCTCACAATTACGTTTTCGGCATTTGAGATCTCCTCGTTTGCAGCAATGGACCGTCTGTTGCCTTCGTGGCCCCGAGGCCCTGCGGAATGCCCTTTCTACACATTCTGGACCGACGGAGGAGAACTGGATAGGAACTTTGAATTCCATGAAAGCCGAGTGCTCGCCCTGAAGCGTAGCGCTGCACTCCCAGCTCACAATCCAGTCACTGCATTCTGCTCACTCGTATTAGTCAAAGTTATGTGCATATATGCTTTGGCAGGGATGGAGCGATATGGCTGATACGAATGAGAAGCGTGTGTTTTGTTGCAGCGAAGACCAACGTACCTTCACGCAAGTGGATGAGCATGTGATTACCGCAGCCATCCTGCGATGTTTCATCATTCCGACCAAAGTCCTTGGAAAACACCATGTACATCAAGCTGTCTGCACCCCTATACGTGCAGTGGGGGTGGGATGGGACGTCATGAGGCACCGCAAGACTCCTCTCAAGTCCAGCTTCGGCGGGACTGCGGAGAGCAAGAGCCGTGGTGTCGTCGTCCATGGGGTTGTTGATGCTTGCCGTAGATGAAACGGGCACTCGAGCAAAACGCGAGCCCTCAACCTTGGGTACCGCTTGGAGGCTGCTGAGCGCCGTTAGGCCCAAGGCTGTCAAGTATGTCTTCATTTATGCGGATGATCGAAAGATTATGTTGATAATTTCCAGATGCCATAGTACAACTCGACGGACCATCAACATCAAAGTAGGACCTCCGGAGGCGTAGGGGAATTACCAGAATATAATGATCCAGATGTAGCCATTGATTATGGTCTGCCTAGTATCCATTATCGATAGGTAGACTGGAGGACTAACGCCGTCGAGTTGACTGCCCTTAGCGCCGTCGGGACAGTGGTTAACATGCGAACGATCAAGTCAGTGCACCTCAACCGGGTCGTACCGCAAGATGGTCCCATCCAGTCTTGAAGCCACGTGCGTACCTCATCGTATGTCGTTGCTGCTCTTTAAATTGCGGCTTGCATTTAGCTACTTGAGCTTAGGGATTGACTTGTCATTACTTGTAATCTATGTGTCTATGCTGTTCGCGCACAGAGCTGCCTCGATGCCTCAGCTTCTCAAGCTTTCCTAAACCTATCTTGGTCCCAATTATTGATTTAACTAAGTCCTCGTTAATCAGGTCGACACTGGAGTTGAGTGCCAGAACTTCAGGTCGTGTGGCCTCGACCGTAAGGGTAGCTTATCCGGCAGCATGCAATTATACATGCTTTCTTTGTGTACGCCACCAATGGCCTCCGCCCCCGCCCCCTGAAAAAAGGCCCTAGCAATAAGACTTTGAAGGGGTTGTGCTTGGTCCAACAGTGCCAACACAACGACTGCAGTCACACGTTTGGCCCTGTGCAGCCAGTCGAACGAGTATGCGATAAATGAAAAGAATCAAGTCGATGCACACTGAAGCCTGACTCAATGAATTCCAAAACATATTTTTTTGCCATTTTTTTCCCGTCAAAGAGCCAGTATGTTCAACGGTCTCTTGAAAGAATAATTAGATAGAAACCTCGAAGTCCGAGACTTGGCAGAGATTGCTGGAAAAACACTGCTCAAGTGCTACTGCTTATGACTTCCTTGTATCGAGGTTTATTAACCCAACTGGCGACCACCGGAAGATCAATCGTTTTGATCCAAGTTGATGGTGCATGCCCATTGATGATTGCATGCTGCTGGTTATGCGGGACGGCGTTTCTATATTCCTGAACCCCGCTCTCTACATGCGCAGATGATTCCAGCTAATGCCTACTCGAATACCCTGAACATCGTCGTTTTTGCATCTCATGATAAATGCTCTCTTGGTCTATCTTGGTAGCGAATGCTTCCTGCAAATCGAACACAGCCATGCCCGCATCATCGCCGTTGAGTCTCGGGCTTGGTCTCGAGGGCACACACGTGCTCGTAACAGGAGGGGCTGGTATTATCGGTTCAGCAGTTGTGCACGCCTTTCTCTCTGCCGGTGCCAATGTCTCCAGCATCGACATTAGCCATGGCCCAGATGAGTCTGCCACACCATCGCCCTACAACATTGGACAAAAAGACGGGCACTACGTTAAGATTTCTGCCGACATTTCCAATGCCGCGTCCTTGACCACAGCCTGGGACAAGGCGAAGACACTCTTTGGAACAGTTGAAGTCTGCGTGGCCCTTGCATCTCTCGACCTGTCTGTCCTTCCGCAAACGGATTCTATCGTGGACGCCAGCCCCGCGGACTGGTCACGCGTGCTCGACATCAACGTCGGTGGGACCATGTTGACAGCCCAACTGTGGCTTCGGGGGGTCCGGGATCACCAGACGCAGCGATCGGGGGTGGAGCTCAGAAATCCAAGCTTGATTCTGGTTGGCAGCGAGGCAGGCCACTTTGGCGTGCGCACCTGCGCGGCGTATGCTGCAGCCAAGTCTGCTGTGCAGTATGGACTCCTCCAGTCCCTCCGCGCCGATGCGCCGCGCATACACTCACGAGCAAGAGTTAATGCCGTCGCGCCTGGGCCGGTTGACACCGATCGCTTCCGGGGCGAGACAAAGGGGCCTGGCACCAATGAGTGGTGGACTGAATGCCAGGCTACGACGGCCTTGGCCCGGCCCGTCCCAACAGAGGCTGTTGCAAGGAGCATTTTGTTTCTCGCAAGTGAGACGTGGAGCGGCAGTGTTCATGGGAAATGCATTGACGTCGACTCGGGCAAGATGGGAGCTCTGATGTGGAACTCGCCGAACGGTCAAGCCGAAGCGTTCAATCGCAGCTCCTGAGTCACGAGCACGTGCTTCAGTTCTCGTGCATTTTGGACGATCGAGACGATCATTTCTGAGTAATGCACAGCCTACCTGGCCTGGCATTGATTGTCGGGAACATTGGAACATTCCCCCAGTCCACCAAGACAACGCCCAGTAGTCTATTGCTTGACCGAGTAATCGGGAACCCCTTTTTCAAGGTTGTGGACATGCCACACACTCCTATCCGTGTGGGTGTGTGGGGATCCATGGAACCGACTTGGCGATGATGACAGGACGCTAACAAAAGCACTGCAGGGAGTGCGCGTCAATCTGCTAAGCTACCCAGTACTTTGATCTTTCTGCTTTATCGGGCGCCCGCGTGCCCACATTGGCATACGACGCGGTGGGTCTATTTGCGGACCTCGGACAGGGATGGGTGGATGGGAATAGGAATTCGGATAATGACCGTCTCTGCTCTTCTTATTTTTTTTTGTTGGCCCAATATCTGAAAACCTCAAAACCTCACATATCGCAGACTCTCGTCTTGCAGCGGCGACGCGGATGGCCCGGCCTCAGACATCGATCGCCATGCTGGCTGAGGCGTGGAAACCCTCGCCGAGGGTGCGATCGGTCCTCCGAGATAAACTCCGACAACTATATACGTCAACTGCTGCGCGGGCTGTTTTCATCCTCGCCTCGGTGGTCGTCCTCGGAATTGGCCTCTCGTCACTGTGGTCAAATGTCCTGGATCGCATCCACATCCACCATGATATGTCATGGTATGGGCTTGGATTGTACGGTCTCGCGCCATCAACTCAGTATGAGTCTTTCGCAGCACTCACGCCCTCGCTTGAGTATCCCCGTTGGGATGCGAGGTGCAGCCAGGATTACGTCTTCCTCGGCTGGAGGGGCCATGAGGTCGACGAGCCGGGTGCTGTTATACTTGACAACAAGGGCGATCTGGTTTGGCGACAAACAGGCTCCGATGAGGACCAGAATGATGTGAGGCCACAGATGTACCGCGGAGAGAGATTCCTCACTTTTCAGATGGACGGGCCGAACGGAAACAGGTCTCAGGGTTACTGGTACATGATGGATCAGTCATACACTATCAGGTATCGGATAAGGCCCAAGGGGTTTCCCCATGCCGATATGCACGAGTTCCAGATCACCAACGATAACACGGCCGTGATTGTTACGACAATTCCCATCCCTTATGATCTGCGCAGCGTCGGAGGCCCGGAACACGGATGGCTCGAGAACGGTTATTTCCAAGAACTCGATATTGAAACTGGGGAGCTTCTCTTCGAGTGGTCATCTATTGACCACTTCCTACCCAACACGACCATGGAGCCCCAAGACAATTGCTTGATCGACCCCAAAGCCAGGTTCGCGGGGTGCGGCGACAAAGAGGACTCTGCGTTCGATTACTACCATCTTAACAGCGTGGAGAAGGATTCCAAAGGCAACTATCTCATTTCAGGCCGCAACATGTGGGGCATCAGCTACATCGATGGGAGGAATGGTGATGTTCTTTGGACCTTAGGGGCAGGAGAGGTGAACGACTTCAAGGATCTCTCGGACGGCGCCGCATTAGAATTCTCATGGCAGCACTTTGCGCGCTGGGTTGAAGAAGGGAAAAGTCTCTCGTTCTTTGACAACCACTATCACCGAATTGGTGACCCAGCCGGAGAAAGTGGTGGCCGAGTCGTCGATATCGACGTCCCGAACCGAACCGTTCAGCTCCGAAAGGCGTACAACCATCCTCACCATATCAGACCAGAGTCTCAGGGAAACATCCAGCACCTAGATAACGGCAACTACATGGTTGGATGGGGAAGTTCCGGGGCGTTCACAGAATTTGCTGGCGACGGCGAGGTGCTCTGTGACGCCCGGTTCGGTGCGGAGGCTTTCTTCGAGTTCTCACCAGTGAGCTCCTACCGCGTCTTCCGCGGCGAGTGGACGGGAAGACCACTATATCCGCCGAGTGTGGCATTGAACAGCGGCCAAGCTTATGTTAGTTGGAATGGGGCGACCGAGGTTGTCAAGTGGCAGGTGGAAATGAAGAACGAGAACTCACAAACAGTGCATGTTATTGCGCAAGCGTTCAAGGATGGATTTGAGACGACAATCGATCTTCCGACAAATGCGGCAGACTCATTGGTTCGTGTTGTCGCCTTGGGCGTTGACGGCGAGGTGCTGGATGCGTCGGCATTCAAGAGGGTGCCCAAATGGGACAGCTTCAGGACGACACTAAATAACTTGATAGTGTTCAGTATCCTCGCAGTGTTTATCGCGTCCCTATGTGGCATGATGATTTGGTGGACATATGTCCGAGAAGACCATGAATTTACGAGGGGGTACAAAGAGCTAGGTAAACAAATAGATAATGTGTAGGGTAGAACACTTGTACCGATTATCCATGGTTATGACATTATAAATCTTGATTCAAGGCATTTAATGAGACAAACGTTCTGGAAGATGTGCTCCGAGCTTAGCTTATATAATACGGTGGATAAGGTTGTATCGAAAGGGGGGCGGTTCTCGTATTCAAACCGCTCTAGCACGTATTTCGGGTACCCGTTATCCAGTCTGCCAGAATCTCTTTTCGTTCTCTCTCAGACCGCTCGTTTAAACCATCTTGTTTTGATCATGAAGACGAACGGAGTGGCTACATGGTGGCTGATTTCAAGCAGCCTCTACGCCTCGCACGCAGCAGGTGCTGTAGACACCATTTTCTATGATGAGACGTGGGCGGGCCCAGTGCGCCTGGCTGCAGGTGGCACCACGCCAAGCTCTACCAATACCTCGTCTTCAAACTCAACATGGGCTGGGTTCAACAGAGTCGAGGCAACCCTCGTAATGCCGCGGCTTGCTATCCCAAGCCATCCCAGCGAGCGTGTTGATCAATATACGGCTGCTTTTTGGATTGGGCTGGACGGATTCGTACTGTCCGGGGACGAAGCACAGGGGACAGGGACAGGTACTGTGCGTGGCCTGTGGCAAGCCGGCGTCTTCATGTCGATTTGGGAGAACGGGACGTCCGCCTACACGGGATTCTATGAATGGTGAGAAGGAACACTTCTGAGGCTCACATGTGCTTGGACCGTACTGATCGTGACAGGGTACCGAATGATCCAATCAGCTTGACATCGTCCCAGTTGGCGATCTCTGAAGGTGACCACGTGCATGTAGTCGTTGAGACGTCGGACGGAGGTTACTATGGCAACACAAGCTTGACGAACCTCAACACAAGCCAGGCCTATTCATTCGGACAGGAGGCCCCAACGACGTGGCGGGGACCGACGTGGCCGTCGCCAGGAACGTCAGCAGAGTGGTGAGATGACCTTTTTCTTCTGCGTGATCAAATGACCAGTAGGAAACTAACACTCGGAAATTTTTCAACCCCAGGATCATCGAAGCCGGCACGTATCTCAACAGTACACGTCATATCTTCCCGGACTGGGGAAATGCGACAATGTTCAATGCAAAAGCTTGCTATGGCGACAACGACAGTGCTTGTATTATGGCAGGTGCGAGCGATGAGAATGACTTGCGAATGACAGCTATGCGCTTGAATGAGACGGGAATGTTATACACTCGATCATATGTCGAAGCTGATCGAGTGTGGGTTGCTTATGTAGAAGAGCCCTTTGTGGAATAACGCAACGTGAGCAATAGCGGTCACGTCATTTCATGGACTTATGTTCTCGGGGTCGATTTGTTACGACAATTAGTCTAATGACCTGGGTCAGTAGTGACCAGGAAGGAGACCAGTTGACCGAATTGGATGACCCTGAGGGATGGGACGACTTTGATTCTCCGCTGGGGATAGCTAGTGTGCAGTCTCCATTCGAGTCAACTAAGCGAGGTCTAAACACGTTATACAAGTGCGGTGAACATAGATCAACGTTTCAATTAGTTACTATTGAAGAATGCGAAAATTCGTTATTGTTTGGTCAACTCGAAGTTGATATCTCCCGTCGACGCACCGCCAGGGCAAGTCGCTGTGTAGGCCGATCCATTCGTACACGTCGCCTCGGCCGACTTGATACACTGTTCCCATCTGCCCTTGGAAATGTTGATTGTGGCACCGCTATCGGTAGGTGTGAGCGTGAATTTAGCGTCACCAGACTGCCCTGTAGTGCTGGTCGGGCTGCCGCCGCATTTTTGGATTGAGCCAGCAATGCCACCGCAGATCTGAAGAAGGGCTACGTTCTTGTTATGCTCATCGATATTCCTTGGAACTTGTTAGCCTCGGGTATTTAGTGAAGTTGTGGAAGGATCGAGGGTATACTCACGCTGCCTTATCAGTGCATTTGATGTTTGTAGCGGCTGTGTCCCGTCCCTCGAGCTCGATTGGGCTGGAGAGGGCCAGAGGTGCAATCGCAAGGAGGACAAATTGGACAAATGTTCTGGGAAACATTTTCGCGGGAAATGATTGTGTTGGTCGAAGTGATGATAAAGATTTGAAGAGCGAAGCAGTCAACGAGAGATTGTTGGTGGGTACGTAGGTAAAATTGACCACAAAGACGAGAAAGAATGACGACGGACTGATTTGGTTGATGCTTAACCAGATATTTCCAGTCGTAGGTGACAAGAACAACGATCTTAATAACGAAGACTGGACGAAGATCCTATCCAGCCAATCGTTCTCGGGAGATCCCCGGAGGATCTTGAAACAGGAGCAACCTGATGAGGCCTTGCTGTCTCAAGTTGCCCAGACGTCAGACCAGTGCCATCCAAGCTTAAATGAGATGAGACAACAAGCTGCGCCCTCCCTCTGGATGGATCCGATCATGGTGCGGCTCTGCTAGCCCCAGCAGGTACTTCATCCCAAGGTGACGGGGGTGGAGATCAGGCGCTCCCGCGAAGCTTGTCGAGTTTTGCAACTAATGCGACCCATGGTATCAAGGATGATTCGGAAACTTAGACAACAACCCTCTCATCTCCTGAAGGCAGACTATACCAAAATATTGAAAAGTGGGAGGAGGATACGTGTTGTAGATCGTTCTGTATCAAGACTTTCATCGCAACTTTGCGTGCAGCTCAGTTGGTTCTCAACCAAAAGACGCCGCCAAACCCAAAACGACCGCGGCCATTCTGCCGATATCCGAGTCGGAGATAGCCTACCTTGAGCAGATAGCCATTATTCTCCACCTTTCTCCGGGTCTTCCAGCGGCTCGGCACTCCGCTATCGCACGGGGGAGGAGAAGCTGCCCCCCCGAGCCACGGAGGGTTACGACGACATGGGTTGACGACCTCGGATGGGAGCCGCCCAAGAAATGTCGCATATATCCTGTGCAACAACTTCCGCCTGCCTGCATTGCTCCCTGTCAACAACGACAACGATAGCCACCACTTCAATTAAAGGGCCTCACGATACCTTGAGGAGCGTGGGAATCAACAATCAGCAAGGATGATCATCGAGCCGGGGTCTGAAACCCTCCTCACCAACGGCAAAATCTTCCAAGCTTCATCCAGTGGAGGTGCAGGCAAAGATCAACAGGCAACCTTCGCATCCAGCCTCCTCATCGGCGCAGACGGTATAATTCGTCACATCGGCACCTCGAGCGGACAACATGAAGAAGAGATCATTACCGCAGCCCGCGCTAACGGGGCAAAGGTGCACGACCTGCAAGGCAAGACCGTTCTTCCGGGCTTCTTCGATGGTCACCTGCACCTTTTGCTGCTGGGAATGTCCCTGCAGAAGGTCGACTTGGGCCCCTGCAAGAACTTGGACGACATAAGGGAGACGATCAAGGCCTATGCAGAGTCTCACCAAGACGTCCCGAGAATAATGTGCAAATCATGGATGCACACACAGACACCTGATGGCGTCGATCATAGCCTGTTGGATGACCTTGACCCCAGGCCTATTTTCGTCGATACCAAGGATCTGCATGGGTGCTGGTGCAACCAGGCGGCCATCGATGAACTGGACAAAGGTCTGGGTATAGGTACCATGCCAGATCCACCGGGCGGCACAATCCATCGCGATGCAGACGGAAAACCTACTGGGTTCTTTGAGGAGGCGGTGGTTTTTACCATCATCTGGCCTTTCATCTCACGCATCTCGACTGTCGAAGAGCGTGCCGCGGCGATGGAAACGGCCATCGAGGTGTACAACGCGGCCGGGTATGTTGGGCTGATCGATATGGCCATGGACCAGAACAGCTGGGAGTCGCTGCTTGCCCTCAAGGCCCGCCGGCCGGATCTTCCAATGCGCATTGCGGCGTACTGGCTGATCCGCCCGGCGGATGAGGAGGACTGTCTCAAGCAGGTGGACTATGTGATCGAAATGGCGCATAAGTACAACGCCACCACGTCTCCTGACCTGAAGGTGGTTGGTATTAAACTCGTCTGTGATGGAATTGTGGATGCATGTACCGCGGCGCTCAGCGAGCCTTACACGCACACCGGAAGCATGACTGACCCGGTCTGGACGAAGCCAATGCTTCTCCCAGTTGTCCGAAAGGCAGATCAGGCTGGTCTGCAGGTTGCGTTGCATGCGATTGGCGACCTGACAGTCAGAAATGCCGTTGACACGATCGAGGCCTGCGCCGCGCCCGAGCGCAGGCCACGCATCGAGCACCTGGAATTGACCTCACCAGACGACGCCGCCCGGCTGGGTAAGTTGGGAATCACGGCGTCGGTGCAACCGGTGCACTCTGACCCTGCTATCCTGAGGGCTTGGCCTAGGCTCATCGGAGAGCATCGATGCGGGAGGGCGTTTGCATACCGAGAGTTCGCAGACGGCGGCGCGATGCTAGCTTTGGGAAGTGATGCTCCTACTGCACCTCACAGTCTGCCCGCAAATTGCTACGTCGCTACGAATCGTCGATCGGCAAGGGAGCCAGAGCTGGAGACAGTAGTCAATGGCGAATTCGCGCTTGGGCTGTGTGAGAGTGTTGTCGCCGGTACAGAGGGCTCAGCACGGAGTTGTTTCATGGAAGATGTGACGGGGAAGCTGGAGAAAGGAATGAAGGCGGATCTGGCCGTGCTTGACATGCAGTGGGACAAGAAACAGATGCTGAGCGCGCGGATAACACAGACATGGTTTGCAGGGAAGAAAGTGTTTGACGAGGAGGCGAACTGAAACGGCATTGCCAGTTGTATTATAGCATCAAGTTAGCCACCCACGCCTATGTCCCAGTATCGATTTGCTGACCGTGAACCATCCGAATAGGCCAGCAAGGAGAAGATGTCTCAAATAAGGACGGACCAGTTTCCCACCTATCTATCTGCTTTGTTATAGTATCACAAGGTCCAATGCCGTCTTGACCCTACCACCACGTGCTGAAATATTCATTCTCTGCACGGCTGCCTCTGTAGCTCGAAGACACGAGCACAATCATTTCCACTTTCTAGTGTAAGCACAAACCAAGTTACCGGCTGACATACAGGCTACTGATCGCAGCTACCTGCGACTGCATATGCGGATACCAAGCCTGAGAGCTCAAGATCTGTGGCAATACACAAAATGCTCTCCGTGGGTTGTATCATGATGGGCAAATTGAATAATCAAAACTGGTCTTGGGGTCATGTTTCAAGCCCGCTAATGTGTTTCTTGTGACCTCATGACAGCGTTTGCAAGACTTCGAGGCTATTGAAGCTATGAAGGCAGCGTTGGTGAACTGGACCAAGTTCTGAATTGGCGTGAGTGAAATCTTCGACAAACTCACCCGAGGACCGTGACGTATTGGTCTGAGCATCAAGGGAACATATAATGGCCTTACGGCGTCTTGATTGAGCAAGGCTGAGTTCAATGAATTCGCCGATTTCCTAATGGCTGCAAGTCGTCAATAGGGACGTATCTGAACCCTCCCGTGTTGACCCTATAGATTCCATCGACGAAAATGCAAATATGGGAAAGGCTCTAGCTGAAGAAGGCAAAATTACGCTTTTGCGGTCTCAGCAATATCAGCCCTGGACGCGCGCAAGCTCTCCACCCAGTCGAAGTTGTTGAGGTTGGCATCAGTCTGTTCCCAGTGGCAATTTCGAGAGTGCTGTCTCTGCTACTTGACGCATGTGGGCATCCAATTTGTTGGACAATGTAGTCCGATTGATCGAGGATGGCTTACTGGAGCTGCAAAGGTTCGCGGCTCTCCAAAAGATGACTATTGACACCATTCCTCGTATTTCGTATTTGTACTGAGAGACTTCGGGGGCGAGGGGGGGAAGAGGGAAGAAAAAACCCTCAAGCTAGCGGAGTCTGTTGCAGAGCTTCTGAAAGAGAAAGAATAAACTAGTTCACAGGTGATCACCGCATGTATTATGCGCCAGCTTTCTTTTCAAATTTGTGGCGCGAAAAAGGGCCTTGAGGATCACCTAGGCATGGAGAACTCCAAGACCAAACACTTGATGCTCCATACAAAACATTCGGCAGCGCTTGATAAGTGACGGGGGTCAAGGTCATGAGCTACCAATATTTAGAGCCACTTTGCGAGCACGTTCAAATGAATGAATGAAAGTACTAAGGGAAGTGCGTTCTAGATAGAAGTTGTATCTTGGAAAGAAATACAAGATAAACTTGCCATAAGATTCAAGTTGGCACATCAGTCCGCAATAATAGCTCAGTGCCTAACAGGGCGATCATGAAATTGTGGCGTGAGCTGACGTGCTACACTTGGCATTACACTTCGTAACATTCCGTATCTCCTCGGACTACTCTCCTTAGATTATTGCAAGCCAGCGTGATGTCGCCATACACCCTGAAGCCGCATGTGGAGTAATTGTCGCTCGGAACTACCAGAAAAGTCCCCAGCCGTGGGGCAGAAGGTCATGAATTACGATTCTCACCCTCAAAACGAAGTCTGGGCGATGGCATCAGCATGTCTTGAAGTAGAGCTCGTTGCGCTCCACCCTTTCTGGGCAATACTAGCAGTGCCTCCACGAAAACTCAGCGTCTGTCCTTGCCGGCAGCACGTATCTTTAGACTCCCTACGGAAGACTTTGACATGCCCATTCACCCATACATAACTAGCTCAGCCCCATACTCAATCTGACCGACTTTGGATGCTGTGAGTGCCAAACGCAAACTTTGTGCACTTCTTAGAAGACAGAACTCAAGTGGCACCGTGATCTCGAGTGTGCAGACAAGATGTCGGCTCAGCAAGCAGATGTGAATCCTGCGCCTACGGCGCCCAACGCCCAATACGACTACGACAGTCTGGGTTCCAAGACAACTCACGAGGTCGAGGTTCCCCCCGAATCGGATGTAGCGGCCGCGCAAACCTTGATGGCTCAAGAAAACCAGCGCATGGAAGCAGCACTTGGTGATGCTATTTTGCGGTTTCTCAGGATTCGAAAAGGCCGAGATAAGGAAACGCAGGACGTCGATGCAGTACGCATATGTCTGATGTGACGCAACACTGACCGCTGACTTGCTTTAGGTTGCCACACAACCGAGTATCTGGGACTCTGAAAACGTTGAAGAGTACAAAGAATTGTACATCCATCCGCAATGGGAAAACCGCACTGCTTTTGACCCTACATTTCGCTGGTCATGGAGGGAGGAGAGCGCGGTGCGACGCAAGGTTGATTGGAAGATTATGGCAAGTAAATGTCCCGGGCTGAACAGATCGAGTTGACTAATGACAACTAGGTATGGGTTTGCATCATGTTTGCGGCTTTGAATATAGACCGAGGCAACATTTCCAACGCTGTCTCAGATAACATGCTTGAAGATCTTGGCCTCACTAAAAGTGACTATGTGAGTACGTTCCTTCAGAAAAACAACTCGCGGACACATACCAACAGTATACGATCAGAACATTGGTCAAACTATTTCTCGAGTCGGCTTCTTGGTTGCCGAACTACCATCTCAGCTGATATCGAAACGGTCAGTAAAAGTATTAACAGAAGGTTAATAGTAGTTTAACTGACGTGTACAGCATTGGTCCGGACCTGTGGATTCCGATCCAGATATGTATATTCAGTATTATTTCCGCACTCCAGTTCTTTCTTCAAGGCCGGGCCTCTTTCCTTGCCACCCGATATTTGATGTCAGTGCATGTTCGCTCCGAGTGGTTTGATTATGTACTAACTTAGCCAGTGCGACGTTCCAAGGCGGTTTCATCCCGTAAGTCTTCGCTTTCCACCACATCGATAGGCTTGATTAACACGTGAACAGCGATACGATCCTTTACTTAAGCTACTGGTACACTGGAAAAAGCGTAAGTTATATTCTGTGTTGCGAATATCTTCTTCACTCACTCCTCTTAGCTTCCCATAAGATTGGCCTGGTTCTGGATGTCTTCGCAACTAGGTATGTTGCTCAGAAAAAGGACCCAAGAGCCCCCTCTTAACAAATCTTCTAGTGGACATCGGTGTCGGTTTCGCAGCTGTCGGTCTTCTATCCATGCGCGGAATACTGGGATATGAAGGTTGGCGGTGGCTGTTCCTTATCGAGTGAGTCATTGTCAACATAGACTGGTCGAATAGTACTAATGCCATCGACAGGGGCGCTTTCACTTGTGAGCAATTTTAGCACCTTGGATATCAAGGTCAAAGGCTGACTAACTTTACTACAGTCTTGATAGGAGTCGGTTCCTTCTTCCTCATGCCTCAGTCTCCTGCGAGGACGAAGAGCTGGTGGAACTCCAAAGGCTACTTCAACGAGAAAGAAGAGAAGATTATTGTCAATTCAGGTAAGTCATATGGCCACACTTGCATGTGAAAAGCCAGCCCTGACTCTTATCGTAGTCATCCGAGATGACCCTCAGAAAGGGGGCATGTATAATCGACAAGGTCTTTCAGTCAGACAAATTTGGGAATGCTCGAAAGACTACGACATGTGGCCGTTGTACGCCTTGGGTCTGTTGTTCGGACTGCCTAAGTACCCTGTCGGCCAGTATTTGACGATATCTTTCCGAGGTCTGGGCTTCAGCGTCATCCAGACCAACTTACTTTCCATTCCGAACGTCGTTGGCTCCTGCATAATGATGCTACTCATTACCGCGTTCAGTGAGGCGGTGAACAACAGAAGCTTCGTCTCGATGGCAGAGGATGCTTGGTTGTTGCCCTGTTTTGCTGCTCTGATCGCTTTGCCGGATCCGATTGGTTCCTGGGTGTATTTCGCAATTGCTACCGTGCTCCTGTCATTCCCTTAGTAAGAAATTCATCATCCTGAACCATGAATCAATTTTGAGCTGACAAAAGCAAGCACTCATCCCATCCAAGTTGCCTGGACAAGCCGGAATGCGGGATCTGTGCAAAATAGAACAGTCTCCGCCTCGTATGTCAACATCTAATGCTATGCTCTATCACCGTTCTGACAAATATGCAGGATTTACAATATGTGGGTTCAAGTCAGTGGGATGATTGGGGCGAACAGTAAGTATCTAATGCCAACAGTGGGCTGTAAGTGCTGACTTCCTAGTCTATCAACCTTCCGACTCGCCGCGTTATTTCAAAGCGAACACGGGTCTACTGGTGATCTGTGTCTGGATGTGTGTAAGTTGAGCTCCTTCTTGTGAATACTTGTGCCAAACCTTATTCTAAATATGCACAGCTCGTGCAATATCCCGGTACATACTTCTACTACCGCTGGAGAAACAATTGCAAGGCCAAGAGATGGAATATCATGACCCCAGACGAGCAAGACAATTACAGAAAGACAACAACTGATGAGGGCAATAAAAGGTGAGCTACTCCCTGTAAATCTCATAGTTCCCTTATATTTGTTAACTTCCACAGGCTCGACTTCCGTTTTGCAACCTGAGATATCCTATTGTCAGGAGATAAGACATGGAGGATAGCGATTTCAAAAACCTCTGTTCGTAATTGAACGATTTTCTTAATGCAAACTAAGACATAACTTCAATTGAGTACGACCTGCGTTGCATGGCTTATTTATATGAGTCTAATGAATTGTTTGACCTGCTGGACAGCGGCGGAAAGCGTCCTCAACGGCAAGCTGTTCTTTTTTTACAAAGCTAAGTCGATAAGGAAAGGTAAGTCGTTGTACCGAAACATTTAGCATATGGTTTTTGAATTGGCTGTAAACCAGGGTTTGGACGTCACTTTTTGCTGGAAGCTTTCGATGCGGTCATGTGACCGTAGGCAGCAGGCGCCCGTTGTATCTAACCACGATCTGGGCTTTTAATTCTCTGGGTTATCAGATCTAGTCTATCGCTGACACCACTTCTACGACTAAAGCCGTTGAATTCAGGGGACCATTGAATTTGTAGTTGTCTCAGAAAATTCATAAGACCATGCAAAGGACATCAGAGCCCCTCACGAACTTAGTGCTAGAGCTCCACGACCAAAGCCGAGCCGACAGCCCAGGAGCACAGCCGCCATGGCGCCAAAGGGGTGGCAGGGGGCCTATTTCCCTCTCGAACCTCCCACGGGACGTGATCTTGGGTGTTCTGGATGAAATACGTCCTGTTGGATCGCTCACCACCTCCGAATCCACCGCCGAGAGACCGGTAGTCAGACCCGGACACTTGAAATGCCGGACCAGTCTCTTAAACGTCTGTCTATCTTCCAGGGCATTCTATGGGCTTGCAATTCCCCACCTATATCGTAACTCACTCGTTAAAGACCGACGAGAACTGCTTCACTTCTTCCGTACGCTCGTTAAACAAGCCGATCGCCGCCCTATGGTCCGGTCTTTCGCTTGGGCTGGCGTCTTGTGGGAAGCCGATGCCAATGCTGGGTCAAGCATACATCCTCTGGAGGACGAGGCTACGATTGCCGCGGATTGTTGGAATTCGATCGGAGATGAGTGGCCACGTGGGCGCGTTGACTGTGACATAGCTGAACTCAGTAAGTACGAGGCCCATGATATGGATTGCACATGTTTCTCTGCTCCCGAGGTTGTTGCCAACTGGCTTCATCCGCAAGGTCACCCTCTTTCCCAGCTCATTGTACCATGATCTTCCTTCCATTGTTTTTGCTTTTCCCTCAGCGGCATTCTCAACCGTGCACCGATTTCGTTCAAGTGGAAACCGCATATACAAGCTTATCGCTCAAATATATGGAGGCTTTGTATTGCGTGACTCGTGCTTTTGATCTCTAGAACATCACTAATTCATTACTTCGCAGTGGGTATCGATGGGCTAGACACTATGAAAGACTGGAGGCTCCTCGGCGCTGTGTTAGCAATGTGCCCACGAATCAGATGCCTGTTCATGCTGAATGGAGCCGTGATGGATCCTCCGTCCGGCCTCCACCATTGCCCTGAACTCGATGCCGTATTGCCTTTTCTTCAGCAGTACGAATTCGGAAGCTCTGGGGAGATCTTAAGCAGGGCTCGACCCTATGGTCACCCCTTCCTTGAACATCTCGAGCTCCTCATTATCGAAGGCCATAGCAATGTGGCAGCCAGCATCAACACAGGGTCAATCCTTGCCAGTCTTTTTTTGAATTCACCTCTGCTTCGTCGTGTCGAAATAAAGCATCCACCATTATTCAGAGAAATTTTACACGACTTGCAGCGCCTAGTGGAGACCGGACCGCCACTCATGGGTAACATCGAGGAAATTTCACTGTTCCGTGGTCATCAGCCCCAGGATGACTTGGCTGCTATAGTAGCGTTGTTCCCAAATTTAGTCTCGCTTTCTGCCGAGTTCACGGATGGCTCAGCCCGCCCTCCACTTAAACACTCCTTGCCGCCAGAAGCATCGGAGGCTCTCCTCAATGTCTCTGGGACGCTAGAGACACTTTCTTTAACGACATCCCCGGAGACGTACCCGGCGAAAGGCCACTGGGTCAATTACGAAAGCTATCCGTCTTCATTGTCGACTTTGAATCAAATGGCCAAGCTGAAGGATCTGACGACGGAGTCTATCTGGCTCTTTGGGACCGAGAATCCGGCCGTTGCTCTGCAGCTCTCGCATCTTCTGCCACCGTCTCTCGCTCGTCTGCACCTAGTCGACTACTGGGGCAACTCCGATCTGGCTGAGTTTTATCCCGAATTCCCAGATGGTTGGACTCCCCTTGAATTTTATACTCAAGTCTTTCAGGCCGTCTGTAATGAATCCCAGATGCGTCTTCCAAAGTTGAGACAGGTCACGTTTACCACAAATCGCTTCAACTCTCAATCGCAAACAGCTCTCTCTAATAACGGTCAGGCTCAACAAGATGAAACACAAATCACGCAGGACTCGATGAGAATGGTGAAACTATTATTTGAGCAAGCAGGAGTTGATTTTCATATAGTATCATAACACAAAGTGACATATAATGTGCACCTTGCTCTAGAAGCATCAAAGTGTTCTTTCTCTGTTCATGTTTCATTTATAGAACTAAGACCTAGCTAGGAAATTTGAAACTATCTTTCTGAAGTCTCTCGAGACTGTAATTAGTGCTCCATAAAGGAACGATACCCTCTACATGGTCCAGGGCGCATCAAGGAAGCTAAAACTCACACCACGTTGCATTAACTCTCGATGTGCTCAATATCCACCGGCTTCTCGTTGTTGTACACATCGCCCTGAGACGTGTGTTTCTCCAACATCGCAGCCTTAGCCCTCTCGGCGCCGATATCAGCCAGGCTAACACCTGACTTCCTCAGCCTCTCAAACTCATCCGCAGATGCAGCGAACTCCGCCCTCTCCTCCTCGCTCATCTCGGGCCCAAGGAACAGGAACAGCAAGTCATAGACCCACACAGCCCCCATGAAGATGCCAATAACCCGCCCGTAGTCATACCTCTTGACCCCATTTTTGGGATCCAACGGGAACCTCTCGCCGATTATGGCCTGGATCGTAGCCGACGCCGATGAGGCCAGATTACCCAGCTGGTACGTGAGGCCAACGGCAGTCGCGCGGAGCGCTTCGGGAGAAAGCTCACTCAAGTGGATCGGGATTGGGCCCCAGACGCCACCGACGAAGAACTGCAGGAAGAAGGCGCTGGCTACCAGTTTCATGGAGTGAGGGAGGACGTATGATGGGAGGATGGCACCGCCGAAGACGCAGGCGGTGCACATAGTCAGCCGCCGGCCAAAGAAGGTGCTGATGTAGCCCAGGGTGCCGCCGCCGATGAGGGCGCCAATCTGGCCGACGACGCTGATGACTGTCACGTCTGTTGCATCGAGCTCCACCTCTATAGAGAGTTCATTTGGTCTGTATACGCAAGCAAGAACTCTACAAAAAGGGCCAAAAAGTCGATTACTTACGGTTTTTCAAGAATGTTGGAAAGAGATCCTGAGAGCCGTGGCTGGTGGAGTTGAAGCCGGTCATGAGCACCACCATATAGACGAAAAGGAACCAGTTGGGCTTGATGGCATCGCGAGCGTCCTTAGCCCAAGCTCTCAGGCCCTGTGCGGCTGTGTGGTGCTCCTCCTCGCCGGCGGCAATAGCAGCCTCTCTTTCAGCCTTCATGATCAGGAAGGTATTGGTTTCCGGGAGACATAGTCGAAATGCAATTATGAGGACGGGAGGGCCAGCTCCGAACCAGAAGAGTGACCTCCAGCCGTGAGTCGTCGTAGGGACAAGCTGCCCGGTCAAGAGGTTGTAAGCATTTGTATTGCAGTAGAACTTTCTCGGGTCATGTCACTCACAGCACGATAGAAGATAGCTGCCAGCAGATATCCTGTCGCGTAGCCTTGCTCGAAAATACCGGATAGTAGTCCGCGCGCATCATAAGGAAGGTCCTCCAACGCAGTCGCAGCAGCAGGGCCGAAGAGCCCACCCATAGCTATACCATATAGGGATCGTATGGCTAGGAACTGTTGAAGATTCTGGGCGAAGCCTGAAGCAAGCTCTAGGATGATAAACAGAACCAAACATATAATCATCGGCCATTTGCGGCCATACCGATCGGAAATGATTCCAAAGATCAAAGCACCAACTGAACGGAGCATGAGAGTAACCGTGATACCCCATGACACATCGGCATTAGAGACTCCAAACTCCGTCGCGATCTCGGTAACAGTCAAAGACACAGTAAAGAAGTCGAAGGCATCCCAGCACCAGCCAAGAAACCCGGCGGCGAACATCAGCCATTGGTGGCGGTCGAGCTCAGCGAGGATGTGGATTGGGTTGCGGAGTTTGGTACGGGGAGGCTTGAGGCTCGTAGGCCGGCTAAGAAGGTACTGTCTAATCTGTTTGGGTGAGTAGAACCACCCAGCCGCCATATGATTTCTCATCTTTTGTGGTCTCTTTCTTCTTCTTCAAAGATTCGCACGTTTCGATAGGTGATACAAATAAGAAAGAAGAAGAGATCTTGGCTGAGACGAGACACCGCGACGACGAAAACCTAGAAGAGAGAGAAAACTGTCAGCTCTGCATCGAGGATATAGAGAGAGTGGTCAGACTGTAGATCAAGTGTGGTCTAGGTCATCCTGCTATACCTCGCCAGATCTATAGCCGTTGGAGGGCCCGTCCCAGAATCCTTGCGAATCGTGGTGTTTAGTCAAGGCGGGGAACCCAGTAGCAGCACACTTCTCATCCCAGCTCAGACGAAACTGGGTAGTATTGAATTTTGATTCGGGGAAGTCTCCAAATAGTTCAATGGCTGCAACACCCTCCTCATTTAGCATGCCGTCATCCATCTTGTTGTCGTACTAAGCTCCGGAGCCGTAAGACAGCATTTGGTCCTACCAACGACGACCTGTCTAAGGTCGCGAAGATGCTGAGATAGAACAGCATCTTGATCGTATCAAATCCGTAATTCTCCACAAAGTGTGTCCAGTAGATTGGCCCTGTGCCCGTAGGTGAGATTGGCGGTGCTAGATGGAGAGTTATCACCTCCTCGGAGTGTAGCAACTTTCTAGGATGAGCCAATAGGGACATTTTCCCCTGCATTGTGTTTTCTTCACGATTATCTAAGATTTTAGGCTGTTTAGCGGCAGTGCTTTTGAGAACCACACATTCTTGCCGGCGATTATCTTACCCCTGGACAATATGACCCAGGCCTGGGTGAATCGAACCCAGGACAAGGCATTACAAACGTTGTTTACATCGACCAAGACCGTCTCGTCAGGCTTTCATTGAATAGTCGTGAGAACAAGGATAATGGTACAAGCAGCAATGACTCGCGATCCATTGTCTTCTGCGAAGTATCCAGCAGAGTAGTCTCCTGTTCCGGCCATTTTCGGCGGTATATGAAGCCTGATATCGTGAACTTTGGGCCTAATGGAGCTATAGGCTTTGGCGGGGCAGACGCAAAGCGAGGCAGGAGTGTCCAATAATCAGACTTTTCCTGATTTTCAAAAGTGTGCCCAGTGAGAATTGACCATCGAGCGAGTAATGATAGCATGAACAAGCGGGCATTGTACAAGTGATCAGTTGTTGCCTTCTACCTGAAAGACAATATGGATCAAACGTATCCAGCCTCTTAGACGTCACGTCTGTGGATGGCGATTCAGCGCCATTTGGTTGAGACCGACACAAGTGCAAAATGAGAACAACAAGAGAGGCGAGACCCGTTAAACTCAGCGTCTGAGGATGCATGGCACATATCTGATAAAGGTCCTCGGTTGAGGATAATCAGGTAGCTGTATGAATGTTTCTAGACCCACCTACGACTGATCTACGAGGTTTATTCATTGAAGATCGCCAATATACATCAGGTTTATGCGTTAAATTGCCTCAGTCCTTTTATATGTTACATTGCCTCAGTCGTAATCTTTCTGTTCATGTGAACCAATTAAGTTGATTTCCGTGATCGTTCGCACGCTAGGTTCATAGGTGATTCCATCCTTGATTTAAAGCGTCTGTAGGCAAGGACACGGCACAACAGCCAACAGCTGCATTACGCTGATATTACTAACTTTTCTTGTACGTAGTGGGGCTCTGTGATACCTGTGATGCAGTCCGCGCTGCCGCTTTCTTGATTGGCTATGTCAGCTGTGCCACACTGGCAGCCTCGTAGGTCCCAAGAGGTACCTAGTTGGCGAGCCTCACAGTACCTTCCCACCTGCCGGACAGTGATTAGGCAGTCGTGCGTACTGTAGCCCCTGACTGAGGGTGTAGGTTTCCCCGGGGGGAGGACAAGTGATGACCAGCTGGCCAGTGCAGTTGCTGATCTGTACCTCTCAATTACTGCACCCCGAGTGCTCTGCCACATATTTTTTTTATTAAGATTAAGAGTTCACATTTAACTGCTTCCGTAATGGAGTCCACATACTTATATGTAAATATAGGAAGATGATATGTAGTCATGGCTGCGTATTTGGTAGATATGTCCTCTCGCCTCTTTTGCAGCGGCTTGCACTTGACCACAATATCCCACACCATCGCGGATTTCAGAACTCCTCACTGTTCAATGATGAAGCGACTTCCGAAACTGTGGACATAATCAGAGAACCTTGCCTCTGTCATTTATGCATCCGTGGTCCAATCTGAAGCCACCGGGAGCAAATATCTGAAATATGCCACCCGCGTTATGCATGTGGGCCACCTCTATGAGAGTCTCGGATTATGAGGTCCATAACTGCAGAATGGCTTTTGAAAGGCTCCTGCGAAAGAGTAAAAAAAAAATCACCATGATAGGCCGTCGTTTCGGGCACAAAGTACAAATACGAAGCTACTTGACTAGACCCTCCATGTGTGAAGACGAAGTCGATATCTAGGCGCTGTAGTGTCTTGCAATTCTCACGCTTCTCATAAGGAAGTGACTTAATCTTTATATGTTCTGACCTTAAAGTCGTCCCTCCATTTGTCTTCTATGATGACCAGTTGAGTCTCTTGAGTCCTCCTCAAATATTCGTCTTCGGGGGCGTCTTTGTAGTCTTCCCTGTCGATGTCCATATAACCTTGCTTGGCCACGGAACGTGGAACGATCATAAGGGAACGACCTGTTTGAGCATTAGAATCCTCAGGGGCCATGTAAATATAGTCTTGCCCAACTGACCGTTGGTCCTCTTATCACTAGCGATTCTTAACATGCAATTGGCAACATCCTCGGGCTCACCAAAGTCGATACCATGATCGATTAACCATTTCTCATACTCAGCTGACCGAATCGCACTTTTGATCCAGCATGGCGCGACATATGCGATACGAATACCTTGCTCCCAGCTAGATCGTCTAACCGTCCGCATGAACCCGCGTAGTCCATACTTGGTAGTGGTATACTCCCAGTTCCCAGGAGAATCTATCCAAGCGACCATACTTCCCGTAATGATGAAACACCGATCACGGTCATCTGTCTCTGGCTGTTGTCGAAAGTAGTGAACACCAAGCTTCCACGTATAGAGTGTACCTTTCAGGTTCACGTCCACAATGTTCAAGTCGGGCTTCACTGGGTCGTCGTCTGGATCATCCAGATTCCATAGGCTGTCACCTGAGCTTCGGCTGATGCCTGCGTTGGCTATGACCACGTCCACGGATTTCGTTGGGCTGCGGCTCTTGGCGGTCTTGAACATGGCCACCTGTTGGTCCCAGTCGCGGATATCACACTTGACGAAGGCACAGCATTCGCCATTTGCATTTAGCTCCGTTTCAATGTCCCGACCACGATCGTTCACGTCGCCAAAGGTCACGAATGCTCCAAGGGTCACGAACTTGCGCAAGCATTCTTCGCCCATGCCGTTGGCGCCTCCAGTGATGATGACGGATTTGCCACGGATCTTGCTTAGATCAGGCGAGATGGTATGGTCAATGGGACCAGTGTAAGAGTATTGAGGTAGAGGCATATTGCGTATAGGCTGTCAATATATTGGAATGGAAGTATCTCCTATCAGAGACCGACAATTTTTACAGGATATGGAATTCTCTGTCCTCAGACTAGACAGGCGCCCCTTTTGTGATGCTTTTGTGTATTCCCCAGATCTAGGACATCTCCTGTACCTGGGTAGGCTGTCCCGCTCCACTAGACTATTCCGCATCCCCCCACCTTAGCGGTCGTCTGGTCGGTAAACCCCTTTCGGTTAAGCGAGCTCTATGCCGAGTGGGTAATGGACGGGCAAAGCCAAATTGAGTAATATATGTCTGTCGAATTCATATTAGCAGTCGCAGGTCTGCAACCACTTCCGAGAGCTTGTTCATTGGCTTGAGCAGAAGCGCTTGTGATCTAAGCCTATTCCCTTGGAGACCATATCCAACAGCTAGCTCCGACCTCTGTCAAAGTTCTACCGCTGAATACCGGTCAAGTAGTCACTGCGCCGTTTTTGGACAGCCCTCGAGTTTCCAGCAAGCGTTAAAAACTATATTGAACTTTGGTATTTCTGCTCCATCCTTCCCCAGCTTGTGCGACAGCAGCTCTCGTGTGTCCTCATCGCAAGCACTAGACAGCCAGACAAGACAGCAGTAGGCTCCATCATGACTGCCTCCGTGGACCCACCCGCTTCATCTACAAATGGGGTCAGCTCCAGTGATGGGCCATTACCAACTAGCCTTGCATCACGCATGCCTGCTCCGGAGCTGCCAGAGTTTCTCAGTGGAAACGTTGCGCCGCCCAGGCTCCAGGCACAAGCTCCAGCAAGCCGCGAGGATCTTCAAGATCCATGGAAGCTAAATCCGTCGTTCGCTTATGCGCCACGAAAGCTCAAGGTTTTCACGATAGGCGCTGGCTTTTCTGGTCTGCTCATGGCGCACAAATTTCAGCACAGATTTCCGGAGATGGATGATATCGTGGAGCACACCATATTCGAGGCACATAGCGAGGTGGGGGGTACTTGGCTTGTCAACAATTACCCTGGCGTTCAATGTGATGTTCCAGCGCACATATACGTGAGTGATATGAGTTCAGAGACTGGCAAGGAATGATATTCTGTTATGACAAATCGCTGAGGTCAACCAGGCATTCCCATTTGATCCTAATCCGGATTGGAGCCGTTTCTATGCAAGCGGTGCAGAGATTCTGGATTATATTAAAAGCACCGTCAAGAAGTGGGGACTTGACCGCGACCTCGAGCTCAATACGAGAGTTGTCGATGCTCGTTGGCAAGAAGACGCGGGCCAGTGGAAAGTCACAGTTGAACATCAGAACACAAGACGTGAGGAGTATTGTCATGTCATGATATCAGCCCGAGGCGTCCTGGTTCATGAGTCCTGGCCTGATATCCCCGGCCTACGTGACTTCCAGGGTCATATCACACATTCTGCACTCTGGGATCACAATTATGACTACTCAAACAAGAGGATCGCAGTTATTGGAAATGGCTCTTCCGGCATCCAGATAGTCCCACAAATGGCTAGGCTGCCTGGCACCGTGGTGCAGAATTTTGTCCGCGGGCCGACGTGGGTTTACTACCGAGCGCCACCGTCCAAGCACCTTGGCAGGGACGACCCGCATCCAAATCCAAAGTACACCGACGAGGAACGCGAACGATTCAATGACCCTGAATACCATTTGCAGCACAGGAAGGGCATAATCTCCCGTACGAATAAGTCCTTTGGCATCTTCTTGAGGGGCGAGAAAAATGAGGAGGGGATGCGGCTGGCTTCGGAACAAATGGCAGAGAAATTGAGGCACGACAAGAGACTGTGCGATATCCTGATTCCTAAGTGGGAGCTGGGCTGTCGAAGAATCACCCCTGGTCCAGGATACCTGGAGTCCTTTTCACTGCCGAACTGCGACATTACAAACAGTCCGATCACCAAGATCGCCAACCATGGCGTCCATACTGCTGATGGGAGCTTTTTCGAATGCGATGTGGGTGAGTGGCTTGAACCAATATTGATCGTGCTTCTCAAGTATCGCTTCGATTATCAGCTAATCGTCTTCCATAGTCGTCTGTGCCACTGGTTTCGACGTGTCTCATCGGCCACGGTACCCCGTGGTCGGCAAGTCTGGGGTCGATCTTGCTACAAGATGGGCTGAAGATCCAGACTCTTATCTTTCTGTGGCGGTTCCCGACTACCCTAATTATTTCATGATGATGGGCCCCAATTGCCTCGGCGGCCACGGCTCTCTGGTCGAGTCCCTCAACTGGACCGGAGATTATTTCATCAAGTGGATAAAGAAGCTGGCGACAGAAGATATCAAATACGTAGTGCCCAAGCAGGATGTCGTCGATGCCTTCATTAGGTACACCGATCAGATACATAAGACCCTTGTCTGGTCTGGCAGCTGTCGGAGCTGGTACAAGAGAAACAAAGAGGACGGCCGAGTTACGGCTCTCTTTGGAGGAAGCGCCCATCTATTCAATCGCATGCTGAGTGACATCCGCGGTGAGGATTTTGAGATTCATTACCGCACGGCTAACCGTCTGAGGTTCATGGGGAGCGGATTCACGGAGTGGGAGATGGATCCCAAGAGCGACCTGTCATGGTATGTAGAGAAGGCGGAAGTACTTAGTGGGGGAGTAATGTGAGACTGAGGCCTCTTCAATGTTTGATGTAGTGCATCTTCAACCTCGCCTGGTATGAGCATTTCGCGTACGCAATAAGTTACAAATGATTATCTCATCGAATCGTCCCACGAGTGGCCTGTGTCATTAATTTTACCCAAGTATCCTAGGCTACGGCGGCATCGCCATGAAATCTATTCTGAGGTCTGGGCTTTCGGCGAACGGATCATCGAATTGAGTCATCAGAGCCTCTTGAAACATAGTACTGTCTGAAGGGAAAACATCATTGAGCATCCCTTCCTCGTTATCCTTCAATAGAACGTCGGCAATATCGCTGGTCTGGCGTGTAGCAAAAGGGAATAGCGTGGTCCAATCGAAGCCTTCGACGCCCTCAGAGACCAGTGAGTTCTCGTGGTTAGGACCCGTTGCTGCATGATCGATCGGCTGTAATGGAAGCGGGACATTCCATGAAGACTCAGTCGCCATACTCCTGAGCCGTCTGAATCCGCCTTGTATTACGTCGGCTGTGGCCCACATCTTTTGGAGCTGCTCGACTGTGCGCTCTAAGATATCAAGGGAAGCGTTGGCATCTTTGGACAGACTAGGAACCCATGAGGCCTGAAGAAGCGGGATAAAAGCGGTTCCACAGTACCAGCAGCTGATTGCCTGCAAGAAACGGGTATTACCCCGTGCGAGAATATCTCGCAGTATCCTGGAAGTGCAGGAAGCTGCAAGGATGGCCGGCGGAAGTGCTTGAGGCAGTGATTCTGCTGAGCGCCGAAGATTCAGGACGATGATGGTCGTCAGGTAGGGCAAATGGAGCTGATGTACGTCTCTGTCAAAATGCTGGGTTCTAGCGGAGTTTATGGAAAGCCGTAAATGTGGTGGAAGGGACGTCACCCAATCAACTAGTTCCTTTCGATGTTGATCAAGGGACTGGAAATCAGGAGATGCATTCATCGCTGGTCTGAACAGAGTCTTTGCGACCTTTCCAATGATGGCACATAGGCGGACCCAGTAGATAAAGACTTCGCCCTTACGTTGTAGACGGGGCTCACTGGGAAAATCCTCGAGGACCAATTCGGAAATACTACAGTCCTCTGGGTCAATTATGACGGGTTTACTCTGGCACAGTGCCGTCAATCGCTCCCTGGCCTTGAAGTCCTCAAGTACGTCAGTCATTTTCGAACAAGACATGGGTCATAGGAGCCTTTTGCATTTGATTGGAAACTCACAAAGGCCGTCCACCAGATCCTCCGCCGGAGGCTGAGAGATAGTTGCTCCCTCAAAGGATCGTCCGCCGAGGGCTCCCGATGGAGATTCATCTGTTGTGCGTGTCGGATGGAGACAGATGTCCACCACCAAGACGAGCGTCGGTGGACAAGAGACGGCGGCCGAGGCGCCCACCAATAGAAGATAGCGATGGACTTGAGTGTAGCCAATTCATCCATTTCCCCGTCCTCGTAGAAGATAGTCCTCGCCTTTTTGTAATACTCTGCAGGTCCTAGGCAAGGCATTAAGGGGGGCTGGACGTGACTACCAGCAACCGCCAGGGCGTTGGCAAGCAGTGGGGAACGCGCTATCTCGTTATCAATAGTGCTCGGGTCTAGGACCGGACACCAGGGGTAGCAGTATTCAAAATACGTCTCGGAAAAGCTTCCCATAAGACCCTGCTGTTGTGGGTCGGCTAAGGGGTACTCTTGGTTGAGGCAGGCCTCGAGGGCTTGTTTCTGGGCATCGAACTCGTTTTCAGGGCCATAAACATGTAGGAATCCCGTATCTATATCGCCTCTTTGACTACCGGTGATGAGTCCTGGACGAGAAGTGGCGCTATTTGCAGAAGGGGACGGGCCCTGTTGGCCGCCTTGCAGGAGTGACGTTGTGTGATTTGACACTGAGGGCGAGGGCCTTTCGGCCATTGCTTCAGATCGAACCAAATCGATTTCCTGGAACCCAGGGGATGATGAGAAGTGAATGGTATCAAGTGTCAGGTCTGCTTGCGAGCTGGAGCCGTCAGCCGTGGCTACGACTACCTCCGACTGAGGAGGAGTCAGAGGCCGGTTCGGACGCTGCGTCGCCGGCACCACACGGCGCTTTCTGCGTCGGGAAGTGCGCAGGTGGCACTCCTTTTCTGATGCTTGACAGTTGGTACAATTCTCTATGCCATGAGTTGTACGTTGCTGAACGTATGTATACGTATGATGGTCAGTCTATTGCCTAGCAGGCGTGCCTGAGAAGAGTCAATGACAGGACTGACCTGGAAATCACACTTGACCTTTTTCGAGTGGCACTCGGTGCATACAGCTTCTGCACGTCTCTTCTTCGCCTCCTGAGCATCGAAATGCAGCCAATCATGGACTTTAATAGTCTCGGGCATCGTGTCTTCAGCTCTGGGTTTTGGTAAACACGAATACAAGTATTAGGCCCCAAATCAAAGCAAATCCCATCGCTGGGGCCCGTGGGCGGTTGAATACGGTGCAGGAGGAACGAGAAAATGAACGATCTTACAGTACGCGGCAGCGGGCCAAGGTCGCCTGCAACCACTGCAGGACTCGCTGCGGGGCCCCGCCCTTTATCTGGGGTTTAGACGAGAAACGCGGGGAACTTGACCAGGCGTCGATCCGAGGCACGCTATTTTTGGGCCTAGCCATTTACCATCAGCCTGGGACCCTCAACGTGCAGTGGAGACAGCAAGCCGAGAGCGAAACTGTGTACGAGTTTGTGGAGATATGTGATTAGTTTGCTCTTCACTTTCTTTTTTTCTTTCTTTCCCGACTCTCCTTGCTGCCAAAAAAGGTTACGTGCACCTTGGCAATTACACAATTACTGCTCAGTTGTCAACTAGAATGGGCAAAATGACTCGAACTCAAATATTTAATGTCACGGAGGATGAACTCGACAATAAAGACACATGGTATGGTAATGATAAGGATACTAGCTAAATCGAGCAGAAATAAGACATCCCAACGGGTAGAGAGATCTGTCTTCAGAGGATGTACCTGAACTGCGCATTCTTCGCGTTGTGTTAGTGGTAGATCCACATCCACTTTTGCCCAGACGAATGTGGCGTACTCACCTTTATATCCGTCAGGTCATCTTCGTAAGCATGGTCGAAGCCCTCCACACTGCCGGATTTGTCACGTTTGTTGTTGTGCCACACGCACACAGCCCGATATACTACGGCAAGGAGTCCGGCCGCTATAGCTGTAACTACCACGACTAGAAACGCAGGGGCGTAGCGTGGTGCGTCTTGTGGCTTGAAAATAAGTGGACCGACAAAATTGCCTATAAGTAGCCACAAGAAATAGGTTAAGAAAAGACTTTGAAGAGGAAAGGGAGCTGTGTATTTAAGTACGAACAGCAGAGTGGGTCTGAAGGCAATACTGACCCAGGCAATATCCAATATAAAGACCAGATGAAGCTAAGGACCTCTTTGTATACCCCGCTGTATTGGCAATTTGAAGCCCCATCAATACTGGGTAGGTTCCTCCGGTTGAGGGCAGTATATAGACAGCGAACAGCAAAGCGCCCTTTGCAGATAGCGGCAGAAGCCACAGAAGGAGTGCGGCAAGCGTGCTCAAGAGCTGGCCGCCCAGATAGATCCAGCTCCTGAGGTCTTTGTACTTGGATGCCAGGTACGGAAACAGCAGCTGCACAGTACCGGCATACGCCCCAGCAGGCATGACGAGTAATAGACTGTTGAGTGTGCTGAATCCGAATCCGTTGATAATTATCGGAACAAATGTAGAGATTGGGCCGTTGGCGATCATGGACAGAAACGCAATGGAAAACACCAGCCAGAACTTGACGTCTGAAAGCAGTTCCCACACCTGGTCACTCTTAAAGTGCGTGTTTCGAACTCCGGAGTTGTTGTTCCGAAGTCTGGCGATCAATATGTACCGCTGTCTATGATCAAAGCCTTGAGCTCGGATGGGGTCTGGTGGCAATGCAAAGTATAGAAGAATGCCCCAGACTATTGTCAGGGCTCCAGAGAAGTAGTACATGTACCTCCAAGACGACGCGCCACCGTTGATCTGACCGAGCCCATAATTGATGAGTGGGGAGAAGACAGAGACATAGCCTGTACAGCTATACCAAATCCTTTGGGTGATATACCAGGTCAGCCAGCAAGCCTCAACGGAAATACTATGTCATATTGTGAGGGCTTACCCCATTCTCATGGCTTGTTCGTTCTTCTTGTACCAACTCCCGACTATAAGCATGAACATAGGACTGATTGGTGCTTCAAGAAACCCCAGAAAAAAGCGCTGCGCAAAGAGACTCTTGTAATTGGTGCACTGCGTGGTCAGAAGCAGGCACAGCCCCCATAGGGTGACGATGATTGACGCAACACGCTCCACGGGATACTTCTGGGCAAGAACCATCGCTGGGTAGGCGCCAACGATGAACCCAAGGTAGAATATGGAGGCTGAGAAGGAGTATCGATCACCAGTTGTCAAATCTAGGTCTGTCCGAAGTCCGAATAAAGCCTGCATTCCCAGATTTTAGTACCACTGGCTGCACTGTCATAAAGCAGGCTTACAGCTTGGGATAACATGGCCTTGTCATAGTATTGCAGCCCGTACGTCATGCACAAGACGGGCATCAGCATCCAATCGATCTTCCTTCGCAGTTTGTTCTCTTCGGCGGCAGTCCACGTGCTTTCGCCGTCGTAACCGGCGAGCACCTTGAGGGCTTCATCGTTGTGGATGGTATCGACTCTTGCACTTGGCTTTAGATTGACTGAAGCAATCCCGTCAGCCCGTTCCAGGTGCTCAATCTCACCGATGGTTTTTCCAGACGTCGACATTTCGCAATGACCATGCAGAGGACTAGAGGGAAAATCGTACGATCATATCGATGAAGGTGTATTGGGGGTATGCCTCTCACCAAGTATAGACCATTAATTACCCCGTGGGGCTTGCATGCATGCTCCCAGGGTCCAGCGTTGTACTCCACTCAACCCAGTTCCCTGGGCCGTGATGAAGCTGGCAAACCAGATGCGGGCATCGGTAGTCCCTTTCAAGGTAGCCGTAGGCAGCCTTGGCTGCCTTCAAGTTTAGCAAGACGCGTAACCATCAAGGTTAAGCGCCAAATTGCTATGACCAAACGAGTGTGGGGTCTCTCGAACACAAATTTGCCGCCGTTATCGCTGAAGATCGAATGCTCCGTGAGTGGACGCTGCTGGCCGTGTGAACCATCTCAATACCATCAACTTGAGAACAATGGCGCCAATTTCCTCAGTCGAGCTTCCCCCTGGAACAGAGACAATCACAGTCAAAATGATCAACCCTGTGAACTTTGGGCCCGCCATTCTAAAGCGATTCATGGCGCCTGATGTTCCAGGGTTGGAAACTTTTGCGACCAGTCCCTCCCTTTGTTTCTTCCTGGAGCATCCTTCCGGCAGACGCCTGGTATGGGATTTGGGTATACGGAAAGATTACGATCATTACGCGCCCTCGATAAAGGATTACCTTCCGACAACGAAATATACTATAGAAGTGACCAAGAACGTGGCGGAAATCCTGCAAGAGCACGGGATTGAACTAAACAGCATTGAAGCTGTCATATGGAGGTTAGACTTTGACATTCAGTTGCCACGCCAGATGTGCCATTTATATTGGTTAACATTCTGTATAGCCATCATCACTGGGATCACATCGGCGACCCATCCACTTTTCACCGGTCCACAAAACTCATAGTCGGTCCTGGATTCAAGCAGGCAATGCTGCCAGGGGCGCCAGCGAACCCTCAGTCTCCTATCCTTGAAAGTGACTATGCGTAAGTTCCAATGCAAGCTGCCGACGACTTCAAGCGACCAAATTTTGACTTACACCATATCACCAAGAGGGCGGGAGCTTCACGAAATATCATTCCAGGCCGATCCATTGCTTCATATAGGTCAATTTCCAGCCTTAGACTATTTCGGCGATGGTTCCTTTTATCTTCTGGACAGTCCAGGGCATGCAATTGGCCATCTCTGCGGGTTGGCGCGTACAACAATCAGGCCGGATACTTTCATTCTACTGGGTGGTGACGTATGTCACTACGCTGGCATTTTGCGGCCGTCCGAGTATCTGCCGGTGCCAAAATGCATCTCGCCGCACCCCTGCCGACCCATGGAAGGTGGTGCAGTGCTCTGCCCCGGCAGTGCTTGGGAAGAGCTCCAAAATTCGAGAGGGAGGAAGGTAGACGACACTCTCTTAGACATGACATATGGGATGAATATTCCACTGGCGTCTCAGACCGTCCATTCACTACAGCAGTTCGATTGCCTTGAGAACATCTTTGTTATCATTGCGCATGATTCCACAGTCAGGGACGGCGCGCCACATTTCCCAAAAACTTTGAATGACTGGAAGGCAAGAGGACTTGGGGAGGGGCTGAAGTGGTCCTTCTTTCGTGATTTAAATGTATATTGGAAATCCAAGGGCCTAGCCTAGAAGCTCAATTAATACGGGAGGATCTGCATTCTTCGGCTTCGGGACCTGACAAGACCAAGAGCGGCAGTATGAAGACAAAGATGATCTGCCCAACTACATAGCATGGGAATGGCCTCCGGTAAGCAGCTCACTTTGCAGTACAAGGCTATACGTTAAAAGTGGGTTTAAATCAGGAGTTAGTGTACGTCGAGCTCGAGAAAAGAGAATTAAAGACCGGCTAGCCGTTTGGGGAAATGCCGGAGATGCTGGTAGAGCATAGTCACCCTGTGCATCGGGCAACTCGGCGCCACACCAGGCAGGGAAGCTTTCAGAGTGGGGATATAGTATCCCGGCTCCTGCCTGACTGCGACATCAGCCATCTGTCCAAAACGCTGTCTAATTCCACTGAGGTGCACTGTATCACAATGGGCTCAGCCGACGATTTTTCTAAGCACAACTGGAATGGCCAACATGGTCTATCAGACTTCATGTCGGTTAATCAAGGCCTTGACTACGATGTTCTCATCGTTGGCGCTGGTCTCAGCGGCCTCTACTCTCTTATCCGGATGCGAGAACTTGGCGTAAGGGCTAGAGTGCTCGAAGCAGGCTCGGCAGAGGGTGGCACTTGGTACTGGTATGTTCTCGGGAGAAACAACAATAGTGCAAAATCTTCTGCATCTGACGCTGATACAATCGGTGCAGGAATCGGTATCCCGGTGCACGTTTTGACTCGGAGAGTTACTCGTACATCTTCTCATTTTCCCAGGAGGTTCTTGATGAGTGGGACTGGACCGAGCACTTCTCGCCCCAGCCGGAAACGTTGCGATACATACAGTATTTGACGATCAAGTTCAACCTCAAGGATGACTTGCAGTTCAATACCAGAATCAAGACAGCCCATTTTCAGCAGAGCACCAATTCATGGATGTTGACCGATTCAGATGGAAAGTCTTATTCTTCCAGGTACCTCGTGACGGCTATGGGAATTCTCAATGAGCCCACGCTACCAAACATCCCTGGTATACATGACTACAAAGGAGAAGCTTGGCATACAGCAAGATGGCCGAGTGACAAGAGCCTGGAGGGCAAGCGTGTCGGAATAATTGGCACCGGCGCAACCGCAATACAGACCATACAAGCAATTCACAAGTCCGTGAGTAGCTTGACGGTGTTTCAAAGGACTCCAAACTGGACAGCGCCTCTGCGTAACACCAAGATCACCCCCAAGGAAATGAAAGATATCCGGAATCGATACCCTGAGATCTTTAAGCGGTGTCTCGATTCCTACTCTTGCTTTATACATGTTGGTGACACCAGGAGCGTCTTTGACATGAAAGAGGATGAGCGCGAAAATCTTTGGGAATCCTTGTACCAACTACCGGGCTTTGCCAAAGTGCTCGGAATATCAGGAAATATCTACACAGACAGAGAGGCGAATCGACTATACAGCGATTTCCAGGCCAACAAGATACGCCAGCGACTCAAAGACCCCAAACTCGCTGAAAAGCTCATCCCCAAGAATCACGGCTTTGGAACTCGTCGTGTCCCACTTGAAAGTGGCTACTACGAAGCATTCAATGAGCCGCACGTCAAGCTTGTCGATCTCACGGAGGACCCGATCGAGACATTCACGGAGAACGGGATCAGGACGAAAGCCGGGGAATTCGAGTTTGACGCAATAATCTACGCTACGGGCTTTGACGCAGTCACTGGTTCATTCCGCGCAGTCGACTTTGCCGGCATTGATGGTCTCCCACTGACTGATGTCTGGGCTGAAGGCATCAACACCTTCCTCGGCCTGACCGTCAAGGGCTTCCCCAATATGTTCATGGTCATGGGACCGCATCAAATGTTCGGAAACATCCCACGGAGCATCGAGTACGCGGTCGGTTGGATCGCTGATTTCATCCGCTACGCGCGAGACCACGGCATTACGTATGCGGAAGCGACAGACGAGGGCATGCGTACGTGGACGGAACACGTGTGGAAGTGTGGCGAGGGCCTGTTGGCGAATGAGGTCGACTCCTGGATGACTGGTGTGAACAAGAACCTAGCACACAAACAGAAACGCTCGATGACTCGATATAATGGACCGGCACCAGGATACAGGGCGAGATGTGACGCGGTAAAGGCCAGAAACTATTCCGATTTTGTACTTCGTTGAAACTCTATTTTGCCTCGATCATATTGTAAAGGTAGTCTTACTCATGGACTTTCCCAAGACAGTAAAGAAATCTCGTATGTTTCTGTTGGTATTCACCGCTTTCAATCTTCTTTGATTATCAGGTCTCCACTTTTCTCGGGCTTCTGCAATGCCCATAATATTGCATTTTCCATGACCTTATCCCACCGTGTCGACTCGCTTAGTTTTTCACCAAATCGACGAAATCCATGAGGCACACCTCTGAAAATGTACACATCTGTAGGGACTCTTTTCCCCAATGCATGTGCACCTTGTCAGCCCTATGATGCCACGGATAGCAGCAATAAATGTACTCACCCAGCCTTTATGAGTGTCTCCGCATATAATAGCCCTTCGTCCCTCAACGGGTCCAACCCTGCAATAGCAAAAGTAGTAGGAGGGAGCCCCCTAACTTGATGAACGGATGCATTTCCTGGATTTAGCATCAGGTCGTCGATATCCAGATGTTGAACTTTCAAAAAGTCTAGGAACATTCTGATGATGCTCTTCGGAAGTATTGGCGCATTTTCGTTCTCAAAGTATGATGAAATAGACACGTCTTTCATTCGCGCGAGATGCCTTTCATATAGATCCATATGGACCAGACAAGGGATCATCAAGACTTGACCTGCTATGCCTGGCAAATTGTTGGCTGCAAGTCCTAGGCTTTTTCTCAGCACGAGCGACGCGCTGAGCTGGCCACCAGCGGATATGCCACCAACCACTATGCGCTGACTATCCCCTCTCAGCTCGTCGATATGAGCATGTAGCCAAATGAATGCGTCCTCTGCATCATTCCAAGCAGTGGGGTACGTGAACTCCGGTGTATGTCGGTAATTGACATCCAAGACGACCACGCCGGTGTTGATGGCAATGCGAGCGCAAGTTGCATCCTCGGAACTGAGCGTGCCGAACAGGAATCCCCCGCCGTGCAAATGCATATACACTGGCGAGGCCTGCTCGTGGTGAGGGACTGACCGGTAGCTTCTCGCCTCGATTGCGTCTCCATCGCGTGTTGGGATGCTGTAGTCGTGCATTTCCACTTTACTTGCGAGCGTTTTCATGGCCTGGGATGCCTGCGCTTCCCTTCGTTCGTTCGTGGCATCCCTTCGTTCCAGGATAGAATGGTAACCGGAGACTGGTGACGGAATCGGTAAGGTCGCTTCGACAGCAAGCCACTCCCTGGAGGGTCCTCCATAGCGGGAAAAGTCGCACATTCTGTCTTTAATGTCAATCTTTGCGCACCTTGGGCTGTGAGTATTCTACTTTGCCATGTTTCAACGCTCGGGATGATGTTATCATCAATTACTCATTTATCTAATTAGAAAAGAGCAAGCTATATATGAACTAGGGATAGTGCGGCCATATAGTAGTGGACTAGGTACAAGACGGTGGAGCAGTGTCGGCGACAGCCTGTCGTTGACAGGGTTTTCGGCTTTGCCGAAAGTAGTTATCCGGTGCTACTAGAGCTGTATGTGACAACGCGAAACACTATGCTGCAACAATGAGGAACCGCACGTACTTGAACCTTTTTGTTTTTTACAATCAGAAAAACTCAAGAGCTACGCCTTATAGACTAGAATCCATACAAAGTCTATTCACTTGGGGACAGCGATTGAAGACGACATAAGCCAACTGGTCATATTCAACATGTCAGATATTTCGTGCGAGCCTCCGTCGAGGTCATTCAAGGGTCAAGTTGCTATCGTTACAGGTGCTGGTTGTTCGGGTGATGGTATTGGAAATGGCCGCGCAATATCCATCATGTTGGCTGACGAAGGGTGCGATGTGGTGTGCGTTGATCGGGAGCTAGAGTTCGCAACCAGAACGTGCGATATGGTAGGGTCGAAACCCGGTAGAGGAAGCGCTATCGCCGTTCAAGGGGAGGTCTCATCTGAAGAGGACTGCAAATCTGTCGTACAGCTTACGCTTGACAGGTTCGGACGCCTGGATATTCTTGTAAACAACGTTGGCGTGGCAGGCGCCCCGGGAACTGCTGTGGATGTGGACATGGAACACTGGGCCAAGAGCATGGAGATCAACGTATCAAGCATGGTGATGATGACCAAATACGCTATTCCAGCCATGAAGAAAAACCCGCAACCGGAGAATAAGGGCTGCATCATCAACATAGGCAGCGTGGCAGGACTCAAAGGCGGTACACCACATTTGCTCTACCCAACCAGCAAGGGGGCTGTCGTGAACATGACACGAGCCATGGCGGCGCATCATGCCAAAGACGGTATACGGGTGAATTGCGTCTGTCCAGGTGTAAGTACATGGCATTCATTCCAACACGGCGGACAATCATGCAAAAGTTAACGGCTTGAGACCATCTAGATGCTTTATACCCCTATGATGTACTCTGGTGGAATGAGTGAGGAATCAAGGGCCGCGAGGAAAGCCAGGAGTCTGCTGGGCACCGAAGGCAATGGGTGGGACTGTGCTGCTGCCGTTGTCTTTCTCTCCAGTAATCATGCTAGATGGATAGCTGGCGTTATTCTGCCAGTAGATGCCGGGACTACTGCAGCTGTCGGGATTGGAATGCCGAAAGGCGCAAGTGTCAACGCGTAGGGGCTTGCAGTAGTAGACTAGTTTTCTATGAAAACAATTACCGAGAGATCATAGGCTGACTGATCCATGGTAGCGTGCTCTCTGCATTACGGCAGATGGTTGTTAATGGGTACTATTAGTGCGTGGATTTGATTCTTACTTCTATCAAAGCCTCTCAGAACTTCCCGGGGTTCGCGAAAAGCTCCCAAGTTCTGCCCACGCTATCCCATGTCGATTATCCAAATACCATTCGAGCTGAAAAGCATCACCTAGGCTTATAGACCGCCTCCTGGATGAAACGCTCAATTCACCCTCTTGAGTCTCTGTAGTACAAACTTCCATGCCTATTATGCTCCTTTATCCTTGACGATGATTGTGTAGCGATCCTTTCTTGCAAGTGAGGGCGAGGTCATTCCGAGCCCTCTAGCTACATACGCGCTTCCAAAGAATGCTTTTACTTTGCGAATCATAACAGAGGCATGGGATTTAGACATAAAATAATGACTCGCAAGCTATCTTCGTGTTCAATTAAAGCCTTCCTCTGCTTTGAAACTTCTCGCGATCCCGCAGAAGTCGCCTCGGAATCTTTCCGGATGGAGACTTTGGTATGCTATCTACAAATTCGACACCCCCTTTGACCCACTTGTAGTGTGCTAGTCTATCTTCAACATACTTGTGAAGCTCCCCCGAAGAAATGTTCCCAGGTAAAAGCCGTCCAGAGCTCCCTAGTACAATATCTCGTGGAGTACTGGAGGTGACAACTACGCGCCTACCAGGGGGAAGGGGGGTTTCTGAATGTATTACAAAAGCATTGCAATAGCATATCGCAATAGTGTTGAAATCAAATCAATCAATTGATATAATTATAAACAGATTTTCTATCTTTATAATATCGTAGTTGATATTATATTAAACACGATATTATATCACATTATATTATATTATGTTAATCACAACATTAAAACTAAAAAAGTTATTATATCACTCATTACTTACTCAACTACTTATTAAGTATTCTTAAGCTTAATTATATACTATAAAAAGGCCTATAGATTTACAGAAATATTTAAAAATAGAATTAAATTTAAAATGTATTAAATTTAATTTAATAAATATATACTAATATATTTATAATATGCGCTAATATAATATTAACCTTAATATTTATTAATATAATATTAATTTTTTAATTGGATTTTGTTTTAGTAATTATTTTTTAGTTTTTTGTAAGCATTTTGTTATTATTTTCAAATTTTGATTTAATATCGAAATTATTGCAAAAAATGATTGCATTGCGCAATTCATTTAAAAACCCCCCTTCCCCCTGGTAGGCATGTCTCAGTCATGCCGTATCCAAGTGTTACCTTCCACGTTGGATAATGGGACAAAAGAGCCATGTTATCTGAGGTGCCAAAGGCGCCGCTCCGACCCAGACGCGTATGGTTTGGAGGTTATTGACCATTGAAATGATGATGGGAGGCACCAAATAGAGTGTGTTGATTCTGTATTTGGCTATGGCCCCAAAATAGGCCTCCAATTCGAATTTTGGCAGGACAATGACTGAATCACCCCGATAAGTCGATGCATGGCAGATTATGATCAGACTGTAGATATGGGACTGCGGCAGTAGGCCAAGTCCAATATCACGGTGCCGAGGAGCAATATTGTCGCGGTCGACCTGGTGAAATAGGGACAGCTGAATGATATTGGCGATGACATTTTTGTGGGAGATCATGACCGCTTTCTGTATTCGCAATCACCCATAGCTCGCAGTTGACCTTTATCGATAGTTTCTCACTTACTGGTAGGCCCGATGTTCCGCTAGAGTAGCAGAGAAAAGCTGTTTGCGTAGGCCCTTGCCCGTGCTGCCACGCCACACGCTCAAGTTCAGGCAAGCTTTCACCCTCTCGGATCAGTTGGCCCACAGTCCTGAAGCCAGCGAACTTCTCTGAGTCCGAATCATCAATCATCTCGCACAGATAGATTCGATCTTGCGCTATTCCAGCTACTTTAGCCGCTTTCAACGCCACAGGCAAAAGATACTGCCCTGTGAAAAGGGCTCGACATTGCGATGTCTTGAGTTGGTGTATCAGCTCGTCTATACTGTACGTGGCGTTGGCCGGCGAGGAAATTCCGTAGCCGGTGCACCGCCCATGATACGCTCATCACATCAATCTGTAAGCTTCTTTGTTAGTCCTTCGATGCCCCGCTATGTTTGAGATGCCTTAAGCCATCCTACTACAGATAGAAGCTCATTGTACTCACAGTGTTGAAGGCGAAGACCCCAATGGTTTTGTCAAATGCTGACGCCTCAATTACCCGCCAATGAAGTTCTTTGGCCAAAGCGCGCGACAGGAGCTCGACGCATTCCTTTTGCTCATGTGCTGAAAGTTTTCTGCCACTCAGCCCACAAGTGTATGCATCCAAAGACTCATCGTAAGAGCGTCTTCCATAGCGCTCATCAAACATGAAATCGGATAGCGGAATGTTGTCCGCAATGCTCGGCATTGGCGGAAGAGAATCATTATGGAAGAAGGTCATGATGCGATGTGCACAACAGTTTACAAGATAATGAAGGTTCTGCGGGATTGAAGTCCGCTCTTGGCCAAGAACTCATATCTCGAGTTGACATAAGACCGTTTCGATCCGCTCAGGTATCCTCCTTTGTTAAGAAATTCGTGTGTCGGGGTCCAGTATGCCGATTTTTGATTCGCCCCGCGAGCAAGTAATGTAGAATAAAAAATAGTTAAGTTTTATTTCAAATCTATTAGAACACAAGAATTGAATCGCTCATCTGCTCCTCTCTTCTGTATCCGACTCGTGCAAATCGTCAAGGTCTATGACCTCGTAGCCCTCCACCTGTCTAGTCCTCTCCAAATACCACGATCGACAACGCCCTCCAAACCGACGACAGGCCTCTGTTACTCTTCGCCTGAATAACACCAGCCCCACTATTAGTACAAAAATCGAAAGCGTCGGTATCGACCAGTTAGAAAACACACCTGGGGCGTCCGAATCAGCCATGGAGGGTGCAGCGTCTTCGAGACCCATCAAGAGGATAATGCAAGCTGTCCATCCCGTAAAAGCCCTGCTTCTCTGTCCAGCGCCCGTCTTGTCATTATACTGCTCCCAGACGAAGCCAGTCGACTTCCAGCTATCATAGACTGTGTTTACGAGCCGTTTCCTAAGCTTCGCAGCCAGAGCGTTTGCTCGTTTCCCTTCGGAGGTAGTGCTCCCCATACCATGGAGGCGAAGAACGGCAAGTACGTTGAGCGGCATCCAAACCGCGCCACGCCAATAATCCTCTTCCGTCCCGTATTTTTCGTCCGCGGCACTGAGACTCCGTAGACCGAAAGGCGACAAGACCTTTTGTGAGTCGGAAATCAGGTCCAGGACAGCTGGGAGACGTGGATGGGTTTCATTCATATGTCCAAGCAACAAAGGCATCAACGACATATATCCCAAATGACAGACATGCTGGAACTGGCCGTCTCCTCCAATAGTGCTGTCACAGTACGCAGACTGTTCTGTGTTCCAGTGTATTACGTCTAGATTTTGGAGTACAGCATCCAGTTGACCCTTGTACACCGAGCTGTCTTCCCCGAGAAACTCAGCCGCTTGTTGCAGCGCCCTGGCCGAGGCGCCGACCCATGCAAGCGCATCGACATGAAGTTCACCTGGATGCGGTGGTTCGGCCCGAGGATAGTCGTCCAGGCCACTGGTAAGTGTGTGACCAGGATAGCGACCTTTCCAGCGGTACGCCTCCGAGTTGACCCCACCAGGACGTGAGTACGCAGTCAAGTTCCCCGCCTGAGTACGGCGAAACCAGTTATAATGGCGGTCAAAGAGAGGAAGCAGCTCTTTCACCAATGACTGTGCGTCCTGGGAAGAGGTCGTGTATTTCGACGAGTGACCATTATATGGTGTCTTCTTGGTTACTTTAGAGATGATGTTGGTAAGTAATAAGGAAAGAGTTGGCGGATTGGCGTAATGAGGATACTGGGTTTGGAATTCCGTAGGCACTTTGCTGCGGGCCTCTAGTCCAAGAATCTGCTCACCTGCAGCACTCCATATCAGTATATTTGGCTTCAAAGGAATGATGCGCCAGGCTGCCAATAAAGTTTGCAAGTGTACGCCAATCAATGTACTTACGGCCAATCCAGCCATCCTCGTCCATCAGGTTCAACCACTTCTCACTACTGACACGGCCAGATCCAGGTCCCATTCGATCACAGGCAATAAATGGAAACCCTCATCCCATAAGAAGCCGCGCGGGAAAAATGGTCTTGAAGGAGTGAAAGAGAGAAGAGAATTATTTGCGGTTGTGGTGATCGGAGCTTTCGCCATAACAGCCTTATTTATCTACGGAGTCAGTACCGGCCGGTTATCAAGATAGGGGCATACTTACGCCGCCTTCTCCCAGAAATTAAGATCTAGCTCCTCGTACTCAGGAGCATGGGTTTCGTCGACCTTTTCATCGCCATGGAAAAAACCCATGCCTCCGAGGAGGTTCGATATCAGGGAACGTGTGAAGTCCTCATAAGCATCACCCTCGTACGGAGCTGTTCTTGGGAAGACTTTATCGAGAATGGCCGCGAATGACGTATTCAACTGATTCCCGAGGTTATCGATAGCATCGGCTTGGATTTGTCTTAGTAAGCAATATTTCCATGCATATCCTAGGGCGATGTTGACTTACAGGGTAAAAACGTGCCGGTATTGGATCGAAATGCAAATGTGATCTGAGAAATTACCGTCAATGTTCTGCTCTCATTAGACTTGCTAGTTGGAAATTTACCGAAAAGGGGCCCTCGAGCACCAGCTGCGAGAAATGCATGTTGCCTTCCCCTGGTTCATTAACCACCAGGCTATCTCCCTCGGTAGCCTTCAACACATCGGAAAACACGGCTACGAAAAGTCAGAGTCAGTCCAGGGAACGGTATATCTCAGTAACCCACCCTTGGCTTGCCATATCTTGTCTTCAGCCATCGACACACTCTTCACAGCAGGTCCTTGTATGATTTTGTTCTGAGCATCTCCAATCTGGTGGAGATCGACTGAGCCGAGTTCGGGAACTGCACCAGTGCATTTGACACTTTCATCCGCGCCCGTGCTTGCGTCGTTGGTACATTTGAGGGTCTTATCTGCAGGGAGGGTTTCCGCATTCTCTAATGCAGCATGAAATATGAGCGCGGTCTTGGGGCTTGCTGGTGCATCTGCCCTGGGAACACCCTTCACGCGGGCACTCCAGCTAAGACCATCGTCAGACTTGAAAAACTCAGTGGTGAGATCCAAATGGAGCACGCTGTCATGGATGGTTTGGCTTCCTCCGGTGCGAGTATCGTACAGAGTCCACCCGTAACCTTCCATGCCATCACGCTGGGGGAGGGGAGGCGAGAGATCCATAGCAAGCAAGTCCAAGAACAGGATATGTGGTCGCCCGGATCACTGCCTAGGATGGAGCTCGCAATGAACAGACCAAGCCAAAAGGCTGTTGTTGTCGCCAAGGGAGAGCAGCAGTCAATCAGTGGAGCGGAGGATGGCTCGGACAGCCTCTCTACCTGGCTGGGCAACTGGGCTTTTAGACGGCGTATTGTGGTCGGCAGTCAAGCAGGCTCTAAATTTTCACTGCACCCACCGTCTTGCAGGGCGAGAAGGTGTTTGCGAGCCAGCGCACCGAAGCAGATCTTGGGCGATCATTGGCGGGGGGTGGGCCTCACAGCATCTTGACCCCCAAACCCCCTCTACCCCCCCCTCCCCCAAAGAACACCACCCCTAGCCAGACATGCCGCAGGTTGCTGCATTGGAGGATTCTGCTGTGCCTCAGCTTTTTATCCGAAGTCGACAAGTACTCTGTCTATCACCGCCAGCACTGCAGCTTGCTTGCACGCCGCCCAATCATCGTACCCTCTGGCTTGCTCCTCCCATTGCTTTCCCTCGAGCCTGATGACAGAAGAGGGAGGAATCATCCTTTTGGTCCAGGAATGCACACACACTACTAGGTGATACTCTGTACTGTGCAAACCAGCACACATGTGTACACTCTAGTCGCATTGGCTTAACTTGGCTGGCCCGGCATGTCGCTGGCACGTCGCTTGGTCCTGCTCCCTGCAGCCACCCGTTTGTCTAGGCCGTCGACCTTCGGCAAAGGAATGCATATATGCAGATGAGTGTAACCTTCCTCTCCCAATTTTGGCCCCCAAGAGGATCCCATGTGTCGTGCAGCATATACGTTTGCATGGGCAAAGCGAATCATTGGCTCTTTTGCCCATATTCTCGCCCTCGCTGAGCCGTGTTGGTAGCTACCTACTTATATATGTACTCTTGATAGATGCCTGTAAGCTTACCGGCAAGAGCATGCAGAATAATCGGTGGGTTGATCTTGCGCATACCCTGCTTCTTAGGCTACCCCCTCTGCTCTTCATTCTTGCCTCTCCAGACGACTGTCGTCACCGACATGGTTGAGATGTGCCCGGTGATGTTGCCCTGGAGTGCCGTCTAAATTTATCTCCTACCTCACGCCGCTACTCTGTAGCGTATTGTTCTGAGTAGCCATGGCCGCGCCAAACCAGCAGGACTATACTCGGACGCCCGGCCATCAGAGCACGCACACCACCTCGCCCCCAGGGACTAGCCCAACATATCCCGAGTATCAGCAGCAGCAGCAGCAGCAGCAGCAGTGGAATGAGCACAACTGTGGGGGCCTCGACGTCAACAATGATAATGGCCTCCAGGTGAATCCTCCTCCGGTCCCTGGGCTCGAGGTTCACCAGCCCGAAAGCCGGCTTGAGGTTAATCATGAGCGCATGGGTCCGCAGTATATCGAGAGCCAGCCCAATGTTCCGCCGAATGTGAACATGTACTCTAAGGACGGCAAGATTCTCAGCGACGGCCAAGGCGGATATGCGGACGCGCCACCACCGCCGCCGCCGCCGACAATATGTGGTGTTCGCAAAAGGACCTTCTGGATAATAATTGTCATTGCTGCTGTCGTCGTGATTGCCGCCGCAGTTGGTGGTGGAGTGGGAGGATACTTCGCCCAACGCAACAAGAATGCTGCTGCCGCTGCCGCCACCGCAGTTCCAAAGACAAGCCCGGTATATCAAAACTCAAGTATAGCCGCTGTTCAATGGAAGGACGGTTCTCAAAACAATCAGTACAGAGTTTACTTTCAGCACAATAACAGCAGGATTATAGAGGCAGCCTGGTCAGGGAACGCCTCGAACAACTGGAACGTAACTGCGATCACCGACGACGGTGCTGATATCGTTCTAGGCACGTCCATTACTACCGCTATTAGATACCCGCACGTTAACTCCAGCTATGCCTTGGTAAGCACTATGGTTTTGATAGACTCGGAGTAGTCGAGCTTACGCGTGTCTGTATGTATGTGTCCTCGGACTAATGGTGTATCTGTACGGCCAGGTGAAAAACGTCTACTACTCCGGAAATACTGGCACCATGTTCGAGCGGCAGTCCCCCTATAAAGAGCAAGCTGGCGTCTGGGGCAACGACAACTTCAGTGGACTCTACACCACGTCCAAGGGCTCTTCCCTCCTAGCTTACTGGTACCAGAGCTTCGATACTGTTTCCCAGATTCTAGCTGTGCTGTTCCAGGAGCTGGGTGCCAATTCGCTCACAATCGGCAAGTACACGAGCAACAGCACGTACGACAGCCCTTGGGTAGACACGGCACAGAGTATTGCCATCCAGGATGGTTCATCCCTGGCCGTTCCCCCTATCGGCAGCCGCCGAGACCTTCGTCTCTATATCGGCGACCCCAACGGGACACTGAAACAGTACCAGTATAACCTGACGAGCGACGCCCTAACCAACCCGATGTGTATGTACCTCACCACTTCTTCTTTTCTGCTTCTTTAGTACACAGCACACTAATCCACGCGGGCTCTACCCCATCCTTCAGCAAGCACCTTCCAGTTCCCGCCGCACACGCCCATCTGCGTGAGCACGCAGGACAACCGGCCGTACTACACGACGACGACGCTGCCCGAGTGCGCGAGCACGACGCAGGAGTACACGCACCTGATCCTGTTCGCGTCGGTCGACGGGCACGACTTGTCGCTCGTGTCGTGGAACTGCTCGAGTGGCTTCACGGACCAGTGCAGCCGCATCGCCGCCTTCCTCCGCCCCGGCCGCGCCTACCTCGCCCTCGCCAACACCCTCACCTCTTTCGACGACGCCGGCCAGCGCATCTACGTCCTCTACGACGACGGCGCCGGCCCCGCCATCGAGGAGTGGCAGGTCCCGCCCGGCGGCCAGCACGCCGACTGGAAGGTTCTCGGCTCCGTGCCCGTCAATGTAACCGGGTCTTAAAGAAAAGAGAGAGCGGGGGTTTGGGGGGGGGGGTGGAGACGTCATGGGAAACGGGGATCAAAGGTGGACTTTGCTTGGCCGTCGTACCATTATAGTTGGGCCGAACGATGTTGCCTTGTTACCACCCCCTTCCATTTTGGAATTTATTCAGTTCTTTTGTATATCACTTTTGGTCTAGTAAGGAGCGGTGATGTTTTGCATTTGGAAGCAAGGCGCCCTGGGTTTATTCGATAAGCTGGTTCGTTGGTTTGGTACTTGGGACACGCATGCCACATGCAGGTTTATGGCCCACCAAAATCATACGGAATGCATGCTGGAATACTCCCAATGGTTATGGTTTGAGCTTCGTGGTTGGTATTTGCAAGCAGGGTGATTGCTCTGTCACCGCTGTAATATCTGTAATGCGGTACGCGCTGCCGCTTTGTTATTAGCTATTTAAGCCGTGTCTCACTAGTAGTAGCCTTGTAGGTAATAAGTAGTGACTGATTAGTAAGCTTAGCAGTACCTTTCCTAACTACTAAGTAGTAATCAGACTATAAAAATTATATTATAGGGATTTTATAATAATAACAGTGTAGAGTCTGATATATTAAGTTGATTAAGATATATACAAGATGGGTGCTGTCAGGGCCGTTGGAGCTGATTGCACGCTGGGCCCGCTGGGCCCTCCTGATGGGCTTATCTTATTAGCGCAACAGGCCTACAAAACTGCTGTGACTTGACCTTTGAGCAATTCTTGCCTTTCCTCTCTTTTTCCTTAGGCAACCACAGTTCTGAATCAACATTTCTTCACAGCTGCATTGTGCTTCCGCTGGCTCTAAAGCGTGAGGACCGTCTCAGGTGCATTTAGAAAGTTCACCTTGGAATCCACATGCCCCCATTTCCAAAGGCTTGGTCTCTCAACGCCGCACCCTCCGTCCTGACACCAGCCAGATGAACAGGTATCCGATCGACCTGCTTCTGCACCTTCTCTCTAACCTCAACATACCGATCCGCCAAGCTCATCTCGCTCCTCATTGTGCGCATGCGCTCCCTCGTCTCTCCCGGACCCCAGTTGGCCCGACTCAAGCTCGCAACGGCAAGCAAGACATCTGCACCATATGCCTGCAGGGCCGCGCCTGAGCCGACTGGTGGTGTAGACACCCGCAGCTGGCCCATGACCAAGACTTTCAACTTGGTCTCTAAGAATAGGGCGCCACCAAACTCGTGAATGATGTGCACAGTAGCGATGTTCTTGGCAACAATACGAGGAGTGGCGTAGGGGGCTGGCCCGACTGTGATGATGCTCTCGTGCCAGTCCGTAGAAATGTGCTCGAGGCCGCTTCTGGGAACAATACATGCCCAGCCAAAATAGACCCCCCGCATGCGCATTCTGACGTCTTCGGGGATGTCGGTAAGATTGGCTGTTGGGATCCCCAGCTCCATCCCACCTCTCCCGGTGCCGCGCACAACTCTGCCGTCGAATCCGACGGGAAACGGGTCGAAAGGGCCCGAGTCTGGGCCGATTACCTCAGGCGGCGCCTCTTCAAAGCCGGCACCACCATCCTGCCACGGCGCATATCCACGGCTTCTCGTCGTGGCATACTGTGCCTCGTACTCCGTAACGGTCGTCTTGATACCTGATTTCTCGATGGCAGACTTTCCAGAGGCGATATGGGTGGCGTGTTTTGTGACGAACTTGGCCGTCTGGAGCTTCTTCGTCCTTGACTGCACAACGGCGGCAGCAGGGCCGATGTATTTATTCGCAACCGTCGTCGCGACGATCGAGCCGGCTTTAATGCCGAGCTCAAGTGGCATGCTAGCGAGGCTTGCTCCACGTACGACACTCGCATCGGTAGATGTACTAGCAATGCGGAAGACCGGGGAGGGGCAGAGAACCTTCCTCTTGCTGTTCCCATTATCGCCACCGCCGGCGCAGAGGACAAGTCGGAAATACCCATCATCAGCTGCAGCTGGGATACGGACGACGTGGGTCTCTCTCGGCATGTGCCTGCTGAGGTTCTTGGGCGCCTTCTTGAGGAACTTCTTGATGTCGCGCTGACATGCTCGCTCATCGCCTTCTGCCATATCTGCAGGTGAGGCTTGTGATGAGGGCGTGACGTCGAGCCAGGAGTCGTTAGCGCCGACCAGGGACTTGAGGTTCATCCCCATGTTTCCGGAGAAACCCTTTCGCTGAAGCCATACTGTGCGGGTAGGAGGCAGTGGTGTATCTGAGAAGACGGTGACTGTGACAGATGTTGAGGGACCACGATACCAGATTAAGGCGGTGGAGTGGCGAAGGATGGCGAAGTGCTTTGTGTACTCAAAAGGATGACTGATTAGTCCTCCAGCGAAGTACTTGGTCTTATCAAGGGCCGTCTGCCAAAAGGTCTTCTCAGTTGTCTGCGAGCCTGTGGACAGCGCTTCCGAGTGGCCATAGCTTGGCGTGACTGGCGGATGAGGCGCTGTCAAGGGGAAAGTCTCTGCCGAAGGTGGACCTGCAAGGACCGGGGAAGCTAGAGGGCGTTCGTGTGCAGTTACGGGGAAGGTTGCCGCATTGATTGGGGGAGGACAAGGTGGTGGTGGAGGAGGAGGGACATGATTGAAAGGGACTGCGAATGTTTCCGACTTGACTGGAGGAGGAAAGCCCGTTAATTGTGAAGGTTGATAATGCGATGCGGATGACGAGGCTTCTGACCATGATGGCGCAGGCGGAACTGATGACAAGGGAGACACCGGAGGGACCGGAGATGCTGCAGGTCGGTAGGGTCGATACTGCGGCTCGTTAAAAGTGTCTGCACATGAAGGCGGCCCCGGGAATAACGGTCCGGGACCCGGCGGTGCGGGCGATGGCAGCCTCCTTGGGCTGGGGGGAATGATGTTGAGCCTCCCACCAGCGTCGACGCCGGGAAACACCTCGTACGCTGGTGGTGGGTCATGGATCGACGGGATGCCCGGATCTTTTAGGTTTGGCGTCGACGCCGTGCCGCGAAGGACCGGCCGACGCCGGGGAAAGGACTCGAAATCTGGTGGTGGCGGCATTGCGTTTGTGCCTCACCGCCGGGATTGGGCCGTCATGGAATCTCAATGGTGCACCTTCGCGATTGCCTTTGGGGCCCTCCTGTAGCTGATGGTCCGTGAGTCTGAGTAGTTGAACAGGTGTTTAAGCTTTTAGACTTCAAAGACGACGTGTTTCTGTCATGGTCTCTTTGTGTTTTGTTGTGACCGGACACTCGTATTCCAGAATTGCAGCCCCTGAGATTGAGATGAGACTATGGAGGTACGAGTGTCTCGTCACATATTGCCAAGTCATAATCTGGTAGCAAACGGCAGTAGCAGTGAGGAGCCAAGTGAGACGTCACTTGGGCTGGACGGCATATTGTCTCGAATTGTGCACCAAATTATGTGGATTTTACGAGTAAGCTGGCCTGAAAAGAAAAGAGAGGAGGGAGAGGTCTGTCTCCCTGGCCCTCTGGGCTGCGAAGGTGTAGGCAGGAGGGGCTTATCGATAGGGGGCCTCTGCAGTGCAGGGCCCAACCGCCCTGCCCCTACACCCACCAGCCTTGACTAATACCTTATTTTAAATACTTATTTCTTGATCTTACTGAGTCCTACTTCTGTCTATCCTACAGTATCCAGTAGCCTGGCTGCATATGCTGTAAATTACCCCATGCCCGAATCATGGATGGGGTACACACTGGTCGTTGTGAGGGTACCGGAGGCCAGTTCATGCGGCCGGTTCTGGGTGCATTTTTCTGCAGGGGCTTACCTATCAGAAAATGTACCCAAAACTTGCTCACAGCTTTTAATATTGTAATATGTATGTGACTTCGTGAGAATGGGTATACAGTGAAGGCTGTAACAGCGAGGGATGGATCGCCGCCAGTGGCAAGGCGAGGGTCTCCAGGCAATCTGTTTTCTGGTTATTAAGAATTTGTTTCAGAAACACTGAAGCTCGGTTTGCTGAACTCTTACCCAGCAATAACGCTCATCAGCACCATAGGCCTATCCGGATGTGCTTTGAAATCCTTATCCCAGGCTTCTTTGAACTCAAGGCTGGGGGCAGCAACCTCAGCTTCAGCAAGACGAACTTTTGCTTGTATCTCCTGGGAATTCCAGCCTATCATCTTGTTATTGTTCCTTATCAAGTCTTCCGGATTCCCTAGTCGACCAAACACAAGCGTATCAAGGGTATCTTGAGGAGTCTTGGTGTTTCCTCATACCCGTTACCAACACTGAGCAACGAAGTAACGACAGACACCCCAGCGGCCGCAAGTACTTTGGGGGTGCCGATGCCAGATCGCTCCGGAAGCGAAGGTGTAGCACAAGCTCCGCATGAAGAAATAACGAATTTCCTTGCCTTAACGGTACGATACTGGACAGCACCTTCGGAGTGGATATAGCAGGAAGCCGCATCTTGACGTTTGCCGTCGGGCGAAATGAATCGCTGAGCACGTCAGACGGCATTCACAGACTCGAGGTCCGACAAATCTGGGTCCTCGGGCCATCCCAGCTTAGTAGCTGATGAGATAAACTCGTCCTCAATCCGTCGCGAACTATACGTTCCACGAGAGATCTGGACTGGACCATCGTGGCCGCGTATACCCCTCCCATCATAGCCGTCGTAGGTCTCAAGCTGCAATATAGACGATTGAAAGGAGTTCAATGACTCAGAATAGAACTACAGGATTACCTTCTGCAAGTATGGCAGCATGTCATCGGCTGTTCACCCTGGTGTTTGCCAGGAATCGAAGTCGGATCGCTGGGCACGGCTGTACTTCATGAAATTGGTAGACGAACCACCACCAACGACGCAGCCTGACCTGAGTAAAGTAGGTTAGTAAATTTTCTACCTTACTTTGATAGCAACCCACCAAAGTGCGGCCTCAAATCTATAGCAGTCAAGCAAAGCGGCCCAGTCACTATAAAGTCACAAAGATCCAAGTGAACCCAACAAGCGGTCGCGTAACCATTCATACGCTATAGATGAGCCCCATGCGTATTCCACAGAAGCTGTTGCCTCTCACTAGCCTCTTCGGTTTGTATGAATTCTTTGTAGGAATCCAGGATTTCTGGATTCATGATCGTCGGGCTTACCTTTACCTCCTTCCCACTGACTAGATTCTTGACTAGAATCTCAACTTTCTTGCCATTCACTGTATAGGGGACCCCAGAAACCGGAAAGATGTATTTGGGCACATGTCGAGGGCTCAGGCTGGACCGAATCACGTCATTAAGTCTTCGAGTCACCGCCCGATTGAAATCATGTCCCTGTGCCATTTGTACAAAGAGTATAACAGATTCATCTGCGTCGTGATCTCTTCTTTGGCCAACGCAGACGCTGTCAGCGATACTCGAGTCTTGAGCAACGACATTGTATATCTCGGCTGATCCGAAGCGAACGCCGCCGGGATTCAACACGCCGTCCGATCTGCCATGCATCAGGAACCCCCCCGTTACCGGGTTTTTGGACACAAAGTCTCCCTGGTTCCAGATCGGATACCCTTCAGGATGCTGACGGTTATGCTCAGGCGCTACAGCTGGGTATTTGGCAAAGTACGAAGCCCTGTACTTTTCACCGGCTGGGTCGCCCCAAAGGAATGCTGGCTCACTCGGCCACGGCTGCTTGCAAACAAGCTCGCCCGCGTCCCCGGTGTTCTGTATTGATACACCGCCGCCGTTCTCGACATCATATATGTCCACATCCATGCCCAGACAGGGCCCCTGTATCTCACCAGCGTATAGTGGCATTGTGGACACACCTGAGACGAGTGAGCATGCGAGGTCTGTGCCGCCGCACGTAGAGTTGAGGAGAACGTGAGGGGGGAAGCCCTCGTCATAGAACCATTGAGCGACGTCTGCGGTGAGAATGCTGCCTGTGGAAACGATGGTGCGGAGACTAGACAGGTCGAGCTGGTCCCTGGGGCTGATTCCATGCTCCTTTAGCAGGGACAGGAACTTTGCCGACGTTCCGAATACACTGATCCGCAGCCTCTGCACTAGCCTGAGTAATACCAAAGGGTCGGGAATCAGTGGAGACCCGTCGTAGAGGATGACTTTCCCTCCGAATGAGAGAGACACAAATACAAGAGCCCACATGATCCATGCTGTCGTCGTATACTGGAGTATTGTGTCCCCCCGGTGAATGTCATAACTTAGGAACGCGTCTTTGGATGCGGATACCAGGAGTCCGCCGGCGGTATGGACTATTGATTTGGGTGGGCCGGTTGTGCCTGACGACCATACAATGAAACCAGGGTGATTGAAAGGCAGCTGACGGAATTTCAGCGTTGTGTTGCTTGCACCCTGAGCCAAGAAGTCATCCCATGCTATCAGTTTGACGGGTGACTCATTTGGCTCCGAGGTGACGTCCTTGACACTCCCCACGACAATTACAGCCTCCATCTCGGCCGTCTTCTCGGCTAGGATACTGGACCACGCCTTATGCTTAGCGAGAAGATGCCTCAGCCTGCCGTTGTACACGACTTGCGTCTCGCAGAACGCCAGCTTTGGTCGTATTTGAGTAAGCCGGTTCAGTATAGCATCTACGCCCATCTCAGGCGATGACGTCGACCAGATTGCACCCAGCGATAGCGATGCCAGACAGGCCACAATCGTCTCGAGCCGATTAGACATGACAGCAGCGACCCTGTCGCCAACTTTGACACCACGAGATGCCATTGCGCCTGAGAGTTGCGCCACTTGCCGGCGTAACTCTTCCCACGTCACATCTCGTAGGGTCTCTGCACCTTCGGAAGCCACGTGGAGGATTATATCCCCTGCACGATAGTTTGCAAAGATGTTCTCGGCGAGGTTCATTTTGACGCCTGGAAAGAATGTAGGTGGCGGATACATGCATGGCATTTGCGTATTCAAATCCTTGTCGAAGACGCGTCAGTCAATGTCACTACCTTGGTCTGCAAAGCAGGGACGCTGAAATATCCACGAGTCTCACCTGAGCCTCAAATACCCTCTGAGGTGAGCCATCAAACTTGATGCCTAGGAACTTCACAAGCTCCAGCCAGAATAGAGGTGCGGTTTGCGGGGCGGTGGACCATCTCCAGAGGGACATATAGTCGGCAATGTTAGTGCCATATGTCATGTTGACTTTTGCCATGAAGTCTTTGAGATTCTTGCCCGAGGAGGGCAAAGGCCTCCACACAAGACGAGGTGACTTCTTCTCCCCCGTCATTTCTTTTCTTCCTGAAGCCAGGCACGACCAAGCGCACGACACAGTGAGCTATTGAAGTTGACTGATCTACGAGCAAAACAAAAGTTTTCACTGTGGCAGGATCGAGTCACCGTACGGAACCATTGGGAGTATTCCAGCATGCATTCCGTATGATTTTGGTGGGCCATAAACCTGCATGTGGCCTACATGGGTGTTCCCTGGGCTTCTGCGGAAATCGCCCCTGGCGTCTTCCGCGGCTGGATGGCGGCTCCGGCCCGCACAAGCTGAATACGGCCCGAATCACACCTTGCAGGCAGGACCATACACGTAGGACCAAGGTAGGTATTGTGCATTTGTTGCAAAGAGGTGTGTTTTCTTCCTATAGCAACGCCCGTGAAAGCCTTTCTCCTTGACCATGGGCTATAACACAGATTCAGTAGAGTGGCCTAGAGGGACATATATTCCAGAGCCAGTGAAGCGGCTGATTGACAGATTCTACAATCTCCTCGATGACGATGATTCAGGGGTAGGAAGCATCTTGGCGGATGAAATATTCACTTTAGACGGAGTGGCCTATTTTGGTGGACAGCCATTCAAAGGCACAGATGGTGAAGGCGCCGAACGAGTACCTAAGTCGATGCTCTCGCCAGCTGATAGAAACTACAGACATCCGAGTCTCTCGCAACCATGCATGGAAATCAATTTCAACGCGAAGACACCAGGTGTTGAGGGTGTACGTCGCCGACACCGACGCCAGTGACTTGCTGTTCATAGCTAGCGTTACTATGGGCCTGCGAAACGGGAAGCAGGTCGAGGGAGAGTTCGCAGGTCGTTTGCTCATTGCAGACGCGACAGGGTCGAATCCGAGGCTTAGACTTTACCAGGTCTGGGGGGTATGTAACAGCTCTTGGAAGAAGAAAGACAACGAAATTGGATCACTGACTTTGAAGCAGGATTCTTCGGCGTTGATGAAAGCACTACAGCCTTGACAGGCAGATCACGACGCCTTGGCAGAAGGACGGCTACAGGATCACGATAGGAATCTATGAACTGCTGCGCGAACAGACGTTAATGGTGCAGAACTTAGAAAGAACTTAACAGCCCTATGCTTTGTTTAGAAAAGCCATGGTCTAATCAAGGACCCGTGTTGCCGCCCCCTTAGTAAGATGAGTGTCAGAAGCACAGCAACGCTAGTTCAAGGACGATTTGAAAGAACGAGCATGGATGAAAACAACGTTTTCTGCGTCAGAGTCCACTCAGTCATCGATGATGGAAGTGCTTGTAAAACCCCCGAGTCAAAGAGTCCGCGAGTGGCGTGTAAGTTAAGTCCTTGTAGCAGGTGGATAGTATATCTGGAAGCTAGAGGTAATGAGAGGGAAAGAGGATGTCGGGTTCTTAGATCCGGGCCCGGTCTCTCGGAGTGACAAGCACCTTAAAGATAATTCGCGCTAAGTATGATCATGCACGTATCCGGTGACATGATTGCATGAGAACCTTCAAGGTAGGTATGTAAATAGCTAGATATCGAACCTCCTGCCCAGGTCCTCTGTCTCTATTTTTTTTTTGGAGCATTGGGGCTCATCCAGATGAATCTACTACTGGTCGCAAACAACCAAGCAAACATGGCCATTCGTAACGACTCCACCGCAAACGTCTTGTCTCCGGTGGGACTCGCTCATATCGTGCTGCAAACCTCTCAGTACAAGCCCATGGTAGCATTCTACAAGGCTTTCCTAGGTGCTCATGCGACCTATGAGAATGAGGCTCTCTCATTCTTGACTTACGACGAGGAGCACCACCGGGTAGCTATTGGCTACGTGCCCGGAATATCACCTAAGGTCCCGGTATCTGCTGGGCTGGCCCATATGGCCTTTTCCTTCAATAACCTAAGCGACCTACTGCAGGCCTACTGTCAGCGAAAGGCACGAGGTATTATGCCTATCTGGGCAGTGAACCACGGCCCCACGACTAGCATTTATTACCAGGACCCCGACGGGAACCAGATTGAGACGCAAGTGGACAATTTCCGAACTGTTCAGGAGGCGAATGAATTTATGCAGACTCCAGAGTTTGCCGAGAACCCGATTGGTGCAGATTTTAATCCCGAGGAGCTGATCAAGAAGCTGGAGAATGGTGCGGACGAGGAGGCTTTGAAGAAGAGGCTGCGCGTTGGGCCGCGGGGCGTGGAGGCGATACCTGTACCTCCTAAACCCGACGTGCGTGAAAGCTACGAGGTCATCGACATTTTGAGGGAGTGAATTGATGGGAAGGTCTGAGAGAACACAGCTTGCGTACTTGGGTAGCTTTCTGACAATTGAACTATATCTAAGTATTCTTTCATCCTGTTCCTGTGAACAGGCACGACAGATTGCTTGCTTGGCGAGAATATCCTATAAAAAATTCTTAATGCAAAAATTGCATCGAGATGAGTGCGGGTATCACGGCCAAGTTTGCATCAGTCTACGTGCGTTGAGTGGTGGCAGTACGATGATTAAGCGACAGTCCCGCGGTCCGAATAAAAGCCGCCCGTTCCGTCGGTGCTTCCACTGCGCTATTCGGCCCCACCTATCATGTAAAAACCAGGCATTGAGACGATAATATGTAAGTGTTACGGAAGTGAAAGATCTCTGCCTAAAAGCGGTAGCTCTATCAAACTCCCATTGTGTGAGCCTCACTGAACAGTTCTGCCTCAAGAATTAGACTTTCTTCGAAAAATGGGCGGTTGGAAAAAAGAGGTTAGCACATAGTGCCCTTTCATGTGAGACATTTTGAGCTGAAATTTGGATTTGCAGACTGACTGGACGACGGTCGAGGCTCTTTGCGCGGATCTTGCGTCACCACCAACGAAAGTGAGCTTATATTTTTACCAGCATGCAGGAAAAAAGTCAAGATACCCCTCTGACATGAAATTCAACCATTAGTACCATGATCCCACACTATTATCTGTGGAACAGGAGATCCTGGAATGGTACAAAGGCTTTGGACACTTCCTCAATGTGGTGGCACATTCCCATCCCAGCCACGGCAAGGCTTTCTTCGAAATGGAGGATTATTCAATTTTCGATCTTATGGGAAACCTAGAGCGACCAAACCTCGGTCTACACTACGATCACATCACGCCTTATCTGGGAAAAACCAATCAGTCGTTTCGCAACGTCGAAATCGTCGCAGTGACGCCGGAGTTTGGGTACATCACGTCCTTGCAAAGGGTACATGGCACAGCAATTGATGACAGCCCATACGATATGACTTTCCGGGCGACTTCGATCGCAAGAAAAATCGAGGGCGCTTGGAAACTGGTTCACGAGCATTATTCCTTTCCCGTGAATATGGCCACCAAGGTAGCTGATTTTACCAGCTCCCAAGGACTTTCTGAGAATGTAGAATTTCAGAATAATGAATAAATTTCAAGCTGCATCAGATTTACGGATGCAATTTGGGGGATGCCATAGGCACGCCCGCGTCCCAAAAGCTTATATCAGCCCTCCGCAGTGAAATGTAACAACGGCGTGATGTGTGAGTCTCACCATAGAGAAGAATGCCACTAAAGCTACATAAAACAAGGAAGGCGGCAGTCCCGTTAATTCAAATCGCAAACTCGTATCTCCCCAACTTTTTCCTAGGCCTGCCCTTCTCAGCGCGACGTGGTGGTACCCGTTCAAAAATGCTTTGAATAACAAATCTTAGAAGACAATTATTCCCATCACGTCTTCTCATCGACGTGGCTGTGTTTTGCCATTCAACTGAACGGAGCGGTATTCCGGCAGTGGAAGGGACATGATCCAGATAGCCGTAGTGATGAGAACGAAGGTAATAATTACAGCGGGATAGGTAACATAGTAGCCCTTGTCCGTGCTCAGGGCCAGCCACATTGGGTAGGCAAACGCAGCATGAGAGATTCCGAATGCTGTTGCAGATGTGGTGATTATGGCGTAGCTCCTCCACCCTTCCAGGTACGGGCTGAGGAGATTTGTAAGTGTTGCTGCTACAATCGGAGCGGAGGCGTTGACGCAGGGGAACCACAATGGAAAGCCCCCGACTTGGAATGGCTGGTATCCGTAGTATGTGTATATGCCAAAATAAAGGGGAGGATACTCGAGAAGACCGTTAATGGCGACGTATTTGAGCCAAAGCTTCCAAAGATCTAACCTCGTTGTGTTTGGGTTTCGCAGAACCGACAAGCACCAGTATCCCATCCCACCAACGAACCATAGGTAGGTGAGGGGCACGAAAACCGGAATAGGACGTCCCAGAAACTCAAACCCGACGATCTGATTCTCCGCTGGAAAGAAACAGTTTCCTAGCACGTCTACCACAGGCTCCCATCCACAGGCAAGGAAGCCGCCAAGAGACATGAGAAGGGCAGACGGATCCCCATCCTTGAGAAGCTTGCGGGCTGCGAAGATGAGGTACGGAAGAGCAGGTACGTTGGCGAAGATGGTTATGGCGATCTGAATATCATATGGTGGCATAGCCTACTCCAAATCTCGGATTAGCAACAATTGCATCAAACTAAGGTCTAGAAGAAGTGAACAATATTCAACTTTGCATTAGGACTAGATTACACCATGGAAAAGTAGATGCCCTTAGCATATGCCTCAAGCGCGGAGTTGGGGGGGGGGGCGGGTGAGCGCCCCTGGAGTTTTTCTCCAGGCCTCCAGCTACTCCGCGATGAGTTTTAGATCACTCAAACGGGGCGAGATAGGGTTGAAAAAAATCACAAACCATGTCCGCCGGTGGTCGGCTACTCGTACCAGGAACAAACATAATAGCTTTGGTTTCGGGGCAGACGAAGCGTATTAGTTTCTTCTGTGAAATTTGGAGTCTTTACGTGGGGATTTGATGCGATGGCAGCAAAGCTACTGTGAAGAGGGTGAGTCCGGCTTGATCCCGTTCTCTGCCCAAATGGCTTTCTCTAATGCGAGTTGTCCGGACCCGAGTGCTTCCGGATCCCCTCGATGCTCGAAACCCACTGACTCCATTCTCCTCTTGTGGTGCAGTTAAATCTGTGTCGTTGCATCCGCGGAAGGTTGGCCGCCTTTTGCATTCCGAGCCGAGTGGGGATGGTAAGCATCAGGGGTCTGAAATCGGGCCCGGGTATTTTCCTGCAAATGGTGTTCCTGGGCAAATTCAAAGTAGGACGCGTCGTTGAAGGATGTGAAAGCGTTTGTATGGCCACAAAGCAGTGCCATAGTTCAATCTCGGACCATTAGTACCGAATTCAAGTTCTACAAATCGTTGATATGAACTCAATGACTTTTGATCAGTCCTTGCTTCAGCTGTGAGATACACTAAAGCCTCGGCCTGAGATGACAGTCCCTAGTTAAGCAAGTCTTGTCTTTTGTACTCAGGTCGACGATCTGCGATTATGAAATCCTTTGCCCGAAGTCCGGAGTGGGATGCGGCGGGCAGCTATCGTGCTTCTCTAGTGCCAATCGTAAGTTTAAGCATTCGTCATTCTAAGCTAGCTGCAAACATGGCTGACTACTGTCTGACAGCTGCTTTTACTGTTTGTACCAGCGATATACAGTCTCGTGACCTACGACAAGAGGCGAAGGTTCTTGCCGCCTGGACCGAAGGGCTACCCATTCATAGGCAACCTACCAGCGTTCTCCAATGCCGACAAGCTGCCTCAAGTCATATCGAAATGGGCCAAGGAACATGGCCCCATCGTCTATTCACGGGTCGGCGTCTCGGACTGGATCTTTGTCAACAGCCCTGTTATCGCCAAGGAACTGATGGATAAGCGAGGGGCCAAATACTCTGATCGACCCTTTATGCCCATGGCATTTGACGTAACCTCGAACCGGAACCGTATCATCTTTATGCCTTATGGAGAAAAATGGAGACGCCTCCGAACAATCAGCCAAGCCGCCCTCAGCATCACCACGGCTTCGACATACAAGCCTATCCAGGATTTCGAGTCAATGCAGGTGCTATACGAATTGCTGCACGCCAAGGATGACGAGGCTTTCTACGACATCAACAGGAGGTATTCTGCCAGCACCATCATGACGGCGACATATGGACACCGGGTTGCCGACTGGAGTGACCCTGTTATCACGAGGATTTACACAGTTCTAGAGCATTTCAGCCAAATGGCCGAGCCGGGTGCGTGGCTTGTAGACTCCTTTCCTTTCCTCGTCAATCTGCCATCGTGGATGGTGCAGGGCTGGCGGAATATCGGGCGTCGGTGGTTCGAATATGACTCTAAGGTCTACCTGGACCTGTATCTTGATCTTGTCAACCAAATAAAGAAGGGCACTTCACCCGACTGCTTCATTCGCGATCTATACGAGTCTATTCAACGCAATCCTGAAAAGAACGGCATCAGTGATGAGCTTGCTGCATACGCAGCCGGGTCACTTGTCGAGGCAGGGAGTGAGTCAACATCAACGGTCATCAACGCTTGGATTATGGCCTGCCAGCTGTTTCCGGATGTCGTCTCGACCGCCCAGAAAGAGCTCGACGATGTCATTGGCTGCGACAGGATGCCGACCTTTGAAGACGAAGAGAATTTGCCATACATTCGGGCTATGGTAAAGGAGACGCTCCGTTGGTGGCCGATTACAAAGTCAGGCATGCCTCATTCCGTGACCGAGGATGACTGGTATGATGGCTACTTCATACCTAAGGGCAGTGTAGTCGTACTGAATTGGTGGTAAGTTAGCAAAAGCCTGGTACAATGCTTGGCACAGCTTTATCACACTCGTCGACCCAGACACTCATGACGAGAAATGAACTTCACCTAAACTCTGTTAGGGCCATACATTTCGACGAAAACCGATGGTTTGATGCTCACATCTATGACCCCAGCCGCTACCTTGACGATCCACACACGACGGCGGAATGCGTTAACCTCGCCGACGCCACCAAGCGGGACCATTATGCATACGGCTCTGGGCGCCGGATTTGCACAGGGATGCATCTAGCCCAGAACTCTCTTTTCCTAAATATGGCGCGAACTTTGTGGGCTTTCAACATCAAGCGTGCGGTTGGCGCCGATGGCAAAGAAATCGAGCCTGTCGTGGAGTCTCAGCCGGGCTTTATCAACTCGCCCGTAAAATTCCGTGCTGTGCTGGAGCCAAGGAGTGAGCAGCACGCTGCGATCATAAAAAGATATTGGCTGCATGCAGAGGCTTCTGGTGTAGATTGGTCAAGAAGAAAAGCTTTCTCTTCAAACGGAGCTTTATAAACCACGAGGGCTGTACACACTGGGAAAGGCCTAAAGCTCTACATCTAGCAGATGAATATGGGAATAACTTCGTACCATGATTGTCTCGAGAGCTCTGAGTACTTGCTCAAAAAAACGTAGAGTATGTCCCAGATTTGATTAAGCAGCTTCCTTTCCTCAGAAAGTGCACTAGTCTACTCAATCAACGGTAGATTGGAAGATAAAGCCATGAACTTATAATAGTCATCACCATACTTATTTGGATTCTTTTTAATCGACGAATTTGTCACATTACATCAAATACGTGTCCATCGTCACAGAGCCTTTCTTCAGCACCAGTGTCTGAACGAGCAGCCGGCGCCAGGGGATTACACAAGTCTACTGCCCATTTTTGAACCAGGCACAGGTCTCGTCAAATTTTATCCCGTATCAGGTAGGTATCTAGCCAAAGTTACATGAAAATTTGCAAACGTCACCTCTGAAAATCTCCCATATTTTCCAGCCTGTAGTCCCTTGTCTGTGTTGTAGTCTCATCTCCTACCATGGTGAAGACAGCAGGAATTTTACCAGGATCGTTTATGGTGCCCGGGTCAGGTACGGTGCAATGGCAGCCCACAGCGGTCTCAATGATATTGCCCGCAATAGTTGCATCTTTTACGCAATCGCTTCTCCACGTAACATGGCCATCCGGCCTAACAAGAACCAGCGGCTTCTCCCAAAGCCGTGCTGCGTGCTCCTCGCCGGCGAGGCGGACATGGCTAAGCGGCACGCCCAGCCTGTTCGCAGCCTCGATCAGAAGATGGCTACCTAGCCCAAATTTGGCAAATTTGTTGGTGACTTCGAATTCCATCAAAGTAAAATGCTTGCCAAATCTGTCAAAAATGGCAGATCCATCGCTTAGAAAGACGTGAGGGGCCCGGCTCCCGGGCCAAGTCGTGGCCCTGTAGACATGAGCATCCCAAGGCGGCTCAACGCTACCTCCTTCTTCCTCATCCCGCGGAGACCAAACGATTCCCGACTTGTACCTGTACCCCATCTCAATCCCTAGATCAGTATTCTCGCCGTCATGATTCTGGTAATGCTTGTGTATCGAATCTCTCAGTCGCTTGCCCTTCTCGGAATCATGTCTCTCCAGCTCGAACACCATGCCGTCAGCCAGCATTTGTACAGCTCGCATGTGCACATCCATGTGCACTCCCGACCTCTCAACGTTCCTGATGGCGACTGGTCGTCGCTCCTGCTCATAGGCCGCCAGTAACCCCGGGCTTCCCCACCCCCTGATCACCGCAGCCAGCTTCCATCCGATGTCAAATGCATCGCCCAGCCCCGTGTTCATTCCGTAGCCGCCAGTGGGCACGTTTTGGTGTGCTGCGTCTCCTGCAAGGAAGACGCGCATTTTGGGTCCGGAGAAGCTGCGTGCAACTGCAATGCTAGGGCGGTAAGTAGATCGCACGAGGATATCGTCGATTCTGATTTCAAACGGCTTGCCAATACCCCCTAGTAGTGTGTAAATCGCCTCCTCAGACGAGACTGCCGAAGGATCGGTTCCTGGGGGAATCGCGTAGTGTATGGTGAAGATCTGGGCTAGGTTTAAGCAGTTGGTCTCCCTCAGGGCAGTAGAAGTTCTTCAAGCGTCGTCCGACTGCTTCATTGCATACCTCTTTCGCATCCTGCGAGATCACTGCTCCTCCAAACTCGCCATTTTTGAGGATAAATAGGTGCCAAAAATTGCCCTGTTTGAAGAGCTTTGAAGTATCTCTCGATTTGAAGTGGACCAAAAGGAATGAACTCGGCCTGGACACCGGATTGCGTGCGAAATCAGCATGACGTCCGTCGTCGCCTATTTGCTCCGTGTTCGCTTACACTGGGCCGCCATCAAGGGGTATGTTAAGTGCGCGTCGACATCGACTTGATGCACCGTCGCAAGCCACGACATATCTCGACTTGAAACGATGTAGCTTGGTATCGGAACCAATTCTTTTGCTCACAAACGCCTCGACGTCATGTGTCGTCTCATTAATGGCATCTAATTTCCAGCCAAATCGAATGTCAATCAACGGATCAGCCTCGCAAACCTTTCTCATCCAAGACTCGAAGATCTCCTGAGATAGTCTTTGGTAGGGTTCTAATGGCTGCGAACCATTATTCTCTGACTTGATCGTCTCTCTGAATCGGCTCACTCCAGGGAGCTCCCACGCAGTTACAGGGGCGTGCGAGCCCAAGCCCGTGGAAAAGAGCACGGTGTAAGGTGTTTCTGGCGGAATTCCTACGGCGGCCTCGAGTTTTAGCAAGGTATTTCCATGGCCCATGGTTTTCGTCCTCCTTCCTATCCGGTATTCGCACCTTGACGCCGAAGCTCCTCAGCAAGCCCCAGCTTTCGGAAGAATTCCATAGAACGGACATTGGTCAAATCCATTTTAGGCCATCTTCACGGAAGGTTGTGAGCCACTCGCATTTTCATTCATCATGACTGAAACCTTCGGTCTCCTCTTCAAGCAACGTTCGAGCACCATACCTGGTTGTATCTGAGTTCCTCTCAATGATGACCGAGGGAATGCCGTAGAACGCAAAGACAGCTGCGGTCAAAAGACCAACGGGTCCGCCACCGACTATCAAGACGCAGTCATCGGCCAGAACCTCTTTTGTCTCTGTCTTTGCGTTATTAATGGACGGTGCAGGCTTCGTTTCCATTGTGCTATTGTTGACTTCGGCTCTTGGGGATTGTTGAAGCCTGATATTATCCACCTCAATCAAGCAAGCCTTGTCTTGGTGTTTCCAGTGGAAATGAAATCACCAAATATAGAGCAGGCGAAGAAAGAGATTTGTCATTACGCGACACTGCCTCAGCCGCTCGCTGTAGATGCGTTTCGGCTGGAAAAGGTGCTGCATGGCCCCGGTGAATTCCAACGCTCGCCGCTTGAGCGCGGCACAGTGTATAGAATCAAGGTTAAAGGGAGGTGCATACGGATCAGATGCACCCCCACCCTCGGAGGAATACAATACTCGCCTTCCGGCTCGGCCACAGCCTTGACTCTGTGCGCTTCTCAATGTTCGATTGCGCGGCCAATGATTCGCCGGACTTATGCACCAGCGGTGCCCCCGGAACAGCGATTGCAAAGCGCATCATCAACGCTTCTACACTGCAGCTGAGGCGACATGCACAGAGACAGCGGGTGGCAATGGAACTCGACATTGTGGCCCAGACGGTGTTCCTAGCGAGAGTGGGAAACGCGATACCTAGAAAATAAGAGGAAAAAAAAAGGAAAGAAGGAAAAACGATCCCAGGTGCGATCATGCTCTCTCATTCACAAGCTTACCCCGCTCTGCTTCAGTCACCCTCAAGATCGGACCCATTACGTTCTTGATCATCTCCGGCGGCGCAGCATTGCCCATCGCCGCCTTGTCGTCTTCCGTGCCATGTGGAGGATCAATGTTCCACTCGGGAACGACTCGAGTGCCTCCGAGTTTAGAGATTTCAAGTATTGTACCACCCGGTATATAGGGCGACTCAATGGCTTCGGCAATGGCCTCTGCTACTACATTACTCGTTAGAGCAATGTCGTCCGTGATGCCGTATCGAGCACCAGAGCCTGGTGCGCCGTCAGTCCAGATGGGTGTCGTTACAATGCTGTCTCGTTGCTTAGCCACCGGTAGAATTTCAGTCTCGATGAGTCAAGTCAACGTACCCTGGACAGACGCATACAACCTTGACACCTTGGACCTGCTCAGCGTCTCCCATACTCCGGGCGAAGCCCACGACGGCATGCTTTGTGGCGCTGTAAAGCGGAGCGGAGTAGTGTTTGCTGTAGCCTGCCATTGACGATACCAGGGCTACGACCCCTTTTTTATTCCTCCCAAGCAGAGCGCGCAAAGCCAGACGAGTGAGCTTGATCTGAAGTTTTTGAGCTCGACGACTTAGTTCCACTGCAATGTGAAGCCTGATGTATTTCAATTTATACTGACTGGGTGATTCACATTGATGTCCACGTGGGCATAGCCGTTGGCTTCCAAAGGCTCCGGATCTTCCCAAAAATTGGAATATGGCTGCAAGAGTCAATTTTGGCATGCCTCTTGCTTTGGTGTCGTACGTACTGGCTCGAATACTCCAGCTGATGCGACATAGACACTGGGCACATCTCCAAATCTGTGTAGCGAAACTTCGATCGTTTCCTGTAGATCTTTCCACTTTGTGACATTGCACGCTTGGAATACCAGATTTGGGTCAGATTGCACAGCTCTCTGGGCAGCCTCTGTCAAGCGTAAGTCGGCAATGATGACCTTCCTGGCTCCTTTCTCCCGCGCGAGAAGACAATATTCGAGCCCGATGCCTGCCAGCGAATTGTCAGACGGGTGACGCAGCCATTGACGGACAAGCAGGGGCATTGGGCCATACCTGATCCACCTCCAGTCACCGCCACGATCTTGTCCTGGCAAGAGTATCGTGAATTCATTTTGGCCACCACAGAGAGGCTGAAGCAATTCAGAGTCAATACTATACACAATGTGATGCCCTTTTGCGATATTTTAAGATCTTCGTTTGCTCTGCCAGGGTTATCTTACGAGCTTGGGACCACTACTACGTACGGTAGGTGGGCTCCGTTCCGCGGAAGCGACCCAGAGTTCCCGGGGAGTCGTAGACTTTCTCTTTTTTCTTCCTGGTTCATGTGAATGGTGGATGTTCTAAAGCATCTTGATGGGCAAGAACAAGTATACGGAGGACTGCTTACCTGCCCATTGTTTACCTGAAATGCTAGAAAAGTATTGCCGTCTATTAGCAACGTGGAGATCTTGTTGCTCACTATCTGCATATCGCTTCTCCAAACATTCAGATGGCTTTTCTGTACTGGGGCATACTGGCCATCACGGCGGCGCTAGTGCTAAACCGCGTCTTGCAGTATGGCATGAGAACGAAAGATCTCCCTCCAGGTAATATAACAATCCTCTGACGAATATCACCCAACTGCTGTCAGAGGGGTCATTACTAATGCTTTATAATGCTGCATAGGCCCACATACGGTGCCAATTATAGGAAACTTACCTCAAATGCCAACAAAGAACTTTCATCTTGGTTTACAAAAATTGGCGCAGCATTGTAGGTCGATACACATCCCAAAATCGTGCTGCGCATAAGAAGAAGTCAACATGGCAAATGACCTCCAGAGCTGCTCACACGGAATCATTTGGCAGATGGACCCATTACGGCTCTGAAACTGGGGGCACAAAACATGGTTCTCTTGAACGACCCGAATGTGGTTCGGGATCTGATTGAGAAGAGACAAGCGAACTATTCTGCTCGGCCGGATTTGTGGGTCCGCAGCTTTGGAGACAATTTAAACATTGCACTCCGCGAGTACGGCTTGATATTTCTCCTCTTGGACCCGGTCACGTTGCTGTAAATGTACTGACGGCCTTACCGAGCAGCAATGATGAGGTCTGGCGTCGGCAGAGAAAGATTTACCACCTCCGCTTGAATGTGAAGTCGGCAGATAGGTATCTTCCGTATCAGGTAAGACTGGAAACCTTATAGTTGTACTACCCAGCTTTCTAATAAACAACTCTATAGACTTTCGACAGCCTGCAGCTGGTTCAAGAGCTTCTTGACAGGCCTGATGACTTCGTGGAGCATGTGCAGAGGTATACCGCCAGCATATCAACGGCTATGCTATATGGATGGCGCACACCCAAGACAGGTACTGGGTATGTGACGGACTTGCTCACGGTAAGAAATGTTGCCATCTAGTTCCCCAATTGATCATCCACTAGATGGTCGAATGTCGCGAGCAGGGGGACTGACGTGCGGTAGTGGATGGAAGTAACCTCTGAGGCGTTGAATTTCAACCTCGTCGACTTCTACCCGTTCCTGCGCAGACCTTACGATATTATACCCCACTGGCTCCTTCCTAGCAAGAGAAAATTGTACGAGCTACGGAAGCTCGAAGATCGCGTGTTCTTCGACCTCCTCTACCGCGCCAAGGCCAAGTTGGCGGCCGGGAATGCCCATCCAAGTCAGTCTATACTTCTCAGTGGTAGCCTTTCAATTCTCAGCAAACGCTCTGCTCTACCATACGCATCTGACCGATTGGACTATCTTGCACAGGTATCATACGAGACATGCTTGAGGACAAAGATGACGACAGACTGGACGACCGCCAGATCGCGAATAACGCTGCCCACGGCTTTGGCGCCGCCATGTGAGAATCTTACTGCCTATGCTCTGTCGCTGAGTAAACTTTACGTATCTGTTAAAGGCTGACTGGCTTAGGGATACCTCGGCGAATACGATCATTGGATTCATCAAGGTACAACGCCATTGGATGTAGTTAAGTGTCGTGCACCAACTGAACTCTTTAAATAGGCCATGGTCCTCTTTCCGCATGTCCAAACAAGGGCCCAGGAGGAGCTTGACAGTGTAGTCGGGATAAATAGACTACCATTATGGGAGGATAGACCGAACCTGCCTTACATTCGCGGAGTCGTGGAGGAGACGTTGCGATGTGAGCTGAATGGAAATTGAGGTCTCATCACTCATATGCAACTATTCTGACTGAATTGTTGACTAGGGGCCCCCAGTCCAATCAGTGGTGCTGTACCGCATGCAGCAAAAGAGGATGATACATATCGTGGCAAGGCTATCCCACAAGGATCCATAGTCATGATGAATGTGGGTTACTCCCGCTCCCCTGCGTTCAAGCTCATGGGCAACGATGGGTTGCAAACTAATACAGCTCATAGATATGGTCCTTGAATCATGACCGATTTGAGAACCCACGGGACTTCGATCCTCAGCGCCTGGATCCCGCTATTACTCTCACAGAGAACAATGCAATCAGTCAGGACTCGTCAAGGCGTCTTCACTTCACCTTTGGCGCTGGCCGCCGCGTCTGCCCAGGTTTCCACGTGGCAGAAAGAAACCTGTTCATGGCTATCTCACGTATGCTGTGGACATTCACCATCGAGCAAAAGCGTGATGTTTATGGAAACCTCAAGTCGATTGACAGGGATGCAGTCTATCCTGAAAACGGCTTGATTATTCGACCAGCAGACTTTGAGTGAGTCCGGCCACCCTTGTTGAGCATTACTTGTCTGGAGCTCTCTAAGTCATACCACATCATCTCCAAGTTCTTGGCCTTCATTGTGCAAACAGAAGTTTTCTGACGTCCCTAGATGCACAATTTCGCCACGAGATGCGATGCGAAAGATGCTCATTTCGAAGGCTTGGAAAGAGGCAGAGAAGAACCTTGACTCAGAAGGAAACTTCACCCAGGACTTCATTGACGCATCATTCGGTGATGGATTGGCGTAACATAATTCACGGAAATTATATGAGCGTGTACTTGGCGACTACAGAAGCATACACCGGGGGAGGCCCCACATACTATTCCCTATAGGCCAGTGCCACGATCCCGCCCAGATTTGTGCTATTTTAGCTCCCTGGAACAGCACATTATATCTACGCCAGTGATCTCCTGAGTCGACGGAAATTGCAATGAAACAGTCGAGATATCGCCTATCTATATGCCTTGGTAGAGGGTCCAGATCATCCGGCATTCATACAGGCCATTGGACTTGAGTGAACACAGTCAGAGACAGGCTTTTCATTCGTAAAAAGTTTGTATATTTGAATGAGACAACAGTTGGTATTCAAGCTCCATAGATCTCCTCGCTTGTCGCAGGCTCCACATTGTCTCGCGCTGCTTAAGTTATTTAAACCGAGGAAATGCATCGAAACCAGATATGTGAAACGTAACACGTTGTAGGCTTTCATTAGAAGACTATGCTTTAGGGTTGAACTCAGTCCTAGATTAATATTACCAAGAAACAAGTCATGTTTTCAAAATTGGCGTTGACATTAATTCCATTAAGATTGTGCTGTCAGCCTGTCCAGGGCGATAATGCTCACTGGCATTATGAGTCTCTAGAAGGACGCCCGCCTATGGGTTAGGACTCTTGTTCAGTGACCATTCACTTACGCCTCCAGGCCAGGATCACGCGTCTTGTAAAAATCCTTATCTGCAACCTTCCCTTCCTGTGAGAGCATGGTCTCTATAGTCCATTCTTCGTGGACATTGCCAGGTGGTACATTCCTTGAGATAAAGGGAACACCTTTCTGCACGTTTGACACTGCAGCATCGAAGTTCTCTTCTGCATACTGTTGCGCATCCACGCCAAGTAGCCACGCCGGTTGAGGCAGTCTCAGAACATTTGGATCGACGGCGACTGCGTCCCAGTCTGTCTGATGCCATACATGGCGTGTTTCCCAACCCATGCGTTGTGTAAGGCTCGTCCTCTCATATCTTCGCAGCCATGAAATTGCATGTCAGCTCTTTGTTATTCAAGGCAAGTGGGAGTTCTGCCCACCTTAGCCGATGGTATACTCTGAGCGCTAGGGGAGCGTTATTCCGGCCTGCCTTCTCCAGGGCAACAGCAATCGTCACAGCATCCTCGATTGCTTGTGCCGCGCCGGTGCCGGCTGTGGGAAGGTGAGGGTGGGCCGCGTCACCAACCAGACATACGCGGCCGCCGTCTGAAATCCATTTCGAGACAGGATCCCGCCAAAGGAGCTTGAAGTCTCTCAGGACCTCTGGGGGTATGTGTTGGATGATGTGAGAAAGTTCGTCATCCCAGCCTTGCACGCATGCCAACATGTCGTTGAGGTCGCCTTTTAGGTTCCAATCCTCTTTGATATCTGAATCATCCTGAACACGACACCAATGTCAGCTTTTAGCTTAATACCAAAGACATGTCTCCACAATTTGCATCAATTTTCCACACTTGCCTTATGCGTGACGAAACATGTCGCAGACTTCAAAGCTGGATTTGTCGTGAGTATCGCATGGGTGTCCTGCTCAATCCAGATTTTGTATATTGGGGTATCAGACATGGCAATATACTCAGTGACGGGGTCTTCCGCGAGCCTCTCGAGCGGGAACCAGGACCTGTAGACAGCAAAACCGCTCTTCTTTGGTCTATCCGATATGCCGGTAACATGGTTTCTGGACTTGCTGTGGACGCCATCTGCACCAATGAGGATGTCGGCTTCGATCTTCTCGTCGCCGATGTAGCACCCAGCAGTCTCGGCTGTCTCGAACACCTCAATCACAGCGACCCCAAGGGTCACCTCGACACCGAGAGACTTGGCATATTCGTAGAGCTTGAGTTGAATGCGCCCGCGATTACCATACGACATGGGGTAGCCATCATACTCCGTGGGCAGGTCCTGATCTAGAATTACCTTGCCATCCTTCTTCATGATCGTCATCACGTCTGGAGAGACCGAGGTTTCCTTGATATCGTCAAGAATGTCGCCCCAGTGACTCATCAACCGAGTCGCATTTGGTCCCAGCTGGATGACATCGCCTGGAAAAAGTCAACACAGATCGATGAACTCCTCCCCGAGGTGTATTGCCTGGCACTCACCCTGCCTTCTCATGTCTGGGGCCGACTCAAACACTCGCACTTTCGCACCTCTTCTGGCGAGTTCTATGGCAGAGGCGAGACCTCCAAAACCAGCGCCAATAACCAAGGCATTCAGGTTCTCCAGGGTCTTGACAATAGCCATCTCGCTAGATTACAAAATGTATATTTGTTAGTTCTCCTTCATAACTTTTTCAACCCAACTTTGGCGCCAGACCTTGACACACACACAAACTTTCACTCTGCGATCAGTCGTTTGCTGTCTAAGTACGTGACCATTTGCGTATTGGAAATCGTCCAATAGGAAGTAATCGCCTCATCTCCGTCAACCTCAATCTACAGGCGTCCAAAGGGAGAGGCAAAGGCTGAGTCTCCCGGGTGCCGGAGCAGAAAGTTCCAGCCTTCCGTGCCAATAGGAAGAGCTCACGCGTAGAACCGACGATGCGGGGACGATTCTCCTATTGCCGAAATGTTCATGGGTCCCGCCACTACCCAGTGAAAGTTGAGGCCAGGCTGTACCCCATGTTTGTGCTGCACATATTCTCCACATTTTGACCCCTGCTACCCCGGGTTTGTAGGGTGGGTTAAGCACTTCATGCATGGTCTCGGGAAGCTTGAAGATCCCGCCAGAGTAAATACCCAGGAGGTACTTCCTCAGGCTGGTAGAGAGAACGAGTCCCTTCGCCACTGCTGCGCTTGGAGGGGAGAGAGCATGAACATAAACAATTTCGGAGGCAGAGACCAAAGAATTACGCCCGTCCCAGCCGCGACGCGAACAGAATTATCGTAGCCTACGTTGGTTCAAACACAAAGTGCTTTATAAGGTCTATCAAGGAATACAACCAATAATAGCCCTCTTAGACACTAATCCTTGGTTTTCCTTACAAATCATGCGATCAGCATCTTGCAATACTGCGCACAGGAGCCTATGCATACACACTAAGGAGGGCGTCAAGTTCTCAGTATAACTGAACCTGAGTTTATAAAGCGCAATGCTTTGGTTGACAGACTTGCATAGGCATGTTTGTTCTGGGGCATCGAATCTCTACATCGTCAATTAGAACCATACCTCTGAATCAAATACATTTTAAGGCCAATTAGATGCCATAACGTTTTGAAGGGACTCTAGCTGCGGCAACTTGTCGTCAATAAGCAAAAAGGTACCTACGGAATGATTCTCGGGAGTGCTAGTGGGGCATGTCTGAGTGACTTGCAGATTCACTCTTCAATACCCCGCTAGAAGTACAGAATGTGGAGTAGGTTTCCTGCCATGACACTCTGTGTCTAGGTTGACCCTGGATTGCTACCATCCCCGCGTCAATCATCCATCATTCTGTTGCGATGTTGGAAACATGTTCTAGGATGTATTCTTATTGACCAGGCGAGACGGAGTTCAGCAGCATTCCAGACTGTGATGTTCCCAGACCTTGGAGCTTGAACATCTGGAGCTACCTACTTTTTTACATCATGAGCGGCCGTCGAGAAATCACCAAGTGCCCAGTGGCATGCAACTATTGCAGGTTAAAGAAGGCTAAATGTACGCAGAAAAAATCTGAGATGGTGTTTGGGCCATGGGTACCTAGAAAGAGCATTTCCCAGTGGGTATTGGCAGTCACTGACCCAGACTTTCTCTCCTTGACAGGTGGCGGCACTCACCCATGCGGAACTTGCGTAGTGAGTGGGCTTTCATATTCAAACCTCATGTTAAGTCAAGATATCTTTCCCCTCATCCCTTGTCTCATGATCACAAAGTCCTCTGAAATCAGCTGATTCTGTGTTGCGAAGGATCATAATGAGGTCTGTGTCTACCCAGAGAGGCAGCAGAGGCCGAGGAAGCGGAAGGAAAGGGAGAAGGATATGGAAGACCGTCTCGCGCGCATGGAAGTTCTGCTGCAGTCAGTCACTCAACATACTCAATCCCCAACCCACGTGCACAGCCCAGCCATATCTCACGGTGAAACCAATGCGGCTGCCCTTGCTAGAAGTCCGTCCATGTCGCAGAATCGGTCCAGAGCTATATCTCATCCGCAGGTTGCCGATACCAGGCTGGAGAGGCCCCAGTTGCCCCAGGACCTACAGAGGACCTCTTCACCAGGGCACAACATCGGCACGGTGGTACATGTGGCTTCTACCGGCCCACCGACGGCATTCACTGCTGCTTGTTCCAATCCAGCTGCGTACATAAGCTCTCCGTCTCGCGAGCATGGCGCGGCTGCCGATTCTCCCGGATTTAGAAGTCTCTTATCGCTGGCCAGTAACGATCTTGAGCTACCCAGCGTCGTTTCTCAGCGACCTGAGATAGCATGCTCTTCAGTGTCAAGAGAGCCCATCGCCACTCCCGCCCAGGCTGGAGCCTACTTGACTCCTGCACCGATGACGATTGCAGATGCGCCGACAGAAGGTCCGGGACGCAGCGACGCTACAGGGAGAAACGATATTTGGACTCGGGATACATCGAATATTGTGGCCGAACAGCCTGTGACCCCACCGAGCCTCGCCGTTGCCGATGAAAATGACAAGGCCCTGGAACTGCGTGCAGACGCTCCTTGTGATGAGGTAAGAGTTGGCCTTATGGGTTAAACAATGTGTACTCGTCTTGCCATTGCACATGAGCTGAAGATATTGAGGCTAATCTGTATTCTTTTGTAACTAGGATTCAGGTGCTGAGCCAGAGGACAATGGTATGGTATTGAAGATCAATTGGTCTTTGATTTCCAATAATAGCTACGCTAATGAGAGATTCAGGGGATTCTTCCTATCACATCTCAATATGCTCGCCTCATGGCATAGAGTGGGTTTCGCATCAGATAGGTAAACCCGGGTTTGGAGCCACCGCACGACGTCTGTCAAAAGACCTTCAGCGAAACGAGCGTCTTGAAAGGCTATTCGATCCCACACGAAGCAGCGAACCCGACATGGAGACAGCTTTGAGTTTGATAGCAGGTAATCTAAGAGATGATCGGCGCGGTATCTTAAAAACGCCATGATCGACTGACCTGCCCTACCATAGCATATTTCGACAGCTGCATCGACTCGGTATTTGGCGTGCTTGATCGGGATGAACTGGAGCAACGACTGCATCTTCATTTCGAGAACAGCATGCAGCAGTCCTCATCGACAAGCAAGGCATGGTACGCTCTCCGCAACACTGTGTATGCACTCGGCTGTCGGGTCGCGCTGTCTCTGAAATCAGGCCCTGCTGGTTACGCCGAGTCAAGATCGCAGTCCTGGCGTTATTTTGAGAATGCGCTGGCAGTTGCCACTGATCTGATGTATGGTCGGGCTGAAGTGACTTCAGTCCGGGCTTTGATTCTAATGGTACTTCCTTGCTCCACTACACGCTTCGTGCCGCTGTGGTTTCGGCACTATTTCTATGGCACACTCTGACAAATCCTGGTAGGCATTCTATGCTGAAGCTTTGGGCAGTCCAGCCCTCGAGTATATGCTTGTGTCAAACGCGACCAGACTTGCGCAATCCATGGGTCTCTACCTTGGAACGCCTGAAGCAAGCAAGCTACCACCCAAAGAGATCTTATCGCGGCAGTGGCTGTGGTGGGTTTTGTACGCATACGAGAAGCACGTTGCTTTCCGATCTAGTAGGCCATCAGTAAGTCCTAGCTGAATCTTTGTGCTGGTAGACTCTTCCCTAAACATTAACTGCTACAGTGCTTGCTTTAGTATTACACAGATAGCGCTGACCCTATACTTCTGAGTGAACCAGGCCATCGACGATGATTATGTGAATTGCCCAGTCCCGAAAACAGCGGGGTTCGGCAGCGCATCTAACTGTGACTTTGTTCGTGCCACGGTTAAGCATGCACAGATATCGTCCGCCATCTCCAAACAGCTTTTATCAGCCAAGGCCAGGCTAGAACCGGCCGAAACAACTGTGGCAAACGTCCGCGCCCTCGATGGGCGCCTCAACGACTGGCATAAGTCGTTGCCCCCTAGGTTCAACACGCAGGCCCCGTTCAGAAACTCGGCGCAACCGTCGGGAACGCAGTTGTACCACGATTTGTTCCTCCATTTTTCCTACCAGTCGTCTATCATAGGCATCCATGGAGTCTTTTGTTACCCCTGGAACAAGCCGGAGCTGCAGAGTTGTAAGAGCCTACAGGTAGCTTCTCAGATAGAGAAGAGTACCGAAGCGGTGGCCGAGGCTTCGCGCCAGATCATCATCGCAGTGCAGGGACTTCAGATCACTTCTGCGATGCCGTTGTGGTACGCCTCCCACCCACCCTTAGCGACCGCTGCTTCTCCCCGAACACAAAGGACACTCAAATTACGTCAAAACTCACTATAGAGTCCGAATCAGTTGCTAACAGTTTTCATCATGGCGAAGGTTGACCTTCTTCTTCCCGCTCGTCGGCCTGATCAACCTATTCGTCTATGTCCTCAAGAATCCATCAGCCTCCTCCATAGCAAGCGATTTGTCGCTCATGGATGTGGTGGTCGGCCATTTTGGCTATCTTCAATTCATATCCTCCTCAGAGCTCGTCTTCCCCTTTCCCCATGAGATTGTGTCGTACGCCAGACACCTAGTTAAAAGAGTTGGAAGAGAGAGGGGAACATTGTCGGGAGGGGACACACACCGCTGTGACCACTACCAGCAGCAGCAACAGAAAGGGCCGGTGCAAACCGATGTCAGAGGTCAGGAGATATTTCAACCCCCAAAATCAGCTTTGCCCTCCGAGGTCAGTGCCATACCTACATTGTTTGTTCCCAATGACCGACATATGTTAACAATGAGTGTACCAGCTGAATTCCTTTGAAGGTAACCCAATCTCGAGCCTCGACCTCCGCGAGGACTGGTACGGCGCTCTGTTGCCTTCATTCCCACAGTTTGGGTCGCTGGGGTCAAACAGCAACCTAATGGATGATGATATGAATCTGTTCATAGCCGGAGACATGCAGTAGTAAACTTTGAGCAATAAAGAGCCCTTGATCTCATTCTTTTCCTGTGCAAAGATACTTGACGTGATCAGGACGACCGAGTGATCGTGCCTCCGTAGCCGTATTGGATACGGCGCAGATTTGAGTGACGATTCACAGTCTCAAATAAAAGCTTCGGCCTGAGATTTAAGAAAGAAAAAATAATGTTCTTATTCCCGCGGAAGAAGATAAGCAGCGTCTTCCGCGGAGCTCGACATTCACCCGGCCAGTCTCAGCAGAAAGCCCATACTTGGATGTTTCTGCTTACAAAAGCTGTTGGGACCAGATATTCTAACCTGCCAGGGATGAAGATAATAGCTAAAAGAGAAAACCAGAAATCACCAGTGTCCAGAATATGCCTTCAATCACGTACACCCGGCGCAGCGATCGAGGAAGTGCTGGCGAGCATATTCCGCTCTTGGGCAATAACCACTCGGACGAAGTCAAATTGCAGGCTGCAGACGGCTCAGCATCGGCCTTCGCGATATTTGGTCTCGCATTTACAGTTATGTGGATTCAGGCCCTGTTGCGGTGGTTCGCTTCACCAAGTGAATTCCTGCCGGCCCCTATTCTCGGGCCCGACGAGATCTCCCCGTGGCGTCTCATCGCGCTGCATATCTTCGAGGGTCTCAACATGGCCGTCTTACTTACGATGATTTGGTTCTGCCTCTTGGTGCCCCTGTTCCCCTACCTGCGTAGCTTCAAGAAAACGAGCGAGCCCGGCAGGTTCACCCTGGACGGGCGGCAGGTTCTTGGCGGCTTGGTTGCTTTTTGTGCGGATGGCTTCCTCAATTGCCAGCAGTACATCTTCATGTGGAATTCCCATGGCGTCAATCGTGGCGTGTGGGTACGCTTCCTTCCCTTCCACTCCGCGAGTGGCCCGACCCGATACGCCGAGAACCTGCTGTTCGGCCCGCCCATGTACGTCTACTTCTGCGAGGGCTTCGGCATCCTCGGCTGCGCGATGGCAAAGCCGATCCGACGATTCTGGCCCGGGCTCACCAATGCGAGCCTATTGACTATCGTCTGGTGTATCGAGTTCGCTGCCGACTTTGTCATTGAGAACGCGGCGATCCGCCTGACGCACGCGTACGGCTATGCTAAGACTTATGGCCCCCTCACACTGTTCCCCGGCAAGGTGCACCAATTCCCCCTGTACGAGTCTGTGTTCGTGGCGAGCCTGGGCGTCCTCCACACGGCTATCAGGATGAAGTGGCTCGACAACGGGATTTCACCGGTCGAGAGAGGCTTCGACGCGTGGCACCCGAGGCTGCACAATGCTGTGCGGACCTTTGCTGTTTTTGGCTTTTGCGCTGCGGCGGTGATTATGTTCTATCACCTGCCTTTGAATTGGCTGGGTGTGATCGGAGACTGCTACGCTGATATGCCCAGCTATATGAAGGCTGGCTATTCAACCTGAATGATGGGATCTTGCGGAGAGGCTACTTCTGTGGTGCTGGAATGACAACGGGCACTAAAAGGATATTTAGACTTGATTCATAAGGAAATATTTGCTGTTATTGGTATTTCCTAGTCCTTGATGAATCTGTTCTTAATGACTCCAATACGAGAGATCTCAACCTCGACCACGTCGCCCTGCTTCAGCCAAGTTTGTGGGTTCATGAAGAAACCCACTCCTCCAGGCGTGCCAGTCATAATAAGGGTTCCGGCACGCACCGTCACCCCCTTGGTTAGGTGGATTAGGAGATCGGCAACGCCAAATAGCAGATCATCCAGACGTGCTCTCTGTCTCTCCTCCCCGTTGACCCTTGTCGCGAGCTCTAGGCTCCCGACCCCGGCATGGCCGCTGACCGCCTCCGGAGCTGCTATCACAGGGCCAACCGGTGCGAAACCGTCAAAGCTCTTGGCGAAGCCGTGCTGGCCGCCGCCGTGCTCCGGCATCTGCCACCAGCGGCTGCTCACATCGTTTCCCGTGGTATAGCCGAGCACCTTAGACAGCGCCTCGTCCCGTGTGGCGAGATTCTTGCAATCCTGGCCCACAACCACGACGAGTTCGCCCTCGTAGTCCATATTCTCGCACGCGTTGTGGATGACCACGTCCGAGAATGGTCCGTTGAGAGAATCAGGGGGCTTTGTGAAGACAGTTGGGTGTTTGGGCGTGGCCATATTGGCCTCACCGATGTGAGTCTTGTAGTTTAGACCGATGCCGTAGACTATCGGCGTCCAGGGAATAGGGCACAGGACCTGTGAGCAGCTATACATTGGTCATCATGCCTTGTCAACATTCTATGGTGGTACAATCATATTGTTCTCTCACCTCAACTATCTCTGCACGCTGCCCTGTGGCTTTCAGATTCGGGTCCCATGGGCTGGAGCCATCGTAAACATGTACTATTTGGCCAAGGAAATCATCCCCTCGTGGTGCCTCGCCATACATATGCTGGCCCTTCATATCGCGGAATCGGACGATTCGATTGAATATGGGCTTCATTTTAACCACAGGTTGTGACGAGATTCTGTGCTATAGAGGACTGACCATGGAAAAAGTTCATTGAGTAGCTTTACTTATTTATGTAGTCAACGTTTGATTGAATGTGCCGGATCCCTGTATCTACGGGACTTGCAAAAGGCGGGAGACCGGATGCTTCGGATACATCTCTCCGCTTGATGTTAGATGTGTAAGCGTCTCGTAGAAAAGTTGCTTGCGTAGACAATTGGCCAATTTCGTGGGCAAGCAATCATCAGCGAAAGGATGAAATTAAGATGAATGCTCTCAATTGGATGCCATATTCCGAAATAATAGCCCCATGCCAACATGGACTATCTATACCAGAAGGTTTCGTCCATCATAATTCATACATTAGCCACACCATGTCTTACCCGACTACCCTGCTGATCTTAGTTTCCACGAAATATTTCCCGCCCTCCGTTACTACAAAATGCGCACTCCCAACGAAGAGACTATGTTCAAGATGCTTCAATGAATCAGAACCCGTCTCAAACGTTACGTGGGAAATGGAATTTCCATAGGCCGTTGTTCGCGCCCTGGGGTCGTTCGTAAGGATGAGTAGGAACTCCGGGCTGACCTCCACCAGCCCCTTGTAGCAGTACGATATCACGGCACCATCGCTATTCCTACAGTAACGTATATATCAGAAGGATTCTATTTGGACTTTGGCTCCGCACTTCGCCCTTCTTAGATTTAATGACCACAGTGCTTGAAGTCATGGCTGCTTACTTCAGAATGGCTTTGACGGAGATGCGAACGTGAGTCTGACATTGTTCCATCCGTACGTAATCGGCCCCAAATGTGTACTCCGCGTCAAGATGGGTCGGAAAACTTGGCTCACTGACGACAGTGCCGTGGGATATGGGCTGTGTGTTCAATGTCAAAAGTCAGCCAGTGCTTAGTTTTGAACTTCTTGTCCTCGAGCTGGGGCAGAGTACAAAGGAATGAAATGACGTACCACCACTTGCAAAGTACCGCCTTTGGAAGAAGTTCCTGGCGAAGCCCCCGTCAGCGCGTGATAAATTACGCTAGAACACAGATTGCCTTCCTGACAGCGTCTATTCTTACCGACTGAAAAGGGCGATGCCGGATAGAGGCGTGATGTAAAAGCGGGCTCCAGTCTGGGAAATCCAGTCAGCGTGCCTAGCATGGCTTTGCCAGCATTCGCCGACTTGGGTAGCTCGGCGATTGAAGTCATGGCAGGCTGTTCCGCTGTCCGGGTGAACCAATGCTGATTTTCAATGAGTATTTCTTCCTGCACTTGGGGTATTCCACGACAAGTCACAGCAGGCTGCATTTTGACAGCATCGGAGAAGATAAGGAACGGCCGAGTTCGAGTTGATAACGCATTACAGGGAACTATATCCGGATGACTATGCATTCGATCCGCGGTTTGGCCCTCGAAGCTGCCTCCGCAAACCGCCCCCCGATGACATTTTGATACCTAATGCTTGATGACGACATTCAAAAGTAGAGGTTTCTTCCGACCTGTCCAATAACCCGATACCTCGATTTTTGTGCAGCAGGGACTTTACAACGACGTGCTGCACGAACCCGGGACACGGCGTCGGCCCATGAAGCCCCACCTCCACACTGACGACCTACTTCTCGTGGGAAGTCTGAGGGTATGCGAGGATGCTTTTTTTTTTGTTCAGCTCGACAGCCACCACAAAAACAGTTGGCTGTACTCAGCCCCTGTCACTTTTATGGACCTGGGACTGGCAGATGACTAGTCTTCCACGGTCTTCCAATGGTGTAAACAGGCTCATGGATGTTTCTTGACTGAGGGGTTCCTGTCGTTTTTTACTATACCCTCGCCGACGCCAGCACCAGTGCTGTCATATGCCTTGGTATGCTGTCACCATCCAAGCTTTTATTGCCCAGTCTGCCATCGATGCTGCTGCCGGCCCGGCCCCTTATCTTATTGCCCCTTGCAGTCTGCTTTTTCTTCACCTTTCTCAAGTGTTCTCCGATTGCTTCGGGTCCAGGGGTAAAAGGTGCTTGTACAAGCCCGAGAGGATGCGAAGAGCGAAGCTCTTCTTGGTACCATTGGTCGCCCCCAGAGCCTCTGGTTGGTGGGCAAAGAAGGCGGCAGGCCTGACCTTCCATTCGAGGGCCGACGAGATAGTCAGGTATGGCTAAGACAACCCGAGTGGGCTTCAAGCGCTAGGAAATTCACGAAAGGGGGAGGAGGCGGGGTTGGAGTTTTAAGTGGGCAAGTCACCGGGATGGTCGCGCGAAATGTCCATGTCACACCCCAGAGGCGTCGGTATCTTCGAGTACAAAATGGAGTAGAGACAGCTCAGGAGAAACATTGAATGCAAATGGGAAATTAAATCGGGCTTTTATACATAATACGTGGTGCCCAAATTGCATGTGTAGAGCACGGCGCGGGTTGCAACGTCGTGCTCAATTATCTGGCTGTAATCAGACGTACAATCACGCCTGGCGTGGCGCGAGAGAAGGCTCTACTGCTCTACTGCTTTGGGGCAGAGAGCGGTGGCAACCATCGTTCCAAGAGGGGCAGATCGCCCCTAAGAAGCCGTCAGGCCGGCTCTCCCAAAGGCGCTGCCCTTTGCCTGTAGTTCTCCCTTCTGTCCCGAATCAAGAGGCTTGCACTCAGGTTTGAAGTGTTGGTTGTCCGCAACCTATAATGGAACTAGTAAATAAGCGTCACAAGAGGCATTTGGAGCCAGGAGCAGCGGCCCTCAATGCATCAAGTAGGGTTGAGTCGGCGCGCTACATAGGAGCCATTTGAAGGCTAGAAGGGCTGGAAGACCAGGGATCGAAAACGCCGCGGGGGTCGAAGTCAGTAAAGGCCGGGGCTGGAGGGTTAGGGGAGCTTATGTAAGCAACTGCCTGCCGACTAAGCTTCACGTACGCGCAAACCGTGACCTGAATCTTTGTTGAGCAGCATCTCGACTTCTCCCTGTGCGTCCTCCGCACCCTTCTTCGCCTCATCGGGCTGTGCCTTCTCGATCTCTCACTTCTTTTGTTCAGTAGTGTTCCAGTCATTGAAACTCAGAAGAGACGCTAGGTACTTCCTGTACATCGTCACCGGCGATGATGTTTCGAGAGAAGACGAAGGCCGTCTGAAGATTTGGGTGTACTACCCCACATAACTCCCCGGATTCGACTAAGTTGGAGGATTGCAAGGGGCTCGTTGTCCATTTGAGGCAGACGATACATTGCAGGCGGGCATTTAACAAGGACAACAGGATGTCAGGCGACTTGAAGTACAAGAGGCGCTGATGCTGCCAGCACTCTGCCGTCACGATCCGAGACACGATGGTGGGCGGACCTGATGGGGCGCCGTCCTCCAGAAGTGTCTCACACATGACCACGCGTGCGGTGGACCCGAGATTAGGGAGGATGTTAGGGTATTCTATGGCATGTGGGGCTTGGCGAGGCCGTTTTTGGCCTTAGGAAGGGCAAGTCGAAACCTTCAGACTGGCAAGAACAAAGATATTCGCTATGTCATGTACGAGCTGGGCTTCACAGGCGCTTTTTTCCAGATGATGCTGAGCGTAACCAAGACGGACGAGCGGAGAGCGGCAGTGAACGAGGTGGCTGGTAGCAGCGCGCAAGCCAAGCTTTAAATGCCTGTGAGACTGGCCAGGCTGATCTGAGTGCAGAAAAGCTGTTTAAAATATACGATTCCTTATCAAGACTGTTAATGACAGTTTCGACTAGGATGGTTTGTACCTTAGTATGCTCTGACAATGTGCCAGACCTGCATATATTAGATTGCACGTGTGAACAACAACCGAAAAACACTGCTCCTTTACAACAGTGACAGGGCTCAAAGTGCATGTATATATATTGATAGATGACGCTGTGCCTAGTCAAAGACAAGTTGCAGGGTCCTCATCTGGAACCTTTTCGGGGCAGAAATTAACCACTTTTTAATACTCAACAAGCTACACTGGGCGAAACAATTTGCATTCACCTTCCTAAGGGTTATTAAAGTTAGCAATAGATTACTACACAACCCCATTACAGACAAATGATTCATACATCCCTCTAAGTTCTATATATCTATTACTTAAATTATATCCAATAACTTCTGTATACGTTTCCTAAGTATACATTTCTTGACACCTCAGATCTTATAATCATTGGAGATCGTTAATGTGAGAGATAACTGTAAGTTACATAATAAAAGACTAACTAGAAGTAGATTAGTCTCTTAAGATTCTACCCGTCATCTCCTTGAGCATCCTTGGTGATTCACATGATTGACGTGAGATTTCATGCCTATTATAGCAAAATCTCGTCCAGCGATGGTCAGCAAACTGCACGTGGAGGTTGATTTGGAAAACCTATCGATTCTCAGGCTGACGACAAGCCCGTCAATCCTTTCACCAATCATTTAACCCGACTTCTAATTGGTTACGCAACGAGGCTTAGTATCTCAATGAACCTATTTCCCGATTGAGGCGTTGCTCATGAGTGCTTGAATGTAAGACTGCCAACAAGTTAGTCAAGACCTGATCCATATTCATCGGCCGCAAGGCTGACGTGAAGATCCTTTTAGCCTCCCTTAGACCTGGATTCAGCGTCCTATTGGATCGTAGGCGGAGGATTGTATGCGTGATAGGATTGCCTTGTGACCAAGGCATTGCTCAGAGGATCGCCTTGTGACTGAGGCGTTGCTCATTGGTGTCCCTTTACTAACACAGCTTCAGGCTTGTGGCTCTTGTAAAGGTATAAAAGGATACTGACCGATTGGAATCTTCATGGAGCAGTCACGATTATTTGCCTCTATATCAACTCCTCGACGGCTCAATTTTATCAGTTGAAGATATTAAATTCACATATCCAGATATTCACAATGGGGTCTAACCAGCAGAAGCACAAGCTCATCAATCCTCTCACGCGATATGAGGACTTCAAATTTGAATTGCCACCCAACACTTTCCCGAAGCAAGTTCTCCAGACCAGCTACAAGCATCCGCCCGACTGCGGCGAGAAGAGCTATGTCGCCAGCGGCCGCCTTAAGGGTCGGCATGCGCTTGTCACAGGTGGGGACTCGGGAATAGGACGGGCAGTAGTCAGTAAGCATGCCAGAGATAATTTTCCCAATTCATCCAAGGCTACCTATATCTCTGCATTGGTGACCTTCTCGCTGCTGCATCAAAGTCCTTTATTGGTCTTTCTCAGCGCAGCTAGTTAGGAACCCCATGTGTAGATGTTGTCCTTTGTTGTACTATCTTCCTCCATTGTAACAACGAACCATTTGACTATGACAGCTGACTCCTAATATCGTAGTCGCCTTTGCACGAGAGGGTGCTAAAGTTGCCATCAGTTACCTGCCAGAAGAGGAGCCCGATGCTGAAGCCCTGGCCGATTTCCTGGCAAAGGACCCTCGTGTCGAGCATGAGCTGATCCGAATTCCTGGAGACCTGAGCAGCCAGAACTTCTGTCACCAGCTCGTCAACACGGCTCACAGGAAGCTGGGATCTCTGGACCTGATCGTTAGTAACGCTGGGTAAGTCTCAATCCATTTGGCAACAATCTCTCGGCTTCCACCCCCCGGTATCTGCTACTAATCGAGGGACATCACAACAGTACCGTCGGTCCGGTGGGTGAGACTGTAGCGGAAATGTCTCCAGAGACATGGGACCACATTATGAAGGTCAATCTCTATGCATTCTTCCACATCATCCAGGCTGCCGTGCCGCTATTGCCTCCAGGGTCCTCCATTGTTGTCACCGACTCGGTCGCGGGCCTGATCTCAGTCCAGGGCTCTGTTGCTTACGCGGCCTCCAAGGCCGCGCTGCGGAGCCTGATCAGCGGCGTGTCGGCCGAGGTCATCAAGCAAGGCATCCGCGTCAACGGAGTCGCGCCCGGCTACACGTACACGCCTCTTCTTGTCTTTGGCGGCCTGACTCTTGAGGATCTCAACACACAGGTCCCCACGTTGGAGCCGATTGGCAGGGTGCAGCAGCCGGCCGAGCTTGCGCCGGTGTATGTTACGCTGGCTGATGATCAACTTTCATACGGGACCGGCAGCATTTATGGCTCCCACGGGGGTTTTCTAGGCGCTTATTAAATGAGATTGTTGTTGTGATTTCATTTCATAAATAGTCTCGTGTCTAAAACTTTTAAGATAAACATCCAAATATATACAATCTTTGTATCATTGACTTGTCCGACTTTTGAGCACTAGAATAGAGCAACGCACACCCAGCCCCTGTGTATTTGTTCTCGCCGGCCTTTTCAATAAGTAATCCATACTAAATAGAGCATGATTGCACGTCATCCCACAAATTCATGCAGAATTTCTCTTTTCATGACAAATAAACATACATCAAAATCTTCGGAGCCAGCAGTCGCAGTAATTAGAAGGGTGCTCAAGAATAAAGAGCCCATCCCAGAAGACTCGCGTTCCCAATCTTTTTTTCTTGTCTTGAATGATGCACAGAGAGTCTATAGTATCTTTGAGAGGCGTTATATTATTCAGGATACGACCAATTCTAGCCAGCGCAGCGTCACCCGGAAAAACCAAGGACCATTCTTGCCAGCGCAGCGTCAGCCAGGAAAACGAACGACCCACGGCATATTTTAAGTAGCATAAGTCTGGGGAGAAGTTTTGGGTATAAGTGAGGATGAACCAGACTGCTACTAATATCAGCATAGTAATAATAACGGAAAGTAAGCGCAAGGGTTAACCAAGGTGGGGATAGTTTCAGAAGCACGCTTCAACTGATGACTTAGCCTGAGACTGCATAGGTGCCTGCGCAGGTGGCAAGCTTACGTAAAAGGCAAATGCCAAGAATCAGCAACTAGTGCTTATTATCCAAGCCGACAAGAGTGTAAAAGATCGGGTTTACTCGCATCAGTTTACAGTTCCAATGGCACCACCAGACAGAGGTCTCTACTGGACCCAGAGATGTCGAACTCACAGATTCTTCTTTTTTCCCAGCCGCGTACAGGATGTCACTTGCTGGAGCGCATCCTTACGTCAAAGCAAGACAACGCACGGCTTCTGGCACACCCTGCGCAGCTGTCAGTTCAACCACTTACTAAATGGACGGAGTCTGATTCGTTTTTGGACGGGATGCCGGATGATATTCTGGTGGAATACAAAGACCATGTCGAACAGGGCAGCATAATCTGGGAAGAGACGCTGCAAAATACGAAAGAAGAGGTGTGTATTGATCTTAAAGTCCTACTAGTCATTCAGTATCATCCAGCAGACTTGAACTTGAACATTCCAGGGCAAGATTCTTTTCATGCATACGCATCCCTTCTTTATTATTTCACCAGACCGCCTACTCGCTTCCGTCACTACCCCAGGAGCATTTCAAACAGACGGCCGCAAAACATCCCTTGTCCCGGAGAGCCTCCTCCTTCACCCAGGCACTATACCGTTGTTCACGGTCCGTCATCCAATTCTCTACGTGCCATCCGTGTTCCGCGCCCTTAAAAAGGCGGAAATAGGGAGCACACGAGCTACCTTAATGATCGGGAGCAACCTCGGCTTCAGCCGCGAGATATACGACTGGTTCGTGGCAAACGGCGTCGAGCCGGTAGTCGCGGAAGCGGATGATTACATGACAAGTGCGGAATTCAGCTTGCGCCTCGCGGAAAAAGTTGGCCTTGACCCGGCGTCGGTGGCCGTCAGCTGGCCGAGAACGACGGAGGACGAGCAGAAGCTAATGCACCCGACATTGCTCCGCATGCAGGAGTTGCTGGTCAAGTCTCAAGGCCTGGACCCGAGCCGTGCCGCCGGGAACGCGGATTTTACAGAAGAGCGGACGCGTTGGAAAGAGGAATTCAGTGAGGAGGAAGTCAAGTTGATTGAAGAGATAATTGTTCATGTAACGCCCCATTACGAGTACTTGCAAGCGCGTCGTTTTATACCTAGTAGCTATAACTGAGAAAACTCATTGTTGAAATTACGTTACAAAAGAGCACAACGGAGACAGCAATAAGAAACTGGGAGTTAGGCATTTAGCGTTTAGTATTTGATAACAGCTTAAGACTTATCAGGGAAGTAGGGCTCTAGCACGGCGGCAATATTATAATGGCCCCCGAAGTGGGCGAACTCCAGTGGCGCTTTGTCAGTCCAATCCGCCTCGTCAAAGCTGCACTGCTCCAGCAACAACTTGACCACGCTAAGCTTGCCTTGATAAGAAGCCTCTATCAATGCCCTCCAAGTATTCTCTTTCTTGACTTGGGCTGATGCGGCATCCCTTTCCAGCAACAGACTCATGATATCTTCTCTACCATTAGAAGCTGCGAGTACCAGAGGGGGCAGCCTGACGTTGCTATATGCATCAGAGTAAGGATCCGCCCCATGTTGCAGTAGCAACTCCACCAAATCTATATCGCCATTCGCCACAGCTCGCACAAGCGGTGATTCCTCCATGCCTTCGTCTGTCAGGCTTTCTTTTTCCAGAAGAAGACGCACCAGTGACGCTGGACCATTGTCAATAGCAAAAGACATGGGAGTGCAGCCGTTGTTGTCCATAGCGGTGGGGTCTGCGCCTCCTTCCAGCAGCGCAGCGACGACATGCTCATGGCCCCCCAAGGCTGCCCATAGTAAGGGCGTCATTTCATCCTCATCTCGAAAGTTTATTTCGACATGTCTCTCCAGAAGCAGCTTGACGATTTCGAGATGGCCCCCTTCTGCAGCCCATGAGAGAGGAGTTCGTCCGGATCCGTCCAATATGTCTGGACTCACATCCCTTTCTAGCAGCAATTTTACCACGGAGAAAAACCCGGCGTTTATAGCATGAGAGAGAATTGGCAACCCATCTTCGCTCTGAGCGTTCAAGTCCGCCCCCTGTTCGATAAGAAAAGTGATGTCCTCTTCCCGATCGTTCTGAATGGCCCAGATCAAAAGATCGCCACCTTGGGTTTTCCTCCAATCGAAGTCAGGTTTGATGGTTCTAAACAATTCCTGTAGAGCATCGAGCCTATCAGAGGAGGCGGGTATAGGCCGTGGAGCCAAGCCGTAGCCGATCTCTGGGTCGGAGATATCCTTTAGAATCTGGATGACAGACGTCTGTTCGCACTTTATGGCCCAGAGAAGCGGCGATCGATCGTATTCCTTGTCCTTCACCTTCGTGCTGGCATTCCATTGCAACAACAGCTTGACAACGCCTGCGTGACCGTTCATGGCAGCCCAAGACATGGGGGTTCGATTGAGTTTGTCTGCCAAATCGACCTCCGCCTTGGCGTTCAGCAGCTTTTTGACAGTCTTTTCGCTCCCATTCTCGGCAGCCCACGACAACGCAGTCCGGCCGTACCGCCACTCTTGAACATCAGTACTAGCTCCTGCTTCCAATACATGTCGAACGACAGAATCAGAACCAGTCTGGGCAGCAAAAATAAGTGGCGTTTGTCCAGAGATATCACGGCGCTCGAAATTGGCGCCAGCGGCCAACAATTGTTGGACTATGCTCCCGTGTCCGTTCGCTGCTGCCCATAGCAGTGCCGTCCGACCACGGAGATCCGGCGCATTGGTGTTGGCTCCCCGATCGAGTAGGAACTGCACAGCATCGTCGTAGCCATTGCCAGCGGCCCAGCTCAGCAGGGTTCGTCCGTTTTCCAAATCACGGGCGTCCACGCTTCTGCCCTTTTCCAATTCCTCTTTTATAGCTTTGACCTCACCTCTTACGACGGCAGCCACAAGGAGGTCTCCCGACGGACACAGCTCAACAGCCATACTTTTCCGAAAGCATAGGCATGTACGACGCAGATTTCCCAGGCCTCAGGTCACAGAATAAGATCACAAAATAAAACCTATTAAAACGATGAGAAAACCTCAGCCGACCAAGTCCCTCCACTGTGAATGGTGAGTCCTCGGAGGGTAACGAGTCATATGAGTGGACCGTGGCTTGTGTTTAGGCTTTGCGCCAACAGGAAGATTATGATGAGCCAAGGCACTAACTAGTGCTATTCTACATCCTCCTGTGGCCCATGCGTGTTGCCCGATACACAATTGCTGTTTTGACTGCTCCTCCCATGTCCATCTGTCGGGATATCTGTCGCGGTTGCTGAGTGATTTTTTGCTCAAGTAGCGGGAGAGATGTCTGTCAAATACCACTGCATGACAGTATAACATGTAAACGTTAGTACAATGGGGCTGGCATGACGCGACACTTTCAATCTGCACACGCTAAGCTAGTTAAACGGCAAGCCCCTTGGACCCACACCTCTCAAGGAAGGATTTTCGACAGAGGAAAAAAGCCACCGATATATCTGTACTACATGCGGGTTGTGGGGCCGATGGGCAAGCACCTCTGAGTCCCATTTGACCTCAATCACCCCCACATACAGCCGTGATAGAAAGCTGTCCATCGGCTTTGGCTCTTTAAAGCGCCGAACAGGAGGCTGAATAAGTTTTTATTTGCATGTGATATTGGCGCAACAGGGTAATCAGTAGAAATGCCACAGGAAATGTAGAGCCTGACAACATATCATGCAAGCCATTCTTTCACAGAGCTTAGGTCTGTGTCTTTTACGTCTATAAACTGTAGAGAATTAGAGACGCACCGTAGATAAGAACGCATTTGTTAAAAGACTCAAAGTACAGGATGAACCCCGACAGTCTACAAATAAGGCGAACGAGAACGGTCTAGCATATTATTTTTAAGCTTGTATTTAGTATACGAGACTCTACTTCCAACACTTCGAACCTTAATTTCTGCACGACCCCACGCCTATGCAACAACTTCTGTACATAAAACATTGTTATATACAGGCTAGTAGGGCAAAATACTTCAAGAGAGCAATAATTCTTTCTTAAAGGAACTTCTAATAAAGCCTACAGAATGTAGGATAGCGCAAGCATTTGGTCCTTTTAAAGTGGTATCATCTATTAAGGTAATTGTGAGATTATATGATTGTGCTTCTTTCGAGTCGCATCAGACTTCTTAATTGATGAACTAAAAGGTGCCGCAAAGGGCTACTGGTGCTAATACCGCTACTCAATCGAGTGCTGTTCCAAGAGACGAACTATCTCCTCATGCCCATGCATCTCTGCCGATTCACATGCCGAGAAAACCTCCATCTCTTGGGAAGGATATTGCTCGAGTAATAATTTGACCACGCCGGCGTGGCCCTCCGCCGAAGCATACCCCAACGCGGTCCAGGCATGGTCTTTCTTGGTTTCTTCGGATGTGGCCTTCTGTCGAAGGAATAGTGCTACCGTCTCCTCGAGACCGCGCTCTGCCGCGAGCGTCAGGGGAGCCGAGTCGTCAAAGTACACATCAGAGTACGGGTCGGCGCCATGTTCCACCAGCAGCTTGAGCACATTCTCATGCCCGTTGTCGAGCGCGAGCATCAAAGGCGTGCAATGGTCGTAGTCGGCTTCTATACGAACGTTCTTTGCCAGCAGCATCTCCACTATGGCTCTATGGCCAAGCTCTGCAGCAACGGCGAGTAGACTTCGTTCATAGTCCTCGCCTTCTTCGACCCTACCGGCATCCACGGGCCTTTCCAGGAGCAGAGAAACGATTGCTTCATGTCCCGCTTCAATTGCATATAATAGCGGTGTCCGTCCTCTCTTATCTGTAGAGTCTGGATCGACATCTTCTTCGATCAGTAGCCTGACCACCTGAGCATGACCTTTCTCTGCAGCCCATGAAAGCGGTGTCCGGCCACATTCATCAGCCAAGTCCGCATTGACGGTCCCCAACTTGAGCATCACCCCCACAGCATCTAACAGGCCGTTCTCGGCGGCTAAAGACAAGACTGTTCTTCCGTCTTCGTCCTGGAGGTCCGGATCTGTCACCTGGGTGAGAAGGATCTTGACCTGCTCTTCACAGCCACTGGTTGCAGCCGAGAGTAGTAAGTCATTTACCCCACTATCCTTCACGCGCATTTCTGCTTCTCTTCTTTCCAGCAGTGTTCGCAGTAAGTCAGATGCCCGTGACGTGCTTGCTGCAGCGCCCACAGCCGAGTCGTACCAGGCCTCCTGGGGCGCTATACCCATCAAGTACTGAGCGATTACATCACGGCCTCCTTCCACCGCACAAGCCAACGGTCTGGGTACCCACCCGAACTCGTCTGCGTTTATGGATTTCAAATGCTCGGACAAGAGCCTGACGATGCCCTCATGTCCCTTGATCGCAGCCCATTCTATCGGCGTCCTCTCGGTTTCATCCTCGACGTCCACCGCGGCACCGCTTTCCAGCAGCAACTTCACGGCACTCTCATACCCCTTTTTAGCTGCCCAGATCAAGGGCGTTTGGTTTCGTTGGTCCCCGAGGTCGACCTCGGCGCCACTTTCCAACAAAAACTTCACGGCATTCTCGTGCCCTCCTTTCGTGGCCTGCAACAACGGACTTTCCCCAGAACGCCGCTCCCGGACGTTTATATCAGCCCCTGCCTTAAGTATAATTTCGACTATATAGGCATTTCCGTTTTTAGCAGCGAAGGTCAGCGGCGTCCTCCCAAATATTTCGGAAATCTGACAAGAGGCGTTGGCCTCCAGCAAGAGTCTGACCACAGCTTCGTACCCGTAAGATGCAGCATGCATGATCGGTGTTTTACCGTCGATGCTATCCGGCGCATCAGCATCAGCACCCCTTTCCAGAAGAAGTTGTACGATATCGCTATGCCCTTGCTCGGCAGCCCAAGATAAAGCTGTTCGACCATATTCCAAGTCGCGCGAATCCACTTTTTGGCCCTTGTCCAGTTCTGCCTGGAGGTCCGCGGTCTGTCCACTGACTGCGGACAGGAAAATTGTGTCTTCCCATGGGCAAAGTTTAGGCATTTTGGTTTTTAAAAAGACTGCTGCCTTGAGGATGGCAACTGGAAGGGGAATGCCCTATGTCATATGGTTGGCAACAATGAACTAAACTGACTAGATAAACTTTAATTGATAAAGGACGCTAAAATTCTTTAAATGGTTTCGCGTCCCACCTAAATAAAGTCTGTTTGAATACGAAATAAAATGGGCCCCGGCGAACTTTTGAATCTAAATTTCACTGACAGCAACCGCTTGATTCTATTTTAATCAAGATTCGTTCTTCGGGTAGCCTTTTGTTTCGAGACTCACCAGATATGCACTCTGTTTGTGTCGTCCTTACGCTGCTCTGTTATATTACGAACCCCCTTTCAATCTCACCACTTGACACATCTTTCTATATAGCCGAGATGGTCGAAGAGTCCAATCGTTCTTGCGCACGATGCGGCCAGAACGAAGAAAATCAGCTGCAACTCGAAGCTGCTACTCTGCACCAAGCAGCTCTATACGGGGATCCTGAGCAACTGCAGAGCTTCATTCGCAGCGGAGCTAATATAAATGCATTGGAAGGATCCCGAGACTTGACAGCGCTTCATTTCGCGGTCGAGTCTGGCAATAAGGCCACTGTCAAAGTCCTGCTCGATGCAGGGGCCGACGTATCGGCGCAGACCAGTGATGGCGTAGCACCTTTGCACACGGCGACTGCCAATGGGCAATTCGCAATCGCTAAATTTCTTGTCGAGGCTGGGGCCGATGTCAATGCCCGCAACAAGAACGGAGGCACGCCTCTACATGCCGCGGCTGTGTTCTGGCAGCCAAAGATTGCGAGGCTCCTTATCGACGCCGGGGCAAATGTCCTGGCCAAGGATTCTGAAGGGCGATCACCGCTCCACGAGGCTGCTGGGCACGAGTCCTTGGCTGTAGCCCAATTACTACTCGCCAATGGTGCCGACATAAACGCCGCCGATAATAACGGAGACACAGCACTACTTGTCGCATTGGCAGATGGATCCAGCTCAATCAAGTTGCTTCTTAATAATAGCGCGGACGTGTTTATTAAAGATATAGTTACAGGGTGCAGGGAATGATACTCGCACAACTTTTAACTTTAACTTATCGGGTTCCTCAATCTTACTGCATCCCCTACAACTCCCAAGTTATTATATCTTTCTAGTTATTAGTTCTCTGTAGGTTTGGTGGGCGCGCATCTGTTTTTCTCTTTACTAATTAAATCACTTGAGCCACAAGTGACACTACCTAGAAATAGCCGCGCTTCTAAGCTGAGTCTATATTTCCCGCATATATTCAGACTAGTTTTATTCTTCCGAGCCTGACACTGGAGTTAAGCCCTCGATTTCACTTATGTTTCTAAAACGCTCTATCTTGTATAGGGTTGCTTCGTCTTAGGGCCTGGGCTTTTTTTCATTTTTTATAGTACAGGGGAGAAGGAGTAAAGGAAAAATTAAGAAAAAAAGGGAAGCACTAAGCCTTATATCACTATTAAACTTTTTTTTTAGCAGCTTAAGCTATATAAAAAATTAAAAAATAAGTATATTATATAAATAATTTATAAAAAAAAAAACTTTAAAGCTTAATATTAAGCTTTTTTTTAATAGCTTAAATTATATAAAAAGTTTAAAAAATAAATATATTATATAAATAATTTATAAAAAAAAAATATTTTTATATAGGAAAACTACTTTAAATCTGATATATATATTTTTATTTTAAATTTAGATTAATTTTTTTCCTATTAGAAAACCTTATAATAAATATAAAACTAGTTACTATATATTTTTAGGATTTTTTTAAAATTAAATATTTAAAAAAAAAATAGTTATTTACTTTTAATTTACTTTATTTTACTTTATAATATATTTATTTTCCTTTTTAATAAAAAAGTATACTATTTTTTATATATTTTATATATTATATTTAATATATTAATTAAAAAAAATTATAACTATTTTATAATAAAATAAAATTAATAACTATAGTTATTTAGCTATACTATATTCTTTTTTTATAAAAGTTTTAAATTTAATTATAAAAAAGTATTATAAATTAGCTATTAAAGTTATAAATTTATATTAAATTAAAATATTAATTATATTATTAAAATTACTAGCTTTTATATATTTATAAGTAAAAATTAAATTATATATAGTATTTATTTTAATAAAATTATAATATAATAAAATTAGTACTTTATATTAACTTTAATTTTAATAATATTTTCAGCTTAAGTATAGGCTGTATTTTAAACCAGGGTTAGGGTTAGGGTTAGGGTTAGGGTTAGGGTTAGGGTTAGGGTTAGGGTTAGGGTTAGGGTTAGGGTTAGGGTTAGGGTTAGGGTTAGGGTTAGGGTTAGGGTTAGG